ATCTCGGGAGATCTGATGAACCTGATGCGCTCCACCCGGAGTGACTTCGTGCGTGAATTGTTTCACCAGGAAGCTCTGCAGACCATATCCCACCCGCAGGAAAAAACTGCTATCATGCAGGCTCAGGTGAGCTCAAAGCCATTGCGAATGCCTAGCATGGCTAGACGCAAGGCCGGGCCCCCATCCCGCTTCACTGCCCCAAGCGCGCACCCTGAAAGTGAGGAAGGTGAGGAACACGAAAGCCAGGTTGCAGGATCCAAGCGAGCCAGTGGGCGGAAGAGCGGAATGCCTTCCGGCCCGGCCCAGGGAGCTGCCGGCCAGTTCCTTTCTGGCCTGGAGATTGTAAACAAATGCCTGAGCTCCTCCAACCTGAATCCTTATTTCGTCATCTGTCTCAAGCCCAATGATCGTCGCATTGCCAACCAGTTCGACAGCAAGTGCGTGCGCATGCAAGTCCAAACATTCGGTATCGCCGAAATCAGCTCGCGGCTGCGAAACGCTGATTACAGTGTCTTCCTTCCTTTCGGAGAGTTCCTTGGCCTGGCCGACATCGGGAATGTTGTGGTGGGAAGCGACCGGGAAAAGTCTGAGGTTGTTCTCGACGAAAAGAGATGGCCTGGCAACGAAGCTCGTGTCGGTAGCACCGGTGTTTTTTTGAGCGAACGATGCTGGGCAGATATTGCTAAAGTGGGCGAGCGCGTGGTACCATCCTATGGAAATGCAGGTGTCGATGAAAGCGACGGCTTCCAGTCCGCTGGTGGACACCCGGACGCGAAACTCCGACTTCTTAACCCGGCCGATCAGTCTCCAGGTGCGTTTATTTATGGAGATGATCCCAAACAAGGGTACTTTGGGAGCCGTGAACTGGATGGGCGCTCTGATGCTGGAGGCTCCGCTTTCAACTCCGGTGATATGTTCAAGAACCTTGACACCAAAGAGCAAATGCTTGAGAAAAACAACGAAAAGAAAATGGAGGAGGTCGATGAGGCCCCGACATCTGCCGGTCGTCGTCGTTGGATGTTCCTGGTGTATTTGCTCACATTTTTCATCCCTGATTTCGTGATCCGGTTCATTGGGCGCATGAAGCGCAAGGATGTGCGCATTGCCTGGCGTGAAAAGCTCGCTATCAACATGATCATTTGGTTCGCCTGTGCTGTAGCTGTTTTCATGATTGTCGGTTTCCCTGGAGTGGTTTGTCCAACTCAGAATGTCTACAACACGGCAGAGCTCAGTGGTAAGAATGGCAAAGGTTCCGAGGAGTCTTACGTTGCCATTCGAGGCGTGGTTTTCAACCTCGGAAGTTTCATGCCATCTCACTTCCCTGATATCGTTCCTCAGAAGTCCCTCAAGGCGTATGCAGGCACCGACGCTACCAATCTTTTCCCTGTCCAAGTTTCGGCTTTGTGTCAGGGTACAACGGGAAAAGTGCATCCCAGCGTACCATTAGACTATCGATCAAATCTGAATGATTCCGCGGCCACAGCCTCCAGCTCCACCTTTGATGTCAATGCCAAGTACCACGATTTCCGCTCTTGGACTAATGACTCTCGAGCTGATTGGTTCTATGAGCAAATGGTTATGATGCGCTCGAATTACAAGAAAGGTTACGTTGGTTATACTTCAAAGGCAATGAAGAAGCTGGCGACCGACAAGAACAGGAAAGTTGCAAGTATCAACGGCAAAATCTACGACATGACCTATTACATTGCTGGCCCACGAGTACCTCGCTGGCCAGCGGGGAAGAACGCCACCGGCAATATTGATACTGATTACATGAGCCCTCTTCTTGTCGATATCTTCCAGGGAAAGCCCGGAGACGATGTGACCAAGTATTGGGAAGACTTGAATCTTGACAAGGCACTCAGGGCCCGAATGCAGCTTTGCCTTGACAACTTGTTCTTCATTGGCAAAGTCGACACGAGAGACTCAGTCCGGTGTCAATTTGCGCGATACTTCATTCTCGCAATTTCGATCATGCTTGTCTCCATTATTGGTTTCAAGTTTTTGGCTGCGTTGCAATTCGGAAAGAAGAACCTTCCAGAGAATTTGGACAAGTTCATAATTTGCCAAGTCCCGGTGTATACCGAAGACGAAGAGTCATTGCGCCGTGCTATGGACTCTATGGCTCGCATGCGCTATGACGACAAACGCAAACTACTACTCGTTATCTGTGATGGTATGATTATCGGTCAGGGCAACGATCGTCCGACTCCCCGCATCGTCCTTGACATTCTGGGTGTCCCCGAATCTGTGGATCCTGAACCGCTCAGCTTTGAGAGTCTGGGCGAGGGTATGAAGCAACATAACATGGCAAAGCTTTATTCTGGTCTATACGAAGTCCAGGGCCACATTGTTCCTTTCCTGGTCGTTGTAAAAGTCGGCAAACCTTCTGAAGTGTCCCGTCCTGGCAACCGTGGAAAACGTGATTCCCAAATGGTTCTCATGCGCTTCCTCAACCGTGTTCACTACAACCTGCCCATGAGCCCTATGGAGCTTGAAATGCATCATCACATCCGGAACATAATTGGCGTCAATCCGCAATTCTACGAATATATCCTGCAGGTCGACGCTGACACCATGGTTGCACCTGATGCCGCCACACGTTTTGTTTCGGCATTCCTCTCTGATACGCGTCTCATCGGCTGCTGTGGAGAGACGTCCCTGTCTAACGCCAAGACCTCCATTGTGACGATGATCCAAGTTTACGAATACTACATCTCTCACAACCTGACGAAGGCATTTGAAAGTTTGTTTGGATCCGTGACTTGCTTGCCCGGTTGTTTCACCATGTATCGTATCCGCACAGCGGAGAATGGAACGCCTCTCTTTGTCAGTAAGGCTGTGGTCGACTCCTACTCCGAAATCCGTGTCGATACCCTCCATATGAAGAATTTGCTGCACCTTGGTGAAGATCGTTACTTGACGACACTGCTTATCAAGCATCACCCGAAGTTCAAGACAAAGTACATTTTTAGATGTCATGCCTGGACGGTTGCACCGGAAAGCTTTGCCGTCTTCCTTTCCCAGCGTCGCCGATGGATCAATTCTACAGTTCACAACTTGATGGAGTTGATTCCGCTACAACAGTTGTGTGGTTTCTGCTGTTTCAGTATGCGTTTCATTGTGCTCATCGATCTGCTCATGACCGTCATTCAGCCAGTCACGGTCGCCTATATCGCTTATCTGATCTATTGGTGTGTGAGTGAACCAGACGTGCTGCCTATCACCTCCTTCATTCTTCTTGGTGTCATCTACGGCCTACAGGCCTTGATCTTCCTCGTTAGACGTAAGTGGGAAATGATTGGCTGGATGTTGATTTATCTCCTGGCCATTCCCATTTTCTCCCTTGCTCTGCCACTGTACTCCTTCTGGCACATGGATGACTTCTCCTGGGGTAATACGCGTGTCATCACCGGAGAGAAAGGCCGCAAAGTTGTCATCTCTGACGAAGGCAAATTTGACCCTGACTCAATTCCAAAGAAGATTTGGGAAGACTACCAAGCAGAGTTGTGGGAATCCCAAACTTCGCGTGACGACCGGTCTGAATTCTCCGCACACTCGTATGGTACCAGGCTGCCTCCCTTCCCGCAGTCAGAGTACGGGTACCACACTGGCTCGCGCCCGGTCTCGCAGCTCGACTTGCCTCTTGGAGGCGGTGGCACTCGTTACTCAGTCGCTCCGTCTGAAATGATGAGCAACTTCGGTATGGAAGACCTGAGTCATCTACCTCCTGATGATGAGATTCTCGAAGAGATCCGTAAAATCTTGGCGACTGCAGACTTGATGAAGGTCTCAAAGAAAACCGTCAAGCAGGAGCTTGAAAGGCGGTTCGATGTCAACCTGGACGCCAAGCGGCCATACATCAACTCTGGTGAGTCAATTCTTTTTCAATAGCACAATGGACCCAGCTAACAGATATGTAGCCACTGAAGCCGTTCTGTCGGGAGTTCTTTGAACAACTATAACGCCATTCCGTTACCTGCGTTTGGTCCTTCTCAGGTGTGGACATAGGGTATTCGACCAACATGTGTTATTAATATTTTTCACCTATGCCTTGATTTTTCTATTTTACAAGCGAACTTATGCATGGATGAGAGCTTTGCGCAGCGATTTCTTTTCGGCCCTTGATTTTGAACATTTCGCCTTTTGCCTCATAAAACTACATATTCTCTATCTGCATTGAAATTGATAATTCCCAGAGATTTTCTCTGGCGTTTTGCTTGTGATCCATTTGAATGACTTTTGATCCGTGTCGTGGTCTGTGACTTTGATATCAATCTACACTGGAACGTTCTTGACCAAAGGTGGGACTCTTTGTCACATTAGATCTAGTGATGCTTAATATTAAATGGAAACAGGGCTGGGTAAGTCTCACCCGATGGTGATATCTGAACTTATGTACCAATATGCTATTGACAGAATGTCGAGTTCCTATCTAAAAAAGGATCAGATAAAAAAGGGGGCGGGGGGAAGTATGGGTGATCATCGATCGTAATACTAAAAATTATCCGACAGCGACCTCGAGTACGAGTAAACAAGGTTTGTTTGGCACATTTCGCTACTAAACTAGAACATAGCTAGGTGCCTTAGCTTCACTTAAGTCCCCACTAAGTCCCGCTATAGCTGGAAGATGCATACACATGCACAAAGAGAACAATAAAACTGGTATCTGATTGGCTACATGCACTCCTGTGAAGCCCTCTTGTTTTGATACAAAAATATAAGTTCATGTTTATGTTTGTGTTATCAGCCGAGTGTGGTTACCCTGTATCTCCCTAGCTTGGATTCGCGTGTACGATTCCTGAGGAATGAGTTTCATGTTCATTGAGAGGTTGATATTCAGATGAGATGGGAAAGCGAGAGCATAGAAATCTCCTGTAGCACTGTGACAACTTCCTCCCTCCGCCTTCTGTATCTACTCTATACTCTTCGTGGGGGGGGTTCGCTCCTCCCTCAGTACCTGAGCGCGTAGAGAATGCTATACTGGGTACATTTGCAAGTCACATATCTCCGGCATTGACACCAGCGGTTTCTGTCAGTGTCCATATAACTTCATCCAGCGTACCAGCGATCTGTTCTGCACTGCCTATCAAATATATCAGCTCAACGCGCTCGATAAAGATACCACATTGATTCTTACTGGATGGTACTGGGCTATGAGGTCATTGGAAGTTGTATCAATGCGGACCCGAGGCGCCTTCTTGCGCTGTCGCTGCTCATTCTGGTTTGCGTCGCACCTTGCCTTTTTCTCCTCCTTTTGACTCTTTGGAGGGGGCAGTGGAGGAAGAGGCGGTGCATCGGTGGAGGTTTTGTGGACAACGAACAAAGCAAAGACACCTTGAAAAGAGGTTCGCAAGGGTTGGTGGTAGGTGCTTCGGAAGAATGGCTGTGGGGATGCGTAGCAGGAGGAATAAGAGACAACCATCTGATGTGTTCTTTTTAGGAACTTTCGAGGTTGTTCACAACCCCTTCCACCTAAAAATTGTCACCCCAGATCCCTCGAGCTTTCCTTTGTGTGTGTGTTGGGGCATAGTATATGCAATCATCAAGATATTCTTTCTCCACTAGTTACCAACGATATTTACCAAGTCAAGCAACTCTTCAAGCCATTCGGTCTCCTGTGTCGTAAAGTTCTTTGGCGTGGAGTTTGACAAGCAACAGAGATTGTGTTCCTTTAATTGCCATGCTTCTGGAACCTGTGGCTTACTCGGTTCCTCCATAAACATGTCGAACTTTCCCATGACCCGTTTACCGTCCGCAAACTTATTCTCAAACACCCAGCCATTGAACCATAAAGGACGGTTCTCGCGGTCCAAATGAAGAAGCTGGGGGGCACAGATTGTGGGATTGGGATCATGGGTTGGCGCCGATTCGCTTCCATCTACTGGTGGATTCGCTCTTGGTGAGGCCACTGCAATTCCATCTACTGGTGGGTTCGCTGCTGGTGAGGCCACTGCAATTCCATCGACGAAGGATAGTTTCGGCTGTTGATTGATGGCGTCGAAGGTGTCGGGGGTCGGACAACGTCCACAATTTCAGTCTGGACAACGTCCACGACTGCAGGTTGAACAGCGTCCACAATTTCAGGTTGGACAACGTCCACGACTGCAGGTTGGACAACGCCCATGACTGCAGATAGACCCGGGTGAAAGGAATATGAAGTATCCCCAACGAGCTCCCATCCAAGCCAAAAGGTTTCCTTATCACCTGTATTAGCTCAGGTGGTTAGTAAACGTAAAGGGAGTTTGGGAAGACAGGTACCGGGGTAAAACGAACCGTAGACCATATCGTAAGTCCCTACAATGTCCGCACCATTACCATTCCTATCTGGCCCATTCATTCTGCATACGAGTAACAATGCAACAAAGTGCATCCACTTATCCACGACGATGACTCCCGACTCTTGTTCATGCCCGCTCTCCCCGGTCCACATTCTGCTCTGCTGCACAGCTTGCGAAATTGGCTCTGGCAAGACCTTTTGCAGCCATCCCTGCTTACTCTCTGGCGAGATATTTCGATCTCTGAAGAAAAGGGCACCCGTGCGCACGTATTCCGGGTCATCAAAAAGGGACTCGGGGTTCACGAAGAACAGTGAATCGGCGTCGATGAACAGGGCTTCGCGGAAAGACGAGAAAAGAATAGCAAAGGGCTTACCAGCCCATCCGTTGAGCTGCCAACCTTCATCGTTCACCAGTGCGGAGAGGTCACGCGTTGTGACGCCTGGTATGGCCTCAAGTTTCATCCGGAAGTCCTTATTCAGATCGTTTTCGCCGAGATACATGACCTCGACGGGAAGATCGCAGCCCAGAAGGCGAAAGGAAGGAATGGCCGCCAGTAGAAACTGTGCCTGGCCATTGCCCGCCGTTGTCACGATGCCACGACCTCCATGGCGCAACGAGATGTGCATACTCATATGATCTGCAAAGTATGGACTCGTCCACGGAAACAAGAGTGCAGAGAGTTTGGTGACAAACTTGCGATAGGAGTCGTATTTGTGGAGTATGCCAGGGTATGTTGACTCGCTGAACTTGTCCCGGATGTAGGGGACAACGTCATTCCGCACGTAAGTCTGATTGTCGTCGCTGTTGACGAGGTGTACCTTCTCCCAAGTCTCGAATAATTCTTTATATATGCGTGTGCGCAGGCCAAGGTCGTGTAGCTTCGCCTCGCCTGTGCTGACTACTGGCCGTAGGATTTGTTTGATGTAGAGCTCGTTGGGGGCTGTTGATAGAAGGTAGTCAAGAGCGGCCTCGAAGAGATCGGGCTCTAGATCCGAAATCGTGCTATTCTCGCTATCTTCATCGATATTTGAGAATGACTGCGGTGACTTTTGATCTTCTACATTTTCCTGCAGCCCTGGTGAATTTTCCCCAATAGAATTCTCGCCGGGTGTCTTTTGCAATGTCGAATCATGTTCCGATGACGCCGCAATCGTGTTATCAGTGAGTGAACTTCGCCATGTTCTGTCCGTGACCAAGGTGGAAGTCTGGCTCTTTGCGTCTGAAGCTGGCGACCTAAAAAGCAGGAATGAGATTACCAACCACGCCGCTACAACCGCAATGATGACACGAGTGGTTCGCAAAAGCATGCTTTTTCGTCGCGTTTTGGCTGGTCTTAAATGTGACAGACGGCCTTCTTTAAGTGGAATTGAGTGCCGTGGTAACATTTGGACAATCGGGATTAATTACTGAGGGAAGATAGGACACAGCCGCTCAAATCCATGCGAGCCATTTTACAGAATGTTTTCGAGGACCCGTGGACAAGACAGAAAAGGCCGTGTCCTATACCATATCTAGTTAGCGTTACCCGTGGTCTAGACCTTTGACCTTTTTCAGCTCTCATAATCTCATTCCTCCTCCGTACTCCGTATCCATATTCTGATAGCGGTTTAGTTTTGATTAATCTCTTTTAGCCCCCAAGGGTGTGTGCTCCGGTACCTGAAAAATCAGGTGTACCACCTTCCTAGTTGGGATACGTTTCCGCTTTGAGGCATAGTGGCTTTGGGCTTCCTGGACCACAGTCTGACTGTTTCAGAAAATGTTGACTTGACCAAATTATGGAACAAAAATGACTTTCAGGGGAGGTTGCCTCTGTTACATCTGAAAGGTTTCTGGAACCTTTTCTACGGGTCGGGCCGATCTATGTCCCACCCTTCAGGTACCCATGGATTTCCTTCCAACTCTGGAATGTTGGGGCTCGGGAGCTGCCAAGGTGCATACATGGGATAAAATGTAATATTCATGTCCACTATATACATACGGAGTACTTCCCACTGCATTAGAGCTGTACACTAGGTGGCTGTAGACAAAATCTAACACTCTGTAGGTTTACTAGCCTGTGATCATGATGGAAGGGTACCAGAAATACAGGGGAGTACTAGAAAATTCGCTGGGGAATATTCTACTTGGTTAGAGTTGGGTGGGAAATCAAAGAAAAGGAGAGCGCAGTAAGCCCCGGAGGTGCAAGTGTGAATGTCGCTAACTCAGCCTTGAACATTGGACCCTCCCAAGGGATCGAGACCCCCGGGAAAGTAATAGAGAGCATAAATTCAATGCGAGACTTTACCCCCTTTGTTGATACATATCATGCGTAGAGGACCTCCGCAAAGCCCATTCGTGGAGGCCCGTAAGGCCCCCATTATAGCCCATTTAGGGGGCTCAGCTAGGATCTCGTAATCGCTGTATATTGACCCTTCTACGAATTATATCCTCCCAATTCACATTTCATAACTGGGATAACTATATAAGTGTATATTCTAATTTCAAATAAAATCAACCAGTGGAGATTTGAAGAAATGTCAATGTGTACTTTAATATCTGATATATATTTCCGATATAGGGGAGCACCACGCTCACCACTTTCCGAGTGATCCTCTATAATTCAAGACTTAACTAGATAACGCGTCCTTTCGCGTGTTCAAATGTAACGATACATAAGTTTCACTACTTATCAATGATATATTAGTTAAAAATAGTAAGATATCACCTTACCCTTGAGGTCAAAACGGGGCCTCAATACAAGGCAATTGAAAAAAAAAATCACATTCCTCAGAATATTTGTATTGTTTGGTGCCTATTGGGCCGTGTTGGGCCCCCAAGCCAATAACCCCCGGGGGCCCTAAGGACTAGGCCCAAAACCCAGCCCATTAGTGAATTGGGGTGGGTTAGGCGTTGGGATTTGTGGGCTCTGCGGAGGTCTAATGCGTACAACTCTCCTTAGTACCAGGTTCATATTCATGCAATGCTATATGGTATCTGAGGTACATTGCAAGCAGTTGAACTCACAGCCGAGGTCTGTCTTGGCCGATCACTCTACTCCACGCACGATCTGCAATCCATCAAACGTCATTGTGTTGATCACGTATCCGATACGAGAAGTACATATATGTAAGGCTCTAGCTACCATTTTGAGGCAAGTTGGTCACCTATGGAAGGTCTTGATTGGCTTCTCTGACTACTTTTGCTACACAGACACCACAGGAGCATACAACACACATATTTAGGTGCTCCACCGACGGGGAAACTAGTCCCGATCGAAGGGTGTCGGTGGGACTTGCGTTCTCACACATATCGCTTTGCTTGAGCCTCGTCTTCGAGCATTTGTATGCCAAACGTCAGCTTTAGAACTCACAATAAAATAACATGGCCGATCCTACAAGAATAATTATGACGTCAATTCTTCTCGTAGAGACATTGTTCTCGTTCAATCATTGCTATGCACATCTCCCTATCATGTGAAAGGCGGGTCTGATCGACATGGGGTGTAACGCACCCCGAAGCGACGACTAGCTTAGAAACTGCTTCACTCAACCTTAGAATCCCCAATCCAATTTCTCCTCTTCTACCTCCAAACCAGCATGGGAAGCTGTTGCCATACTGCTATCTACTGGACCTTTACTGTCCACGACCTAGGCCGAAGCAAATCCTTTGGCACTCATCAACATTGTTGCCCCCATCATGTCAAAATCCGATGTTTCAAGTAACTCTGAGGTGGAGGATGTGCTACTTACCCCAGAAAAACCCAATTTATGGAACCGATTCAAGGCGCACATGAAGAGGTTCTGGTGGGCGTATTTGATTGCATTTTGCATCTCTGTTCTCGTTATCATTCTCCCTCTGTGAGCTCCATCATACAAGATAATAATGGCTATGCTAATTATTTCTTAGATTTTATGTCGGGATTCCCAACTTCGCAAACGATTATATCAACAAGTACGAGTATGACTCTGATGGCCTTGAGATTACCAACCCCCGGCCAACCGCCTTTCACGTTAAACAAAAACAAACTCTCCGAACAGGAGGTGGGTTCAGTGGTAGTGGTCATATGAACGCATTCAATGCCACATGTCGTGTTAAAGATACCGATAAGATCTTTACAACCTTCCCAGTGCCTGATATTGCATTTGGCAAACACGCCACCCTCGAAATAGATCAAGATATGCATTTATCGTGTGTTGACTGTATGTCACGATTGGCAACTGCAGCCGGATCTAACAGGAGTTCTTCAATCTTGATTGAAGGCTCATCAGATTTGAAAATTGGAGCACTACCAACTGCTCATTTAAACATCCATAAAACAATGAACGTGGGTGGTGAGTATAGGTTTCCAATCACATCTATAAAACAAGCTGACAGTCTTAGGTTACAATGCCACAGGTGAGAAATACCATATCAAGTTGCTCGATAGGAGTGAACATTTCTAAAATTTGCAGATTTTATCAACGCCGAAGGCGCATTCAACATCACCAGTATAGAGCTCCTGGATCCTCCAGTTGATGGATATAACTTCAATGCCACAATCTCCGTGCGCAATCCGACTCCCTTCGTTATTGAGCTGGTATATCAATCCATCCCATTCCCTGGGATAGAAGTATAAGCTAACACATTTAGGGACATGTGACTTTTAATCTCACCATGGGTGGCTCAGAATTGGGTTGGGTCGATCTGCCATATCTCTTTTTAGAAAAGACTAATAGCAACGCTGTGGTGCTCGGTTCAGTGGACAAAAAGAGATTGATTCATGAGGCCCTTTCCGGTGACGATGAAATTGGCACTGTGACCATCGAGGTTCATGGGAGAAGTTGCTCTTTCAAGGGTGTCGATATCCCTTACTTCACAGCCGCTATCAAGGCTGTGTCAGCGTCGACAAGGATTGATCTATTAGAATATGCTTCAAGTTTATTTTCTTGACGTGGTGAACCTACGATCGAGAGTACTACAGGATGAGCATGCTATGAGTTTAGACTATAAAGCTACATGGGATTTCTTCGGATATGTATGTCAAAGATAGCGCATTTTCACTGCAAATGACAGAGATATAGATTCTACTTCGTTGTACCTCTGACCATGGCAACATGCTGCTCAGATACCCACCCCCCGCTCGACTGGAGACTCCCTCTGGAGAATCAAGACACAACAAACCTCAGCATGGAAATATACACATTCCAATGTATACAGTGCAATGAAGTATACCGAAGAATTCAACAAGCCTTTTCAATGACTCAACCCCAGATATACAGCCGTCATTTCTGATTCATTCACGTCTAGGTATCCCTGTTTAAACTACAAAGAATAAACGCGGCCATGGAAGGGGGAGAAAAAAAGAAGGCTTTGTTACTGGCATTGTTTCTTTCATGACATTGCTTCTCTTTGACTCTAATAATAAAGCTACTCTTGACGAAAATTACATAAATAAGACTCGATCCCACCGTCTTCTCAACGATCGTGCATCTACATCAACTACATCTTCACTAATCCCTAGCAGCTAATCTGACAGAATCCTTCCTACTCAGATTCGTTGTAGATCACCAATCTAGAGTCATGTACTCTCCGACAGGAAATCCCGAGCATCAATTTCTGCGTACACGCAACCGGTTCAAAGCTGAGCTACAGCTCGAGATTGATGTTATTATGAGTCGCAAGGGGATTTCGCCTCTCCGCCTAGCGCTAGCAGTTGACAACCTCACCGATCTTATTGACGAGGTACGTGTCGTCGAACGAGCGAGTGCCACTATGTGTAGGGAGATGCCGCAATGCCGTACCGTGCTTGATAGAAAAAACTATTACGGGTACAATGGGGCATTTTTAACGAAGACTCACAAGCTTGAGGACCAGTTGATTATGCTCAAGGAGAACCTCATGCGCCTATATTCCGATCAGCATTGGATATCTCGCCAGATTGCGGCTGTAAACAGATATTCCGACCTTTAACTATATGCCAACTCATTCGCTCAAAGATACTTCTTTCCCCGGAAATTCTTCGTAGTAACGTATTTGATAGCAGTAAAATTAGCCCCGAGAGACTAAACTGTGGGCTTGTGGTACTTGTATATGCTCAAATGTTGAATATTTGCTTGATTCCTGAACTGAAATTAGTCTTTTTGGCGCCCAAGCCGATTGAAAGAATTTATCTATAGATCAAGAAAATTGAACAAGAAGTGATAAGATGACAACACCATACGGAGTGACTTTAGCTGTGCCCTTCATTTCTTCGTGCTTGACATGAATTATCTCCAGTAGTGCGATCCACAGTTTCGGGAGGGTGGCCCTTTTTTTATCCCAATTAGGAAATTGGCCTATCTAACGGCCAATAGAGACTTAATCAGTACAAATGACTTAGGCATACCTACCTATGCTTCTGGTCAGCTTGGCTATCTCTCCAGAGTAAACTAAACATAATAAATGTATGCTGGTCTCTTTCAAGCGTATATACTTGACCCATCGAAGTAACAGGACACCACAATGTGTATCATGATGCTGCACCAATACCAGTTGATCTCAAGAGTCGCGCATTGACAATGCTCATCAGGGATCAAGCCCAGAGACTGAACGGCAGTCTCCAGCTGGATCTTAAAGTCTCATGCTTCAAGAACTCCCCAGCCGCTTTCCAGCTGGGCAGTGGTAATCGCAGGGATTCGTCAATGTGGGGTCCCCGCGGGGAAAAATATACGCTAACCCTGTTTTGTCCCGCAGGTGAATGTACTAGCCCCGGGGTATATTGGACCGAACAGGGTCTTTCGGGCAAGAGTGAACCGACATGCTATGGAAAGGGTTGACTGGAGAAAAGGACCTGGGGCCCCGGATGCAAATGTCTCTCTAGTTTCCCCGTTGATCCAAGCACATTATGGTCCTACGCGGAAAATACCTTCACTGGGCTGTGACAGCTGCAAGCTGCCAAGCCTTTCTCCTATTGGGATATGACCAGGGCGTGATGAGCGGCCTGATTGGCGCGAACAATCAATTCGGACAAACATTCAACAATCCTGACAGCACGATGCAGGGTCTCCTTACTTCGATCTACGATATCGGCTGTGCAGTAGGTTGCCTTCTGAGTCTCGTCATTGGTCACAGATACGGTCGCCGCAAGATGATTATCGCAGGTGGTTCTATCATGATCATCGGAACGATTATCCTCGGCAGTTCCTATACCGTTCCTCAATTCCTCGTTGGCCGAATTGTCACTGGCCTTGGCAATGGAATCAACAGCAGTACTGTGCCAGCATACCAGTCCGAGTTAGCTCGCCCAGAGCAGCGTGGCATGTTGCTCTCTGCCCAAGGCACTGTGACGATTCTCGGTCTCTGTATCGCATACTGGCTGGATTATGGACTGAGTTTCGTGGATACACCGGCTCAATGGCGGTTCCCAATCAGCTTCCAAGCTTTCTTTGCAGTATTTTTGGTTCTGCAGATGATTCCCCTGCCTGATTCTCCACGTTGGCTTTGTGAACAAGATCGCAGTGACGAAGCAGCGTCGGTCCTGGCACGTCTTCAAATGGATCAGCCCGCTGATGAGTCAAACCCTGAGGTTATTCTTCTGCGTCATCAAATCGAATCGTCAATTGAGATTGAGTCTGCTGGCGGACCATTCAAGTACAAGGAGCTCTGGTCGGGTGGCCCGATGGGGAATCTTCGACGAATGATCCTGGCTGCTGTTATCAATATTCAACAGCAGTTTACAGGTGAGAAATACCAGTCCAGACGCCGTGAGGTGTTTTTGTATTGACATGTGTTAGGCTCTAACATGATCAATTACTACGCCCCCATTGTCTACCAGGTATGCCCCTATTCCCATCTCCAGTTGAATAAGTGAACTAAGCCAAATACCTAAATAGAATGCTATGAACCTATCCCGCAATCTCTCTTTGGTCCTTGGTGGCTGCACCTCTCTCGCATACCTTGTTGGCTCTGTTATCCCCCTGTGGAGTATGGACAAATTCGGCCGACGGGTATCACTCATGGTCTCCGCCGCTGGTCTCTGTTTCTGTTTCGTGATGACTGCCATTCTGTTATCGATTGGCACAGAGTCATGCGCATATGCAGCTACGGTGTTCGTTTTTATTTTCCAGTTGTTCCTTGGCATTGGTTATCTGCCAGTCCCTTGGTTAGTTTTCCCTATCTGACTTGCATTTGTGTACTACTGCTGACGATTGACAGGTTCTATCCTTCTGAAATCTCAACTACCCGTATCCGAGCTAGAGCTCAGGCTTTTGGCGGCTTTGTCAATTGGATTTGTGTTTGTAAGTTGATTGGCCTCCAGAGGAAGTAAGTGCCTTCACTAACCGTCGCAGTCATTGTCGTCCAAATTACACCCACAGCAATTGATAATATTGGATGGAAAACATTCATCATCTTCGCCTGCTTCTGTTTTGCCTGGGTATGACCCCAACTCTGAATTCAATCTTATGATACTGACTGAACCAAGATTCCAATGGTTTTCTTCTTCTTCCCCGAGACCAAAGGCTTGGAACTGGAGGATGTTGATCATCTTTTCTCGAGAGGTGGAATTACTGGAGGTGTTTGGGAAACCAGAGGTTATCCTGTCCACCCTGGGCATCATCGAACTTTGAACACCGAAAGTAATGAAAAGCCAATGGGTGAGGCTACACACATCGAGGTATAAGACTGAAACTCTACAGACCAAGCCCTGGGGGTTCTTTCCATCTCCACCGTGTGTCTATATGTTCTTAGAATTTACTGGAATTTACTAGAGTTCAGATTTAGATCTCACAGGTGCCTCTTCGCTCCGACTCTCGTAGTGACCACTGGAGATAGATCTTCTTATCGACTTTTGGAAATATTGTTGAATGATCCCATCTCCCATTAGTGGCTAACAGACCGGGCTTTTGTCTGCTAGCTCTCAGAATACGATTACCCAAGGTTTTTATAGGTCCGATTATTTACCCGCAGATAGATGGAGTCTAGATAGAGAAGACGCATCAGGAAAAGGACGTGTTTGAACCAGAGGTTATATTTGCAATACCAAAAGTATTTGGAACCCAAAGCTAGATACTGCTACAACTACGGTTGACGTTGTTTGATTGGGATGAAATGTTTCCAGGTACATCATTGATCAGGAGCATAGCAGGCAAATAATTCTCTGTTTATTCAGCCCGCTCCGATCAGAGATGTAATGGATGTTTTGTTGTTTGGTCTTGCTAAGTGTACTAATCTGAAAGTATTATTCCTTCAAATCATGTACCCAGGCAAGAGAACAGCAGCTCTCTTATTGACCAGAAAAAGCCCACAGCCCACATAAAAGGCCCCCGAAGGCCTAACAAGTAAACCGCAAGGTTTGGAGCTCCAACTTGTTTCTTCGCTTCTTCTTCGAGTAAAAAGCGGGGTTGCATGGCCAACTGCAAGTGATATCACACAGTCGTTGCTGCGTAATCTCAGAAACTCCGCTGAATGCACTGATAGAAATAATCTCGAGTTAACAGCAAAAACAAACAGACTGGTAGGCAAACTCACCTGGAATTTAGCCGGACCCGCCGAGACTGGGATTGTGCAGACCCGGTCTGACTTCAGGTCTTCCCACAAAGGTTCTGTTGAGGCCCACAGGTTAGGAATGATAAATGACCACAGACGGGAAGAGCATACTTGGACTTGTGTCCTGGATGCCACGACAAACGTAATGGGGACTCGTATTGCTACGTGCATGCCATTCCGGGTCGGGCTATCCCCCCCTCGTAGATTGATGGGCCTTGGATCCCATCTGCCTCCCCAAGATTTACAGCACAACGTACCTCCGAAGAGAGAGCCGACTTGGTCCGGGCGTTGGTGACAAAGTTTCTGACGGCAGGGAGATGTGGTTAGAAACGATAGAATTACCAATGGCTGAAGAACTCACCCGCACATCACTAAGGCTGACAGGACAGAGTCCATGCTCAGCGCAGGTACATCTTGCCGCCATCCAACGAAGGTTCTAAGAGATGACAAGTCAGCAATGGGGAAGAAGATTGTCACTGGCAAGGACATACAACCATATCGTCAAGGCTTATCGGGGACCCCGATCTAGGTTCTCCAACGAAGGACCTAATCAGAAAGGAGCACGAGTCAGACAGGTTACAAACTCAAGAGGGGGATAACAATAACATACCCAACCTGGTCGATGCTCAGAAGACTCCGGAGAGCCCCCCTACCGTCTACTAAGGCTGTCACCTGTCAGAAGAGTTCGGAGTCACATCATATAGGATGATGCTTACTTGTACCACTGCTATCAGGGAAGCCTTGCCAGATTAGATCTAGGAAGCTTATGATAGAGGTGGTTGACAGGAGGAAGTTTGAAAACCCTGGGAGGCTTTCATATAGGGAATCTGTGACAGCCCGAAGAAGGCGCGACCTCTAGGTCGCGCCTTCCCCAGCGAAGTTGCAGATGCGAACAAAGAAACAAGAGCATGCTATGCCGATTTAGGAACATTCGATCCTCTATTAAGCCTGATTGGGATCCAGTGTCAAGGGGAGGTGCATGAGCCTTTCAAGTGAGCTGCCAGACAGAAAGACATGTATCTACCACTGGGCCGTAACAAGAAAGAATGCCTTCCTTTTTGGGGACCAGGGTGGAACTAGGGTAGGGACCAAAGAGTTGCGTGGTATACCTGGACAGCATCCAATGTGGACCAATCCCTTGTCAACACCTAGTCATTTGTTGGCCTGGGATCTGTCGATCCTCTTCTCTGTACTTGATTGATCTGGGTTTGTGAATGCCTGGCTGTCTAGACCAAGGTATGGCTTTTCTATCTTGGACAGCTTCTAAACTTCGATCACGGTATATTTTTCATCTCAAACCCAGGGGCTCACTTTACAGCACGAAAGAAGGACCACAGAGTGAGACTTTATTTACTGTAAAGTACTCTCGTTAGTAGACTTTCTTTTAGATATCTTCTGCGTTGTGATCAAAAGTAATAATAGTTCCGTCATGGTATAGATCCGCCGTTAGGGACATTACATTGCATTAAACAAAACACTCGAATACCTTCTTTGCGAGACAATCAAAACCAATGAACTCGATATTGTAGTCTTCAGAATCAACATCGGGCGATCAGACACACTCGACAAACCATCACGTAGGGCGGGGAAATGACATGTGCCGCGTGGGGTCGATCTTTACATTTCTTATATCAGTACTAAGTACGAAGTACGAAGTAACCCGTTCGGAACCTACAAGTCACTGAGATATCATCGGAATCATCGGGCTCATCTCTGACACCTATAAATCCCCAACCCGACTCCGAGACCATGGAAAGCTCCACCCCGCAGCCGAACCCCAATCCAACCGAAAACACAGACCAACGACAAAAAGAAGCGCTAGCAGCCTTCACCGCAACACTCCACTCAGTGGGAACAAATCTCGAAGCGCCGCTCCGCGACCGCGCAGCAAACATCCAGTCCAACGCGACAGCGCTGGAAAGACAAGAAGCCGAACTTGCGGAGAATACGCAGCGACTCGCGCGGCAAAATCAGCAGTGGGTTGGACTCGCAGATGAGACGCGCGAGGGCTTAAAGGAGATTGGAGATGTGCAGAATTGGGCGGAGATGATTGAGCGTGATTTGCTGGCCTTGGAGGATATGATGGATAACGTCGAGAGGGGTGGGGACCACGGGAGTGAAGATGGCAGTGATACGGAACTGAATGGGCATGTTGAGAATGGAAATGCAAATGGACATGTTGATCTTGATGCTAGTGGAAAAAAAGTGGATCAGCCAGCGAAAGGGTGGTTTCGATGGTGGTGATGGTTCGTGTCTTTGTTCATTTAATCTCTTCTTGTTATACATCTATATCACGCACAGGGTATCGTTATGGATTATGCTTCATCTTCATCTTCTCCTTCCAAAAATTGTTTCCAAGGGTCGAGTCCTTCGGTTTCCTCAAACTCATTCCATTCATCCCACTGGCCCAGACTCATCAAGTGCCGCATTGTCGGTCGACCATGGGGGCAATTCCAAGGTTTATCGATAGTCCCCATGTTCTGAACGACCCGTTCCATTTGGCGATTCGTCAAGGTCTTTCCAATCATGATACTTGAACGACATGCGCGCATAGCAAACATTTTGCGGACTTTGCTCGGCCGTGGTACTGACAACCCATCTGACGTTGAAATTGACTCTGATAGCAACACAATCAGTTCCTCCAGATCCCGGACGCCGAACACCACTTCCTTGCTCAGCGGTAATGAGACCAGCTGACATCGACGGCCGATAGGCTCATCGCCGCTTTCGTCAACGGTCACGAGGAAACCGTTTTTCTCAAGAGCGACGCGATTCTCAAGGACAACCTCTTCTTCAACGGCAGTGAGATCGAGACGTTGCGGACGGACAAGTCGCTGATTTTGCACCACAGTTTCAGCTTGCAGGCGCTCGAAATTGAATTTCTCATCGGAGGCATGTTGGTCGATGATGAAGAGCTCATCGCGATCGTCTCCTGGACGGACTGCGATGATGAAGCCCAAGTTGAACTGACCGATAATGCGCATTTGGGCAAAATCATTCTTGCTTACAGTCAAGGAAAGTTTGTCCTCGGCAGTTTTCTCGCCAAGATCAGTAGCTTCCTCTGTCGTTTTCTTGGTGCCTGCTTGCAGGGTCTTTTGCAATGTAATGAGTTGAGATTGGAGACGTGGAATAGACCCATCTACCGTGCCGACAAGCTGTATAGTCGCGTCACGATGTGCAGCGCCCTTGTTCATCTTCTTTGCACGGTTTGTGCTATTTTCTTGAGGAAGCACAGCAGCCTCCTCGGCTTCATGAATGAGCCGTTGTACTGTAGCTTCTTCCTGTGCCTTCTTCTCAGCTTCGTCGAGACTTTCATCTATGGCGGTGTCTTTGTCTTTCGCCTTGGTGTTTTCAACTTCTGATTGGGCTGCACCTTGGTCAGGAACATAGGCGCCATCCTCAACCGGAGGAGAACCCTCGGTTTCGGGCTCTTGCTCCACGTCTTGTGTGTCCTCAATTTCAGATGAAAGGTCATTTTCATCTTCTTCAATCTGGTCATCTTCACTAGCAGAGCCTTCTTCGTCTTCTTCGTCATCAAGCTGCGATCCAGGCGCAGCAAAGGCTCTCATGTGTTTACCAAAGATATCAGGCCGTGATGGTGTATGTATTCGTCTCTTCCGCCGGGGCGGTTCCATCACTAAAGGTGGATCTTCTGAGAACCGTTTTCGTGGAGGACCACTACCGACCATGGATGTTACAGTTCGGTTGCCAATAGTGATGGTCGCCAGTTCAGCGGGTTCTCGTCGTGGACGCATTCTATGGAAGGCATTTTGGATAATATTGGGGCTTTCTGCTGGGTCTCCACAGGCGCGAGATGGAGTCTCTTCAGGAACCGATGGCTGGGATGAGGATTCGTGGGAGCTAGGTGTTGGCCCAGGCTGCTCCTGGGCGGCTTCTGGGACGAAAAGTTCATCGTCGGAGATCTCCGCAGCAGCTGTTTCTAGCTCACTTGGGGCTGGCGTCGACATTGAAGAGCGACTGGTTGTAGCTTGGGTTGTTCTCCTCGATCGAGCCGGAGATGGCGTAGTTTGAGCCCTTCCTATGCCCCCCCTGTGAGCTTGTGAAACGCTCAATCGCGCTCTGTTGATTCACACCCGGAGTTTCCACAGAGCTTTCCTTCGTCCGATCTTGACTCGGACTTCTACGTCCAGCGCTTTCGTTGAGTTCCCGGGCAGTGACGAACCCTGGAAGTGACGCTAGTGGTTGCTGTTTTGGCAAAGGCATGGATTTAACCGATGACTGCGGCACACTTTGGTCTGCATCCTCAAAGAGTTGCGTAAGAGAAATTTTGAGCGATTCAATCATAGCCCCCGCATCATGAAGCAGGATTTGGCGCTTATCAGGCGAAACGTTGACATCGTAAGCATTTGTATCCATCTGAAAGTCCGCAAAGATGAAAGCCGACTGCGACACATTGAACGACTTGTAAACCTCGTTAAACGCCTTCTGAATCTGCGGCAGGCCACATGGGCGCGAGTTGACGAAGAACATCTGGCGATCCGGAGTCTGACGGCCCTCGCCGAATACAGGACGCGAGATATGGCCTCGCACCTGAATTTTACTCAGCTGGTCGTCGCCAACCCGTTTCGTACATGCGGCAGGCTCAAACTCCAGCTCCAGATCAAGGGATATCAGGGCGGATAATGTCTTCGCACCATACACATTGGCAATATTTTCCTTGGTGGTCTTATTTCCATTTGTAGAGAAGACCACCACATTTCGTGTCTTGCCAACAGTGTTTCTGACGCTGAATCGGACTCCAGTGCTAATGCATGCATATGCATGTAGTAGATTCAGAACCTTCCCGTATTCTCGTTTAATGTTCTTCTCCAATTCCCGCCGACGCACGGGAAGTCGCTTGAAGATGCCTTCGACCGATGCGGTCGTTCCTTTCTGCCCAGCCACGATCTGTGTCTTCTGGAGTTTCCCAGATTGTTCAAAATCGAGTCGATTCGCGCGGGGAACTTGCTTTTCTTGTGCCGTGACGATGTGGAAGTCGGCTAACGCGCAGAGTGAGGATATCGCCTCTCCCCGGAAACCGAAGGTGTGTAGGCTCGAGAGGTCATCGTATGAGGTCAGTTTGGAGGTATAGTGTTTCAATGCTAAGAGAAAAAAGTAAATCAGCTTGAGTGTAATGTACCAAGAGAGACGTGACAGCTCACCGACGTTCTTATAGTTTTCCGGCGAGATCCCGCTGCCGTTATCTTGGACCTCAATCAGGTCCAGTCCATTATTCTTAAACCGGACCTCTGGAACTCCCGAAATCATCAGAAAGTGCATCACAGGCTACTTCTAGAATGTTATTCACCCACCGATCGTCGTCGCGCCAGCATCCAGACTGTTTTCGACAAGCTCTTTAGCAACGGAGCATAAGTCAACGATGACTTGACCCGATTGGATTTGGTGTACCTAATCAATGCGCTGGTCAGATTGGGCGTTGTGAGGGGAATATCGAATTTCATACAGAGCGGGCCTCGATGGCTTGGATTGTCGCCATCTTCATCCCATGATGTCTGATGAGGTTAAGTTGGCACGCGTCTCACTTAACGCGTGGTTTTGCCAAGACCGCGGTGGAGCAGTTGGATACGACAGATCTATACATTCGATATCGCCCTTCAACTTGACCCAAGAACTTTTTGTTTGCGCTACAGGGATACAAATATATTCATTTGTGGACTTGAACTTGTGTGGCACTGCAAGAATGGGTATAAACGAAAAAGGACAAATCAAGAGCAACACGGTCGCTCTTAACGCCCGAAATCAATGTAGAATTAAAAACTAATAAACCCCAAAGCGATCCGGCAGCATAACAGGCGCAACCAGAGTCCACAGATATATAGCATAGCAGACCCAGGAGCTGACGATTTTCACCCAGCTGGCCCAGTATGTGCGGCCCACCGGCGCGAAATCCGTCGTGGTGTCCACCGTCAGTCCCTGGACTAACAAAGTGGCCACCCATGTGGTGGCGAGGAAGAAGATGATGTGGAAGAGCGAGTAATTGTATTGGGTTGAACCACGCTCGTCGTCCTTTGTGGTGTCATACTCATCTTCGTCATCACTATCATCCAGGGCGCTAGCAGGAAGACTGCCGCTCTCGACAGCGGCCCGGAGAGCTTCAGCGCGCATCTCTCGGCGGGCGTTTGGCTGCTGTGTAACCAAACCGTGCTCGTTGTCGTCCATACCCAGCTGGATGTAGCTGTGACCGCCTTTCGATCCCAAGGCAATGCCTTGAGTGGCAGCCCGCGTGGTGGTGTATGCGATGGTTAGCATAGTAACAATTGCACCGAGAACGATAGTGGCAGTCCTGGCTCCGCGGGAACGGATGAGAGGGTTGCAATTTTTATCATCTGGTTCCATCGAAACGGCAGACATGGTGAGGTAGGTACAGTAGACAGTGACCATTGCAGCTTGGGCTAGTCCTGCGCGAGAGTTCGACTCTTGCACTGCTGGTTGAACAGAAACGAAAGAGATGATCAAAAACACAATCAGGTTTATCTGCGACGAGTTAGCTAGGCACCAAGAGTCGTCGTGTGAGGAATTCGTACGGTGATGGCAGCCTGGTTCATAGAGCAACCGCTGCCCGCAAAGAAGATATACATCAGGATGGTCATGACGAAAGATGCCAAGTACATGCCGAGGGTGGAACCAATAAGCAGGCCGCGCCATACACGAGAGTCGCTGTCTTCGATCTTCTGCAGGCATAGCTCCGCCCACGAGTGCGCGAGATCGACCAGAAGGATCAAACCCAAAAGTAGGAATAACATGGCACAGAAGAAGGCGATATAGTTGCCATAGACGAAGAAGAAGGGTTCGGGGATGAAGAACGACATGACGACAAAGGCCACCCAAAGGATGACTTTCGGGCCCCAATATCCATTCTGAATAGCAGCGCGAGTATCTTTCGAGCTTTTAACACCGAGAAGCAAAAGGGCGAGGATCAAATGGAAGAGACCGAGGGCAAAGTTGATCCGATGGACCGCGACCCAGCCGTGACATTCCTTCCCGTCGCATCGAATCTCCATATAATCTAGTGTCAATTTTTGCAATTTTTTCAGAGCCCATGGTGTGAGCATAATCCAGGATATTATGGAGTTGATCAAAAGAATGAAGGCATAGGCGATTCTCGTCGCCATACTGTTGTCTTTGTTAGTCCGAGGTTCTCCGCACTGGGCAAGTGATGAATGATACCTGTTTTGGAACTTTCCACAGGCGCTGCAGGCTGCAGAACATGTCGCTGCTCCACAGCATGATGTTGCGACTGTCAAGATCTGTCGGGAGAGAATCAATTAGCCAACTATGCAGGTGTACCGGAGAACTGGAGATAGGCGGCAACGTACTGTACCAACACTTGGCACAGCCAACAGCGGAATGGAAAGAAGGGCACCCATCTCGGGAGTTCAGATATACGATGATCCAGTGTTCTAGTTCTGGTTCTGATACACAATAAGAGGGAATCAAGCTCCAGAATCGATGAGAGTGTGGAGAGAGGCAAGTGATCAGATTGAAGATCATCTGAGGCCTCCGTCATGGGTGTTTACGTAATACATCCAAGTCGAAAATATATCACGTGCCAAGCCTCTTTTGTCCTGCCCATTTGGGATTAGACTCTCTCTCTCTCTCTCTCTCTCCATTCCCTCCCACATTGTTTATCAAAAAGTAACTACGCATGTCTCAACTGTATTCAGTATAACATTTGAGTTCCTGGATGACGAGATCATCTGCCAGGTAAAACGATGCCTTGGAACATTGGCATTGTTCTTGTCTTCGGACAGATACTCAAAGAAACCTACGTTATTGTAAACAAGAATAGTCAGCGGCTTATGCAGGGGTCTTTTTCGATGTCTTTATCTCTCCTTTCTAAGCGACTTCTGAATGTGTAATCATTGGATACTGAAGAGCAAAGGGTATAATATAAGCCAATGAATTTGGATGAGTATTGATATGTGGTTGAAGACAACCGTTTTGATCCGTTTTACTAGTAAGCCAGGCACTCAGGCCCTATGAGACATGAACGTTGCAGTGGAGTGTCCGCCTTATCGTGTGGAGAAAGACATTTCGCTGTGGACTCCAACTATGACGAGTCACGATTCGCGCAATTCCGGAAGATTTGACGCATTTGCATAATCTTATCAATGCAGCGTCGGACTCTCCAGGTTGAACATGTAGTACATATGTACGCCGTATCATAGATTACACTCCATTTCTCTTTTTTATTCCTCTTTCCTCAGCAATCTCCATCGTATTCGTACATCAGTTGACGTGGAGCAAACTTTTCTTGGCACTTGCTTGACGGCTGTTCCGACCACGCGGCCCTCGGGGGTGATCCATCAAGTCCTTACCTAAGTGTACGCTCCTGAAAACTCCCAGGCCTTCTTCCCTCAATTCCTTCTGTATAACTCGATTCGCTCTTTTCTCCCTTTGCGTCCCTCATTTCGGGTCCGATGTTTCTCCTAGGATCGGCCTCTCATCTGTCTAGGGCCTAATCAGCGATTCCCACTGAAACACGTATATCGCAAAAGATATCAACTACAATTTACAAAACAACATGTCCGGCTCTCTCCACAGAACTGCCCGGGTTATCTCCGTCATTGCGGGGACGCTGGTCGCCCTCTCATGCGGAACCAATGTACGTGATATCTCCGATCTTATCCCCATTCAGGACCGTTAAGGCTAACTCCCCTATCAGTATGCATACTCCGCGTGGGCGCCGCAATTCGCACAACGAATGAAGCTCTCGTCGACCGAGACCAACTTTATTGTGAGTTGTCATGTTTCCGGTGTAGAGAAAGGGTTCCTAACAAGCTCTAGGGTGTCGCGGGGAACCTGGGGATGTATGCTATGGGGATTCCGATGGGACTATTGACAGATGCCCGCGGTCCTCGACTTGTCTCACTAATTGGCTCCATTTGCCTGGGCCTGGGATACTTCCCAATTTATATGGGTATGTTTTGACATTACCTTATTGGAATCGAGCGGCTCTAATGTTTGTAGCATATGACAATGGTCAAGGATCAATGCCGGTTGTTTTCCTATGCTTATTTGCTTTCCTTACTGGCATGGGAGGCTGCTCTGCCTTTGGCGGTGCAATCAAAACTGGTATGCAAGCATTGCAAGGAATCTGCTTGATAGTGTTAACCCAATGATTCCAGCGGCATCCAACTTCCCTGAACACCGCGGCACGGCAACCGCTTTCCCGATGGCCGCCTTTGGACTGAGCGCGCTATTCTGGTCTAATCTGTCGACACTCATTTTCAAGGATGATACGGGCCGCTTTCTTTTGCTTCTAGCCCTCGGGACCTCGATCTTGTCCTTTGCTGCAATTCCATTCCTTCGAATCCTTGCCAGTGAACCCTACTCGTCTATTCCACACAACGCACGCGATTCCGGAAGACACAACCCCAGCAACCTTCGATCTGTGCCAGAGGACTCTGACCTACATGGCTCTACCGCTTATGATCACGAACAATACCCCACGCATGCGCGGTCGCACTCGGCTGCCTCGAATTCCCAAGGCAGAGCATTTGCCAGTGTCGACGAGACTGCCACTTTGGTATCCAAGCACGACCACCCGCGCCCTTCTTTCGATACACTTGACGATGACTTCCTAGACGAAGTCGCAATTGAGGCGCACCAAAACGACATCCGAGGTCTCGCCATGCTCCGCAAAGTCGAGTTCTGGCAGCTCTTCTTAACTATGGCACTCTTGTCCGGCATCGGCTTGATGACAATCAACAACATTGGTAACAGTGTGAAAGCCCTGTGGCTATATTACGATGACAGCGCAACAGACCTGTTCATCCAACACCGTCAGGTCATGCACGTCTCCATCCTTTCCTTCGGTAATTTCCTAGGCCGTCTGTTCAGCGGCATCGGCTCTGACTTGCTGGTCAAGAAGCTCGGCATGTCCCGCATTTGGTGTTTATTCTTGTCAGCGGTGGTCTTCACCCTGACCCAGCTTGCCGGCACCACCATTTCCAACCCGAACAGCCTCGTCGTTGTGTCCGGGCTCACTGGAATTGCTTACGGCTTCCTGTTTGGTGTCTTCCCTTCCTTAACCGCACACACTTTCGGCATCGGCGGCCTGTCCCAGAATTGGGGCGTCATGACATTAGCCCCAGTTTTCAGTGGTAACGTTTTCAATTTGCTATACGGTAGCATCTACGACGGACACTCTGTCATCGGCCACGATGGCGACCGCGAGTGCCCCGATGGACTGGGCTGCTACCGCTCAGCCTATTTCATGACTTTTATTTCTGGCTTGTTTGGTATTGCTGTTTGTCTGTGGACCATTATCCGCGAGAGGAACATAAACAACGTCATGAGCAAGAAGTTGGACCACCGACTCGCGTGAGTTCTATGTTTTCCCATCAATTTTAGTCATCTAGGTGCAGTACAACCTGCATGGTGAACAGGGGCCGATGGATTGCCTGCTTGCTTGCACATTTGTGTATATCCCTTTGCGATCTCTTATGACATCTCATAGAATACATGTCATGATGAATGGCATGGATGTTATTTGGCTGGTGTCCTCATCTGGTTTACCCATACACTGTTTTCTTTATAGATTTGACCTTTGCGTTTTTCTTCCTTTGGATTATCCCACCATTCCATAGGCCATGACTTGGCCAATTTCTTTACGTTAGATTGAAGATTCGAATATCATTCAACGAGTTCGAGGATTACCCTCAGTCTCGATCTAAGTAGCGGGTGTGCTTCGGTCTTCATCTCCACATCAACGCCGTAGTAAAATGAGCTCTTTAAATGGGTAGGCGAAAAGTTTGCATGACACTTTGAATTCCCTCCTAACATACATGTAGATATCGCAACCTTGAAAGCGAGAACATTCGTTAAAATCAATCAAAACAGACAACTCGGCCCAGAGACCCGCCAAGCTGGACTAAACCATCAGAAACAGTTGCTTTGCTCTGTTAAAGCAGCAAACAGGAATAATGGTGATTGCAAGCACCAACTAGCACATTGAGAGGAACACCCCAAGAAAAACACCCAAACAACAAGACACTTCCCAGTCTAATCACCGATCCATCGGCCTTCCGGATCCTTGAGTTCTGGAAGAGAGGATAGTGATAAAATATTGTATTAGAAGCATAGTGAAAGAGTTCGTACAGCACACCGCAAGAAAACCAAATTAAAACAAGACGTTTGGAAAAACATCCGAACATAAGGAAGAGAAATTGAGACCGTTCAATAGTAGCTTTTTTTGTGGGGAGAGTTCCAGCCAGTGATGACGAAGGAGCCATGAAGGGTATCAAGAATATCAAAGGTTGGAGACCAGCAGGCGCAATGCAGCTCATAAGCTTGTACTACGTGTGGACCGACGATAGAATGAATAAGCAGGTGAAAAAAGGCCGGAAATAACAGCGTACCGCAAGACCTAAACGCTCTTGGGAGATTTGACCAGCACATCCTCGCCAGATTCCACAACATCCGAAAGCCGGATCTTTTTTGCAAGCGGCTCGCCGGACTCGGCATCGCCAGCGCTGCTGGAACCAAGCTGGCGCTCAAGATCACTAACACGACGCTTGAGATCCTCCTCGCGGCGCTGCGCATCCTCGAGAGATCGTCTCAGACGAACCTCGGAGTCTCGTACAATCATCTCCGACCGACGCGCGCTGGCATCGCTCTGCTCAAGTTCTGTCACGCGGCCGCGGAAGAGCTCGTTGACAAATTCGAGTTCACTGACGCGTGTCTTCAGGGATGTGTTGAGGGCCAGGAGGCTTTCGAAAGTGTGAGGAGAATCAAGTTGGCGGTCGACTGCCGAGGGAGAAGGTTGGCGCATCTGGCGGGATGGAAGGCCGCTGGAGGAGTTCATGCTGTCACCTAGGGTAACGCTGTCAAACATGTGCTGCGGGGCGATATTGGAATTGTGCGCGTGCATCGAGCCAAAGCCAGGTGTCTCGGTCCGAGAAACGGGGGAGTTGGAGCGATCCGAATGACCCGGGGACATCTTACGCGACGCGCGACGATATCCATGCGAGCCGAGGGGAGGAGTCCCCGCCTCAGATCGGGGTGGGATGCCATTGGTATCAACAGGGCCGCCAGACTACGAAATCCCAATCTTGATTAGCGCACGTTCTTATCTACGATGGGCGGAAGTTGAAGGCAGGGGACTAGGAGGAAAAAATTTTTGATCTCGAACTCACCTTGCGCTTAGGGCCTTGACCGGTCTTGACGCGATTGCGACTTTTAATCACATCTGTTTTCAAGCTTATCGGACGAGGTCGGCCATGCAGTTTCAAGAAGAGTCCGCATGCGTTGCAAAGGACTGAACCGAGTTCGTCCCTACGCCACAGGGGAGTGGTAGAGGTGCCGCAATTTTGGCAAACGGGCTGTAATTGAGGTCGCTTGTCGTCAGTCAATGTGGTCGCCATTATGAGGGTATAGAAGTTAGAAGGAGGAAGAGGATGATAAGATTGTGAGAGATTTGAGTCGATAAGGAAAGGGAAAAAGCGGGTGCACGGATCGAGTGGCGCCAAGACTTTCGATAACTCCCCAGAGAGATAAGACCTCCAGCACTCCGATAACACTTTCTTGATATAAGGCATATTTCACACTTACAGGTCCACTTCCTTGTCCTCCCGTTGTAGCTGCTGGTGATGATGTAGCATAGGTCATATTTGCCATATTCATACTTGCATCACTGGATGATCTAAAAAAATGAGGGAAAATATATGGATTAGCCGATTGACTCGAATTCTTATGAGGGGCCAGATTACTGCTCTCCAGGGCCCAGTTAAAGATTACACAAAGATGGATGCAAAGGTCCGCGGGTAGTCCCCATTCAGGACTGGTATGGGGTATCATACGCACCGAAGATTAGAGGTTGGTGCTGAAGCGACCGAGGCCAGGGCCGCCAGTCCTGGGAGCGAGGTGCTAACAGAAGAGCCTGGGTATCCGTCGGTCTCGCCTGAGCCGAATTTCGTCACGCTCTTGATATCCGGTAAAGTCGTACAAAACGGTATGGATCCGTTGGATGCGTGACGGGCAGAGGAATTATCGGCGGAGAAGTCGTAAGGGAACTCGCGCTCCTGCGAAGAACGAGATTTCAAAGCCGGGTCGATGGGCGACGCCCGATAGAGGGTGGAAGCCACAGTGGAGGGAGAAGTAGGTGTCAATTGAAATCCGGCCCTGAACCGAATTGAAGGAAAACGGTTGGTTCCAAGCGAATCGCGCGATTGGAAACAACGGACTCGGAGTAAGACTGGGAGCCAATGGGTCTATATCAAGACAATTCCTCAGTGGCCGATTCGTGAAGTTCCAAGCAATGATTTTTGATACCGAGAGAAGGGAGAGGATTAGGTTTCCCGACAATGATCGCGTCTAAGGGAGTTAATCGGACCGAAGAAAAGAATGAAGTTTTAAATTAACGACATGATGGCCGAGGATAAGTGAGGGTAGGGGTTGAAAGAAGATGCAGAATTGAGATGGACGATAAGACGCGATAATAACAATCGGGATAACGATTGCCCCAGTATCAACCATTATTTAATACGGCATGTCAGGGGCGTCAACGTTGGAATATTTTGTCTCGCAAAGAATGTATTTGAATTAACTTGCTTGTGCCTCATCATTCTATGCCCTCCAATCTCTTGATATCGCCAGTCGCAACAGTCCATTCCGCCTGTGAATTGCTTATGGGGTGATCAATTCCTAGACGGGTTTTATGCGTATGAAATTTCCTGCACCGGGACATTTGCCAGCGTGGCGGCTTCACCACCGTATATACAACATATATATGGACCATCCCCTGAATATCCCAATCCGTCACAAGAAATCTCCCATATGGAGATCAATTACGGTTCTGGCCAAGTTTCAGGGCTCTTAACACATACTGGATGCATCCATCCAGACCCCCTTTCGATTAGGGGGTGGAGACAGAGTGTGGCGGTGCGTAATGGTATAACCATCATTACCTAGGTGGACCTGCCCGCGTCACACAATTTACTACGGCTTCCTGCATTCTGCCACTTATAACGCCACCGCCTGTGTAAATTAACTGTAAACCATACTTTCAGGACGCCCCCCTTGGGCGTCAGGACATAGGTGACACTTATTTCAACTGCCTTGGCTCTATCAACTCTCTATTCTATCCAGCAGTCTTTTCCTTATTTTGTCTTCTCTGTGATGGATTAAGCTTTTTTTGTGTTCTTTCGTTCTTTTGCCGGCCTTCCTCTCTCTTTCCTACAAATAATTTTGCCAGTTTTCAGCTTTCATAGATCCAACCACCCTCCATCACAATGCCGAAGACTCGTCCTGCCACCTCGGGATACGCCAGGCTCGCTCAGGCCGATGAGGAACGAGGCTACCTTCACGATGACTCAGAAGACGACGATGTCGGCGCGGTCTCAACAGTGTCCACCTCTGCTCCCCGATACGCTCCCATCTCCTCCCGAGCCCAGATGCAGGCGTCCGGTCTCCACACTCCACCAGGCCACCGCCGCAGACACAGTGGCTTCCAACATGCTCGCGGTCGTCGGAACTCTGGGGTAGATATCAAGGCCATCAATGCGCGTCTCGAAAAATGGGCGGACGAGATTGCCTCCAAGTTCAAGATCAACCGTGTCAAGGGCAAAAGCTATGAGGAAGAGAAGCTAGAGATTTACCATTCGGTCTTTCAGGCACCTCCCGGAGTTACCCCGGTGAGCGCCGAGGTTCTCGAGTCAGATGAGTTTGAGGCTCAGCAACGGCAGGCCCACGCCGAGTATGAGGAAATTATCGAAAGTGTGCGTCTTGCGATTGAGATGGACGTACATCCCCGTATGATCTCACAAGGAAGCTCGGGCAGCTACTTTGCTCGAAATCCCGAAGGGAAAGTGGTGGGCGTGTTCAAGCCAAAGGACGAAGAGCCGTATGCATCACGGAATCCCAAATGGACAAAATGGCTTCACCGCAACTTGTTCCCCTGCTTTTTTGGCCGCGCATGTCTCATTCCTAATCTCTCCTACGTCTCTGAAGCTGCCGCGTACGTTCTTGATGCCCGCCTGCGCACGAACCTCGTCCCCTACACCGGTATCGTTCGGCTCTCGTCGAAATCATTCTTCTACGATTTCTGGGACCGGAGAAAGGCACGGAAAGGCAGGAAAGTTCTGCCCCCCAAGGCTGGTAGTTTCCAGGTTTTCCTGAAGGGATTTAAGGACGCCAACATCTTCCTCCGGGAGCATCCCTGGCCTGACCAGGTAAACACTGGATTCCGCCCCGAGGATGCCCCGAAGCGCAAGAAGCGGCCGTGGAATGAGGCCTGTCGTCCATCGGGGGCACAGTCAGACGATGAGGATGATGAAGACCCGGGCTATGTGCCCTCGCCAGCCGGTTCGCCTGACGGAAGCGCTGAGCGCCGATTTTACTGGACTGAGAACCTCAAGCAATCCTTCCGCGAAGAGTTAGAGAAGCTTGTCATTTTAGATTACATCATGCGAAATACTGATCGAGGTCTGGACAATTGGATGGTCAAGATTGACTGGGGAACAGAGCAGGTTTCTATCGTGGCAGAGCCCCCAAAACACACTGAGCCACAGCCTAAGCACGATGAGGACGAGCTTATGCCTCCGCCTCGTCCTGTTTCCGTGAATTCGAATGGCACCACCAATCCCTCTCACCCGTACAAGCGGCATGAAACAATGATGGCTATCAGTCGCACTGGAACTCCACTCGCCTCATCGGAACAGTCAGCTTCTGTTCAGCTTGGTGCCATTGATAACAGTCTTTCCTGGCCATGGAAACACCCAGACGCCGTAAGTTTCTAAATCCACGGTTACAGCCTTCCAACATTAACAACTTGTAGTGGCGCAGTTTTCCCTTCGGTTGGCTTTTCCTGCCAGTTTCTTTGATCGGACAACCCTTCTCGCAGAAAACTCGCGACCATTTCCTTCCACTATTGACCTCCACGGACTGGTGGAGCGGCACACAGATGGCTTTGCGTGGTGTGTTTGCGCAAGATGATGATTTCAAAGAGAGCATGTTCGCTCGACAAATTGCTGTAATGAAAGGTCAGGCTTGGAATGTGGTGGAAACATTGAAACACCCAGATCACGGCCCGCTTGAGCTGACTCGACGGACTCGAGTCTGTGTATGGGATGACTTGGTAGATGTACCTGTTGCGATCCCAATGCGCACACCTTCCACAGACAGACAAAGGAACCGATCTATGAATTATGACCCTGATGAAGAAGAGATGGATATTGGTGCATCCGCATCTTCTCAACCGATCCCCGAGCACGACCTATTGGGATTGAATTCGTCGCCAAGCGACCTTCCCAACCCAAACCGGTTCGAACTCACCCGTGGCCGACCTGACGCTGGCAGCGAATGTGCTGATGGTTCTTTCGGTAGCCCAGCGACTATAGATGACTTCGGCGGCCGGAACACCGGGGGTTCTTTAGATGGATGGTCTTCACTTCCTCCCCGCCAGCAGAAGCATCGCAAAAACGGCGGTTCCATGTCCTTCCGCGTTCCTCATGTCAACACATTCGGCAATGATGATCTCGAAGGTGACCTTGGCTACGCAGTCGCAGAGGGCATGGAAGGCAACCAGCGTAAGGTGATTGTCGAGCGCCTTGAAGCCGTCAAAAGCAAAAATCCTGTTTTCACCTGGTGCTAAGGTTCGATTGTGTCGTACTGCCCTTTTCATTTTCTTATATTCTTGCCCTACTTCTTTCTCATTTAATTTACAGCTATCTTCTGCAGCGTTGTTTTCTCGGGGTATTCGATTGGTCTTCAACAGGAACTGGTCCCAATTCCTGTTTGAGACTTCGACTTGTGTCCCCCTTTTTTTTCTGTGACATTTCCCACGAGTCCTTTGTTGGACATGCTCATGATTTGGGAGATTCCGTGTTGTATATAGACATTCTCTGGCTGTTGGGGGTTGCCTTGGGCTATGGCGCATTGATTGGGCGATCTGCCTCATGTAGCATATTGACGAGACTTAATTCTATGATACCTTCATCATCTTGTTTACTGGATCCATTATGTTGACTAAGTTGGTCACTACCTACTGCATGTGACCCTGTAGTATGTCACAGGGTATGTGTAGATCATAACTCAGGATGGCGGAGGGATCACTGGTCCTCAGCTTCTAGTGCTCCATGCCAAAACGATCTCATAGTCAGAAATCAAGTCTAGGCTTGATGCAGTAGTTCCCCATGTAAGCCTCCGTCAAAGCCTCCGTCAAGTACTCCGTACTTGCATACCTTTGTTTTGTGAGACATCATATTAACCACCGCAAACACGCCTAGCCTAGACTCAAACAGGTTAGCAATCCATAAACGTGACAGTCACTCATTTAGATTGCATGCTTCCTTAAATTCAAGTATCATAGAAGGCGGAAAGAAGCCAAAAAACAACATGCGTAGGCCCTAAGATCTACCATCTACGTTGTATTAGTGACCAAGGGCAATCAATCATAGTGTGACCTTGGAGTATATCCATGTCACGCGTTTAGATGCATATACCTTTTAACCTCTTGTATTCTAAAAAAGAAAAAAAATATATTGGACTCGTCAACTTTGCTTTGAGTTGATATAAGTTCACTTAAGTAGTTAGGTACTTACGTCCATCCATTCCAACCTCACAAGGCCCGGGGTTCATCACGCTGATACCGTAAGCGCGCGGACTGATAAGATCTTATCGGCGGGTTTCTCCGAGGCACCGACCTCAGAAGAACCACTCCGTCATTTCGAGTTTCTAACGAAACGACTTGAGCTTACGAGTGACTCGAGCAACAAAGTCGCGCGAAACGGAAGACCGGCGGAATATTCGAGATCAAGGGTTCTGCCCTCGGTCAACACAGCCACCCACAGATCTAATCACGATTCCCTCGACGAGGCAAACGACAAGGCGCCGACTGGATTGCGCCCACGAAAGCGACGTGGACTCTCTTGTATAATATACGTTGGCGACTGAGACAATACGCAAATCGTGTTGCCCGCGCTTCTCTTCCATATCTCTCACTTTCAATGACGCCGGAGGTTTCGCGACTTTCGCGTCTGGAAGACGCATCTTTCGTTGGCCAGACCATTTGCGTAATCACTTCACTGCGACGTTAATATTTAATCCGTGACATCTACGCTCAAGATTTTTGAACTTCATTGATCTGCCCTCCCAAGCAATACGTACGACAAGTTAGGTGGAGATTTAATCCCAAGCCGCGATCGTCTCTCTAATCCCAAGTCACCCGACACAGCTAATACTTCTGAAATTGAGCTTGGACATAAAGTTTCCCAGTCGAAAGAAACTCGATTGTCTGTTTCTGTCCAGGGCAAGTGGAACTAGCAGTCAGCCTCGTTGCCTCTCCCATCCACTGACTTTGATCACTTTGCTTTCACAGCACCGCGCAACCTTGAATCCGACCAAACCTGATCCCGGATTCTCGACCATAATTGAGACATCATGGCATCTCATGCTGCGATGCTCCTTAATCCCAAGGGCTCCAAAAGACAAGCTCAAAGCAGTGGTAATCCTCCCTTTTCTTCACCCCCAGCGAGTGACTTGCCTCCCACGGATGATGTCGCCATGTCCTCCGAATCACCCTCGAATAAATCTGGACCTATGAATTCTGCTCCTGCGGTTTCTTCTCCTCGTGTTTCTACGGTTCCTTGTGGGGACACAATAGCTGCCTCAGCCATGTCTGGAAACCTTCTTGACCCACCTGAAGCTCCTGTCCATCTTGCCACCGAGATGAATACCAAGTTTATGCCTTCGGACATGATGTACAATGCTGAATCGTGTGTCCCTTCTGCCCCTCAGATGGATACTTCGGTAATGCGTGAAAATTCTCTTGGTCCCGGTGACTCTTTTTCCCCTGGTGCTCCCAATTCGTTTGATCCATCCTTGAGTCTTTCTTCCCACGATTTATCTTCCCCTTACATGTCTCATCCCACAGACTCCATGCTTCTTAACTCTAGTGATTTCCAAGGCTCACTTTTGGAAGGTCCAGGAAAACAACGAAATAGTTCATATGCTGCCTCTCCCATGGCTCCCGCAGGCACTGCAGCCGCTACACGCTTTGAACAACACACTACTCGCACTTCTCGCACTTCTCCAAGTGTGTCGTCCGGAATTTCAACCCCGGCTGTGAACTCAGAACCCAATCTGATGGTGCAGTTCAGCACCACCCATGATGAAGATAATGAAAGCGACACGAAAAGAAGTCACTGCGAGATGAGTGACGAAGAAGGCATCACCTACCGCCCCAATCTGATCGAAAATATCTATGGCGTTGAAAAAAGGAAGAACCAGCCAACGAAGAAAATGAAAACCGAGCATGATGCGGAAGAGAAGCCGAACACGCCGACAGCACTGGTCTCGATCTCTGGAGATAGTGGGTTTGGCAAGTGGATGAAAGAGGAGGATATGAAACCAACCCCAACTTCCACTACACCCAACGTGGTGGATTTGACAGCAGGTATAGAATATTTTATTTCTCCCGTTTAACTGGTTTTGCTTGGACTGGCCTAATGTTGTTCTAGATCTTGTGAGCACACCCAAGGATGATGACGAAGTCTTATGCACCAGTTCCACAGACCTCAGCACCCAGCGTGTCTGCTTCGGCAAAATTGAAGGAGCAATGATCATGGCCTATTTAGTCCCTAAACCAGGGCACTCTGTTTTCACTGATTTCTCGCATGCTTGGCCGTCTATTAAATTAGACCTGCAACGCCAACCTGTGAAGGGCAATTTCCAGATCAACGTCGCGGACCCTCATGGCAAGGTTTTCGGTACGATTGACCCTAAAACGGCACAAGGACTGTGTCCGCTTATGGACTCCGAAGAAGCTGCTATCGAAGTGAGAGCTCTATTGGATACCCGGAGAACTTCTCCGAATGAAGAGATTTGGCATCCCACCTCAGGCATATGGCGTGCAACCCTCAACATTTATGGTCAAAGGAAGAAGGCAGAGTCTATTGGCAACTTCCTATCCCACCGCAATGTCTGGCTAGGAACTCCAATTTCCGTGGACAAAGGAACCACTGTGTTCAATCCACACGCAGAGAGCCGGCTCCAGCTTGCTGCCGCAAAGGCCGCCGCCAACAACTCTGGGCGTTCTCGTCCAGGGCCAAACATTAGATATGAAGCGCGAACTGCTGAGGAAGCTAATGATGCAGTCATGAAGATGTTCGACCAGCTTGCCAATGCTAACATTCCAACAATGGAACCGTCTCGTCACATTTCCACACCCATGCTACATCACCAAAAACAAGCATTGTGGTTCATGACAGAGAAAGAAAAGCCCCGCAAATTTGGCCGGAAAGAAGAAGACAACAATTCCTTGTGGCGAATGGAGCGTACACCGAATGGCAAGACGCAGTACCGCGAGATCATCACTGGAATGATTTCCGAACAAAAGCCCGAGGAGGCCCTCGGTGGCTTATTAGCCGACATGATGGGCCTGGGTAAGACTCTGAGTATTCTTTCACTCATCACGTCGTCGCTTGAGCTGGCTAGTAACTGGACGGAGATGGCTCCTGATCCTGTGCTTGTTCGCCGAAACCCAGGAATTCGCAACACACGGACAACACTATTGGTTGTCCCGTTGAGTGCAGTGAGCAATTGGGTAACCCAGATCAAGGACCATCTCAAGCCACGCTCCATCAGCTACTACATATTTCATGGTCCCTCGCGTATCACCGATTTGGATGAACTTTGCGAGTACGATATCATTATCACGACATATAGCACTATTCTCAGTGAGATCTCGGGGCGTGGCGCCAAAAGTGGAAAGCTCAGCCCGTTGACAAAAATGAACATGTTTCGGATTGTGCTTGACGAAGCTCACATCATCAGAGAACAAAATGCGGCACAAACCAAGGCGATCCTCGGGCTTCACTCGGAGCGTCGATGGTCAGTTACTGGAACACCAATTCAAAACCGCATGGAAGATCTCCTGTCTGTGACTAGGTTTCTACGAATTGCACCTTACGACCAACGAAGCCAATTTTCCCAGCACGTAACTAATCCGGTCAAAAATGGTGATCCCAATGTACTTGCCAGGTTGCGAGTTCTGGTGGATTCATTCACCTTGCGCAGAGTCAAGGACAAAATCAATCTGCCACCCCGAGAAGACAATATCGTCACACTAGAATTCACTGAACAAGAACGGCAATTGCATGACTTCTTCCGCACGGAATCAAATGTGATGATGAGTGTCATTGCTGGTGAGGACAAACGCAAGATAGGGGGACGTATGTATCACCATGTTTTGAAGGCCATGATGATTCTCCGCCAAGTCAGTGCTCACGGGAAAGAGCTTCTTGACGTCGCAGACCGGGAGAGAGCAAAGGGTTTCTCTGTTCACGACGCAATTGACTTGGAGGAGGGCGAAACGGACAAAAGCCCGGCAGCCATAGACAAGAAGGCATACGAAATTTTCAGCCTGATGCAGCAAGCCTCAGTCCCTCGGTGTGGCAATTGTAATCGAGAACTCGATGAACCTCTGAACTCAGTAGGAGCTGTCGCCCGCGATTCTCCAATGGCTGTTGTCCTGCCATGTCTCGATGTTTTCTGCCCCAGTTGCTTCTCTGGCTGGAAGCAAGCCTTCGATTCGCATATTGAGACAGAGACCCGCTGCCCCAGGTGCGAAGGCTGGATTGCTATGAAATACTCGACTATCACACCTGCTGGCTTTCAACAATACGAGGCCCAACAGGAAAGTGATCGGCAAACCCGGAAGCTGGGCAAGAATCTTGGTGAATACGAAGGGCCCCACACCAAAACTATTGCACTGGTCAACTATCTCAAGCAAAGTCTTGAAGATAGCAAGAAACTCGAAGGCGAGTCCCCTATCAAGAGTGTTGTGTTCTCCGGATGGACCTCGCACCTGGACCTCATTGAGATCGCCTTGCAAAACAATGAGCTTCCTGGCTATGTCCGACTTGATGGTACTATGACACTTGCAGCACGCACAAAAGCACTTGAGGAATTTGCCAAAGACGACAATATCAAAGTCCTTTTGGCAACCATTGGTGCTGGCGGTGTGGCCTTGAACCTAACTTCTGCCTCGCGTGTCTTTATCATGGAGCCCCAGTATAACCCAGCCGCGGTTGCTCAGGCGATTGACCGTGTTCATCGTCTCGGCCAAACTCGCCCCGTGCAAACCTTTCAATTTGTTATGAAGGGCAGCATTGAGGAGAAGATAATGGATCTCGCCAAGAAGAAGCAAGAGATGGCAGACACGAGCCTGAATCGCGCGAAGCGGGACAAGCGTGAGACCCAGGAGGCTCGCATGCGTGAATACCGCAGCCTTTTCCAATAGATCTTTTTTTTCCTCACCCCAACTGGGCATGATTTGCCCCCTTTTCAGTTTCCTATCTACCCCTGCGATTTTCAATTCTGGTTTTTGTTTTCTGCCCCAATGCTGGTGGCTCGCCGGCTTCGTTTCAATGATACCCCGGAAAAGGAGAAGGCGTTAGTATCTATTATTACATCTGTGACTCTCCTTATGATCATATACCGGGCGTTTTATCTTTATGTTTCCCTTTATAGGAAAGTCTCCAAGCACGTTCATACACGCCTTTGATTGCTTTAACCATAGAAGTTCTTTTCTTTTATGCATGTACCATCCATCATAAACAGATCCATGCGTGCAGTAGACTATGCACACTTCTAATATACTTCCAAAACGACAGTATAGGAGTCGGTCATAATTCATGAAGAGAGCAGCATTGTCAGTCTTTGTACGGTGAGATCTCAGCCACTCAATAGGAAGACTTTCCAAAATTTCCAACCTTCCGAAAGTCATCTGGTATAACATCTGTATCATACTTTCCTTCAAATGACTGAATTATCTTTTCGCTCGTGACTTCAGGTTGTTCGGTGTACTTATGGCTCTAACATTGCTTGCATTAACCTCGGAAAGTCTGCGCGTATCTAGCCTTAACTGGTGAACGATGCCTGCCCAGTAGCTTTGAGGTTTTAGCCTGGATTTTAGCCTAGGTCCTTATTTTTCAAGGAAGATGGTGTATTATGACATACTAGCACTAACGACGTTACATATGGGAAAGTCATTTTGTAAAAATTGTGCCTCTCGTGGGTACTGATGATCTTCACCTTCTAGCTACACTCACGTCATAGGAGAGATGGTATCAGAAACATATTATACTTCAAATGGTCTCGAGCCAAGCTTGGAACTGGACATTCGGACTATCAAAGCCCTACATAGTTGACCTTGGAAGGATCTCGCGGTGGACAAAAGCCGTAATGTCGGCCGGCTACTTTTATATGAGGAGAATCATGTCTGTAAGTGAAGAATGATCTAAGCTCAGACTTAGCATTTTGGCAGATCACGGTATTTCATTATCACGATTGAATACATGGATAAGTGGTGAGCTATATTTGCTCTTTATTTCCACACAAAGACATCTTGATTCGGGGTGTCGGGATGAGATGACATTAGCGGCGCGCAAGAAAGACTCCATTGCAGGATTGAAAGGAATCATGTAGGATGGTGTGATCACTTGGTATTCGTAAGATTTATTCATATGCTGTGCAATCGGTAAAAGTCCCTCCATCACATAACGCCGAGAATATAGCCAAAAAAATGAGGAGTCGCGCCAGTCCTATCTGTTTCGTATAACCTCCAAAGCGCAGGTAGATCGTATCGTACTGAGAACATGCAGAATCACTTTTGAGGATACCCATCTCCATAAATGCCCACAGCCACCGCGCCCAGGACATCCTCGAGCCGAGTCCTCAACTTCTTTAAGTCCCGGACTTTCGCAGCGCGCTCCTTCTCAACTTCTCTAAGTTCTGTCTCCAGTTCCCGGATTCTAGCTTCTTGCTCAGCTTCAGAGGCGCCAATCCCAGGAAGCACAGATATGAGGTACTCGATCTGCTGTTCCTTGATAATAAGGTCGCGCGCAAGCTCCCGCTGCCGGCTCGCAAATGTTCTGGGTGAGTCCGGCGCAGGAGGAAGGTTGGGATCTCCACCTTCTGGTGCTGCTCCTGGCGCAGCTCCAGGTTGTTGAGGAGGCGCATGTGGGGGTGATGCATTTCCTGCAACAGCAGCTGCACCCCCCACTTTGTTTGCGATGGCTGCTGGGACCGGTGGCGTTGTCGAGTTCTTAGTGATCTTGGCTAGGGCCGGTACTGCGTTGGGGACATTGGGCGGTGTTGTGGGGGCATTATCGTGGTATGTTGTGAGATAGCCAAGTGTTGCGTAGAATTGTGTTGCAAGCTATTTTGTCCGTATGGTGAGAAAGGGTTTGAATGTAGGATTTGTAGAGCGGATTTTACCTGATCCAGACAAGTCTGGAGCTGCGTGAGAATGTCAGCCATAATAGCGACTCGAAAAAAAAATGAAGGGAGCTTTATGTGATCTAAGAAAAGTAGAATGCCTGGTCGAGCGAAAGAAGCGGAGCAAATGCGGAGAGAAGCTCTAATGCGGTGAGACGGCCTTTTCTTCCTCACATCACTCAATGCGCCCATTGAGACTGCGCCATGGCCTTGCTGCCGGATACTCTCACTTGAGACTCAAACCAAAGATCTACCGCTGCTTTTCTAGCTCCCAGGTTCGTCATGAGCTGACACCGTTCACGCGCCGGCTCTTCAAACTCCCCTCGGCCCCTTCTCCGCCCTCACAACACCACAATGACCTGACGACATTTCTCTCCTACGCGAAGCATATCTCTCTTCCAGAGACGAGCTCGGTACATGTCGGTACACACTACGAGTATACTGTTCTCCGAACCCTACGTCGTTACGCGCTAAGCCTCAACCGGATCGGCGGTCGCGATGATGCGGGTATCGACCTTGTGGGCACTTGGCACCTCCCGGAGCGGGAGCGAGAGCGCGCACTCCGTGTACTGGTACAATGTAAATCACTGAAGGCAAAAGTGGGCCCTAATGTTGTCCGTGAACTAGAAGGAACCTTCCGCCAGGCACCTGTTGGGTGGCGCACGGGCGAAACGGTCGGCGTGCTGGTGAGCCCGCGTGAGGCAACGAAAGGTGTTCGTGATACGTTAGCTCGGAGCACTTATCCATTGTTCTGGATGATGATTGAGCGGGACGGAACTTTGAAGCAGGCGCTTTGGAATGCCCGTGCAGATGAGCTTGGAATTAGCCCTTTAGGCGTGGAAACACGATATGGAACCACAGAAGACACCGAGTCTGGCTCGGTTACAAAGGAAATGTTGTTGACCTGGGATGGATGTGATATCCCCAGTCTGGATCAGGTTGAGCAAAAGCTTATCGAGTTCGCCGAGCAATGGGTCGCCTCCTGGGGTATGAACTTGTCGGAAATCCAGAAGGGGGAGCTTCTAGATGCTGTAGAAAGAGTCCTGCCGCATGATGTCTCTGCTCAACTGCTTGATAGGACAATATCAGATGCAGACCGGAACAAGGTCATCCAAGCTTTACAAGAGCGGCTACAACAGCAGCCAGCACCCGGGTGAACACTTTACTTACTGCATGAAAAAAGACGATATGCCCATGCAACCATATGGCTGTAATTTATGAACAAGAATTGTACGAGTTATGACAGAGAATAATCCAAGGGTATAGAAACACCAACAGCGGTAAAAACACGGCCTCCAACCTCCAAAAATCAAACGCCAGGGAGCACAGATAACCAGAAAACCACTCTTTGCCATCATCACCCTTGCATCGTCGACCAAAAATAATTTGCGTAGAAGAAGCGGGAGAATTTTGGGTCGATATTGACGACATGAACATCGCCCTTGCGGCTATTGCGAATGACCGCTCGATTGAAATTGCCCGCCTCATCGGGCTCGATATCAACACCGAGAGAACGGAAGATCTTAAGCCGCAAACTAGATAGATGTCAGCAGGGGTCTCAACCCAAGACAGGGACACAGGCATGCTGCATACATTGTCGCATCGTCAGCCTCACGCTCGCGCCGAGTTGTTTCGTCCCCCTCCAGACCCTGGGACTCTAAGTCGACCAGTCTTTCCTTGAGCATCTCTAGCTCGCTCTCCAGACGCTCACTCTCAATCTCTAGCTCTGATGCAGCCTTGGCGATGCGAAACTTCTTAGTGTCCAACTCCACAATCTCCGCGGCGTGTTTGCCTGAGTCGTGCACGGCCACGGCTTCCTCATGTTGTGTAGACAGGGAATTCAAATGGCGTGAGAGTTTCCGCATAGCCGACTCGGCTTCGCGAATGCGCAGCTCGCGCGATTGCTGGAGTGTTGCGAGCGAGTCATTGATGCGTGTAACGGCTTGTTTATCGGGGTGGATGTTGAAGTTGCCGATCGTGTGGTGGATGAGCTGAAATCGTTAGTAAAATCCATGAGCTCATAATATGTACCCAAAAGCGTAGCACATACAGTTCCAGGGTCTTCGTCTAGCAACATGGTGTCCGTGATTACCGATGTCGAGGTTGAAAGTCGGTTGTTTTGGATTTGTTGCGGCAGCAACAGCCACAGCACCGCCACATATGTTGCTCCTCCGCAAAGTGACGTTGTGCTTGTGATTTCTCCGTCTTCAGTTTTATCTTCTCGCTCAACACAACTAAGACTTTTACTTTCGACGAACTGCTATCGAATCGTCAAAAATTTTGCCCTGATCAATCTTACTCCGTCCAAAGACCACCAACTCCCTGTCTCGCCATGTCCAACCTTCCATGTAAGTGGTTTGTTCCGACTGATGCCTGATACTTGAAATCTGACTTGCTTTACCCCTCCAGATGCCGCCGATGCAGAAAGGTTTGTTTTTTTTTTTATTTTTGCGAAAACCTGGAGAAAGAAACATCGGAACCCTGGAAACTAACTTGGCTATCATCGACTCAGTCCTTTGAAACCCGCCGAGCTACAAGTTCTGAGAGCGCAATACGAAAAAGAAGGCGACTACGTCGGGATTCAAACAAAGTTCAACTACGCATGGGTATGGCTTTCCCAGTCTTGATCAAGTCTGCTCGAGCTAACCCGTACTCCCCGCCGATGCGGGGGTGGTATTGACTATAGGGTCTGATCAAATCCAACATCCGTTCCGAGCAGCAAGAAGGTGTTCGCTTGCTTTCAGAAATCTTCCGCGGGGCTCCGGAGCGGCGCCGTGAGTGTCTCTATTACCTGGCTCTCGGCAATTTCAAGCTAGGGAACTATGGCGAAGCCCGCCGATACAACGATTTGCTCCTGGAGAAGGAACCCGCAAACCTTCAGGCTGCCAGCCTTGGGTCTCTCATAGATGATAAAGTTGCCAAGGAGGGCCTGGTGGGTGTCGCAATCGTGGGCGGCTTGGCTCTTGTTGCGGGTGTGGTGGGTAGTTTAGTGATCAAGGGAGCCAGAAGACGGTAAGCACCTGTTTAGTATTGGCATGGCCAGCAAAGGCTGTGACTGCTGATAGGGGCGTCCGTTCGAGTATAACCACCTATGTATATTTTTCGTGTGGGATCTGATTTATTGGCCATTGCGAGTTTTTTTTTACGTCGGAGCATCCGAGGGCGTTACATCTTTGTTTCTCTACTCTCTCTCTCTCTTTCTCTTCAACCCACCAGTAGGGTGGTGGTATGTTACATACCTGCCAAATCGTACATGACCCAAAATACATCTCATCCATGAATAGATCCATTGAGGTAAGAGTAACAAAACAAATTTGGTCACAATCATATAATTATCACTATATCGTATATACCTCGGCATTGAGACTCACCATACTGCAATATCGATAGTGTCGATAGTGTCAATTACTAACTCTCTTCAACCCGAATAATCCTCCCGGTCTCAACTTCATACACATATCCTGTGACTGGAACATCCAAGACAAGAGGGCTATCCTTTACTAGCTTGATATCATCCCGCACACTCTGCTCGAGGTCACCGAAGGGCAGAAAGGCAATGTGGTCGACATTCTGGTGTAGCTCCGCACGGATCTTGTCTCTGATTGCCTCGTCGGTGAAAGTGAGCATTCCACAGTTTGTCTAAATATCATCAGCAATTGATCCAAAAGTTGGTGAGATGGGCCAAGGTCGAGGCTTAGTCTCAATGGTCTGCAGGGGCTGTGTACATGGTGCACGATAACGATCTCGCGGGTGCCGAGCAGCTGCTGCGAAATGATGATGCTGCGTAGTGCATCGGAGACTCTACCGCCGGCATTGCGGATTACATGCGCATCGCCTTCTTCAAGACCGAGGACGCGGGCAGGATCTATAAAGTACATGGTATGAGTATCATTGTGTCGGCTGCACTGCGGAGAATATGTACCAAGGCGTGCGTCCATGCAGGCTACCACAGCTACCTTTCTGGAATTGAAGGTATATAGTCAGATATATTATTTGCAGGATTTTAGTAAAATCTGGAGCTAGAACGAGGGCTATCAACGAACCGCTGTGGGGGTAGCTGCAGGTCGCCCTTGGTGAAGGATGCGACGTAGTTGGCATTGGCTGCTTCAAACTCCTTTGCGACAGACATGATGATTTTAGTATGCTTTGGGTAGATTAATTTTGAGGACCTTGGGCATTGACGATGATATATAAATGCACCCCCCCGCTTCTGGTGTGATATGTGGGAAGAAAGGCAACATATTTTGCCAATAGTCGGACACTAGACACTTGACGCCTGGAGAACAAATACCTAATTGTTCTCCTTCAAAAGATGCCTAGGATTTTCTTGGGTCCATTTTTAAAAATCCCACGTGAAGATGAGAGGAAAACCACTAAGCATAAGGCCTAAAGATATCAGTGCTGCATTGGACCCTACGGGCCTTCACTGAGCAGCCTTGGAGAGGACCTACGAATTGATTCCGGCCCTTATATAAACCCGGTATAAATACAATGATTGCTTGCAATTATTACTACTTAATCAGTGCTAAATTTAAGCGATCAGATCAAGCCTTGAACTCGTTCCTTGCAACCCGTTCACAAAGATCGCGTAAGACAATTCCAATAGCTTCGAAATCACTCGTCTCTAAGTAAGTCTGGCCGCTCAAACGAGTCCATAACCAAGACCCATGGCGGAAAACTGGCAGGAAAGTGTTATGGTTGTCCAAAAGCTGCGTCTGGATCCAAGAAAATGCCTTCGGGGTTTCTTCCTCAGACAAGACAACCAAAGGAATGCTGTCAAAAGCTTTAGCCTCCTTATCGGCAGGAGCAACAGCAATAGGCAGCCGGACCGTAGTCATGGCACACTGGCGCATACGGCTCTCCTGGCCAGGCTTCAGACCTGGTTCTTGCATGACATCAGTGCCGAGAGCGGCAGCAACAGCATCTGCACCTTCATTTGCAACACGGTGGGTGTAGGCAATAATAGCATCCTCGCCTCCGCAAACTTCGGCGCGGAATTTCAGCGCTGCTGGGATGCAGATGTAGGCAGAGTCATCACTGGTGGCGACAAACTCAAAAAGACGTTCGAAGGCAGTCTTTGAGACGGGGGCATTGGGGTCATCAAGGACAGAGGCCATAGTTTCGGGGGATTCCGGCGCTGGAATGAATCCCCAAGAGGTTGGCATGGTGGTGCGGAGTATATGTTGGTTACGTCGGGGTGTGTAGAGGACTGCACAGCTGCGGGGTGTGTAGAGCCATCTTGAGAAAGCCAAGTCAACATTCGATGATTAATTAATTTGCTAGAACGGTCAGGATAATGGGGGATAGTTCATACTTGTGACAATTGGATACAAAGAAGTCAGGCTGTAGCTTCTTCATATCGAGGTGGATATTTCCAATACCGTGCGCGGCATCGATGACGCTCAAAATACCCTCTTCGCGACAAATTGCAGTAATGCGTTCAAAGGGAAACCGCACACCCGGATTACTGACGATGGCATCGAAGACACTGACCCGGACCTCGAGTCCCTCCTCACGAGCTTGACGAATCACCTCGCGGAAACGGCGTTCGAGCTCATCTTCCGTGATGGGGAACTGGAAAGATACCTTTCGGGAATGGAAAGGGTTATGCTCTTGTAGCGAGACAACGCCTTTCTCGACAGCACCGTAGACAGGTTCAAAATAAACGAGTGCTTCACCCGCTTTGAGATTCAAGTTATAAAGTACTGTCGCGACGCCCGTAGTCGCATTCTTGACAAACACGCACTCATTCTGCTGAGCGTTGAGGACCTTTGCGACAGCTCCACGAGCTTCGTCTAGATACTCTGCATGGTATCGGCGGATATATGGATCTGGCCGCAAATCGGCGAGATCCATGAAGGCACGTTGTGCGTCTTTGACAGGAATCGGATGGGCGCCAAATGAACCATGATTAAGGTTCTTATAGGCAGGATCGAACATCCAATGCTTCAGCATCGGCTTGCCAAAGGGAGTTGATTGACCGGCCATGATGTTAGAGGCATACAAGAAACCTTGAAAAGGATAGGATAAGTTCGGAACGTCTCAACTTCAGCGGGAGTATGTCAATTTAAGCACAAAAGCGAAACGCAATGACTCAAGTTGGCTCTATGGTATCTTGACCATTTCTTCACAAAACACCGAGAGGTCTGATCCCTCCAAGAAGACATAGGTGAGTCATGCCGAGCCAATGACGATTCGTAGACTGTTGCGTCGCTCCACGGAGATCCACATGCCGACCCAAGGGCGTAGAGTCTAAAATCGATTGCATGTCATCGAAGATTGAGATGGGGGGATGAGTGGAATATGCATAAGATTAGTAATGCTGGGTTGCATTCCATGAGTTGGCATGCTTATACAGTAGATCTTGGGGATTACAGATACAATGAGACTTCGTGAGTTCATCCCAATGCAATTGGAACATAAAAGATAAGATATCACACTAAGGGAAATTGGGCGGATAGGTGGGAACATTGTTTTGGGAACTTGGAGCAGTCGTTGCGAGTACAACCAAATGGAGTACGATCAATTGTCAATTGTTTTCAAATTGCCGGGTCACATGCACTGTGTACATGTGCATTATATAATTACAGGTAGGGATGTGTACTATAAATCGCAAAGATTATCGAATTCCCAAGGCAAACTTATCGTTGCCAGACGAAGAGCTTTTTCAACGCTCTGCCGTCGGAATCCCGGACCATTCCCAACACATATGGCTTCCTTTGAGAGGACTACAGTGGTGTTAGTGGGTTTCTTCTATTCACTTTTCAAGAACTCACATTTTATGAAAGTCGCCATGTCAAGTGATGACGAGACCGAATAATCAAGATGGCCAGAGGAATCACGAAAACTATCAATGATCACTCTCTTGTCGCGTAGATATTTTTGCACTCCACTGGCATCTAACCATTCCCCAGATGCTGATTCGCGTGCAATCTGCCACGTTCTAGACGAGACCTGGAGTTGTTCACCCGATAGCATGTTCATACTCGATCGCAGTGCGTGAAACACATTAGTCTTGCGATCTATCAAGTCACCGGTCTTGTCTTGAAGAATAGCGTAAAAGCCCGAGATCAAACTATTGCGTTCTGACATGCTCAGAACAGACCCAAAGATACGGTGGACTGCGAAATTATCCGGACTGTTGACAAGAAGGCGGTATCCGTTCTGACAGCAAGTCCGGACTAGACGCTGTGCGACATTCCATTGCCTGTCAGGCGTGATATTACTAGGGAATAGGTCCAGTGTTGAGGAATCCGATAACGGGGGAGTGATGTAAGGAAATTGAACAATAGGTGACGACGTGACGAGGTCGAATTGCAGGATGGGTTGATCGTGGTATGGTGGGGTAGGAGGGCTGGGCCATCTCGTGGTACCTGGTTGTAATATGTCCTCGACGTCTGTTGAAGCTTCTGAGTATGTATTATCCAGAACTGGTGTCTGGGCTGTATTATTATTTGTGACTCGGGACTCTTTTGCGGCCCGGACGAGGGGGAGGGCCTCCTCAGTCGTTTCATCGCTCCCAGCCTTTGCAAGTGATACGCATTGCTGAGTTATGTTTTGAAGGGCCGATGCGATATGCGGATATTGCGAAAGGATTTGAGCTTCTATAAGAAGATTACTGAAGGACAGGAAAGAGTGGCTGATGTTCTCGATGCCGGTCTCTAGTTCGTTCACACGATTCTGCAGGTTACCGATCGTGGTCTCCTTTCGTTTGCGATATGCCTGCTGTGCGAGGCGAAGTTGTTTGCGACGTCTCTGAAAATTGATAAGTATAAAAACGAGCACTTGGAGCGTTGGGATCTGACCCACCTCTGGCACTTCTTGATCATCAGTCACAGTTCGGGGACGACCACGTTTGCGACCACTCGGCTTAGGAATTTCTTCGCCCATTGCCCGGAATTAGTATATGGGGTTAAGTTTCAACTTGTATGGAAAATGTGCAGCATGTAGTGCTCTAAGAGCAAGACCAACGTGGAGGCGATATGATTATATCATCTGGCCGTTAGAACCTTGGAAGAGTCGGGATGTTGAATAATCAAAAAAATGACCTACGGTCTGCCTCACGTGCGCGGGCTCACGGGGATTGTGCGATTCCAAGTGGTTTGCAGGGTTTGCAAACAGCTTAGTTATATACCAAGACTGCTTCAACGTGACAGGCCAGTGCCACCTAATCCTACCTTTATAATAAAAAGACCGAGAAAGCCGCATAATATGGGTGCTATTACTAGTACCGTAGATAGTTGTACTACCACTCCTGAGGGATCAAGGAACGATTGACAGGGAAGTCACGCACCAAGTACCGCTTGAAAACAGAAATGGAGGAGTAAGAATAGGTCAGAGGAGCCAATGTGTGATTGGTTCCCGTCCGCCCTGTAGGTCATTACGAGTGCCAGAAAGCCGGGGCATCCAGCGTTCTCTGTTGGTCTTAGGTTGTTATTCTGGGAGGAAGCGCAGGAAGTCCAACGCAAGGTGATCGAAAGTCCCAGAAGCCGTCGCGAGCCATAATGATCCTCGTCGGTCTCGATTGGAGATAAGGTAGATCGCAAAAATTGGGAGTTCCGAGTGCCGTTGCGAAGAACATCCTGGGGAGCAGAAAGGCGAGGGGTTTTAGCATGGCGGAAGGTGCTCACCGGGTAATAATTTGGCCGATCAAATACTGGGCATTCTTGAACTAGCTATCCTCGTTCTCTCATGTGGTTCACTGGTAGACATGGGATGGGCGGGATATCAGACAACGGACAGCAGAGCAAGTGGAGACAAAGAAGCCAATAAGATCTAATAAACACCATCCTTCCTTTGCCCTATGGGACCAATGGGACAAGGATATGGGTCCAAAGTTTTCTAAGTCCTATGGGACTCGTCGAGGTCTACCTCTAGATATAATTTAGAAAGGATCTTATAAGTTAGTATGAAGGGGCAGTCTATTAGCTATATATCTATGGGTATAGAGGTGTATAGGTGTTATAGTGGTAGAAAGAGTTACATGCAGACCTATACGGGTACACATAGCCTCTAACGCCCCAAGTCTACTAGAGAAACTAAGCTTACGAGATCTCAATATGATAAGATGTAACAAACTTACCTGCAAGAGTTCCATAACGGTATACTTTATAGCTGGCGGGACAGACTTTTGAACTGAAGCTCTTATACATAGTGTAGAGGGACACGTGAGAAATAGCGGTGTAAGCTGACTGAGCGGAATACGTGTATTTAAGTGCTAGAAGCAAGAGAATAGAAGACTATCCCACCTTTCTTCTACAAACTACCCCTGGGTTTCCTTCCCCTATCCTCCGCTACTCAACAACCTGCACTGGTTTTGCTCTGGTTCGCAGACAGGTATTACTACGCGCCGACGACAGCGCTCCCCACTACAATAGGTAGGTTACCTTAGCATCAATTTAGTGGTAACATTAGCTGGAGCATACAATTGCTTCATCGTAAAGTTCATTTCCGATTTATTTATTCATTTTAGACTGCATTCAAACTAAGTCGATAATCTCAAACAAAATCCTTGATACCACATCTGTCTGAATTTGTATTCTAGACTAATAAGGCAAGGAAGTGGCGTAAGTGTTCAAGCGTTTTCGAATCGGAAGGAAACAGGGATTCCGTGCAGAGGCTTGCAATCCGTTCCGGTGTGGTCCTGATCTGGATTGAAGGCGGCCACAAGATTACCGTTACAATCAGGCTTGTCAAAGAACGCGATTTGGCCGTCAGCATCTAAAGCCAAGAGCTGCAATCCGACACCGCCGCTACCGAGACCAGTGTGGCAATCCTCGTCATCGCCAGAGTAAGGAATGACCTGGCCAGTACATTGAGCGTTTTGATAGACTGCAATGCGATATTCGTTGCCAGCTCGAGCGTTTAAGGTACTAATATTGTCACGCTGGTCGATGCTTGGAATATACGCTCCGTGCACTAGCGCGGCGCCTAGGAGGAAGCCAAAGACGGCTTTTGGGAATGATCCGCTCGAGTACATGCTGGTTTACAGACTTGATCGACGATAAATGGCACTCCACGAGGGTGAGACTGGTTGAAGTAGTAGAGTGCGTATAAGAGACGTTGAGACCACTGATCGGAGTTGTCGAAATCGAGACTTTGAAAATCCTCGATACGCACACGAAAATTGTGCCTGGAATCAGGTACTGCGGTCAGGTACAGGACGTCGTACTCTTCGTCGTTTCGATGCTCGAGTATATCTTGTTTGATGTGATCAAGAGCGCGGACGTTGAGCGTTCCAACGATCTGTCTTTGCATCTTGTGTTAGAGATGAAAATAGAGTATACTGAGTTTGCAGACGGACAAGTGACTATGAGAGTAAAAGGTGGATGGAGCAACCATTAAATGCTAGAGAAGCTGTGGCAAATGTGACTATTATGCCCAATTAATGCCGAGGGAAAAGAAACCTACATAGTTTTTCAGAGTATGACTGGCCTAGATGATATGAACACGCCAGCAGGATTATGAAACTTGAACGCTCTTATACCTGGATCTATTGCTCCATCAATATCAAACTGGCTGCACAGTCATGCTCTAGTCATTTGTCATTGTGTAGATTAAGGCTGGGATTGCATCTCCCAGACTGAATGTCTTGCCTGTCATAGTCTAAGAGGCTGTTAACACGAAACGCTAAACCCCAATCTGACGACCTTTCTCGATACACTCATCATGATCAGGTTATAGATGTAGTCGATGACTGTGCATGATAATGACGCACTATAACAAGTTTTTCGACCACAAAGCTCTCGATCGGCAACTCGCTTGGCCTCCCAATTCCCTTCCATATCCCTTACAATATCATACTTGATGGTTTTGAGACAGGACATTTGAGTCTCCCTAGAAGCTGCCTAGATGTCCCCCTTCTAATTTGAATGGACCGGTGAGGGCAACCCAGCCTCATGCTCTGACGCAAACTCCAACTAAGTCGAGATGACCAACTTGGGGGCCATAGTAGACTTGGACAACATTCTCACTCAAATCGGCGCTAGGCCAAATAAGTTTACTATAAGCAATTTTATCCAGTTGTATCGAGGGATACAGATTGGGATGTATTGCATTTTAGTGTCTGTATTCTGTCATTGAAATTCTTTTTGGAAGGGTCCTAAAGCGGGGTGAAGATCTGGGGCTAACATGATTAGCGCTCCGCAAAGCCCATAAATGGGGGCCCATGGCCCAACCCGCAGTGGGCTATGGGCTATTCTGGGCCCCCATAGATAGCCCCATCATAGCCCATAGCCCACTGCGGGGGTCTTGGCGCTTCTAAACCCTCGACTTATAATCGCTGTATCTTAGTCTCCTGCTAATTCCGTAGAGTCTAAAATGTAGCATATAAGCTCAAAGTAAGTATTTCAACTTATAAATCAAATTTAAGAAAGGTTTGACTAGTAGAGGCCGAGATATTATAAGAAAATTCTTAGTATTGATTTTTTGATACTACAACATAGATTCACTACACCGGATGATAATTTATGGATTTCTGATAATAGTAGGCTTTAATTTTGAAGAAACTGTTAAGCTATACGCCCTTACATCAATGTAAGAAAAGAAGATACATGCGCTTGTATATGTATACCGTCACTTCTAGAACACCCAGTTGAACGGTCCACAAGGAGTTATAAGTAATCTCTACATTATTCGTAGGCTGCTATGCTGCAAATAGTAGCCAATGGTCTTGACTATATAATCGAAGGGAAAGCCCTTGGGTTGCCTGCAGTTAATTGGCCGATATCATAGAAAAGCAGATTTTATGGATGATATTAATTCAGTTTTTCGAAGAGGACATGAGGGATGAAGTTTCAAACGCAAGCACTTTTCACAGTGCCTGTAGATGGCTGTAGATGGCTTCGTAGAAGATCCATGGATCACAGTATCCTCCTAGTCCCGTTTGAGCAATGTGTAGTATACCATCTTCCTCCCCATTGTATATATAAATCTTTTTTTCTCTATACCGGATCGTCTGGATGCCCTGGCTTATGCCTTCTAAATTTTGTTTGGAAATCTCACAATTGTCTATCGCATGGTGTGTATTTTGCTTTGATTCCTTGCCGTCACAATCCTGTCAAGATAGAGTGCGCCAAACCAAGGCCATTGCTCTTTTGGTACAGGAACCTCGGCCCACGTAACTTGCACCTCATTATATTTTCCACCCTTACATTTCGTATCAGCCTTCAAGACTCACGGTGAAGTTGTCAATGCTGTTCTGATGCACGCAGTCGACACGAGAGACACATATATCGAGAATAGGAATTTGGGTTAATGACTAGGCTATCGATGGTTCAATGAGCTATGAATGAAAACTCGTTATGTATGTAGGGTACGGGTGTTCCGTCAATTGGATATTCCCGTTTTGGCATCTATGAATATAAGAGTAAAGTGTAAACAAGAATGTAAGCTGCCCCTAAGCGCCCAAATGCCGCGGCTATTCTGTGAGCCGCTAAAGTCATCGCTCATGTGTCATGTCCAATAAAAATCAGTCAACGCCGGGTCAGATAACGTCATAATGATACAAACGCAGATGCGTTCAATGCAATACAATAACACGACCAAAGAGAGCACAACACCTGCCATCCCAGAGACTGGGTATTTCGCACTGCTCATCGATGGAGTTATATGAGGATCAAAAGCCATCGCTGTAGCCTCTCGATTGAGCGTACTGGTAGAAATAATAGTAGTGGTTGGTTCAGTCGAAGATATGACTCCGCGCATCAATCGAGTCGAGATTCCTCATCAAATCTCAACGCCAAAGCGGGAAAAGGCAGCCAAAGAAAAATGCAACAGTGCTGATATAAAATGGAAGGTAGACTGCGAAGGAAAAGACCCGATATTAAAAGACGAATCTAAGTGAAGGATTCGGGGGATTGCTCACTCATTGAGCCTCCACCTGGTGGCTTGTTCTGGGCAGATATAGACTCCCAGTCATACTGGTATCCTGTCGACAAGGCCGTAGGAGAGCCGGATGCCACCCAGGGCCAGACATTTGGCGTAACCCAGCTTGAGGTTTCTTTGTGGGTTCCACTCCAGGGAACCGGGACGCTGTCGATGGTTGCAGTGATTGCAGGTGCGGACTCGGTCGAGGTGGGCTCGGCACCTTTGTTGCCATTGACTTTGCCTCCTTCTGCGACGATTGACTGCCATGAGCCGGTTTTATCACCGTATCTGTACGAAGTTCCGGTGGAGTAATCAGTCACAGTCATTGACTTCATATACATCTTGAAAGGACCTTGGCTGTAGTCCGTTTGACCACCAGCCCAGTCTACAGAAATAGAAACTGTTAGCAAGCACGACAAGAAGAGATTGTATGGCAGTCCGACTCACCAATGGTGCCCTTGGCATTGTTCGCATCACCGCCAGCCCACACGCCGACCTTGATCATCATCGGACTTTGTGGGTACTGGTTGGTTTCTGCCGTCTCGGGAGTGAGAACACGAACAGTCTTGCCATCAATGGCCCACACAATTTGGCTGCTGGTCCAGTCGATGGAGTAAGTATGGAAGTCGTCATGGTTTCCAGGGTTTTCGTGGTAGGCGCCACGGCTAAATGAGCTTGTATCTCCTTTGCCGAAGTAATTGGTCTGTACTTGGGCGTTGTTTCCACCCAGCCACTCCCAGTCAATCTCATCCAAATCATCTGACTGCAGAACTGCACTGCTGACGATTCCCGTCCCTGATGCTGCCTTGATAGTGTATTCCACGCGGCCGAACATGATGTACCAGCCAGACTGAATCAACGGGCCATCGCCCTGCTTGGCAATAGTAAAGGTTGCGCCATTTGTTTGGTCAAATGTGACGGCTCCAGTTGACTTGAAAGCATCAGATGCGCCACTTGTGAAATCGAAAGTCTTGTCAGACTGGCCAAATGCAGGATCAGCAGGACACGCTGCTAGCTGTCAGCCACCAGTCGTCAACGGTACTTATGAGACTTACACTTTTCTGTCGGATTGCAATCGGTATAAGTTTGGGCCACGACTAGCGTGGAAGACAGCAGGCCTAGTGCCCCAAGAAAGAATCGCATGGTGGGCCAAGTAGAGTAAGCTATAAGTAATCCCACAACTATTATGCAATAATGAAGATGGATATGAAAGAGACAAAGAGGAAAGAATAGGAAAGGAGATTTTCATGGGGGTACGGAGTACGGAGTACACAAACCGCCTTAAAACAATCCGGGAAGGTGCCAGCCTCCTCCGTTTTACGTGGTCGATCGGTGGGTCTCCCGGTTATCCTGTCATTGGTCATTCAGACCCGACCTCGATTGTGTCCACAGGACCTAAAGAGAGCTACGCCACGTTCGAGTCGACATGTTGGATTCCATGTGCGCATTTGATGTACGGAGTAGTTCGCCGTACATTCTACGGGTGTGCAGCTGAGATGTCAATGTGTATCTGATGGGTATGTCTATGTACAACTGCTGTTCCGGCGTAACACAACAGTGACAACACATTCGATTAGGCATCGATCAAAAGAATGTAGATATTCTTTCAAAATAGTCTACTTCGTACAATCTGTATTGTACTTGAAAAAAAAAAAAAAACTAAGAGGTGGCAAGGCCCAAGCAAAATAATAGGTGGCAGGAGACACGTATATTACGACCCACTCCCCAGCCTCCCGCATACTTCATACACATATTATTAGAGATGTGATCTCATATTGAACGTCTTTGCATGGTACTGCGTATGAAATTCACACGATGACTCCATACCTCAGGCTTCTCTTCTATCCGAAGCCAACATCTGATTCTAATCAATAGTCGTATTTCCACTGTTTGGGACAAGGCTGGTTGCCATTGGGTAGGTATTTTCCCATTAGCTTTAGCGGCCTTATGGATGATATGATTTTGACAACCAACCTTGGTTAGCTCTTTAAAATCTGTGATGCTCACTCAATGGGCACCCTAGCACAAAAGGCCAGTCTAGATCTTGGTCAATATAAAGCCGACGATCTATGTAGGCGATCGATGTAAGGGCGATCCGCCCAGCGACGAATTGAACCATGACAACGGGAGAATGATATTCCGGCATTTTGATATGTGCGAAGTAGTAAGCTTAATCATTAAAATGAGGAATTGTGTACGGAGTACTCCGTACAGAATGGGAATACCAGTTGTGTAAAAATGTCGCACTTAGGTCCCTATACGATCAGGCATCGACCCTGTGGGCCGGTAGTAAATCGGGGCCCGGGCTACCTAGGGGCCTAGTAGACTTTACTTCCTACCTACTTATATTGTGGGAGGTGCGATGTAGGTCGTACTGCTTACATTCCTGGAGAATCGGTCATCCGTTAGACCAGACTGAGACATCGATACATCCTGAACACTAATTCATGAATTTGAGATGGCAAAAAGAGAGGGATACAAGTTATGAAATTGCACCAAAACACCAAAACTCTATGTGACATACACGAATTCGTTTGCAACTTATTGCGATCAGGTCCTGTCAGAACGAGATTGTCGGGGTAGAGGATCATGTATTCAGTGTCTTCGAACGACACAACCTCCTTGCTGTGAGCGTCACTTGGTGAATTTGTTGTTCCCCCATGACCCATCTTGTGCTGATGACCGCGCCAAGCGCCCAACACACAGCAGTTGTGTTGGGCGCTTGGCGCAGTTCCCTTCTCATTTGATCTGGGCACTCGCTAGCTTGGCGACTACGCGCAACGAGGTGAGCGATATTCAACATTCTCATGCGATCTTTTCATCATGAGTGACTTGATCCCTCCGCTGGTGAGGGTGCGAGTAACAATTAGAGTATGAGGCCCCTACTGTCCGTACCAACATTGAAGTCGACACAAATTCCCCCGAGACTTAATACCGAGTGGCTCTAGCATGATTTCAATGACCTAGATGTAGGGCTGAGCCTCTACAAAGCCCACAAAGCCCAAAGCCCAAAGCCCAACCCAACCCGGCCCACTAATGGGTTGGGCTTTGGGCCCCCATTTTTTTTTATCAAACAATATGAACTAGCCATCTCATTACCACTGCATAATTAATACAATTTTTGCTGGTTTTTTTGGGGGTATCTAGAATACCATAGAAGTTAAACATGAAGCTATACGTAAATCCTTATATTCTTCACTTTCTTCCCCCTTACAAATTTATAAGTAAATTCAAAGACATGTACAATCTCAGTAGTGATAGTAGGAAGGGGAGAAATACCAAGCAGAGAGAAAGTAGATTTATAGAGAGGACTTAAGCATATGATCTCGATAAAAACCATTCATTACTGGGTGAATGAATAGATGGGAAGATACGTAAAATACAGTCATTGATCAGTCACTTTATATATGCCAAGATTATAATTATGCAGCGGAATGGGCTTTGCAGAGACCTATCAGTAGGGCTACTTGACATGGTTTTTATGCCTTCAACCCGTGGACTCCGACTATGTAAATCTATACACTCCATTCTAGATTTGCGGAGCCCCTACACTAATTGTTTCCACCTGGGCAGTGGATTGCTCGACTCACTTATTGTTCAACCTGAATGAAATTGCCAGGAATTAAGGATCTCCTGCGTTATCGCATTTCTGGAGTTATGCCCGACACATTGGTCGAAGCACCGCTGTATCCAGTTCGGTAACATCATACAAGCTCTAGTGCCGAGTCGCCCCTGCAGGCTGTCAGTGAGAACCCGTAGCAATATCCAGAGTATTACTGAACTAAGATTGGAAGTAGGTTTTATTGAATCAACTTAGGGCGGGACAGTCCGCTGTACCTTTTCCCTTATCCTCAAATTTGTTGCAAGCCATGGCCCACGATAGTACGGTATGAGGATTTACAGCAGAATGCAGACATTGTGGTCATAGGAAGCACAGATCAGTTGTAAGGCCAAATTGTCATCTGGGCTTTGACCCACACTGTAAGAGGGCAACAGGAGAGCCTGTGCAGCCACTCTTGTGGCTCCAATTTCCAAGGCAATCTACTCAACAGACTTCGGTCTCGCCCAAGGGCCTGAAATGGAACGCTCATAACCACACCGTTGCCCTTGCAAGAAGGCCAGAATGATCAGAAACCTGGGGGGTTCGAAACTACTAGGAAATGATAATTCATCGATCTCGGCCTGGCTCATTAGTCGGTCGATTGACAGCCTACGTGGCATGGCGTCTCGCCTGGGATTACCCCTCCCACTAAGCCTGTATTAGAGACAAAGTCAGCCTACGGAGTAGTAAAATCGATTACTGTGGTTTCCGTGAGCATCCCCCGTAGAACCATCGAGTCGGTTGCAAATAACAAGACGAATCAGTCGACCAAAACACGTTTTCGCCATTAGGGCGTCATTGACAGCAATGTCAAGAATGATCCCCCAGCACGGCGGGAAGGGGTATTCACTCCACCATATAGAGGTAGATCCAGGCCGAAGAACACCCACGGAAAATCTCAAGACGAATGTCAACACCTCACCTTCGACCAATAATATCAAGGAATACACTAGCCCCTGGAGCCCTAAAATGGTGACTTGACTATCCCCGTCGGTAAGGGATAAGAACACTTCGGACGCGGGCTTTTATCTAGGTAGTACTTTCAGCCATGTTTCTCAGCATGCATAATTCATGACCTTCTTTCTTTTTTCTTCAATCGAGGTGTATCGAAGCCCATCTATAGTTTCATCTGGTGACATATAGTCTGGTCAGTCTTCACAATCGAAAGCCTCTCATAATTCATTCGATATAGAATAAATGTAATAGACCCTTAAAATTACTGTATTAGGGTAGCTTTAGCACTTGTGGATTAGCTTGAGCACTGCTGATTGAAGGCAAAGACAGCGTCTGGACTTCCCTCGCTTCTCTCCCCGGCCCGAAGTAGTTGTCTAGGTACTGTAATAGGGAATCTGTCTATAAAGGGAATCACCGAAATAGGACCTTGTAGTCTAGGGTTTTTATCCTTGTTTTGTGTCACTATAGTTACAATGGCCACGCTATTATGCTGTAAACAGTATGGTCACAGCAAGATTTACGATCGGACTAGGTCAGCTTTTTTTTTCTTGTGTTCTTCTCAATGTGGTAACAGGAAATAATTCCAGAGTGCAATGAAGACTCGTGGCATCCCCCAAATCTCCTAAATTAGCACTTCTATGGTACAAGGCGCGTACCCCACATAAAATCCCTCATTCAACTCATCCAACGGCTTTTTATCTGGATGGCTTAGCTCCTCCAGACAATGCGCCGCATGCCAGAAGGCGAGGTTCTCATCGTTCAAACGTACCGTCCCCTGGGCGGCGCGGTGCGTCCTCCGCAGCAGGAATTTGCAGTGCGCCAGGTGCTCCTCGCGCGTGGTGTAGACGTGCTGATTGGCTAGCACAGGGTGACCGTCAGCCAGCAGCGCGAAGGCACGCTCATCACCAACACGCCGCGTGCCCTCACTGTCGAGGAAATACGGGTAGGGCCCTAGCTTGCGCTCGGGGCTGCTGATGTAGGCGCGGTACTCGGCCTCGGTGAGGGGGTCCAGGCACGGCGGCGCGACCCAATTATGCGCAAGCAGGTCAAATGCGCAGCCAGCTGCCTTAGCCTCGGCAGTTGTGTTGCCGCAGTGCAGTGTCTTCTTCTCGTACCGGACCGCGCGCGGGACGGGGTTTATAGTCGTGCGCCAGGCAGTGACGAGCACGACCCAGAGACAGAAGGCGGCGGCGAGGGCGAGGAGAATCTCGCGCAGATGGTGGAGCCGACTTGGGCGAGGAGGGCTACCGAGTTCATTGTCGATATCTTGCTTCAGCGCCTCTCGGTCAGTGAAGGGCTGCTGTGCCTCGGATCCTGCGTTGCTGTCAGCCTCCCGCAGGCGGTCGTATGTGGCGCGGATTGAACGTGGCCACATTGTGAAGGGAATGGCAGTCCTTGTTGGGATGGTCACAGCCAAACAGAGTGGTTGGGCATGAGCAATACTAGCAAAGGGTGAGGGTGACCGCGTTGTGTCGTCTGAGGACGGAAGGCGCGTGACGAGCTGAAGAAGCTATACATAAAGCAGTGCGTCTGAGTTCCTGATCATCAACTTGTGTAAAGGTCAACACAAGACCGACCAGCCGAAGCAACATAAAGATCGCTCGCTTTCCGGGGCTCACGGTTTCGGAACGAGGGCTCCGAGCTGCATATACCAATATTACCGCGCTTAGTGATGCACACCGGTATCGGGCCCTAATCGGAGCTCATTGGTCTCCGCAACATGGTGTTGCGGCAGGCTATGGAAATCTTCCAAGTTTTCCGACCCAGGCTGACTTTGGCAAGTTTCACGCTGGCCGAAGATCCACACGCCTCAGCATCTTCTCTGCGCGGCTGGTGTGAATCAAACTTCACGTAGCGACTCTTGCTACTAGCTCTCTCTGCGGCATGAACGGCAAGTTTGTAGATTCACAGGAGACGAAGAGACGAAAGAACGAATGGCACTGTATCAAATGTCATTGGGATATAACTATTAATGATGAACGTTTCTGTGATCGAGCGGATTTTTGAATTTACGGCTAGAAGATACGTGGCTACTTTGGACAGATCTGACTTGGTGCCAGGCATATCCAACGGTCTTGCATAGAGAATGACTTTAAGAATCTGTTATATACTTGGCGTGACTAGTTTATCTGGACATGAGAATGAAAAAGTCTCCCGTCGAAGCTTCAGATCATCCAACACAGAACTGACCCTCTCCCCTAATGGTTATGAGTCCATCTGTCTGAGTCATTAACCACCGCTCCATGGTATATCCTGGGATAGTCGGGCTCGTAGTCGAATATGGTCTTGTCCAGGCTAGGCGGCGGCCGCCAGCTAGGGTTCGGAGTCTGCCTTGGGACGCCGCCGTTGTCGTGCACTTCCACGAACTCCAGCAGCTTGTCAAAATTCCGGCACTTGTGCATCGTGTTAAAGTCCGGGTGAGGACTGTGGTGCGTGAGCACCCAGTTGGACGTCACGGGCGTGACGTCTCCCGCACACATGAGCGCCTGACGGAGGAAGTCAATGCAGTGATCTGAAAAATTTTAGCTCTTTTTTCTGCTCAGCCGTTTGACCGCTACTTGTAATCATTCTCCGCAACTTACCAATGTGGTTGTAGAAAAGGTCATCGCCAACCATGAACTCTATAGGCATGTTTTCTGGCCGCGTGTAGTAGTCGGCGTAAATGACTTTTCGAAGGAAGTTCTGGAGGAAATAGAATCAGCAAAACCCTTTACCAACATATTACGCGCCGATTATAAACTGTGCGCACCAGGCAGTGAAGTTGGTGGAAAACTTCAATCTCCACCATGATCCCGCCTCCCTGCTCTTCAGAGTACAAAATTCCCGATCCACTTTTGTTGAGAACATCGAGATATTTCTGTGGCATGGATATGGGATGTACTGGAGTCAAGGGTCAGGAACTGAGGTGGTCACATTTAAACCAGGATCATTACTCACTTTGGCCGATGCGGTTCCACATCGCATCCAGCTCTGGACGCGGATGTCCCTTGTACTCATTCTGAACGCCCAATTCGGCTTGGAACTGGAGGTTGTGATACTCAACGACTTCCAAAAGAGGGGCTAGAAGACAACTCTGTCAGTTCACCTCAAGGCTAGAGTGAAGATCAAATCCTGAAGGTGTTCCCTTGGCTCACAGTAACTCGAACTCATTCTGACGCACTCCAGCGTCGGGGCTCTCTTCAGCAAAAGGCCTAGGGTAGCACCAAGTCCCAACACCGCCGCGGCCAGTAAGCTGAGTAGAATCCACCCTCGTGCAGTGGTTGGTCGAGGGATCGCCTTTCTCGTTGTTCGGGACTGGCGTTCATCGCCCTCCCACTCCTCTTCACTCTTATCTTCTAGCCGGCTATAGGTACCAAGCAGGTTTCGATGCTCTGCAATGTCAGAGATTTGGCGGTCATCCTCGCTGGCGGATCCTTTGGCGACGTGAGCCATTATATTGCACACCTTGACCAAAGGAATGGCCACGGGACAAAACGACAATACCAGCTTGTGTACAAATTTAGGGTCTTGAAGCCAGATAAGGCACGTGAACACGAGTGCTATAAGGTGGAACTGGCTGTCGGAATCAAATCCAATGGCCTAGCGTTCACCAAATACATAGGTAGGTCCGACCGGGTATTCGGTATTATTCCAGGTGGGGCCGATCTACGGCTCGGTCCGTGGAGCTGCGGATCCGGGGTTACCACTATGTACCAGAGTTGCCTCGCTTGATCAGTAAATCAACAGAGTGATCGATGATTGAAATGAGCCCCCAAATTGAAAGTGTATACCAGATATGATTTCTTGCCACCTATGATTTGCACTAAAGCAATCCTTTTCTGGGCATTAGGACATACATAGATCAGACCTTGGTGTTTGGAGACATGCAAAAGCTCATCACATCTCATTAGAGCTAATTTCCCCCTCCCCCAAAAAGCCTCTCGGTTGAAAATCCTTAGATTTGTACTCTTAGATAATACTAGTTGGATAGATAATACTAGTTGCACTTCTTCCATGTTCCCGGCCCTGACTTGCTCCATCTGACTCAACTTGTCAAACCCTGATCTACGACCTTCCTTTCTTGGACGCTTCAAATGCGCCAGTAAAAGATTGTTATTTCCCCGCGGGAATAGCCATAAAGTAGAAAGATAACGAGTGACGCACTGCCCATCTCGAAGCCCACTGCCCCTGCACTGTCGCATAACCCTCCAATCAGCTGATAAGCTACCAGTATTGGATCCTTCCCACCTCCCATCAATCTTGAGGTATGTGACTCCTCCAGGAGGCTTTGAATTGACAGCGTGAGACCTCCCACGTTTGCCTAGGTAGCGGCGAGGTCGCATGTGGCGATACCTTAATCATACTTCCTTTTGTCAGGAATCACGGTATCCACCTCGCAACGGTCGTACTTCTCCTTGTCGGGAATCACGGTATCTACCTCGCGACGGTCGTACTTCTCCTTGTCGGAAATCACGGTATCCACCTCGCGACGGTCGTACTTCTCCTTGTCGGGAATCACGGTATCCACCTCGCGACGGTCGTACTTCTCCTTGTCGGGAATCACGGTATCCACCTCGCGACGGTCGTACTTCATCTTGTCGGGGATGACGGCATCTTCATAACGAGGTAGAAGACCGCTGTGTATAAGGATGCAATTAGGCTTCTATAACGTGGCAGACATTCCCTCGCCGCACTTACGGCTGGTTGGCCGGAATGGCGGCGGCCATGGCCGCGGTGACCATCGAGGCCACAAAAAAAGCCTGAGTTAAACGCATGGTGGCAAAGAAAGAAACAAAGAGTTGGTAATTTAAGCTTTGTGAAAGGTATTTCAGGATTGTGTCCGATATGGAGAGTGCGCGGTCGAGGAGGCGTTTTTATTTAGGCCGTGTGCTGGGCTCGAATGCACTTCGGATCTGGAAGTCAAATACCCTGCAGCCGAGCAAGGAAAGCCGAGCTTCTACGTCAAAGGCGTTGATAAGGCAGTGACTCACAGTATTCTGAATATTCCGCTGCCGTGCCGAGCAAAAGGGTGACATACTCGGGTCGAGGTTCTAGATACAGATCACGCCACGGATCAGCAAGACCATTCCATCGACCGAGAGGATCCTGAGACTTCCCGAACAAGGGAACATAATTTCGGACCGACGTGCATGCAAGGAAAAAAGCGGAACCATCGAGAAATGACCGGCGAGACTTGAGGGAGAGAACTCGTCACTAGGTGACTCTGGCTCTAACAAGGAGTCCAGTGAAAGCATGCCAATAATGCCTTTTGACTCCGAAGACACCACAGATTAGATTAAGTTTCGTTCACTCACATAATGGAGTGGCCCTACCAGTTCGTACACCTCGATACAGCTGGTAGACACGAACGTCGTGTTCTACTTGACCGTTACGGGCTGTACGCACAACTCTCAGCATTTACCCCTATCGGCCTGGCTCTCATGTTGAGGCTCACGCAGAGGACCTTCAATAGAATAACTGGTAAGAGGCTTTCCTACGGTGCTGTTCCAACTTTGCAACCTGCAACGCCGCCAAGGCAGACTACCGCTTCCTCGTTTGCAGAAAAGCTGCGGCGATGGCTCTGGTGGCTGGGGAACGACATTGAAATTGCTGGACAGAGATGGGGCCGGGTGGACCAACTCATATTCGGCGGGATATGGACGGCCTGGCTAATGTTCTTGTGCGTGAATGAGACTGGAAATGGTACGCCGCCTTGTGAGGTCTCTTGCTTGCTGTGTGCACTGGGCTAAGCCTGCATAGATTACTTCCTGCTCACGCGGAAGTTTGGTGCCATCGGCGCTTCGCAGCTTCCAATTCAGTACCTTCTGTCCTTAAAACGTCTGAGTCTAGTCGCACTCGCCTTTCACACTTCGCACGAGAACATCAATCGATGGCATCGCGTCCTGGGATGGATCAGCTACTTCTTCATCTTCCTTCACGGTAGCTTCTACATCAACTTTTAAATTCAAGTTGGCGGTTTAGGTGCTGCCATCTTTCGTGTGGTGCCTGTACTTGGTATGCTGGGCCTTCTGGGCATGACTTTTCTCAGCGCCACCACGATCAAGGCCATCAGACAATTCTCCTACCGGGTATTTTTCATTACCCATCTCATTGTGGCCTTGGCTCTTCCACCCGCCATATGGTTTCATGTACCGCACGGCCGGGCGTTTATGGCCGACGCATTCTTGTTTCTCATCGCAGACTTAGCTGTGCGAAGATTCAGCACTGTCATATGTCCAGCCACTATCGACATGATCCCCGGCACCAGTCTCATCAAGGCCGTGGTGGAGCTTCCTCCTGCATGGCTGCGTCGCTTTGCCGCACATCCGGCTTCTTATGCCTACTTGAGCGTCCCACAAGCCACATGCCTCCCGTCCGGATTCATATCGAATCCCTTCACAGTCGCGTCCGTGAATGAAGAGACCGGGCATCTCACATTCATCGCACGCCGCATGCATGGGCCAACAACGCAGACTCTCGCGAGGCTCGCTGGTGTGCACTGGCCTAATACCAAAGCCACGCTCAGATTGGACGGTCCGTACGGTGCCGCTGCGTATCTTCCCGACCTGGCAGCTGGATTTGACAAGGTCCTCCTAGTGGCCGGCGGAGTCGGGATGACGTTCATTATGCCGCTGTTCGAGCACATCACAAAGGAGAGTCCTGCGACACAAGCTCGACTCATTTGGGCAGCGCGAGATGTGGATGAAGTGAAATGGTCTCGCCTAGTAGGGGAAAACAGCCAGATACGGGTGTTTCTAACCGGTCGCCATGTCAATTCCGACCCCACTGGCAGCTCAACCGGATCTTCTGACGAGTCTAATGACCTCGAGCTGGACCAACTCGAGAAGAACAGCCAACGGACAGCGGCAGTACTGTGGAAGGACGGCACGCGGCCCGACCTACAAGAGGTTGTATATGAGTTTTTAGGAGACAGCGCTCATGATCGGTGTGCTATTGTCGTCTGTGGGCCGGCGCCGATGGCGCGTGAGTTGAGAAAGGCCGTCGGGATTCGGATACAGAAGGGAAGGGATGTGTGGTTTCACAGTGAGAGTTTCTGCTGGTGATGAAGACAGAGCCCCATCTCTATGTTCTATTGTAGCTATGTTAAACCTTCTGATCAAGCTACGATTCCTTGCCGTCCCCGCAGGTTACTTTTACGTTCATTCTTCACGTTCATACCTACATCCGGAGTTTTGACTATAACTAAGGTATCAACTAATAGGCATGAACTCAATACATATCGTCAATGGTTCTAAGCTTTCTTTTGCGTCATATTTTTCCAACTCGTTCTTAATTTTATGTGAAATACATTATACGTATGAATTATGGGGGATTAAAGCCTTACCAGTTTGAAACGGTGCTGCAACAGTGTCTAGTAATCACGAGCTCGAAACTCCGGGTGTCTTCTTAATTGTCCTGGCGGTAGCAACCATTGTACATGCACCCTAGAGGGCTGACCTGTCATTTTGGGTACTGCCTGGATAAACAGCAAATACCGAAGTCCTCGCTGCATCCACGGGGTCCGAAGCTGGCTTCGCATTGTTCCATCGGCAAAGCGGATTCGGACCCGATATTGTACAAGGTTCCACTGCCAAGTTGACTTATAAGGCATGATAGACTAAAGCAACTTGCCCGTCAGAGTCAGTACTCAGCAAATTGGCGAACTTGATACCTGGTGACCATTTTCTAAGGTGAGCCTTGTATCCTGCCGTATTGTACCATGCTATTCCAGCATTTCACCTTTACGGCCTTGCTTTACCTCGGGCTGGGGGCAAGGTCCTATCCATTCGATGGGCGCAGCCCCGATAGTGCGATCACGGGAAAACGAGAAGCGCCAGCTTCACACGTTCTCCATGAGAAACAGGTTGCTCACTGGTCAAGCCGCTGGGCAAAGAGGAACAGGATTCCCGCATGGAAATTGCTACCAATGCGCATCGGTCTTGTGCAGAGAAACTTGGAAGTCGGAGCTGGACTCCTGCAAAAAATGTAAGCAGACCAGCTGTCACGGTTCCAATGCTTCTCCTCGCTTGATTGGATCTCATAACCAAGTGATTACCTAGCTCCGACCCGAGCTCCGAGGACTACGGCAAGCACCTGTCGGCCGATGATGTGATTGACCTCTTCGCGCCAGCCGAAGCCGCTGTCGCGAGCGTCAAAGAATGGCTCCTGGACGCCGGGATCCGTGCTGAGACAATTTCCCTTTCGGCGAATAAGCAGTGGATCCAGTTTGATGCTCACGCCAAAGATGTTGAAGAACTGCTGCTCACCGACTTCTTCGAGTACGAGCATATCGGCTCCGGTAGCCTCACCGTCGCCGTGGAGCAATACCATGTCCCCCTTCACTTAGGTGAACACATCGACTACATCACGCCCGGAATTAAGCTCAGGGCTGGTCCCGGCAAGGTCAATTCAATGAAGCGTCGCGAGGCAGAAGATGCCGAGATAAGCAGGAAGCGCGGGGTGAGAGCCATGTACGATGCTGATGGCATTTTCAATACCAGGGACAGCGCTACGGTTGGCCTGCCATTACTCAACATGAGCGTGTGTGATGCCTACGTCACCATAGAGTGTATTCGGGCGCAGTACGGCATTCCCAACAACACGTTGGCCTCTCCGGGGAACGAGCTCGGATTTTTTGAAGGGCTAAATGACCACTACAGCCGCAACGGCCTTAACAAGTTCTTCTCCACGCTCTTCCCCTACATCCCAAATGGGACTTACCCGGAGGAACGACTCATCAACGGCGCCATTGGTGCGGTCGAAGATATCCCGGGATCCAACCAGTCCATGGATGGTGGCGAGTCCGATCTCGACATACAGGCGGCGTGGCCGTTGATCTGGCCCCAGAACACAGTGCTATTCCAGACAGATGAACAATTCTATGAGATCAGCTCGTCGTCAGCCAACACACCATATGTCGGCTTCTGGAACACCTTCTACGATGCTATTGACGGGTCGTACTGCTCGTACTCGGCGTATGGTGAAACGGGTGACTGTACCGCTGTGGACTGTCTCGATCCTGTGTACTCAGATCCAAACCCCGGCGGGTATAAAGGCCAGTTGGAGTGTGGTGTGTATCGCCCTACCAATGTCATTTCAATTTCGTACAGTGGCGGCGAGGCGGACTTCCCCGTCTCCTATCTTAAACGTCAGTGCAACGAAATCATGAAGCTCTGCTTACAAGGGGTCACGGTTGTTGAGTCCTCTGGGGACTATGGTGTTGGCTCCTTCCCGGGCGACGGCGGTTGGGAAACTGGTTGCGCTGGTCCTGACGGGGACGTGTTCTACCCTTCCGCAGACGTAAAGTGCCCCTATGTCCTGTCTGTTGGGTCCACTCGCTTCAACCACGTCAGCAACCCTAACGACACCACCACATATTACGAGACTTCTACTGGGTATAGCGGCGGTGGGTTCTCGAACTATTTCGACGCGCCCGAGTGGCAGAAGGGGGCTATCGCACGGTACTTTGACGAGGTGATGCTCGACTTCAAGGGGTACGAAGAAGCTGGGAGGAACTTCAGCAACGTCGGCAGCGGCGTGTACAGGAGAGGGGGCCGAGGTTATCCGGATGTGTCGTCGATTGGTGTGCATTACATGTCGTTCACCGAAGGACGATGGGCACGCGAGGGTGGCACATCGCTTTCGGCACCTATCTGGGCAGCGGTGATCACGCTGATCAATGAGCGGCGGCTGGCCGCGAATAAGAGCACGGTGGGATTTGTTCATCCTGTTCTAGTAAGTCTACTTTGTTTGGAGAATTATTAGCGATATGAGCGTGACCTTTTTACATTAACAAATACTGATTGATACTTGATAAGTATGCTCACCCAGAGGTCTTTACTGACATTACTGATGGCAACAATACTGCTTGCAACTCGACCGGTTTCCTAGCAGCAACAGGATGGGATCCAGTCAGCGGTCTCGGGTACGTTCCAAAACCCCAGGCATTGTGTGCTGGGCAATGTGAGACTGACACTTTCCCAGAACGCCTATATTCCCGAAGCTGGTCGATCTCTTCCTCGGATTATGATTCTGTGAAACCTTGTTCAGCTACATTATTTGGCCACTAGTATCTACTTCTTTCGTAGGCCTGTAGTCCTGACTACCTACCTTTCATGGGTGGACCAAGCTTCTATATTTGTTATAGACCATATGGATTGATTTCGTGATGGAGAAGGTCTGGGCAATGTATTTATCAGACAGCCCATGATCAACGGTATCTCAGGCACCAGCCGGCTCAGAAACTTGATTAGTATCAGCTACTGTCCATCGCGTGAGAGCATGATAGCTAAATAGATATATAGTGACTTGACTTGCTTGAGCTAAGTACGTGCAGAATCAGTCCTCGATCTAGGCTCGTATATAAAGAAATATGCACCGTACACCCCATTGCCACCATACGCAGAGTCATCCTGGACGAGCTCTGCTATGAGTCGAAAACCAATTCGTTTATACAGTTCAGCTCCCTCTCTTAAAGCGTGGACAAAGATTTCCAACCCCATCTTGTCTGCCTGGTCCATCCCGCTCTTCACCAATGCAGTGCCGACTCCTTTACGCTGATTGTCCGGATGCACAGCAAGGTACTCTAGGGCTGTCAACCGACCCGTTAGACCAGGGAATATTTCGCTAGAGCCGCACGTCATTGCACAACTTACTGATGTACGGTGTCTTTGGCGTCACTTCTTTCTCGAGCGCATTTACGCGAACCAATAGCTCATCAGCATCGTTATTAGGATCCCAGACAACGGTCTCGGCAGTCCGTCGAATCTCGGCCTCCTTCTCGGGCTCAACGGCGGGGACCTGGGCCTCGGGCCATGTTGGTGTGCCATCATCTGGGTTAATCTCATAAGAGGGTGGCAGGCGCCATCGAGCGTACCCGAGTATACAGCCTGTCTCTGGATCTACTGCTTTTTGATGTCGTAAGGCCTCCCTATTGTTCAACATGTTACGCGGGAAGCGTAGGGCTATCTGCGAGATGTGGTATTCGAGGGTCCGATGGCGCCAGGCCAGGACCCAATGCGGGTCAGCCCAGAAGGCGGGAATGCTGTTGGCAGCTAGGGCGGTGCCATCAGCGACGCTGCATTGGGAGATGATAAGGGGAGCCATGTTAGGTAAAGAATATTAGAAAGCCCGAGGAATAAGGCAGTCTATGGTAGTCTGCGGCAAAGAAAGGGAGAATAATTTGTGTTAGAACCTCGAAGCCTGCACCCCTAAGGATATTTCAAGCGAAGAGACTGGTGGGTGAAAAGTACGTCGGTGCCTTGTTTACCGAAATCCGAAGGTGGTCGGTCCAGTATTTCGGCAACCGACGAGGGTACGCGTGCACTTAGGACCATTAGCCCTGGCTTAATTAGCCGAGTCACTACGCTATCACAAAACTCATGTTTTCTTCCATGTGAATTCCTCAGCAACGAAAGTTTGTGATTACTGCTTCGTTTCACGTAACTCATCGACATTCAACTGATTGCCCTTTTAGGGTACACACTTGGGGAGCGATGATAGTCTGCATTAGCGCTCCGCAAAGCCCAACAATGGGCCTGGACCCCAGGCCCATAGCCCAACCAGCAGTGGGCTATGGGCTCAACCATCGAAGCACAACCCAACCCACAGCCATTATGGGCCCCCATTATAGCCCATTTAGAGGGTTCGTTTAGAGGAATATGTAATCCCTGTATTCTAGCTCTTCTACTGATCGTATGGTTTTGAAATTCAGAGTGTATATATTTAATCACTATACAAGTGTCTATGTTGATTTTAAATCAGATCTGACTGGTAGAAGTTGAAAAATATCAATATATGCATACCCGGTCCACCCACTTCAGCAACCGTATTCAACGCAGCCTCAAATTGCCTCGACGAGAATGAGCCAGCCGTCGGAATACCTCCAGCCTGACCAATTTTTAAATACCCAATCTGTTAAATGAATCATGAATCTCATATCCTGCTTTGTGTACATGAATTTGCATTTGAGCGCGATATCAATTTGGAACATCGCCATGATAGGCAACGTCAACTCCATAAATACTCTTATAGTGGTGTACAGGCAGTGTTTTGAAATATAACCAGATTCTCAAAGACATGGACGACTCTTATAAGTCCCGAGGTAACCGATGAACTTAAGACTCGCATGCCTTGGGTCCCCCAAGGCACGTTTCCTCAGACTTAACGTGCCTTAGACTTGGAGTGCATTGCACGTGATTATTATCTTCAGAAACATCGAAGACTCTCATTGTTCCAAGTCCATCTAAACCAGTCACAGATGCCGTACTACTGACTCGGGAAGAAGGATAAAGCGCGACCTCCTCGGGATGGGTGTCAGGGGGAAAAAGTCGAGGGAGCCGGTCAGTTTCCGATGCCGGGGATAACGTATCAATCCAAACGCCTTGGAGCAAGTCGTTGAATATGTTAGTTGCTGAAGATCATTACTCTGCCCTTTTCTTCTGGCAGATTGTTCTTCGGGCTGTAGCCGCCTGTTTCGCAGCTTTCTCTTGTGTTCAGTTGCTCTGTTATAATGATGGTCTGAGTTTCCGAACCAACCGAAGAGTGCCTTCGCAGGATACTCGGTGTTGGCTGCCAGAAACTTTGATGATTCAACGTTATCTTGGTGAACGCAACAATCTTTAGAGCGGAATTGAAGCGGGAGATAGCAAAATTAGAGTTAACAGGATGTAGGGGGGGAAAGCCGCACGAAGGTGATCCTTGAGCTTTTTATATTTCAGGCGTCATTGTCTCTTCGCCTCCGTTGCACTATGAAGCGAAATGCAAGAAGACCGGCAAAGTTTTCGGCTCAATAAATAATGCAGCATGGTAATGAGACTACATTTGTTATCAGCGCAGCTTCTTAACCTTTTGCTGCGGCCAATTGAAACCCGTCCTGTCTCGTAGTGAATCGACTGGAGGAAGCGCTTCCAGGAACACTGGTAGTATACATAATATAGACTGCGTGGGGGACTTTTTTCCGGGTTTGTACTCGGACCGATGGTTAATGTCTCCGCTTTTCGTAGCACGGCGTATCGATGCAGTCAAGGCCCATGACAGGGAACCTAAGAATATTTGCCCAATGTAGGCAGTGTTCAATGTTCTTGGGATCGAGCTAGCCCCGGACATAGAGATTCGAAGGCAATGAGGGCATTTGTGTTAGATTCTATTGGATGGACGGTGGGATGGAGCCTGTATTGTGAAGGAAAGAGTGGATTGTGAGATGTCTAACATCTCATATAAGTCGAAAGACTGGTTGATCAGCTGAGAATGGAGAGGTAGATTGAGATCGAATGAGACGGTTGGCCTGAGCGTTGGAGTGACAATCAGGGTCAGAGAGCAGCTCAGGGTTGCTCAGTGAGTAGCTCAGGGCGGCAGGGTGACTAACTCACCCTGTGCTCCGGGAGCCGATCACCTCCCGAGGCGGCAGTTTTACCGTCACCATTATCATACCTAGGTAGTCAAAATCCATGACGGCCCACTGATAATTAAAAACTGCCATAGTTCAACTCACGGGATTTGGCTGTAGTAGATACATCACGAGCTAAATAGATTGCAAGGGAGATATGAGCTGTGCAACGGTAGCAATACATTTCTTGGCGGAGCTGTTACTTTCCAGCGAATTTTTGACAAAATATATATAACTATCAATTTATAGATTTTACGAGTGGCCCAGGTGCTACCGGCATTCTTGGTCATAGCCTCGAGCCCTTGAAATCGCTGGGGCCAGGTTGACCAATCGTTCCAATATACTAGAAGGCTATACAATGTAAGAATGGTGTAGATGATTTATATGTTTCTAAGAGAGGCCAAAATAGAACTGTAGATACTGAAGTATAACAAAGACGGGGCTTCTGTTAAGCACGGACGGCAGCATTCCCAGTGATAATAAGACTATACTCCAACCAAGATATCAAGCGAATTACATAAATAATAATGAAAACGAGAAATAAATGATAGTTTTTACTCAATGCAGTAGCCAAGTAATCTATACAAATTTCACCAGGGTGAAAATGTACCCAGATGTGTCCAAGTGTCGGGCAAAAGTGTAGCGCTAATGAGCCTCATGACTCCGACCAAGTACCCGACATCCGACATGGGGTTCTTCTCTCTTTTTCTTCTACAGTCTCATCTTCAACTTCAGTTTTTTTTTTTTCTTTTTTTCTTTTTCATTATAGAGATCTTGGCTTTGTTCTCGATCGTCATTACATTGATCCGCCTTTGTCACGAGTCATCCCCACTCTTCCTCTTTCCTCCCCCCCAATATTAATCCCTGGACCTCAAATAATCACCCCGTCCGCCTTGCCAGTATGCGCCCCGGTTACCCTTAACCGTGATGCCTTTTAAAACCTCATGAAGTCACGCCCCATCTTGATACGCCCCATTTCGACCCGACACTTTCACACCCTCTGCCTCAACTTTCCATACGATATCACGCCCGCTAGCCTCAACTCATACCGCGCTTCTAGTGACAACTTATTTGCCTCTCAAATCCCTATTGAATGCTCTTCAAAGCCTCTTCCAGATATTAGACTCTTTACCGTGTCGCCGGGTTGGCCTCCTCAACGTGGCGCTAGCACCCGAGACAGCAGAATTGACACACGTTGCAGCTCCGCCGGTCGCCCACGCCATCCGATAATTATCAGTTCCTTTAATGCTCAGCTGTTTTGGACGATTGCTATACCCCAAGATACAGCTGGCTGCAACTTGACCAGGCTTGCCGTGGTGGCATTCGGCCGAGTCTGAGAGAACATGCCGGCGCGGGATCGCAACCAACCCGACGACCGTCAGGGTTCGGAGAGCTCTGGATACAGCTGGAGGTCGCAAGATACCGTGCGAAACTCGGAGAATCAGCCACTAGACCAATACGAGGCCTCTACGGGAGGTCACAATGCTGGCTTGTTTCCAGGTTCCCTGAAAATGGACTCTAAGTAAGCTTGCGTTTCTTCAAATAATACACTGACTCTCAATGCGATCACGGCGCGCCGAATAAAATCTTCAAATTTCAGAGACGCTGATGTTCATTTTGCTAGATCCGACTCCTCCAAACCCCCTCGGATTGACTGGGAGAATTCCATGTGGTCATGGAATTCCCCGGATATTTCCCCCACTGAACAACGTAAAGCCTCTGGCTTTGGGAATCACCGCGAGGCTTTGACTGTCCCAGGCAATAGACATAGCCCGTCCCAGTCATCCGCCTCGAGCCCTCGACCTCTACCCCTTCAACCATCTCGCCTCGACCCCGATGACATTGAGTCGATTGCCCCGTGGGCCACAGCCCCCAGCAGTGGTCAGCCAGATAACAGTGGTACTTTTTATAATGATTACTCGGAGCACGAAGCCTCGCCTGCTTCATTCACATTTCGCCCCACGACCGGACGAACATTCGCAAGCGAACCTGCCGAGTTGGAATATGGGGAACACCGCCGACCATCTGCTGCAAGTGCGACCACAGTCAGTAGCCAGGGGTCTAGATCTAGTATTAGCCAAAAGTTTCGAAAGAAGCATTTGAAAGGTCTACTTGGTGATGACTATCATTCGCCTGCGGAGCTTCAAACCGATGACGATGGTTCCCAGAACCCGCCGAGCAGGCGTGGGGGACCAGTCGACCAGTTGAAGGCCCGTGAGAGGGCGAACTCAGATGGCTCGCGCAATACGTCCGAGGGCTCCAACTCCTCGCAACGTTCCCAGAAGCCACGTGCAAATATCCCTTTGCCCTCTAGTGACGTCACTCCATGGGACTATCAGAGCTTCAATGACATCCCGCAGTATGGGGAGGCGCCAGTGCGCCATGTACCCATCGGTCCCGATGGACAACGTCTTCCGCCCTCGGAAAATGGTACCGCGGGGCAGAGGGAGCTAAGTCGGCGCGGACCCGGCAGACACCGTCCTTCACGGAGCAAAGAAGAGAACCCGACTGTTGCTGGCGATCTGGCATGGTCCCAACCTCGACCTGCTACTGGTAGAGACGACATTGGATTGCGGCCTTTCAATGAGAACTACTTGCATTCAACGACTGACATGAGCGATTCTACTGTATACGGGGGCCGATCGACAAGTCCAACGCCCAGTGTGCGTAGCACATACCGAGACCATGATCAGAACTCACAGCATCCCAGACTCGGTGGGTTTATCAAAAAGATTCTCGGAAAATCGCATGACAAATCGAGGAACTCTTCCCCGCCGCGGCGCGATAGGCAAGGAAGCTTCGGGGATGGGAGTACTCCTTCTCGATACCCAGAGTCAGTAGATTCGGACCGAAAGAAAGATTCTGGAAAGGGGGGGCTGGTTGTCGGAAGAAAACTTGGTAATCGTCGCGTGTTCACTCATCAAGGTGGTGATTATTATAACCCTAACAAGGACGACAAAACTCAAGAAGAGAACAAACACTTCTTCCACCTTGATGTCGATATGGAAAATTTGAAAGGGATTGTCCGTCCACCTTCGCCTGGGCAAATGAAGCGTGTGAAAGACGGAACGATCACACCTGGCGATGATTCTAAAGTCGAAAAGCCGTGGAATGCACCTGAAAGTTGGCAGGTCAGGGGGCCCGTCGACCTCACCTTGGAAGAACCTACCTCAGAGGAATCCACCCCCGTCGGTCCTCGTGAACGCGAAGCTTCGTACTTTATTCGGATCTTCCGAATTGATTCTACTTTTGCCACGTTATCGGCTGGTTTGAATGCTACCGTGTCCGAGATTCTTCTGATGCTCGGTCGGAAGTCTTTCTTGCAAGATCATCTCAACAATTATGAGATTGTTCTACGGAAAAATGATCTTTCGCGGCAGCTTGACCACAATGAGCGACCTATTCTAATGCAAAAGCGGCTGCTGGAACAAGTTGGCTATACGGAAAAAGATCGTATCGGAGATATTGGCCGTGAGGATCACAGTTATCTCTGTCGCTTTATCTTCTTACCGACCAAGCTCAGCGGTTACAGCAGTCTCGAGAGTGAACCAGGTTTCAACAAAGTGCAAAAGTTCAGCCATGTGGATCTCCAGGGCCGCAGCCTTGTCACTATCCCAATTACGCTGTATGCAAAATCTTCCGAGATCATTTCACTGAACTTGTCGAGAAATTTGTCATTGGACGTCCCCAAAGACTTCATTCAAAGCTGCATTAATCTGCGAGAGATCAAGTTCATCGGGAATGAGGCCGCATTCCTTCCACAAAGCTTTGGTTTAGCCGCCCGATTGACCTATCTGGATGTGTCAAACAACTGCCTTGAGGACTTGGATCATGCGGGTCTCGACCGTCTGACTGGACTTGTCAGCATCAAGATGGCAAACAATCAGTTAACCAAGCTTCCCAGCTCTTTTGGCAATTTCCAAAACTTGCGAAGCCTGAACATGTCGTCAAATAGTTTCAAGGTCTTCCCCGATTTCCTTTGCAACCTCAAGAGTCTGGTTGATCTCGATATCAGCTTCAATGGCATCGAAGAACTTCCCAATATTGGCCGCTTGGTCACTCTCGAACGCCTCTGGATGACAAACAACAACCTGAGCGGGCCTCTCGATGATTCCTTCGGGAACTTAGTGAACCTCAAGGAGTTCGATGGACGCTTCAATGCTATCACTAATATTGATGCTCTCTCGAGTCTCCCACGCCTAGAGCAGATATTCTTTGGTCATAATCTTCTATCTCGATTCAAAGGCTCATTCCCGAGGCTGCGGAGTCTACATCTGGACCACTGCCCTATGACACAATTTGATATTGATGCTCCTATGCCAACATTGACTTCACTGAACCTTGCCTCCGGCAAGCTCTCCCAATTCAAGGACACCATCTTCGAGCATTGCCCGAACATGACGAAGCTCGTCCTTGACAAAAATCACCTGTCCTCAGTCTCGTCTCAGATTGGCAAGTTGCGTCGACTGGAACACTTTAGTATGATCAAGAACCCACTATCGTCTTTGCCTGCAACCATGGGTTGCCTTGCCGAGCTTAAGCACCTTAATTTGAGGGAGTGCAATTTGACATCTCTGCCGGCCGAAATTTGGCATTGTGCTAAGCTGGAAGTACTGAACATCTCCTCAAACATTCTTTCGAGCTTTCCAAAATATGGTGCTCCGTATCCTCAAATGCCCGGTGAGCCTACAAACACACCTGCGGCTACACCTGGCATTGCTGGAAACCCCAGCTACGAAGATATAGGCCCGCTAGATGAGCCAGGTCTACGTCGACCTAGTCAAACGTCGAATGGGATCATGAATTCTGTCTCGCCCAACGGGTATCGGAATCCTTCAACTGGCCAACCTGGCAGGAAGGTTTCAGCGACGTCGCGATCATTTACCGACCCGAACTCAGGGACCCGGAAGGACTCGAACTTCTCTCAGCAGATGGCAATGACGTTTGCAGCGTCCCTTCGAACTCTTTCACTTGCCGACAACCGACTTGAAGATGATGTTTTCCGGGAACTATCCTTGCTACCAGAGCTGCGTATCGTCAACCTTTCCTATAACGACCTGACGGAACTACCGCAAGGAATCCTCAAAAGATGGCCATTGATTTCCGAGCTGTACCTGTCCGGTAATGAGCTGACCTCTCTCCCGTCCGATGACCTGGAAGAGGGAAGCAACCTCAAAGTTCTTCATATCAATGCCAATCGGTTCCAAGTCTTGCCTGCAGAGCTTTGCAAGGTTAGCAAGCTTTCTATTTTGGACGTGGGGAGCAATGGGCTCAAATACAACGTGTCAAATTGGCCCTATGATTGGAACTGGAACTGGAACCGCAATCTCAAGTATCTGAATTTCTCGGGCAACAAGCGTCTCGAAATCAAGCCAAATATTGCGTCGCTGGGTCCCCCGGCGGCCAATGGCGCTGACTTGACTGACTTCAACTCCCTGACTCATCTCCATGTTTTGGGACTGATGGATGTCACACTCACCATCCCCACCATTCCGGAGGAGACTGAAGATCGCCGTGTGAGAACATCTGCCTCCTTGGCTGGCACTCTCGCCTACGGTATGGCCGACACTCTTGGCAAGACCGAGCATCTATCTATTATTGATATGATTGTTCCGCGGTTGAAGCAGGATAACGTGGAAACACTTGTGGGTATGTTTGATGGACAGACACTCTCCAGTGGAGGTTCTCGTGTCGCAAAGTACTTGCATGAGAATTTCACTTCTACTTTCTCGTTTGAGCTTAAGAAACTGCAGCGAGATCAGGATGAAACACCATTAGATGCACTCCGACGGTCCTTCTTGGCATTGAACAAGAATATGGCAGGCTCTGCCTACAGATCCATTGATGACCGTGAGGTCCGACAGTACCATCGAGGATCAACTGCAGCCAAACTGCTCAACCAGGACGACATTCAGTCTGGCGGTGTTGCTACTGTCTTGTATCTGAACAACATGGACTTGTACGCCGCCAATGTTGGTGATGCTCAGGCTATTTTGATCCGGTCAGATGGTTCAATGGTTTCTTTGACGCAGAATCATGACCCCGCAGAACCTAACGAGCGCGCACGCATCCGTGCAGCAGGAGGTTTTGTGTCTCGCAACGGCAAGCTGAATGATGTGCTCACCGTGTCGAGGTGCTTCGGGCATTTCCCTATGATGCCTGCTGTCATTGCGGCCCCCTCTACAATGCATCTCACTTTGACGGAACAAGATGAGATGGTTGTTCTGGCATCCAAGGAGCTATGGGATTATGTCACTCCTGAAGTGGTGGTCGACATCACTAGGAGAGAACAACTAGATTTGATGTTTGCAGCTCAAAAGTTGCGTGATTTGGCTATTTCCTTCGGTGCCACCAATAAGTTGATGGTGATGATTCTTGGCGTTGCGGAAATTCAAAAGAGACGCCCAAAGCCTCGTCCTTCTCTCAACACTGGCTCGTCCACATTTGCCGAAGAGCAGATCATCGCAACTGCTAAACGCCCCAAAAAGCGCGATGGGCCTGGAGATTCACGACTCGCGCGCTTCGAAGCCGTGGATGCCCCTGACGGTGAATTGACTATCATGTTCACTGATATCAAGAAATCCACAGGCCTATGGGAGGTTTGTCCAGATGCTATGCGCTCTGCTATTCAAATCCACAATGACATTCTGCGTCGGCAACTTGCAATTTTTGGTGGTTACGAGGTCAAAACAGAAGGTGATGCTTTCATGGTGGCTTTCTCAACCACGACGGCGGCATTACTATGGTGTTTCAACTGTCAAAACCAGCTCCTTGAAGCCGAATGGCCTACAGAGATTCTTGATCAACCCCAGTGCCGAGTCGTTGTTGACATGGACAATAATGTTATATTCCGTGGCCTGTCTGTTCGTATGGGTGGCCATTGGGGCGAGCCTGTCTGCGCAAAGGATCCGGTCACCAGTCGAATGGATTATTTCGGTCCAATGGTGAATCGTGCATCGCGAATCTCTGCCGTCGCCGACGGGGGACAGATTTTTGTTTCCTCGGATTTCATGACCGACATTCACCGCAACCTCGAGATATTCGCGGATGCTGAGCGCTCTGCATCTACCAGTTCGATCGAAAGCCATCCCCGCGGCGATAGCATCGGCCACAATATTCGTCGTGAACTACAACAGCTCAATAGTCAAGGTTTCATTATCAAAGATCAAGGCGAGAGAAAGCTGAAGGGTCTGGAGAATCCGGAGCCTCTCTACCTTGTTTACCCCTCCTCGCTTTCTGGTCGCATGATTTCTTCGGAAGAACCACAGGATCGTGATAGCTCCGCTGCAACTATAAACCCAAATAATCAACTTGACATCCAGACAAACGTCATTTGGCGTCTCTGGGAAGTCACACTCCGTCTTGAGCGACTTTGCGGTGCTTTGGAGCAGCCAAGTGAACCGAGCCTCAGAGAACCGAACGTCGCTCTCTTCAACATGGTTAAGAGGCACGGGGGTGAACTCAACGACTCCACTGTCCTCAGTTTGATCGATCAACAAGTCACCCGCATCGAGGTTAGTTCAAATTCCCCGGCCTTGCATTTTTCTACCCTCGCATCCTAACAAATTCCAGGTTTGCATCAACACACTCTCCCTACGCCACATGATGCGTCCCTTCAAACCAGGCGACACTCTCAATGACCACGCCGTACCCATCAACGAGGTGCTACAGCAACTACAAACACAACTCGCCGAATTCCAAGCCCTCAAAGAGCAGATGGCCGTTGGTGCTGCAGGCAACATCGGCGGTCCACCACCTCACTATGGAAAAATGGGACATTCAGATAGTATCGACAGCGGTATTACCTCCACCTCGTCATCCTTCCTCCACCTCCCTGGCGATGCCAATCGCTCTTTTGATTCCGGCCGCGGCCCTCTTTGATTTCTGCCGTCTGGCCGATTGCACTAATTTCGATCTTACTTTTGATTTTACTTTTGGTTGGCTTCTACTTGCTTTTTTTGACCTGTTTATTTTCTTGTATCTCTCTGGCTTTGTTTTAGTGGGCGGCGTCCCACTGGCGGGGAAGGGGTCTGCAGATTGTTTTATATAAAGCATTATGGCATGGAGCCACGGTGAGTGTTTCGGTATTCTTTATTATTGGCTTTGATCTGCTTTGAATGTTAGGGCTGTAATTAGCTCGGACAGTGAATATATATTACAGTCTATATGATACTCTCATTGGTTTCTTATCATTGTGTTTGTGCTTAGCTCTCAATGAAACGGGATCATTCCCACTCGTGGACACCTGCTACAGACGTCCATGAGGTATGGAGTATAGACTTCGCCATGACTTTTTCGAGATCGTGAGGATGAGTATGATATGCAAATGTCAGTTTGCAATGAAGAGATATAAGACAACTTCCTGTCATTTAGGTTCGCTATGTAGTTGTCTTTATCAAATACCAGTGTACGGCGTACATAGCCTTGGAATCCCAGTTACTGAGGCATGACGATGGGTCACGTGCTAATGTTTATGTGTACGTCATCGACTCTTTGTTTTCTTTTTTCTTGCTCTGCTCCCCTCTCCATCTGGTAAACTGAATCCAAGCTCAAAAAAAGGAGATATCTGTTTCTCGGGCTTTATTGCCTAAATCTGCATCGTGAAAACCATTAATACCAACGTCGGCCGTTTTCGCGCCCCACCTGTTGCCCTGGCTACGAACTGAAGGAATGACCGAACTGGGTCTGGCGTAATTGACAGCTCGACAAAAGAATAACACTTCTCCTACCCCAGCTTAGATTCAAAAGAGGGAGCGATCGCTGGTCTTTCCACTTGCATATTCAAATTTCGTCTAGTCACACGCAGTGCTGCAAGTTCACTGCCCATCTCAACCAAAGTCCCGCTAGAACACGCCTTCCCGGTCGGGTGTTCGCACACTGCACGCCGCACAATATGGCGGATGAACTGGAATATCTCCATCCAGATTTCGATCTGAACTCTCTCACTGTCCCTCGTCTCCGGTCCATTCTCGTTAGCCACGATATCCCCTACCCCGCCTCGGCAAAGAAGGCTCAACTGATCGGCATCCTCGAAGATGAAGTCCTGCCGCAAGCCAGAAAGCTCCTGCGCGATCGTGACACGGTTCGGCGAACTAGTATGGGGATTACTGACATGAGCAGTCGGTCGACATCCGTGGCCAGCGACGCAAACGACAGAGAGTCAATGCCGCCTCCAGCTACACCCTCAACAGTCGGGTCCACAAGCAGAGGCCAGCGAGGTACATCGCGACGCAGCACCCGCCACTCAACCGCAGATGCTGATGATGTTTTCGGCCCTGCCACACCTGTCAGAAACACAAAGCGCACGAGCGTTGCTCGCTCGGTGGGTAAACACGCTCGCACGTCTGACACGGAAACCGGTGATGACACACTCGTCACCCCAGTCGCTGCCATCCGTCCTACGCCTCGCAAATCGACAGCTAGGAAGGTTGGACGAAGCGAGATCCTCCCATCGACAGAATTAGACGAACACACTCCCGGTGCCAGGTCAGGATCACACCATGAGAGCACGTTTACGGATGACAACCCTTTCCAGAGCGGAAGCCCCGAGGCTCCTAAAAGCGCAAGGATGAGTTATGATGCTAAGCGGAAGAGTGCTTCGCGCTTATCCACCGATAGCCCGGCTCGGGGCCGCGGCCTCAGGTCGCGGAAATCAGCAACTCCGTCTAGCGTTCAGCTAGATGATGGTTTCCAGCCACCTCATCGGGACTCATTTGATTTCGATTCCCGATTGATGCCTCCACAGGAGGAGCCTGGGGAGGAGTCGGAGGAATCGGAGGAAGATGAAGAAAGCGAAATTGGGGCTGGTGAAGAATTCACGCCTGAGGAACAGCTCGCTATGTCTATGGAACATGATCAGTACTCGCCACAAGTTCAGACTAGGCGACGGCCGCAAAAGCAAGGAACTCTCAGCCGCTTGGCCCCTTGGGTGGTCATTCTTTCCCTGGCTGGCAGTTTTGGTGCCTGGTGGCGCAAAGAAAAGCTCGAAATCGGATACTGTGGCCTGGGAAAGCCCACCTGGTCTTTGGCAGACACAAAGGTTCCTGATTGGGCGAATGTTTTGGAGCCACGATGCGAGCCATGCCCAAGCCACGCCTTCTGCTATCCGAATTTTGAAGTGCGCTGCGAAAATGATTTCCTTTTGAAGCCGCATCCTCTTGCTCTTGGGGGCCTGGTCCCGTTACCGCCAACATGTGAACCGGATAGTGAAAAGGAGCGCCGCGTGAAAGCCGTTGCTGATAAAGCCGTTGAGGAGCTTCGTGAACGCCGGGCAAAGTGGGAATGTGGTCAGCTGAAGGAAGACGGCAAAGGCGCCAGATCTCCAGACATCAGCGAGCCGGAATTGAGGGAAGAGGTCGCGAAGAAACGCCGCAAGGGCCTGAGTGACACCGAATTTGACGAGCTGTGGAAGGGCGCCATTGGCGAGATACTTGGTAAAGATGAAGTTATCAGCAAGACCCAGCAGTAAGTTTGCTCCACCCTAGGGATTATTGTGTCTCCTTGGCTACGCTCATCGCTCTGGATTTCCACATCCAGTGGCATTTCTTAAAAAGATCTGGTCTGACCTTATGTACCGGAACTGACAGAGGCGCGTTCGCAATCACAGAAATACCGGCATCCTTGTCCTCTCCTCTACCTCCATTGCACGGCTCCCACTCGCATGCGCCGTCCGCCGCCACTTCCGACTCGCTCTCCTCGCGTATCGACTCCCTATTTCACTTCTAATCCTAGTCATTGGCCTTCTTGTGTACGCTCGTGCGCGTGTTCTCGCACGTCGGTCTGACATCGCCCGCGTACCTGAATTGGTAGCTACAACCCTAGACCGACTATCCACGCAGGCTGCACTATACGCCCGCGGCGATGCTAAAGAACCTTACATTGCCATCGGTCAGCTCCGCGATGATGTCCTCCGCTTTGAACTCCAAGGCAAGCGTCGCGAGGAGCTTTGGCGACGGGTCCGCAACTTTGTCGAGGGCAACGCTAACGTCCGCGCCTCTGTACGGGAAGGACGGAGTGGTGATGTTTCTCGAGTCTGGGAGTGGATTGGTGGGATCAACGCCGTTGGCGAGCCGGAGCATACTGGCCGCCGTGAGAGCGCACGATTCTCTATCCCTTCTCCATCTAGCAACATCATAACAAGCCCGCACACCCCTGCGGGTGAAGGTCAACCTGAGCCAGCTTCTAGTCCGAGAGAATCTCGCCGCTGGGATGAAGGCCGTCCGATCTACTAGTCCTCGTCCTACGGTTTAGAGGATACCTTGGTACTATGCCCCCAGCTTGACTGTGACTGTATTCCTTTTGATATCCCACCTGTTTTTCTTTCCCAATGTATGAGATAATGGATTTTGTTTGCCGGGAGCTTTTTTTGGTTCTTTTCTACACACTTGATTCTCTACTTCCTTTGCCTACTTTATCAGTACATATTATTTTCTGTCCATACAAATTCCATCACCCATTCCAGTCAAAAGCTTGGTTTTTCTTCAGACACATTCTTTATACCAGCACTTCCTACTTTGCGCGTGATATCTAAAATGATGTACAATATAGTCGACCTGTAATTCTTCCTCTGGGTTTTACTAGTGCCTTGCGCCAAGCCGAACCCTAAGCACTGCATGTATGTACATATGCGACATGCAACACACCTCATCAGGTACTCGAGTATATCTAGTAAGAAGGGCTTCTGCTGCACGCGAATATCCATAATTTAGAGAAATTCACACATCAATTTCTGATAATCTCGTGAGCATATCGCCACTGAAAGCCCCGGTCCAGACGGTTTAACCCAGCCACGAAGATCATTACCAATACTCTTAAACTATATAGTGCATAGACATACTATGCGTTCGGTTAACACGCATGTGGGGAAACAAGCACTAGTCACTCTAAAGCTCGTTCTACCGTGTGACCAGTGCGAAGAGTCTCACTAGTACATACATATATGTATGTAGCACTCCATATAGATAAGAATAATTCAATTTACATGATTTGATATTCATCCATATGTTGTACAACTTTTCCCAATCACTCTATAGCCACTCTACTAGCTTCAATGTCAATACGGGTCTCGGTTAAGAAAAAAAAGTACACACATATCGCTCTCGCTTTCGCTCTTGACCGTCTCAATTCCCCTTGGTGCCCAACGCATCGAGCTGATAAATCAGTATCCCCATCGGTCTCAAACCCATGGCTAGTGCACGTGCACTTATGCCGGCATCAATGCTCTAGGTATAGATTGAGCGGGGAATGTTGGTGTGTCACTGATATTCTTTGTTCGTCTTTTTGTTTCTAGGACTATGAGAAGCATTGGTAGAGACTAGTGTATGAACTTCCAATGAAACGGGGTAATGTGAAGTGATGTTTGAAGCTACTGTAAGCCGTGCGAGTCATGTACATATCAAATGATTTGTAATATCATGGAACCATGTACTTCGTACGAAGTACATTAGACATACCCCAATGTCATAGTTGTTACACCTATGGGTGGCTACCATCACAGTAGTTCAAACGATCATTTGTAGGTGTGCGATACTTAGTTCAAGAGTTGCTAGGCATATACTGCAACATAGACCAATCAGCAAGATAGGAACGAAGTGATACATACCCCGTACTCCGTCTAGTGTCGGAACTTTCGGTAAAAAGGAGATGCTTGTCTAGCCAACCAACCAGCTCGCATGTTGCTCCGGGGGCAACGTTCCCCAAGGAGATGGGGCTGCTTATGTGTGTGCTTGACGTGTGACAGGCTAGGTGCCTGTCCGGGCGCCAAAATACCTATGTAGGCACGTCGGTAAGGTAGGATAGCCCTAAATTAAGGGGAAAACTGTGGCAAATTCCGATTTTGACCGCTTCTTGAGGGCCATCTATCCTATCAAGAAGCGCTGGGGGTAATGGAGTGGGTACGGGCAGTGTCTGTAGCCCGAACTCCATACCTAATAAGGTGCTAGGTTTTCGTTTTTTTTTTTTCTCTCCCTCACTCCCTTTTTCCTTTTTTTCACAAGATTACCATTTCATCTCTGGCCCCGCTCTTCTTAGTGCCTTGGTGCCGAGAAACACTAAGTTAGGGCAATAATGTAACGGTGTACGGAGTAGACATATTGTGGATGATTGCTCTAGGGTAGCTTGGGGAGCTTTCTTCCTTGCGTCGCCGTACCTACTCCTCCATAAGGGATAAGTCAGGAATACGTACGGAGTGTGCTGTAAATGGGTTCTAGGGGCTATATAAAGTTGTGGCGCCGAGGATCTGTGAAACAGACGCAAAAGCTGTACTGATAGAAGCATGGGGGTTTAGGATAGGCAGGATAGGATGTGGTACGGAATATGTAGTATTGACACGGATCAAGTAGTGCAGAGGTTGCAGCTGTGCATATAGAATACTCCACACTTTGTACCGCTTCTTCGAGTAGACATTATATGTGGATGAGATTTGGATCAGAGACGGTTCTTCACATCCCTGCAGTTATAGGCCCTTCTCGCTTGATATCCGAGCCATGGGACTTTGGAAGCTTTCAAAGTTTTGTGGAGGCAAATCATGAATGGCGCGGAATTATTCTCCTGAGAATGAGTGGACGTCAGACAGCTATGACCAAGTTCGCGACATGTTCTTGCTTTTTTCCTTTCTCTTTTTTCTTTCCACCGAAAAAAAGAAAAAGAAAAAGAAAAGAAAAACAGTGGTTACAGCTCAAGGATGTATACTCTGTATAGCACACGGTGAAGTCTCTAGTAAGGAACATGACCATGGAACACTTCCAAGCTAGTTGGCCTGTCATTGCTACGCCCACAATTAGGTCCACTTGTGTGTTCTTGCTAACCAGATAGGTAAGCTACGTGTAACTTAAATGTTGGTTACAATCAGGGAGCAATATATCCCCCTACACAGGAATTTGAATACATGTCAAAAATCTCAGCAAGTTGTGGAACAAATAGTAAAAGCCCCGAATCCGGTACCACATAGATATAGTATACTCTCGGTTTCTATTGACTGATAGCTTGAAAGTGTGCTTGAAGCTCACATCCATCCGAAGTCAGAAGTGGCGAGTAAAATGGAAATTAGTACGGTGGCAAAACGGCCATAAGTGGGGTTTGTCACCTTAGGATTTCCGTTGACAGAAACACATGAATATTCTTATATAGGATGTACAACATAGTACAACATAGGTACATCCAAAACCGGGGTTATCTTCCGGAACCTTTAAGCGAGTGTTACGAGGGTTCTTCAGAGAAAAAGGGGGACAATCTATGGGACTCTAGATTTTTCGATCGACAGGACTGAAAATGGTCTTTTCCGAGCCAAATGCATTTGAATGTCAAGAGAAAAGACAGAAAAATAATCCAGATCGACCAATGATGTTCAAATGATATCGATCCTAGAATACAGATCCGTAGCCCTGAGACATGATTTCAGGTAGGAACGTGGCTGAGCCTATCAATTACCCTGGAAAATAACTCCGGGGTAAATGAATTAGGGTTGTAGGTATACAATCTAGGATGGATCTAGGGTGTAGGATATGGATAGGATAGAGGCTGGAAAGGATATAGAAGGCTATGAAGCATATTACACAAGATCATGGTAATCGACATATTCTATCTATTGTATCTTGATCGTTCGATTCCGTCAACTCCGTAGCAAGGCTATGAAGTCCGATCCCTTGTACTCCGTACTCCGTACGGAGTACTGATTTACCCCCAGCTCCTCGATATTCCCCTGATTTTGATATTCATTTTGACAGCCAATGTCTTATATACATATCAAGCATTTTCTGGGGGTTTGGGGGGTTTTTCTCTCACATCTTTTGACATCTGTTACTTATTTTTGCGACATACCTAGGCCCACATCCGCCACTCGATCCCTTTTTCCCTTTTTTTTTTTTTCTTTAATTCTTCCCTGTTATTTTCTCTGATTCTGATTTTCCTGTTTTTTAAGGATTTCTATTTCTATTTCTTTTATTTTATTTTCCATTACCTCCCCTCCCCCCCCCACTTGGTCCTCATTTTCCTCCTAATCGAGAGGCGCACAGTGCAGAATTCATTGAGGTCTAGCACGGCCCCAGGGCCCCTCTTCTCGGTCTCCAGTCTATAATTCGTTCTATTGTCCATCTCCCATGTGACTTGCTTGATTATCATGCTTTCAAATGGTGGTTAGATAGAAAGTTGGGTTTCTGATTTGTGATTTACGTTTGCGCTTCACTTTTGCGCTTGATGAGTGAACAGACACCCCGAGGCTATAGGCCTCTTGCACCTCGCACCAGACTCCTCGGTGGTAGCGGAGGGGATGGAGGAGAGGGAGGGAGTCCTGCTGGCGGGAATGCACCAGAAGAGAAACGTATGAGACGAGCATCGACCGCTTGTACAGAGTGTCAAAAACGCCGAACTAGGGTACACATTACACTTCCTATTTTCCTGAACATCTCTTCCTTGTTTCTAATCCATATGGAAATCAAATTAATCTGACATCTTATCTTCTTCTTATGTTTTGCTAGTGTACCGGCCCACCTCATTGCACCGAATGCTCAACCCACGCCCGCGAATGTGTCTTCGATGAAGCTGCCGACAGACGCCGGAAGGCCTCCGCCAAGCGAATCCAGGACCAATTGGACCATTTCCGCTCATTTGTGGACGATCTCATCGGGCTCATTCGAGACAGTGATGGCCCGACGGTGCAATTAATCGTCAACACCATACGATCGGGAGCAACCCCTGGAGAGATTCGAGACACTCTCACTCGGATCTTGGAAGATCACCATCAACCCACCCTTTCAGACATGCGCGACTCACACTCACACCTGAACCTAAACATTACTCCAAACAATCACATGGGCAATTACTTCAACCCCCTCGTTGATTGAATCCGACCTTTCGGGCAGTATACGCATCCCTGGACCAATATGTCCCAGCTTTATCCCCGTTCTTCCCCGACTCGCCGAAATTTCTCGATCCCAAAATCGAATCCAACAAATCTGGTTGTTTCATAGCGTTGCCTTCATAGCTTTTATATGTGTGTTTCTCCCGAGATGAAGCCAGCCGTCACATTATCCCTCGTTCTAGCTGTGTGACCAGCTCTCGATCTTTATGTTTATTGCCGTATCTCGAGACAGATTGAGATCTCGCAAAGAAACCAAGACTGTTCCTATCCTCTTACCCGAAGCCTAGATATCTTTTTTCTTTTTGTCGCATATCCTTTGCCATCCCAGAAGGGGCTTTTGATAGCTCGCAAAAAAAGAATTGCGGAGAGTCCCGATATACCTTCACAGAAGTGATCATGTCCAGAGATACCCACTTATAGCTTGTCACCTTCAGACTTTGTTTCTCGGGTTGGAGTTACATTCCGGGGGTGTTTGTGGTTTTGGAGAAAATGGGATTTTCTTTTCATATATTGACTCTTCCACGCAATTGAGCCTGACATGTTACTCGTTCAAGTCGTTCTCGGGTTTGGGGTAGAGAACATGCATATCCAATGTCTCCCCATTGCCTTGACTTACTCGGCTATATATGGTAGTCTAACGAGATCTTCCGGAAGGTATTTTCTGGTCAAGTACCTGGAGCTAGGGCTGATCTTCTTCCCTCATTCTCATCCTCATAGCCTTGATCCATAGCTCAAGGATTCTTCGGCAGGCTTTGTTCCAACCTCGATTCGATCAAATACTAATATGCTCCCTCGGTCTATGTCTGTGCTTTGTCTCCAGATCGAGCTCTCTGTTGGAATCCATAATCATACTTACATGTGCCGATCAAACCGTCTCCTAATTTCTATCTGATGGACAGTGCCAACGTCTGTGCTTTCCCAGCTAACAAGTGTACACGTCTATGGTAAATTTGCCTACTACGGTTCATATAAGAATATGAAATATCCGCTCAACTAGCTACAGAGAGCAAGATGATATCTATACGATCGTCGCATTCCATGAATAGCCTGATGAAACCCTAGGGAGATGATCTCAATCACCGGTGTAGTTCATATATCTAAAGTCACGAGAATCCGGGGAGGTGGAGGCATCCCCGCGACCGGAGACTTGCCGAGATCTTGTGCTTTGCCAACTTCCCCCTCTTCCTCGATACTTCTCTTTTCATCTATCTCCTTTCGATATTTCCCGGGATTGAATTTCCTGCGGCTTGTCTTGCCGATCTCAATATGACAACCACTAGCGTTGCCATGCAATCTCGGCCCGCGATCAAGCTAAATGAAATCACAGAGTTGCCGTCTAACAAGAGGAAAGCATCCGACAGATTAAAAGATGGTGTTGCACACCGTCAGAAGATTACCAGAGCCTGTGACTCATGTAAAGTAAAGAAAACCAGGTGCACGGGTACTCTACCATGCACAAGATGTACACGACTGTCACTGCCATGCAAATACAACGCCGCATACTCTCGGGGGTTACCACCAGACCCTCTTCCTGCATCGCCGAGTCCACTGACCCCGACTGGTCGTGCACTACAGGATATGGATAGGCAAACCTCAACCAGCCCCAATCTACAGGGAAATGATCGGGACTCGGTTGTGACCGACAATCTACTTCCCAACAAAAACCAGCACCAGCATGTGATATCAACACGGAACTCACCAGAGCCAGGATCAACCGATTTCGAGGGTAATTACCTCGGTCCTGCATCCGGCGTGTCGTTTATCAATCGCGTGTGGAGCCGTCTGCATCAAGATGAAACGACGCACTATCCGGATGAGCTCCAAAATGAGTCCTCGCGGAATACAGCTGTCTTCATGTTTGGCGACAAGCCTTACTCAAATTCCCAAGAGGCAGAGTTTACCCTCCCGTCTCTGGAAAAGGCACTGGAGCTGGTGGGAATATACTTCGATTACTCGATGGTGACTTATCGGTTCGTGCACAGGGGCAATGTGGAAGCGTGGACTAGACAGGTTTACCAAAATAACATCGGTCTCTCTAACCTCCCCGTGGGGAATATGGTGGCTCGGACTGCTATAGTTCTCATTATAATTGCTGTGAGTACTTTGTACGTGGAAATGAGGCCTGGGGGAATGCATGGTGGGCAGGGTGAGAGACTAGAAAGGTCAGCAATCTCTTGATGCGGCGGGAAGATTGGCTTACTGAGATATTACAGTGAGCGCTGGTATGCAGCGTCGAAATACATGTCTTCCCTCGAGTCAGGGCCGCCACGATTGGAAACCATCCAGGCCCGACTGGGTCAATGTCTATATTTGCTGTCATCGTCACGGGCTAACGAATGCTGGTACTCATTCGGCACGACAATGCAGATTGTGACTGCACTCGGACTACACAGGAAACAGCCAGCCAAAGTCTCAAATAACAGGTGCTCTTATCTAGAATTGGAGCTCCGCAAGCGCATTTTCTGGAGTGTGTACACTCTAGACAAATACCTAAGCATTATGTTTGGAAGACCCCGACTGCTTCACGACGAGGACATCGACCAAGAACTACCGAACGAGACGAACGACGAAGATTTACTTGAAGAAGATCCGACTCGAAGAACAGGATCCACGGACAGCATGATGATTGCCTCTATACTTCATTACCGGTGAGTCTCGCATACCTCCTACCCCTGCACTTATACTCATATAATACCTGGGCGCCTAACACAAAATCCAGACTCGGTCGAATTCTAGGCGATATATCCCGCCAACTATATAGTATAAACACCCTCCCTCGAGACTCCCCCCTCGAGACCGCAATCCGCCTAACCGCCGAACTCGAAAAATGGAAAGAAACCGCGCCCCCGTTATTCAACAGTGTTCACCCAACCAGTCTCATCCCGCCTCTTTGCCGCCAAAGCCAAGTCCTTCAACTCGCCTACTCTCATGCCATGATTCATGTCACTCGCTCGTTCCTCTTGAACGATTTCACAGACCTCAGCCGCAGACCGACAGTCCCACACCCGATGGTCAGCCCGCACGTCCAGAAATGTATCCAGGCTGCTGAGGACATCATGACGATAGTCGACGGCCTTGCGCATCAGGGTGTGCTTATTCAGTCCTTCTGGTTCACACACTACGTGGGCTTCTGTGCTGTTTTGGTCGTTTACATCCATACGATTCAACAGCATCGTAAATCATTGGACGGGTCTAGCTCAGCCTCGGTCTCTTCGGTCGGAAGTCCCGATGACCCAGATAAATTGCGCCAAATTTTTTCTCTTGCTGAATCTTGTCAGCAACACCTTGCCGAAGCCACGCGCAAGAACTGTCCAAGTCGTCGCTATGGCATTATTCTGGAGGAGCTGAGACGGGAAGTTCATCGACAGATTGGACCCAATGGACTCGTTGAAAATGGGGCTCATTCTTCTGGTGAAAATGATAATTCATATGTCTCGGGGGAAGTTTCACAAAATACTGATGTGAAATCTGTCTACTTTGACCCCCAGATGGTTGATTTTATGATGCAACCATCCGATGTGATGGTAAATGCCGGAGACGATGCAGGCTTCCTTGAGAGCTTCGAGGGATCTATCTGGTGGGCTCAGCTTGACTCATGGGTATGTTTACGTTTTCCTTGACGAGTACGAGTACGGGAAGTCAATCGCTTATACAGAGCTTTTGTTGACACTTCTTCTCTAGGCTTTGTCTAATCTCCCTAATGACTCATCTTCATTTAGCATTTAAGCACAGAATGGATGTAGCTCATGGATCATAAAGTCCAAATCGCGTTCAATTGCAAATATCCTGCTACAGCTCGCGTCACATTCTAGCCATCCTTCCCTCAACACGCTATCCAGTCATAAATTTGGATTCAGTGGCGCTCAAGACTGCATGAGACTACCACGGTGTATGTTCTCCAAGTAGTCATCAAACTTTGCAGACACCTCAATAACATCCTTGAGATGATTGTGCGTGAGAATCTCTTTTTTCCACTTCGCGTATTGACGAGCAGTGGTTATGGCATTCCGAATCTGCCGACCATTCAAATTCTCCCTTTGAAGCACATCCAAGCTTCCCATAAGATTCTCAACGTCAATAGCATCTTCATCAAACTTATCCAGTCGCTGGATAAAAGTCTTCCAGATGATTCGTCGCTGCTCTTCGCCGAGAGGGGGATAGTGCAGTGCCAACTGTATGCGCGATTTGAACGCTTCGTCGAATGTGCCTACCCGGTTGGTGGTCAATATCAGAATACCTTCAAAATACTCCACCACGCGTAGGAATGCCGATACGAGCGCGTTCCGGTTCAGATCTTCCAGACCGCGCTGCTCGAGGAAAACATCTGCTTCATCGAGCAAGACTACGCAGTCCCAGATCTTGCCCAGGTGTAGCACGGATTCGAGGTATTTCTCCACCTCCTCTGGCTTAGTGCCGACGTCGCCACATGTGACTCGGTACAGAGGCCTCTCGGCTATCTCAGCCACACTCTCTGCAGTCAGTGTTTTGCCTGTTCCGGGTCCACCATGCAGAAGCAAGATAAGCCCATTGCCTTTGCCGGCGATCAGATCTGCTGAGTATTCAGGCTCGACGTAGCTGGTCACTAGTGCTTCAATGAGATCTCTGGATTTGAAGTCAATGGCTAGACTCTCGAAGGCGTCTTTATTCCACTCAACATGCGAGATGCGGTCGACCGAGAGATCGAACCATTTCTTACGCCGGAGATTGAACCCCGTCACCCTCGGAGGCATCAACATACTGAAAGGCTCTGGCGGGGGTTGATCTCTGAACATGAATCGGTCATCGAGTGTGCATTTACGTGGGCCGTCACGCAAGTACCCGATCGGGACTGGATGTAGTCTTTTGTATGTCTTCATGTCTATGATGTATCGGTCGTCGGTCTAGTAACTATAGTTAGTTCGAGTCATCATGGAAGGCTGGCAACCAACACATACCATGGTCTGGAAGTTCTCTTCCTCGGTTGCTAGATAGGACACATACTTCTGTGTGCGGAATGTCCAGAAAATCTCACCACGGCGCCGAAGCTTCTGGATGAGATAATCATGGGCATACTTGATTGGATATACCGCAAGGTCTGTGATAGCACACTCTTTGTCTAGGTCATCGTTGGGTAGACGAAGGGTAGAATCGTGTGGCAAATAATCCACTTCCAGCGACGACGGGCTCTCCACGGCACGCTGTGACTTTGGCATCTCAAAATTGAGCCTAGTCTCGTATTTATAGAATTCGCCATCGAATTCCCAGGTCTGGGCATTGATCCACCAAAAAGCATTGCCAGTGCCATCAGTATCTAGGCTTTGAGATGGCCATCCCCTGGCTACATAACCTATATGCTCCTTGTTTTGGGTTGAAATTAAGATATGGTTAGGCTTGAATAGATATTGAACGTACTCCGAGCGAATTCTGCCTTTCTCGAAAAGCAGGTCTGCTGCAGTGTATTCATTGCCGCAAGCCTTTTGGACATAGTCCATGAAGAGGTCAAATTGTCTTTGTGCCTCGGAGCTCAGGCCTCGTTTGATTTCCGATTCTACAGCGCCCCTGTTGTGGTAGACGAAGAGGTACGGCGACTGGACCTCTCCCATGTGTCGGAAGCTGCTTTGCATGGATTGAAATTCTTTGCCCCTAAGAAAATCTGCGATCACGTCTTTGAGATCTTCAGAAACCGGAAAAATCGACTCGCTGAATGGTTTTGGCTTGCCATAATTTGTGTCCGATGATTGCCTCTCAGCTCTTCTTTTGTAGTTGCGAAAGACTACAAAGGATATGTCTCTGTTGAGAGCGAGGTACAGCTCGAAGTTGACCAGTCGATCATTGCAGCGCAAATATGGCGCACCCATGTTTCGCTGGATGAGTTCAGGTGGGTCAGTATAGATCCCCATCCATGGAGACCTGGGGTAAGACCTTGGCCTAGGTCTAGCCTTGCGTTGCTTGTGACTTGGGCTGAAATATTCGTCACTATCGTCCGTGCTTTGATCATCACTCGGAGACGTGTTATCTTTCTCAATCCTGTAGAGGATCTGATACTTTGAGGCTATCGGCAGGGCAGGTTTTCCTTCAAGCTCCCGGACCTTATCTCGGAGAGCTGTAATTTGGGCCTTGAGGTCATTGGCCTCTGATAAAGAGACACTTCCTTGGCTGGGAGGGGTATATGTGTCTGAGTGAACGCTGTTTGCATACTGTGGATCTATATTGTAGTAGTTCACAGACTGAGGACTCGGAACTTGGTGTCTTTCAGAATCGTATGGGAGCCTGGCGGGATATGCCGGGTACTGGGCATACTGATAAGGAACAGGACCCGGCGGGAAAGGGCCTGGCATGCTTTGATTGTCGACTGCAGTTGGCCCGAAAGAAGGGGCATGGATATGAGGCTCAACCGGCCTATCATATGGGCTGCCCTTGGAGGCAGCCATCTTGTTTCGTCGAGCGACGTTCTCCCGTTCATGCAGCATCAGTTGGAATGAGTAGTCCAGGTTATTGTGTTCTTCCTGTTTCGTTCTGGGATTTGGAATGTAAGAAGCATCATCAGAAGGAGGGGCTCTCCCTTGGAACGAAGCAGGGAGCGGTTGCTCTTGTGAGGTGTCTTTGCTCAAGTCTTCGGAGATAGTGTTGGTCATATAAAGCTCATCACCTGAGCGAGCTGACTTTGAATGAGGATACATTCCCACACACAGCAAAGACGCCTTTCAAGATAAATCAAATGAACTGTTCTACTGTCCAGAGAGAGTGGGAAACACACATTAAATAGGGAAACAGGAGATTCCGATCCCGACCACCCCCACGTCTTGAGCCTCTGAATTGTCATGTGGTGTGGCTGTGTGCATTCATATTGGGCTGGTTATATTTTCATGCATAGATACCTATCTCATGCACGTTGATGTCTTCCAGTTCTCCAAGCGCATCAGGTCCGTCGGATTATACAGGTCGGGTGGTGCTTACCCTCTTCCGCAGTTGCCAGCCCTAACAACATGAGTCCTCCCCTACAACCAGCTGCACTTTGAGCTTCATGCTTCATGCTTCATGCTCCATGCTTCATACATATATCCAATATATTGTTAAGGTCCACAAATGTGTCATTCATCGTTCATTGACTCTGAGAGGCAAAAATGACAACCTCCAGGAAAAAGGATGCAAATCGACGAAGTCTTTTCAATCTCTGGATCCCAACTAAAGTCGTTGTCTCTGGAAAGACAAACACATCTCCAACTGACTCTACTACAACAGAAAGCCCGGCATCAGAGCCAATTATCCCAGGGGCGGGAAAGGATCGGCTTAGAGTTCGTTTGACTCGCAGTGGCTCCAAAATCTTACTCTTGCTGGGCTTACGTGGTTCATCCAAGAGTGAGTGGTGTCTTTCCCTCTATAAACCATTTACTGACTATCTGCCGCAGGTAACAAGGGGTTCAGTGTCGATACTGATTGCTGTGATTCCGTGAAGGCCGGCGAGCAAAGCCCAGATCCCTCAAACTCATCCACCCCGAGTGGTAATGGCGATGATAGCCCAGGATATCTCACTGCAGTTGAGTCCCCACAAAGTGAACCACTACCTGTCACTCCTTCACTCAATGCCGCCACTGAAGGGGTTGAAACTTTATCTGAACCCCTACCCGACCTACGACCATCACCCGAGAGTGAGGGCGAATCGGCTGTTGTCGACGTGCAGCAACATGCCACAGGTCAGAACTCTTTACCAACTACTATCACTGGGCAACAGAGCCCAACAAATCCAAAATTCGTCGATCGCTTTTCGCATAAGATCTCACTAGCCTTTGGCCAGCCCACTGTAATACGCCGTGCGCATCTTCGGTCAAGGCCAAGTATTTTGCTCGGCAATTCTCCAGTAATGGACGACCTGAGCAAACAGAGTGATGGTGCCAATGATAGCTCAGACCCATCAACTAGCCCTAGTAGCGGTGCGTCTCCTGCTGGTGGGAAGTCTACTCCACTCACTCCACTCACGTCCGGAGGGCCTTCTCCTGCCTCAGATAAAGACAAGCTGCATGATGGGCACGACACCGCAGTGACACACTGGCCCTCTCTCTCCGAGATCAATGAAACAGCCAGTCAATGTGAACCCAATGCAATCACTATATCCCCGTCAATTAAAACAGTGGAAGCGACATCGGTGGCGAAGATTTACTTGGAACTTTACTTCAACTCCATTTTCCAAAACAGAGAACCCCGTCAGCAACGCCAGCTCGAATTGGAACAGCATATATATGCATTTGAGCTCACACCCGAAGAGCGGCTGATGACAAGACACAACTGGATCTTGCGAGAGAACGATTACCTGCGACAGTGCCGAGTGCTCAAATCAAATCGATACTGCACTCGAAGGGAAAACGCCATCTCTGCCGCCGGTTATAAAGCCATCAAGATATTGGGGAAAGGAAGCTTTGGCGTTGTGCGTCTTGTTCGAGAGAAAGGCTGTGATTTGGAAAACTCCGATGAAGACGACCCTCTGGCTCTTAAAGACAACAATGTCCAATCTAGATCAAATCCTCTTGGAGCTCTAATGTCTGCTGTCGAAGGTGCTAAACAAAGCCGTCGAAGATATATGACCGGCGAAAAAAAGGAGGTATATGCCATGAAAGTCATCAAAAAGGCAGAGATGATCCGCAACTCCCAGGAAGGCCATATTCGAGCAGAAAGAGATTTCCTTGTTGCCTCTGAGACCTCTCGCTGGGTTGTTCCTTTAATCACCAGCTTCCAAGATGCCAACAATCTGTATCTTGTGATGGATTACATGGTTGGTGGTGACTTTTTGGGGCTACTGATTCGCAAAGACACACTCCGCGAGGACTGGGCACGTTTTTACGTCGCCGAAATGATATTGTGCATCGAGGAGGCACATAGACTCTGTTGGATTCATCGCGATGTCAAGCCCGATAACTTCCTCATCTCTGCGTCGGGCCATTTGAAGATTTCTGACTTCGGTCTGGCTTTTAATGGGCATTGGTCACACGATCAAGCCTACTACAACAGCCATCGCTACTGTTTACTGGAGAAACTTGGCATTGATGTCCAGGGTGACTCTGAAGACCAGAAGGAGGCTGCGGAAACGAAAGAGCTTGCGCCTGAAATACAATTGCACAACCTGAATGACTATACTCTTCATGAACCATCCTCGGCAAGTTTGCTGGATTGGAGAGACAGCAAGGGACGACGCAGATTCGCAAAGAGTGTGGTTGGAACCAGCCAGTACATGGCACCAGAGGTCATTCGCGGTGAAATGTATGACGGGCGATGCGACTGGTGGAGTTTGGGTATCATTCTTTACGAGGTAGGTCGCTCGGTATTCACGTTCCGTGTGTATCGAATTCTCATGGCGTTTTCAGTGTCTATATGGTTTCACGCCCTTTGCCTGCGAAAATCGCCACGATACAAAGATCAAGATTCTTGTGAGTATTTTCTTAGTAGTTCCCCTTCCGCTAAGCACATTCTGAAAATCCTCAAGCAACACGCAAGAACCCTGCGATTTCCACGAGAGAAGTCTACGGACAAGTTAGTCTCCCAGGACGCCATGGATCTGATTACCAGGATTCTCCAAGAGCGCGAATATCGCCTGTGCTCTCCCAAGTATCAAGCCAATGATATTCTGAGTGGACGTCCTATCTCAACTCAACTGCTATACTCTATGGACCCGCGGTACAGAAATATCGCGAGCTACTACGTATACCCCAACGATGCAGCAGACATCAAGATTCATCCTTTCTTCCGGGGTATCCGATGGCAAGAACTCCACATGTGCCAACCACCAATGGTGCCTAGAGTCAGGAACTGGGAGGACACTAGATATTTCGATGACTGGAAGTTGCCCGGCGATATTGCTGAGAATCCTGCTGGTACTGACTCGGAGGATGTTGACCAAGACCCTGACGAGGTCCTCCCCAGGAATCAAGAAATAATTCCAGTGAAGGACGCTGCGCCGCCAGTTGCTGAGACTACCCCACGTGCAGCACCGGAACAGGCGAATGACGCCGAAAAGAAAAGGGAGAAGAGGCGACCCCGCGATAAAATCCTCCGAGACAAACAAATGAGCAAGACAGTCTTGGACATTCGCAAAAAGGGCGCTTTTCTAGGGTATACATACCGGCGACCCAACGACATCGCTTTGGCTTTCAGCGCAGATCGAGGGCGTCAGCCGTATACCAGAGGTCAGTTGGCCGGCCTCTATACATCGTGATTATACAAAGCAAAGCCATGGAATGGGGAGCTTACGCCCTACTCAATTTGTAACAAACCTGTCAGCTATTATTATATCTCCATTCACTCGAGAAACCACCATCCTTTCGGCGGGTCAAACACATCCGCATAGCCCTCTTTTCGTTTTTTAGAGCGCCTCATTCTCTCATAGATGATTGTTCGCCGTTGTTGGAACGACAAACTTCACTCCACTCTCCCTCTTATGTATTCTTAGGAATGAATATATTATTATGGACATAAGGTGTTGACCTACTGTGTACAAAAAGTGCCGTTATCAGGTTGAAAACATGCTATTTCCTATGATACTTCATCAAAGATGAATGAAGTGAAACACCCAAAATAAGAAGCGACAACAGGGGGCAGTTCATAAAGACAGCAGGGAGCAAGTGCCTATGTATGGTCTCAAATCATGTCTGACGGGCAGGGAACCGGGGTATCGGAGAGCAAATTCAGAACAGAGAGGCTTTTATGGGGTATCAAATTCGGAGTAGATGGATATAAGGGGGGGAATGATGAAGGGAAAACGTGTATAATTGGCGAAAAAACAAGCGAACTGATTTCACAGAACCGGGGCGCTCATGGAGAAAGCCGAATCGGTGACTCGATCCTCGGGCTTCATAGTACCATTGAGCAGTGGGCAAAGCTTCTTGTTTGTTTTGATGTGCCCGACCTGACCGCAGTTAGCACACTTGCGCTGAGTACCAGCAGGCTTGCCGTCCGGATCACCGGAGCGAGGTATGCCCTTTTGCTTCTCGCGGGCGAAACGACGCTCCTTGTTGCGGTTGAGACGGCCAAGCTCGGCTTCGATCAACTTCCTGTTGCGAGCATCGACTTCTGGGTCACCCGTAGGCTGAAGAGATTCCAGCTTGGTATGCATGGCTTCGTTGTGGTGACGGTGTTGGATGTAGTGCCTGATCACTCGGGGATCGAAAACATGTTGTTCTTTCTCCACAATTTCGCCGTTGTCCAGCTTGACCTGGCGGGTGATGCGCAACACTTTGCCGCGCTGGCTGTTGAAACTCATTTTGCTGAACTGACTTGTTGTCTCATCGTCACGACGATATGGTCCAGGTGTTGGTGCTTCGGATCGGGGTGTTGGTTTGTTGAATTGATCATGGTATTCCTCTTCTTGATCGACGTCGCTTTCCTGGTCGGAATGCTCGATGGTGGAGGACAAGCTACTTTTCTGAGCATCCCAGATCCGACGAATGGATGTTTCGTATGATCTTTGCTGGCGGGCAACATTGTAGCTGTGACCTCCAAGCTCCTTCAGTCGTTGTGCGTCCAGCTTATCCTCAACACTTTCGCCAATAGCCTTGAACCCGCCTTTCATGCTTGTTTTGATAAAGTTATAGCCCTCGCCACGGCCGGTGGGATCTCCTTCGCCATGAAGTTTCAGCATAGCCTTGCCCTGGGAGGCCAACAAGAAGTTGCGAGTTGCCTTCCAGGGAGCCATCTGCTGTTCAAAGCTCTCGAATTCTTCATCTTCTTCGTTTTCGCCGCCAGTCTCGGCATCATTGCCATAGCCGGTGTCGTGGAGATGCTGCTGTCCAATCTGCATTGATTCAAGAAGACAAACATCTTCGGGCTGGACCCACGAGCGGATTGTATCTTGGTCTGGGAGAACTGGATCCAGTGGCTTCCAGTATTTAGTATCTTTGTCATGTTGAAGGAAATCCTTGACCTTCTGTCGGTTCTGCATATCGGTAGTGTTTGGTATGTGAGCTGTAACATCGCTGATTGCGAGTCGCTCATCCGGGCTCTTTTTCAATAAACGATACACTAGCATCTTCATGCGATTTTTCGCGACAGTTGTCACCTTGCGCGAATGGGGTCCGGGAATGTCGACCGATGGGAATTGTTGTCCGGCAACGTAGAAATTTTCGATGTTGCGCAGGTAATAGTTACTTCCGCCAACTCCAGTAGTGTTGCGGACCACGAGGAAGTCCGTTGACTTCGGTTGGTGCGGGAATAGCGGTGCTCGGTACATGGAGTTTGAGATTGCGGGGGAGATTTCGCCAGGGTCAACATGGCCAAAAATTGAGTAGGGACTTTTGTCTTGGGGCAAGAGAACAACTGTCTCGCCGATATCTGCCCTTGGGCGAGTGGGATCATCAATGTTCTTTCGTCGGTAATAATTGATGAAACGGTTGCACATGCCGAAGTTGGCTAGCGTCATAGGTAGCTCTTCGGAGTACTCTACCAGCAAGACATTGGAGTTGTCTCCCATAGACAATGCCTTTGTAGAATCATAGACAGTTTTCGCATCTTTACCACGAAAGTGCTTGCGTCTAAGTTGAACGGGGTTCTTGAACCAAGCCGTTTGCCCAGGTCGGAAGGCCATAGCAGGTCGGTGGAAAGACCTAGCTTCAGCCTTGGCCAGCTCAGTCTTGTAGTACGGCCACTGCAAACGTAGGGCTGGCAGGGCGTGCTCAAGTGTGACATTACCGAGGGTACTGCGGATCTTGTTCTGATGATTCTGTTTGAGCATATCATATGCTTGATCATTCGAAATGTTATATCTCTGAGTGAGACGGCGTGTCAGATTCAGGTCCACTTCATCCCTGGTCCGAGGCGCAGCGTGTTTCGGCTTGTTTGCGACGGCATCCACTCTTAATTCGTCAACGAGAATGTTTGGATCATTGAGGTCAATTGTGACTCTTTTCGCGACTTTCATTGTCGCTTGTTCTGGGTCATCCAATAATGGGATATCAATATGTGATAGAGCAATGACATCCATTGGAGTCGGGCCGGTTTTTCGCTTCTTGGTCGGAAGCTCAGTCTCCATGAGCCAGTCGGCTTCATCCTCATCAAAGTTGCCATCTGTTCTTTTTGCCAATGGCATCTCTTCTAGATCAACGTTGGAGACATCATCCTTAACATCCCAATCCACACAAATTGTTCGAAGATCCTGCATGGTGAAACCACCCGGCAGTACTTCATCTCCGTCCATGTCATCCAAATCAATGTCTTCCTTTGCATCTTCCTCTGCCTCTCCTCGCTCGTCTTCGCGGTCCGATTGCGTGATCATCACCAAGCCAAGACTCTCATGGTCCAGGCCACGCTTCAAGGGTTGACCGGTTCTGAATGTACGTTCATGATCAGCCGCCAGCTCAATATTCACTTTCGTGGGCAGGACAGGCTTGGGTGGTTTGGTCGGCTGTTTCCCAATGAAAATGGCCTTCTTGTGGGGAATCAACTCGAGCCAACGTGGAAGAGTGTTGCGGTCGAACGAAGGAAATAAGGAATGTAATAGCTCTTCGTGGTTCTCAGGTGGCGCAGGTGGGTTTTCAACGCCTGACATGGCAAACAACTGCTGCTGAAGTTTCCAAGCGCGGAGTTCCACGGGATTCATGTCTTCAGACAATATACTGTCATCATCTGGGAATTCATCCTCCTCCATCATAGGTTCTGGTTGTGGTTCCGGAGCGGACGGGATAGGCGGTAGGTCAACAGGCACATCTGTTAATGGCATTTCTTCGTCTTCGAATAGGCCACGGGTGGAATCATCCTGTCCAGCAGGAGGCGGCGAAAAAGAACCTTCGCCAAAAAGATCATCAAGATTGTCATCGTGAGTCTGAGCCCCCTCTACCTGGTCACCAAATAGATCATCGCCGTTTCCGAAAAGAGCGGCGTCGTCCGAGCCCAGGTTCGCGAAAGGATCTTGATTGTTATCCACTGTAGGCAAGGCTGCCGCTGGGCGTCCGACGTCTTCTTCCTCCGGAAGTTCATCGTCGTCAAAATCCTCGTAGTCGATTGCATCATCAGCTTTTTCACCAACTTCCAGATCACGCGACAAAAAATCTAGAGAGGGGCCGTTATCTTCATAGCTGTTCAGTTGTCGCATCACATCGTCGAAATCAGTATCTTCCCCCTCCGGGGCCTTCGGTGTTGCGTGAGGCATGATAGGCGACTGCGCTTTTGTTTGAGGTGAGAAGAGTATTGTAAATGGAGAAAGCGTTAGATTCAACAAGTTGGTGAGAGAGATCGTAGGCTAAGAATGTAGGCGCGAGCCAGACAAGGCGACGACGCGATTCAGAATATGAACATCTGGGTATTATGCGAGTCTGCGGTTTGAACGTGGTTTTCGCCGTGGCTGTAGTCGCGCAGAGGAGAGGATAAGGAGGGGCGTGGTCGGACAGGTGGTCGGAGAGAGAAAACGGGTTTCCAAGATAATGCGCAAGGGACGGGCCACGCTAACCTGATAAGGTAATCAGCTTGATGCCTGAAGTTCAATACTTGAGGGTTCAATAGGATCTCTTCAATAAAGGCAACGAGAAACAATAGAGAATAATGATACATTTTTGGAAGTAAAAATACATTTCATGAGATTATTGTCAGATCAATGGTAAGCATAAGTCATGACACATTGAAATCGCCATAGAAAATACACAATGCCTTGCTTGCACCCTCCATGCAATAGTGCATTACTGTAGCCTTCTCGCCTTGCGGAACTAGCTTTGCAATCTGTTTCAGATCAGAGGTCCTTGGGATGTAAAGAACCATGTGCTTGCTGAATACTGAGTATTCATCATACAATCTTTGGAGGGTATATGGCTCCATAGTCTTCAGGTTGAATACCTGATCTGAACGATATCCCGGGCCTGCTACGTTTAGTTCATGTCACAGAGGCAAAGATTAGGGGACACTTACCTCCCCACGGTGGACTCGCAAAGACGACACTGTACGGCGCCAATTCTTTCAGTTGATTCTTGATAATCTCGAAACAATCGCCTTCAAACCATGTGATCTTGTCCTCCACGCCATAAATTTTCGCATTATGCTTTGCGCACTTTAGGACAGCAGGATTTTTTTCAATCGCGTAGATTCGTTTCCATTTTCCGGTCAAGGCAAATGCAATGGTGTTTCCGCCTGCGCCAGCGAAGGCATCCACGAGAATACTGCGCCCAGCAGGCGCTGACTTGGCAATCTGTGCAGCTATTTTGCTAAGCAAATGTTAGTAGAAAGTCCGTGTTGTAGAAAAGAGTCACGAACTTGGCGACTGGTTCTGGTGTGACGCCAAACCAAGCATCATCCGTCAACCATACACCATCATCGTACTTGGAAAATATCCGGTAGCGTTGTGCCCAGTAGCTGGTAATTGGGTTAGCATTGGTATTTTTCGATGACAATGACACTTACTTCTGGATATCCCAGGGCACCTCGTGCAAGCTGCTGTAGTGGTGCACCTCTGGAGGCGCGTCTTCGTCTGCCATGATGCAGTGCAGCGATAAAGCGAGATGATCGATTCATCGATAACTGATAAAGATGGATCATGTTTGCATGGTTTGCATGTGTATCTGGCCAGCTCGCCCAGGTAAACACACCTGACCACAGCTGCCTTATTCATCAATCGATCACCTCTCGCAATCTGAATTATAGCAGATAATTATGTTTGGCGCATTAAATCGCTTCATCGGTCGGCTAGACGGGGAGCCTGGCCAGCAGCCTCGCAACGGCCCCAGTGACAATGCATTCGGTTTCCAGGTCCTCCGCAACAAAGACCCAGAACTGCCCCTAGAGCCATGGTTTGACTTTATTGTGGGCATCAACGGTCATACAATTGTGAGTATAGAGGATCGTTTTGATCGCCCGCAACATAACATCACTCACACTGACATACAGGAAGATCCAGACCCGAACCTCTTTGCGACAGAATGTCGAAATTGCGCCGGGGGAAGCGTGACACTTGAGGTGTGGAGTGCGAAGGTAACCGTGCTAAAATGATACATCTGATTCCAGCTAAATTTATATCCTATCAGGGTCAGCGAACACACACAGTCACTCATCCTATACCGCCAACGAACCCCTCCCTCGGCCTCGCTCTGCAGCTTGCTCCCCTCTCTTCTACACAAAACATCTGGCATGTTATTGCAATTCCGTCACCCCTCAGCCCCGCATACCGAGCCGGGTTGCTACCTTACTCAGATTATATCATTGGAACCCCCAGCGGGACATTAAGAGGGGAGTCGGCACTCGGGGAGTTGGTTGAAGATCATCTAAATCGCACGCTGGTTCTGTGGGTTTACAATAGCGAATTCGATGTGGTTCGCGAGGTTGAGCTTGTTCCTACCAGAGGCTGGGGTGGCGAGGGCGCCCTTGGTGCAGAGTTAGGATTCGGTGCTCTTCACAGACTGCCCATTGGACTTGGAGAAGAGGTTGAGGGACCAGGGGAAGTCGTATTCGAGACACGCGAGGATGGCACTGCTGCCCCGGTGGGCGGGCCCTGCAAACGCTGTCCCGGGAATCACAGCTCCGCCAAGTAACTTCCTGGTTCCAGCAAACATCACAGCGCCCCCGCCCCTAGCCTCCGCTCAAGCAAGAGTTGCTTCGCCGTTAGAGAGCAGATCACCCGCTAGCCGTCGTGCGGGGAAATCACGGCCAGCGGCTTCGCCTAACAGGGCCTTTGATGATTATTTCGCCGAGGGCGAAGAGAAAAGTCGGGCGCAAGACTATGCGCCGTCACGGCATGGAACTCCACTACCCCCGCCGCCGAAGGCAGGAGTCTCGTCCTCTCACTCGGGGAGCCCTGCGCCGGAAGGATCACCAGGGCCTGCGCAGGAAGAATGAAAAGCTTAGAGGAATCAGAAATCAATTTAATGTAGAGTATGATAAAATCAAATTATATCGATCATCGCAAGCTACCTATTCCCATGTACAAGCGTACCCTCATAGGTGCTCTTGTTGGGCCACCAAGTTTATCACTGAACGATTGGAACAAAAGAAATCAATCCGGTTATGTCTTCGGATCTACGAGTTTTAAGCGTACATGTGCAATAAATGATTCCGCGCTATAGCCCCAAACAGCCGGGCTATACCTAGTGGCCCTTGCTCACCAGCTGCTCCAGCTTCTTCCGGGTGTCACCAATCTTCTCCTCCATCATCTGGCGCGCCATTGCACTGTGCGCAATGCCGGTATACCAGATGTGCTCCGCACGCTCACGGGCAGCCGAGTGCTTTTCCGCAAGGGCGGGGACCTTCTTCTCGTACTCCCAAACCAAGTCTCCGACATTCCGCATTGTCACGGGCAGGAGGGTGTAGGCAGCAGCAGTACCGAAAGCAAGCGGTGATGCAGTGCGGAGGAGGATGCCACGGTTACGCGAGACAATCGAGCCAGCCATGGCGGCCACGACGACGTAGACACCGCCGGGCAGGAGACGCTCGCCGGACTCGGCAGAAGGTGCAAGCGAGGCTACGGTATTGGTGAAGCAGTTTTCGATGTTGAGGGCCCGAGACAGGAAGTTGTTGAAGCCCTGCTCTGCGGCAAGGGAGTGTGAGTAGAGGAAGAGGCGAGCTTGTCGGACCTGAGCGGTCAGGATGTCTGTCGGGGTGGGCGAAGAGGGAGCTGGTTGGGCAGCTGGCGCAGAGATCAGCTTGGGGGTGGCAGGCGCAGCAACCTGGGAGGGCTTGGATTGTTCGGGGATGTCGGCTGGGAAGTCATCGTAGATAGGTTTCCGCTATATTAGGGAAGCATTCGGGTGTCAGGCCAGGTCTCTCGGACATTCAATAAAGCTAGGAATAGATATGGTCATACAAGGTCTCGGGGTTCTTCTGCAAATGCTGTCTTCTTAGGGTAGAGAGCAATACCACCCGCAAGGAGAGTGGCTGCGATCGGAGCCACAGCCCGCTGTGCACGAATCAGCATGGAAACGGGACATTGGGGAATCAATTGCATCCAAATTGAGAGCATGCAAATATATAAAGACATACCTGTTGCAACATCGGCCGGAATGACATCCTGAGGGTGTGGGGGGGAAGGAGAATGGGGGCAGCTGGTAGTGAGGATGAAGCAAAGTCGTGTTGGAGCAAGACGGGAATTCTTCGGCTCGGCGGAACCTCCAGAAAACTCCGTCATTGCCCGTTCTCCTTGACTCTATGTTTCTTTGAATAGGGGATTTGTGAATTCACAATTTCCGATGGTTTTAATCTGCTTTTGATACAATCTCTACAATGCTTCGCCCTTTGCGACGAACATGGACATATCGCAAATGCCTAAATCTGCGGCCTCAATATCGAGCCTTCGAGAGCGCCGCATCCTCTCCGTCAACATCGTTTGAGTACGTTTCAGCAGATAACAGTGCACCAAGCAAGAAGACCGATGACCATACCCTACGCCGTGTTTTTGACTCCCAACCGTTCTGGAATGAATTCTCCCAGCAGCGCCCAACCACAGTCTCAAAGCGAGCCGGATTGGTCCAAAACCAATACCTGACAAGCCCCGAGGGCTTTAGAACATTCGCAAATGTCTCGCTGCAAAGATGCCAGGCTATAGTAGCCAAGGTTCTTGCCGCCTCGACGGTTGAAGAATACAGGGCTCTGGCACGAGACCTTGACCAACTGAGCGATCTCCTGTGTCGTGTCATCGATCTGTCCGATTTCATTCGAACCATTCACCCTGATCCGCAGATACAAGAAGCAGCCACGCAGGCGTGGGCTCTCATGTTCGAGTATATGAACGTTTTGAACACAACTACAGGGCTTCATGAACAGCTCAATAAGGCCTTGAATAACCCCGATGTGACATCATACTGGACTGAGGCAGAACGGATCGTGGCACAGATCCTCAACAAGGATTTCTCGAACTCTGCAATTCATATGCCGCCCAATGTCAGGCAGCGGTTTGTGAATCTCTCGAATGATGTGAGCCAGTTAGGTTCCGATTTCATGAATGGCGCGGAGCCCGCAAGGTCCCAGGTAGTCTTTGGTGCCAACAGCCTCCAAGGATTGGATCCTATGGTTATCTCCAAAATCAAGCGGTGGAATAAGAAAGCACCAGTGCCAACAATGGGAATAGTCCCTCGACTTGCTCTACGCTCGGTGCATGATGAACAAGTTCGCAAAGACATCTATCTCGCCACTCGAACATCCAGCAAGCGCCAAATTCAAAGATTGGAGGAGCTTCTCATGAAAAGGGCAGAGTTGGCACAATTGACAGGCTACAATAGCTTTGCGCACATGACTCTCGGCGACAAAATGGCCAAGACACCGGAAGCAGTATCGAACTTTTTGACTTCACTTATATCAAGCAACCAAGGTCCAGTCCGGGAAGAACTTTCCAAGCTCCAGGAGTTGAAGGGAAGCTCCTCCATGCAGCCCTGGGACCACGCGTACTACGTTCACAAGCGCGTCCTAGCGTACTCCCAAGCTCGACGCTCTCGTCACATGGGTGTTATCAATGAGTTCTTTTCCTTGGGAACAGTTATGCAAGGCCTCTCTCGACTGTTTGACCGTTTGTACGGTGTGCGTCTAGTCCCTCATGAAGCATTGCCCGGCGAGACTTGGCATCCTGACGTTCGTCGATTGGATGTAGTGGATGAATCAGATAATCATATTGCAGTCGTCTACTGTGACTTGTTTACACGACCGAGCAAACACCCGAATCCGGCTCACTTTACTCTGCGCTGCTCGCGCGAAATATCTGCAGAGGAAGTCGCTGAGTGTGCGGCTATGAACGAATCTGCACACCCAAATGACGGCATGGCCACTGGTGTAGATCCACAGACTAAATCTTTGCGCCAACTCCCAACCATTGCCCTCGTTTGTGATTTCCAGGAACCTCAGGCCAATGGCACCGGTCAGCCAACCCTCTTGAGTGAGCAGAGTGTTCGCACCTTATTCCACGAGATGGGCCATGCTGTCCACTCCATTCTGGGCCAGACGCCCCTACAGTCCATTTCCGGTACTCGATGCGCCACGGACTTCGCCGAGCTTCCCTCTGTATTGATGGAGAGTTTTGCGACTGCGCCAGAGGTACTGAGACTCTATGCGCGACACTGGAAGACCGATGAGCCTCTATCTGAGAGCATGATGCAAAGCATGGAGCTAGACCGCACTGCGCATGGGTCCATCTATGGTGCTGTTGAGAATGAAGCACAGATCCTCATGGCGCTCGTTGATCAGGCATATCACTCGATCCCAGCTGAAATTAGCTCAGCTGGCATTGATTCCACCGATATCTATCATCGAGTCTTTTCGGAGCATTCCAGTCTGCCCGACCCCAATAATGTCCAGCCACGTACCTCTTGGCAGGGCTTCTTTGGTCACTTGTATGGCTACGGTGCCACATACTACAGCTACATCTTTGACCGAGCGATCGCGAACAAACTCTGGCAAGACGTCTTCCTGTCTGGTCGGGCGGCAACTGACCGCGCCGCCGGCGAGCGATACAAGAACGAAGTCCTCCGCTGGGGTGGTGGCCGCAATGGCTGGCAATGTGTAGCTGGGGTCCTGGGGAGCAGCAATCCCTCCAATACCGACGGACGGCTGGCTGAAGGTGGTGATGAGGCCATGCGTGAGGTCGGTCGCTGGGGGCTCGGGCGCGAAGGCGTGTCCGGATAATATAATAGTGTACTCTTATTTGCTTTCTAGTACATCTATATCTGCCTTGAAGGGCTTTTTAAATAATCAAAACATAGGTTCATGATATGATTTGGCCCTTGTCAATTAAACTCTTAACGATTGACCAGGTTTAGACCAAGACAGATGACTATAAGGGTCGAATACGACCGCACGGACATGCTATTTATCTGAACCATAACCAATGGGAGCCTATGTAATCCAGTGATCTCCTGCATTGGACGCAACGTCCGAGACTAGGCTACTAAGTAGCGTTGGGGGCCAATGGCGGGGGTGACGAGAAATGTCTCACTGCCCCTTTGTCTTGTACTTCGGATAATTTAGTAGAATGACACCCTGTTTACGCTGGAAAAGCCTTCGGGGAGGTGGGTAGGTACGGAGTAGACAATATCCTCTCTTAGTGAACTAGAATAGACAAAGTATGAGTTTCCCATGGACCTTATCGCACGTTGACACCTAGTCGCATCCGGGCAATGCTCTCTGACGTCCTTCCACATTCGGTCTGCATGGTGGCTTGTTATAGCGGGACGCCCTGGTAGCCTGTGCTAACAGGCGAACTGTGATCTTGTATATTGCCTAGGCAAGGCACATGCTATTAAGATCTGCGTCTAATCTACCCAAATCTCCCTGAGTACTTTAATAGATCTATTTCACCAGAGGTACATTGTGTTGAATGTTTAGAGTACCTCTGGGCTTGAGCATCTAGGCCTTCTTATCTTCTTATACCTGTAATCAAACCTGCAATATAAGTCCAGATCCTTCCCCCCATCTACTTCGTGAGGATTCACCGCTATCTCTTGCTCGGTATATGGGATATTGCAATTTCAACTTCCTTTCATCTGACCCCTGCTCAATCAAACTAACCGTTGGCTGCGTTTGGAGAAATTACATATTCCCAGCCTGACCTTCAATCTTCTTCTTCTTCTTCTTCTTCTTCTTCTTCTCTCATACTCACCGTTCACATCAGTCTATGCTATCAAAATGCCCAATGTCCACATTGTCAATGACAATGCTTCCTTTGTTTCAAGTGACACCTTCTCTACTCGAGATTCAGAGCAACCACGAAACTTCCTCCGTCGAACAAGCACAGTTTCCCAGCTCACAAGAAGGGTGTCGAAGAGAATATCTCAAACAATCCTCAGGACCGGAGGTCAAGAACATCAGCTGAGCGAAATGAATCTCAAAAGCCTCAACGACCCAACAATTATCGACTCACACAACCTAAGCTCGCCAGCTCACCGAGCTCATGATGTTAGGATATACGACCATATTTATGAAGAGATCGAGGAGGAATGCCCTGCTCTTGACGTAGGAGCAGTGAGAGAGATGCGTCTTCAACAATCATACGCTGCCTTCTGTCAAAACTTTACGCTATCGGGGATGACAACAATGAGTAGGACGTTCGACTTATCAATGGGAATGGAGGCGGCAAAGGAACACAAATGGGCCTCTCACACAGACCAGACTCTCCAAGGCAATGACACATCTGAGCTTTTGAGTTCTGATACCGATACCGACCACATAAGGGCCCGTTCAAGGCCCAGCCCAGACACCGTCGCATTTCCAATATCATGCCTATCTACAGATCTTGACAAGAAACCCATATCACACTCGACAACCGTCGATGGACCCTCTTTGGACTTGCCAGTCATAGGGCGGGCAAAAGTCGAGACAGATTACAAGATAATACCCACCTCCAATCACCCTCAGCCGCCACCTCACATCATCACCCCAACTGGCTGGATGGACATGCAGCGCGAAAAGCGAGAAAGCAAAGCATCTCGACGGCATAAAGTCATATTTCCAATACGGTCGTGGTTTATGACAAGTCAGCCCTCCTGGGGGCGGAGGTATGAAGTCCTTGAATAACGGTTTTTGCTGTCAACGGGTCCTACCGTCAAACAAAGCAAAAGCAGGTTTGGGATATTGGATGGCTTTCAAATTGGCTGGCTGTATTTTAAATGGAACTTTATCTTAATCACACTGTTCATTCTTGCTTTTGCTTAAAAACATCTCAGCATCACATGCCTGGATCCCGCATGGGCGATCTCATCTCATCTTCTAGACACCTGAATACTACGGAGTATATACGCCAGTCTTGAGAAGGGTCGGGATTTAGGTCTTAGTTTGTGTGGTTGAACCTCGTGAGGCTTATCATCGTATCATGCAAGATACAATAGGTCCATGGGTATTTAGAGACATCTACTTATCAATACGAGTCTGCCGAAGCCACAAACCTTCAGAGAGCAAGGCAAGCAAACCACATAGGCACATAATCATACCTTTCTTCGCTTATTCAGAGTGATCTTTACTTAAAGAAGAATCTCGGGCATATCAAAGAAATGTGGTTCATCAAAGGGGCTGAGATACGGCATTGTGGGATACTAGTAAGACAGTCGTGATCCCGATCTCTGCTCGAAGAACTTGATTCTTGTACGCCACCATTTTATGTTACAAGTAACCTTCAAAGAGTCCTAGACAGTTCGCCATTCAACTCGGATCCGAGATCATATGACAGCAGTTGCCACCACAGACGGTCAGTTTCACGATGCAGATCTTATCACCTATGGCAGATCGACCTGTCAAATTATGCAACGATCTGGGGTACAATTCCTTGAGAGGGCCTAGATGAAAAAAGAAAGGAGAAGAAACGGCGAGAATCAGTCTATTACGATACTTTTCCGGGTATGCTCAATCTGTAGTATCAAACGGTAACAACGGCTATCTCCCGGTCCATACGGTAATTGCCATTCTGACCTGCTAGGAGACCAATGGGGCTGTCAGGATTTGTAACATACGCTTGCGCTGGGTGTCTCCAATAACTCCTGCTCCAATTGTTCGAATAACCATTTCGAGCTCATGAATTATACCTATGGTTTTCGCCCTAAGTGCCGAACTAGCATGTATGCTCGAGCAAACGGTGGATAGCATGGTGATATTCTCGGCATTCGTGTGAGCGTTTGGGGGATAAAGTTCATATATTTTGACTTCTAGTAAATAAAGTCTACATTTGAGAAGTGTCAATCTTAACTCGGTGTTGGATATTTAATGAATAGGAATCTCGGGGTTTACCGAAGAATCTGCTTTCCTTGGGAAACAGAACCCTTTTCATTAGGTGCTGAAGAGTCTGAACTTTCAAAAAATTAGTATCGAAGGCTTAATATCTACTTTCTTTGACCTCTGACTTCAGGGCTTCACGGGGGATTATCCAGATGGAGATTTCCAAGCACTTCGATCCAGCTTTTCTCTTGATCTGGCCCTTCATTGGACGAACTGAAACATTACATGCTATACACTGGATGGCGACGCTCAGGGTGGACCTCTATGGGAGAAGATTGCATCTCATGGTAGGATGATTGTAACCTCTAAGATATCTAGATAAAAAAAACGCAAACTAGCTAATATTATATTATATATTTTGACCAGCACTACTCCGTAGTCGGAAATATATAACCAGCCACAACATTAGGTAAAAAACCAATAATAGATTAAAAAAATGAAAGGTATACCAAAAAGGTGTACACGATCAGAAAAATATGTAGCAAACCGTGCGCAACACGTAGAATCAATCAAATAACATCGAACGCACATAGTAGACGGAGGCTATTATTGAGCATCCTATGTACTCCGTAGGCTAGTAAACCCGAAAGGACACCTTTGGACGAGGTACCCAACCCTCAATAAAATAGTGAAAAAGAAAAAGCTAACCATAATATGACAGTTGAAGAAAAAGAAGAAAAAAAGTTCTTATAGAGCGGATTTGATGTATAGTGAAAAACCAAAAAAATGGACTTGCAGGGAATCGAACCCTGGACCACTCCCATGCTAAGGGAGTATTATACCACTAAACCACAAGCCCAATTTGATGGAAGAGGCATCCATTTAGTAATATATCAAGCACAGTTAATGTATTGTAGAAATTGTTCATGGATGGATAAAATGGATACGATTCCGTAATTCTAGACTATAGGACTATCATACGTCGCACATGGTGATAGATATCGCCACTATGACCTCGACCCTAAGGATCGAAGGGCGAGCTTCTACACACAAATGGCACCCATGGATCATAAACAAGCTGGAACAGCAATGATATTTCAGGTGTGATGCAAGGAGAAGCCGAACCAATGTTGCAGCCTTGTACTGTCTTGGAAGAGGAAATAAATCCTGCGAATTTGTCACGAGAGAGAATATCCCTATGAATGTGCGCTGGTTGATCCAGAGACAGGACGACAACGTGTGAGCTGAAGTATGTACATGGCGTAGCGGAGGAAACAATTTTACAAAAAGGACTCTCGGGGAAATCCCAGACAAGTTTCATTCATCTGTCGCGCGGAGTAAAAGTCGCTCAAAGAAGGGGGTATGAAGGGATGGAAAAATTGCCTGAAGAAAAAAAGAAGTGAACATGTCGAAGCCCTAAACCTGACAAATGAAGCATGGTGTGAAACACATCCCGAAAACCAAGGGGAGAAAGAGGCCCGCTGCGTGAAAATTATAACTGATGTATCCATTATTTTATGCACTGCCTCCAAATCGGTTCGTAAACCAATTTGTGATTCCCCCTCCACTGCTACCCTCACCTCGGCTAGGCCGTCGGTTGCTGGGTTGCCCTCCCTCTGGAGGAGGGGACCGACGGGGTGAAACCCGTGGAGAAATTAGGCTCGGCAATGAAGATAATGAGGATCGATCGCTGCGCACAGTGCGAGGAGAACTGTGACGTCGTTGGGATCTAGACTGCTCGGGGCTATCCTGGATCACTACCGGATTCTCACAGGTGCCTTCTCCGCTCCTGTGTAATATGCCATCAGCTGAAAGTTCTTGTCTACACAACTCAGATAGACTTACGCTGTGTTTGTATTGATGCTGCGCCGGCAATGGGGACAAGTGTCATGCTGGGTCAGCCAGGCATGAATGCAGTTGAAATGAAACCAGTGCGTGCATGGTAGCACAGTGACTTCCAAGCCGAGTTCGACATTCTCCATACAAATCGAACACTCTGCTTTCCCTTCCGACCCCATCATCTCTTCATTGACCTTTCTCTTCGGCAAAGCTCGGACAGCAGCATCAGATGCTGGCGGTGCCGCAGTGCTGGTCCCTCCAGTATTCTCAACCAGTTGTGTGATGACTCGGTCAAGCTCCTCTTGTGAATATACTGCATCCTCACTTCTACTCATGTTGAGGATGGCTGACAATATAGAAAGAGCATGTGGGCCTGTCGGGCCCCGAGCTCCACGCGCGCGTGGGGTAGTTTGTAACCCAATGTCAGCACGAATGGCGTCCATAAGTCTAGATTCTGATTAGTCTACAAATAGTCACATTGAGCAGAGCCATCGCATACTCAGCTAAGTCTGTTGGAGTGCGGTTATGAGGTTGCGGTGCATCTGTATTGCGGGGAGATAGGCCTGGGTGACGGCCCGTGAGGTGGTCGTCCTCGAGCCAGTCGGGGGAGGTAGATGATTGAGCATGGAAGGGATCCTCCCCAAATCCCCTGTATCCACGAGGGTTTGGTTCCATTAAAGCTTGGAGCATTGTGTCAAAGCTTTGCATCATCATTGGAAAAGGGTTCGGGCCATTGTTGCGCTGACCACCGGGTAATCCGCCATCAAGCGTCGCGCTGCTGAATGAGAAACGTCCGTCGGGAGATCTATATGTATGCAAGGAGGAATATAGAGGAGTGTCGCCTGGGGGAGGAGCGCCGCCTGCGAAAAACCCAGGGCGATGTCGTTCCTGTGTGTCTCGTTCCCATGGGTTGTTGTCTATCCACGGATTGACGCGTGGAGGCGACGAGGAATCGGCACGGTGTGAAGGGGAATTTGGGGAAGCTTCTGAAGGCTGCTCTGGGGGAATTTCAATCTAGAGAAAACAAGGTTGTTAAAATGGAATAAACCGAGAGAGAAGGCATTCACTGTACTATTTCTGTGAACTCAGATTCACAATGCGGGCACGTCAAACCGCCATCTTTGAGCCAAACTCCGCCACAGGCGTGACAGAACATGCGGTCGCCGTTTTCCATGTCGCGATACAAACTGATAATCACCTAGAGAGATATAAAATGTTGTACAACGCAGACGTTAGGATTGAAGCTGATAGAATCGATAAGCGCCAGAACAGTCACGAGTCATGGCCTTATCTGCGGGGAGGATCACTGTTGGTTAGATGGTCATGATTTCATTGGACAAAGAATAACAGGAAGGGAGTAATGTAGAATGGTGGCAAGTCAATGTTTTAAGAGAGGATAATTGAGGTGTGATTAATCGATTAGGAGCCCCAGAGGGTCGGAGGCAATGACGTGGATTAGCAATCGCCTCCTTGAGGCAAATGGGGACCCGTTGACTTATATCTAAAAACTACATGGAACAAAGAACACCCATGTTGTGTGTAGGCAAAAATAGATGAGCATGCATCAGGCAGCCTTATTTTCTCTTGATTAGCATGGTTCCGTATCGGGCAATTTGTTGCGGCAAGAAGATGAAGTATACAGCCCTATGTTATTATGGTTGTTTTTCAACAGAAAAAGTAGTGAAGCCTCTTTTTACACAGGAATTGAAAAAGACTCAATCATATGATCAATTCAGAAGAAAAGTAGTACAAAGTATATAATAAACAGCAATAAATGGTCACTTTTTCCATGCAGGGATACAAATTCCTCGCGATCATCTCATCCCTGCCAGATGCAGTGGGGGAGTGAACTGAAAAAAGAGACAGCAATGGATATCACAGGAATGATGCAATTGAACCGGTACCCTCAAACACCCCGATGAAAAGACGGATGGCAATCTCGAGCAGTTTACTTAATCTCGAGGAGCTTGACGTCGAAGATAAGCTTGGAGTTGCCGGGGATGCCGGGGAGGGCCTTCTTGCCGTATGCGAGAGCAGGAGGGATGGAGATGCGACGCTCGCCACCGACAGCCATGCCGGCGACACCAATGTCCCAACCCTTGATGACCTCACCCTTTCCGAGCTTGAAGGTGAAAGGCTTGCCCTTCTTGTTCGAGTCGAAAACCTTGCCGTCCTCGAGCTTGCCGATGTAGCGCATGGCGACAGTGTTACCGCTCTTGGCAGCAACACCCTTTCCAAGCTTCTTGTCGTCAATCTTGACGCCACGAATCTCCTTGACGCCGAGAGTGCCAGTAGGCTTGTCTCCAGAGGGAGTAGGGCCTTGTTCAAGGTTCTTGGCGAACTGGACCTTCTTATCGGTCTTAGCCTCCTTCTTGTCCTCCTTGACATCCTTCTTGGCCTCCTTAGGCTCAACAGCGGCGGCATCGCCGTTGTTCTTCTTGAGCTTCTTCTGCTGGGCCTTGGTCAAGGCGGGCTCCTCAGCCTTGGTAGATTTGGCCTTGTTGGCCTTGGCCATCAGATCATCGAGGGTGACCTCATCCTCGGCGGCGCGCTTGTTCTTACCCTTCTTCGACTCGACAAGCTTGGGAGCCTCCTCCTCGCTCTCGATTTCGGTGATTCTGGGGTCCTCCATGTCATCAAGGTCATCACTCTCATCGTCATCCTGCATGGCGATGAGGTCTTCCATGTCGAGCTCATCCTCATCGGGAGACAAATCGTAGTCATCCTCGTCCTCATCATCGTGGTCGTGATCATGGTCGTGGTCGTGGTCGTGACCCTCATCGAGACCAATGACGTAGTTACCAGTGAGGAAGACAGTGTGGTTACCGGTGACCTTGAAGAACACGGGCTCACCCTCGCAGACAGTGATATCCAGAGGCTGTTGGTAGTTCTACAAGGGTATTAGACGTCAATGATCAACTAGCCGTGAAACTCAAGGGAGTATTGGTCTTACCTGGCTGGGGCTGAGGGTGCAGATAACATTCTCATCGAGCTCCAAGCCTTCCTCGGACTCGGAGTCCTCATCGTCAAGGGCAGGGCCCTTGCCCTTGATGAGCTTGGAGATAGCAGCCTTCAGGTCGAAATCCTCATCATCCTCCTCCTCATCATCATCTTCCTCCATAGCGTCCTCGAGGTCCTTGAGGGCAGCGGCGGCCTTAAGCTTGCGGGCCTTCTCCTTGTCGCTAGGGCCACCGTTGGACTCCTCCTCATCAGAATCCTCTTCATCCTCATCACTGTAGTCCTCGTCATCCTCATCATCCTCATCGAGGTCAAGACCGGGAGGAGCGCGAACAATCTTCAGGGTGGAGCGGGAAGGCTTGCTCGAGTCCTGGTCATCCTCGAACTCTGGGGCCTCATCGGGGTCGATAGCGGCCATGCTGATGCGGAACTGGATTAAATGTCAGCACAAGCTATCACCTAATTGATCACAATGAAACTGACCGAAGCAGCAGCGTTGGGAACTGCTTGAACCATGGCACCGGGAGGAACCCGGAGCGCATAGACTGCGACAGGCTGAACAGCAGACATTGTGAATTATTAGATTGAATTGGAGAGATGGAAGAAATATCAAATCCAAGAGAGAATGAACCACGTGGAAAAAGATGTGGATGAAGGAAAGAAAAGGGAAGAAAAGAAAAGATGCTACCAAGCAACAAATGCGGCAAAAAATTGGGAGAAAAAAAAATCAATCAATGATATCAACGAAGCGTTCACCGCTAAGGTATTGCCATAGGTGACCGCTTCCTATAAGCTTGGATCCACGTGATGATTGCCGAGCTTGGCGTGAGAGCGCAATAAGCTTCTCTCTTTTACCTCTCTGTACTTTCTTGTTAGTCAAAATGGTCGTCGTAGCCCAACATGGGCTCCCGGCATGAGATAAACTCTAGTGCAGTGCGCAAACGCATTGAAAACCGTAGGTTCTGTCCAAATTTGAGTCTCCGCTCTTATCTGACAGTCTCTAGATGACTTCCACGATGAAGGAGGGGAGGAGTATGAGGCCTCTAGCTTTGGTGGTTTTGGAGACTACATGCGCCGGAAAAAATTGAAGTTACAGAATCTTGATGCGGAAATTCGAGCTTCAGCTGGCGATTGCTCGCCAATATTCCGTGGTGTAGTTGCCCATGTCAATGGATACACTCAACCTTCCCTGCAAGATCTGCATCGTCTGATAGTTAGCCATGGGGGTGGCTTTCTTCAATATCTAGATGGAAAGACTGCAGCCACTCATATCATCGCCAGCGCTCTGACACCCAAGAAGCGTGAAGAGTTTCGCCGCTACCGCATAGTGAAACCTGCGTGGGTGACAGACAGCATCAAAGCAGGACGTCTGCTGCCATGGGATGAATTTAGAGTAGTAGATGAAGGTCAGGCACAGAGGGTGCTCAAGTTTGATGATGGCCGGTTTATCAGCCAGACAAATAGCCCTCGCCCAGGTTACAAAGATCAGTCAAAGACTAGCTGGTATAACTCTCAGATCCGAGATATGAGCACCACTGAAGGGGGCTTTTGCTCTTCACCCAAGCCTGCGATCCCGTCTGCGTTGTCTGAAGCTTCACAGATGGTCGCATCCACCACACCGAGCCAGCCATCTCAGTCAGACTATGGTGATTTCCCTAGCTTCACTCTAGCGGAAGAGGAGGAAGCTCATGGCATTCAGGATCAACTAGAGGCACCAGTCGGTGATGCAACACAAGCTATAATGCCACATCAATTTCCCAATCCCAATCAATTGCCCACTTCACCAGATCCAGTCGTTGACCTCGAACCAACCTCACTTCTCGAACAAACTGAGGCAAAAAAGCCCAACTTGACCTCTGAAGAGTACAACGCACAGCTGCTTTCTGACCCACGGATGCACAATTCCTCTGTTGTCAATCCGGAATTTCTGCAGCAGTATTATAAGGAGTCTCGCCTCCATCATTTGTCAACCTGGAAGGCTGATTTGAAAGCCCAACTGCAAGCCGCAATGAAGGAGAATGCACAGTCACAGATATCGAAAAAGAAACCCGTGCCTGGATCGAGGCGGTACATTCTACACGTGGACTTCGACTCATTCTTTGCAGCTGTCTCACTTCTGAATCATCCCGAGCTCAAAGACAAGCCAGTTGCTATCGCTCATGGATCTGGATCAGGCTCCGAGATTGCTAGTTGTAATTATCCTGCACGTGCCCGAGGCGTCAAGAATGGGATGTGGATGAAAGGTGCTTTGCAATTATGCCCTGACCTCAAAGTCCTGCCTTATGACTTCCCTGCGTATGAAGATGCGAGTCGCAAGTTTTATACGTCGATACTTGCCATTGATGGTACTGTGCAGAGCGTTAGTATCGATGAGGCTTTGATTGATGTCACAAATTTATGTGTGGAAGCTGGCGGGTCAGACGGAAAGGCTATATCTGAAGGGTCGATTTACCGCGAGCAGGCCAAAGCGGACGAAATTGCTCAAGGTCTACGCGATTCAATCAAAGAAAAGACCGGATGCGCAGTCTCTGTCGGAATTGGCAACAATATTTTGCTTGCGAAAGTGTCTCTCAGAAAAGCCAAGCCTGCAGGGCAGTTTCAATTAAAGCCAGATGCTGTTCTAGACTTTATTGGAGATCTCACCGTCCGTGATCTTCCTGGAGTGGGCAATAGCATGGCAATGAAACTCGAAGAGCTAGGTGTCAAGTTCGTCAAAGACATCAGAAATCTCCCGAAAGAGAGACTGATATCTGGTTTAGGACCCAAAACTGGAATCAAATTGTGGGAGTACACTCGTGGAATCGATCGAACAGAAGTCGGCGACCAAGCCATGCGGAAATCCGTTTCGGCCGAGGTCAACTGGGGCATTAGATTTGTCAATCAGGACCAAGCAGATGACTTTGTGCGGTCTCTGTGCGACGAGCTGAATCGAAGATTGATGGAAAATCTGGTGAAGGGAAAACAGCTCACATTAAAGGTTATGCGCCGATCGATGGACGCTCCACTGGAACCGGTCAAGCATCTCGGTCATGGAAAGTGTGATACATTCAACAAGAGCGTCGCTCTTGGCGTTGCAACCAATGTACCAGAGGTCATTGGGAAGGAAGCAATATCGATGTTAAGAAGTTTCAATTTTTCACCAGGAGACTTGAGAGGTCTAGGTGTGCAAATGACCAAACTTGAACCAATCAAGTCTGGCCCTTCAGGTCCTTCAGGCCACGAGAGCAGCCAGCGGCAACTCAACTTCCATAGGTCTCCACCTCGCAAGAAGGTCATTCCAGATGTAGACCCCGACGAGCTGGAGAGTCCACAGAAAGATGACTCCGTTCGTATTCAAGCGGACCCAGTACTTGGCGATAGTGCCCACAAGCCACTCAATATATCCGGGTCCCAGTTTATTATGCCCACTCAAGCCGATCCCAAAGTCCTCGCTGAATTGCCCACGGATATCAGATCAAGGCTTGTTGCACAAGCAAAGCCGCGCCGGGATTCTCGCTCTGGGTCTCCTTGTCCTCCCCCGCGCGAAGGCCGACAGTCCGCTCAAGCAGACCTTCCCCCCCAGTCCCAACTGGACCCAGATGCATTGGCTGCATTACCAGAAGATGTCCGCAAAGAAGTACTGGGATATTATAACCACTCAGCCACTATCGCTGCGCCGCCGCCCGCGCCGGCAGTACCAGAGTCACGCCCATCAACCTCCAGCTCTCTCAAGCTGAGAAGACCGGTCTCACCACCCAAAAAGAGACGTGGCCGCCCACCCAAGTCGGCAACGATTTTGAACAAGCCTAAGCCCAAACCTTTGAACCAATCAAGCTTTGGGTTCGTTCTTCCACGCCCAGCAGCCGTATCTAATAATTTTGATGATGACACCTTGTCTAGACAAGCGTCACCAATCGTCGAAGAGCGAGTCGAACCTTCAGCTGAATTTCTGGCTGCTTTACCCGAAGATATCAGACAAGAACTCCTTGAAGAACAAAAACGTTTGCAACAGCGCTCGCGAGGTATTGAAACTGCGCAAAGACCTCCATCTCGGGCACAGGAGGCTCCTCATTCTGCACCAATTGCCGTAGAGAAGCTTCTACCTCTACCCCCTCTCCCCAAGCGTCCCGTCTTTACATCACAGCACTTATCCCAACTGCCAGACCTACGAAATGCTGTTGGCTCATGGCATGAAGTATTTGCAACGGGCGGCCCATATGGTGAAGACGTCACTTCGTTATGTAAATATCTGTCCAGTGTGACATTACATGAGAAGGATGTCGACAAAGCTGTTTCTGTAGTACGCTGGTTGATGTGGTTGGTTGGTGAACACTCGCAGCAGCAGAGGCCTCAAGAGCCACCAGGGTCCCGACCCGAGGGAACTATAAACTGGGAAGAGGCTATAGAGACTATGCAGTACAGTGTCCAGGTGGCTCTGGAACAGAGAGAGCTTCCCCCAGTGGACTTTTCGTAAATTGATACCCGAATATGAGACATCACAATCATTGACTGTACATAACTAGTTGAGACTACGAAGTTGAATAATTCATACCAAATCTGCATAAATATGCTTTACATATATATGACCAGTTGGTAGGTAGCCCTGTAGATGGGCCAGCTGAGTCCCAGCTAGGCAAATTGGAACAAGAGAATATCGAACATAACAATGGGGAAAAATGGAGTGTATCGAAAAGAGGGCGGCAAGATCGGAGTGGAGTCGTGGCATGCCCCACGTCTATTCTCCGATCCCCTATCTTCTTCCCCATACTTACACTCTTTTTAGACAAGCTTACCATGCCGCCTGTCACCAATGGTCAGTTCTCCTTCAACGTCGACACATTCTATGTCGCCACGTCTGGAGGACAGATCCACCGCCGTGCAGCGCCGGCTGAGATAAAAGCCCTTTACGATACATCGACTACAGACAAAAGCACACCCGACCACCCAGGTCATTGGTATGAAGCACAGCTCCTTCACTATGGTCTCCCACCATCAAAGGTCAAGGCGACTGCCAAGATGAGACTCTTGAAAGCTGTGCAAAACGGCGGCCTGAGTGTTCCCGAGGAAAGCCTACAAATCGAAAAGAATCTGAAAAAGGAATGGAAGAAACAGGATTCAAATGACCAAGCACAGGTCAATACCAAGATCACGACGACGAAGACTGTTACCACCAAGACTATTACAGTTTCCAAGACTACTGCGTCCAAGACCCCTGAGAGCAAGACTACTGCATCTAAAGGTGTGAATAAACCTACATTGCCCAAGGCTGCTGCCAAAACCTCAGCTGTTAAATCCGCGGCTACCAAAACTGCTACGCCCAAGGTCGCTCTTACCAAGAAAGATACCGCACCCAAGACCGTTGCCCCCAAACCCACTGCAGCTAAATCTACAGCGGCCAAACTTGCCACGATTAAAGCTGCTCTTGAAGCTGCAAAACCTGCTTCGATCAAGGCTGCTGCTAAATCCGCTGGTGGGAAGTCCGCGGCTGCTAAGCCTACAACGCCTAAGGCTGCCCCAGGCAAGAGAAAGAGGGCCTCGGACGACGAGACACCTGATCAACCGCAGATCGCCAAACGTCGCGTGAATAGCAAAAAGGCACAAGACAACGCGAATGCGTCCAAAAACAGGCACTACAAATCGAGCGGGTGGTCTGAGCAGCCTGAGCACCTCGATGCACCTCCCTCGTACGAATCCGCCTGCAGAACGGTAAATATATTCTCCCTTATTCACGAAAGAACACTTACCTAACTTGCCTGATCAGGGCGGAGGAGATTCTTTTGATTCCCTTTTCGATGTGAGCGAGGATTTTGGCCATCATAGGGAGCCCGACACGAACGCAGATCCACCATCTCCGCCCCGAGCCCTGAAGAAAACCCTGGGCATGCTCAACGGGACGTACAAAGTTCGGTCCTCCGACATCAAACGGAACTGACCGGACGCTATACCATCTGAAGGACTCACGTTATCTCTCCGCCTCAATGGAACGGAGATATGGGGGGGCATATGAATTCGGAGCGTTTGAGGGTGTATTGTGGATGCCAGAACGACCTATGAAGTCTTCGTTTGACAGAGTCCCGTTTAAATGGCGTGGGCGGGAGACCGGTGAGGGTGAAATGAGCTATGAAGACGACCAAGAGGGTTGGATTGAGTTCCTGGGCGATGGTGATATTGTTGGGATGATCAGCTGCTATGGAGATCTCCATTTTCGAGGCCAACGGATCGATAGCTCTGTCCGAACAGCAAGTGATCTGCGTAGCGAATGGGATGGCTACAATGACGAAGCTTGGGCAGAGGAGAACAGGCGCCGATGGGGTGGGTGGTAAATGGTGAATGCTAGGCAGTGGATAGCTTGATTCAATGATCCCTAGGTGGTCTACTTGACTCTAGCTCAGGATAGTTTGCCAATATCCTCCCTGGGTGGCCAAGTGAGTGAGAGACACGAGGTCATCTAATTGCTGGGTGGAACAATGACCACGGGATTCCATCCTCTTCAAGGAGTAGTTTGGAGGATTACCTTTTTTTTTTTTTTTTCTATCTCGTTCTGAATGTTACTTTGAATCCCTTCCCTCGGCTTGTCTCAGATGGTGGAATATATCCAACAGGATATCCTTGTATTGCTCTGGCTTCTCTTGTATTGATCCTGCTTGGGAGGTGATACTCATGGTATTCTCACGCACTTGACACTGCGGGTTACAACCAACCCGCTTACCGGTCTATATCCTAACGCTATAGATACTGGAAAATGGAACATGATAACGCCGTCAATCAGCGTTCTATATACACGTTTATGCCCGAAAGTTAGACCAGTTGTGGGTCTACTGACGAAGAAATCCAACTGTCCAACCTTTGACACACCAAAGATTCTAGAACACCTAAATCCCAGAATTCTTAGGCCCAGGCACCGACAATGCTCATACAGAAAGCACCCAAAAATACCAAGATGCAGGCATAAACCCTTCTCTTTCCACGGAGAATGCGCCAACTCTCGTCACTGAGAAAGTCTTCCGACATCAATTCCACGAGCGAGGCAAAAATCAGAAGTCCAGCTGACATGGCATTCATGACGCCAACGACAAGTAGACCAACCTCCGAGTCGGGGCTGTAGAGGGTATGGGTTGCGAGACCAATAGCTTGCCCGATCGGGGTTCTAGACCTCTGTCAGCACTGTTGAGTCCGTTGTAAGCGGGGAATTAACTTACGTGCATCCGTATGCAAGGGACATGATCCAAGGCTGGATTTGCTTTTCTGACCAGGGAAGCGAGGCAATCCGGGATCCAAGCGCCAGGCCTTCAAATGTTTCTATAGTCGGTTTAGTCAAATGCATTGCTCCGATCAACAGACGGAGATGGAGAACTTACGATGGAATACAATGGCAATCAGCAGAATCACAAATTCACTGCCGACTGATACGCTGAGTGACATGCCGATAAACACACTGTGGAAAAGAATGCCCATCTCAAGAAGGTAGACCTGCATGGTCTCTTTTTTCTGCTTTTGCTCAGGGGTCAAGACGAAGTTGTCTTCATGACGCTCCACGTCTGTCTGGATAGTCCCGTTATCCTTCTCGTGATGGGTTGGAGCATCAGGCGCAGATGCAACGCGAACTATATCTTCAGTGCCTTCGCCCATGCGATTGATAGCTCGGCTTATGCTCGCGGATCTTCCAATTAGCGGACCCATGTCTCGCAAATGGGATCGGCCATCATTTCCAACGGATTGTGAGCTAGGCGCTCTAGAATTGTCCGAACAGTCAGGAACATCGATGGTTGGAATTGGAGCTACCATCGCACCATCAGGGCAGGAGGCTGGCCTTGAGACTGGACTCCGGTTTCCCCCACGGCAGATATTCTGCGCTGGACTGAATACCATTTCGATGACTGTAACGAGGAAGATACCACCCAAGGCAATGGCACCCGGCATAGCTGGGTAATCCTTTGTCCAGAAATTAGATAGACATGGGTCTCCTAGCGAAGTAAATGCCGTGGGAAGAAGATGCACAAATGCTGTGGCGATGAGGACACCCGTTCCAAAATGAGTAACGAAGAAAAGGAACGCGGGTGGGATATGCATCCGTGGGAATCGAGTTGCAAGGATGGGGAATGCGCATGCAATACTCGAAGTGCCTAGGATGATGAAGAGGGCCGCAACGTGCAATGGTAGGTCGTATGCACCGCGGGTACCTCCCTGAGCACAACTGGATCGTTTGACTGGCTCTGTATACTGCTGGGTAACAGGTGCTTCCAGTATGAGGGGTGGTTTAGATGTGAAATATCTCTTCAGACTGTCGAAGGAAATGATTGCCGAGACAAGAAGCACAGAGAGGAGCCACAGGGCCCAATCCTTGATACTCTGATATGATGGGAAAACATTTGACAGTCCTTGATCGATTTCATGAATAGTATTTTGGGGAGCGAGGCGTCCTGTTCAGTTGTTAGAATTGATTATTAGAATATTCGCCTTGCTGTTCATACCTGACATTGTCAGGGACGCCTCGCACCCCACGCTAAAATGACTCCCCGCATCCTTTTCTTCTAGCGGATGAACAACTTTCCAATTACTTCCCCGTAAAATACCTGGAGACTCATCGTCTTTGTTCTCGCGCGTGTTTGAGATGCCATTGAGATCTTGACGGGTAGTCAGGTCGGGAGAAAGAAAGCGCGGGTTCTGATTCCACCCATCTTGCAGTAATTCATCGGTCCGGGATGGGCAATTCATGATGCTACAATGAATCTTCTAACTAAATGAACTCAAGAGGTGAAAATTACGATTAATTCGCCCCAAATGCCCAGGGCGATGAGGCAGCGATCCCGAGGTCTTGGCATTGGGTGGATTCCGGCCCGATTTTACTTGGCAGTGATCCAGCGATTATCGCCGTGATTCGCCTAGACAGCCTATTCGGTCCGGTATTGGCCGAACCACAACCTCCGGGGGCGAAATGCTTGTGTTGCAAGTCTAAGACATGAAACCGAGGTTATTGGAATATGAATTTAGGGGTTCCCGGCGGTGATATGCTACTACGACTGGGGTATAATGCTCAGTTGATGCTTGGACCGACTTTCGTGCTATACCGCCGCTAGTAATCAAGCAAAGCCGATGTGATAAGCTGTGCTAAAGAAAACCTCCCCACACATAATTGGGTCAAGCGCAGGCAGTAGAGGGGACCGCTCAGAGCTCATACGAAAGAACCCAAGAAAAAGGACACCTGAGCGAGGTTGATCAAAATTTGCAGACTATTACGAGTGGCAAAGGGAAAGCACCCAGGGCCCAACTTCTGGTTGGGTTGATGTGTGTCTACAAATTGATGCAGGAACAAGAGGCCATAGTGTACATTAAAAATCGTATTAGTTTTCTCCGTAATCATTTCGCCCAGGGAGCCTTGGTGTGCACATCGCCATTTCCATCCTGTGAATGTGAAGGCCGAGGTTGGACAGACCAAGGCGCTCTGGTGGGTGCCATGGGACCTGGAGGCATCCTTGAAGTATCTGGAAGAACAGAGGGAGCCCGGGTTGCACCGCTAGGCATGGAGGTTGGGACTCCTTCTCTTCTCATCCCCGCCCATGGAGCTGCTGTCGAGACCATTGGGGGAACAGACTGCGTGCCTGCCCCAGGCATAGGACGCGCACCGGCAACAGATGGAGGGCCGCAATCTGGCGCAACAGGGCGTGCCTGAGGACCAGATGTGGCATGAACCGTGGAAGGAGGCAGAGGGGCATTTGGATCACGGTCCCAGCTGAATAATGACCCGAAAGGGAAGTGCTGTACCACGGGGAATTTCGAGAGGACTTCCGCGTTATACATCTTGATCATTCCCTGGTGTGACTGGTCAGCGCGAACATTCCCAGTAATTATCAATATTGCGAACCTTATTGATCTTGCCCCAGCCAGCTGGAATGCCAGAAATGTCAAACAACATGCGACTGTGTTCCCAGAATGGACCTCTCTTAACATCATAAATAAAACCGATAGCGGAAAAATAGAGATTAGTTCGGCGTTCCCTTTGAACAATATTTGCATTAGCGACCCCGCCCGGGTCAGGTGCATTTTCCAGTGAGCCTTCTTCGGGAGTTAGGTCATTGTCTGTGATTGCAGGTGAGAGTTGTGCAGATCCAAAGATATAAGGGGCGAAGGAATGATCATCAAGACCCCAGACGCCGTGGGAGCCAGCAGGTTCAAGATTGTAGGTCTTGATGAGCAGTCTGACAAGTTCCAGATATCTAAGTGGTGTCAGTCAGTAAGGGACGAAGCATGTCTGGCGTGGCAAATTCTTGGTGGACGTACGGATGAAACACCCCGACCACGATAGCTCGTTCCTCGACGCCTGGACCGGCCGCGGGAAATCCATTCAGCCTCCATATGCCACACAGGAAAGCCAAGAAGCTCAGTTCATGACCAGTACCATAGTCCAGTCGCTGGCCGCTTCCCCAGCTGCCCAAAAAATATGATTTCAACTCCATCTCCGCCGTTAGGTCCCCGTTCGATGATCCCCTATCCAAGAGGTCGGCGGGTAGGCATTCCCTCAGTAGGTTGGATGCACGACTTTCGACCACCTCACACCACCTTCGAAAGCTTATATTTCCAAACCTCCGCGGGCCGGTATCTGGTGGGACCTCCTGTATGATATCTTCGAGTTTCGAGAGAAGTCGCTGCAATTGTCGGACCGGAGCGGAATATTGTATCGCATCGCTGTTTAGAGGCCATGTCTGTATAGTATCGTCGGCCAGCTTCACTGGAAACATAGATCGGTTGAGTTGTAGTATCCACGTCATGATATTAGTATAGGCTTTGGAGGTCAAGAAAGTCGAAACATCTTGCGATTCGTGGATCTTCTTGATCGGTTCGACAAAATTGTGCGGCTCAGAAGATTCCAAAGTGGGCAACACACGAATAACTAAGCCATTAGCCATGTTTGCTGAGCTTCTGAAAAAATATTTGAGGCTGAAGTGGGATGAATGAGAGAAGATTGGAGTGGAAGCGGGATGTTATCTGCGGCTCCACTAGAGCTCCCGTGCCGCGTCTTCTACGGTTCTTTTTAACTTCCCCACGCGTCACCGAAGATGGCGCCAAAAAGATCCAGTCGATCTACCGACTACAGCCTTGGACTTTTGAATAATATCAATGCACTCGGGCGCGATGTACCAAATACACAAAACCCCAAACGGCGTCGCACCCATGCCAACGTCTTTGAGGTTCCTATCTCCCCCCTCCCCGACAAAATCTGGAAAGAGTCCTCAAACCGACCTAAAAATTACAAGACGGTCGGGATTGAGAGACCGCACAATGCCTGAACTCGCTCAACCGGATTCACACCCCGGAGTTTCCGACAACGAAAAAGACAAGGAGCATAGCAATGACGAATCTGGGTCAAGCGACCACGAGTCCGAATACAATCAAGATGGATCCGGTAGTAGTGAAGAGGAACAATTGGTTGATGTCAGCGATGAGGTTCAGCTCGAGCCTGAACACGATCCGTTTCCCGAATCAGTGGATCTGTTCCCAGCCGAAGATGAGGACCAAGCTGATCATCAGGTTGTACATGAATCCAGAGAGGCACCAGATGACACACCTAGAGACGGATTTGAACCTGACGAAGAGGATGTAGATGGTCGAGCGGGAAAGGAAGCTAGAGATGCACAAGCCAATGCATCCGAAGGCGAATCCAAATATGGAGAAGAAGAAGAAGAAGAAGAAGAAGAAGAAGAAGAAGAAGAAGAAGAAGAAGCAGATGATCAAGCTGCTGAAGAAGTCGAAGACGCGCAAGCCATTGCGTCTGAGGACAGATCCGAATACGCAGATGAAGAGGAGGCAGATGATGATTCTTCACTCGAAGTCCAGAATCATCCACCAGCCCCCCAGCAGGTCGCAACTGCGAATATTCTCGAGGTGCAGATCCTCGAGAGTATACCAAGAACCCAAAGAGATGGCACACCTATGGATCGTGTGTCAGAAAATGCTCGAAATTCTCAGAATGCCTCATCGCAGCTTCCGGAAGTACCAGAGACACCGACATTCCAGCCATCTCGCCCAGATCAGGGCCCTCAAAGCACTCGCCCCAATATCTTCACGTGGCTAACCGAGACGACCAAAGAATCTGCTTTTCAGGATACCTGGGAAGCAATCCGCAAAACAAGGAAATCCCTTAAGGCCCACGCTGATCCCTCTACAAAAGGGCATTTCAGAGATATCATGAAGCTCATTGAGCGGTTACGAAAACTGTTTGAAACCATGACCAACGATCCTGCTTCAGCTTCCTCCTCGAAAAAACAGTGCAGTCTCATCGCCAACAGCATTTTTAAAGAAAACCAGTGGATCATTTACACCGAAGCACCCGAAGATGAAGAGAATGGTGCACACCTGGTAAATCAACTCGAAGCCCATGTTGTTCCCCGTCTGATTGACTTGATCATACTCGGATTCAAGACCTACAAGACTCTACATGATGGGACAGCACGACATTTTCGCATCATCCTCGATTTGATTTGGGGATCCTGTGATAGGATATCTTCCCTCGCCCAGATGAATTATGTGATTAGTGGGAGCGTGATGGCTCATTCTAGAAGACTGGTGCACCATGTGAAGACTCTCAAGGATGCACTTAAAGACGGCAGGCTACGAGAGATACCCCATCGCGTTCACCAACGCCCTCTACCGTACAGGCACTTTGAGTTGGAAGAGGTTGACAGCCATATCTCTTGTGGACGATGGACCTATGCGGAAAAGACCGCCCTCCGAGATGGTTTGCAACTGTATGAGGGTAAGTCTTTTCATTTCTGATGCTGTATGATGTTCTGACGTTATCAATAGGAGAAGATCGGTACATTGATATCAAATGTGACAACACAATCGGCGGTCGACTCTCTGATCGGATCTTACAACATATCCAGAGCCAAGCCATCAAACTCGGGGATGACTTATGATCCAAGCAAGTATGCATGGGTTAAGATAGACACAGATACATGTAAATAGTAGACTTGATTTCAAAATACCCGAGAAGTTCATAAAATACCAAACCAGATTTGAAAATTTCCGGGGTCGGCAAACCACAAGCGAACCACAGGCTTCCTTTTGTATATCCATGGATACCCAAGTATTATATCCACAATGTATATGCCTCGGCTAAAGCCCTACTATCTTTCTCTATGAGGGCAGATATTTTGGTAAAATTCACTGTGTCATTGACACTGAATATAGGAATTTTATTCTTGGGCTCCTGGCTCTGTGAGACATCTATGGTACCTACATACCCTTAAGATATATATACTAGTACTGTGGTATGGAGATGGGGCCATTGTGATAGACATAGACATATCTATAAAGCTGCAGAGCAAAGAATGAGCATACTAATTGATCCAGTCAAGGTCCGCATCTAGAAATAAAAAGATTGCTAAGACAATGCAAGGGGATACCCCGGACCCATTTAGGGGTTTGTCTATAGAGAAAGCAAAAGTATACAACGGCGATCCCACCCCCCTCCTAAATTGACACCGCTTTCTCTTTTTCCCGCTTTCCCCTTTTCTCCCCCAAAGTATCTCGACACCAATTGGCTTTGTCGGTTTATTTGCTTTTTCTTTTTTACAATTGTGGTTTGGACTTCTCTTAGTCCGGAGATCAGTTGAGTAATTGTGAAAGAATTGGAACGGTTGGGCGGCGCGTGAGTACATTCCTCTCTTTTCTGCATGTTTGTTTATAGACGGGAGCTTCGGTTGAGCTGGACAATGGCACTCAGTTATGCCATGGGTACAGTTGGATCATTTTGCGCAACTGGAGCAGATTTTAGGGTTGTACTCAGCATGCTACAAGCTCCTGAAAAGGCCATTGGAGTGACCTGAATTTGAGAGCTCGAAGCTGAGGTTCAAAGCAAACCGGCTGGACAATCAGGTGTTTAGGGGGTTCGAATTTGCTCAACTAAAGCTGACGACGCTTTTCGCAGACAGCTCACACGTACACGCCAGCTGAACTTTACCGCGGAGCTTGCCGTCTCTAATACTTTAATCCCGAACAATCTACCGATATGTCCTCAAACGACGAACCGGTCGTCGCCCCTGCTCCTGTGGAGGTCGATGAAAATGAGCCCCCGGCTACCCCGATAGAGGCGAGCGTCGTCTCCGAGGGCGAGGAGTTGGTTAAGCCTAGTCCCGATGTATCGAAGGAGAACCCGGCCGCCTCTCTGGCCAAGACCAGCCCTGGTACACCTGGTATCGCGAAGCGTCCTGTGTCTGGAACAGCTACCACCAAACGGCCCACGTCATCCTCTGCATCCAAACCCACGACGGGCACCACCCGCACGACCACCGCCAGTACCCTGAACAAACCTCCCACTCGTCCCTCGACCACGACTACCACCCGGAAGCCATTGAGCACCTCGACTGTCTCGTCTCATCGGTCTCGCATGTCAGTCAGCAGCTCTGCAGACGAGAAGCCTCGGTCTGTGGCGAGCTCGGGAGACGAGAGGCGGGGAATATCTGGCACTGCGAAGCGCATGTCTATGGCTGGTACCGCCTCCACCCGCCCCCCTCTCAAACCCACCTCGTCTTCCATCGATCGTAGATCGAGTGTTGCCGGCACCACCGCCGAGAGGAAGCCCGCCACCACAACTGCGCGTACCGCGACGTCGACGAGCAAGCCCGTGGGTAGGCTGACTTCATCAGCGACACCTGCAAGCCGAACTGCCGCTTCCACCTCCACCACTAGACCTGCTACTACTCGGGCAACCTCGTCTACGAGCAATGTTAAATCTGCCATTGCGACCGATCCCAAGAAGCGATTGAGTACGCTACCTGGCTCAACTGCCCGAGCTGGTGATTCTGAGAAGCTACAAGCCCTTCAAACTAAGCTCACAGAGAGCGAGGAGACCGTGGCCAATTTGAAGACTGAGTTGCAGGCTGTCAATGAGAAATTAAGCCAGCTTTCTGTCTCGGCCGAAGAACCCTTGGGTGATGCTAGTGCCACCGAGGCCATTCGTGCGAGTCACACCGCAGAGATTGAGAAGTTGGCATCGGCCCATACCGAGGAGCTCCAGGCCCTGCAAGCGCAACTAGAAGAAGCAGAGTCCCAACGGAAAGAGCTGGAGGAAAGCTCGCAAAAGGAATTGGAGGAAGCTAGACAATCCGCCGCTGCCCAAGGAGACGACAAGACAGTTGCCCTTCTTGATGAGCTCAAGTCAGCACACCAAACTCAACTTGAGGCCATCCAAACAGAGCTGGCAGAGCACAAGTCTGCAGCTGCTCACTTTGAAGAGCAGATTGGCGCTTTGAAACAGGAACTTGAGTTCCAGCAGCTTGCACTAAAGGAAGAGAAAGCCCAAGCCCTTGACCACTTCAACCGAGAACTCAAGGGTCGTGACCAGGTCATGGAGAACCTTAACATAGAGATTGTGAAGCTGAATACGCTCAAGGAACAGGAAGTTCGCGCTGCCGAAGAGGCTGCTCAAGAGAGTGTCTCTAGCCTTCAAGAGCAAGTAGCCTCCCTTGAGGCGAAGCTTGCTGCGGCCGAGTCTGTCACCCAGGAAAGCTCTGTGCAGAGCACTTTGATTGCCGATAAGGATCAAGAAATCACCGAGCTCAGACAGGCCCTGGAGAAGATTCAAAGTGAGCTGCAGGAGACACGCGATACAGCGGCCACTGAACTGTCATCAAAGATCAAGGAGCTGGAGACTGCCAATGAGGCTGCTATCGCAAGCCTCAAGGCTGAACACGAAGTTGCTATTGGTGATATTTCGGCTTCCCACGCAGAAAAACTCGCTGTTGCTATGGCGGCGGCAGAATCGAGCGGCACAGAACACACCGCACAACTCCAGGAACTCCGTGACGCCCTCGAGGCGTCTAAGGCCACTGCCCAGAAGGCACAAGAAGATGCTGTTACTGAGCTTAAGACAAGCCATGAAGCAGAACTAAAATTGCTGCAAGAAAAGCTGGAGGCTTCCGAGACTGCCCTCGGCGAGTCCCGCCGTGCATTGGATGAGGGCAATGCCTCTGCACAAGACCTTGCTATCCAAGAGATTGACGCTCTTAGACATAAATGTGAGTCGCTGGAATCGCAGCTGTCAACTGGCACTGGGAAAATCAATGAGCTGCTCGAAGAGATGCAGAGCAAGCAAGCCGAAGCCGAAGCTATCCACCGCACTCTACGGGATGTCGAAGATCACTCCAAGCAAGAGGGTGCTCAGAAGGACAACAAGATGAAGGCACTGGAGCAGAAGGCCGCAGAGGCTGTAGCCATTCTCGAGAAGCACACCTTGGAGGCTGCCGATGTGTCGGAAAAGCACGCACAAGCCTTGGAAGAGTTGAAGGCTGAGCATGCTGCCCACCTTGCATCCGAATTGGAGCGGGCTAAGGAGGCATCGGGATCCCATGACAGTGCTCTGAGTGATCTGCAGGCGCAGCACGATGAGTTGCTAGCCGCAAACAAGGATTTGGAGTCTATGTACGCCACCCGGGTCCAGTCGCTTGAGGCTGAATTGAAGACGGCACTTGAAAGCCACGCCCGTGAGATCGCCACCCACACTGAGGGTCGCGAAAAGGAGGCCGCTGAAATTCAGAATCGATTTGAAGAGACCCAGGCAAAGTTGCAAGCCGAGCTTTCTGCTTTGCAGAGTTATAGCAAAGCTGACACCGAGCTTCACGAGCAACAAATCGCGGAGCTGCAAAAGGGCTTCGAAGAGACCCGAGCCAAGCTCCAGGCTGAGATTGAGACCGCCCAAATATCCAAGGCTGCTGAGATCGATGCTGAGCATAGCAAGGCAATTGCTGAATTGCAGCAAGGATTTGAAGAGACCCAAGCCAAACTTCAGGCTGAGATCAAGGCTGCCCAAACATCCAAGGCTGTTGAGATCGATGCTGAGCACAGCAAGGCGATTGCTGAACTGCAGCAAGGATTTGAAGAGACCAAAGCCAAACTCCGGGCTGAAATTGAGGCTGTTCAAGCCTCAAAGGCCGCTGAGATTGATGCCGAGCACGGAAAGGCAATTGAACAGCTTCTAACCATGCACGACTCCAAGCTGTCCGGCCTTAGAGAGGAGCTCGAAACCTCGAACAGGGTCAAGATTGACGATCTTCAGAAGGCCCATGATGCAACACTGGCTAGTGTTAGCGAGCAGTTGTCTCAGGCCAAGGCTGTTGCCCAAGACACTTCCGCTCTTGATGACTTAAAGGCCACAGTCGCCGATCTGCAGGCCAAGCTTGCTGACTCTGCGAAGGCCCACCTTGCGGTACAGGAATCAGCTGCCACTGCTTCCAGGGAAATCGAGGGTCGCTACTCAGCTGAGCTCGCCAAGATCCAGGCTGACCATGCTACCCTTGGAGATAAATACCAAGCCGCTGTCGCCCAGGTGAGTGAACTGGAGAAGCTTGCCAAGGACTCGGACAGCCAGAAGTCGCATCTTGAGTCGATTATGAAGCAGCTTTCCGAGTCCCGCGATCAACTTCTTAAGGTTAAGGCCGATAACGCCGCCATCTCCGACTCGCTCGTTGATTGCAAAAACCAAAACAAGACCCTGTCCGAGAAGCTCGAAGCTGGTGAACGTGACCTGAACGACCAGATCGACAAGAACATGGGTCTCCTCAACCAGCTTGGCGATGTTGATTCCGACATCTCTGCCAGCCGGCGACGGGTCCGCGAACTCGAAACCGAGCTCGCAGTTTTGAAAGCAGACAGCGGGGAGAAGAGCAGCTCCTCGGGCTTGGAGGCTAGCCGCTGGGCGACAGCTGATGAGGGGAGCGAGAACGCTGAAGATGGGGGTCCAGCCACAACGGAAGGTGAGGACCTAGGCCCATCCATTGAGGGAACGGTGGGAGATCCCCGATTGAAGAAGTCTTCCTACTCATCAGATCTTCCCGCATTCCACCCATTTACATGATTATGAAGACTATATCAGCGTACACAGAGACTAATGCATTCCATAGATGGCAAGCATCCAGGAGCAGCTTAAGCACATCCGAACAGCCAATGATGATTGGTACAGCGAGCACCACAGGTAAGTCAAATATATGGTCGTGTTAATAAAAACCAATGCTGATTTCTCTAGACTCATTGGCGAACTTGCCAATCTCTCCCGGCAAGCATCCTCCGAGTCTCCCAGCCTCTCGACCACGCCCACCTCAGAAGTCCCACCAGCCCCCGAGCCAGAACCTGCTCGCGCTCGCGCAGCAACAGTCTCATTTTTCGGCAAACGCCAAATCTCGCGTTGAATTGGCATCCCCCTGAGCGCTTAGTCGTGATGCAGCATGACTTTCTTTTGTTGAATCCTGCTTCACTCTCTGCTCTTGTGATTCTACTGTATGTAATAACTACGCAGAATACCCTGTCTTATTATGTCGGGGTTTTCCCACTATTCTTGTTTCAATATCTTTATCCTACACATACAACTTGTCTGAGTTGAACTTCGTACCATCCAATTTGCGTCACCACAATGGCTATATTGGCTGGTTCTTAAGTAGGGAGTGATATACAAATGGTGACATGCTCGTATCAACTGTGCTGAGAGGGATAATCCAAGCGCAATGCTATGATTGAAAGTCAAAAACAAAAGTGGGTATCTTAATACACAATACAACAAAGTTCGATGAACGCTTCTCTTGATGTTCGGAAATAGTCCACGAAGCTGGGTTCAAGATCACTCCGAGTCGGAAGCGTAGCTGACCAGCGCTGGTGCTGGTGTCACGGCAGAGGCATCAAATTCTGTGCGGCTGGGAGTTTCACGGATGGACGAAGTTGATGAAGGGACGGTTGAAGCGACGGTTTTTCTCTTTTTGATACTAGGTTGCCATGCATTCGGATTACTTGCATCTTCGGCCAAGAACGGATCAATGATAGCACGAGTGTTCCCAGCCAGCTCGCGGCGGAGAGTAGCTTTCCGTGTCGCAACCAGATCATCCTTCCTAGGCCGCTTCGAAGAGCGAGACTTATTCTCTCCCGGCCCCATCTTTTGTGCAGGCTTTTCCGCTGGCTGCTCGAACATAGGCCGAATGCGAGTCACGCGGGCAGCATGCGAGCCAACATCAGCCGGGTTCTCACCAAACTCCACCATGCGCGCTCTCTGCCGATCCCCCTCAGTCTCATCCAACAACTCAATCCCAAGACTCATTTTATCCTTGAGGGCCTCGGTCTTCGCCGCGGCCTTCTCAAGGCCCTTCCTCTCTTGCCGGAAAGTCCTCCTCAACCGCATAGACTTCTCATACGGATCCTCCCAATCACGATTTTGTCGTTCCTGAAGCTCAAGAATGCGAGTCGCTTCTGTCTTCGCACGATTCTTGTCCTCGATCTTCCCCTCAATCTTCGAAAACGGATCCTTCTCCGCGGGGTCCATCTCTCGCGCGTACGGTTTGATGGCAATTTCGCCGGGCTGCAGCTCTTTGTCTTCGCCAGTATCCCGCTTGCGCCCGCCTTCGGTAACAACGTACGCCGTGTTTTTAGGGTCGGTCTTTATTTCGATAGTTCCGCCGCAGACGGTGTGTTTCATGCGGAAAGTGTAAATTGGTGTCGAGTAGTAGTTGCCGACTTTTTTCTTCTCTGCATTGAAGCGCACACCTTGGCCGATGATTATAGGGTGCGGTTTGCAGTTGTCGCACCATACTGCGAAGGGCATCTCGAAGCGCACGACTAATGCGCCGGTTGTGTGTAGGTGACGCGCGCGCGCGCCGAGTGCGTGCTTCCCCGCAAGTTTGTTTCCCGTTGTCACTCCTTCTTGGTCTGGCGGGACGTATCTTTTGGAGATATCAGCTGGGGGTTATGTGGAGATTTGAGCGTTCTTACTAACCGTCCCATGTCTAGTGAAATCATGTTAGTGGCTGTTTCGCATGTTCTTTGAGATGGGATCGGGACTTACTGAAGCCCTGCATCTTGGGCGAGCTGGATGGTTACTACGCTTTCTGTGTAGTTAGAGATCAGTGAGTATGTAGTAAGTTGGAGAGCTTGTCCGAGTTGATAGTGTCGTAGACGAAGTTATCGACAGACCTCGGGGCGGACTGTGGTCGGAGATAGCGGGGTTAAGCCAGCTGACTCATCACTTCCTTTTCATTCATTGGTCTGGGGGATCCCATAGCATCTGCCTATACTTGAAATTGGCATTACCTGGAAAGGAAAAAAATAATAATAATATATACACTGTTTAACAAACTAGACTAGGAAAAGAGCCTAGTGGAGTAACTACAATGATGGCGCTTGATACATCGACTTATATCGATCTCATACTTACAGCACGAATCGCCATACTTCAAAGGTTCGTCATACACTTCAAGTTGAGACAAGGTATTTTGAATAACTTTTCAGCCAAGACTCTTTATGAAGTTGAGGGGCTTTTGTGTGGGAGTTTAAGTCTTCCGACATTTACCAGTTGATCACTTCAGAGGTCACCTTCGCACCCTCTTTTCTACTTCTCCTTTCTTGCAAAACCCCTAGTGCGCTTTGATCGTCTGATAGTTCCTCTGCAAGATGGACCACGATACACTCCAAAATAAAAAGTCCCTGATATTGGTATTGCTTCCAAAAGACGTGAAAGACAAGCTCGGCAGGTTCGAAGCACAGCTGCAGCCGAAGAATACAAGTTAACCATTCAACAGGCCAGGAGAGATAGATCCCGATAGGGGGGTGGCACTTCTTAAATGGAAATCCGAAATCGAAAGTCAAAGAGATATATTGAATGGATTTCAAATAGCCACAGTTTTATCGCTAGGAGAGGAAGCAGAACAGACGTCGTCGCCTAAGAAAACGAAGACGTTCGTCAGGTTTACCTTTTCCGTGTATCAGAAGCTAGTCCAAACTCTCAGGGATATCATGCGTTCTTTGAAACCTCCGACTGCGGCTGACCCTGAATCATTCCAGTTCGAGGTCTGTACCTCCTGTAGAGAAGTCTACAGCGAAGTCTTCAAGACTCAGTGCTCCCACTTCTATTGCAGGAATTGCTTAATCCGCATGGTCACGAATTCTTTGGAAGATGCATCCTTGTTTCCCCTCAATGCTGTCAAATGCCAATTGAAGGATCAGAATTGACGAAAATGATAGGCCCTGCATTGGGCCAAGAACAAAAGAAGAGGCAAGTTGAGCTCAGCGACCCAGACCAAACTTACTGTTCAGATCCAGCATGCTCTCAATACATCTTCCCAGCAACAAGGAGATTTTGGCCAGATTTCATTTTTAAAACTGGTTGCACGTGCAAGTGTGGTTTACGCACGTGTAGGAAGTGTGAGAGAAGAGCCCACAGGGGCAGGTGTCTATATCAGCTGGACCAGTCATTGGAGAAATCGATGCAGCAGGAGAAATGGCAACGGTGCACTAGATGCGGCCGTGTGATTGAGCTCAACGAGGGCTGTCCTCACATCACGTGTCTTTTTCAGCCCTTTCCAAGCCCACTAAGCTACTCACGAAGCCCTTTACTGACACCTGATAGTTGTGTTTGCAGAGCCCAGTGATGCTACTGCTGTGGGAAGAAGTGGAAGACTTGCGGTTGTTCGAAGGTGGTACAGAGGCCAAACTATCAAATTTGATGAATCTAAGCGATCCAAGAATCACCTTGCAGATAATAGAACGGGGGTCATTCTGATGAGCTTGATCCGCAGAGTAAGGTATGTGGTTTGAGTACGTTTGGCTTGGAGAAATATGGGATATTATCTATCAGAAATCTGCTATCGCTCAGCGTACTTAGCCAGTTGGCCATGATATATTGCCAAGCGAGATAGGAAATATGCCTATGGCCATACATATGTGTAACAGAATGGTGTAGAGAACTTTCACGGTTCTACATGTAGAAGATCAGTATGTTAATTTGCCGATCATCGGCGCCACTCCTATCCTCATGCGAGCTAGAAATCCACACTTGAAGGTCTAGAAGACACTGATGGTCCTCAAATTAAAGTCATTGAATTATCACTAGTAGTATGTTATGCAGTATCAGTTACTTGTGCTGTGTGGGGGCCATGTATTCTAGGCATTCCCATACATATGGGGTTACGTAGTATCATTCTCACCACGAACTGATTTGCTTCTTTTACCTCTTTCACAGAAACTTCAGTATATATTCAGATTTCTTTCTGGTATGCCTTTGACTTCATACCAGTCAAAGTCCTTCTTCATCACATTGACTATGATAAAGATCAAGATACAAAATCTCAAGTTCTAGTCTTACAGCTATTCCTGGTGACAACCAACAAGGGGACCACAGTGCAAAAGAGAATACAAATAACACAGAAACTCACGCTTTACTGGAACAACCTTCAGCATGAGCAACTTCAACATGGGCACAGCGATGTCAATGGGACTAGAAACAGAGAATGATTTGTCCAAATACGAGAGCAGAAGATCTCCTTCAAACTCCCTCCCTATCGCCATTCAGCAACTTGGTGACTCACTCGAAAATGCCATCAACCTGGACAGCTCCCCAGAATCCGAGATTTGGCGTGAATGTGTCTCCTGCCGGGACGATCAACCCCAAGGCGATATGATCAAAACGAAGTGCTCCCACTTCTATTGCAGAGCTTGCTTGATCCGCCTGTTCACGAATTCTTTGCGCGATGAATCCTTGTTTCCCCCTAAATGCTGCCACAGGTCAATTGCAGCCTCAGAGGAGATGATTGGATCTGCATTGGTTCAAAAATACAAGGAGAAGGCGATCGAGCTCAGCGATCCAGATAGGACATATTGTTCCAATTCGAAGTGTGCTGAATATCTCCCACAAAAGGTCACACGCAATGAAATCTGCAAATGCACGAGCTGTGGGGTACACACATGTAGGAAGTGCAAAAAGCACGCCCATGGGGGAAAGTGTGTATATAAGCTCGATGCTCTCTTGGAGGAATTGGCGGAATCCAAGAGATGGCAGCGGTGCTCTAACTGCAGTCGTCTGATTGAGCTCACCACCGGCTGTAACCACATCATGTAAGGATGATTTTATTTGACATTGAACAGTTATCTGCCATTTCACACAGTGCAGATTTTGGGACTTACATCTGTCTACTAGGTGCTTTTGCAAGTTCGAATTTTGTTATTTTTGCGGAAAACAGTGGAAAACGTGCAAATGTATCTACGCAGAGGAAGATTACCTTTACGAACGACCGTGAACTAGCAACGCCCAAGGGACCGCTTCGGGTTTGCCTCGGAATGGACAGAATATGACATAACTTGGCATTCGGGAGATGGCTATGGATGCGATTGAAGCGCAGTTGAATTGGAAGGGCAATACATATGGTCTGCACAGTTGTCCTTGGGGTCAATCATTCTCGTTTACTTCTCAAGAATGATCAAATTGCTCAATCATTTACCATCTTCTCAAATGCTTGCCCTAAGAAAGTTGACAAGACGATCACTTTAGCGCTTGATATTTCAACACTTGAGTAACAGTCCTACGGAATTAGACACAGAATTTAGATTGGATCTTCTTGATTTGTATAGATTTTAGTATGCATTCTGCAAATACGATACATTGCTATTCTTTACAGAATCCATAATTCTGCTCATGACTTTACTTCAAAGGGAAGATTTGACAAACAAGCCCATCATTTTTGATCTTTCAAGAACTGTTTTAGCTTGCTTTGCATGAGTATTCGGTATTTGCCCATAATCTCAATAGACCTCTACATGGAGTTTGATATGGATTCAGGCCAAGATGAGCATACCGACCGAACACTGAACAAAATGGCCAAAGATATCATCGCGGATAATAGCGATGAGAAGTTATCTGAAATCTGGAGAGATGTCACTGAAAGCAAGGAAGAAATCAAGATGCATGATTGTGTATCTTGTACGGAAAAAAATATCCAGTGTCGGATTTTATCCAAACAGAATGCACCGACAGTTATTGCCGCGAATGTATTGAGCGCCTTTTTCAAAATTCTCTTGCGATCAATGCCTTGATTCCTCCTCGATGCTACCGCCTACCGATTTATCCTTCTACCGCCGTCGAGGATATGATAGGCATCGCGATGGTGAAGAGATGCAAGGAACGGGAGACGGAAGCCAGCGATTCTCGTGGTACTTATTATTCAAACTCAACTTGTGCTCGCCATATCCTGCCAAAACATTATCCACCGTGGGGCAGGCACCTGCGAGTTCTGGCATCACTCGAACTTGCACCCAATGCAAAAAGCAAGGAAATAGAGGGGACTGCACCTATGTGGACGCCAATATATACAACGGGGCTCAGGACGAGGAGAAAACCAATGATAAATTACTGCAAAAACAAAGAGGAAGAGGACCATTAATTGTTCCTATCGCTCAGTATCAAGACCTCATTCAAGAGTTGAATGGAAGTTCAAAGGCTATGCCCTTGCGGTAAGCAAATAAAATCTGGCAAGACCAGTGATATAGGAAAGTTAACGATATGGTATAGTCTAATGTGCTTAATTTGCTTGCCCTTGATATGTGTTGATGAACTGGACCTACACAGCTTACATTGGTTAGATCTAGGTCCTAGGAGCTCGATGGCAACTCTGAAGGCCAGCATTGCAATCAAATAAAAACATAATAACGATCACAGTCCACGCTCTGATAAGTATAGCAAGAGTGTAATTCATTGAATACACCTGCCTTCTCTTGAGGATAATCCTCGAGCTATAGGAGATGATAACCTAATAAAAGCATATGTGCGTGACATATGAGGCTAATTACATATTGAAGAGAGTATTCACTGGGGGATAAGACCGCGGATCTCCTCCTTGGACAGAGTCTTCAAGCCAAACAAATCGTTAGAAAGCTTCTCAGGATCGAAAAGAGAGCCATGTCCTTCACCGAAGATACCCCGCAGAACGAATTTCGTAGCAAAAATTCCCGGGTTAGGGGCCGGCTTAGCCAGTTCTGCATAAGCCTCCTGTTCCAGGTCTGTAGTATGAACAATCTTCGTCTCAACGCTCTTGCCAGACAATTCCAGCAGCTCATTCTGTGTGACTCTGGCCTCATTGATATAGACTGTGGAGTTCTTAGTGGCTTCGAGGTTGTTGACAATCCCAACAATTCCCTTGCCGATACCACTGAGAGTCGTTGAGCTAAAACGGCGATCCCCACCATCATATAACACAGCCGGACCAGCAAGATTGAGAATGAAGCCTTTCTCAAGACCCCAGTCAAGGAAGGGACCAGTAATGAGCAGTGAGTAACTGAGGCCCGATTTCTGAGCGACGGTCTTGAGATGTTCCTGAACGCTGACTTTATCGCCAAAAGCAGGCAATTTAGCAATGGTGGGATTCGTAGTGTCGCAGCCGTATTCCGAAGGAATGAATCGCTTCACGCCAGTTGCAACTGCTGCATCAACCAAGCGTAGATGGATGGGCTTGGGGACAGCGCCGACACCGAGAGTGTTGACTACAACATCCTGACCAGACAGCGCGGCCTTGAGCGAGTCGAGAGACTCATAGTCCACTTCTGCAACATGGGCACGGGAGTCAAATGATTTGCTACTGCCTTTTCTGGTGAGAACAGTCACGTCAAAGCCTGCGGTGAGCAGCTCTTTGAGCACGGCAGGACCGAGATTTCCGCTAGCCTGGAGATCATGTTAACCAATGGAAAGGTATGAAGGGCATTGGATTGACATACTCCTACAAGGGCAACCTTGGTGCTCGTCATGTTGATGTTGAGATATAAATCGGTGAAGATAATACCGATCTTTTTTTTTTCGATGAGAAAGGATTGTAGGTCTGGATAAAATATTTAGAATCAAATTGTTATGTGTGGAATGTCTACTTCGAAGCCCGACGCCCCTTATATAACCTCAATTATGATGCCATCCATGGCATATTCGTGATACTCGCATATTTTGGGGTGATTACAACATCCGGATTTGTCTAGGGTTGATTTCTAAAGGCATGCCCAGGTGTCATGGCGGAATTACGGCCGAGCCTATGTGAGGGCTTACGAATCAGGACCTCCGAGGTCGGGATATTTCCAAAATGGGAATACTCCGAGTCCTACATAGCCCTGAACGATGAACATGTGTTTTAGATACTTCTGGTCTCTGCACTTGGTAAAACTTTTCATTTAAAATAATCTTGAAGTGACATAAATGCTTGGTATCATTCCTCAAATTCTACCCGGAATAAGTAATATCCTTGAAATATCCAACCCATTCGGAACTCCTTGTGCCTCTGTTAGAACCTATGCATTTGGCAATTATTGCAGGCTTGGAGTCCACAATTACTGCGTTCGAGAATGTAGACAAGGATCCAGCCACCACATTCCTCACATTGAGTGGGGATATTACGCCTTTTCCACGCTACGTCATGATCACAATCATGCTCTGCGATTAGGGATTGAGTTGCTTGTTCAACAGCCTGCGGAATGATTGCGTTTTAGCCTAAGTGGCCACAAAGTCAAGGACATCTTATGTGGATGAGAGAAAATCCTCACACTATGATTGCATTCGCTACGGAGCTCAACGAGATGGCTGCTTTTCGTGCATCTTTGCAACCCTTCTGCCCTTCCGAGCCCCAGGACCTCTACACGATCATAAATCCCCGAAAGGGTATGAATACTTTGAGACAGACGGTGGATAGGCATTCGCATAGCTGTGTACTCACAACATAGGTTTAGAGTAGATGTGATTGAGATGAGTTAAGACAAATTGAGATCAAACAGGATACCTGGGTAGAGAGCTTGGGAAGATCGAAGAAAGGATAAAGATAGGTCGAGGGAGAGTGAAGGAAAAAAAAAAAAAGGCCCTCGAAGACAGGTGTGGTCTCTAGGGCATTATGCGAAAGCCCCAAAAAGAATTGAAAAGCGACACACATATTCTAGCAAGGAACGCTATGTAAAATTGTGAAGCTATTGAAAACAATTGTAATTTGTGTCAACATTTCATGCACTTTTTCTTTTGCTTGCAATTTCTTGCACTTGGTCATCACTAGACTGCAATTGAATAATGTGATCTGATAGGGATGACCTGCGTATTATTATAATATCCTACGGGGCATCCAGTTCAATATTCGAGTGTTTGTTTAATTGCGTCGTAGATTCCTTGAATAAGACGGTTGGTTAGTGATAATGGGAATAAGACAAAGGGCCTCGGATACTCACTTGCAACATCGGGCAGAATGAATTGCTCATAGCTCAGCCCAGTATGTGTGCTCCACCCAGCAACTCGTTTGACGGGGGCTTCGAGACGTAAGAATGCACTTTCTTGTATCGTGGATGCAACCTCTGCACCCACACCGTAGTTGATCATGCTCTCATGTACGACAATGGCCCGACCAGTCTTCTTGACACTGTTGATGACAGTTTGCCTATCCCAGGGATATATGGTTCGCAGATCAATAAGTTCCACATTGACACCCGGCATGGTCTTCTCAATGGCGGAGATAGCAGAAGAGCACAAGTAAAGAGGCTGTCCATATGAAATGATGGTCAAGTCCTTGCCAGGTTTGATAACCTCCGCCTTGCTGAGCGGAATGGTGTAATATTCGTTCGGGACATATTCCACAGCTGCACGGTAGAGGATCTTAGGTTCCATAAAAAGCACTGGATCATTGTGCTCGAAGATAGAAGACAGTAAAAGTCCTTTTGCTTGAGCAGGGGACCGTGGCATAACTACCCGCAAGCCGGGAATGTGTGCGAAAAGCGACTCTGGCGATTGAGAGTGATATCTATTCGAGCCAATTAGCATATCAATTTGCTTGGCACTAGGATACAACATGACATACAGAGCACCGTGTCCAACTGCACCGCACGGCATGCGGATGACGAGACCTCCAACATTGATACCTGTCCCACCTTCTCGATACCGGAACTTGGCCGCCTCATTCACAATCTGATCGAATGCTGGAAATACGTAGTCGGCGAATTGGATCTCAGCTATGGGCTTCATCCCTTCCGCTGCCGCTCCAATTGCAAAACCCGCAATGCCTTGTTCTGTCAAGGGGGTATTGAACACTCGATCCGACCCAAATTCTGTTTGTAGATCCATCGAGCATCGGAAAACACCTCCAAATCCAACGTCCTCGCCAAACACGATAGTTCGATCGGATTTAGATAGTGCTGTCCGCATTGCTGAGTTGATCGCTTGGTAGAGGTTGAGTCGTTTACTTGTGGCACCTGCCGGGTACTCTGATGTACTTGACAAGGAGGCTGCAGTGTGGTGTAATATTGGGGTGGTTTTGTAGTCAATAGGTAGGTTCAGCTTTGCTGCTGGAGTAGGAGCTCCAGAGTAAAACCGCCGAGGAGCTTGGGCGAGAGATCGCAAACAATTTCGTGAGGAAGCCATGTCTGGCTAGAATTGCGAAATATGGACAAAATGTAAATACATAGATTTTCTTCTCCGTAGGGATGATTGCCTTATAAATTTACTCCTTGTTCATTGTCCGGGGCATTGCGCGGGGAAACCGCCGCGGATAGCCGAGATAATGCAAATTGCGCAAACCAGTCAAACTAGTCAAACGGGAGCTATGACGAAGTGTGATGGCCCCGGGTCTGGACAACACAGTAGTCCAGGGCAATATTATATGCGCTATAGAACATAGAATGCAGACGGGGGTATATGCTGGTTTTAATGCTCTCTCTTGGAAATGTCTACGGGCCTCTAGTCGACTCGATCTTGTCGGGAGATATGTGAATACGTCAAACACGAAACACACACTCATTCTCTTCATAGGAAAACATAATAACCCTCGGAATTGAGAATTCTGGATTAGTTCCACTGGTTTACATATATGAAAGCCATTGGACTTATGTCTTGAGGCTCTGTGACTGTGTCGGATTTGATTCGGACTTGGAGGGGCAATGATGATCTTATCAGGGCTATCACCTTCGGACCCGTGACTTGTTCCCCGGCCCACCAAAATCGCCTTTTTTTCCCAATGACTCAACCTTTCCTTTCCTTTATACTCCACGTTTATTAGTCTTTTTGAATTCTATTCAATTCCTCAAAATGGCACAGGGAAAGGTATGAACCATTGCTTCCGCCTCCTTCTCAGGTCCCAACTTCAATTCCTTATTTCTTATCCCACACCGCCACCTGCTCCACACTTTCTCTGACAGTTGAATCGCACAGGTTTGCCTCGCCTACTCCGGCGGTCTCGATACCAGCTGCATCTGTATGAATACTATCGGTCAATTGATTCACCACAGCTACTAACACTGAGCTTCAGTGAAGTACCTCATCGAGGAGGGCTATGAGGTCGTCTGTTTCAGTAAGTCGTGATTCAAGGCCATGTCAATCAAGATCAAGTACTAATATGAACATAGTGGCCGATGTTGGCCAGGAAGGTAATTCAATCCTGTCGACATATCATCCGACACCGATCTAATAACTATTCGCAGAGGACTTCGAGGCTGCCCGCGAGAAGGCCCTGAAGATTGGTGCCCTCAAGTGCGAGATTATTGACATCCGCCGCGAGTTCATCGAGGAGCTTTGCTTCCCCGCCATTGCTTGCAATGCCGTCTACGAGAATGTCTACTTGCTCGGTACCTCCCTGGCTCGCCCCGTTATTGCCCGTGCCCAGATTGAGGTCGCCCAGGTACGCTTTCCTTCCCCGCCAGCAGAAAAGATGTCATACTGACCCAAATTTAGCGCGAGGGCTGCTTCGCTGTCTCCCACGGCTGCACTGGTAAGGGTAACGATCAGGTCCGCTTCGAGCTTGCATTCTACGCTCTCCAGCCCGATATCAAGGTCATTGCCCCGTGGCGCGAACCCGTCTTCTACGAGCGCTTCAAGGGCCGTCAGGACCTGCTCGACTACGCCGCGGAGAAGGGTATCCCCGTCACCTCTACCAAGTCTAAGCCCTGGTCTATGGACGAGAACCTTGCCCACTGCTCTTACGAGGCTGGCATTCTGGAGGACCCCGATACCACTCCTCCCGCCGATATGTGGAAGCTCACCCAGGATCCCCTGACCGCTCCCGATCAGCCTGAGGACTTCACCCTCTACTTCGAGAAGGGTGTTCCCGTCAAGCTCGAGTACACCGAGGGTGGCAAGCAGAAGGTTGCTACTGACTCCGTCGAGCTCTTCCTCGCCGCTAACACCATTGCCCGCCGCAACGGTGTTGGCCGTATCGATATCGTCGAGAACCGTTTCATCGGTATCAAGTCCCGCGGTTGCTACGAGACCCCTGGTCTTACCTGCCTGCGCTCTGCCCATCTGTAAGTATTCTGCTACGAAATGTTGATCAGCGTTACTAACTTGTGTTCAGTGATCTTGAAGGTCTTGTCATGGACCGTGAGGTCCGTGCTCTGCGCGATTCTTTCGTCACCTACAACTACTCCAAGGTAAGCACGATCTTTCGGATATTTGATTGTCTGATCTAACATATCCAGCTCCTATACAACGGCATGTACTTCTCTCCTGAGCGCGAGTTCCTCGAGGCCTCCATCACCGCTTCTCAGAAGTCCGTCAACGGCCAGGTCCGCTGCCGCGCCTACAAGGGCACCATGTCCATCCTCGGTCGCTCCTCCGAGACCGAGAAGCTCTACGACATGAGCGAGTCTTCCATGGATGAGATTGGTGACTTCTCCCCCGCTGAGACCACTGGCTTCATCAACGTCTCTGCCATCCGTCTCAAGAAGTACGGCCAGATGAAGGCCGCCGCTGGTGAGAGACTGTAAATTATGCCTCCAGAACCATGACATGTCATCTTCAATTGTGAATGATTGGAATGCCAAATGTTGACCATCCCTGGCTTCCTGGGGCCAACATGTCAAGTCTCCTTGTCTAATATTCCACCGATTTATGATGGATGGTCTTGGGCTTGAATGACTGTATAATGAACTAGAAAAAATATTAGCACTTTGGGAATTGGTATTAAAATTGCAATGTCTAGGATGAATTCAACGAAATTCCATATTCATTATGTCCAAGAGAATTTGATTCTCGAAAATGTTTAGATTTCTAAGATTATGTAGTCTAATTTTAGCCGTTTCTATCTAGACACTCAATGGCGATGCAACCGGGATATGAACGAGTGATGCATCGTACCGATAGCCTACAGATTCACATTAACCTTGAGCGGCTCTTGATCTTTTGCGCACAAATTAGCCCATGGTTACCAGAGATATGAAGGGGACATACCATTCCAAGTATCCAATGCCGCCTTCTCTGCGTCCCAGCCCCAAAGGAATTCCTGTGTCCTGCGATCCGACCACTTATCAGGATTATTTTCGCCGACTGAAGCCTTGAATTGCGCGTCTCGGGCAATTTGCTCGGGCCCATCTGGCAAATGCAACGTGATACGATTGTCCGATCCAGACTGCTGCACCATTTCAGCACGCTTTTTCCGGGACCTTTCATAAGCACTCAATGCTATCGGAATTTCCTCGCGTGATGAGATAGTCGACAACACGACGCCGAGCGCAGCCGCATCTTCAACAGCCTGAGCAGCACCTTGGGCAATATACGGACTAGACCAGCGAGATTAGTTTTCGAGGCCAATTCAGTTGAAGTTCATGAGCACATACAGCATGGGATGACACGCGTCACCGATCAGAGCGACAGATCCACGAACCCATGTCTTCAATGGATGATGCAAACATAATTCCCACTCTAATACTTCGTTATCACTGACTAGGTCAATCAATTTCCCCACGCTACTATCCCACCCTTCATAGTTGTCAGCCATAGCCTGCTTGGAACCCTGTGTGGTCCAAGACTCATCAACGTCATGGCTATCGGGATGAAGTAAAACCACATTGTACAGCTCATGCTTTCGCACAGGGTAGGCGACAATATGGCGCGAAGGGCCCAACCAACGAGTCGCCCGCGGCTCGTCAATGAGCTTCTTCAATTCAGGATCCTGCTCCATCATGTGCCGGGGTAGCATGATGCGGTACGCCGCGTCGCCAGTGGCAACTGCTTTAACAGTCGAGTCTTCGAGCAGGTGAGTACGGATGATGGACTTGATGCCGTCTGCACCGATCACCACGTCGCCGTGGATGATTTCACCGTTGGCGAGAGTAACATTGGCTGGGCTAAACTGCACGTGTGTGACAAATGAGTTCTCGCGGAGCTTGACGTTGGGAAGGGCTGTGGCCCTGTTGATGATAGCATTGTGCAGGTCTGCGCGGTGAATCACGACTTGCTGACCGAATGTCTTGTTCACTGGCATTGTGGCGAGGAGGTCGCCGTTGTCCCATCTTCGGACTTGGATGTGCTCTAGAGCTACGTCTTGGGTGTGAATTAAGTCCGAGACGCCCCAACCTAGTACTGGTCAGTATGCTTGTTTGATTCGCGGATGTCAAACTCACGCTCTAATAGTCGCATCATGTTTGGGGACACTTGGATCCCAGCTCCCACTTCCATAATCTATGATGAATGGTTAGTCTTTTGGGATACCATAGGTTTCCCTTTTCGATGGCGCATACCTTCGGTGCAGCTTCAAGGATAGTGACACGGTGCCCTCGCAGACCTAATGTGAGGGCTGCCGCCATACCACCGATGCCTGGTTCACTATTGTTAACACCATTTCTATCAGGGCAATGCAGCCCCTTCGCTCAGGAATCACATACCGGCACTATAAAACATCAATACAACAACCTCACAGGACCCATGCACATTGGAATACATACCCAACAACAATCACCTCTAGAGGTACACTTGCCATTGGAACCTCCATCCTGGTTTCTTTTCGATTTTCACTATAATCGGAGGACGAGAAAGATATGTGATAAAAATACAGAGCCCGGAAGGACTATTTCTGGGTTGGCAAAGCCAGGCCTTGCAGTATTTGGAGATTATCACCTCGAGTCTATTCAAGGGAGTGTGCCGTTCCACCTGCTCGAGATACTCCGGGAAAGAGAAGGATGGAATTGCCCAAAAGCCGAAGATAAACTTGCTACTTTAGCGCCTCCACAACCCTCTTATTCCTATATCGGGGGGATTCGTATGGAGACACAATGTGGATTCGCAAAGGGGGTTCCCCTGGCTGTCCCAGCAGTGCTAAGATACCGTTGCAGATTTAGACCAGAGACTCCATGTTGCATGTATGGTATTTGTCATTTTGCAATGACAAAATCAAAGCCATGTACTAATATGTGGTGGAAGTCCCTTTGCTGTTCGGGCCGGTAATGGGGGCCAGGAACGGGCCACGCAGAACCGGCTGTTTGAGATCCCTCCATTTGCCGACACAAATCAATTTCTTGCGGCCCATGAAACTGAGTTTTGTGACTTCAATCCTTACTGTTCTGAGCCATATTGCATGTTGTGTCTTGACAGTGTGTACGGCAGATATTCGGACTGTGTATTGTCGATGAGGTATTCTGATTGACTGCTCGATCAGTATCTCGCGAATTTATCAAGTAGCCAACCACTACTTTGTAAAACTCAGGTGACGGCCTGACTCAATCGGAGTGTCCCATCGAGATCATTGCTGACATGCGCCTATGTCCCAAAGTCAGTTCACCGAAAAGGAACTCTCAATCAGGTCAACGATACAACATCATTCACGGTAGAAACTTACCTTTCCAGTCAAATGCTGTTGCTCAGGTATCAAAAGCTCCTATACTTCCTATAAAAGTCTTTTGCCCCAAAAAGACCAAGGTTTGGAAAGCCAAACATCTAGATAGTGGAATGCGGAAATGGAGATGACTTGTTCAGGAAGCAAGAAGTTCAAACGCAGCTGAACAAATAGATTTACCATATTCGAACATGTATCCTTACCTATTAAGTGACATTTCATTGGCTATGCCAAGACCCGTGGATTCACGCTCATAGAGATGGTACATGTACTGTCTATCTCATAAATAATGGACCCCTTAACACTCACAAAGCTAGAGGCTGATCGTTAATCTACTTAGGGCCGTGATCATACACTAGATTATGTGCGTGTCTTCTTCATTCTTACTCAAGACGTAGAGGCGCGATCCATAGTCGTGGTTTTGCAATCAAAAATCAACAGCATTAATTATTTGCATCAGTTGAATGAAATTGATGGATGATTAGGCAGATTGGGATAGTTGTGGCTTCTAGGTATTGATAGCAAAGGACAAGTTGCAGAACCTGTTGATAAACAATCTTGATTTTGGAAGATACAATTGATCCAATTTTTTCCTGGTTGATGAGTATATGATACAGCAGATACCGACAATAAACGCCAAAACATGCTTGCGTGAAGAAACTGCATTGCTGAAAGTAGTTGGAGAAAGAAGAAGCATAGAATAGGTGGTATGCCCAAAAGAAATATAGAACGTGAAAGAGCGACATAGAAGTCATAGGTCGTCGTAAGAAGCGTTGGGTGAATCAACGTAGCTGCATGAATCGCATAAAGTGCATACCCACCCATTAATGACATCAGGGAGGCTGAATATATGTATGTACCAGTAATGATTCTGTCGGTGGCAAGAATGTGAGGTTCAGGAGGAAGAGGTGAACATAAGTCGTAGCCGGCTGGGACCTTTCTTTTTCTCCTTAGGCCGTTTCTCTGTTTCAGAGACATAGGTGCTATGTTTAGATGGGGTGCGACTGGGGGCATAACTGGGAGCTCGACTGTGAGATTTGCTTGGTGTTCTGCTGGGCGCTTTGCTGGGCGCTTGTGATGGCGCCTTGGACCTGGATGAACTTCGCCCGAAGAATCCACTCGGTGGCTCTGAGGGAGCTCTTGATCTCCGTTCGTGCCGCTCTGACGGTGCGTGCGTCGGAGCCCGGGTACTACGTGAACGGCGGGAGCGTCGAGACGAAGCGACCGAGGCATCTTCGTCGAATTTGAAACGAGGGTCCCGTCGCGCACGAGCAGTGGTCACATCAATGCCCGACATGGCCGCTGCGGTGGGTGTGATGAATTCGCCATCAACAGAGGTTCCAACGCTGTGGGCTTGTTCGTCAGCGACGCCGCGTCTCCACATTTCAACAGAACTGAGATCGTCGGTGTTCAACTCCATCATTTCTTCCATTTCCATTTCCGTTTCCGGTTCGGCTGGCTTTCCTTCTTCCCCAATAGCGCCGGCTTTGATTCTTTGGATAATCTTGTATCCTCCAAACATGACCACGGTCACGCCTAGACCGACACCGGCAGCGATGAGGAATTGAGGGCTGGAAAGAAGGGCAAAAACGGCTGGCGAGGCTGACTTGAGCGCGGTTAATGCTGCGGGCGCCATCTTGCGCCCCAGGTTGCTGATCTCCGCTAGAGTCAAGGCGACGGCGGCCATGGCATCTGGGTTCTTCTGGAGATGGGCGATGGTTGCGGTAGCACCATGTTGTACGCAATGTGCTTCTTCGAGAAGCCACTGTGCCCGATTGACAAGACTATCAAGTTGTTGTTGATCGGTTTGGGGATCTGGGGGGTTGTATCGAGATAAGGCTGCATGAGAGGCGTCCCCATATGCAAGATCCATGTCGATATGTGCATCAGATCTTGATCGAGCCGTTGATGGGCGAGGGGCATCTCGGGTCGCCACATCGTGATGAGTATGACGGCGGGCTATTGTCTGTGTGGGCTCATAATGAGAGTCCCGCCGTGATACAACTGTTTGTCCATCATCGTAGTGAGACGAAGCACGATGACTGCGGCCACTGTGATGTCTTGACCTGGTCCCACGGCTTCGTCGAGATGGGGCTACCGATGGTGAGTCATCGATCTGATAGTTGGCGAGTCCTTGGAGTGCTTGCTGTTCTGCAATTTTTGCATTGCGTTCTGATTGGAAGGCGGACTTGCGCTCGCGATAGGCGTTTTTGGCATGGCTGAAAACACCAAATAGTTGCTTACTCTAGTACTTGTCAGAATGCGGGGTCGATGTTCCTCAGAAGAGCGAACTGACCGTGCTCACAACTTTGCCGGACTTGTCAATCACAGCGATCGTTTGACCAAAGGGCGCCATAGCAAATAGCAAGTCGTTGCGACGACCTTACCGATAAGCAGTCATCAAATGGTCGAGATCGACGGCTGACAAGGAAGCGGTGTAGGGGTAAGAAATGGGTTTCAAAGAAATTCCCGGGGTATAGATCACAAGTAAAGTATGAAAGAACTAGGCGCGGTATAAAAGAAGAAGCAAGGCACAGTCTGGGAAAGTTCTTCTGACAGTTAATAAGGCAGTTGGGTTGTTCACCTCAGGCCTTGCTCAGTGCAAAAGTCCGATCGGAAGCGTCCCAACGAGGCTTTAAAGACGTAGAAGTGATGCGGACAATATGGAGCAGGGAGGCTGGGGATCAAGCACATCCACGTTGGGCAGAGCAACGAACAGCGGGCCAAGCTGCAGGAACTACAGGGCAGAATGGTTGGGTGCCACTTTTGGAGGCAGACACGTATCAAAAACTCGGTAGGTTCAATGAGCTCATATCACATATCACACTTGAAAGTTGTTGGGCGCCAAAGCGATCCTTGCGGTATAGCTGCATGTGGCGGAACCCGGAAGAGAATTTCCAGGGAATTCAAGATCACATTATTATATTTAGATGCACAGGAAGAAAAGGCAAAGAGATAATCCCGACTTTTTGACATAGCGTGCTTTGACATTTTAGCTGTTGAACGGTGTACTCCGTATGGAAGAAGTGCAAATGTGCAAAGAGCGGTGACATCTGACATTTGATTGGCTCACGGGGTCACCGTCACTGTGGCTGGTGTGCAAAGTCAAACATATCAGCTATCTGTGGCGGTGCTGAGGCTTGAACATGTGAGCATGGCTCGATAGTCCCCGAGACTGAGTTCTTTTTTCCCTTCAGGGATATATGTGTAGCTACAGAGTACTGATTCAACGGATAATCCCGAAATAGATTAAAGATCAGAATGGCGCCATTTCTGTTGTATCACTCGAATCCGAGTTTTCAAGGGTCTTGTAAGATGACCCTGGGCACATTGATCACAGATGGGTACATGCAGGCCAATGTTCTTAGTCCAGAACTGAAGGACGAAAGCCATCAGGGGTTGTACCTAGTAGGTCTCGGGCAGAGTCTAGTCATACCGACGGAGTACATGTAGGTATCTTTCTCCCTTATCAATAATAAAGAGCGAAGATTTCAAGATTGAAGTGCAGATCAACGTCGGTGTGCAATTCATTGTCTTCTCCATATTGGACCGTTTTCATTGATACTTCAAACTCACTCGACCTGAGTCCTCAATCTATCTTGAATATATCCTATACCCCTATATTATGGTCGGCCGTCGCCCCCATGCCCCCTTAGCACGGCTATTGTGGGAGCCAAGGTGCGTCTCATTGTGATACGTTTCAAGGATATTTGACCTCAGTGAATGGACATGCGACCGAGACATAGACAAGCCAACCTAAATTAATTGAAGAACTAATTGTTGTTCTATATAGAAGAACTTGTTGCTGGAACCAAAGGGATGCTAGGGATGGTGAGTCAGATATTTTATCGATGATGCAATTTTTGTTGTTTTTATTGCTTTTTCCCCCCTGTACCGCCTTGAGGATTTATAATTCCTTCATATTCCTCCAATTTGTTAAGAAATAAAAGAAAACATTGAAGTTCTTCAACCTCAAAAAAAGAAAAGAATGGAGTGAATTCGGGAGATTTCCAGTGTTCTGTTTGGTTGATTTGAAGCGGAGCGCATCCGAGAACACCAAACATCACTTCACTTTGCACTACCAAATATCAACCATTGGATTGGACTGATCATGGATTTAGTCGAATCAGAGAGCACCTCTGAGGAGGACCAGAAAAACTGGGAATCTGATTCTCATACTCAAGACCCCAATGCCCTTCCAAATAGTGACTGCGGCATCGGCCACCGCGTACTCGCCAGTCGCTCCGTTCTCGCTCTGGCCGTTGATGAACAGTGTGTTTTTGCTGGCCTGCAGGGAGGTGACATTGTGGTTAGTTTGAATCATTTCAAGTCCGCAATATTCTTGATAGGCCAGAGGCTGACCGTTTCATCAGGCATGGTCCCTTGAAACCTATGATCTCGTGGTTTCTGTCCATGCACACAAAGAGAGTGTGCTAGGCCTATATCTCTCTGAAGATGGAAATTTACTATTTTCAAGTGGAGGTGACTCGGTGGTCAACGTAAGTCATAGATACCAAGAATATCGCGAACCCGAGATTAATGACGCGGACAGGTGTGGTCCACGCGAACATTTGAACGTCTCTACTCGATTTATTCACACCACGATGTAGGCGATATATTCACGGTAGTCTATTCATCACAAAACCAAACCATTTATTGTGGTGCGCAAAACACAAGTATACAGGTACCTGACCCTTGTCTGCACCCCTATTTAACGACATTCTAACTCGGACAGTGGTGCGACCTCTCCGAGGAAGGGTCAACATTGAATCAAGCATCGTCTGCCCATCCATCTAAGCGGACGCATCGCTTCTTTGATTCCCGAGGACCGGACGGTACTCGCGCTCCAGGATCATCGGATGGTGCCCTCTCTGACGGTGGCCGTGTGTTGAGCTTCAAGCGGGATCACCATAAGCTCTTCGCGCACCATGGCTACGTCTACTCCATGCTTCTAGTCAAAGGCCTTGTCGAGACCGCTCCTTCTGAGGAGGTTCTTCTGACTGGTGCGGGCGATGGTGTGGTGAAGTTGTGGCGTCTGGGTCAGGGTCCCGGCGCGGCTCCATCCCAGATCGCCAAGCTGCAAAATGTAGATCCTGTGCTGACTGTTGCTGTCGAGGGATCACTACTCTACTGCGGATTGGCTGGCGGTGCGCTTAACATTTGGAATTTGGATTCTCAGCAGCTCGTTAAGCGGATCACTAGGCATACTGGAGATCTGTGGGCTGTGCACGTTATCCAGGGTATCGCTATCTGTGGTGACTCTAGTGGAACAGTCAAGGTATGTATTGATCTAGATTTTCGTCGCTTGTGAATCGACCTCCGCTGACCACTGGTAGAAATTCAACTCACGATTCGAAGAGGTCGGTGGCTGGGTTGCTCATGAGGGCACCATGCTCGCCTCAGCTGCCGGACGGTTCAAGGATCGCCAGATCTACGCCACTGGTGGAAACGACAACTCAGTAGGAATCTGGGATCTGACTGAATTCTTTATGACCCAGGAAGAGCTGCCTCCTATCAGCAATGGTACGTCCCATGCACGCCGCTCGCGTCGAAAACCCGCTAATTTTTCAACCTAGACGAAATGGTGAATAGTCTTGCCAAATTTGTATCTTTCAAGACGATTTCAGCAAGTCCCAAATTCGCCGGCGAATGCAACCAGGGTGCTGCGTTCCTTCGGCGGCACTGCAACTACCTCGGTGCCAAGACCAAGCTCCTGACTACCGGCCAGGATACCAATCCCATTGTCTTTGCTAGATTTAACGCTACCTCACCTGAGAAGGTGGACAAAACTATTCTTTTCTATGGTCATTATGATGTTGTGGGTGCAGAGACGAACCGACCCAAGTGGAGGACAGATCCTTATCAGCTTACCTCCATCAATGGATTTCTATACGGCCGTGGTGTGTCTGATAACAAGGGGCCTATCCTGGCATCACTATATGCCGCAGCTGATCTCGCCCGGACGAAGACCTTGCGATGCAACGTCATTTTCCTCATTGAGGGCGAGGAGGAGTCCGGATCTCAAGGTTTCCACGAAGCGGTCCGCGAGCACAAGGCTCAGATCGGATCCGTGGACTGGGTTCTGCTCGCCAACAGTTACTGGCTTGATGACTACAACCCATGCTTAACTTACGGGCTACGCGGTGTTGTACATGCCAACTTGATCGTTACAAGTGACCACCCCGATCTTCACAGTGGTATCGACGGCAGTACATTGCTGGATGAACCAGTCAAGGATATTACCATGCTCCTGTCCACAATCGTGGGACGTAAAGGCAAAATCAATCTGCCCGGCTTCCACGACGCTGTTAGGCCCCTCACAAGTGCCGAGCAGAAGCGGTTCGAGGCCATTGCCGATGTATTGCTTCTGCAGCACCCAGAGATCCCTGACAGCCAGGCGCTGATCAAGTCGCTGATGTATCGCTGGCGCGAACCCGCCTTGACTGTCCACTCGGTGGAAGTTCCTGGCAGCAAGAGCGCAACGACCATCGCGCGCCGAGCCAAAGCAACCTTGTCAATCCGTATCGTACCGGATCAGCATGCGGACGAAGTTGCAGCCGACCTCACCGCTTATGCACAAGAGCAATTTGCGCTGCTCGACTCACAAAATGACCTCACAGTCGAAATCACCGGCAAATCCGACGCCTGGCTCGGAGACCCCGATAACGAAATCTTCGCCACGCTGTCAGAGGCGATCACCGCAGCATGGACCCCGGCGCAAGAGGACCCGAAACGCCAATACCCCCCTATCCCGCAATCCACAAACACTCACCCAGCGACCGAGCCCAAACCTAGCGCGGGCCCAATCCCCGAACTCCGCCGCAAAGACTCTGACGAAAGTCTGGCCTCTCATGTTGAGCGGGTCATCACCTCGACAACGACCTCATCAGCAGGCAAAGAAGCCGCGCGCAAACGGTCCTCGCAAACAGCCGCCACGGTGCCAACGTCCTCCACCCTCACCCAAGCCACACCAACGTCGGCTGAGGAGTCAGTTGCATTGCCAATTCGGACCAAGTCTGATCCGGATGTCAAACCCCCCACAAGCAGCGCACCAGATGCGTCTGGTGTAACTAAAGTGAAACCGATGTTCATCCGTGAGGGTGGATCCATCCCGACAATCCGGTTCTTGGAAAAGGAGTTTTCAGCGCCGGCAGCTAACTTGCCTTGTGGACAGGCGAGTGACAACGCCCACTTGGATAACGAGCGCATGCGGGTGGAGAATTTGTATAAGAGCCGAGAAATCTTCCGGTATGTGTTTGCTAACTTGGTGGATAAGTCTTGAGCGCTTTGTCCCCTTTTTTTAGGTCTTATTTTTTTGTAAAAATATCAATCTCCTGGCATGTATATGATGTGTATATTTTCGGCCCCCAATAGTCTGTAGACTCAATGGGCTATCGTCGCCCGACTGGGGTGTAATGCCGTAAAGGGCAAGACCCTGTCTCTCGAAGCAGATCTCCCCATTTTCTCCGCCACTCCATCTGGTGTCCCGTGTCCCATGGCCATCCTCTCTGGAACCCGCTACGCCATTAGGCGCTCCATTCTTGGCGTGGGCATAGGGGCTATTTTTTTTTCTTTGTGTGCTGGCATGGAGAGTCCGAGCTAAAACATTGGTGATCTCTTATATTTTTATCTTTAGGAGTCCTCCGTGCACACGAGATATTCCAATATAAAAAGAAGGTAATGGACAGTTCCATTTGAATCCTCTCCCACCGACACTTTTCACTTGTTCAGCTTTTTTGGTATCTCAATTCAAGATGGGCAGTATCGGTGATCAAGTTTACCTACTGGATCGAGATGAGGTCGAGACTCAGCGGTATGTGACTTTGGTTTTCTTTTTTTGGATCTCTTGAAATGAATGGTCAAAATTTCCGATGTCTGAAAGATATTATTTCGTGTTCCAAGATATCAAGATATTCCCACATATTCCCACACATAATCCCCAGATTTTCCCTGCAGCCCAACCCGACAGTTCGGTAGCCCCGTTTTTGGGACTTTTGCTGACCTTTGATAGCCTCAATAATCAGCATCGCTTTTTAGTTGATTTATCCAATCTCATCCACCCTTCCATACCAAAAGATCTTACAGCCGTTGCCGACTTGGGTACTGGTACAGGGTATGTCTCTCTCCCAATTTTTGAAAAAAAAAAAGGGAAAGAAAGAAAGAAAGAAAATTGCTACATAGAAGCTAATCTACCGCAGTGTCTGGCTCGAAGATGTCGCCAATTTACTTCCCAACAAATCAGTCTACCTCCATGGCTTTGACATCTCATCGGCACAGTACCCACGAGGCCACGAGATTCCCCGACCTGACCAAAAGCCAATCCCACTAAGCGTTCACGACGCCCTTCACCCATTTCCAACAGAGCATTGTGGCCGATACGACCTCGTGCACATCCGACTTCTGACAGCAGGCCTGCAACAAGGTGATTATACACGAGTGCTTGCCAATGCGCGGGCTTTACTAAGTATGTTCTGTCCTCCACTAGAACACTGGCCAACATTCAACTCCCAACTAACAACCTTGAAACTGCAGAACCAAACGGCTGGATCCAATGGGAAGAAGTCGATCACACGGCTTTCTGCACAGATGCAGTACCAGAGCCAGCTGCGATAACTCGGATGCGGGACTCCGTGGTCGAAGCGATGCTGAAACTAGGCCTGTGGCCGTTCGCCCCAACGCGTGTGTACGAGGAGGTCTCGGCAAACGGGTTCACCGACGTCGTCCGTGAGACTTACACTACTGTTGGGAAGGAGCATATGCGGCCTACCGCACAGAAATGGGTCGCTAATGCGATGCGAGCGCTGGTGCCAGCTTCGATGGTAGTTACTGGCGAAGCTAAGGATGCCGATCAGGCACGTGTGGTTGTTGAGGGATTGATTCGTGAGTTTGAGGCTCATTGTGAGTCTGCGACAGCGCTGATTAATTTTGGGGTTACGGTTGGTCGGAGGGTGGATTAATGTTTCCGTGCAGATTGGTTCAATGCCTTCCTAGGGTCTTTTAGAAATAAGGAAACAATATTCATAAAAACATCACTTTTGCTGGCATTGAGTTAAAACATACATGTAGTATATATGTTGTGAGTAGCGCTTTCACAAAGATTCCTGTGTTCACCATAATTCGCTATGAAAACCACTGGTCAGTGAAAATCAGCCTTGAAGGATTCATGTACTAATACTGCATCTTCGCACACAAGTCTCATCTGTATATATCATAAACATCAGTGTCCATTTCCCGATTAGTATACATGTAGACAGGAACCGTAGAGCGCCCCCAAATGCCCCACAAAACCGATCCGGCGAGAAAAATATTTTCAGGCTGTCACATCCTAAAGACTAGAACCTCAAAATCTCAGATCTACCATGGCGGCATCAATGGAAATCCAGGAGGCTCCGTCCAAAGGGCGAAGCAAAATTCAAGTTACCGCAATTATGGTAGCGCTTGCAGTAAGAGATCAAATCAAAGACCGCAGATTCACCTACTAAATTGCACTAGTTGGCGATGTTTATTGCCGCACTGGATCAAACCATCATGGCTACAGCAATTCCAACAATCGCTGCCTACTTCCACTCCTCTGCTGGTTATACGTGGATTGGCGGAGCGTATCTGCTCAGCTCTGCCGCCAGCGCATGCATCTGGGCCAAGCTCTCTGATATTTGGGGCCGGAAACCTATCTTGCTCTTGGCTGTTGCGTGGTTTTTCCTCAGTTCGATTCTTTGCGCTGCTGCTACGAGTATGGAAATGTTGATTGCGGGCCGGGCGCTCCAGGGTGTTGCTGGTGGTGGTTTGCTTCAGCTGGTTACGATTATCATCTCTGATTTATTCAGTGTCAGGTAAGATATCTTGATTTTTACTTGCAGTTGGCTATCTATACCTTGCATATGGGCTTGTACTGACTTTGTGATAGACATCGCAGTTTATATCTCGGCCTGATGGAAGTCATGTGGGCTTTCGCTGGTGGTGTTGGGCCCCTACTCGGCGGTGCATTCAGTCAGTATGTCACCTGGAGATGGACTTACTGGATCAATCTTCCTATCTCTGGGGTAACATTTGTCCTCCTTTTCTTCTTCTTGGACGTGCACAATCCACAGACGAAAATCATGGATGGCGTCCGCGCTATCGACTGGTTCGGCAGTGTCTCCGTTCTAGGCCTTACTCTCATGCTTCTATTGGGATTGGACTTTGGTGGCGAGACATTTGCCTGGAGCTCACCCCAAGTGATCTGTCTAATTGTCTTTGGGTCTTTATGTTCCCTGCTGTTTATCTACAGTGAGAAGAAACTAGCCAAGTATCCCTTGATGCCTATGGATATCTTCGCTCGATCCTCTAACATTGCTACCTTGCTAGTAGCATTTGCGCATGGCTTCGTCAGTATCTTTATCTTATTGATCATCTTCAATCACTAACAAACCTATAGGTCTTCATCGCTGGGGAATACTACATCCCCCTCTACCTGCAATCCGTGCACGGCTCCTCACCAATGGGCTCTGGTGTCCTGATTCTCCCGCTTGTTGTCATGGAAGCATGCTCTGGTATGATTGCCGGTGCAATCATCCACCGCACAGGTCGATACCTTGAACTCGTTTGGATCGGCCTGGTACTAATGACCATTGGCAACGGGCTGTATATCAACCTCGGCGTGGGATCATCCGTCGGCGAAATAGTCGGGTACCAGATCATCAGCGGTCTGGGAGCTGGATTCCTCTTCCAAACACCCATTATCGCCATCCAGGCCATGGTCTCTCAAGAAGACACGGCCACGGCCACGGCAACAATTGGCTTCATTCGCAACATGGCAACCGCGGCGTCCATCGTCATTGGCGGTGTTGTCTTCCAGAATAGTATGGGCCAAAAGCAGTCCAGCCTATTGGCTTCCGGTATGTCGGATAGTATGGCGGCTCAAATGTCTGGGGATTCAGCTGCTGCCAGTATCGAGTCGATTAAATTCATTACCGATCCGGCGCAGCTGCTTGCTGTTCGGGAGGCTTTCGCTTGGAGTTTGAGAAATATGTGGATCCTTTACACGTGCATGTCTGCTGTTGGTGTCTTCTTTTCGGTTTTTATTCTCAAGACTAAGCTCAATAAGGAGCATGTCGAGACTAAAACGGGATTGAATGTCGAGAAGACACCGGTCACTGAGGACGGCATATAGATCATTTGCAATATACTGACCTCCTGATGTAATGCTATATGTTTACGCAATTCATTTCTGTAAATTTACTATCTCGCATGGGGTTCGATCTGAGTCCGACGAGGACGAAGGGATTAATAGTAAATGGGACGCCCAATCAAGGTTAAAGATGCATATCATCCGACCCACCTGCGCTGTTGATGGGTTTTGACTCATCTTATCCCCCAAGCTGCGTCAGATTGGAGCAAAAATCACCAAAACTCGAATTTGTCAATTCAAGATAAAAAAATTATTCACGTAAAGTTATGTAAAGCGTAATAGTATATTCAAACGCAACCACACAAACAAACAAGAAGTTAACGCAGACAAGCAAGACAAGCAAGACAAGCAAGACAAGCAAGACAAGCAAGACAAGCAAGACAAGCAAGACAAGCAAGACAAGCAAGACAAGCAAGACAAGCAAGACAAGCAAGACAAGCAAGACAAGCAAGACAAGCAAGACAAGCAAGACAAGCAAGACAAGCAAGACAAGCAAGACAAGCAAGACAAGCATCAAGAGTGAGCACTCCCTTATTTAGCGGAACACTTTCCGCCAACCACACAGAGAACAGGCAGATCAGCAACACTATTGCCAACCCAGATCTTAATGCCCTGTCCATTGACAGGAGCCTTCCAATCCTGTACTACAACATCCCAAACACTGACATCTTTCCGAGTAAGATGCAGCGTGACCGTCTCACTCTGACCAGGAGCGAGTTCCTTTGTCTTCTCAAACTGTCGGAGTTGCAAGGCCGGCGTATCCTGAGCCAGATCAGATGGAAGTTCAACGTACAGTTGGGCAACAGCCTTGCCACTTCGTTTACCCGTATTCTGGACCTCCACCTGAACCGAAAGAACAGTCTCAAAGAGAGCGGGATTTCCACCCTCGCCGCCTCCGGCCTGGGGAACTGCATGCGGCTCGGTGCTGTAGCCGTCCGGATAGGCGTATTTCTTCGTCGCAGTGATTGCCTGCGGCTTGTCCAGATAGGGGTAGAGGTAGCGCCAGATGCGAGTGAAGCTGGTAGAGGACCAGGCAACTTCTGATGCGTCTGGAATACTGGTATTGTAGGAAGGGGTCGACGGCTTGGTGGGTCGTGCAGCTGGGTAGGCTGAGTCTAGCGGAATTCCCGTTGACAGGGAAGGCTGGGAGAATTTGAAGGTGGTGTAGGAGAGGCCGTGGCCAAACGGATACCGAGGGGTGATATTGGCCTTAATGAAGTGACGGTAGTCGATGTATAGCCCCTCGGTATAGGTATCCTGGATCTGTCCAAACGGTTGGTTGATCAAGTCAACGCTATCCGGGTAATCATCCTCGCTGCGGGGAATAGTGTATGGCATGTGGCCACTTGGACTATAGTCACCAAAGAGGACATCGGTAAAGGGAGTTTCCAGCTTCTTGTCCGGGGAGATGGGCCACAACCACTGCTTTCACGGATTTGAGTTCAATCCACTCTTCCATCAGAATGGGCCCGACGGTGTGGACAATCACGACTACATTGGAAAACTTTTCTGCTGCTGCTTTGACAAGATCGTCACCATTGTGCCAAGCATTAAGTCCCGCTTTAGTTCGATCTCCTGGGTTTCCTTCGACTGTGATGAAGTTTTCACCTGAATCAGCGCTGATGAAAACAAGTGCTATATCGTTGGCATTGGCGGTAACGTCTGATGGGAACTTGTCCGTGATGTGGAACTCGGCATTCTTAGTGATATTAGATATTGCCTCTTCGGGTGTGATGAGATAGGGTAGTCTGGCGGTGCCACTGCCCCAGCCCATGGTCAATACGCCCTTGTTGCATCCTTTGTCGGCGCATGAGTTGAGACCATCTGGATTTCCACCTGCATCTGTTCCAAAGACCTTGAGGGAATCATTCCGGTGCAATGGAAGAATTTCCATGTCGTTCTTTAGCAAAGTGATTGCTTCCCGTGCGACGGCTCTCGCAGTGACATTGTGATCGCCCTTCACATCGATGAATTGGTTCACGACACCAGATGGAGAAAATAGAGCTCCGGGATAAAGTGGGCCTTCCTTATTCTGGGTATTGGTCGAGAAGTTTGGTAACGGATAGTCCTTGTCCTGTCCGTGTTTGTACCAAGTAGCAACGATACGTTGGACCTAGACGCGTATATTAGACACGAGGTAAGGTCCCAGATAACAAACCACGTACCATATCATTGAGCCGGTTAACGGGGACGCTTCCATTCAAGATCGAACGTGACAGCTCAGCACCCCAATATGAGTCTCCAAACAAGGGAACTGCTCCGTCGCCGGGCATTGACATATCCAAGCCAGCTATAGCGGACGCAACACCGGAGTAATGACCAAGCCAGTCTGTCATCACAAACCCTTGAAAGCCAAGCTCATCCTTGAGAATATCGTTGAGCAACTTGCTGTTTTGAGAGCACGCAGAGCTGTTGACCTATGATAATTCAACGACACAGACACGAGAATAGAATTGGAGAGACCTACGTCGGAATAAGCTGTCATCAAAGATCCAACACCCGCATGAACACCTTGGGCAAACGGCCAGAGGTACAGCTCATGCAATGTGCGATCGTCAATATTGGACGAATACCCCTGGGTGACAACACTGCTCATGCGGTACATTTCTTGCTCATTACCAATGTAATGCTTGATGGCCGCAATAGCGCCTGTGCTCTGCATACCCTTCACAGTTTGGGCACCTCCATAACCCTGGAGAATGGGGTCAGCACCAAAGCTTTCCCAGTTCCGTCCACCGCGTGGCTTGCGTCCAAGTGCTCCTACGGACGGCCCGAGGAGCACGTTGACTCCCTTGCCGCGCGCTTCTTCGCCGAGCCCAACACCTCGCTCATACATAAGATCTTTGTTGAAGGTTGCGCCAACGGTAATACCAGGTGGGAAAGCAGTGTTGTGGTCCGAGTTGCGGACTCCCAGAGGACTGTCCTGGAGGCACAGGTTGGGCACACCCAGGCGAGGCACGCTTCCTGTCTGTCCTACACAGGGTCCCATGAAGAAGCCAGTGCCTGTTGTCAGGTTGACCTTCTCGGCCAGAGTCATATTACTGACAAGCCGATGCGCTTTGGAGTAGGCTTCACTCCAGTCTGGAATCCAGCCTCCCGGAGGGGTGGGATAATATGGAGGCGATTCATAGCCTTCTTCTGCTCTCTCGTGCAGGTGTGTAGTAGACTCATATTCGTCTGGCACTGGGGAAGCCAGGAGAAGCGGGGTTAAAAGAGAGACTAGAGCTAGATGTGCCCAAGGAGCCATTGTGACTTATGAACAAAAAAAAAGGAGCAGATAAAGAAAAAGATTGTATTTGGGCCAGTCAAGCGAACGAGTGCATTATTTCCTCTAGATTGGAAAGTTCAGTGGAAAGTTCACTACAAACTAGCATCCCAGAAGATTATAAGAAAACTGCAGACCCCGTGGACGGGCAACGAGTTGCAGAACAGGGAAGAAGCAACGTCCGCGTGCACATCTCGGAGAAATGCATATCCTTGCTGGATTCGAGGAGGATCGTCATGAGTTCCTGTTCACATTTCACTTGGCAGCGCAGTGAGCACGAGGACTTGTCACAATTGTTCAAAGATCGACTCGTGGTGAATCTACTAGTGAATTCACTTGCATAACCGAGACTTACTGGACAAAAATCCAAAGGCTGTGCCTTTGACAAAAGTACATACTACCTGCTAATTAGCCGGATTATCCTTGCCCGGACGAGACATGGTGTCAGGGGCATCGATGATAAAATATGCAACCCCATCACGCCCCCTTTTCTCGAGACCTATGCTACGGCATCCTCCAATTCATATTCAATACTCCATAGTTCCAAGATATTACTTCAAGTACGGAGTAGAGCACATGACACCATTTAACCAAGATTGAAGTATTCAGTTTCATACATTGTTCTACATGTTCACGTCTTTAGATCTTGGTATAACGCAGGTAAGGCTTAACCTCGCGAACTTCACCAAACTTCTTCTGGGCATCCGGTGTACTGACGGTGGGCGGGACAATAACATCATCGCCAACATTCCAGTCGATAGGGGTGGCTACACCTTTCTTATCACCAGTCTGCAGGGAGTCGATGACCCGCAGGACCTCCGCGGAGTTTCGGCCCGTCGAGGCGGGGTACATCATAGTCAGACGTATCTTCTTGCTCGGATCGATGATAAACACGGAGCGAATGGTAAACGCGATAGCCTCCTGCCCGATGTGATCCTCGTCGATCATGTCGTAGAGGAAGGCGACCTTGCGGTCGGCATCCGCAATGATTGGGAATTGGACTTGTGTCGAGCCAACTTCGTTGATGTCCTTAATCCACTGGTCGTGGGAGCCGAGCTCATTGGCACTCTACAGAGAAGGGGCGCATCAGCTAAGGCTCTGTAGGCGTTGTAATAGCGCGGACTCACCAATCCAATCATCTTGACTCCGCGTGCGTCGAACTCATTCTGCAGTCGGGCAAAGGCGCCTAATTCGGTTGTACACACCTAATCATAGATGTTAGTTCAGTGTCTTCATACAGTATATCGGCGAGAAATACGGGTGTGAAGTCGGCAGGGTGGGAGAAGAGGATGGTCCACTTATCGCCGATGAACTCGTGGAAGTCAATCTCGCCCTGGGTGGTCAGTGCCTTGAAATTGGGGGCTATAGTGTGTTAGCATAATCTAGTAAATGCAACCAATTCAATTCTGTTGCAACTGTACCAATTGAGCCCAGGCGCAGACGCGGCTGTTCAACCTGGGCCGAGAAGAACCGGCGGAAAGCTGGCGCACGGGGTAGCTGTGCAGCCCACGGGACCCGTTGAGCAGCTCTGAATGCACCGAACATCTGAGGGGCGATTTTGGAAGCCATGATTGCTAGTGAAAATGAATTCCAAGATTCCAAAGTTGACTCGAGAGCTCACCCCTGTCGTGGATCCATCCAAGACGTCATCAAATCTGACTAATCACCCACTTTACCCGCCTCGGGCTCAGATACACAGACGCTTTTGTCCTTTGAATATGCTATGAGAAAAGATACCACCAGTATTTCACCATTAGAGCCCAAAAAATACCGTAACAAGAGCCACGGCTCTTGTATGGTGCCTAGAAGCCCCATATATGACGTTTGACGTTTGACATTTGCCTTTCATTGAATATAAATGTGTACATTCTATTGAGGGTCATGCGTATGCGACATGAAATATAGGTGTTGTGCAGATTTACGGAGCCAAGCGAAATATCACCAATATCACCAACGCCCGAGCTCATACTTACTGGACTTGCTGCTATCTTTTCTGACATCATTTTTCCAGATTGTATCGAAATTGGGAAAATAATGATCAGACATTCCCTTTACTCATGGGCCGTGTGTCTGCAGCGCAGAGGACAATGTTACTGTCGCCTCAGATGTTGATATAATACCCTCAAATCAGTCGGAGCATCAAGCTACCTCCCATTCGTAAATTCCCATCATCGTCACGCAGTCATCAATCTCATCCAAGCTCTGGCAGACCGATCCAATGAGGATCAACGACGACCGCGAGAAAGACATTCGCAGTTGGCTAAATGTGAACACACGTCTACAACAAGAGATTCTCACTGATGACAACGCATAAGAGCATTTTCCCGACTACCCAGGCGTCCTTGAACTTTATATACCACTCCCATTCCCGATTCTGTTAGCCGATTTCCTTCGACAAGTGATGTTGTACACCGACGGAGGAATTTAGAGCGATCTTGACGTGACATGTCACCAACCGATTTGTACTTGAATCCTGGAACAATACCAGAAATAAACAAATGTCGTTGTGGGTTCGGGATTTGATGGGCTTCAGTTCACGAGTTGGACGTCCATGACAAAACCGAAGACAAGCGATACCGTGGAGACCATCAATCTTGCCATATATGTACTGAAAGCATGTGCTGCACAGCACAATATGACCACTGTTGAGCTTAGGACGACGATCATCAGCAGCAATAGGGTAGATGCTGCGGTCACACGTGCGATGACTATGAAGATATTGGGTGTTCCTTTCAAGCTAACATGACCGGCCTCTTGACGATGTCCAATATTTTCACAGGTCCACAGATATACCCTGAGAATCAGTGTGGTCAATTCGTCTATCATCTGCCCTTCTGGCACTGATCATCCGTTGACAGGACCAGAAGGACGCGACTGCGAAACTTGCCATCAAAACAGCTCTCAATAAAGTGATTCTACTAGAACATTAACCAAGGTCAGACCCCATTCTTATTAGCAATAACTACAGTTCACCCTGGTACAGTCTGGCTGCCGACCTAGAACGTGCTCCGGAATAAGGCGGTCCATCAAATCCTAACCCCGATAAATGGTTCAGAGCCGACGACCATCATTGAGAGCATTCAGAGCCCATGGAAAGTAATATAGCCGATGAATAATAGTTGGAGGCTGAGTACAATGTTTCCGCTGACCAACTCGTGATTCCACCTTCCAAACATCCACCAGCGCAATAAGCGCAATTGACATTGTTGGTAAGAATCTTAGTAGGAAAGGTAAAGGCCAGACAATCTGCAAGCTACTGAGCAGTCTTACTTGCCCCCAGATACAAATTTGTCGATATCTCACTTTGAGGTATTATTTAAACCACATTTCCTCATACCCGCTGTGGCAACTAGCCTTGGATGCGATACCAGATGCATAACAGCCATGGTTCGAAGCTTTTGTGGCCCAGAAAATGGCCCGAGAGAGGGCTAAGTAGTGACTCTGGGCGAATCCTCATGCAATTGGCTGACACGAAAATCATTGTTGTCATGAACACAAGGGCCCAGTGGAGGAGCCAGTAAAAGCAGTGCCATCCTCAAAGGCCTTCCCCCAACGAGAGCATATAACAGCCAAAGGGGATACAACATCTGTTTACCAAATATCGTCCATTGGGGGAGGGGGCCAACTCCTTCGGATCCTTCGTTTTAACGCATACCACAAAGGACAAGCTGTGCCACGTCGCTACATTTGGTCCGCCTCATCCTCATCGCAGGCACTGGTTTGTCACAACAAATCATCTCTGAAGTTCGAAGAAAAAAGAAGCCACGGCAAGGAGGTCCGACACGGCGATTCCCAACGTCTTCCGGGAACCCGGGATATCAAACTTCGGGGGATATCCCGGGGGGGGGGGCTTGGCGCGCGAAGGATTGGGTCATTCTCGAGTCCGGCTGCTAGCCGTTGAAGACACCATAAGATAGTCTTCGATATTGAAGAGCCAGTTTTATCCGGTACTTACAGTTTTCGAAATGAGTTGCTTGTTCAAAAGATTGATGGCCCGCGCTGACATATACATACACCCAAAGTGCTCGGCTTGAGAGTGACTTTTGACGAGCAAGCATTGACTCGACAACCATGTAGACAGAGAAATTGATTCCCAATCAACAAAAGCCTCAATGGTAGAATGTGGAAGGCTGGGACAACCATTGTTCCGTTATCAGATCTTGTGACGTCAGACCGATGGGTACACCTGCCTGCATACAGTACAGAAGGTTCCAAGGCTCATGGATGTGCCCCACACGGGCCGCAAAGCTTAATCTATTGATATACTCCACAAAAGTAGCAATTGCAATGTTTCCCTATTCTACATGGCCATTGATGCTATTATTCTGATTGTTTATTCAAGAAATGCCTGGAGGTAAGTAGGCTGGGCGTTGTTTGAATAGGTATTCGCTCGTTTTAGGAAGGTGCACTCGGTTTAAGAACGAACGCTCAGTTTAGGAAGGAGCGCGTAGGACTGCTATTTAAACCCCAAACGTTGTTTTGATTTCTTTTCTTCTTTCTTCTCTCTCCCATCTTTCTCTTTTTACTTTGCAAGCCACAATGTCTAGCACTTCGTCGTTTGTGTTCCTTGTGCTGCTTGCCGCTATGGCGGCACACTGGCGCCGTGATCTCTTTGAACTTGTTGGAAGTGTGGTGGTGGTTGCTTGGGTGGTGGTTGTGGGGGCTTGCTGTCGAAGCAGGTAAGTTTGGCAGATTTCGTCCCTCAAGTAGCCCCTCCGAAGGGTCAAATTGTGGGCCATGTCTCATAACACCAAAGCATCCCAAGTCCCATCCCAAGTCCCATCCCAAGTCCCATCCCAAGTCCCATCCCAAGTCCCATCCAATTACCCATCCAATTACCCATCCAAATACCCATCCAAATACCCATCCAAATACCCATCCAAATACCCATCCAAATACCCATCCATGGTAGACCATTGAGACTAACAATGACTGAGTAGCTCCCGTGCTTGGCTCGCTACCTTGCTACACAATGTAGCAAAGTTGGCCTTGGAGCCAACAATTGAGGATGTCAACGCCGAGGCCAGGGAGGCCGAGGCCAAGGAAAACGTGAGGCTGAGAGCCCAGATGGTGGATTTGGAGCAGCAGCTCCGTGGCACGGAGGCACGAGCACGTTATTCCGAGATAGCCCGGGAGACCGAAAAGAAGCGCCACGACAAGGAGGTCCGACGACTGGATGCTCAATTGGCGTCCGTCTCCCGCGGTATCAAGGAATCCCTGCGCGCGAAGGATCAGGTCCTTGGCGAGTGTCGCCACTGGCGGCGCAAGTTTGAGGATCTGGAAGACCTACAGCGACAGGCCCAGGAAAACCCTGTTCGTGGGATCCAGGGACGTGCTCGTTGGGCCCCGGCCAAGAAATACGGAATTACGAAGCGGGAACGTGTTCGACCGGCAAGAAAGTTGACTGCCATTGCGCAGGTGGCGATCGTCAATGCGGTGTGTGAGTCCAAGCTGGCTAGTTGTGAGTCCAAACTGGCCAGTTTCGAGAGCGAGGCAAGAGACTATGTGGCCCGCACAACTGACCAAATTGGGTCTCTTCACGCCGCCGCCACCTCGCTCAGCGAGGAAAACGCATACCTCAAGCAGCAGATCCAGGCAAAGCCCGATATCACCCACGAGCTGGCCCAGCAGCGACTGGATGAAGCGGTGCAGCGCACAATGGTGTTTGCTGACCAGCAGCATGAGGAGCGTGTCAACTCGCTGAAGCAGACTTATCTCAAGGAGCTGATGGCAGCCAAGGTCGACTACGAGAGGAAATTAAACGAGGCAATGGAGGCAATCAAGGCAAAGGAAATCGCACTTGCCCAGCAGCGTGAGGTGGCTGAGGGAACGGCACGTGAAGTCAGTTCCCTGAAGCAGAAAATTGCCACTCAGGAAGCGCAGATGGGCGAGCTGCGTAATACCAACGCCAAGATTGCCGGTGACCTACAGGTCACGAAGGAAGCACGAGACAAGCTTACCACCGAGCTGGAGCAAGAAACAGCACAGGTGGTCAAGTACGTGCAGAAGAAGGATTGGTACTCACGTACCAACAAGGAACTCAAGGCCAAGTACGAGAACTTACTGGCCGAGAACGAGGGACTTGTGAGGGGTCGCGAGGACCTTGAGTTGGAGATTGAAGAACTAAAGAACGCACTGGACATTGCCGCCGAGCAGCAGGGGGCATGGGAGGAGCATGCTCACGAGGCGGATGCCAAGGCCCGGAAGGCAGATGCCAAGGCCCAGAAGGCAGATGCGAAGGTGGCAAAGCTGGAGGACGACAACCGGATGCTGGTGGACCACAACGAGGAGCTGTTCTGCACTTCAATTGCAGCTGATCTCCAACACCAGAAGACCCTAGAAAAAGTGGGAAACCTCGAGCAAAAAGTTCAAGACTACCAGACAGCAGAGGCGTCGGACATCACGTCGGCGGTCCAGGGTTTTGGGATGGATGCTGATTAAGCAACGGTCCCGGCCTCCCGACCCCCGATCTCCGCCACCCTGCTCAGTTGCTCACTCTATTGTCGTCCTCCTCCCAGTGCGTTCTCGTTCTAACCATCTCAAGGTACCCCCCTCTCCTTCCTTCCTTCCCGTTGGCTTTGTTAATTCCCTCACCCCCCCTTCATCTGCCCCATCCCCATCTGCTCTCCCTCTCCCTCTCCCCTTTTCGTCCCGACCGAGGGTCATTGCTCATTACATCACAGCATGTCCCCTTAGTCACTCACTTACGCTTCTCTTATGAATTCTTCGCCTTATCGCTCGTTTGCCGCTCGGCCATTGTTGCTGAGTCTGGCCAAGCTTCTCCTCGTTGCCGTCTCGCAAATTCCTTTCGCCGCTGGTGCGCCTACATTCTCACCTCTTTTTCTATCGTCCCGCGACACAGAATCACCAAAGGAACCGAGCGATCCAAGCTTATGGCTTTACTTGGGATTTTCAGCCGCTCTTGTGTTGAGCGGTGGAGCGTTTGCGGGTCTTACGATTGCCTTGATGGGACAGGTCAGCTCTTCCAAAGCGGCTAAAGATTCCGCGATGAACCAGACTGACATCCTGTCTGCTTACAGGATGAAGTTTATCTCCAAGTCATCAAGACCTCTGGCGAAGGGCATGAAAGGAAAAACGCTACTAGCGTTCTCAAACTCTTGAACCATGGAAAACATTGGGTTCTTGTCACCCTCCTCCTCAGCAATGTCATCACGAATGAAACTCTACCCATCGTCCTTGACCGAACACTTGGCGGTGGTTGGCCGGCTGTTTTAGGAAGCACGGCTTTGATTGTCATCTTCGGCGAGATTGTTCCGCAGTCCATCTGCGTCCGTTACGGTCTTCCTATCGGTGCCTGGATGGCACCTTGTGTTTTGGTCTTGATGTACATCATGTCTCCAGTCGCATGGCCTATCGCAAAATTGCTAGATAGACTCCTTGGAGAGGACCATGGTACCATTTACAAAAAGGCCGGACTTAAAACTCTCGTTACCCTCCACAAAACCTTGGGCGAAGCCGGAGAACAACTCAACTCCGATGAAGTGACCATTATCAGTGCAGTGCTCGACCTCAAGGAGAAATCAGTAGGCAGTATCATGACACCAATGAACGATGTTTTCACTATGTCTGCCGACACTGTCTTGGACGAACGCACGATGGATCACATTCTTTCCCAAGGGTACTCCCGCATTCCCATCCACGCGCCCGACAATCCTATGAATTTTGTTGGTATGCTCCTTGTCAAAATGCTCATTACATACGATCCGGAAGATTGCAAACATGTTCGCGATTTTGCTTTGGCTACACTTCCTGAAACACGACCGGAAACCAGCTGTCTGGATATCGTGAATTTCTTCCAAGAAGGCAAGTCCCATATGGTTCTTGTCTCTGAATATCCTAGTGAGGATCGTGGCGCTCTTGGAGTCGTCACCCTGGAAGATGTCATTGAAGAATTGATCGGCGAAGAAATCATTGACGAATCTGATGTCTTCATTGATGTACACAAAGCCATCCGACGAATGACACCTGCACCCAAGTCTCGTGTTGCAAAAGGGCGCATTGTCGAGGAACCTCCTTTGAATGGGTCTGTTATCACGGATGGCGACTTGATCGATGTGGATTCCACAAAACTATCATCTTCCCCCAAGCCTTCCGACTTGACTCGACGCCGTAGTTCGGCGGAAGCACCTCTTCCCCGCTTTCAACTCCGCAAAACCAATACCGATATCAACACCGACTCGGCAGGTGAATGGGTCACACAAGTCGGCACCACTGATGAGATTCGGGAGCACCTTAAGCATCTTGGTCCCTCCAACCTGGCCAGTCGGCCCCGTCAAACCCGTTACCATTCAGTCAAGATCAAGCGCAACAGCGCTTCTCCGTCCCGTTCCGCACAAACAGAGTTTGAGTCCGGACAAAGCACCTCTGACTCCCAAAAGCTCATCCCTTCCTCTACTGGATATCAAGGCGGTATAGGTGCAGGCTTGCTCAACTCCGCTGGACAAGATGCCAAAGATGGTGCGCATGCCCTCAAACTTGGCTACGGTACCATGAGTTCCAACGATACTGTGAGCAAAGGAACCGGTGCTCAGCAATACAAAGACCTTCCCCACGTCTCCATTCCTGAAGCTGTCCGCGAGGAGCATGAAGACCAACCGCGTTCTGGGTCGACGCGGAAGGCTAGTAGTGACGAAGGCAGTGTTGAATCGTCCGATACTCCAGGCTTCATTTACCACCATCGCGGGCCGGCGCGCAGTGGAAGCATTACAGAACAGGTTGTGGATGTTAATGGTATTCGCAAAGTTGTTCTTCACGCAAATTGTTCAAGTTCTTCAGAAGGTGAATCTCATTCACCTGGCCATCATCGCGACCACCGTCATGCCGATGGTGCGGTTGTCAATACTGATGATACAAAACCAGAAAACCCCGACAGTGCGCACGCAAAGTCCAAAAGGAAGCGCCGCCGAAAGAAGCACAGCAAAGCTTCAAAATCTGATGGTGGCCCCTCAGAGGACCAGCCGTTACTTCAATGAGTCGTTACTTCCAATGTTACTTGAATTTTCGTTACTTCAATGAAATATTACATAGTGTTAAATGAATCAGTCAAGATGATTTCCCTACTAGCAGACTGAATTGTACTCATTTTTCTTTGTAAGAGGATATGCCAAATATGCCAAATGAGAAGCCAAAGGTCTTTAACAATCCGCGGAAGGATTGGATAAACTGTATGAGTATTTGGGATTAGGTTGTAAAGTCATTGAGTCCGTAGCCTGACCCGGAAATTTTCTACGCATTTAAACGAAAAGTTGGAGAAGGAAAATAGGCATGCTGTCACCCCTAGTCTAACCTCAAGACACAGATATTGTGCAGATTTGCTTCGAATTTCTCAGACTAGATACATAAATGCTCTTTCCAAAAGAGCCCCTCATCCCCCAAATAACAGGATAAGACGACCTAAGGACAACAAAAGGTATATGCAACATGTGATCGTTATCCATCCATCCATCATAAAGTTGTTCAATGTTCGGTGAGGCCTCGTTAAAACCGCCCAGGTTGAAAAACTCATTTGAGAAAATGGCCCGGCTCGGAAAGAGTACCTCACGTAGTGGGTTCGTTGACTCGAAATGATTGCAGACAGAAACCCATAGGCTGCCAAAAGTTGAGCAGTCTTCGTGCACGGAGGTAACGGGCGTGCAGCTTGAAGTGGTGCAATGGTTGTCGATGCATTGCGAGTATTGGCGAATGTTTCGTCGGTGATGTCCAAAAGACGATGTCGTAAATGAAAACTAGTCGATTGATGTGATTTCCCGTTGGTGCTGTGATGAAGCGATCATTGCAAAAGGGGATCCTAGTAAAAAGTTAGTTTTGCAAAACAAATGAACAGTATAGATTGAACATACGCGGAAGTGCTTCTGGTGATTGTTGGCACGCTGGACACGGGCAACATAACGATTCTCTTGGCGAAGGGCACGAGTTCTCTCGCGGCGATCGGCAATGAGAGCAGCTTCCTTTTGCTCTTCGGTGACTCCAATCATGCCCATGCCACCGTTGGCACGAGTGACAAGAGCGCGGTGATGGTTGTTGCGGACACGGGGAGGTTCTTCCTCAATTTCTCCATTTGCGATAGCAAGCTGGCGAGCAGCTCGTTCGGCGGCCGAGGGGTATTTGTGCAGGTTTTGCTTGTAGTATTTGGCAAGCGAACGATGGCCGACACTCTTTCCAGATGGAAGGTGGAGCTCATAATCTGCTTCGTAGGCACCTGATGCGTTTCGGTATGAGTCAAGGTCATCCTCGTCGACAGAGGATGCAGAACTGTCGGTTTCCCAGCCTTGGTCCTCTCCATCACCGTTCACGTTGACGCCACCGCTCTCAGTGGCGGATTCATCCTCATCGTCGGAGTAGGTGCTCCGGAAATCGTAGTATTGGCCAATTTCAACTTGTTCTTCTTCGGATTCAAAGGCGATCATGCAATGACTCTTGTCGCGCATGTGGGTTTGTATGGCTTGCGCGTCGTTTTTGATGGCGTGGCAGTAGAGACATTCGAAGTTTTCGGTAATCTTTCGGTAAAGATAGTTCAAGAGGCCATCGAGATCCGCCAAATACTTTTGTTCGGGGATAAACATGCCATGATCTTTGCGCATGTGGTCCACGTTGGTGTGAATATCGGTTGAATCGGTTTTGCAGAAGAGACAGCGAGATGGCGAGAAGTTGTCTTTCTTGATATCTGCTTCCATATCCTCGTCTTCTTCTTCATCAATAGTGGCAGTCTTGAGGCCCTCGGTGACCTTGCTGACGTCATTGTCAGACTTAGTCACGGGTTCGCCGAGAGAGAAGGCGGAACTCTGGACGGAGGCAGCGTCGCCATCCTTACGTAGGCTAGCCGCACGTTGCTTATGCTTCGAGCTGTTGATGTGATTTTGGTACGAGTTTTCGCTGTAGAAAGCCTTGTTGCATGTGTGGCAGGTCTTTTCATACGAAGCCTTGGCGGCGGCTTCGTTAGATGTAGCTTTGGCGGCAAGTACTTTTTCGTTGAAAGTTTCGAGAGTGACGGGTGGCAGGGAAGCGATGCGACGCTTCATGTTGTATAAACTAGGTCATATAAGCTACTGAATTCACAAAGCAAAAAGAGAAATAGAGGGGGAAAAAACAGAAAATTTCAAACTTACTGCCAGTCCTTGCGCATGTGGTCTCTCTGCGCATCGCTGCGTTGGAAAGCAACAAGACAGGTGTTGCAAGTGTATTGCAGCGAGGCTGCATCTTGGTTGGTCGAAGACATATCGATGGGTTTTCCAGAGTCGTGGGTGGTTGAAAGGGTGGGTTTTCCCTGTGGGTTGTGGGATGAATATTTGTTGTAGGCGGGGTACATATGAAGGCTCTGCCTTCACCTGATTTCAATAATTTTTTGATGATCTGAGTATAGATTGTTGATGAAATCGATGAAAGTGATGGGACCGAGATAGATGTAAAAGAGAAGAATGAAAGAAAATGCTCTCGCAAGTCAGTCTTCAAGTACCTTAGACCGTCGTCCAGGGTTGATCTTCTGAATTTACTTTTCTTATCGAGCGACTAAACCCCTCTGCAATGGTACTAGTACTATCTCGGTCATTGGGCTAACCGTAAACGGTTTAGTGACTTCCAAAAAGGCTGGCGGGCTGAGTAATCCAGGCCTAGCCGGACTATTTGACTTCCGACAGCTCCGATGCCAAAGGGGGATAATAGTGTGCCTGAGGCATTATAGTCTTACATAGGTGAGCTGTCGCATCTTACTCTCTATTCAACACGTGGAGACGAACAATTTACTAGTGCCATTACTCCCATACAGCCATCCTCACTCCCTCAGATATGCTATTCTGTTAAAAATGACAAGGCTCCGCGGAGGTTCTATTGATGACCCAGCCATCACGCGATCCCCCGGCGGGCGAACTCACAGTTATCGGTCAAAACTCCCACCAAACGCACCGGATGCGCTCATACACAACACCATTGAAGTATCTGATCCCTCAAGGGTCCTCCCCCGATATCGCGATGATCGAAGACGAAAATTTAATAGCTTGGTGCGCAGGTGAGTGAAACCTCAATCATTGGGCCCCGACCTTTTGACTCCGCATGACACTAACTGGTTTCTTGAAAAAGGTACAAAGCTCAACTGCTTCACGGCTGCGATGATCCCTCGTGTCGAACCACTACATGTGCCAGTCACCGCAGAAGACTCAGTGAAGCTCCATACCGTCGATATACGGAACTGAGCGCGAGGACCCTGGCATGCTACCTCGCTAGCTTAGACGATGCGGAGACCGGTTTATGTCTGAATGTGCCTAAACCTCCACCACAACTAACAGCGGAAGATTACCATCGGATTTCTCTACGTCGAACACGTACACTTGAAGCACAGATAGCAGCGGCTTACAGATCACCAAAACTGGATCAGGACGATGAAGGCCAGTCGGCTCGCAACATGTCCGGGCCCACGCAAGATAGATCAGCCGACTCAAAAGTGAAAGAAGGGAATTATTCACCTCAAATTCCCTCCGGGGGCAACTATATTCAAGACCTCGACCATACCGCCGAACAGCAACTCAAAGACCCCAAATCTTTTACACAGAACCTCTTTGATACAATCTCACTCCGTATGGTCGAGTGGCTTCCTCTTCGCCGTTCCCTAGATGCATTCGAGTCAACGCTCAAGACACCCGCACCCGCACCGGAAGGTCATTCATCCACTGCTGAGAAGCGCCACTTCCATGTCGACAAAGTTTCAGACAGAGATCTTAAAATCCACGGCAGCTCCACACATGCGCGCCAGCCAAGCTGCCAACCACGTACTCCTTCATCACGAACCTCGGGATCTCAGGCCTCCGCAGTTGAGCTCAAGCTTCAGAACCAGCATGTCAAACGACTATCAGTCTCCGAGATCGACCATTGGCGCCAGAGTCCACGTTCAAGCCTTGACGATAAAAGGAAACCAGAATTCAACAAGAAGCTCCCGGTGGCTTCTTCTGATGATTTCGTCAGTTTACCCTCACCGCCAGCGTTAAAGCATCGTCCGCAAAAACACCGCGGAAGAATTGGAGATGTCGATCCAGTACCTTTAAAGGAACAGCGCAAAAGTCAACGGCGTGTCTCCTGGGACAGCCAGAAGTTGCTGGATGAAGTATCTCCTATCAACAGTACGGCAAGCACAGAGCTTATGTCTTCTCCTCCTTTTCCTCCTTCCGTTGCTCTACCCCCCAGTGAGCACACGAAAAAGCAGGCCTCTGCTGAAAACCCGCTAGACACGATCCCACTAGCCCAGACAGTCACTCATCTTACACCCGAGATCATCGATGGCCTGTCACAAGTCATGATAGGATCTGCGGAAGATGCTGATTGCTGGAAAGAGGAACTTGATCGTATCCAGTGCGCTGGCAGTTTTGAGCAGCCGGAATGGTGCTTTGCCTCTCTACGTCAGCGTGAAGTATTTCCGTTCGTTGCTCAAAGTGCATTCTTCGTGTTCAGCAGCCCCAGTCAGATCTTGCACTCCTTTAGTAGCGAGTCAACAGATATTATCGGGGCTACTTCCAGTCGTCTGGATGTTTCCAATTTGCGTTTATCACTACAGCGCTTATTTACAATCTGCCCTTGGGATATTGCACTACATAGCCTGTGGAGCTCTCTCGGCAAGCTCTTTGTTCCCCCACGGGGGTTCACTTCTTCTGGACGGCCATCCCGCCGGTCGTCTCGTAGTTCGACCATGACAGGAGCTGCGCCCCCTCCGGCCGTTCCCCGACGAATGTCTGAGTCTGCCAATGAAGATTATCTGTCGGATCCTGATGCCGCCTACATTGCCACGATTGCCTTGTTCACTTTGGTCAGCTTTGTGCCTCATGTCGACCCGGGGACTTGGAAAGCCGTAGTTCGGATGCGTGCCGCTGGGTCTGTTGCCTCACTATCGGATATGCGCAAGCTGCCTCCGAAGAATGCTCAGCAAGCCGTCGAGGTGACAGACAGATTCGAGCACGAGTTAGGTATCCGCCTCATTGGCCGCCTCGTGCAGGCTCTTACTGCACGACTGGCATACCATGAAATATCAAAGACCTGCCAAGTATACAGCCTAAACCTACCAAATCAACGAAAAATCAGCGTGCTGGACCGCGTGGTTGATTATCTTAGTGAGCATCACATCTCTCAGACTGCTAGCAACGATGGGCCCGGTGGGTCCATTTGCGCAGCCTCCCTCATTGTTGAGTGGCTTCGGACTCTTTTCCTGCGTGAATGGGACGGCAACCCTGAAATGGCTCGGAGCAGCCCAGCCGGTGGTGCCGTTCATATTCTAGCCTCAATGTACAAGGAACGAAATCGGCTAGGTCTCATACCCGAAGACTTCCATACACCTCTTCTCGCAGAGCGGCTGGACCCTTTGGATATGCCTGTGGCATGGGTTGGGGGGCTTCCGAACAACCGAACGATGCACCTGCTATCGTACTCTTTCCTTTTTCCTCCATCTTCCCTTGTGATATACTTCCGAGCTTTGAACTATTCCGCCATGACTAAGTCCTATGAGGCTGCTATGACCACCACGAGACACGTCAATCAGACTGCCTTCGACCCTATTCGAATTTCCGACGGTCATCGACTCCTCACCCGCATGAAAACATCCATGTCGTCCTATTTCGTTCTCGTTGTCCGCCGAGATGATATTCTCTCCGGTGCCTTGAGCCAACTATGGCGGCGTGAAAAGCGCGAACTGATGCGACCCTTGAAGGTACAAATGGGCATGGATGAAGGAGAAGAAGGGCTTGACCATGGTGGAGTTCAGCAAGAGTTCTTCCGCTTGCTCATGGGCCAAGCCTTTGACCCATCTCATGGCATGTTCGTCGTTGACACTCGACACCGCATGTCTTGGTTCCAACCGTGCTCATTGGAACCTCTCTACAAGTTTGAACTCATTGGTCTACTGATGTCTCTTGCGATTTACAATGGCGTGACTCTCCCTGTGAACCTTCCTATTGCCTTCTACCGCAAAGTGCTGGGCTTGAAGGTGAAGCATCTAGAACACATTCGAGATGGATGGCCGGAACTAAGCCACGGGCTCGACACTTTATTGGCATGGAAAGATGGCGACGTCGGCGACATTTTTACCCGAACTTACGAGTTTAGCTTCGAGGCCTTTGGAAGTATAAAGACAATCGACATGCAAAAGATCAATAGGGATACACCGTGGCCTCTTGCTAGCAAAATCGCCACTCCGGCTCCGGCTTCGATATCTATCGCGGGCTCTAGCGCTTGGATGGATGTACCAGCTTACTGCGATCCTGCGACATTAAACTCAACAACCTCCATGACAGCCGAGGAGCTTAAGAATGTCACATCCCGCGAGCCTGCCTCGGGCACGGTTGCCAATTCGGGGTCTGAGTCCATATCGCTTCAGTCCCCTGCACTCCCAGCTGAAGAGGCTGCGCTCGTGACCAATCAGAACCGACATCAGTTTGTCAGGGATTACATCTTCTGGCTTACAGACAAATCCATTCGACCACAGTTCGAAGCCTTCCAAAGGGGTTTCAACACATGTCTGGATCGATCGGCTCTGTCCATGTTTTCCCCAGAAGCCCTCAAAACCGTGGTGGAAGGTATCCAATCCATTGACGTAAAAGAGCTCGAGGACCACACTCGGTACGAGGGTGGATTTAGCCCTAATAATCGTGTCATTCATGACTTTTGGGATATTGTCCGAACATATCCAAATGAAAAGAGGGCCCAGTTACTTGAATTCGTTACTGCGAGTGACCGAGTCCCCGTCAACGGGATCTCGAGCATTATGTTTGTGATCCAAAAAAATGGCGTTGGAGATTCAGTAAGTTCCACTTTCTACAACAGAATATGAAGTGTCATGCTGATTGTTCCTCTAGCGACTCCCTACCAGCCTGACGTGCTTCGGACGTTTGCTTCTGCCAGAGTACTCGTCAAAGGACACCTTGGCGAAGAAGCTTGACAAGGCCCTCGAAAATGCCCAAGGGTTTGGCGTTGCATAGAAGGTGAAATTTCCATTGTTTTACCTATACATACCCATTTGTTCTATAATCCATTGATATGTTGGCATTCTCGGTGCAAATGACCTATTTTCATGAAGTACTCCTTTTTTTCGTACTCGGCCTTATACTAGACATCTGAAGAGGATCCCTCACTACGATAGACAAATCACAGGTTATAGATCTCCATAGGACTCCAGTGCAGAGCTGTGGTTCGCTTGATGATGTGGCGCTACGCAAAATTATATGACCAAGTCGGACTTCTGAGGTCCGGGAGGGATTTATGACTCTTACATTCATTTTCCATTGTATATTTTTATTTTCCGCATATATCTCTTTGTATTGAGAACTCGTGAGTCAAGTATTCCGTAAGGCACTCCGACTTGCATCCCTTGCCTAAGTCCCCGCCACCGCGATAAGAACTCCCGAGATTACTTTCAGGGTCTTCAATACCTGCTTCCTGACGGAAATTGACTAGATCACTCTCAACATTGAACATGCCCCCAATTATCCACTGCGTGCGCCATGCTCAAGTATGTCCATCCCGCGAGCAATGATCTTAGGAAACTCCCAAAGCTTTGACAATTGGCAACCTTGGAAGATGGCCATTTGCTGCTCGATCTAATAGACAATCACAGGGCCTGCACAATCTTTGTACCGCCAACCACGTCATCCAAGATCCTCTTCTCACTGATCTTGGACATGAACAATGCCAAACGCTCCGCAAGAACTTCCCCCGCCATGCCCATATCGATCTAGTAACCGCCTCACCCCTCCGTCGCACCCTCTACACTGCGCTCGAGAGCTTTGCGCCCGTCTTTGAGTCAAAGCCGGACTTGAAGATTATTGCCTTGCCCGATATTCAAGAGATCTCAGACGTTGCATGTGATACTGGCAGCGAGCCCACTGTATTGAAGGAGGAGTTCCAAACAGGTGTTGATCTTGATCTCGTGCATGATGGGTGGAATAACAAGGTATGCTTCTCACTTGCCTACAGATCGAGGGTCGCCTCACTTTTAATCTATACATGGTATACTCACATCGGTCTACCTAAAAGGCATCTGGTCGCTATGCCCCAGTCAACCACGCCCTCAAGCAACGCGCTCGTGCAGCCCGTCGCTGGCTGAAAGCCCGCCCGGAGAAGGAAATTGTCATGGTCACGCACGGCGGATTCTTGCACTACTTCACTGAAGATTGGGAAGACAACAGCCAGTTCCAAGGTATGTGACGTAACGCGCTACTATCACGGGGAAATATACCAACGTTCTCCATTTTCGCAGGTACCGGCTGGTCCAACACCGAGTATCGCACTTTCTCTTTCACCGAGGAAACACACACAGATGATCTGGAGGGATACCCGCTGGATGGTGACAACGCCTCACTTGAGGAGACAAGCGACTCCCGGCAGCGCCGGGGTAAGACTGGACCTGTCCCTAGTCGGGAGGAACAGAAGATCCTGTATAAGAAGGGCATCCAGGGCTGGGGTGACCAGGGATTGCAGATGAGCATCGCCGAACGGGAGGCGGCTAAGGCCACTGGAGGTGAGGAAGTGAATGGCGTTCGGGTATGAAATGGGCAGTGAACAAAAAGGTGTTTTGATGGACAATGCTATTGTACTTTCCAGCTGTCGCATATTGCGACGGCTACAAAGACAGAGCCAATATGTACATAGATCTTCCATAGACTAAAAATAATCTCTTGGGTTTCCAAGGCTTTTTATTCCATTGTTGGTTTACCCGCTTGAGCTCATCTCGCCTTCAGACAGGTTTCAACAAACAATAGAACAAAGCTGACAAGCATGCATTATGTCAACCACTTCATTGTCGAGTCCTTTACTCGTTCTTCATTCTTTTGATCTTTAACTGTGAACAATGACCCTCGGCCTCGGGAACACGATGAACCAGTCTACCGCATCCATTCTGACCTGACAAAGGGCTTGTGTAGGACAACTATGAGTTGGGTCACTCTTTGTGTTGAATAGGATTGCCTATATAATGGCCTTCAGGCCCTTCGCTTTTGAGCCCGTCATCAGGAGCATTCCAGCTCAAAACAGAACTCGACGCCTATCGTCCGCTACTATACATGCGATATATAGAGATTGCGAATCACTTGCGGAGTACCTTTCCCATTCCTTGCAAGATTGACACTGACGCTTTTATCTAGGGCCATTGACATTCGGAATACCTTACCATCATACATTCTTAGGCCACAGGTGGGCGTCCTCCCGGAAGATGATCATTCCTCCCGGAAGATGATCATTGCTAACATATAACGACCTAGGTCAACATCACATTCAACGAGTACCAGTCCGAACATGCTTTAATACCTGTATACGGCCAAGTTCTTTGATCACCCCCATCCCCGCCCTTTGCCTTCCCTACTAACGAGGTTTAGAGACTACAATACCATCTACCATTTCAGGCCATTCGAGTACCCCGTCTTAACTATCATACCACCCCCGGTAGGTCATTCCAGGTGCGAGATATGCTAACAAACTAAATAGGTCCGATCGAGGATATCCACCAAAGAAGATAACCGATGATGACCAACTCAATAGCTAAGTCCTTTATCACCATTGTTGAACACATGATTCAGTACTAACGAACCATAGGCCCGACGCAATCCTTTGTTTGGACATCATCATATAGTTCCCCTAGCAGGTGAGTCATTATTCACCCTCTTGTCACTAATCGCAATCTTTTAGATGCATCCCGACAATATATCCACAACCTTCCATGATCAGCCATTAGCCCGTGAGCTAGATTTGTTACTCCCCTCTGTGACCTGGATTCCGTACTAACGAATATAGCCCGAAATTGATCCTTTTGCCCAAAAGATTGCACAAAGTATTTTCTTTGAAGCAGCTAGGCTAATCCCTCGAGCCCCGTTTGAAACTAGCTCGGATTCTGACAGCCATTCATATCTCACTAGATCATTACAACAAACGGCCGAATGAAGCTCTGACTTCATCCTTGTCTTAAAGACTACCATTTACATGCTTTAAAATATCAAGCAGCTAGGTGATTCCTTTCATCCCGTCGTCCCTAACATATTACAGACATCCACGAATACTTCCAAAGATCCCGACGTGCAGGTCTGTTGTCTCCAGCTCAACCGACCTGCACACTAACTGAGTGTAACCAATCCTTTATATATTCCTCCTAATTCAACTTAAAAAACTGTGATTATTTCGTGGTTAGTCAGTTATTCTTATCTCAGCCTCGAACAGGGTTTGAAAGCACAGCTAAGTCTATCCCTCGAACCTTTGTACTAACATGGGTTATAGAAGCCACCCCTGAATGAGTCAATATAGGCACCACTTGATGATTATGTGGATAAGCATACATAGAAGTCCTTCCTCAGAATATGAACCGAACACTAATTGAGTCTGCAGCGTAGAACTTCCTCCCTTCTTCCCTCCACAAGTTACTCCGACAGCGAAGTCAACCCTTCCTTGCCGCAATCAACATGGGATGATAGTACGTCAACACAAACACACATTTTGCAACTTGAAGCGATATGTATTACACCGAACTCTTCTTGATATTGAACTTGTGGTGCTAAATTGATATAGGGTCGACGAGGGCTTGATATATCCAACAAAATATACGTTGGAGCCTAAAACAGTTTTTAGACAAAATTACCAACGTCGGATATACCTGAGCAAAAATACATAGGCTGAAAACCCCCGAATGTCCGGGTATCTTGAGTTATCGTGGTGATCCGCTTGGTGAAGGCGCTGTTCGGGCAATACAGATGGGTGTTGGGTGGCCTACAAAAAGCAAAGTTAAGCTGTTGACTTCGACTTGAAACACGATATGTGAGAACACTGCTCTTGAGAGCATCCAAATGTAGAAGAATTACTGCAAATCTACAATTTTTGCTGTGATGACAGCATGTAGATCTATGCATTCGATTAGCATACCTGTTTCGTATGTAGATCAACCTTGGAAGACTAAGCGATAGCAATAATTTATAAGCTCGAATGTCACGCATGCCTAGAATGCCGATGCCTATATCTCTCCAGCTTCCAGGGCAGATCTTACCTTGTAGAGTGCTTCAAATGCTGGTGCCTCAATTGACGTACGAATTAGCGGGTATAGGCCTTCTATTTTTAGGTGCCGATCACGAAGTCCCGTGGCGCAGACGAACAGATTTCAACTCCCGAGCGTTCAATATAACTCCCACATGACCAAGGTTGTCTCTTGAATTCCCGATGAGAAGATGATCGATGAAAACCTACCCAGTACGTTGTGAGGAGCCGCTCTGGTCGCAGGCTACGTCATCCCCTGGCTGTGTGATTATCGTACTGACCGCAGCGCAGCGTTCTTCCTCAAGAACAACTCAAAACAACCTCAAATCAGCACGATCTACCATCGTCAACATGGAAATGACCCCGAACCTGCTTACTCGTTGCGTGCTCTGGACCCGGCCGCCCCAACATCACAAAACCGTTACGGAGTCGCGCTGTACGACCCCTACGTGACAGACGTGGTCTACGGCGAGGTCGCTGTGGCTCCAGATTGGACCCAACCGAGTCTGTCGGCAGACACCATACGAGCAAATGGCGGCGTTGTACCGCCCCCCGAACCCATACTCCCTACAGAGTTCACCATCCAACTCTACAATCCTGACCAAGAGATCACAGTGAAATATCATACCAAATCATGGAACAAACCAGCACGGTGGGAATTCGAGATGCCGCAAAACACGTTCCGGGTTCCGTCCACCTCAGCGTTAGACCAGACACAAATCGATCCCTCTCTTGCGGACGTTACTCCGAAGTTGAGGTTCAGCTGGCGCAAGGATGGGAAACTGTCCAAGGATTTGACATGTCTGTTGCATGGTAAAACTTCAACAATTTCGGACACCCGCACAAAGAGCCGTGAGCCAGATATTACGGTCGCTCTATTTCAAGGGCTCAAGGAGCTGACTCTCTACGAGCCCAATCTCTATCGCGTCGAGATGGAGGATACCAAGGGTTTGGAGGTCGTGCTCCTCTTGGCTGCCGTTGCGATTCGAGATATTTTCTTTGGGCCTGCCAAGGAGGCTTTTCATATCACCCCCGGGGGGCTAACCAGGTCCGCAAGCAAGCAGTGGGGCCAACTACATCTGCGGCAACAGCCACACCAGCTGGTGATCCCAGGCGCGATCGGAGGAACTCACAGCCTCGCCCCTCTGGATCAGAAGTGAGCCGCAAGCCATCGAAACCTCGGCTTAGCATCCCGAACTCCTCATCCCCAGCCCCACAGGAGAGGAGGCGACAGGACGAACTCGCAAGACAGGAGGAGGAGCGACGAACCCAGGAGGTTCTCGCCGCAGAGCAAAAAGCACGGCGTCGGCGAGAGGCAGAAGTCGAAAAAGAAACCAAACGTCTGCAGCAGTTATACGGGAGAGAAGAAGAGCAAGCACGAATGCAACAACGTACTCCAGCACCATCTTCCAGGCCCTACCTCCCACCCCGACACACAGGGCCCGGTCAGCCTTATTCCCACCAATACTCTCAATCCTCAGTCCAACTTTCCTCCCAAGCTACAGGCCGTCCCTCCCATCCTCCCCATGGCGTTTCCAACAGCCCATACCTCCATGCACCGGGCCGCATGGATCCCCGAGCCCAATCCTCTACACACCTCATGCAGTCACGACCACAGCAATCACGCCCACAACCCCGACCTCAGTCTTCTGTTATGTTCCACCAACAACCCACCAGCAGCGGTGCGCTCCCAGCGGCATCGAAACCAACGCCTCAAATTCAACCAAAAAAGAGCAGTTTCTTTGGTTTCCGGCGTAACAAAGAAGAAAATACTGTTTCAAAGAAGCGGAGTTCTATGGTCTGATCATCTATACCCTGGCGTTTTTTTATCTTTTCCGGCATCATACTCAGCATTTTGTGGTTATACTTTGTCCTCGTGTCCATCTCATTGTAGTTGCACATCATGTTTTATTGCAGTATATCTACATCACACTTCCTATATGACAAATCCCAAATCTAGTAAGTTGGCGATTCATTAGATACTCTCGCTAGTTAGCGCTGGACCCCAGGCCTTCGACTGTCTGGGTGTTATAAGAGACGAGAAAAGGATGCTCTTCCTAACTAGCTGGTAGTAGGTGACCGGCTACGGGGATGAGTGGGACTTTATGTAAAATGATCTCAGACGCCTCCGCTGTCTAATAGTTCTGTACCTCGATCCTGTTGAGGGCGTCGGAGTCGAATTGCTCAGAGTTGGCGTCATCTCCATAAGGTTCTCGCGACCCCTCACAAGTTCCTCATTCTCGGCCAGTAAGCTCTCGTACTTGGCCTTGAGGTCCTTGTTGGTACGTGAGTACCAATCCTTCTTCTGCACGTACTTGACCACCTGTGCTGTTTCTTGCTCCAGCTCGGTGGTAAGCTTGTCTCGTGCTTCCTTCGTGACCTGTAGGTCACCGGCAATCTTGGCGTTGGTTTCACGCAGCTCGCCCATCTGCGCTTCCTGGGTGGCAAGTCCATGCTTTAGGGAACTGACTTCACGTGCCGTTCCCTCAGCCACCTCACGCTGCTGGGCAAGTGCGACCCATTCGCTTTTCCCTGGCCAATGGCCCTTCAAGAAGGTTATCTCTTCTTTGAGATATATTGAATATCTCTTTAGGCAAGATTTGAATTAGCCAATGGTTCAAGTATAAGCGGAGTAGAGATTCGACTCAAGGGGAGACGTAAGGTGAAGTGTGAGAAAGGTCAAGGGAAGGTAAGGAAGAGAAGAGAGACAGAAGGTGGAGAATGATGCATCTTGTTCCACTCGAAGTCGGCCTCAGTATTCATCATACATAATGAAATATGAGGAGATCAGGATCAAAGACACAATGTTGATAGAAATAGAGTGGAGAGAGGTAGCAGAAGTAAGTGAAGGGATATACATACCTCGAGATATATATAGGGAATAATCGAAGGAGGTAAGTGGACCTATGAAAAGCGTGAGAGGTGTGTAGCAAGAGGGATTGGAGAAGAAGAAGTGAGGAATGGGAGTATAAATACAGAGGGAGGATCGTAAGAGAAGACGAGGTGAGGGGATTGGAAGTTTTTATATTGGGATGTGCGGAGGGAAGGGGTATCAAGGATACCTCCAGAGGGATAGAGGAAAGGAGGATCAAAAGAGACAAGTAAAAAACAGGGGATCATAGGGAATGATGATAGGAAGGAAAGAAGTGGGTGAAGCATAGGTGAGAAGAAGGGGTTATATTTGTTGAGATATAGAGGAAAGAAGAATGCAAAGAAGACGTTAAAAGTGAAGGTAGTCAAGGCAGGAAGAGCCGAGGGTGAAGTGAAAAGGGGAGGTATTGAAATTCCACAGTAGAAAGAGATGATCAAGGCAGGATGGAAAAGGGCAAAAGCGTCGGGAGTGGATGTAGATGTAGCTGTGGATGGTTCTACTGTAGTATCCTGATCCGTCCATTGAGTGATTGTAGAGTGACTGTACTGATTATTTCCAAACCAGCAGAAGGCTCATCTGGTGAGTCGGCCATACTAAGCCCAGTGAGAGCCGAGATAGATTACTCTGTCATGCGATTTTGCTCGGTCTGAATGGATGTCGCAATTTATAAATAGGGGGTTATAAATAGTATTCGCTCGGTCTTGATCCGTTTATGCTGTACCATGAGGTGCCTGGAGTACGGTAGTTTCTAAGGAAAGGAAGAAAAAGGGATGGAAACGCTGAAATTGAATTCCAAGTCCAATCCAAGTGCTAAAGAACAGTCAAAGGGACATCTGAAGATCCAAAATAACCTGAAACGGCTTTTCCCCGCAGAGCCATTTTGACGCTTGGCAAAATGTGAACGGTCAACCAACGCCCAACATCCTAGGGCTGACAGCGCATTCTCCCCCTCAAAATCAGCCTCCAAGATCCCCAAAAGATGGGGACATAAATTCGAGCCTTTTTCCCCCGTGATGACATCTTCTCGATCTTGACACCATGGTGGGAGTTCCGCACAGTACAGGCTGTGCCCTGTGTCGCGAGCGACGAATCAAGGTCAATTTCCAATCCTAAGATTGTGAGGCTGGGCTAATAAAGTCCATAGTGTGACGAGGTGGTCCCAGAGTGTAGCCAATGCCAAAAATATGGTCGTGCCTGTCCGGGGTATAGGAGAACCTTTCGCTTTCAAGACGAAGGACCCAACCTCGCCCGGCGACATCGCTCCAATGCGCGGCGAGGGGGGAGAGACACATTGGCAGGCCCACCCGCATCGGCTACGTCTTCAACCCCAACTGACCGGTCGCCCCCGGCACACGATGAGTCTGCTGCCGCTGCAGATGTAGTGCGCAGCAATGCGATTGCCCTCATGCGGCGACACTCCTCCTTGCGTGGCTGGGATGAGAAAGTGTCGCCGTCGCTGGTGCGCCAGTCCTTCCGTGCCGCACAGCCACAATTATTTCTCAATTTCATCAGCACGTCATTTCCAACGCTCTATTATCATAATCGGTTCCGGTCTGGCGGTGCGCCCGGGTTCGCCGAATACATCGTGATGAATTTTGGCAAAGATGCTTACCTCGACTCCGCAGTTTGCTCCTTGAGCTCGGTCTACTTAGCACACTTGACGCAAGATCAAGCTCTTCTCAAGGCAAGTCGACAAATGTACTCCAAGTCGTTGGGGGCGGTCATCAAGGCCATCCCTCAAGCCGACCATGCCAAATCCGACAACATGCTCTGCACCACCATCATCCTCAGTGTCTTCGAGATGTACGCGCAGACCACGCCCGATGCCTGGGTTGTGCATTCCGATGGCGCCAAGCGATTGATGATAAGCCGAGGCCCAGAAGCGCACGAGTCCGGGTTCGGAAGATACTGTTGGATTGCGTTCCGCGGCTTCTTCATTGCTACATCAGTCTACGAAGGCAAACCCTGCTTCCTAGACCAAGAGGATTGGCAATCCTACGCGATGAAAGTGAGGACCGAAGACGGCCAGAAGTCCGGCGAGTGGTCTATATACGGAGAAATATCCGATCTTGCTTTCATGGAAATCGCCAAATGCCCACGGTATATCAGCGATACCCGCGATCTCCTTTCCGTCTCGACCGAGCCGGACCCAAACGCTATCACAAATCTCACCAAGCGCATACATGATACTTCCCGTCGGCTGCGCTCACTCGCCGCCGAGCTCCGATCCTGTATCAGCGCGCACAGTGAGCGCCAGCAAGGTATCATCCAGCGACCCGGATCCTTCGTGGGCCCCGTACCAGAAATCTTCCCGGATACCGGCCCGTCGCTGCTTCTAAGTGGAGCAGAAAATATGTTAGAGACGTTACAGCAGCTCTCCGACCGTCTTGAAGACCGATTACGCTTTCATTCCGTCGAGGATCATTCGCCGGAGTCGTATGTCGTCACGCCATCCAGCATCGATAGTGAATACCCTATATCCCCTTTTTCCACGACGGCGAAGAACTTCGGCCTCCCCTTTCGCATTCATTCGGAGCTTGGACAGGGTCCATCCAGGACCTCTGATCCAAATGATCCCAGTGCTGTGATCTGGTTAGATCGCATAGCGTCGTCGATGGGTGCCCTCGGCGCAAAGGTCCTCCCGGGTGATAGCTCGAGTGCTTCACTACAGCCGGAGAGCTCACCTCGATTACTGGAGCCCCAATAATCCACCGTGATGCCTGCGTTGACATGAAATGTGATACGACAAGGTATATGCTCCTAGCCGGCCTAGGATGAACTTCCCCCTACCCACACAACATTATCCTCTACTTTTCCGTCCCCACATGAACAAAGAAACAACACAGATATCCATTTGAATTTAGATGTATCTACCACCCTAATAATCCAAAGACTGTTCGAGCAAGTTCCTCAACTCGCCCCTCTCAGCCTCCAACTCCTTACTCAAATTTGGCGCAAGCATAAGCACCCGCTGCTGCGGGATGGTTCCATCAACCAATCCTTCCAAGTCCGCGGCCTTGAAACCTAGATCCTTCAATCCACGGGGCTGATCGCCAAGCGTAACAAGGAACTGCGCAATCGCCTCACCAAGCACTTCACCCGCACTTTCACGCTTAACATTCGAGATATCCACACCAAACGCCTCAGCCGCCGCAAGATGGCGATCGGGGTTTGACGCCGCGGTAAAGCGGAAGACGGCAGGTGCGGTGACAGCCACAGAAACACCGTGAGGGATAATTGTGTGATCGACCTGATAGCCCGCATGCTTATATCCAGGATTCTGGCTGGAGATGGGATAACTCATACCGTGGCAGAGATGAACGCCAGCATTTCCGAAGCCGACACCGGCCAGTGTAGCCGCGAGCAGCATCTCTGACTGTGCTTCGTGGTCATCTGGATCGCGGACTGCGCGCGGTAGGTATTTGACTGTTGCGCGCAGGGAAGCGAGAGAGAAGATGTCAGAGATGGGGTTTGCGCCCTGGTACGCGGGCCGGTTGATGGGGTTTGTCGGGCGCGGGGTGCGCTCGTAGTATGGGATTGCGGTCCAGGATTCGAGAGAGTGGCAGAGGACGTCGAGGCCGGAAGCAGCGGCCACGGCTGAGGGCATGGTGCGGGTGTTGAGCGGGTCGCAGATTCCAAGGGTTGGCTTCATGTTGCGGTGGGCGATGCCTGTTTTGGCTTTCTTGGAGACTAGGTCGAAGATTGCAGTACCTGTTGTCTCCGAGCCCGTGCCTGCTGTTGTTGGGACGGCAACGAGGGGGCGGAGGGGCTTGTCTACGGGGAGACCTTTGCCCAAGGGTGCGTTGACGAAGTCAAGGAAGTCTGCTTCGGGGAATACGGTGTATAGGTTCATTAGTTTGGCCGTGTCAATAACAGAGCCGCCTCCTGTTCTGGTGTTAATTCGTATCTGCCAGGGGGCGGAGATGAGGGAGACACATACCAACCGCCAAGAAGGCATCGGGGTTATAGGGCTTCGCGAAAGCGATGGCTTCCTTCACACTTAATTCAAAAACATATCAGTACCTATACAATAGCCACGCTTCAACCTCGAGAGTGACTTACGAGCTATCCTTGGGCTCGGTGCGAACTTTGTCAAAGATAGTAAACTCAATGCCCTCACGAGTAAGACCCTCAACAGCCTGTTTCATAGCATCCAGCTTGGCGACATTGGAATCGGTGACAATGCACACACGCTTAGCGCCGAGGTTGGTAAAGTCCATTCCGACCTCCTTGGTTGCACCGGGTCCGAAGCGGACGCTAGACGCCGCCATCTCAAAAGCATATTCCTTTTCGCGCGAACGGTCCACAGGTGTGGACATGCGACGCTTCACATGGTTCAGCAGAGAGGAGCTTTGCTTGTGGTTATGGTGATGGCTGGGGTTTTTGTGACACGGGCAGTTGGGTGGGTGAGTATATTGTACTGTGCGTAGCAAGTTCAGGGCCCGATTCGCCGCTGAGGGAGCGACTCTAATAGCTGGAGAAACCATTTTTGTGTGTTGAGAAGAGAGAAAAGTGACGGAGAGTCAATAAATGAAGGAGCCCGAGATAAATTGGGGAAATGCGGGGGGGAAATGCCCCGGACTTCTGGCCGAGACGAACGTCAATTTACTTGCCCCAAGGGGAAAATCCAGTGGGATCCTCCATCTTCTCCATTTTGGAGAACCATTTACTCCCGAGGTTCTTATTTATCGTACGAGAAAAGAGTAATTAATTTGACCTCACTAACGTATCACATAGAAGTCCAAATACGATCTCATACCCTTCCAACCTACAGGTCTCCACACAGCGACAAGACCAAATCCGTCGAAGAATCAACAACCCTCACTTGACTCCCAGCAGGTGGAACCCCGGCTCTCCAGCAAATGGCCGGCTCAGCAGGTCTAAGAGTCACCGTGTACCCCACAAACGGATCACCAAAGACATCGGAGAGATCATACCACACTTTATCCTGTCTCTGACCCTGTTCTTTTGAAGAGGAAAGGTTGTACGCAAAGATCATCTGCGGGGCACTGGTGTACAGCCCATCGCGGTTGGTGCTGATCTTGACTGCGATGCCACCAGTGTCGGGATTCTCGCGGAAGAGCTCCCTATATTGGTCGTTCGGGAGGATGGTTCGCACGGGTAAGACCGTAGAGGCCACGGACCAGATGTAGATGGGGAAATGGCAGTTGTTTTGCACGATTGCATGGCCCAGTCTTTGGTGTGTGGGTGCTGGTGTGCTGGCTGGTATCCATTGGCCATTGCTTGAGGGAGCAAACGCGCCGGAGGGGACGTCTCTCGATTCGAGTTTGTTGTTATGAATTGTTGGGCTGGAGAAGGCGAGAGTGGCCAGCGAGACGAGGGGCAGGATCGATGAGAGATACATCTTGCGTGCTTGTAGAGCTGTCAGAAATACTCTTGCGTTGATGAATCTTGGGTCAAAGGCAGGAATTAGTACAGCTTTATATAGATGTTCCGGTTCAATTGGTATCATTCCTCCTGTTGCTGTGTTGCACTGTGACCCTGGACATTGGATCCAATTCCCCAAGGCAAGATGCCTTTAGACATTTGCTTTGAATCTTGGCTCAGGGGAAATTGGACGCCAAGTTATGTTGTGCGAGGTAGATGTGCAAATGAAGGGATGTGAAAGTACCACGATGTAGCAGCCAAATCGGAGACATATCCGATTGCTCAAAAAAGAATATGAAGAATGTGATCATTCCACTATGTACATAATGATCTCGATTTCTCAGGTTCCCACGTTACAACGAGGAATGTAAGGGCCTTTAATTCTATGTATATCCCGTGTCGAGCATCGGATGAGAAAAGTCAAAACACTAGATATTTTACTCGTGTAGGATCAAAGATATTGAAGAATGTGACTGGCCAGCCCCCTCTAGGTATAACTATTTCAGACTAGAATAGTCAGGCATTGGACTAAGTTGACGAATTATACTGCAACAACCTTTCTAGTCAGTCACACCCGTGGACGGCATGAAACACTCTAGGTAAGCTGGTCGATACTATCCAGAAGCCTTGGCTGGATGGAATCGAGCAAACAAGCATGGGAAACTCCCGTGGCTACGGCCGTTCCACGCATTCATTCTCATTGGGGAATGTGAGCTATCCTTTCGAGAACTTACACGGAGAATTCTTTTCGGTTTGAAACCACCGAGGAATGTCAGATAGAGAATGGTAGTAGCCGATTGTGGAGCTCTATATCCCTCTCTCCAAGAAAGCTTCATCACATAAGACGAACTCAAGGAACAGGAAAAACTCGATTTAGTTCATGTGGCACACCGCAAAGGTCGAATGCTCATTTGTAAAACCATTGACATCTTCAATCTGCGTTGGAGAACATGGTGAGACACCTAACGGCTCCTGTGTGGCACACGAAATGTTTGATTGATGTAACACGATACTGTCATTTACTCGGCATTTCAGTCAAAAAGCCCAAGGGTTGGCATGGCTGGATGATATCTAGATCTGACATTCCAGATATATCCACTTTGTTTAGGCAAAGGACAAGCTTTTGACTCTTCAGATCTTCACCTGAGTACAAGATGGGCCAGGAAACATTGTATGTTCAAAAGACAACACGAAGTATGTACCGCAAGAAAGCGATGATATAAATTATGTGACCATACCAACATGTGGATGAAATGGGGGAGTCAGAAAAGACAGATTCTACCAAGAAAAGGATCACCAAAGCAACTCTGAATAGGTAGTGTGCCAGCTCAAAATGCATCCTAGATCTGCTCAGAATGAGACAATCTCAGAGGTGCTAAGAACCGTCGTCCCTCTGCGAGCGACAACTTGAACAAACTTTGTAGGAGGGTCGGCGATATTAACAGAAGTCTCAAAGCCGGTGCGTTTAGCCATAGCGATCTGAGTGTTGTTGGTAGAAGTGGCAGAGGAAGCCGCGTAGACAACCCAATGGTCATATTCGGTGGCGCCGTTCCAGCTCATGTAGACGGTGGCACCGGAGCTGGTGTTGTCAACCGATACCGAAGGCTTCCAGAAGGGAGTGGCCGTCCACTGGTACCGGTAGCCGCGATAAGAGGCAACGGCATTGTCGTCACCGAACTGAGCGCTGAAGACGACGTTACCGTCACCATCAAACTCCTTGACCTTGGAAATGGATCCGTATGCCAGGAAGGCATGGCTGTCCACTTCACTGAGGAGCTGGTAGCTGCCCTGGCTGACAGAATGCACGGGGTCGTTGGGGTCGGCCAGGGAGCGGAGGCCGGTGACCGTCTTTTTGTTCAGGTCGATGGCTAGACTGATGCCAGTGGACTCGGACTCTTCGTCGGTGGGAGTGTTAGCATTGTTGAAAAGGTTTAGGACGAGACCGTCATCAGTCTCGTTGAAGACACGCATGTCATGTTGCCACGAGAATTCAACATTGCCGATCTGCTTGAAGTCGGCACCGTCCTCGCCACTCACCTGCCACATCACGCTTCCATTGTGGGACAGATAGTAGCCTGACCACATGTGACGCAGCGAGATAAGGTAGCCATGGTTGGTGGTGGTGATGGAGTTGATATGGTAAGCATCATAGGGGGCATCCTGCGTACCGACATCCTTTCCGAGACCCTGGTGGGAGGTGGTCAGAGGAATGTCGGCTTCATGATCAAGCGCACTCCATGAGTGTAGAACTCGGTTGGTAGTGATATCAATCTCGTAGAATTGGCTGTCCAGCATCCACTGGGAGGAGGTCCCGTTGATGGAAGTTAGGTCATGCTGAGTGACGTTGTAGGCGGTGCAAATGAGGGTGTTGCGCGAAGTGATTCGGCTCTCGTGCAGATCACAGTATGAATCCTTGCTTGACCCGTCTGGGGTGACGAAGTCGCCGGTAAGTTGGACAGTGTAAATCTCCTTGTAGGTATCGTCAAGGATATGCACAGTTCCATAACCGTAGCCGATAGACATCATATCTCCGGCCCAGAAAGTGAGAACATCCTTGCCAAAGAGCTTTTGCACCATGAAGTTGGCAGTCACACCTTTGTTGCCTTCGTACACCAGGTCACCCGCATCATCGTAAATGAGCGCAGCGGAGCCGTCGTCCTGAACGTCTCCACGGGGACCAAGAAAGATGTAGCCGGAATCGGTAGTTCCAGTCTTGTTGACTTCGAATTTCGGTGGCTGGAATTCCATCGAGCTGTAAGTTGAATAATCCCAGGCAGTCGCCTGAAGAGAGAGAGCCAGGGCGCTGGCTGCTGTGTACCACCATGGAGCCATATCGAATTGTAACAGAACGACGTGAAAGGAGTGTACTCTATAGCCCAATGAAGGTAAATTCCAAAACGGAGACAGACGATGGGGTCAATAAGGAATGAATTGAGACCTGAAAATGGTAGAAATTCCTTCAAATAATCCAAGAATAAATCCTCGGTAGAATGCAGCCCTGAAGATCATTGCTCTTCTACGGGTATTCCACCAGCGGGGCCAAGTGGGTTGCGATGAAGCCATTGCCCAACCAGGTTGGCCACCAGCTTCAATTTGCTTCAGAGCTGGTGGGACTGTGAATCAATAGCCTTGGTCGTCGTCATTGCTCCACATACAGAGCCACCGAACTGATTGATAAATCGTGGTATGCGCGAAACAAGAGAGATGTTCCAAAGTGATCAGCGCCGGCACGGGAACTAACAGGACGGTATACATCGTAGTGCAACTGCCATCGATCAAGATACCACAGTTGCCTACATTGAAGGCTCGGGCTGAACAACCAGCGTGACGATCAGTCGCAGTTTCCTCGGCTGTGCGGCACTGTGACGTTCCCATCTTTTTGACATGTTTTATGGAGAATATGAGCCGTTTGGGATATCGAGCTGCAAACCTGTGTATATAGCATTGTTCGTGACTTGGTCTTCTATCCGTCATGGTATACTTGGTTCGTAGGTCTGAACTCCGCCATCCCGCTAACATCAATGGCCATCGACAGAACGACCCTATGGTGTACCATATCGACATTCGCTATCAGGAGGAAGAGCAACGTCGCCTTTAGTACTCCCTTGACCAGTCAACGTGGTATTTGACTATGCCACGCATCACCGCGAGAAGTCAGGCTCCGCATTGAAGAGTAATGGTCGGGGGTGTATCGCTGTCGGGAAGAAAGTCTCCAAACTGCCCCGGAAATTGGCTACGGTCATTTTCATGAATAGGGGTGGCAACCAGGATGGTGTTGGCTGAACAGATCATCCTACGGTTTTCAAATTGCTCCAAACCTATATTTCTTTTGTACCTTGTCAGTGATATCGTATGAACCTTTCTTTTCACCGGGAAAATGCCAGTGTGAGCTCCCCCGATCTGTATTTTCTTTTTCTTGTCGTTATAGAATCTTCTAGGGGATTTGGAACAAAGATAGGCGGAGCGAAAGACTAGATTCCACTATATAGGGTGGCACGTACGGGGGGGAGAGAAAAGGGGAGATAGAGGGAAAGACCTAATGTAGCTCCTTTCACCCGAGCCGGCCCAGGGCCCCGAACGTGTTTTAAGATTGCAGGCTTTTCTCGTATATCAAACGCGTATAAGCCCAGCGTACGGGTAACGGCAGGGGAATTAGGGTATCAACATGATTTACCCCGGTGTGTTCGGCTGAGATGTCGAGGAGATCCGGGGTTGGTTGCCTATTTCCAATGATTTTTTCGCGCTAGGTGTGACGGTTAGACGGTTATATCTTGGCCTACGCTGTCTCGTATGATTAGTCTAGGCGCATTAGCAAGTGGCTAGATTAGGACTACCAAACCTGGATTCCCAGTGTTGATGGCTAGGATAGCGCCGACGTCGAAATGAAAGGGAGAGCCACTCAACGGGTGTGGGATCTTTGACGTGGTGAAAAAGGTTGCTTAGGCTTCCCGTCCCACTCGGGTTTATACCCATGCGATCGCATTATATGAGATAGCGCTCGAATATTTGCAAGGTTATATTCCAACATATGGAGTCCTCGGGGATGTTGTCAGAGAGGAACTCTCCAAACGCCGGAGAGTTCTATATCGGACTTCACGGCAGGTATCCCACATGAACCTGTGGAGGTACTGTGGAGGATCAATTTCCAGAGAAATGTGAAACAATTCCCGACTAAAAGCTCGGTTCGAATGACTCTCTAGTCAGGAGTCGAGAGACGGAGAAATAGCGGGAATACGAAGGCCTGAACGTTATAGAGTTTTTAGTGTTCTCTGTTCTCCCTCCATGTTGATGTTCCTGTTCTTTTATTGCTATCGTTAACTCAATGGTCCTTTCAGTATTAACCCATTTGCTCTTTGATAGAAAAAAAAAATAAAAACAAAAAAAAAACAAAATTCCCCGGTGACCGTGCAGTGCCCGTGCAGTAGCTCTCCCCATCTCCCCAAGCGCCTTTCTCCGCAGGCACGGACATCCCGAGTCATATACGGATAAACCCGTCTGGGGATGAATAGGGATGGTTGGAGGGACCAATGGGCATTGGAAGAGAAATGTTTTGACGGTCTATGGAGTAGGTATCCCCATAATTGCCTCCCCTATACCCCTGTCGTAGGCCAGTGGCGCAAATTACTTTGGACAGGATTTTAGCCTGATCATCTTACGGTCTAAATTGCCGTACCAATGTGCGTTATAAATGATTTTCATCTCCTCTGGAGACTTGAAACCCTAATGTTGCGTTTGGATGAAAGCTCTTTGGATGACATGGCTCCATGAAAGTTGCCCTTTTCCTCTACTCTCTCAAACCCTCATCTCAGCTTGATCCTTGTTGACTCCCCCAAAATACCCCTAAGCAACCCACGCTTGACATGAATACACTCGACAATGGCCACCGATCATATCTCGAAGCCCACTGAGGCCGATGCCTTGATCCTCGAAGCTTGGGGTCAGGGCCTGATGGTCGGAAGTCTACTCATTATGGCTGCTATCACTCTGGCCAATATGAAGTCCCATATTCTCTTGCATAAGCTGATCTTCGCCGAGGTAGGTGGAAGTGAAAAAGGCCCATGCATGAGTCCAACCAATGGCTAATCTCTGGATTGTATGTAGCTCATTCTGGGTATGGCCCATGGTACTTTCATCTTCCCCCATGAGCCCGTCTACGGCTGGTATCTATCCGTAACCGCGATCGGTCTGAACATTTCCTGGGCTCTACATAATGTGATCGCCTGGATGAAGAACCGCCCATTCCTCTCGCGAAAGGTCTCCCTCATCTACATAACCACGGTTATTCTCTGTTGGCCCTATTGGGGTCTGGAGATCTATGCCAACTTCACATACTTCAACAATATCAATAAGATTTTTCTGACGACTCGGCCAATGGAGCCATTGTTTCGGTTCGTCATTCCCTTTCCGCTCAAACCTCAGTCCTCTTTGATCTTTGAACCACCTTGGCCCTAACATCCTCCGTCAACAGTGACCCATGGTGGGTCTTCACCACCGCCAGCCTGTTCTGGACAATCAAGCGCGAATACAACTTCGGATTATGGGAGCTAGTGGTAGTCAGCCCACGCTTCGGAATTATGCTAGCGGCAATGTGCCTCTCAATTATCTTCATGATTGTCGACACCTGCAGCGTGCTGAATGTATTTTCCAGCCTCCTTCCAACAGGTGTCGAGCCGTTCTGGAAAGTAAGTCACATCTCCCACCTGTTTTCCATCTCCCCACATCACTAACCACCCCAGCTATCCTTCATCTTTAAATGCCTCTGCGACACAGTCATTCTCGACGATTTCAAAACCGCCCTCGATCACTTGCGTGTACACTGGATGCGCAAGAAGAACGGCGAGTTATTCGTCACTCCGCTTACTGACCCCCACTCCAGCCCTCATGCCAACAGGGTGCACCGGGATCTGGAGAATGGAGATTCACATCTTTCACCTTTGACCCCCACGAAGGGTTCTTACGCCCGTGCAGTACACCTGGACGATGTTTAAAATGTTAACGAAATATCCGATATTCCTCTGAGGGCGCATGACTATCTGAATTACGATTGGTGTCTTGAAGCCAGGGCTTCCAGCTTCGCGTTGTACATATGTTGGGGATGGTGTTCGGGGATTTGAGTCTGGTTTCTTGACCTCGGCGTTTGGGGTGAGGTTATGGCGTACTCGGACATGGACTGAAATTATTGCGATTGTACATACCCCGATTTGCCTGTGAATAGCGATTTGAAGCGTCAAGTTTCAAGAAAAGAGAAAGAAAAAAAAAAGAAGAAGAAATGCTCACCTAGGCCCGATAGTGAATGGAACAGATTCTCGTCTTTTCTATTTGTAGACATCCTTATGTGGGATCAGCAATGCACCCAACCCCCCACCGGAGAATTGACTCGGAGAATTAGCAGGACTTCATGCAGTACCAAATCTATGAAGTTCTTTTCCTGGTCGAACTACCAATAGTGAGGAGTGCCTAGATTGGAAACTCTCTATTTATCCGAATATGTCTCGATATACGCATCTACACACAGGCTGCCTGGGGGCCACACGGTCTAGTTCCACATCTCTCACGAGAATATCACCTTATTTACCAGCTATATTTGGTGTTTGTCCTGAATTGGAGAGAAAAGTAACAAGGCAGAACAGCTTTCCCCGCTCGAGGATGTACATTCCACGCATCACTTGATGTGCTCTCGGAGTATTGGCGTGGTTTATTGATGACACGACATCCCACGATCGATTCTCAATACTACAGTACAAGCTGGAATTTTGGATATAAATATAGTCATGCCGCTTGTTCAATAGCCAGAGTCCTGTCTCGTCAATGCACACTTCAGAGTCAATCCAATCTTTCTTCCGCAAGCTGATATCCCAACAACAATGAACTCCCTCAGCATTCCACAGACCCAAACAGTCGCTCTTGTCCGTTCACTGGGCGGCCAAGTCGAGTTCAAAACAGACTACCCTGTGCCAGTCCCGGGACGCAACGAAGTCCTGGCCAAAGTGCTCTACAGCGGCGTCTGCCAGAGCGGTAGGTGCGCCAGGATGTTATCTGAATAAGGCCCAGGTTAACACACCGACAGACCTTCACACTAAAGCCGGCACCGCAGCCGGACCAGACGGCAACCCGATTACAAAGATCAAGCTGCCACACGTGGGCGGCCATGAAGGTATCGGCCGAGTGGTTGCGCTTGGACCGGATATCACGCACGCTGCGGGTCTGAAAGTCGGTGGGCTGGTTGGGATCCGGTTCGCGAGCCGCATCTGTCGACGCTGCGAATTCTGTCTTGCGGGGACAGAGCAATACTGCGTTGCGAGTACGAACCATCTCCACCATGAAGATGGCTCTTTCCAACAGTATATTGCGCTCGATGCGGATTACTTGACGATTTTGCCTGATGATGTTGATCCAAAGGTTATGGGGCCGGTGCTTTGTGCAGGGTTGACTGCTTATAAGGTGGGTTGGGTACTTTTTCTTGTGCGGTTCGGGCTTAATGAACACTCGAATAGGCCGTGCTGAACGCGAATGTTCGTCCTGGGAATTGGTTGGTGGTGGTTGGGGCCGGAGGTGGCCTCGGACATTTGGCTGGTATGTTTTCTCTTTCTTGTGAGCAATCTGGGATCTGGATTTACAGCCGACTAAAATTGTCCAGTTCAATATGCAAGAGCTCAGGGGGCTCTAGTAATTGGCGTCGACACTGGTCCCGGTAAGGGAGACTTTGTCAGAGGCCTCGGCGCGCAGGAATTTATTGATTTTGCCTCCGAAGACCCCATCAAGAGGGTGCAAGAGATTACTGGCTTGGGTGCACATGCTGCTGTAGTGACAGCTGGTAGTGCAAAGGCATTCGCACATGCCTGCGATATGCTGCGGGTTGGTGGTACTTTGAGTTGCGTTGGTATTCCCCCGGGAAGACCGAGCTTGGAGACTCCCATCTGTACTATTGTGATCAAAGGCCTCAAGATCACCGGCAATCTGGTGGGCTCGCTGAAGGAATGCATGGAGGCTGTTGATCTAGTACGACGTGGTATTGTCAATCCTGTGGTCAAGGTGCGACCGTTCAAGGATTTGGCTCAGATTTATGAGGAGATGGAGAAGGGTGATATCTCGGGTCGGATTGTCCTTCAGATCACAGAATAATTTGGTCAAACTGTCATCAATTTTGATATCAGATTATCTGAAGATCCGATTGTTGTAGCCAATCCAAGAAATCTAGCGTCAATTCATTTTGTTCATCATGCTCGCCGTTTGTTGTGAATCCGGTCATATGAGCCTGCTCAGCCGGTCCATGTTCGCCCGAGTACAAGCCCGCATCTTCCTCCCCAATCGTCAGTAGTCGGGCCGGGGCCGTGACTAGGGCTTCAGCAGTTTTACCACGAAGGATTGACTTTAGCATAGTATCCTGTTCGAGGAAGGGGACGATCTTCTGGTACAATGCATGCAGAAAGTCTTGTGGTCCTAATTCGAACCGCGAGTTTATTCTGTGTGGGGATAAAAGGACCGTGTCCGCGAGTGAGTTGACAACTTCGAAGCATTTCAGTAACTACAAAAGGATGTTAGCCATGTTGTGGGTTTCCTTTCTACCAAAGCTACTAGCCTGATCTCGTCCCAATGGGAGCAAATCCGTTTCACTGAATCCCCGCAGGGCCTGCAATAAGGCACGGCCAATTTGCGCTGGAAATTCAAACTCCAGGACGGATGTAGATGCTGACGATGACAACAGGCCCATAGTCAGTGCTTCCTGCCAAAGAATGGTCCTCATCCACTCCCGCGTGATGTGATAGTCTGCCGTTCGGGTTGAAACGTAATTGACCATACTGAAGCATAGCGAAGCAAGCTTCGCTTCGGTGTCGGTTAAATATGTAGCCGTGGTGATCCCAAGACGCGAGTTACGCCGTATGGAGATTTGATCAAATGCAATAAAGAGCTTGATGAGTTCTATTAACCCTTGGGCATGAATATCGAAATTCGTGTTTGTTTCCAAGTGTATTAATTCAGGTGTGTCAATATATGAAGGGGAGAGACCCAAGTGCAGTGAGTAGCCTCTGTGGAAAGTTAGTAAGTTACTCTGCGAGTTCGTAGTTTCCAGCCTACCTCTCTGATACCCAAAGCAAAGGAAAAATCAAGGCCGTATTTGTAATCAACTCATATTCCTTGCGTGAGGACTGTTCATTCAGTCGCAATATATGAGCTCCGGCCATAGCCTCGTGGATAAACATCATTGCCGAATTTCGTTGATTGACCTTGGCGTGGTACACATGCAAAAAGAAAGACACCAGAACGCTTCTTAGATCCAGACTTCCTCCATGAATATTGCAACATGCCCGCATTCGTAAACAACTCTGAGCCATTGTGGCACTATCGACTGTCCGGCATCCATCCGCCAAGGGATCAAGATGCAACTGAGCCATCGTCGCAGCACAGAGAGCCAGGATGAGACATGAAGTATTCCCAGCATTGCAGTCAAGCCTTTCCGGATATATATCCTCGAGCCTTTGCACAAGGACCTCTGCATTAATTACAGGCCAAACTCCGTATGAACATTGCTGATACAGACGGATCACCGACGCAAGAATAGTTTTCGAAATGCGCTGGGAACTGCAGGCTGTGGTAGATGGATACACGGCCTCATCGCTGGCGTTGTGATTATATGTATTTTCCTGATCATTTTGTGGGTTCCCTATAGATTGAATGTCCGGGAGGTCGGCTTCTCGATTGCTGACTGCTCGTCGGGATTTCGGGCCCCTCCTCTGTGCAGGCCTCAGGTACGTACAGCGCACCCGCTTGACTGCACCGCGACAAGTATCGCAGGGCCAGGAGCCGCTGCATTTCACTTTGCGGGAGATACAGGTATCACAAGCTCGTTTGGGGGCATGGGGACCTAAGTTCTTGACAGTGTGTTGAAGATGCACATTGGAATGCGGAGAGGGTGTATTTTATCAAGGAGGGGTATTCTTCGGCAGGCTTGCCGATGTACATACCTCAGAACATCGTGAGGATCTAGATCGAACGCATAGAAGTGATGGTCGAAACATGAACAGTCTAGAGTTCGGCGACGTCACCGATATGAGAAGAGGAAGGTCCACCCTTACCATCCCCCACTATGTTGTAGAAATACCATTTGATTCCCTCAAACCTCAACTTTTCTTCATTTACCTTAGCAAACTACAGGTCATATATCATGGCTCTATCAGCACCCAGCACGGACGTGAGACTCTCCTTTGTAACAAGCTGGAGCCCATAAGCTAATCAAGAAACAGCCGCAAGTCCTGATCGCGCAAGAAACAAGCACAGACCAAATATTCCACAAGTTCACAGCAGAAACTGCTTGGCAGCTAGGAAATGCACTGAGGGACCGAATCCTTCGCCTCCCGAACGGGCAGCGCAAACCCGCCCTGATTTCCATTGCACTCGCCGGCGGAGTCCCGCTCCACGTAGTGTTTCAGTCTGTGACGGAGAGCGGCACGATCCCGGACAACGAGAACTGGGTGCGACGGAAGCGCAATACCGTGCTCCGCTGGGGTATCTCGAGCTGGGCTATGAGACAGAAGACCATTAGTGGGCTTGCAGCTGGTGCCTCAGGGGATCAGGTCGAGGCTGCTTTTGTTAAAAAGTATGCTGTTCCGAGTGTCACCGGGGGTGCTGTTGCGGATGAGTATGCTATCCATGGCGGTGGGTATCCGATTCGCGTGCATGGTGTTGATGGGATTATTGGTGTGGTTGTTGTTAGTGGGTTGAAGCAGGAGGATGATCATCAGGTTGTCGCGGAGACTATTCAGGCATTTGTGGCCCAACAAGTAAAATAGATGTCGTATTTAGTGCACACTAGAAGAACGTGTGAAAATGGACATTGGAACCTTTAGTACATACGTGCGACACATGGTACTTTTGAAGATAAGAATTCCACACCAAGATTACCAAGGTATGCTGGCGAACAGTATTTGATTCGATGAAAGATCTAGTACGACTTGCCAAATACTACGACAGAATGCTTCTTCAATACAAAATGCAAGGTATCATTGTATTGTATTCTTAGCCGGCGTTCAACCGGGCCTAAAGGTTGGATGGGACACAAATAGTGTCCCGTGTAGATTTAAACACAAAGGTGACTCAAGCAAGAGAAAAAAAATGGAACTCCATGAATAATGCCTCAAAGATAATTTTACAGTTCGTCGTGGTCAAGGGGCTCGTCATCGTCCTCGGGAGGAGAAGCAGAGCCGTAGAGCTTGCTGGTGATGGGGTAAGCAACACCGGAAAGCTGCTCCTTCTGCTCCTCGAAGTCCTCCATGGTCGCGGTGGCGGCGTTGTCCTCGAGCCAGTCGTTGACCTCCTTCACGGCATCGAGGATAGACTGCTTGTCATCCTCGTCGATCTGGCCACCCAGACCATTCTCATCGTTGACCTGGTTCTTCAGGCTGAAGGCGTAGTTCTCGAGGCCGTTACGGGCCTCAATCTTGCCCTTGATGGCCTTATCCTCCTCAGCATACTGCTCGGCCTCCTGGACCATGCGGTCGATCTCCTCCTGGGATAGACGACCCTTGTCGTTGGTGATGGTGATGGACTCAGCCTTGCCAGTGCCCTTATCGGAGGCGCTGACCTTGAGGATTCCATTGGCATCGAGGTCGAAGGCGACCTCGATCTGGGGAACGCCACGGGGCGCGGGGGGAATGTTGGTCAACTCGAACTTGCCGAGCATGTTGTTATCCTTGGTCATCGAGCGCTCACCCTCAAACACCTGGATCAGGACGGTAGGCTGGTTATCAGCGGCGGTCGAGAAAATCTGCGACTTGCGGGTAGGGATAACAGTGTTGCGGGGAATAAGCTTGGTCATCACACCGCCAGTGGTCTCGATACCGAGAGTAAGAGGGTTGACATCCATAAGAACCATATCGACCATGGAGTCATCACCGGAAAGAATACCACCCTGAACGGCGGCACCGAAGGCAACGGCCTCATCAGGGTTGATACCCTTGCTAGCCTTCTTTCCAGCGAAGAACTCCTCGAGAAGAGCCTGGACCTTAGGGATACGGGTAGAACCACCAACAAGAACGATATCATCAACCTCGGACTTCTTGACCTTAGCGTCCTTCAGAACCTGCTCAACAGGCTTGAGGGTCTTCTTGAACAGATCCATGTTGATCTCCTCGAACTTGGCGCGGGTCAGGGTCTCGGAGAAATCCTCGCCATTGTGGAAAGCCTCGATTTCAATGCGGGTAGACATCTGAGAAGAAAGAGTACGCTTGGCCTTCTCAACCTCGCGCTTCAATTTACCCATAGCCTTGAGATCCTTCTTGACATCGGTGTTGTTCTTCTTGTTGTACTGCTTGACGAAGTACTCCATGACACGGTGGTCGAAATCCTCACCACCAAGGTGAGTGTCACCAGCGGTAGCCAGAACCTCGAAGACACCGTTGTCGATAGACAGAAGAGACACATCGAAGGTACCACCACCGAGATCGTAAACAATGACCTGGCGCTCATCACCAGTCTTATCAAGACCGTAGGCGATAGCGGCGGCGGTAGGCTCGTTGACAACGCGGAGGACATTGAGACCGGCGATGGTACCGGCATCCTTGGTGGCCTGGCGCTGGGCGTCATTGAAGTAGGCGGGAACGGTAACAACGGCGTGGGTGACAGTCTTGCCCAAGAAGCTCTCGGCAATCTCCTTCATCTTACCGAGGATCATGGCGGAAATCTCCTCGGGGGTGAAGGTCTTGGCGGACTGGTTAACGTCGACCTTGACTTGGGGCTTGCCATCCTTCTTGACGACCTTGAAGGGGTAGTTCTTGATGTCCTTCTGGATATCCTTGTCATCAAACTTGCGGCCGATCATACGCCTGCGGTGCGTTAGTGCTGGATTCTTGCGGTGATAGGTGTAGTAGAAGCTTACTTAATATCGAAGATGGTGCGCTCGGGGTTAGCGGCGTACTGGTTCTTGGCGGCGTCACCAACAAGGCGCTCCTCATCGGTGAAGGCAACGTAAGACGGGGTAATACGGTTTCCTTGGTCGTTGACAAGAATCTCGACCTTGCCGTTCTGCATCACACCAACACAACTGTATTCCAAGTCAGCAACCTGTCCCATAAAACATGAATGGGTCTCAAACTAAGAAAACGTACGAGTAAGTGGTTCCCAGATCAATACCAATAACATTGCCATAGCTCTCTGGGGAGTTGTCCTCCTGGGCATTGGCAGTGTTTCCAAAGAACGCCAGAGGCGCGACGAGGACGAAAAGGAGGTAGAAGATGGTAGTCCAGGCGAAAGGCTTGGACGCGCCATCGCGTGCGGATAGGCGAGCCATTGTGAAAGGTGTATGTATAAGTGGATCGAACTCCTTTTTTTAACACAAAGCCAGAGAAGCTCTTGTTATGAAAGCTTCGCGCGTGCCGATCTAAACAGCTGCGCGGACGAGTAAACACAAGACGTGTTCGACTCTATGAACCCTTATGTTAGTCGACGATGTGCGGGAAAGGGACCCGGGGCGAAGTGAGGAAATGGGAGAATGGATTGGAGAAGAATCGAAGAGAGAGGACTTCTTGTACACGGATGCGGCCCAGCGGCCATGCTGGCCTTTTCCCAGTTCAGGTCACTTCTCGTGCGCTGATTGGCTGGCATCTGTCTGATAATGGCTGACTCAGAAATCACCCTGCAGCCACACCGCCTTCTTCACCAGGAAGTTGCTCCCCAAAATAGCCTAGTGGCAGGGGTATATCCACGGACTACTCAGGGCTTCCACCAATCAACGACTGCCAAATGATCGAACTTGCTAGAAGGGGCCAAGTGTTCGCCCCCTTCAGGCTCTCGCGATCTACTCCGTCTAAAGTTTACCCGGTTGACTCATGTCTTGGTTATTGACCACGTGTTGCTACATCCCGCTCATATCTTGAAACAGCCTAAGTTGACGGATCATGACAAGTGGCATCTCGATCCAGCACGGGTATACTGAGGACTTACAAAGTACGGAGTAGATTTGGGGGATCTCCGGGTAGGGCGTGGCACAGGGCACCGTGCCCTGTGCCATTTAGTGTACAGCTTATGAGTTTAACTCTAATAGCACTACGGAGTACTCCGTACTCTCACACAATTCAAAAACTTATTCAATCATTGATGTTAGAATTCTATCTCAAATAATATGTGAAATCATATTTAGCGAGCACTGACTGCTGAGCTCAGTGAATGAAGTATTATTTATGCGTGAGAGGGAAAGATATATATAGTTTATAACGGGACGGCTGAGGAAGCAAGATACATAACTTGCGATTAACAAAAAATCAAGGCAAATTACCAATGAGATGATTTTGAATTGACAAAGCTCATTCTAATAAACCAGCAGCCACTGTTGAGCCTCCGGCGCGCAGGACAATCCTGGTCGGTGCCTCCAGAGGAACAGCTTGGTCCATTTCCACAACAACACGCACTACCACGCCTGGACCCACGACTTTAGGGCGTTTCTTGATAGCTACCCCTGACGCTTTGTCTAGAGAGGCAACCAGCTTGCTGATGCGACCTGGCACATGTAGACGTCCACGGTGCACATCCACCTGCATAGGCATCAGGTGTTCAAAGGCCAGAATCTTGGCGGTGAAAGAAGTGATGGTAGGAATGGGAGACGAAGGACGGCAGACAACATCACCGGAACGGAGGTGAATAGGGTCAATATTGGCGATGTGCAAAACAACATTTTGACCTGCTACCGCCCAGTCACATGGTTCGTTGTCCACCTCCAGACTGCGCACCGTTGCTGTTTCACCACTGGGCATGGTCAGGATTTGGTCGCCTATCTGCAAGCTACCTGCGTCGATCCGGCCAGAGATGGAAAGTGGATTCTGCACACCACCTCGGAAGACATCGCCAATCGTCATACGCAATGGTTTTTCAAGGGCATGGGTATATGGCTCCGAGGTTTCAAGTTCTTCAATCAATGTACGACCAGTGTACCAGGATGCACGAGGATCGTCGGTCTGCCGAGAAATGTTGTCACCCAAAACTCCTGAGCACGGCACAAACGAAATATTGGTGTCCTGGAAGCCAGCAGTTGTTAAGAATGCAGATATCTGCTGCTCAATTTCCTCGAACCGTTCATGATCCCATTGTACTGTATCCATCTTGTTCACAGCCACCACAATTTTTTGAACACCCATGCTGCGAACCAGAAGAGCGTGCTCCTTTGTCTGGCCCTTCAACCCTGACTCAAAATTACCTACACTGGAATCAATGACCAGAACAGCAAAGTCTGCCTGACTGGCACCAGCAATCATGTTCGGGACAAAGTCACGGTGACCTGGTGCATCAACAATCGTAAAGGCTGTCTTGTCGGTCTCGAATTTATTGGTGGCGATATCTATCGTCACGCCTCGTGCTCTTTCCTCCGATCCTTGGTCGAGGACCCAGGCTAGCGCGAATGAGCCCTTGCCAATCTTCTCGGCCTCTCGCCGATACCTATCGAGAGTCCTTTGGTCGATGGCACCTTGATCTGCTAACAACCGTCCCATGAGAGTGCTCTTTCCAGCATCAACATGACCTATGTTTTATGTGTCAGTCAAGGTCCGCATCGCATCTTCTCGCGGGAGGAGATCGACTCACCAATAACCACAAAGTTTGCTGATCGCTTGCGGGTGGACTTCTTGTACTCCGACAATACATCAAGATTCTTGCTCTTCACGCTCACTTTGTCTTCTACTGACAAATCTTTCATACCACCTGCCAGATCAGACTGGCCTTTCTTCACCGTTGCCGATTTCGATGCGGCTGATTTCGACTTCATACCTACATATTATTAGGCAATTGCCTTTAAACCTTCCTGCGGATCGCCAAACCTTTCGCTGTGTTTTGTGCGTTGAGAACGACATCGTCGGGGCTCGGTGCTGCAAAGTCAAAAGGTTCAGCATGATCCTGTCCATAGATCCTCAGCAGGTCTGAGCTGTTGGAGTGTAAGTGGCTGGGCTCAGCCGCTGTCGGGCCCGTTGCCGAGCCGACGATAGTGCTGGCAAATGTCGAGGGCGAGGCTCGAATGGTAGGCACTGTTTGCTCGGGTTCTGGTTCTTCTTTCGCTTCAAGCACAACCTTTTGCATCGATTCAGAAACCTCAGACACTGATGGCTTTCTAACCTCAGATGTGGGCTGCTTCAGTGTCGGATGCGAGGAGGAGCTTGGGTTGGCCAAGCGGCGCAAAGACCCAGTACCCTCTGAAGCTTTTGGTGTAGACCTCCCGCTAGCCGCAAGTCTGTCACGAAGGGAGCGTGAAGTGCCCGTTTGATCAAGCGAGGATGTTTTTGGTTGCTCGCATTTGGGAGTTGATGGAGTCGAAGCCTCCGGTAGAGACGGTACTTTCTCGCCCTCTTTCTTCTTCCGGGCTGCAGCGAGGGCGGCCAATTTGGAAAGTTTTCCACCACTCTCCGGTGCACCGCCTAACAGCCCCAAACGTGGGTAGAGTGGCTCAATCAGGATATCCGCTTTCCGATGAGACGGGACGTTGAGCCAGGGACAATCGCGAAAGAAATCGGCAGCCGAGAAGTGTGCCGTAGAAGGAGGAGCGGGATATGCTGGCACTGGAAGACCTGTTAGAACGTTGTTCAATCTTCAATAGCATCAGTTTCGAGCCTCTAGAAATTACATCGGATGGATTGTACCAAGTGTACACACATTTTCATTTGCAAGCAACCGCAGCACCCATGATCTGGGCGAGCAGAATATCTTGTGCCCCAGACCCCGAGCCCAGCGACACTTTAGGACAACAATTCTCCCATAAACACTGCTTACCTGGTTGAATCTTCGATTTCTGAGGCTTCGTGGCTTCCTTCTCTCTTTTACCTGCACGTAGAACTTCGGTTAGCTGAATTTCACAACAAACACGAAATTCCACGAATGCCATGCGGTGTGGCGTATCTGTGCAAATTGAACATACCCCTCAAATAGTTGACTGACTTCTCGATGTCATTGTAGTAGTGCCATAGCGCGTCTTCAACTTCTTGTTTCGTGGCGGTCACTGACGGTTGCCCCGCACCGAGCTGTTGCAAAACAGCGGTAGTACACTGTTGCAGAAACTCCTGTTCCTCAGGATCTTCTAGCGCATCATCATCATCATAGAGATCATCATCGTCATAATCGACATCCTTAATACGGTGTCGAGACATTACGGCGTCAGGGCGATGAGCGAGGGGTAGGTGACGGAGAGACCCTGGACGAACCAGTTATTTACGTAGGCCGAGCATTGCTCATTGAGCCGACCGCCTTTTCCACCGCCTACTCATTTCGAATATCACATTGTCATCCTGTCAACTACAACCTTCCTTGGAACAATAGGTGAGGAGAGTACAACAAATATGGCCCCCCTTAGGCTCTAAACAGGAACCGTGGCTTTTATCACGGTCTACTGGTAAATTACGCTGTCTTTCATCCAACGCATGCCTTCAATTGGCCCGAGAGCTGATTTCCAACTTGAAAACAGCATAGATTTGACAGAAATCACAACCTTGATGCCAAATACTTGAAGCCCAGAATAGCATATCCATTTGCATATTCATCTTCCACTATCTAGCTCCTTGTACAAATCACCCTCTAGCTTTGTGATCTCCAGTGCAGCCAGATAACAGGCAGGACACTTATGACCACCAGCGCAGACAGAAGCCCAGCACAATTTGTAATCCCCACAGTTTCAAACATGGCAGGGAACCAGAAAGGTCCGATGAAACACCATGTCTGGCGAATGAAGCCCAAGAAAATTGACGCAGTGGCGGCGTTATTCGAATGAACGTGCATGATATCTGAAGGAGTTGAATTGTTAGCTCCCGTTTCAGCAACCAAGATAACCTCACACAAACTTACAGTTAATCAAAAAGTTGGAAACCAATTGGTTCCCGAATCCTGCAATACCAATGCCAATGATCGGAGATACCTTGTAGTGCATGGGCAGTGTGTTTCCTAATAGGACACAGAAGACAACCAACCCAACAATCATGGAGACAAAACCCAAGTAACTTGCAACGAGGTAATTCTTGGGATTCACGGCATGCCGTTGCTTTTCCGCTGTTTTTCTGTTCATCAAGCTGAGGACCACAGCGTTGAACAACTCACCAAGGATGGTGCCAACGATGATACCCAGGAACTGGATACCGGTTTGCTCGGGGCCAAGCTCAAAGCGAGTGGCAAACAGTTGAGGGATCTCTACAGTCAGCATTGCAGCTGAGAGACAGAAGATCATACTGTGTGAAAGCACGGGCAGCAGCACGGTCATTTGCTTCCCCATTGAGAAGGGCCGAATAACTTCGGATATGAAGAAAGGTGTGGGATCAATTCGCGAGAATGTGATCAAGTTCATGAAGCCCGACTTGCTGGTTGTCTTCTCCTGCCGGATATATCTCGTCTCGGGGCTGAATAAGAAGTATAAGAGAAATTGCGCGCCACTTATGAGGGTAAAGATCCAATAGATCCACTGCCATCCAAGTCGCTCCGCAACAAATCCCATGACGAATGGACCGGTCAAAGGGCCAAGCGTGACAAAAACACTGAGAATGATGCGTCAGTACCCCATACACTGCATAAACATTTGCAAATAGATTGTCAAGGGATAGAATTCAGGGAAGACTTACGACCAGGTTCCTAACGCGATACCACGTTCGTGCTCTGCAAAAGTTTCCATCACAACAGGAGGCCCAAGAGCAATGGGAGCACCCAGCATGAGAGAACCTAGGATACGGCAAACCAACATGGGTGCGTAACTTTGGCTCTCTGCGCACCCAACATTACAGACCGCCGTGAACAGCGTGGAGATAAGCCACACAGGCCGGCGACCATATCTGGTGGATAGTGGGACTAGAAAGAAGGGCGTAAGGCCCGTACACAAAATCTTTGGGTTGGTTAGCTTCTCGTGACTCGGTGTTGACGGGAATGTTGAATGACTAACATGAATTGAGGTCAAGTAGCTAACGTCCTGAATCTCGATACCAAACTTCTCGGCGAGGGTAGCATAGACGGGAATGATCCCAGCACCAACGAAGTTGGTCACAAGGGCATGGAATGAGATGAGACCCAGGTTGATATTTCTCTGGAATGACCAATTAGTTTTGAGTCCAAGTTTGCTCTGATGAGCAATTTTACCTTGTACTTTGGCCAGTTGACCGGGTGGTTAGGATCATCACCTATGACGGTCGGTGCATTCTTTTTATTCGAATGCTCCATAGGAGGAGATGCATGTTCAACATGGTCGTTCATTGTACTGAAGGCAGCCTCTTCATCTTTCGACTGATAATGATTTGCATCAGCTGGCGGGACAGCCATTTTGTGAAAAGAAGATAGTCAACGGGGACTTCAAAAAAGATGTCCGCTCAATATAGAGAACCATACCTGGCATCTATAAGCCCCGGAATTAGACTTTCACTTTTGTGGGGTGAGAGCTTGGGGAAATTGGTGATATCCAGGTGGGCCTGGCGGGATAACTAGATTTACCGCATCGCCGTCGAAATAGGAGCACTACACACAACCAGCGCTCGCAGCCGAGATGATCAATGGCGGCGAAATTCATGAAATCCCGCTTAGGGCCGGTGGCTTTCACTTAAATTGGAATCTAGCCTGGTACTCGTTTCCAACTACATCTGCAATTCACTTCAATTCCGTCAACTTCTTCTGATCAATAATGTCTGTTGCCTGGGAACGTTTGATCCGATTCATCGCCACAGATGGGCGCACATTGCTTGGTGAACCGGTAATGCCATCGGCGGACTTTGACCTTGGAGATACTACAGAAGAAACCAAGCTGCAAGCCAAAGTGATTACGGGCTCAGATATCTATAACACTACTGGCGAAACCCGTGTCACTGATGAAATTGTGACTGTGTCGAGGCTCCTCGGCCCTTTGACTCCGCAAGATATCCCCATCCTGCGTTGCGTTGGACTTAACTACCTCACACACAGTAAGCATGCGATATTCCTGTGACACAGAAGCCAAGGCTCACCACTCAAATAGTCCGCGAGACTGGACGTTCGACTCCACCCACACCGTCTATTTTCTTCAAGCCAAATACGACGGTCACTGACCACAACGTGAATGTGAAGATCCCTAAGATCGCTCAAGATGAGCAGGCAGATTATGAAGGAGAGTTGGTAAGTTTTCTCCAAAGCTCTCTCTAAAATTTATGACAATTGCTGATTACATATATACAATCTTTAGTGCCTCGTGATAGGTAAAGATGCTAAGGATATCAGCAAGGAGGATGCACTCAGTTACGTAGCTGCCTATACCGTGGGAAATGATGTCTCGTCTCGTAGACTACAGATCGACCGCACTATTGCTGGCCCAGTTCCGCAGTGGGGATTCTCCAAGGGGTTCGATACATTCGCACCTTTGGGCCCCTGCCTTGTACGAAGGGATCTTATCAAGGATCCAAGTGAGCTGCGCCTACAGACTAAGATTGACGGAGAGCTTCGCCAAGATACTCTCGTTTCCGACTTGGTATTCGATTGTGCCGCTCTTGTCTCCTATCTATCGACGGGAACCACCTTGCAGAAAGGCAGTATTATCATGACAGGAACTCCGGGAGGTACGTCAATATCTTTGATTTACGGTTATGAAGGCCCGATGTTGACACTACCTAGGAGTCGGAAATGGCCTCAAACCTCCTCAGTTTATTAGACCTGGAACCCAGATGAACATCAGCGTGTCGCAGATTGGTACTTTGAGGAACGGCGTTGACTTTGTTTGAGTCGCAGGGTCCAACATGTGCTCAGCGCGATTAGACTACTAAAGAAGCAAATGTTGTTATTTTATAACCTTTCTGACTCTACATCGTAAATTGAGCATGACTTGTTCATGTGATAAAATACGGTGCTGTGGATCATTAATATTAACAGGGAAGCATTTGCTTTACTTGTAAGATTCTGTATTTGTATGTGAGCACTCGTCCTGATTTGGGTATGAATCTAACTATAAATCCATGGAGTCCAATATGACAAAATCCAGAGAAAGGTAGGTTGATTTGTTGAGGATGGGAGGGTTACGCTATACCTGGACTACCTCGCCAGACAATCCAGGGAAAGAATCACAAAATTCTCGACTCTTCAATTGTAAGTCTACTAGGGACCATTTGAAAAAAGATGAAATATGTTTGAGGTTCATAAATTGACGAAACGAACAGTCGCAAATTCGCCATGGACTGCCTTTATCAAGTTTGCCATATATCAATAGTACCTAAATACCATTTCCCCCACAATTTACTTAGTGACTAGCGCATGAGCTGGGCCTGGAAACACGGGATGCCCACTCATCAATTTGTATTGAAATATTGCATGGATTGCCCAATCCTGGATGTGGTCTCCATGTGGGACCGTCGGCCGAACTAGATATCGCGCGGCATTATGCGGAAAATGTAGAGCGGCTGCGCGACAACTGAGCCTGTATAGTTCTCTGCGGTAATGCGCGATATCTGTTTTGTAATAAGAATGCTTCGGTAAGAGGAAGTCTTCATCACCCGAGGTCCCTGTTTATAATGTTTATCTCCGCTTTAATGCCGACATAGCTTCACTTTCTTTGCATATATGACCTTGGATTACTCATGCCATTGTAGTCTCACGTATTCGTCTTTCTCTTCCAGCAACTCTTTTTCACTCTATCTCATTAGTCAGTTGCCTGAGTGCAATAATGGAGACAACCGACGTTCTCATTGTCGGAGCAGGGCCCAGCGGCCTCGTCCTTGGAGCTCTGTTGGGTCGTATGGGAATCAAGGTCAGTTTATCGACGTCCAGTGTAGCTAAAGAGGCTAACTACTATTCTTAGGTTGTTGTTCTTGAAAAAGATCAAGAAGTTTGCGAGGACCCTCGCGGAATTGTCGTGAATGGCGATGCGGTTCGAATTTCATACCAGGTCGGGATTGGGGAGGGATTGACCAAAAGAATTGGAAGTGGTGAGTTTGAATATAACTTGCGAATATAATTAAGCCTCTGACACCAATCGCTGTCTCAGATATCGGTGCGCTGAATTTCCACGCTGGAAACTTCCGTGAACGTCCGTTCATGGCTTTTGACTTGCGGCCTGACTGGGCGGAACAATCTCTCTCACAGAATATTACCCAGTTTCAACCAAACTATGGTCAGTTTTATGTGTTTCATTGACGGCAGGATCTTATGCTTCAGTATCATCATTCGCTGACATCTGCAGAACGCGAAATTCGAGCACTCCTCAAGACTATTCCAGCTTGCGATCTTCGTGTGGGCTGCGAGGTTCTCAGCCGCGTAGAGAACGAAGATCATACAATCATTGAATATCGCACTGCAGACGGCACACTTCAGTCTATTCGAACTTCTTGGCTCGTAGGGGCCGATGGAAAGCGTGGGATTGTGAGAAAACGATTTCTTGAGCCAGAAGGAGTCAAACAAGTGGATGCCGTGTAAGTTAGATGATATTTTATCGCAGGCTTGATACTGAGTTCTAACCCCGAGACAAAGCTGGCCATATGTTGGGACCTGGATCGCAGTCAACCTCGAGGTGGACCTGCCCACTCCCAAGACGCACCCTGACTTCCCTCTGTGGGAATTAGGATATACACCAGAGCAAGTGCACAGCAAATTCTGGCCTAATGGATTCCAGTGAGTTCATTCGTTGACAGCCAGTCTGCTCCTGTTTGTGCTAATCAATAAAAGCTTCTGTAATGACACAAATCGACCAGCAGTCAGTGGAAGATTTGGCCCTAAAGGTGCCCGGTTTTGGAGGTAAGCATCTTTTTGTAACGCGAGTGTAGATTATTATGACATGTCTGATCTGTTACTAGACACGAATTCTCCATCGGAAACGAGAAGGAGCCAGAAGATTGCGAGCAAGACTTTTGGAACCAGTTCGGACCTTGGATGGACCTCCCCGGTTCTCAGTTCTCGTCAAAATTGAACGGAATCACAGTCGCATACCCAAGGAACTGCATAAAAGTCATCCGCTGCCGTCCATTCAGGTATGGCTACACATCATCCCAGGTAGCCTTTGGGTTGACAACGAAAGCCCAATTTACTAATTGAATTATTCGATAATATCTAGATTCGCGACAAAAGTTGTAAACCGATGGTACTGCCGCCAAACCATGCTGATCGGTGACGCGGCGCACGTCTTCCCTCCATTCGGTGGCCAGGGCATTGCAACTGGCATCCGAGATGCTCAAGGCCTTGGCTGGCGACTATGTATGATGATCCGTCTCGGTGTAACGGGTGCGTCTCGCGAACGAGTTTTGCAAGGCTGGAGTCAGGAACGTCGCCATGCTTGGGAAGCCGCTACAATATCTACCAAACTCAATGGCTCTATTGCAAATATGGGCTTCGGGTGGCGTGAAAGCATCTACAGGCTTTGTATGCGTCTGCTTTGGTGGCTACCAGGTGGCGCCAAAATTCGCACCCGTCGAGCGTTCAAGGATAAGTTGATCTACAACTCTACCACATGCCCTGATGGTTTCTTTTTGCAGGCTGCAGGTGGTGGGCAGAAGATTGCACAAGTTTGGATGCAGCAAGGGAAAGATCTGCCCCAATTGTCTGATGAAATCCTACTGAACGACAGATCTCACATTGCTGTTCTGGTGTTGGCTAAGAAAGTATCGGACTTTGAACCTGCCTCGGTGGATGCCGCGGTTGAAGAGTTGAAGATGCCATGCGATTTATTGACTCCAGAAAACATTACCTACGTTAACTTGACGGGAGGGGGCCTGGCGAGCAAAAATGGAGTGACAGCATGGAAAACTTGTTCAACGGACGTTTTGGAACAAGCCAATATTACCCCGGTCCTTGCCTACAACAAAGATGCCCTTCAGAACCGGGTGCCATCTTCGGCAAAGTACATCATCTTGCGTCCTGACTTCTTCATTCACTCAGTTGCATCCGATCTGAGCGGACTCAAGGGCAACCTGCAACATGTTAAAGACTATTTCGGGGTCTAAAAATCTGCATCTTTTCGCATTTCGAACCTGTATAGGTTCTTTCATTTGTTCAAGAAGGGGATATTTTGTAAAATTCTGCTTTACTTTATCTCTATTGCATTTTTTTCTTCAACGTATTGAGAACAGACCTTTTCAAGTAGGCCCAAGTTAACTCGTCTAGAGATCCCAAATATGTCATGCCATGATGATTTTGGACAACATTACCATGTTTTCACTGAAAATAGGAGGTAAAAAACGTAGAATACTGGTTAGTTACCATATAGAACATTACCAATCAAGTTAGACCAGACCGAGATATTGGGTGGCGACGATGGGGGCCAGCGGGAGAACTTGTTATGCCGCCGAGCGCGAAGACTTGTCTACCCCATATTTCGGTGAGTCGATGGGGAACCCTAGTTGTTTGTGAGGCTATTCCAAAGTCCTTTCTTTCGCATTATGTTGTACTGGGAAGCTTGGAAAGTCAGGGTTGTACGTGCAAAATCCCAACGCAGCTAGCGTGAATATGCGGGCCATCGAATATCTACAGCATCTTGTTTGCGACGATCAACTTTCACCCTGGATTCCCAAAGTATTTTGTTTCTTTGTTTTCGAATGTAGACATCTTACACATCATCCATCTTTCTGATATACTTCAATAAAATTTGCCAGTTTGTTGTGGTCGCATGAGCTTCTTACACGCAAGACAATATATAGTAGGAACTTTTGGTGAACCAATATGGGCAAGGCAACATCTCAATGGTACCTGATTGGTATACTAAAGAAAGTATATATGTTGTCACTTCAGAACAATATATCAAAATAATTCATAACCAAATAGGCAGCATAAACTCATTTTCCGTTGAAGAAAGTCATCACTTCTCACTGTGCAACACCCGTGGAGGGTCTGATCGGACCCCAAATGTACATCGAAGCTGCGCCTTCACTCTGGAATCTCCCTGTGGGATTTTTCTCATTCACCACGTCACCATCAGCGTAGTGCTCAATGCTATACCCACTAGGATCTTGCCAGTAGTCGAAGATCTGGGATCCGAGAATGTGCCGTCCAACACCCCATACCAGCTTGTGGCCTTTGCTGAGTAGGTATTCGTGTCCAAGTAGCTGGGTGTCAAAGTCTTCCACCTCGAAAGAGCAATGGTGGACACGGTAGTTTACTGGGTAAGTTGAAGGGACCCGGTTGAGGAAGAGTGTGTGGTGGTCGGTGTAAATTGAGCCGTGATCAAGATGCATGAACGTCAAAGTATCAATCTCTTGCCCATTGATCTCTTCATACAAAATATCAGACGGGACGAAGTTGAAATTGCTGGTATAAAAGTCGATGTCCTCGTCAAACATCTTGGTCATGTAGCCATAGTGCCCAAGCTTATGTATCATGGCAGGTCCGAGTTTGAATCGCTGGAATTCTCCTGTCAAGCAAAGACGTGTTAGTTGATATTTACACGTTTGATTGTAGTAAAGTGAGAAACGAACCTTTCCTCTCTTTCTTCAAAGTTGTATTGTACCCTCCTTTATGAACCTCGGTATAGCTGACTGGAGCTTGAGGCTTGGGTCGATCCTGCTGGCCCCAAATAACGTGGATAGCAGCGCCAGAAGGCGATGGAATAGTAACGATTTTGCCACCACCAGGCCTTTTGTGGTCTTGAGTAGGAAATGCTCCTGGGAGAGCGGCACTTTTTGTGAAGTCGGCTTCAGTTTTGGCGATGAAAGCAGCGCCTTTGAACCCTTCATCGTTGGCATTGCCAGGGAGTGCGACGTAGGAAATGGTATCTTGACCCCAACCACGATAGCAAATGGCCGACTCGGTCTTTTCAACGATCTCAAAGCCGAAATCGACTGCAAATGTGTTGAATTTCTCTAGATCAGGATGCGAAAACAACACATGACTGAGTCTTTCGAGTTGGATTTTCTCGGGGTTGTTCGAGACGGGAGGGATGCGACCAGGAGGCATTTTTGAACGAATTTTAGAATGATATTGGCATCAAGATACACCTTTGGCGCATTTATATTTTGATATGGGAGAATGAGATCGGGTTGTTTTCACCGCGCCGCTCGCCGATGCGGAACATCTTGTTCAGCCGACGACAATCGCAATTTGTCAACGATGCTACCCTTTCCGTCTTAGTTATTATAAGCACATACCATATTCGATTTCAAATCCGGAGGTGTTCCGCTATCAGGTACCTCGCACTGTGAACTCTCAAAAATGACCCAAATCAAGAAGCGCAAAAGAGCCGAGAATGCATGTTGTCTCTGTAGAGCCAGAAAAATACGTTGCCATCGAGTGCAAGAAGATGTGGCGTGCACTGCTTGCTCAATCCGGGGGTTTCAATGTGTGAGAGCGTTCAAGTCTATAAGGAGGTACGTCTCGACCAACACTGGGATTACCTCTTGGAATGCTAAAATCGGCTCTTTAGGGGAAAGCCATGGGAAACAACCTCAAATACCAATGATTCTGGATCAGGCAATCATAGCTTATATTCTTCCGAAACCCCCTCCACCTCTAGTGAAGATTATGTATCTCCAAGGGTTGATTTGGAGATCGACTGGGGGACGCCAAAAATAGATTGTGAGATTGTCCTCCCACCACGATAGACCCTCTGCTTAGATTATGCCCTTCTGAGATTATTGACGCATTCGACCCAGGTGTCCAGCGGTTGTCTACTATGCAATCTCCATCCAACCCCGAAAGATCTCTCAATCCAACAAACATCCACAGTGCGAAGAAGAACACAGTGATCATTATACGGGGAAACAACAAACTTGGAGCAGATGAACTTGCCTATTTGACACAAAAGAGCGCTTTCATAATACCACCGCGCCCCTTTCGATTCACGCTTGTTCGAGCCTACATTAACAATATTCATCCTCGTGTGCCATTCGTCGATATCAAGAAATTACTGCACGCCATATCAAAAGAAGATCCGAGCCAACATATTAGCATTTTACTGCTTCAAGCAATATTATTTGCCGGATCTGCCTCCATCAGCGCCGCGGAGCTATCTGCAACAGGCTCTATAAACAAAGCCACTGCTTGTGGTGAATTCTTTGCCCGAGCTCGCAGTTTGTTTGACTTGGATTACGAGAAAGACCGCTTGACGGTCATCAAGTCGCTTGTGCTATTATCCTTTTGGAAAGTCAAGGGAACAGAGAAAGATCCACGACACTGGATGGGTATAGCCGTGTCCCTTGCTTATACAACGGGCTTGCATCGCTTCCCGGATCGCCGAATCTCGGTGGCAAGCCAGCGAGACCATATACGAACCTGGTGGAGCTTGTTTTGCTGTGACAGAATGTTGTCGCTGAGTGCCAAACGGGCTGGCATCATCGATGATGATGCTTTCGAGACCCCAATCTTGACACTGACTGATTTTGAATTTTCAACCTATTCCCCCAGAGAAATCTACGGGTTAGGCACATCAGAAGTATTCCAGGATCTGGAAATTCAAAAACGTCTCGCTTTAATATTCATCGAGAATGTGAAGCTCAGTCTTTGTATTGGCCGGGTTATCACTGCCCTAGAATTTCCGAGAGGAGTTTCGTCTGATTCATTGAGTGACATTTCTGGCGTGAGTCCTTCGCCAGATGGCATCAGCGTGCTCGCCAGATTTTATTGCATACAAGAACTGGAAAGCTGGGTTGCCAGCCTTCCTGCTACCATAACAGAACTTCCGCTGTTTTACTCGCTTTCGAGTGAGGCGAACAAAATATTCCGCTCGCATTATTGTGCGTTGAGAACACTGCAACTTGCAGCCTCGACTCTTATTTACCAATCACTGGAAAACAATTAGTTGGATTGGACTGTGAGATGTTATCACTCTAGCATTGATCACTTCTTTCGCTCAATCGTGGAATATTCCAATTGGGTGTGTTTGGAAAGTAACAAAAGCTCGTTATGCATAATATAATTTATTCGAACACTATTGATAACTCAAAAGAAATGTAACATCAACCTTTTCGGAATCGCTTCTGTAAGGATTGAAAGCCTTTCTAGAGAGCCCGATGAGGGAGACTAGCTTGCTAATATCAACAAAAGACCAGCTTCGTGCTGGCAGAGCTTGAAGCGAATCTATATGTAAATGAAATTAGCCTGAGCCTTCGGACTCGATAAGATTCTGGATTGATGATGAGAACAGCAGTTTGTGTAATATTTGTGCATACCTCTGAGGACACGTGCGATTGGCCACCACGGGGTAAAGCTTTCCAGAGATAGTCTCAACTTCTCAAGACTAATAGCTGCCGGGGAGCTGAAACTTGAACCGGACTCGTCCAGCCCGGACATACCATAAAGCCTCAGTCCACAGTAAGCATGCCAAAGGGCACAGCTGATGACTGGATCAGCATATGCAGAATAGCTGAATTGCCAATGATCGAACAGCGAAGCAATCTTTCGTGCAAAACCAATACTGTCTTTCCAGCTTTTCAGAGACGTCAACGTTGAATCAGATGAAATATCGGTACCCGTCACAATCTGCCTAGTGGGCTCATGTAATATAAGTCGCGCGCTAATGGTATGGTGGGTAAGCAAATCGACCAAGTAAAGATAGAGAAATAGAGAAATAAACGAACGTGTTTAACATGATATTAGTTTCCAGTCGTAACCTGTGTGCATGTTCTTGTTCCATGAGACGTTTAGTTGGACTGAAGAAACTGTCTGGTAGAATTAGGTGGAGGGAGGATAGTATGCGATTGAGGGTATCTGCTCGGGCAATCTCTTCTGGGCACAGTTTTGCATTGAGGCGCTGTTGACATTCGGAGACTGCTCGTAGCAAAGATACGGCAAACAAATGAGTGTTGAATCCATCTCCCGTATCCTGTAGATTGGGGGCCAAGATTGAACTCCAGGACTTGACTGGGTCCATTTCTGGTATCACCGGTACTATTGGTCCCACGGTATCGGCTGTGAAGTCTTGAACAGTCGTCGACACCAAGGCAGTCCCTATCATCCGACAGTCGATCCCGAAAGGGGTCACTGTTGAGACGTTGACTGTGGAGTCTAACTTCCAAATTGTCCACCACACGAACCGCCGCTCTTCCTTTTCGGGGTCGGAGAATTCGGCCAAAGAGTCTACGCTGTCGACCTCATGTAGCCGCGCAGCCAACGCGAGACTCATGGCATCTCTAACGAGTAGCCATGCCCGACGGCTGGGCGCTGACGTATAGTCGTATAATGCAAGGAGACATGCGGTTTTCACGTCGTTCAATTCCACCGGTCGATTCCGATCCATTTCCTGGCGGAATTCTTTATACGCAGCATCGAAATATTGCTGCGGCTGGTCTGAAGAGCCTGAATCAGTGTAACAGCTGATGCCAGCAAATCGAGATGAAACCGCAAACATCGAAAGTAACAGGGCGAGGGGAATCATGTTAGCAGATAGCTCGTCATAGAACAAAGTCTTCCGGAACATCGGGAAGGCGGGTTGGATATGCTCAAAATATAGGTTTAACCTGATTTTTGATTAGCCTTGTCATAACAGTGAAGTGTATGTAGGTTTCGCACAAAGTATCATTTTCCTCTGCATTCATGCTAGCAGCAGTTTGCTCCGTAATATGGCGAATGTGATTTTCCTTGGGAATTATTGAGCTTCGCGGTGATTCCTGATGAGCTGGTGCTATGGTCGGTGGAAGAAGGTTGTCAAGTGGTTGAGAATAATCATGGGCGTCCAGATTTGCCTCGGGTTGGATATTAGATGGTAGCTCAGTACCCAAGGGGTCCCATCCCTCTCCGTCAAATAATATGCCGCAGCTTTGACCTGGTGGAGAATATGGCAGAGCTGATGCATTGCCTCCTTCCACTAGGGTTTGCAGAGTATTTTCCAAGTGACCTGAACATTGAGGATTAGAGAAATCACCAAACCCATAGAAACAGCCTTGGAAATTACTTACGGACTTTATCAAGTAAGGAGCTGGTCCGAGACTGGACCGACCCCTTTGCGGGCCCCGGTCGCCTTTTGGTTTGTCCATATTGGCACTCGAGTCCACTCAGTTGACATCTTGAACAACTTGGCTGTTTCCGATCACCTGGAAAATGGTGAGTTCAGTCTCATAACAGATGTCTCGACTTTTGTTTCTCACATTTTCTCTTTAGTCTGCAACATGCATAGCATTAATATCATGTGTCAGTTTTGAAAGGGAATCCCCGTACCTCTTACAGCTACTACACACTTTCGAAACACTCTTCTGAACTTCAGTCTCGAGTGAAGATGTGTTCATAGTCAAAATCAGTTGAAGATGAATTTCCCCAACCCCCCGCGTTGGATCTAAATACTCCGAGTGGAGTATCCCCCGGATATGGCCAATTACCATTCTGTCAGTCTTTAGTGCCGGCATTTCATTTTGTACCAAGGCCGGCATATCGGAGGATGAGTTCATCCGGCATGTGTAATTCAGAATTAGTAATCCGCTTATATAAGGAAACTGTAATAACGTATTCGGTAAGCGAGCTGGACACGCAAGCGAGCTGGACACCCCACTAAACCCATTGAATTCAACTATATTTTTCTCGACGAAAATACCCTTAAATTTAATCAATTAAATTGATTTATCTAGCTAAACACCTATTGATCTTATGCCCTATTCCCCCACACCCACTGCACCTTGGTGGGGCCCGTTGACGTGGTTCTAATGCTAGCGAAGCACTTCTTGCAGTAGGGGGGGTGCTTCAGCTACTTCTATAGGCTTAGTAATCAATTGAGAAGCTTCTTGAACTGAGAGGCCTTCGTCGGCCTATATCTACTTCCGGGATCTGTTTCGCTTTTGCTTCTGCTTCTCATTTGAAGCGCGTAGTTCGCTTACTTCTTTCTCAAGTAAAGCAGTAGACTACATAGTGATTTGACAGGCCTTCAAAACCTGATTTATCGCATTGTTTAGCGGACTTAGAGGACTCCTCGACCTTGTACGAAGCAAAGCTTTAATTGACGAAGCTTGCTTTTGTAATTGCACATAGTTCGAGGGTGTTTTTGGGTCCCAATCGCTTCCTCTGCTCGGAGGGGGGTTGGGGTTCGGAGTTGAATATTGAGCTTCAAAATCACTTTATCAGGTGAAAAAGGTACTAAACCAGCTGCTTTAAAGCTATTCTTGATAGTCTCTGGTTTATAGGCCTCAATTCGTGCAAGGGGGTATGATTCAAGGAAGTCAAGTTTGTCAATATGGTTGATCCTATATCTCATTTTTGTCTCCACCAACCGACCATACGTATGTTTTAACACCGCAAAACAGCCAATATCAAGAGGCTATAAAAGGTGAGAGGAATGTGGAGGCATATAAATTGGTATAACCCTATTTTGCTCACAAATCTCATCGAATTTAGGGGTTAAATAGCTTCCATGTCCGTCAAGAATTAGAAGCCTATACCCCCCTTCGTATGTAGAGAAGTGCTAGGAATAAAGAGCTTTTCAAGCCAGCGAAGGCCTATTTTATCAGAAGTCCAACCATTAGGACTAACTTCGAATCGCTAGTCATTTAGTAGGCCTTCGAACCATGATTCCATAAAGACTTTGCCTTTAAAAATAATACACAGAGGGAGGGCCTAACCCGACGAATTTGTACACTCAATAGCAGTCACCCATTCGCGATTTCCAGGTTATAAAAGCGAGCGCCGACCGTAGTATTCACTCCTTATTATCACCTTCGCAGTAGCGATTAACCCTATTGCGAAACCAGTCTTATCAAAGTTATAAATATCATCGGGGTCGATTCCAAATTAAAGGATGGTATTTTGAACAAGTGTAAACCACTCTTGAATAATCTTCGGGTCTTCGTACTTCGCACGTTCGTAATTATAGCGTCTCGAGAATCGGGAGGAGAGGAGAGGATACTGTTGTACAAAGTTATAGGTCCATTTTTCGCCAACCGAAATCACCGGGGTAGTTCCACGTTATTGAAGTAAAAGATTCGCCATTTCTCGTATAGTAGCAGGCCGGGGGGCCGCTCCACGTAAATCCATAGAGAGAATCCATTTTTGAAGAGATTCCTCTTCAATTTCGGTCAATTTCGACGAATTAGCGCGAGAAATCGCGCGGTTTTGTACCCCACGGATACGGGTGGAGAGTGTTGACTTCGGTACATTGAATTGGCGTGCTGCCTCACGAATAGAGCGAATTTCTTGTTTTTTAATAGCCTGAATAGCTAGTAATATCCTACCCTCTTGCTCGATTGATTTTTTTGAGCTTTGAGAGCGAATTGGTGGCATAGTGGGTGGTTGAATTGATAAAGTGCTAATTTATGGACGCGTTTTGAGTGGGGTGTCCAGCTCGCTTGCGTGTCCAGCTCGCTTACCGAATACGTTACCGAGACTTGAACACTGATTGGACCCCCACATTTTACGATACCGAATAAATCGACAATATAGCTCTCTTTCTCTTCCCCTATATATAAGAATCCCGTTTCTGTATAGTTCCAGGAGTTAGATTAGGAGAATACTCAAATGTGTTCTGAGAGGACGATATTAGAATGCAATGTGCCCAAAAACGACTTGAGGGACAAAAGAAGCCACATTATCCACAACCCAAGTTCATCAAAAAATAATGTATATACATAATCCCACATCAACTAGTATTGAAATCAAGCATAAATTCCCCAGATATTCATAGGACGGTTGAAGGAGCACACGTACGATGGTCAAATCTGGCCCCAGGGACTCGAACCTGGCCCAGCCGCAATGCTCATAGAAACATGTGTATAGAATGAATCGTTCGACTGTCGCTGGATGGGCCAGAATTCATTCGTCAACCAGACTAAGAGATATGCTTTAATAACCTCATCAGAGCCAACTGTTTCAGATTGACTGACAGGCAAAAGGTGATGTCACCATGCACTAAATCCAGATCCGAGGCACAAGCCCAAATCATCAGAGTCCTACATAAGAAGAAGTGATGTGCCAGCTTCTAACAATGCATACTTCTTCTCTGTATCTCCCTATGCGACTCTCTTGGGTCTTATCAGTCCGAGTCATCACTATTCTTTCCTTGGAATACCCTCAAAATGACTGTCATCCATATCGGTCAGTAATTTGGCGGTACTCCGTTTGATTCGACGAGTCTAGCTGAAACTTGAATGAAGTTATGTTTGAATTTCGTCCAGACGTGGCAGAAGAAACTAGGGGTGATACCATTCGAGCGATGAAGTCTCTCAAAACACTAGATTGTGTAAAGGGCCACCGGCTAGTCGTTGGTGGTCCTTCGATCAACACTCCACCTGAGAGAACCAAGGGCTTTGAAGTTGTACTTCTCAGTTTGCATGAGAATATGACTTCCTATGAGGAATATCGCGACAGCAATGAGCACCAGACGTATGTAACGCTACTTCTCCCCATGCCCCTAAGGACACTAGTAACTACTTCATACTGAGCCTGTTTTTGCCTGATAGCATTACACGGACACACATTTTTCCAAATACAAAAGATATTTTACGATATGATTTTGAGGTGCCTCCAGAGGAAGAACATATGTGGAGTTTCAATGAACGTGAGAGTGGTTCTTCATGAGACAAGCCAGGCAACGGTTACCAGTCCGTGTACTCCTTATACACCCCTCCGAGGGAATACCGTTGAGTTTGTATAATTACATGATCCAAGAATAATAGTATCAATGGACCGTGATTGAACTCCAGCCTTTCAGATAAGCCAGAGGTGGAAATACATATCCAGCTCTACGACTAGTGATAAGTCTAGAACTCCGTTTTCATTTAAGCATGGAAATACGTCTCCAGGCCAAGACCCAATCTCCTTTCTAGGTCTTCTTTTTCTATAATAGAGCGATTCTAGCGTGACATCATGTATTTCGCCAGATGTTGGGCTCCTATAGAGCTTCAGGGTGAAAATACGGTCTAGATCGCCCTCTTCTATGATGATAAGATTTTATGGAAAGAAGTGGCAATGAACCTTCAAGTCTGAAACCAACTTCAAGTCTAAGTCTCGCTCTTTTGTGACGTTGAGATATCATTTATGACGTTGAGGTATCACTGAAATAGGGGGTAGAATACCTTACCGGGTCTATGGCCAATGTCAAGTCTAGATCTCGATGAATCGATCTTGGATGATATTCCATATTTTGGCTGGATATTAAGATTTTATAGGTTATTCTTTGCTAGCGTCGAGTCAAATACTCTCTCATCCTCTTTTAGCCACCAGTACCTTGATCTGCACTCATCCTCAATCAAGCCACGATGTCTCCTGTCCTATATTGGAGTTCTTCTTATCAACGTTTGGGAAAACTTCGTGACCTTTTTTAAAAATATGGTGTGGCAGATATAATTGAGTGTGAATCAGTCAGTAACCTTGAAAGATTACTTGACAAAGAAGTGGTGTTGGTAAATGGGGATCATGAATTCTCATGTGCAGCAATTCGACAGCTCACCTTCTGCAATGTGCGTTTGCCAAAAGCATATGCAGTCTGTGATGGTCCACTGAGGGAAGATCTCTTTGCCATCAAGATGTCAAGTCGTGATCTTCGAGAGCAACTGGAAGTCTGCCAGAACCTTCCCATTGTTGCTCATGATCTAGCAAAGCAGAAAAGTATGGTCACATTTACATACAAAGAATTCTGCTCAAACAGCGCATCTGCTGTCGGTGGATCCTTTTCAGATTCTGGCGTTCGTCAATACTTTGCTAAGGTGGCCAAGGGTCGTGGGGCCCAGAAGCTATCGGACGAGATTCGAATTTACGAAACCTTGCCGGATGATATCCAAGATCATTATCCGCAGCTTCTCTTCGCATCAAGGAAGCAAGGCATCATAACTATGGGAACGGAATTGAAAGATATTCCCAACCTCCGAGACCTCTTGTTGAACAATCATCTCTCCGTGGACGCTGCCACCCGGATATTATCCACAATTCTGGACTTTGAATACAACAAAGCATTTCTAAAGCATAAACAGCCTACTCCCCCACGATACATTCATGATTATCATTTTCATCGTGCCTGGCGTCGCTTAACAATTTCCACCGAGATGGAACCGGTTTTCAGTACACTCATTACTACCCCATGGTTAGAAATCAACGGGCGACGGATCTCAAATGTCCCAGGGATGCTCCACAGGCTAGAACGAGATGACGAGGTGGTCCGGCGCCTGGACCCAGGAGGTGTCTCACCCTTCATCCATGGGGACTTTCATCCCGGAAATATGTTATGCGACATAAATCACGATGATTTCTGGCTCATTGATCCCCGTGGATATCCAGTTTGTGACATATACTATGACTTGGGAAAGTTGGCCCAAAGTACTCGGAGCTGTTATGATCTTCTACATGAAGGTCGACACGAAGTAACATTCACCACAATTGGGGATTGCACGGTCATGAATTACCAATTTACATCATCATGGGCAAGGAAGCTATGGGCAGACCTGGATACTCGCCTACAGCCTATCATCCAGAACTTGTTAAACTCGACTTCAGACGAAGATGTGGATTTGCGCATTCGATTCAATGAAGCAATTCATCTATGTTCCCTCATGCCGTTCTATATCCATGCAGACGCACAGCCATCCGTTGCAATTCCCTTGTTTGCAGCTGGTGCATTGCGTTTGGCAGAGGTGATGGATCTTTTGGGAATCGGGGCCGAGGAATGTGTCTCAAACCATGCTGCTGGGCTTGAACGCCTAAATGAGCTAGGACACACAGAGTGGCAGTTTGAGGGATAGAAATAATAAAAGTGCTAGCCCTCGATAGAGAAATGCAGGTGTATTTACCGCTATTACCCAACGTTGTGGCGGGGCCGTATACAGTGCGTTTGCTATGATCTTGTGTAAACGACCCCTTCATTCAGATAGCTCAAGCTGTTGCTGGTAATATTCTGGTAAATGGTCGTTGTCTGCAAAGAGCTACGTGACATCTGCATCCTTTAGCTGATCATCTCTTTCATCTGGCTCTGTGAGATCCGTGCCATATTGATCAGCGCTCTTATCATCGAAGCTCCCTGAGCAAAGATGTTTGTCATCATTTAGGGGCAAATTGCCAGGAGCGAGCCATGCGGTGGTGACGAGGGATTCATTGAGTGGAGAGTTGGCGATGATTACTCGCGATGCTCGCGACAACAGGCAGGGAAACTTTATACGGTCACTATCCATGATTCAGCTGAAAAAAATGATATACGATCTAAATCAAATACCATATAATTGGTATGTTTATTCAAAATTCGGGTTTCCCACTTTTATCGGGGTTGAAAATGTAGTACGCAGGATACGTTGTTGCGACACACATGATACCAATAGAGCCAAACCAGCCAAGTGAAAAAAGGGTCAGAACATTCATCTATCGAAGTGGGCTACCGCCAAAGAAATCACCGGCGCCAGGTCCAGAAAAGCTCCCATTACTCGGGGTCAACGCAATCGATCGCCTGAAGGCTTGACGGGGGTGGTGGGGGCACTGGGTGTTCCAGCGATGGGAGCGGCCGATGTTGGGGCGATTGGCACCGCGGTCCGTGTGTCCGGGGTACTAGGAGTGTTGCGACCGCTGTCATTCTGCATGGTAACAGCAGTGCCAGGTCGGGAGAGAACAGTGATGGTGCCTCCATTCTTAGGAGGTGGGCGGAATCCTAGTTTAGAGCCTTCGCGGAAGATCTCTTCGAGCATTTGCGAGACAATTCCGGCATCTTCGTATTCCTGGAATTTTTTCCAGAGACGCAAAGCCATGCGAGCATCCTCGATTGAGTCATGGCCTTGTACGGCGTCGGGTGTGGGCTCCTCTTGGATGTGCTCCTTGAAGACAGCCCAGGCCAGGTACCTGAGACTGAGACGGCGGTTCTTCCCAGGGTGGAAGAAGAGATACTGTGTGTCCACAGTCTGTGCCTTGGGCACTTGAATGTTGATTTTACGGAAATCGGAGGCTAGACCATGACCAACAAATACACAGCCGAGGTTTAGAAGCAGCCAAAGCTTCTTGTAAGCAACCTTGAGTGGGACAAGATTATGTTCACTAGTGCGCGGATCCAGGTCGCCAGGCTTGATGCCGGAATACTGGGTCACATAGTCCACAATGGGTTCACGGATGGTGATATAGTCATCAATGAAGGGAACTCCTTCTTGAACACCCACACCGCGCAAGACGGAGACACGGGCCAGCCCGCTCTTGTTGGGGCGTACCATTTCTTGTGATCCGTCTGCCTTGACATCAATCTCGGCTTTTTCGAGATCAACAAACTCGGTGTCCAGTGCGACAGGTGTCCCAGGCTGTGGTTGTTCCTCCTCGGTGAGGGTTTGACACGACTCAACCTGACGACCGCCACTACAAGTCGATCGTTAGTGTTTCTTTTCAAAACCTCAAAGTTAATTTTAAAAACTTACTTCAAAGACCACTCGCGGAATAGGAGGGTTTTATCCAGAAGATTCTTCCAAGAGTCATCAACGACATGGCGCGGGTCTCTCACTTGGTAAGCTAGCACGCAAGGTTGTTTCCAAGGCTGTGTGAATCGGAGTGCTTCGTCTCTGTCAACCTCCGTGACCAAAAAGTCATTGAACAGGTGCCATTTGGCTTGTTCTTCAGACTGAGTACCTGAAATAGAGACATTAACGAAAGATACTAGATGAGGCTTTTGATGTTCCGGGATGTCAATCTCCGCAACCAATCCAACCAGATCATATACCGCGAGCCCCGGTGTTTGATTTTGGATTCGGAGGCGAAGATCATCACCCTCAAAGCACATAACCTGTCCACTAGCATCAACAACAACGCCAACGGCGTCGGGCAACCACCCTGGGATTGCCCAAAGCCGACGGCAAAGGGGGTTGGTCAGGGCGGCATTCAGCATGAGAATCAAAGGCATGCGATGAATGGTCTTGCGAATCGTCACTTGCTGGTAGCGACGACAATAATTGCACCATCCTCGATTTTGTGTCTCTCGTTCGATACTTGCGCGCAGAATATTGGAGAACCGGAATAGGGGATTGCGTCGCGCATGTTTGATGTCGATATTTGGGTAAATCAACTCATTGGCGAGTGAGTTGCCAGGGCGCACAATTTCGTTCTGGCAGAACATGCACCGAATAGACTCAGACGCAATGGTGGCTAAGCGCTGATCGAGCTCCTCGGAACTAGGCTGAATCACCCGGAAGTCTTGTGCTATTTGGGTGAGGAAGAAACGGTTGACTGCTTGGATCGCAGTCGACAGAGATTTGTTGGTAAGATTCTCTTCTAAGAGACCCAGATTTGAGGCTTCTCGGAAGCTGCTAAATGTCTTGAGAAGGTTGGTGGCCTGACAATTTTGTCCACTTGCCTTTTCAAGCATGTCGAACAAATAGCCCAGTTCACACAAAAGACAGTGCTCAAATATGCACGATCCGGCTGCATGATTCAGGGCGAGATTTCGGAAAAGTGGGATAAATTTGAAAAGTTGGAGAAGGGAATTGGTAAAAGAGTTGGCGATGTGAGTCTCAAGCCCAGAGAATGAGGTCTTGTTGTAGAATCTATAGAGAACGTGAGTGAAGGGCAACAAATGAATTTGAACAAAAGGACGTACCGGAAATCAAAGTCATCTACACCGAATCGGCTGTATTTAATCTCCACGTTGCTATATTTGAGTAACGGGTCATCATCGCTCTCTCCGTTGATCTTCGCCCCTGCCAGTGCCTCTGCAGCATCGCCAACCAAGCCGTCTGAATTGCTATAGTCTCGAGCCTTTTCACTCAAAAACTTTGGTGCAATAAGAGCCGGCTCGGCCGTGGTCAGTGCGCGAGTGTTTTCTATTTGGTTTCGACGAGTCTTTCTCGGGTTTGGAGCATGGTGGCCCATCTCTGCGGGGCGTAAATAGGGTAACATGGACTGATCCAATGGAGCCGGTGGGCTGCCAACCTCGAAAAGCAAATGACTTGGCCACGCCGAAAAGAGACGTTCGTGGTAATAAGGCATCCCAACCATGCTTAACGGAGACTCGGGAGACCAATCTATCTGGGAAGATCGTGTGGGGACGTCGGCAAATTCTGTCTCCTTGCTCAATTCGTTGAAATGAACCTTGGTTGGTGAGCCCCATAGGTGAAGGGAGCATTCGGCATCGTTAATGACCAATGCTTCTCCTGATGGTGACAGGTCAATACCAAGCACAAGTGACACATTGGCTTGTCTCAAGTTGACCGAATTGGGATTCATGAGGTCTATCACTTGAAGTTGGCCTGTTTGTGAAGCCACGAAGCTGGTGGTGTGAAGTTTGGGATGCATGCGCACGTATGCTGCTCCAGCATGGAAGGGGATTGGAGGCAGTGGTGTCAATGTTTTTAAGTCATAAACATTGGCTAGAGGATCCACGATTGGGGATCCAAGGTGGCGGACTGAAAAGCCACAGGTGACCAGGAGGTCATTCCGCGCATCCATGTCATTGACACCTGTTCCGTGAGCTTTCCATGACTTGACAACACTGAAGTCCAGCAGACTAAGTGCGTTAACTGATCCGGTATCTGTTGCAGCACAGAGGTATCGACTCTTTTTCATCATTGTGTAGCCATGCTCGGTGGGAAGCTTCTCGACAATTGTGCCCTTGTCAATATCTACGGTGAACATAACGCGCTGAGAACCTGCAACGAGAATTCGGTTGGTCTGAGCGGTGAAGCTCATGCAGCGGAGATCGACCATTTCATCGTGAGTAAGATGCCACTGTGTCAAACCCCGTCGGGTAATCATGTGCACACTCTTTGATGATAGCGAAATCACACCTCTTTCGTGGAATATTATTTGCCGTACTGCGCCCTCGGATACTGGATGCGCTCGAACAGAGGTATAACGTTGTAGCTCCGGCCCATAAAAGGAGGAAACCCTACCCTAGCAAATTGAACACACTCATCAGCATCCCGCCTTGGAAATCCTCCAGCCGAGATCAGCACTCACATATTCATTGCCTGTCCATAGAAGCTCCATCATATCATCAAATGCCGTCGCCGTTGCCACGGTGGGCATCGCATGCGGACTAGGCGGCGGCATTGGGATACGCGACAGCTCATCCCAGTCGGCCTCCATGTTTGTGGTAGGTTCTGTGGTCCAGCTCCAATATCGTGATTATCGTGTGCTTTTTGGCTTTTTTTTTTTTTTTAATGTGCAGGCCTGATAGGACCTTGTGTAAACAGCTGTCTTCACCCACGTGGGAACACAGCGAGTGTGGGCATCGTTCGGCGCGAGGGACGCGATTGCGGGGAAGCTTTCAGACGATTCGGTGGTGGGATTTTGACACGGTGAGGGATTTGGGGTCGAAAGGGCACCAGACGTGATATTCGAAGCTCGGCTCGAGATGCCTGACGCGACGAAATAAGGAACGGTCGGGCTCCGACTGCAGTGCATGCTGCCGGCGAGGAACAGGAACGGTGAGATATTGGCTTGATCACGTGATGGCAGACAACGTTCGATCGCCAAGTCTATGGGGACCAATGCAATCTGGAACTTTAGAGTGAAGATCACCGAGAGCGTTTCTTTCCTTGGAGCATACTTGATTATGAAAAACAAGGGACAAATCTTATAAAAGTGGGCGTGGCTTTCAGATCTAATCTCTAGCGTACGGTAGTCTATTGCCGCCACTTCAGATCTATAGTGATTTCGACCTTTTGTTGGCACCCTGTTTGGCGGTCTTTTTAGCAGTCTTTTCAATGTTTTTCTCGTTAGTTTTCTTGGATATCATTCTGCTAGGATTTCCTGACTAGCTTTAGAGCTAGAAGGATAGAAAATTCCCACTCGCTTTATGGACCGTTAAATACTTTCTCGATCTCCAACCAGTCGATATAGTCAACCCCGGTCAGTGGCAATGTCGGATTGTGAAAACTCGAATAAATCCCTTCTGCGTCCCCGGAAAGATCTAGATCCCAGTCTCCCTGCATATCAAACATTGCGTCTGGTACATCCATGTTAGACCATGGCTCAAGTAATCTGATCTCGTCTTGATGGTCACCCCGAGTGCTTGAGGCCACAGCCATATATGGGGGAGAATCGGAGGAGGTCAACACATCGTGTCTCGGAGCTAGGCTTGGTTCGAGTGTCCGGGGCTTATCATGGGAGCCTGCATCGCTGCTTGGAGTATTTGCATTGAAAATATGATTCGGCCAAACGTGGGAATAAGATTGTGCAATGTCCTGTATGCATCGCTCGGCAGCCAAGTTGCCAGAATGGGATAGAAACTGGAGTACTTTTGATGCTTGATCAAGCGCTGGAGGTGGCTGGCCTTGTGGTTTGTTCAGGAAGCCTACCATGACCAGAACAAATGCCGCGGAGAATGTAGCGTCCAGATCAAAAAAGCCATACCGGGCTTGGGGTCATGTATTAGCTGTTTGTTTTTCAAACATGCAAACATCGCGTGGGATTAGGGTTCGTGGGCTGAAACACTAGAAGAAAGACTCACGGATAGTTTGCTGTTGACGAAGCGATTCAAGAATTGCGAGACTTCTGGTGGCTGCCTCATCACATGTATCACAGAGACGCAGCAGCATACTCGGGGCTGGATTGGGTGACTGCGGCTGTTGCTGGCTCTGAGCTTTGAACCGGGCTCTTTGGAGTAATATTGGCCGTGTACATAGGATAATAGCCTTATGTTGAATTAGAAGCAAATCTAATAATGCGTTCTATTTGGAGGCAGCCTCACCTGAAAAAGCATTAGGTATAATGATGCACCTGTGCGAGTCACCAATTTTAAAGGTCGATTGAAATCCAACATTAAGGATTTGGGAAATGATCGACCTGTGTCATGCAGTTCTTGGAGAATTTGTTGGATTTTTTGGACCAGTTCCAGTTGCGTGATCGACTTGTTTCCATAAAGACCTGTTGTGGGTGCATTAGCACGATGTCAAGAGCTCAACGGCGTGTAGCTTACTTGACATTATATCATCGGTGACACGTGCGATACGGACATTTATGGCAAGGGCAATTGGTGACTGGAACCCCATGGCGTTCCGCGGGAGTTCAGTTTGTAGTTGTCGTTCATCGGCCCCTGCGGCCAATCCAAGGCCCGAGGAGAGGCGCCTGAAAGTGTAAGCTGAGACTCAAATAACTAAAGTTGCAAGAAAAACATACCTGTCGAGCATATATACTGTCCACCACAGTCTTAATCTGTGGGCACTCTGGGAAGGAAGGCAGCGTTGGTCAATCTCCCGTAGGTTGCAACCAAGAGCAATAGCCAGTCGCAGTGCGAGTCCAATCTACCACATGTCAACGAAACCGTGCACGAATATTGCAGGTTTTGCATCACATACATAGAGATATGCATCATGCTTACGGTCACACCACTGCAGATATGTTGCAATCAGTGTCAGGATCTCGACAGCGACAACACCTTCCCCACCCATATGATGCATCGGAGGAAGACGCTTCAAAGCTTCAGCGAACAAGTCCGCTCCAGGTGTCTGCGATGTCGGATGTTTTACATCCATGAGTTTTGCCATGGCCATGACCAAAAGATATTCTGTAAACCAAGGAGAACTTATCTGTCGTTGCCTTGTCTCTGGGGTCTGAAATAGCAACATAAGATCGTCGGAGAAAGATCGTGGATCGAAAAAGTGCTGGCTCACGCCAAGATAAAAGAGGAATTGATCAAGCAAGTGCTGTGATTCCTCCAAAGATGGGAAAGAAACTCCGGCAACATTGCCCACGAGCTCTTTGACCGACTTCCACTGAGGTAATCGATCAATTTGATATTGAAAATTTGAAGTAGATTCATGGAAGTTGTAGTCACTCGAATGTGACCTGTCAAGAAGCGACCTGACTTGAGACTCGAATGCAGGCCCTGAGGTCAGGTCCGTTGCTATACGTAGAGTCAGTTTATATTCGCAAGCAACCCAGGAAGACAGAAACCATATCACGTTACCAGGACTTATAGCAGCATCACTATCAGGATATAGTAGTTCATCCTGCCTCTGATTGGGGCGCTCTTGACTCCCAGTCGTCGAAGAACTTTGTTGCGCGGGTTGACGGCCTGAGGTCGCACCTGGTGCTGCAGGAGACGACAATGAAGAGCCCCCGGCCCCTACAGACTTGGAACTGAGCTGCTCTTCGTAGACTTGAATCTTTTCCAATAAATGTTTCACTTGGCTGATTGACGGTCAGCAAGACTGGTCGGAGGCTATAACAAGCATGAACTGACGCTTCAGAAAACCGTCTGCGACCGGAGTGTCCGAAAGTGCATTCCCAATGGTGTTTGATACAAGCGCGACAAGGCTTCTCACCGGAACATTTTACTTTGCGTCTTCGACATGTTTCACATCTATCCAGTTGTTATCATACATAGCTCCCAGCCGGGGAGGTATTGCACACTTACGCGTTAGTAGATCGTGGGTTGGAGCCCGCCATAAATGTAAAGAGCTTCGTACAGCTAATATTGATATTGATTTTGTAGTCACGATCAAGTCACAAGTGTGAAAACGTATGGATCGGGTGCTCACCCGAGGCTACGGGGACTTCGGCCTGGACCTCCGATGGCCCCGCAATCGATAATCAGGACAATTGCAAAGAATATCACGATGAGGTTGAATTGATATCTGAGCTCAAAATCAAGTCTTCCCCGGCAAAAAACAAAAGGACCGCATCCGCCGCTACCTTGGAATCATCGTGATCTTTACCAAGCACCACAGAGCGCCTGATGTTTTTGAGATGCGAGGCAAGCAGATCTGCAGGCCAGTCAAATTGATTGGCGAACTTATGACAGAGCTCAGCAGTGGCGAACGCATCGAATTCAAAATGACCTTGTAATGTGAGAACATGGCCGGGCTTGTAGAGGCCCTGAATGGGACATTTGAGGCTGCTTCCGACGCTGAGCCACGGTTCAGGCAACATCGGTCCATGTCCCCCAGGAGTTATTGTGCCTTCTGGTGAAGATATCACAGCGTCGCCATGGATGACCTGAATATAGAATGGTTGTTCTGGAGTAAACCGAGCTAGAGGTGGGAAACTCAAGACGAAAGCTGGGTTCAAGGTGATCGGATGCATGCCAATTTCATGACCGTTGGATGAAGGCTCGACAGTTACCTTGAACGATGAGCCATGGGATGTGTAGCTCTTGTCGCTTGCGAGGAGGGCTTGAGCTATAAGTTGATGCCCAAAGCAAGATCCGAAAATCTTGACCATAGGATAGTCTGCATACACCCGCTTGATAAAAGATCGCAAACCCGCAATCCAGTGAAGATCATCATATACGGCTGCTGCTGCTCCGGTGACGAGAATCGCATCGACAGGACCTGGGAAGCCAGGGGCTCGATTTTCTGTCGGCGACCAAGGCGTGACTCGTAATGACTCGAAATGTGGGAATGATCCCCCGACAACGTCAAATGCAGTGATTTTAACGCCTAGAGATGCTCTGTGCTGGTGATATTTGCTTGCATTGATGCGATCTGCGGCGGCAGTAAGAAGAACATTGAATTGTGAGCTGTACAATCCTCGTTTGGCGTAGACGGGATAGCAAGGAATATCGGTGTCAAGGACAGCAATATGGATAGGACGGACAGACATTTTGATCAGAGTAATCACAGACAAAGAAGAAAGATAATGTACAGATTAATCAACTAGCCATTTGTTTCTTTGTCGGGTCTCATCCGAAATCCTCGGGATATGCGGCCGACAGATCAATTACCATATTAATGTTTCTTGACTTTTCATCCAAAATCCTCCCTAATAGAAGGAGAAGTGATTTCTAATATAAAATTGAATGAAAAAGGTTGGCATGCATTCAGATCTGGTTGGATTGGTTACTATTGATATTCGCCTTGCACGGCCTTGAAACAATGAACTCGCAAAAGACTAAGCGAGTCTGAAGTACAACATACTTCAAGTTTACCTACCGTTTCGGGGGGATTTCCACCTTACTTATCTGTTCAGGCAACCTACGGAATAATACCTCGCAGGGGATAAGATCAACTCGTCTAACAATGTTTTGTCGATCATCGACCTCGGGAGACTTTCCTTTCTATAGTTCGCCCCAGAGCTGAGCCTCATCGACATCCCGAGCTGTAATAACACTCGAATCAAAAATCCAGTAAATAAGCGATTCTTGCCAATATGAGTTAAGAGATCGACAGTTTGGATTACGCGAATTATATTAGACGTCAAAGCCGAAAGTGCATCGCCCCAGTACACAGCCAACGCCCTGCCACAACAACCCAGGGACAAAAGCCCACAGCATCCCACCAGAAACTCCCATAGACTTCTTCCACTCGGCCAAAATCATGTCTGGAACCACATACTCCCATGCGCGAATGGACCGTGGTATCACACCCAAAAGCTCTGCCCCACGATATGCCTTGAAAGCACCAGAGCGACAAGTCGCCTTTCGGCAAGAACATATCGCGACGGAGAAAACAACGCTATTATTCAAGCCTCATGGCAATAGCGAGTCAGATCGTGAATATAAGATCTTAGATCAAGAGGGCTATTTAGCATTCACAGCGACTGGTCGAAAATACAATGATCGCTCGTGTCGTGAACTCCGCGACTCGTCCGGGTTACCGTTGTTCGATATCCACACCAAACCCTTGTCAAGTGCTCTAGGTTGGGTTGTTACCTTGCCCGGGAGCAAAATCAGCAAGGTGACAATAGCGAAAGCGACACCTAAGTGGACTTGGAATAGCATCAACTTGGTCTTCTCGTTTCGAAATGGCGCGGCCGAGGATAGAAAACGCGAGACGGACAAGGAGCTCACGCTGATGGTAAAAAAGCACGGGAAGGCACTAGCCTTTTTTGATATTGTGGATGTGGACAGGAGGATTGCTGAATTGCGCGAGAGTATCACCCACAACGAAAGATTGGCTTTGAGAAGAACGAAGCGCGGAGGCCATCGCCCTGCTTTGGATCTCATTGTGAGTCCTGGTGTGGATATTTCGCTGGTAAGTCGAGGCCTTGGCCCTTGAATGAGAGATATCTACTAATACATATTAGGTGACGGTAATTGCAGTCATTGTGTCTGACTGGTTTTTTGGATCGAGTTAATTTGACGGCAGAAGGAGGTTGGCTTTTTTTTTTTTTTTTTTTTATTCATGAAGAAGCGAGCAGCTTCGCGTTATAGACTCAATAAATCATTGTCGATATACTGCCAGCCGTAAAACTAAAGAATCCATCTTCAGCTCTCTGTATGCACAAAATGAATCATAAGTCAAACACTGGCTTGTCCAACCAGGCACTGATTTTGGCTAAAGCAGAAATATCATGCTCCTTTCTCGATATATTGTGGTCCTTGATTTCTCCATCTATCCACCCGTGAGTCCCTCTAATATGCTTCAAGTAGGTTCCAATAGGCTGGCATCCACCAAAATCAATCAAAACAGGCATGCCCTCTTTGCTCACCAAAATGTTCTTGGGAGTCACGTCGTTGTGGGCCAATCCATGTGTATGAAGATGACGGAGAGAGGACTCGAGCGCAGTGATGAAAGACCGCTTCTCGATTTCACCAACTCGGTGATGGAGATAGGTGTACAGATCATAGGGATGTTTGTCGATGACAAGTCCAATGAAGTACCCACGGAGAACCCGACAGCCGTGATAGCGGATTATGTTCGGGTGTGGATGCTGGGACAGCAACTCTAAGACTTCAGCTTCTGCTAGCAAGGCCGCTGAGAGTTGAGACAATACATTGTGTTCCTTCAACACTTTGTACATTTGTGGACTTGGTCGCTTGGTATAGAAATCCTCGGTGGATGTGGTTGGGGCTTGCATCAACTCGATGCCTGGAGCCGGCCACCGCGTGAATACTTCTTCATCGGGAACACTCTTGAGGGTATTGATGACCTGTTCGAAGGTAATCTCGGCTTTGGGAGCTTCAAGCATGCCGTAATAAAAGCTTTCGTTGCCATCAAACAACGCGAAGGAGGTTTGTCTGGTTTTCCCTGGTTCGCTATCGGATATTTCCCATACTTCAGTAAGATCATCCCAGCTGTCAATTTGCGGTAGCATGGTAGCAGCGAGTGCGTATTTTGCAAGGAGAGTTCGTTGGAACTGTTGAGATTGGCTGTGGGAAGTATGTGAAGTGGGCCAAGCGGCTTTGGGGCTATAGGACCCTTACCAATCTAAACGATCAAGTAGATGCATTTATCAACCGCAATACTACCAAGGTAAACAAAGATAGGAGAAACGTGAGGCCAACAAAGAGGGGAACGATGAGTACCCGATGAAACCTGAGGCCCTCAATAAAGAACCCCTGATCCCTGCATCTCTGCCTATCAGACGCACAGCTTGGTTAACCAATGGACGGTAACTGCTTTCTTGAAAGCCGACAAGATATTGCAAAAAGCCATGCATTAACTAGGAGAATTGCGGCGCCATTTGCTTATCTCGGTTATAGTAAGACTTGGTTGCATATGTAGCTGTCAGTCTCACTACTTGATGCTCAACTATTAGACGTTCTACCCATAGAATCGATACAACCAGCGTAGATATCCACACAAGCCAAGGGCACCATGACTAAAGCAACACTTGAACAAGTAGACATGTGCATTTGCCATATCACACATTGCTGATAGAAAAGGTTTGCCCGTCATTCCCATGGTGAGGTAATCAGTACTTGTGGTGACAGATACAACGGAAGGTAGTATCATACATAGACAAGAAGGGAGAGTTGAAAAGGTATTTTTATGTCCGCCTCAAACCATTCTCCAATTTTTTTCCAGGCCAAGCAGACATTCCTTATAACGACAGCGATAATCACTTATTTATGGGCATGTGGATAGATATGAAAAAGGATGGACAGATAGGATACTTAATTTCAAGAGCACTACTACCCCGATCTTCTGTGGAATATTCATATGCAGATTTCGGACGATGTACGCTGCGAAGAATGTCAAAAAAAGATATGTGGCGGTGTTGAAAGCTGAATGTGCATCGCATAGGTACTACAAAAAGTGTTAGCCCGAAAGGAGCTAATGGATCCACTGTTCCCTTACAGTTTGCACAACTGGATTCCGACAGCTTCCTGGGCCCGCAGCCTTATCCCAAAGGAGCGCTACATTGGTACACTGCAAGTAAACATGAACAGCAACTATGGCGTTGGCCACAAACTGTGCAGTAAACAGGGTCCACAGACCAGCACGTAACCTTTTTGTTATACCGAAGATGTTGATAAAGGTGGTAATTGTCAACAGGCGACCAAAGGTGAAGCCTAATATCCCAAATATCTTCCCAATTGTGTTGTATTTGAGAGCCTGAGTACGGTTGTGCTGAGATAGAACCCCCTGGTGCTGGCCCCAGCCATAGTGACACTAGACAGTAATGGTCGATACAAAGGTAAGAATGATGCCCTGCCTCACCTCATCAGTATTGAATATGAAAAGATATATCATGTACATGGAGGCATTATACCGTTGATATGACTAGCGGGGCGTCACTCAGTCCAAGGTGATGAGTGATCCGTGCTTGGGTGTATAGACGCGCGGTAGCGACGACGATAGCGATGGCGGAGAGCGTCCAGCACACTCCGAGTGCTGCTCTCTCTACAGATACGTAGGGTTATGTCTAGGAACGACACTAATATAAGATTATGGCACGGCATGCGGAGACAGAGATCAAGATCCCATATGTACTAACATACAATTGACGACATATTGAACCTGTTGGCTAAATACATGACAGAGAGACATCCAGCAAAGGAGGGATAACGAAACAAAGAATACTGCCTGCAAAGTCACAAATACAAAGCCAGCATTAAAGACAGTCAAGGTGTTTTTCCTATTAATCGAACGAGGGCAGTCATGATTAACTATCAATTACCGATAATAGGAATTTGGATTCGAGCCAGCTGCGCCGCCCTGTGGAGGCTGGTACGCCTGATACTCGCCCGTGCTTGTGGCCGGGGGTGCAGGGCTGTACGGGGTATACTGTGGCTGTTGCGCTGTCCCTGGTACCGGCGGAGGCTGGTGCGATGGAGGAGGTTGATGGGCACCAGGAGAGTTGGGGTACGGGGGTTGTTGCTGTTGTTGCTGGAACTGGTGCGGAATTTGAGGCATAGTTGAGGCAGGCGGAATCTGAGATGTATCATCGGCAGAGTATACCGAGGGCGAGTAGTCTTGCTGCTGCTGTTGCTGTTGCTGCTGTTGGAATTGATGGTGGCCAACAGGGGAGGCTTGGGCAGTTGGAGGGTACGGCACACGCTGGGCGGAAGCAGGAGCAGGGTGATCGACCGGTGAATCATATACGGAGGTCCCTAATTCTTGGGGATGATCGTATGTAGATTGCGGACGGTGTTCAACAGGTTTGTAAGGATCGGGGTGCGGTGACTGATGCGGTACGCCGGTCTGAGCCTGGTTGCGAGGATCAGGGGAGTGAGAGGCAGGACGGTATGGCATAGCCTGCTCACTAACAGGGTATGGTGCGTATGCATTCGCCTGAGTTGGCGTGGTGTCTAGGTAAGTCAAATTAGGATTGGGAGTCGGCGGGTAATTTGTAAACTCCACTAACCTTGAGGCCGGGGAGTAAAGTATCTAGGATCCGCCTGAGGAGCAGAGGGGTACCCGGCAGGCGAGGCGCCAGGATAACCATGCTGTGGCTGGGCAGGTCGTCCATATTGAGGCTGTGCCGGATGGGCTAGCGATGCCTCAAGGAGGGACTCATAGTCGCGACGAGCTTTGATGAACTTTTCATTAAGCTGGGTGAATTCATCTGGGGATGTGTAAGCAAGGCCTCATATCTCAAACCAACAAAACAACTAGCTGGGTACCTTTCTTCTGCGAATATTTTCCAATCAACTCGATAAGTTTTGGACGGATCGCAAGCGTAGCTTGATAGAGTGTAGTGATCTCTTCATTTTCTTGAACATTGAGGTCTGAGTTGCGGGTGCTCAGTAGAGTTAGGAGCTTCTCGACACTCTTGATCTGACCGAAGACATCCGCCTCCATTTGAGCCTCACGCTGCAGTTCATCGACAGTGGGATCTGGAAGTTTCTCCACGTAGTTGAGAGGGAAAATGCCTGTCTGGCCTCTCAAGGAGCCCTTCCACCAATCCTTGTAAACCGATTCCAATACTGCAATGGTATCGCCTTTGCGGAACTGAAGCTCTCCTGGCTCAGATGGCTGGAAGTCGAACAACGCTCTCACACGCGACACGGTAGCTACCGATGTACCTAAGAGAGCAGGTTGAGGCTCAGCGGGCTCTCCTTGATTTTGGGGGGCCGACACAGATGCAGCAGCAGCAGACGAAGCCTCTGCTCGAGGCGCTGCCGCGGCCGCGGCCCCTGGGGTCGCTTTATCCTTAATCGAGAGGGCTAAAGCCATCTGCAATTCCTCTTCCTCCATCTGACGATCAACATCGGTGATCTCACGCTTTCCAGGCTTAGACGGTGGCTGCAGATTTGGGTCTGAAAACAATCAGCGGAGTCCAATATTTTGGGCGTTCAAAAGATACTCACTGGTGGTTTTTAATTTCATGTATGCCTGTTCCATGATTCCAAAATCAGGGTTAGATGCGAACATCGCAGTCCATTCTTCCATGCGCTCCAGAATCTTGGACTTGACTTGTTGGTGCGTATTCTAAACACATCCATGATTAGTATTTGCTATTTTGAGAAAGTCTAAGGTCCCAGATATACTTACACGATCATTTGCCAAGCGTAGTAGCGCATCAGTAAAGCTTCTCGAAGCCAACTCGCGGTGGATCTTGAGCCCGCAGTTTTGTGACAACGAGTTTGCAAGCTAGAAATCGGAATCAGCTATGGTCATAGGCAGGGAGAGTTTGCGCTTTCAGGAGCACGGGGATATGGCGACGAACCTCCAATGTATAGAGCTGGACGTTGGCATTTCGGTGAGCCAGCCTTTTGATCATAGCAGCCACGGCCTCTTTCGCACTACATCGCGGCAAATCGCAATCAGTAATACTCTTGGGGGAGCTTGAGCGAGCCTGCAAGTAAGATCTAGCCACATACCCTGACTCCTCTGAACCAACTTTGTCACAGACATCCTAAACCACGGAAGTCGAATCAGCTCTCGTGTCCCCAAGCCACGGTTGTTCTGGCAATTTCGTATCCATGCACAACGCACCAGAATATATTCCCAGTTCTCGGAGGTCAAATTCTCGTCCGTCGCCTTGGCTATACAGAAATAAATATCGTCAGTAAGTTGTATAAGCAGATTCAATGTGGCTCCGAAGAACTTCCCTCCAAGCTAGCCAGCTGCAGGGGTACAGGATGTATATGAAGAGGCAGAGAACTGATGTGACTTACCAACGGCATCATCAAAGTGGTTCTGCTGCGCGCGAAACATCGCGAATGTATGTCCTCTAACTGTCGCAGGTGATCACTGGATAGTGTGTCGGGCAGCACTGTTCAGCTTCTGACAAGCGGCTGGCCTTGCTTTCACGTCGCCAAAGTCCGACGGTTGATTCCAATTCACCTTGGGTATCAAAAACCACACTGTTTTTCAAGATCCGGTCGTGTAGCTCGTAGCGATGGTTCTCCAGCACTGAATGCGGGGAGTCGACGACAGCAAAGGATGCGGCTCGGCAGGTTGTTGCGGGCGGTGTGAATGTCTCAGAGACAGGGTCTTGGAAAGGAATGGTGTAGCAAGCGACCGGTGTTTTAGTGACAGGTATCTGTTAATCAGGTCCTTGGGAATGATCAGGGACAGTGTTGAGGTACTGTGTACGGGGCGAAACTCGTCACCTGAGTCAGCATATGACGACGGTGCAGCCCGGTTGGGAGACTGCTAGTAGCTTGGATAGTAATTCGTGCAAGTTGACCGGATTTTTCTATATTGTGTCTGCCTGGGAATTGAGCTTCTATTCTTTTCTTTCGTTCTTATTTTTTTCCCTCACTTCACTCTAGGTCTTCGCCCTCCTCATGTAGGCTGCTACATTTCCTCTTCCCACATTTACTGGTCGGTGGCTGAACATACCTCCACTCCGCTATTTTTCTTTAGTACACCTGAGCATATTCTATAGAGACTGGGAAGGTCTTTCTAAGAAAGAGCCGAGTTCGAAGCTCATTAGTTGCTTGTATTCATCAGAAGCTAACAATAACAAGATAGACCAATAGAACTACAAAAAAATTACATAGAAACCATCAATAAGAGGCAGCGAGCGGCAAAGCAGATATCACAGGCAACGTGCTCATGGAATAGTCATTTTCATCAAGAATCGATGTAAAAAAAAAAGTAAACGGGTAGACTGGGTACATAAACGGATTCCAACAACGTACTGTAGTGCACGTCAGGATCTAGAAGAAACATCGGGAGTGACGGGGTATCTGAGCAAGGCGTCAAGAGATATCAAGTACGACGAAATAAAACCGAAACATAGGGGAGGGGAAATGGTCATTCATCAGCATCGTTTTCAAGCACCTCCTTTTTGGGCTTTTTCTTGGGCTCGGCTGAGACGAGCAGCCTTTACCAAGGGGGCAAGATGCGATAGTGGTGCGCAGAGAGACATAAATGGGTGCTAAAGGGAAATATGTCAGTTACCGCTGCAAGTAATGGGAAATGGAAACGAGCAATTAGCAATTACCTTCAGTAGGTCATGAGCCGAGGCCCGCTTCTCTGGGTCAACCTTGAGGGCAAAGTAAAGGAACTCGCGGAAGACGGGGGATAGATTGTGTTCATCTTTGATGGTGGGTGTTCCGTTCGTAGCAATCAGGTAGAGTGCTCGCAATGGAGACTCTGTCAGGTATGGCGGCTCGCCCTCTATCATCTCAATGGCCATAATACCTAAACTCCAGATATCGACTTTGCGGCCATACTCTTTGCGAGTCACAACTTCGGGGGCCATCCAGTACGGGGTACCAACCATGGTGTTCCGCTTGTTCTGCGAGTCATTGATTTGAGCACAGAAACCGAAATCGGCTGAAAAAAATGGTTAGCGTAGTTCAACACAGCACAAGGTCAAACTCACTCAGCTTGATGTTACCATCCATTGCCAGCAGAATGTTGTCGGATTTAATGTCTCGATGAATCACACCCTTGGAATGCAAATGCTGGAGGCCGCTCAGAGTCTACTCAAAATGGTTAGCATCTCATAGCCTGATCTTGAGACGGGACCAATTATCTTGTACTCACCTCTCGGCAAACAGCTGCAATCTGTCCTTCGCTCATAATGTTGAAGGTAACCACGTCTGTCAAACTGCCACCTTCCATGTATTCCATCACAACCCAAAGATCCAGTCCATGTAGGAAGCTCTCTAAGAAGTTCACGATGTTCTTGTGCTTGCTATCTTTCATGACCAATATCTCGTTGATAATCAAATCCTTCTTGGGTTGCAAGTCGAGGTTCATCTGCTTGATGGCAACACAGTTGTTGTGAGGATGCTCATACGCTGTGTACACACCACCAGAAGCACCTTGGCCGATTTTGTTGAAATTGTAGTAGATCTGCGTGGGGTCGCCAGGGTGGCAGATTGCCATCAAGCGTGCCCGGATATCCATAATGCTGCTCTGTCGCTGCTGACGCTGTCTAGGTCTAGCAGCAGGTGGTGCGCGCGTGGTGGGTGACACCCCAGATGAAAGATCCGGTGCCGGAGCAGCGGTTGATGTGGAGATAGTCGGGGGCTGCTGCGCTTGCTGGCGTTGGGTGCGGTTCCTTTCCAGAGTCTGCTGTGCCGCGGCCATGACCTGCTCCTGTTGCCGTTGGTATTGTGTTGGGGATGCGATGACATTCGGAATATTGGGAACGCTGGGTGCAGGGGTGCCATTTCGGGAGCTGGGAGGACTGCGGTGGGGCGATGCTGGCAATGGCTCAGATTCGGGGATGGTCGGAGTGCCAAATGTAGGAGCGTAGGTCTCCTGGGGAGCTCGCTGCGGGGCTCCGTGCGAATTTGAGACCGGGGGTTGAGGAGGAGGGCGGGAGGGGGTCATTCCGGTTGGCGGTTTCGGGGGAGCACGATGAGGCACCATGCCGCCTAGTGGAGGAGACATGGCAGGCGACGCTGCCGGAGGCCCGCGAGGAATCGGTGGGGGCGATCGCGGATTCTCAAAGCTGCTTTCGTGATTCTGCGGAAATCGTGGACTTCCCGGTGGCGATGTTTGTTCTCGTGGGCTGGTAGCTTGTGCGGCTTGAGCAGCTTGCGCATTGTCGAACTTGTGCCAAACTTCGTCATCACTGTCGCCACGAGTGTTCTTTTCGTAGAATCGCATGATATCCATCATAGTCTGTGGGTGCTCTTCCTGCTCCTTCTTCGAGATACCATTCTCCTGTAGTAGTCTCTGCCATTCTTTAGGAAGACCGGTAAATTGTCCGGTCTGGTTGTCGTAGCCAACGTGAGTGACATGGACCGGATTCTCTGGTGCTGAAATTTTCATATTGCGACCGGGGGTTCCAAGCATACTGTCCACAAATCTAGAGAAGCTGGCCTTTTTGCTCTGTCTCGTTCGGGGGCGGCTGGAGGATTGGCATCGTCGGAATAGCGTTTAGCGGCATTCGGAGGCCTCTCAGTCTCACGATGAGCGAAGGGATCCATTCGTTGCGTCAGAGTGGTGAAGCTAGCTGACTGACGAAGTGAGTGGCGTCCGCGGGTGTCGGGGCTGGTGTGGTGAGAGCGGAGTCCGGGCTTTTGCTGGGAATGAGGATCGGTCTCGGCACTGTTCTCGTCCAATGCACTGAGCATGCCCCGCGTTTCGTAAGGGCCGTTCAATTCATCCGAGCTCTGCTCGTTGTAGGAAAAACGGTTGGAACTGCGGGTGCGAGAGCGGGAGGTGAAATTAGAGAAGAAGCCACTTGATTCGTCGTTGGAAGGCGATGGACCGCCACTGTTCTGATCCAGGGATGACGAGGAAGAACCTGGAAATTGGGCGTTGGATCGCGATCGGTTATGCTCGCGACTGCCGCTGGGAGAAGAACGTGGATAGACGGGAGCGGAGGGGGTGCGTTTCAACGATGTGGTGCTTTGATGACTCCGAAGAATGCGCGAACTGAAGCTAGGGGGGTCCTTGTGAAGTTTGCTAGATGCTCGACGGAATTTCAATGGGAAATTATCCTGACTCATGGTGGGCAGATTTCTGTCTCTACACGAGACAGATTGAAATTGGGCCGAGGAGGGGTCAGATGCAGTTTGGTATTTTTTTTTGGGCCAACCAGGTTCGCGACCTGAGGTGATTTACGGCCGCGGAGAATAACCGGGTCCCAGGTGTTTTCGAAGATGGATGGAATGGAAGATTAGAAAAGAGAAGAGAGGAAGTTTAGCACGTGGAGTCTTGAGAAAAGGAGTCGGGTGGCTGGGGGGGTTTCGGGGGGGATTCATGGGGGTTAACAGGTGTATAATCCATCTTACATGTAGACTTCAAATATTTTACAGCTTTACTTTGAATTATCAATCTAAAATATCCCATTTCAGATTATAAGAATAATCTCGGATTCTTCTACCCCGTTTAATATTGGGATCTCTCAACGGCTATATGAGATCCACTATAAACGATACTAAGACATACTCCATACACTTTTCTACATCTTAAAGCAAACAGACTCTTCCCCTTTTTTTTTTGCCCCTGGCAGCTAGCCGAACACGTCCCAAAAAGGTTAAACATGGGTCTGACAGCACTCACATCTTGGGCATTTGGGCCATTGGGATCATTGGGATCATTGGGCCCTGGATCGGGGCAATCACGTTGTAACAAGCCCTCCTATGCGCCGTTGGGTCTCCAATATCTCCCCGTTTGCTACTCAACCAAACACTATCTGTGTACGCGATTTCTGTTTCTCCGTTTCCTTGACTCGGATCAGTCTAGAGCACATGACTTTGGCGTTTACATCCTTTGGGTTCCAATATTATCGAGGTGAAATCAGAGGTCCGGGCTCTAGCCATTTTTGACTGGCCAACTTCCATTCCAAGAGCATGCTCTGAATATCCTTCCAGTCAAGCCCGGATATTTTTAGTGTGTGCAAATGGCAACTTTGGCAGAGATTAGTGCCACTTATATTGTGAGCATTTACATCTCGTTATTTACCTACAGCATATCTACATCCTTATCATGTTCACTATACCAAAGTACTATTTGGGATAATGGGGTCGGCCGAAACTCGGGGATTATTGCCTGAATTATCAGGCCCGTCTCTCTCACATTCGACTTGATATCGCAGAGGTTGGATGCCAAGTGGATCTTTGACGTCACTTGTTCTTTTGAGCTTGAATTTAGCTGAAAATAGAAAGAAAGACCACTTGATCCACTTCAGATCGAAGCTGACCTCGTCGAAATCTATACCAATTTGAACATGTCGCAAATGTCTCTGTCGGGTCAACAGGCAAGCTCTTGATATCCAGCAACATCCAACAAGTCCACTATCCAAATATCAAGTCGGTATGAGTGAGCACCCGCTCACACCTGGGCAACTAACATCGTAGAGTGTCCGAGGCAAATGGCGGCGTCAACCGCGGCAATAATCTCGTCTGGACAAACTCCCTTGGTCCAACCCACCTCGGCCTTTCCATACATCTTCGCTGCCGCTCAGCAACTTGAATCGCCGTCAGTTCAGTTATCTCAATGACATCGCCGTCTATAGTACCAGGTCTGTCTAGTTCACCAATCCAGATTATTCCTAGCGGTAGAGAGTTCTCTTCAATCTGGAGCCGCCGAACCTGCTAAACCAGTTTTACTGCTTTGGTCCTTGATTCCTTGATCCTGTCAATAAGGATGTGCGTGATATTGCTGATGGCTTTGGTCGGCCTAATGGCATCACCTTCTAGCCTGGCCAAAATGGTGGCTTCTTTAATACAGTAGAGACCGATGATGGTGGCTCTAAGGGAGATGCTACTTACTCTGAGCCTGGTTTGTTTCTCGAATCTCACATGTCCATGCAAGTAAAATTGATAGAAAGAATTCTGGGCCCATGGTAATACCTAACAAGATGGAGAAAGGCTATCCTAAGATATGACCATAAGGACCAGGGGATAGGGATTGCTCACATAGCAACCGCTTGTGAGCGTGTACAGTTTTTCTTTTGTTTACCTCGACTACTCTTCTCCCATACCACCCTCCTCCACCTTCCTCCTCACCAAGCTCTCCTCCCATCCTTCTTACAAGTCACAGCCCCTCTGCATCACGAATACAGCCTAACTAGACAGCTCATCTGCTCAGGCTATCCCTTCATAAGTGATAGACCTGGTCTTGTCTTCGTGTTTCCTGCTCTTGTCGTCGCGTATTCAATTCATGATCCTAAAGCCTTACTCGCTTTTTGTCTGGACTCTCCTAATTCGTTCGGCGACGCCTAGCGCGGCGAGTTGTCTCTTGAAGCACTTTGTCTCTTCCAAGGTCTCCTGTCGTCTCTCAATACCGAACACTCTTATTTGTGAAATCTCGCAGGTTTTCTCTTTTTACTGGCCTGTTCGTCTTGACTCTAATTCTCTTGGTTGCATTTTTTTAACCCTCGCGTTGCTCCAGGTGCTTTCCTTTCGGAAAACATAGCATCATGGTCAACACCAAGTCGCCTCCTGCTATTAATGCAGGTGAGGACGCCACAGTCAGCTATTTGTTGTCCCGAGTCTTATCCGGAGGCAAAATCTGCCGGGCAACGGAACTTGCTGCATGCCTCCCTCGGTGGTTTAGCTACGTCAAGGAGAATAAGCCGACTGCCTTAGGTAGCCCAGAGTTACTATGTCGTCTTTTGCTCCCATTCGGCACGCCTGATATCCTGGAACAAATTGAGAGCCTCCAAACCTCTGACTCTCTGACTGATAGACAGAGGTGGATGGTAAAACTCCGTGTCCTCATGGACGATAAAGCAGAGGAAAGGTTGTTGCAGAAGTTGGAATCTTTGCAGGATCAAGAACTATCACTCGAAACTCTTTGTGAGCAAGAAAACGGTAAAGACCCTTTTCACTTTCGCTCTGCGCCGCGGTATACAATACTGACACACGGTAATTTCAAGGAGGTGGTACGGATGATTATCTTGTTGCTGATCCCAAAAGGACCCTCCAATTTGACTATGATATGCGGGATGTGATGATTCGGGGCGACAAATCCGCCATGAGGAAGAATCAGGATGTCTTTTACGTGACCGGCTCCGTTGCCTGGACCGTCCGATCTCCTTACTGGAATGTTGCATTGGCCACCGACAGTGACGGTAATCGATATCTCTCAGATGACGTTTTGGATGCAGTCCTTCCTAAATGGAGGCAAATTCTAACCGGGGAGACGGTCCCGACTCCGAAGTATGGTGTTGTCGATTCTTTTCGTTTGTGGCTGGCTAGTGAGGAGAAAAAGGCCAGTGATCTCGGCAAAATCTGGCCATCGACTCCTGTCAATACTGCTTCTTCGGCTCCGAGGCGCAATTTTATAACTACAGAGCCCTACTCTCGTTACCATTCCTTTAACACGGCCCGTTTCCCCCCATTTGACTCTACCCCCAAAGTCACTGGCAGCGAGCAAACTGAGTTGCTTCGAGCCATACTCACAGAAGTCAAAGAATTGAAGACAATAGTCGGCCAAATTCTCGAGCGCAAGCAAGACCTTGAGACTACAGAAAATCAGATGCATGACTCTTTGCCACAGAGCTATCCTCCTATTCCTCCCGCAATGCAACCTCCAGCACCTCCAGCAATACAGCCCAACTACTTCATGTCACAGGGTCAATTGGTTGGTTCTCAATATCAGCTGGAGTCAGATTTACAGCAAAGCTGGAACTCACAGTACCAAGGCCCGACTACCATGCCAGGCCCGGGACCTAGTTCAGCTCATCGTCTCTAAACCTGCCCATAACTAAGGAAGTGGTGGCATTCATGTACGATTTCGTAGGATGGATTTAAGCGAAAGAAAAACCGAGGGGGCAAAAAAAGCGGAACAGAGAAATATTAAGGAAAGGGTGACGAAAGATGATATGTGGGTAGGCAGCTATGGCTTTCTATCATGTTGAGCACTTGAGGGATCACAGTTGTTCCTCGCAATATCATATGAACGAGTGTGTCTGTTAGAGTCCAAATGAACACAATTTACTCTGCCGCTAGTTATATACAACATCGTATAGGGTATCTATACTATAGTAGTATGTCGACATAAAATAGGTGCAAAGGGCATATTTATTGTATAGAGTCTGGCCTGAATTGAATGTGTATAACGTCCCGGTACATATTAAATCACATTAACATGACATGTCGTCATGGCACATACATGTGAACATCTGACGCAGTTTCCGGATTATCCTGACTGCAATGCATGAGAGTATGTTAAACCTCGGTAAACATAAGACGCTGACAATGTTCATAGATATCCCGCTTGCTAATATCATTATGTCTCAAGTGCATGGGCTACTGATCTGACAGGGAGCAGGGAGTAGGAAACGAGAAACAATTCTTCCACGCCTGTTACTTGTCGTCATGACCGATATTGATATTATTAGAAAACCTCAGCCCTGTACGGAGTAGGCAGTGCGTCGATTAAGTAGACTAACCAAAGCTCTCACAAGCCACCCCAAATGACCCCAGTCCGACCCCAGATCGCTACCAGATTTGGCCCGGATCTCCAATATAGCGGTAAGTCCGATCGCTACCGAGACTCAGCCCAACTAGACGTTCTTGGCACTGACATTACTTGAGAGAAACCACACAGAGATCAAAGCTAACGCACCTCAATGTATTTGGCCCCAAGCGGGGCTGAAGGAGGCTCAATAATGCTAGCCATCTATAGGATGACATAGTATATCGGGTATTTTTCATTGTTTTCCGGTCAAATTGAGCATGGCTTCCCACCTGGACTGATTTATACGAATCATCTCCACTTTGAAGAGAGTTGATCGAATGACGGATTTATACACTCGTTGACTTTCAAATGTACTTGCACTTGTATCTCACATGATTCTTGGATGATTGGCCTACTATCCTCCGTGGTCCACATGGCCGCAGATCATCCACACGGCGTAAACAAGAATCAAGCCACGCAACTTAATGGCGTATGATGTATCCCGTTTTCTTTGTCGTGATAAATTGAGAGAAGGGAATTAAGATTGTAAACCAAAACCTGATATGGAGTCGTGAAACAGATTTCACTAGTTCCAGGTATGTGCTCGCTCCCTTGCTGGTGAGAATGTGGAGACCACAGACACTTGCAGCGAACAACACATGTATGCATGTTATATGTGCCTGCTGCCGAGACTGGTGCCGAGAGCTTTAGTTTATAGCCTTTGGGATCTGAGGGTCGGTGTAGCTCATAGATGTAGATCAAATGAGGTAAAGTTAGTGGTGACTGCGCCTGGCAAGACACATCACATGGATTCCATGTTCACACTAAGGTAACCCTTTATGCAGAAAATTGTTTTTGATTTCTGGCTCCACAGGAGCAGAACTCCTTGGACTTGAATGAATGAGCTCATCCCTTTCGACGCCGACTCCAGCTAGACCGGATTCACTGCTGGCATACGCCTTACATCGCCCACCTGGGCAGACACGATATACAGGGGCTAATGACCAATGATTGGATGAGTTGTCTCTATGCTAAATGCCCGACCTTGTAAGAGCTGCGAGTGGTGTAGGGCAAATCAACATAAATTGGACGCGATCCCTCCCCAGAATGTCAATCTCTTTCTTATTTTTAATTTACTACATCCCAATCCTCTATATCTCCTCTCTTTTTGTCTATACATCATGTTTGGTCTCATACCGCTTTTATTCACTGCGCTCGCTAGTGCCTACCCCAACCGGGGCCCTTGCACAGGCGACTGCTGGGCCCATGACCCTGCTATGATCCAGCGTGTGTCTGATGGGAAGTACTTCCGCTTTTCAACGGGCACCGGTGTCAGAACTCATAGCTCGCCATCGGTGAAGGGTCCATGGACGGACATTGGCTCAGCCTTGCCAGATGGGTCCAAGATTCCCCTGGATGGCGTGGACAAGACGAATATCTGGGTAAGAAACGCCCGAAGATGCTTAGAAAATCATATCAAGTTTCAAATAACTAACACAATTCGTCTGATAGGCCCCTGATGTCCACTTCCAGAGCGACCAGTACTATATGTACTACGTCCTGTCAAAGATCGGCACCCAGAACTCACAGATTGGGGTCGCAACATCCAAGAATATGGAACCCGGTACCTGGACAGATCACGGCAGCGTTGGTCTCCCTGCAAACGACAACTACAATCGTATTGATCCCGCCTGGATTGGTATCGGTAACAAGAACTACATGAACTTTGGCTCCTTCTGGGGCGATATCTACCAGGTCCAGATGGAAACTCCCTTGAAAGTCGGCGGCGCAACTCCTTACCAAATTTCCTGGAACGCTACCCTTAACCACCGCGAGGAGGGCTCGTACGAGTTCAAGCACGGCGATTACTACTATCTCCTCTACTCTGCTGGTATTGCGGGCAAATACACAAAGACATTCCCGGCGAAGGGTGCCGAGTACCACATCCGTGTTTGCCGATCCAAGACCGGTCTTGGTGATTTTGTATGCTTTCCAATATCCTCGCTCACTCCAAATGCTAATACTTCTCTTACAGGTTGATGCCGATGGAAAGTCTTGCAAGGAAACCGGCGGCACTATGCTCCTCTCCAGCCATGGACAGGTCTTTGGACCCGGCGGCCCTGGTGTTGTCCATGACAAGGATCTCGGCGTAGTCATGTACTACCACTACTATCCACTCGCCATCAAAGAGAGCACCACGGTCTCCGACAACGCGAACTACAGGTACGCGTGGAACGTCCTCGGTTGGAAGGACGGCTGGCCTTTCGTGAAGGCCACTTAATGCACATAATGATCATGGCTGGCCCGCGAGGCTGATACATATGTTCTATTTGCTTTTGTTTCTATTGTCAATGATTGGGCTCCTGTACTTTTGGAGGTGGAGGTATTGCACTCATTTATCGATACCCATGCCATCTTGATGTATGTCATGATGCGCTTCGTTTTGTGTCTGGCAAGTCTTGATCATATACATAATATGTTGAATCATAATAATTTGAGACCGATCGATCAGTTGATCTCTGCAAATTTTTGCTCCAGTATGATCCCGTTTCGTGGGATTCAATAAATCAGACATCCCATTCGTATGACCGGCCATAAACATCATGCCGCTCTCTTTAATTCCTCGTATACTCCAAAACATTGAGGGCACCAAGTACAAGATAAACGCAAACCTGTTATATTTGCCGAAGCCAATCCTCTTAATCATGTCGGCAAGCGCTTCAACAACGTCTCCATTGTGTCCACCGTCCAACCCGCAAAACCGCACCAGAATGTTGCAAGGCCCGCATACATGATCAACCAGAAGAATTGTTTCAAACATTCATCTTTTAGCTAATGAGGGTTCCCTTTCTGAAGATTGGCCAAGAAGATGGTTCTCCATTATAATTCTCCATGTGGGCTATACGAGCTGGTTCTGGCATGTAAAGCTTAGAGTGAGGGCATCTGCCAAAACCAGGGGCGACTAGATCACTCGTCGGACCTTGGCCAATGGGGATGAACATGGTTGGGCTGGGAGTGCGTTCAAATAGACAGTAATGACCTTGACGGTTACGGGGGATGGTTCGTGAGTTTGAGAGGCGATAGTCGAGATATATATATATTTTGTGAAGATCCAAAGCATGATTCATATCGACCGATAAGCTGAGCCCGTGCTGACACCAGCAACTAAGGTCGTCTGGACAGGAATCGTGACATGAAATGGTACCAAACATGTGTATCCTATCCATGTAGTACCGCAAATATCCATATCTCACCCAGTACATGGTGCAGGTCCTAAACCCAACCAGATTAGATAAATGGATATTGAATACCTCGGCAGCCAGAATCCCACTTAAGCTTTACGGCAAAGTAGATCATGTATGTATTTGGACAATATACGCCTATATATGAAGTTGACGGTTATTGGAAATGTGCCCTAAAATATCTCCGTAGACTCTGGAGCCACAGTGACGTGCATCATCAATTGGCCACTTGCCGCACTGTGGCCACGTGCGAAATCCAATTGAAGATATAAAATAGATACTGGCAGAGATAACAGAAGTGAATTCATTCTGAAATTCACACAAGTTTTCTGCTTGATTGCTAGGGGTTGTGTTACAACACATCTCCCCCAAAGGCAAACACAGCTATTACAGCAGCAATTATTACGCATTTCAGACTGGACAAGTTCAAGTTCAATTATTATCAATTCAGATCAGTTCCAGAAAGAAAATAATCAAGAAGAAAAAGAGTCAAAAAGGGTCAAAAAGCGCAAGTTGTAGAGGACGGACTCGGAGAAAACTTCCCCGGAGACTCAGAGCTGGCCTTTTCTGTACTCTCTGGATTGTCCGGGGTTCTCGACCTTTTTCTCTTACCTCTCACCTCTCTTCCTCTCTCCCACCTCGCTTCTCACTTTCTCTTCAGGTGGCTCCTCTCTTTGAGCCCCTGTATCCTTCTTTTCTTGATTCTCGGTGCTTTGTCAGTCCAAATCGCTATTGCATTTTCCTGAGCATCCTCGGCATTCTCCTGAACCCCAAGAAAATCTATATATCCCACTCAATTCTAAAAGAGGAAGGATATACTTTCACTTGTGAGTTCTTCCAAAATTCTTGCCATGCCATTGATTCCACCCGAGGTTTAGGTGATCTGTCCTGATCTAACTTGATCGGTTGTTATTGCATACTGACCCGGGCCTGTCGTGATTGCAGGATCCTGTGCATAGCCCATTTACCAACCTTGTCTCCAACCCCGATTTATCTTATCGACCTTCATTATTCGTAATGGCTTCCGAAGCATCCATCTCTGCCAACGGCGGATCCCTCGCTGCTATGTTGGAACAGCAGCACGCCCGCGACGAGTTGCACAAGCCCACTGTGGAGGAGACCGTGGACGAGGAAGACCTCAAGCACCCCCCTCCGACCGTGACACAGCCAGATCAGCCCCTCCTGGTTGACGCTGATACCCCCGAGCCTACCACCCCCGCGCAAACCGCTTCCCCGGCGCCCACCCCCAAGCCCGCCACCAAAAAGGCCCCGGCATTCGATGTTCAATCCGAAGAATTGTTCCCAGCTTTGGGCAGTGGCCCGAAGCCTGCTGCCCCCGCAGCTGCTACATGGGGTGCGAAGAAACCTTCCGCGACCGCTGCTGTCGCCAATGGTTCGCCCGCGAAGTCAATGGGTGCGTGGACTACTTTGAAGCTTCCCAGACTGGACAAATTTTGACAGAGAAACAGAAATTCCTCGTATCATGGCTCTCCCCGGAAAGCACATGGAGCAGCTCCGCCTAGCTCCCTCCCAGATGCAACCCCGTGGACAGATGAAGAAGCCTCTTCGTGATGTCCTCCGGGATATCTCTCGCAGATCAAAGGCGAATGTCGACATGCGCGGTGGCCCCGGTGGCTCAATCATTTTCGAAGGAAAGGGCTCCGTAGATGCAGTGCGCCAGGCTCTCCGCGAAGTGGCTCAGCAGGTTGGATCTAAGGTATGTGGATTGAACCTCTGTAAAACGAGTACTCAGGCTAACTGATTCGTCTTAATAGCAATCTGTCCGTGTTCCGATTCCCACATCTGCGCGCGCTCACATCATTGGCCGTCAAGGTACCGTTGTGCAGGATATCCAGACCCGCACTGGTGCCCGTGTTCAGGTCCCCCGCGCCGATAGCAACGCTGCTGGTGCCGATGATGACGATGATGATACCATTGACATTTTGATTGAGGGAGATGCCGTGGCTGCGGAGATGGCCCGCCGTGAGATCGAGGCCATTGTCAAGGAGCGCGGCTCAAACATGAGCTTCCGATTGAAGACTGTTCCTCCTGAGTTCTTCCCCTTCATTGCAGGTGCACACGATGCCAACGTGCGGGCCATTGAAGAGCGCACAAAAGCGCACATTAATGTTCCCCGCTATGATACTTGGACGAGCCAGCCTCCTCCGCAGGAAGCCAACCCTGGCCAGGTTCAATTCGTGGCTGTGCCTGATAAGCACATTTTGATCTCCGGAGAACGGGCTGCCGCACAGGAGGCTCGGGCTGAGATTGAGCGCTTGGCTGCGCAATTGCACCAGCAGCTTACTCTGCGCCAGCTGGCAATCAACCGTGGCCAACACCAGTTCATTTTGGGCAATGAGGCCGATGCCCTGCACCAGTTCGTTGCACAAACTGGATGTGCCATTGTCCTGCCCCCTTCCTCCGATGAGAGTGAGTTCCTCACCATCACTGGTCCCCTTGACCAGATCGAGGCTGGTATTGAACACGCTATGGATCTTGCGACAAGCATGCAGATGGCTAGCATTGATCTGTCCCGCCAGCATCCCGCTGCTCCCGCCGGTCCCCACGCCCACGCAAGTGCTCTCTCGCAGTACTTACGTCGCCGTCAGGTCATCAAGGAACTTGAATCGACATACGATGCGCACATTGCCCTTCCTCCTAGTGTTGGTGGGCCCATCACTTGGGAGGTGTACTCCCGTGACGGCAAGAACACCATCCGCGCCCGTTCCGATATCATGAACCTAGTCCAAGCTCTACCACCTTCTAGACTCCGCCACGTCCCTGTGGACCCTTACTTCCACCAGTACCTGCGTGATCGAAGCGCAAACACCCTTCAGGGTGATTATGGGGTGCACTTAATGGTGCCTGATGACATCAACTGCCCCGAGGTTGTTCTTGTTTATGAAGGCCCGTCCGCAACTGCTTCCCGTTTCGAGGTCCCTAGACAGCGCCCCTCCCCCGCGGATGTTGCAGCCTTCGAGAAGGGTCTGCAAGAGGCTCAGGATTACCTCCTCAGCACTCTCGGAGACCAGCTTGACATTGTTGCCAAGACGGTTTCCGTTCCTGCCAAGTACCAGGAGAAGGCGCGTAAATTCATCACGCGCGAGCAGGCGGCCAAGGGCGAGGATAGCATCCCTGTGCGTGCCATTGTCGGTGACGCCCAGGGTTCTCAATGTGAGGTTTCTCTCCGTGGTCCCTCAGCCCTGGTGGCTGAACTTGCCGCCAAGGTGGAGGCTTTCGTTGTGGAGCAGGAGAAGGACGACCTGGAGCGTGGTTACACCACTAGCTTTGACTTCCCCCAGAAGTACGCCAACTTCCTGATTGGCAAGCGTGGTGAGAACATCAACAAGCTCCGTGAGGAGTTCGATGTCGATATCAAGGTGGAGAACGGCAAGGTCGAGGTCAAGGGGCCCAAGGCCAAGGCAGATGCCACCCGCATGCGCATTATCAACATGGGCAAGAAGTTGGAAGATGAGACTACTCATATTCTCAAGGTCCCCGCCCAATACCACCGTGAGCTGATTGGCCAGCGTGGAAATCAGGTCAACCGTCTTCAGGATCGTTACTCTGTCCGTGTCCAATTCCCCCGCGCAATTGTTGCCAATGATGACTCCACGGAAACCGGCAGTGATGCTGGTGGTGCTCGTCCCCAGCGTGCTCAGCAGGCTCCCGATGAGGTCCTTGTCAAAGGCCCCAGCAAGGGTGCCGACGCCGCTCGCGACGAGATCCTCAGCTTGCTGCAATATGTCATTGAGCACGGTCATTCCGCCGCCATTTCTGTGGCCCAGAGCCAGGTCGCATCCCTGATCGGCCAGCGCGGCCGCGAGATGGACAAGCTTCGCGCTGATACCGGTGCCCAGATTGATGTCCCTAACGCCAACGATGCGCCGGATGCATCGGGTCGTGTGGAGATTCGGGTCAAGGGTACTAAGCAGCAAGTTGCCGAGGCCAAGAAGATCTTGCAGCAGCGGGCCAGCGAGTTCGATGCCACTGTGACCAAGACCATTGAGGTTGACAAGAAGTATCACAAGGCTTTGATCGGTGGAGGTGGTATGTTATCATGTAAAGTTATATCCTTATTTTCGATTACTGACTGAATATAGGTGCCAGCATCCGCAAAATTGTCACCGAGGCCGGTGGCCCTACTGATGGCAGTGCCGCCAGGATGGTCCGTTTCCCCCGTCCTGAAAGCACCGAATCGACCATCCGCCTCGAGGGCAACGGCAAGATCGTGGATAGCATCATCGCCGCGATCGAAGAGTTCGTCAAGGAGCGCCAAGACCAGGTCACTGAAATCATCGATGTTCCCACCGCCCAGCACCGCATGCTTATTGGCCGTGGAGGTGACACTCGCCGTGGCATCGAGTCCAAGTTCAACGTCACCCTTGATATTCCTAAGCAAGGCTCTGGCCGTACCGATGTGAAGCTTAAGGGCCCTAGCAACGCCGTCCAAAGCGCCAAGGAGCACGTCAAGTCCATGTTGAAGGAGCAGCACACGGAGACCATCGAGATCCCTAGCCACCTGCACTACTTCCTCGCGGACAATGGCCACATCTTCCGCCGCCTGCGCAACGACTATCAGGTCACCGTGGACCACGCCGGCCAGCCCCTGCCTGTCCCTGCCCCCTCCGCCGCCGAAGACACTCGCGCCACACCTGAAGGCACCGACATGCCTCTGATCATTGATGATCCCAACGTCACCGCCGACGCACACTCCTGGACTGTCGTCGACAACAATGCTAAGGAAAGCTCTCCCCCTTCCCCTGGGTTCTCAGCGGCACACCGGAGAACGTGGCCAAGGCCCGGTCGGTCGTCGAGAAGGCTCTCGCTTCCGCGATCCATCAGTCCACTACGGGATATCTGATTCTGCCGGATCCCAAAACTTACCGTTTCGTTGTCGGCCAGGGTGGCAGCCAGATCAACGCCATCCGCAAGAAGACAGGCTGCCGTATCAATGTGCCCAAGGACCAGGCTCTTGGCGAAGCGATTGAGATCCGGGGTAGCCCCAGCGGCCTGGAAGAGGCCAAGGAGATGATCCTCGAGGCCGTGCACAATGGCCTTCACGGTGCTGCGCGGTAGGTAGTTATTCATTATTGCGACTGTGGTTTTGATTTGATCTAGACAACAACTCTTACACCACCCCTTCTCTGCTTTAACTTCGAGCGAGCGGGAACAGTATCATTTTAGTTCTTTTCTTTTGGCTTTTTACTTCAATTCTTGTTTTCATCTTTATTTTTTTGGTATCTATTTCATGAATATTGGATTTTAAAAAGATTTTTTTTTTCCCTTGATCTTTCGCCTTTGACGCTTCTCATTTTACTATATCTTGTTCTTTCGCAGACCGGATTCAACTTGTCTATGTGGAATGGACTGGGTTGATTCTGATAGGTGGGATTCCATAGGTAATTTGACTCGTGGATTAGATATTCTAATCTCTATATAGTACGTACTCTGTACTCCGTACTCCGTACCTATTTGCAAGAACAGGATCGAAGGCTGTGGAACTAAGCTCGGACCTGATATCCTCTCATGCCTGCGCTATTAGCAAGAAAGTGGAGATATTGATGGGGAACAACCCAAAGGAGTAAAGAAATCCGGCCCAGATTGGCTTATCGCTAATTGTCATTTCCATTCCGAAAGATTAATCCAAGTTATGTCGATATGAATAGATAAAAGGGTAATAAAAAACAGAGCTGAATACTCGTAAGGCCCGAAACTCGAAAAAAAAACACACGCTCTCTTTGCTCTTTTAGCCATAGCGACTCCCGTATGACAGGTCTTTCAATCTCAGATCTGCATTCTGACCATAACCGCTTACTAGTTCTCTCACACTCAATCGTCTAAGTTCAAAACACCCTGGACCAGCTTACTGCTGCTGAGCCTGCTGGGCCTGGAGGTAGTTGTATGCGCCGTAGGCAATCGCGCCACCGATGAGGATGACAGCGTAGAGGCCGACGCCGAAGCCGGCGGTGGAGGAAGAAGACGAAGAGTCGGAGGAGGAGGGAGCCTTGGACTTAGGCACGGGGTCACCGGGCTATTTGTTCAAGTTAGTTTTGACACGGATCGTGAATGCGGGTTGGGGCATGTGATTGCGTGGGGTTAAAGGGGAGGCCGAGGGTAGAAGGGAGGCACATGGGATAGTGTGGGGAGAAGTGTTTCCAAGGAGGTTGGGGGTTTGTTTGGGTTGCGTACCATGCGCTTCACTGTGCCGATGAACATCTTTGGGTCGTCGAGGATCGCGCGCGCCTCATCACTGTGGCCGACATCGTCGAAGGCTTCAGTGCAGTCTTGACCGGCGAGATCAAGGAGGACTTCCTCGCCACCGCTGTTAAATTGGTTAGCCGGTTGGTTCTAGCAATCTGGAGTGGGTTAAAGCGATGCGAAACGAGTGAAGATAAAACGTCGAGTTGGCTGCTTTTTTTCTTTCTTTGCTTTCCTCGTCTAATCTCGCTTGTTGTCTTGCTTCGGGGTGTTTGGGGCTAAAATTGGTGGCAGTGGGTAGATATGGAGACAACATACGGGTGCTCCTTGGCGAAATCGGTGCAGTCGTAGATCTTGTCGTTGAGGATCAGGTAGAGATCTTTCTTGGTGGAGTGCTCGGAGACCTCCTGCAGGGTGAGTTCCTTGGTTGCAGACATGGTGAATTGAGGTATCTAAATGGTCCGGTGTTAGGTTTCTGTCGAGACTGGGCAATGAAGAGGGGGGATGTGTGGAGCTGGCGATAGGAGAAAACGGGAAATGTTTGGAGAGGTACGACAACTTACGGGATCTAGGGAGATGAATCCAAAAAGCTTGAGAAATAGCAGAGAAAGCGGGAGAAAGAGAGAGAGAAAGATATCAAAAAAGAAAAAGAACCCCCAACATGTTGCTGGTACGTGCGGCTGGGCGGTCTCGTGTATGTGGGGCCAGGTACCCAGGGACTTTGATGCCGTGAATCACACCCGGGGCTTATAAGGGGAGAGAAAAGGGGAATTTCTCATTGGATGTTATATTACATTCTATCTCATGTTGTAACGTATCTAATTGGAATCTCATACCTCTAGGGTACAGTATGTTGTACTAGATAGTCCTGACGAATCAGGGGGTTGCTTATTAGGTATGAAATCTGGCCTTTTATACAATCTCTAAATCTGCAAAATATAACTATGCTGTACGGAGTACTCCGTAGATATGTCAGAATAGATAACAGCATGGTATATAGAAGATATAAACACAACTGCCTGACTACACTGCCTGATTAACTATAACCTCGGGGATCCAATTCTCGGGTACCGCTGTCGGTGTCCTTCCGCCTTCCGCTTTCCGCTCTCCAATGTGTAAGCACGTACTCCGTAGGGGAGGTTGTGTATGAAATATTCATGTGTATAATAATATACCTCTATCTAAACGTGATCATGACTACAAATCAAAACGCTCATTTCGCTGGAACTCGCTCATAAAACACGATGTACGCCTGCTCATTCTGTAACCGGTCTCGCGCCCGGAGATCTCGCGGATTGAAGTCCGTGGCCCGCTCATCATCGAATTTTCGCCAACACTGCCGCTCCGCATCGCAGACTAGTGAGATGTAATGTCCACTGCCCATCGAAGACCCAATATGCCGCAGCACTGCAAAGGCATCGTAAGTGAAGGGTGGGACCGTGGCACCGGTGGCAGGTGGGACACCGGGCTCCGGAGGGGGAGGGGGAGGGTGAGCAATCACGAAGTCGTCCATCTGTAGACCGTGAAGCGGGAATTCGATTGGGGTGTGGATCTTTCGTGCACTTTGGGTCTTAGATGCGGAAAAGCGCTTGAAGTGAACAACGAGAATCTGGGGCGCGCGGGTGATGATGATCTGCTTAGTTGCCATTCGCTTGCATTTGCAATGTGGGCACTTCCAGACCTCATCGCCGCTCAGCATCTCCTCCTGGCAGTAGCTACGGAGGCACTGATAAATATCACCCGTACCTGTTGGTGGGATTTCAACACTGATGCTGTAGAAGGCCTCATAGGTCGTAGATGTTTGTCGGCAGGTCGTGCAGCGCAGTCGACTGGCATGTTGGCCCGCGAATAACGACGAGATAAAAGACTCCTCTCGGTGACAGTACCGGTCCCATTCAATTCGGGAAACTTTGGTCATTGGCATGCGCTCTCGTTGCATCTCCTCCGAAAAGGTCAAAGGTCGAAGCGGCGTTCGCTGCCAGTTGATATTGAGATCCTCGTGGAGGCAATCTACCACAAAATCAAAGAATTCTTTGGCATCTTGCTGTCGGTCGATGGCCCATTCTCGATTCAAACGTCCACAAAAATTCCGGAATGAGGTAGGCATGATGACCTCGACATCGTTCTTCCATAACGACCTGGTCAGATTCGCATAAAGTCCTGGCATGACGCCCTGAGACCCCTTCCAATTCTTTTGTACATAATGACGAAATCGGTTGTCGATGAAGAACCTACTCAGTGAAATCGTTGCGCTGAGACATTGGATGGTGGAATTCATATAGCAGGTCACACCAAAATTGGTCAAGCCAGTTCGCGGGAGTTTGAGGCGATCTAAGCGGGAGCTTGGAGTGTACAGGGCTGTCTGATTCGCCGAATTCTGGCGTTGTAAATGTGGTTGGATGTGCCGTCCATCGGAGACGCCGCTATAGCTGGGACGGGGCACAGCAGGGGGTGGCCGAGAGGGGGCCACTGAGATGTGTGCAGCATAGTTCGGGGAGGCGGTAGATGGAGGACGGTAGTTCGTCTGTGTCATAGACTGTCGGACATCGTGCGGTTCAGGGAAACGACGCAAGAATGCCTCATATGAGTCGATAAATGGACTTGGTGGCTCTGGTTTAGTCTCCTCGGGTTCCTCCGTCAATGTGTCTTCCTCAGCATAGGTGCTCGTGTCAATCTCCTCGACTTTAGATTTCTCCATCCACTCGGACAACTCTTTCGAGTTCAAAGGAGTGAACTCGCGCAGCCGTCTCTTCCTAATTTCAAGGCTCGAATTTGCACTAGCCATGGTAGGAACTCTGCCGAGAGGTCGGCCGGGTCTAGGCATAGGCTTTCTAGTCTGCAGAGAACTCATGACAGCAGCGGTTGAGGATGTCGCAAGGGATTGTTGCCCTAAAAGATCGATCCAGGCATCCAATCCACCAAGCAAGAGAGCTGGAGGCCGTCCGGCCTTCAACGGCTTGTATGCATTGAACTCGTAAAGAGTATCATAGAGAGCTCTCAAATGAGGTGCTGATGTCCCCACCGGAGATCCAGCAAGATAACTGACTGAATTGGCGTTTTGATCATAGTAAACCACCAGATCGTACTCGTTCCGTTTCTCAAACAAGGCCTGCTCATGCTCCGGTGAATGAACGAGTCGCTCCTCTAGCTCTTCTGCCGACACGTTCTCTTTCAAAACCACGGGTTCTATGCAAATGATAGATTTTGCATACACGTGACCGTTATCATACTGGGCTCGGGCCCGGACATCAATCAGGAGCACATTGAACTTCCGCAGATTTTCAAGAAGGCTCTGCGCAGTTATAGTTGTGCTGTACGGCAAGTCGGGTGAGTTGCTTCGTGTCTCTCGCGCCGAATCCAAACCATTTGGCGTCAGAGATCTATACGGGTTGTCATCAAACCCTCCTCGGGTTGGACTGACACGTGGTGAATTGCTGAATTGCGAGTATCTTAGATTGCCTGAACGTGTGCTTTCTGTTGAGCTCCTCGGTGGGTTTGATGTGGGCTTTGATGGCACAGTGAAGACAGGGCTATAGGCTGGGTCCGGGGCACGTGGTAACGATGTGTTAAGCGGAACCTTCGGTGGAATTGTCGGCACACTAGATGAAGGACCCATGCCACGAGGTCCTAATGGACGTCTTGACGGTGGGGGGCTGTATGTTCCAAGCGGTACGTTTGACGAATGAAGTGGGGTCTGCCCTGCAGATCCTACAATTGGGCTTCCCGGCCCAGCAGTACTTGCTCCCGGCACATACTGGTTGGAAGGCGGAGAAGCCTTGAGTTTGGCAAAACGCTGCGCAAGAAGATCGTCTGGAGGACTGGAGAATCTTTGAGAATGCGCCTCTTTGTCGGGCATTCTTTGAAACTGAGTCGGACTTGGCATTCTAGCTAAGTGTGTTCCAGACTCTCGATTCTCACGGCCTCGTGGTGTGACGGAGGTCTGTTCTGGGGATCTGGATGTAAAGACACCTGTTGGTTGCATACCGCTGACCAAATTATCCTCAATAATGTCCTGCTTGATCGCATCCATAGTGCCTTGCTTGGACCGCACCGCTTTCACTAGACCGGCGAACTCCTTATACCAATCAGGACGTTGGCTGACGGTTCGATAGTCTGGATGGTGAGGAATAAGATTTATAGTAATCTCAGAGGCGCGAAGATACTGGACGTAGGCTTTATCGTTGTAGTTGTCATCTGCGAGGTTCCTGGCCCTTTCGATTGCATCGGCAGCCGTTGGCAAGAGTATACTAAGCTATGATCCCCGTTAATAGGAATGATTCATACAACTTCAGCAAATCTTACACATACCGGCGTAGTGTCATCAACATTTAACGCAGCAGCCTGGTCTTGCAGGTCTTTTATATTGGGGTACCGAGGTCGCCGCGGTGGGATGGGAGGGGCCTTGCCCTTTGGGTACAGATCTTGTCTGTTTACATGTCCGCTAGAAATCATGTCGTCGTCCACCGAGCAAGGCCGCCGCCTGCCCTTCCACGGTGGTATATTGGGGGAGATGGCAAAGTCGCCGCATCGGAGGACATGGTAGATCCAGGCAGCGACAAGCGGACTTAGCACATGGTTATGTCCAAGATAGAGGTGGAGGGAAGGATAGAGCAAGCCACCGGCGTAACCAATCCGCCTAGAAATGAGTCAAGTTCAAATAACAAACACGAATAACGAAAGACAGACTAGAGTACAACATAAAGAGGACAGATCCAGGAACGTAATGCGGGATGCCTCTGGGGTAATCAGATGACAGTACTTCACCGCCCCCAGCCTATGACGCCAGGGGCTTAGTCACTATTGAGGTGCCTAGAAGCTCCTCCTCCAACTTACCAGCCTGATCTTCATATTTGCTGCATTGACGTGTCTTGGCTCTCTGCAACACTACTTTGATCTGTGTGCCGCTCAGTATTAAACGCGCATCGGGTGTTTTGCCTTCACTATGGCAGGCTGGTTTTCTTCAACCTCGCCGCTCGATGAGCAAATCGAGCGGGCGACAGCTTCCTCTTTGTAAGTTTTGAGGACCATCTTGTTGTCATGTCTATATGCCCCAGGGCTACCGGTTGTCCTAAATTGAATGGTCATATGACTAACTTACTACCAGGGAAGACATTGCTCTTAACCTAGAAATATCAGATATGGTTCGATCAAAGAGCGTTCAGCCTAAGGATGGAATGAGGTCTTTGAAACGACGACTCGAGAATAGGAATCCCAACATTCAGCTGGCGACTTTAAAGGTGAAAAATTGCTCCCCGTTGACGATAGGCTTGGAACAAGCGCTGATAAGCCCGCCCCTCCAGTTAACGGATACGTGTGTCAAAAACGGAGGCACACATTTCCTGGCCGAAATCGCGTCCCGGGAATTCATGGATAACCTTGTCTCATTGCTGAAATCTGAAGGTGCACCCCTTAATGCTGAGGTGCAGGGGAAGATATTGGAACTTATTCAGAACTGGGCTATGGCTGCACAGGGCCGTATGGATTTGACGTATTTGGGAGAGACATATCGTAAATTGCAGAGCGAAGGATACCGATTCCCCCCAAAGACAGAAATGAGCGGCAGTATGCTGGAGAGTAGCGCAGTGAGTGTGTCTCGAACCCACCGCTCCGAAGCAGAAGCTAACTTGCGAATTTGTCTCAGCCTCCAGAGTGGATCGACTCTGAAGTTTGTATGCGATGCCGGACTGCGTTCAGTTTTATGAATCGCAAACACCACTGCCGTAACTGCGGCAACGTTTTCGATGCTCAGTGTTCAAGCAAGACCATTCCTTTGCCGCATCTTGGAATTCTCCAGCCAGTCAGAGTAGATGATGGATGTTATGCCAAATTGACCTCCAAGTCATTTGCGCCACCAGGAATTTCGGATCGATTTGCGTTCAAAAACAATTCGATCAGCAAATCTAACACAATGGAACCTCGTGCTGGAAAGGCGGATACAGGATTCGATGAGGATTTGCGTCGAGCGTTGCAAATGAGCCTCGATGAAGCCGAGGGCAAAGTTTCTTCTGGATTCGTCCCGCAGACAGGCAATGCTCCAGAACCCCCCAAAACCGCTCCTGCGACGGACAATGTGGACGAGGAAGATGCAGATCTCAAGGCCGCGATTGAAGCATCCCTGCGGGACATGGAACAGCACAAGCAAAACCATGCGGCCGCATTGAAGAATGTGCCTGCTCCAAGTTCTATCTTGCGCGATACATCTAGCACTCCCACTCCATTGCCTAAAAATCCATACGAACTAACCCCTGTGGAAACTGAGAATATTCATCTTTTCTCTACACTGGTAGATCGGCTCCAGCATCAGCCGCCGGGCACAATTCTGAGAGAGCCGCAGATCCAGGAGCTATATGAGAGTATCGGTGCGCTTCGACCAAAGCTGGCTCGAAGCTATGGAGAGACCATGAGTAAGCACGGTGAGTTTAGCTGTCTCCATTCCCATGTATCGAACTGGAAACTAATCGCCACAGATACATTATTGGATCTTCATGCCAAGCTCTCGACGGTCGTACGTTACTACGATCGGATGCTAGAAGAGCGTCTGACCATTGCCTATTCGCAACATAACCTTGGTCATGGAGCTGTTCCCGGGGCGGCACACTATCCAAATCTTCAGTCAGGGTTCCCTACTCACGCCCCCGACGCCCAAAGCGGAGCCGAAAACTTCTATTATGGAAACCAAATGGAAAGCTCTCGCCTACCTGCTAGCATGTATGCACCGCAACAGGTAAACGGCAACGGGTTCCAAGGTCCACCCAGCGCTGTCCAGAATTCTGCCTACCCATCACAACCCCAACATGGAGCTCCCACAAATGAGTCTTATGGTCAAAATTGGGGTGGAAATACCTATCCGACCCTTGGATCACCTTCACCTAGCAACGCCATTCCCAATAACTATACCAATACCCCAGCACCAAGTGCTCCGGCTCAATATTATGCAGGTTCCCACAACCCAGACTCAGTCAAGTCGCCCGGCGCAGAACCCGCATACCAGCCGTCACCCATTATGCGCCGGGACTCCCAATATCAAGCCAGTGCGCCTCCCAGCGGTCCTACTCCTGTACCCGAGCAACATGCATCTGCTGGTTACGTGCAATCACCGGGCTATTCTGTGCCGCCCACTGCGCCAGCACTTCATCAGCATACAACAGGTCCTTCTCAGTCTTACTATTACCAGTCAGAGGCTCAGCCTCAACAACCCCCTAACACCGTGCCGTCCGCCCACCCCTCAATTAATGCTGGACAACCGGGGCCCTATGCACAGGAGACTTCGCAGCCGCCTTATCAGCAACCAGCCCGACCAGTGGAGGAAAACCTGATTGAGCTATAACTTAATCGCATTTTTTGGGCGTTATTTATGGTTCTGTCTTTGTGTGTTTGTGTGTTTTTCTCCGTCCGATGATACCTGAAGACCTTTAGCAGATTGAATGTGTTTATAGCTTGAAGCGGGTGAATGAAGAGATCTCAAGTATACATGAAAGAGCACTACCTAAGGGCACTTTTTAAGAAAAAGATAATCATTATTACTAGGTCCTTAGTTTGTTCCCCCAGATTCCATTTATAACCCCTTCTGGAGTACTCCGTAGAAGCGTCATATTTGCCTCAGGCATTCCACTACTCTTACCCGCTCCTTAATCGCCGAAGACAGCGAGATCGCCTTCTCGCTTCTTCACTTCTCTAATTCGCCTCGGATCTCTCTCCTATTCTTCTTTTTCGAATTCTATCTGATTCTTCATAATATTACTGGTGCAAACCGGTGTAACCCGGTTTCCAACTATTGAGCCTTGATTGCTTTTGCCTGCATGCCCTCCGATCTGCCGTGAGACCTCTTTACCAACTTGCCTCGGCCAATCCCCACATTCTACGCTCCGTGAGCACAGCTGATTACCCGCCTGTGGCTCCTCTGGGAGCAGTTCGCTTGCCGCCATGCCTACCTCCAACGCCTCAAATACTTCTTCCCCTGTCAAGCGCCCCGGTCTCGGTCGCCGTGCAGTGTCCTCCCATGCAGTCGTCACGCGCACCGCCAATCCTAATGACCTGTCGCTGTCTCACACGCAGAAGACACTTCTACATCATAAACCTCACCGCGCCCATGTTGTTGGTCGCAACCACCACCGAAACCCCTCCACCGGCAAAAACTTCAGCAAACTTCAACGATTCCAACTAGGTCCTGAGACTGCTGGGCGGCATCATCAGCGCAAGAAGTCGGCCCCCGCAACTCCAGTGGCGAGTCCAAAGGAAGGTGGACGCGTTCGCTGGGACAACACTGTGGGTGATCATTCCACCGATCCTTCCATGAAGAGAAACTATTCCACTCCTGTATTACGCCGGAATCCATCAGCTGTTGGCAAGAAAGCCTTGGTGACTGAGCGACCGACCTCCAGCACGGTAAAGAAAAAGACGGTCGGCTTTGAGCTGGGAGATGATGAGACCGACGAGGCTGAGTGGGAAGATACCACACAGTCACCCGAAAGTACGAGGCGCAACTCGGTCGTACCATCCAATCCCAGTGCAGACAATAGCACCGTTCTTGTCGATCACCTTACCTTTGTCAAGCGACCGTATCCTCAAATGCCTCGAGCAACCAGTCTCCCCGAGTCGATCACCACCAAGTTTGTTCGAGAACGCGGTGAGCGAAATGAAGATGAGGATGAGGATGATGAAGCTAAGCAGCAGGACTCGGAAGAAGAGGCTGAGGAGTCTAGTCAGCACACAGAACAAGGCGACAGAGCAACTCGTCTACTAAGCCCTACACACTCATCCAAAGCACCCCCCCGCCATGTCCTCTATCTCGGCTATGGTGAAGCCAGAAGCCAAGAGTCCTAATCCCGCATCGCGTAGTAGTGCATCTCTCAACCTGGCTGCTGGCCAGGACAACGCTCGGCGCACATTCTCTACAACCAGCATGGCCAGTATGCCGGGCTCTCACCCGCAGGCTACCTCATCCTCCATGGAAGGTGGAGTCTCGAGGTTCATTTTGAACAAGAACAGCATGCAGGCATCTTCTCGCACCGATTCAGACCCAAATACCCCCTCGTCGTTCCTCCCGCACTACCACCCTCAAACACCGCCCTCTCCAAACACTGCAGCGGCCAAATTGGCCGCGTCTCCTGCGCGGCCGCGTGGTGCTGACCTGCCTTCTCGCACACAACAGAAGCTATGGCTTCAGCGTACCGCCACCCTCAATAACTCTCCCCCTGATAACCATGGAGTGACCGCAGCAGTTCCACCGTCTGCCATTGACCCAACGTTTATTGCCGCTAGCCATGGCACTTATGACGCCGGCAGAGGGCTCAACGGCGACGGTCGAGCTGGTGGTGCAGGACACGACAGCGAAGCCCGTCACATCCGCAAGGCCTACGAGAAAACGTCTCTAGAATTGATGGTCGTGCGACGTTTTCAGTCCCCCACCGGCCAGAGCTTCGCTCGTCTTCGTCACATCATCCGAGCCAACAAGCCGGAGAAAGGATCAACTCCCGACAAATCAGTCGCCTCAACACCTTCGCTGCCCCTGGCGCAGCAAAACAAACGGCCCAATCGCCTCAGCTCCAGTCCTGCGTCCAAACCCCAATTGCGCAATCCAAACTCCACCGCTTCTGAAGATCCAGCGAAAGATAATCAACCTATCAATACCGCAGAGGCTGCCAAGTCCAACGATCCATCTCATCGCATCCTCTCCACTTCAGCCGAAGCTCCGCGTGACCTGAGCGGTGAAAATGACGAAGCATTCCAGATTAACGACAGCGCCATGCTGATCCGCCGGATGTGGGAGAGCCGAGAGGTCGCCATCCCTGGCTAATCCATGAATTTGCCCCGTGTTCTTTCTCTCGCCATTTATGTTTTATGACGGTTTGCTCTATGGTTCGGCGTTTGCATTCTGTTTTCATTTTCATTCCAGCGATCAGTTTGGACATAAGTTACCTTTGTCCTCTGCACTACACTCTTATATTGATATGATTAGCCAATGCCACACATTTACATGGTAATCACAGCCCCCTACGCCCACTATTTCCAGTAGACCCAAGACAAATTGGCTGCCTGACAGTGGCCCCAGGATATGCGCCGGCTGCTGTGAGATCCGGGGCAGGGGGCGATGGCCTGACCTGATGATTAAGCGCCAATCCTGCCCTCCTGATTTGTCCTACAAAACCCTAACTATATCCATGAACTCATACTGCAACCCTCCAAACTTCTATTTCGTATCGATTTCAGCTATGGATCTTGTCCCATTGGTAGCAGGTCAAATCCTGCACATCGTATACTATACAGTTGGAGTTATACTGGTGTTAGTCGTCCTCAATGTGATCAACCAATTCGTGTTCTACAACAGAAAAGAACCACCGGTTGTCTTTCACTGGGTTCCTTTCATTGGAAGTACAGTCGCTTATGGCATGGATCCGTACCAGTTCTTCTTTGCTTCTCGTGCAAAGGTGTGTATATCTTGTAGCACTCGATGCTTCCAAAGGGAAAGACAGCCTACTAATGAGAACACCTAGTACGGCGACATCTTCACCTTCATTCTGCTAGGCAAGAAAACGACTGTTTACCTCGGAGTCGAAGGCAATGAGTTCATTCTCAATGGAAAGCTGAAAGATGTCAACGCCGAAGAAATTTACGGAAAGCTGACAACGCCTGTCTTCGGATCTGATGTAGTCTACGACTGTCCCAACTCCAAACTCATGGAGCAAAAGAAGGTATATCTGCTTCTGGTCACTCTCCACACATCTCGTATCCAAAGCTCATAATCAACTCCCCCAACATAGTTTATCAAATATGGCTTAAGCCAAGAAGCCCTGGAATCTTACGTCCCCCTAATCGCCGACGAAACAAGCGCCTACATCAAATCATCCCCCAACTTCAAAGGCCAATCTGGCACCGTTGACCTCGCCGCCGCCATGGCCGAGATAACCCTCTTCACGGCAGCCCGCACTCTCCAAGGCGAAGAAGTACGCTCGAAAATGACCTCCGACTTCGCTGAGCTCTTCCATGACCTTGACCTCGGTTTCACCCCAATAAACTTCATGCTCCCCTGGGCACCACTGCCCCACAACCGCAAGCGGGATAAAGCTCACGGGCGTATGCGTGAGATTTATCTGGGCATTATTCAAGCGCGACGGGAAGCCGGAACAGAAGACAACGACAAAGGAAGGGATAAAACCAAAGGCACAGACATGATCTCGAATCTAATGCGCTGCGTATACCGGAATGGGACTCCAATTCCGGACATAGAGATCGCGCATATGATGATCACGCTGCTAATGGCGGGCCAACACTCGTCGTCCGCAATTAGCTGCTGGATCCTTCTCCGACTCGCGTCGCAGCCCGAGATGACGGAGAAGCTGTATGCTGAACAGATCCAGAACTTGGGTGCTGATCTCCCGCCGCTGCAGTACAAGGATATGGAGAAACTTCCGTTGCATCGTAACGTGATCAAAGAGACGTTGCGTATCCACTCATCTATCCACACGCTCATGCGCAAAGTGAAGAATCCGATGCCGGTGCCTGGGACTGACTTTGTTGTTCCGCCCTCGCACACGCTACTCTCTTCGCCTGGTGTTACGGCACGAGATGAGCGGCATTTCCGTGATCCGTTGCGATGGGATCCGCATCGCTGGGAGAGTCGGGTTGAAGTTGAGGATTCTTCTGATACGGTGGATTACGGGTATGGGGCTGTCTCCAAGGGAACGCGCAGTCCGTATTTGCCGTTCGGGGCTGGTAGGCATCGTTGTATCGGTGAGAAATTCGCGTATCTCAATCTGGAGGTTATTGTTGCCACGCTTGTGAGGGAGTTCAGATTTTTCAATCCTGAGGGGAGGGAGGGAGTGCCGGACACGGATTATTCAGTAAGTCTTTCGAAGTTCTTTTGGCTTGCGTGAATGAGGATATGTGGCTGACTTCTTTCTAGTCTCTCTTTTCACGTCCTGTGCAGCCGGCGACTGTGCGCTGGGAAGCCCGTTCATAGGGCTGGAGGAAATACTGTTAGTATTGGGTTTGGTTCTGGGAAAAAGGCGTCTGAAGTATGCATCTTGAAAGAGACAAGTCGATTATACGTTTATAAAAAAAGTAGTGTATCAATCATAGATGGTCTATCACGCTTTATATCGGTCCTTAGAAGTGACCAGCACTTTGATCAACCGCCAAATTTCCCCAAACACATTCTAAATTGATAAAAAAAGAAGACCGAACATTATGAATGAATCAAAGGGGTATGAGCAAATGTTGGGTGATCGCAAGGACCCACTGATATCGTATTTCAAGCAATCATATCTCGATGGACATTTCATAGAAGCCGAAAGTGTACAATAGGCCAACACCTCGAGTATCAAACAGCATAAGAGAAGCCAATGAGAGCTCATAGTTTTATGCATCGCTCTTGCCCCTTCCGCGTTGATTGCCACCTCCACGACGACCATTGGCATTGCCAGCAACACCTCCAGCCCGATTCTTATTCAGGTGTTTTTGAGACTGGGCTGGGGTCTGGCCATTCGGGTTCGTCTTGGGGGTTGTATGCCCGGAGCTTGGAGCCGAGACCCGTCTGTGATCTTGGGGAGTAGATCCATCACCGGGATTCCTGTTGCCTCGACGCCTCCGCTGGCCACCGCCAGCGCCAGGTGCCTTGCCGCCTCGTCCACCTTTTCCAGAGCTCGGTTCATTTGGCTCAGGGTCTACGAGTCCTTGGACACGTTTGCTTTCCTGATCCCACCACTGCTGGAACTCCTGCTCGGCTTGGATCTCTTGCATTTTATGCTTGGCTGTGGCTGCTTCACGAATCGCCTCCTTTTCGGTCTGTTGTTGGAGCAAAATGGTCGACAGAGAGTACGAGCCAGAGAGAGAATGTGACTCTATTGGATCAGGGCGTGGGATGTGACGAATTGATTGAATGGCTGGCTGTGGTGACGTCGTTTGATTGTTATGGGTTGCTGTCGAAGGTCCTGGCATGGACGGTTTCGAATGGGATGAGGGTCGTGGGTTACTTGACACACTGCGGCGTGGTGTTTGCATAGGTGTAGCCACTGGCTTTGACTTTGGCGGCGGGGTGCCAGCCACAGTCTGCCGCATAGTCATGGACCTTTGAGGTGATTTACCCGCTTCAGGAGTTGGAACGCTTTGGCCTGGCAAAGGATCGGGCTGAGGAAGCGACGCTGGAGAAGGTGCTGGCTTTTGCCAGGGGTTCTGTGGTTTATCCTTCGCTTTCTGTTGGGCAGCCAGCTGTTCTTGTATCTGTTGTTGCTGAAGTCTCTTTCTTTCCTTCTGGGAGATTTTGGGTACGAAGCTACCGCTACTTTCGCGTCGATCTGCCATTCCCAGCGTGAGATTTGATACCCGGGACTGTGATGCTTCTCCTATGATGTCTTTGATATCCTTTTTGGAGCTCGAAATCTTTGGTGAAGTCCATGGTCCAGAAGAGGGACTAGATGATGATGCCATGGCTTGTTTCCGATTCTGGACGACTGCCCTGTATTCAGACGGGGACTGTGCTAGTAGTGGGTCTTGCGGGGAAGACATCTGATTCTTCAAGAAACTGAGATCGTTCAAGGACTCGACATCTGGGACGCCTGCCCCCATAGCTGGGAAATCAGAGTATGATCGGTTTTCAGGTATGCCTTCAGTGAATTGAAGTCCACGCATAGCACCCTTGCCCTTCGAAGCACTAGGAGACATAGGCGCTTCATCGTCCATTTGAAACATGAGATCCCCAGCCGACTGCCTCGGCTTCAGCATTGGGCTACCACCAACATTTGGTGACTCTCCAGATACACTGGTCTTTGCTTTGCGCAAAGAAGGAGATGAAGTAACCTTCTCGTTAGGCGCTTGCCGGGCTCGTGCATCGTAAGTTTCGAGACGACCAAGGCGGGACTGCAAAGCCATGGCATCAATCCTTCGTTGCTTATCTGCTTCCACAGAGCTGACAATCTCGGGATATTTCTCGAAGACGTACTCCTCAGAATTGCGCCCACGGGATATGGGCCAGCATGCTAACTGATTCTCGCGGCAGATCAGATCCAACTCCCGAAGGAGGGTAGTATCCAAATCTTCAAGATATCTATTAGCGAGCATGGCCTCGAGATTGAGACAAATATATTCCAGGGCGGCATCCTTGAACTCTGTGACACAGCAGGGGGCGATGGAATTGAGCAGATAGCACACATTGCGCGTTGTGACAAAACGACCGAGCATCTTCTGACACACTTGAGATAGTCGGTCGATCATCAACTCATTTGCCACGAACATTACATCCAGCAGCAAGTCAACGAAGTCATCAAGATCATTGGTTCGGACTTCATCAAACAGCCGTTCCTCTGTATCGGCATACAGGTAACGCATGACGAATTCAAATGTAGAGCGATCAATGTGCTTCAAATCGACATGCACACTCTGATTTGGGTCTGCTTTGCGTGAATCAAGCCACCTTCCACCCGCATAACCATGGAAAAGGGTGTCAAAGAATGGACATCTCTGACACACAACTTGGCTGTGCACTTTAATTGTATCGCCTTTCAGCTGCACAATCACATCTGCGCTGTTAAATAAGAATGGGTCGTTGATGGCATGAGCCATATCCATTTTCAGGCTTCTTTGTGGCTCGACCATTAGACGTGCTGCCCGCTCCAGCGCTGACAGGCCTAGTTGCGTTGAAACCCGCATGACTTCGGTGCGAACTTGCCGGAAACGGGCCGAGTTTGCGGACGAGCTCCTTGCTAGGCGCCAAACATCGAGAGTGCCGTCTGTGTAAAGGAAAAAGACCACATTCATAACGGTCAAGAAATCAACACCTTGGAGGCAGATCTGAGGATGTCCGTCCTTCCCGTATTCAATATCAAATACATCTGGGACGGATGAATAGTATGATTGCCGGAATTCGGCCAATGCCTTTCCCAAGATTTGACTGCGGCCAGCTATAAGAAACTCGTGCACGGGAATACAAGAGTCAGATAGGGAGCTAGTTACCCAAACAGTCCCCTCGGTCCGTACAGAAAGAAATTGGCTTTCAATATCTGAGGATGAAAGTATGGCTCTTTGTATACTTTTTCCGGAGGAAAGTATAAGGGGAATATTCTGAGCGTCATCATCGAGGATAGAGTCTAACTCTTCCAGACCTGGCATTGTAAATGGGGACAACGGCAACATATCATCCCAAAGTCTGCTTTGCTCGACATGAATTTGTTCTCTTGTCACTTCACAATCACGTTGAGCGACAGCGTATGCCCCGAAGGCGTTGCTTCGCACTGCCACTGCCCGTGAGAGACCGGGTATGCGGGCAAACTTGTAATCTTTCGAGGCTCCCTCCTTATTCTTGGTCCGTCGTTCTTTTCTCCACGCAGATCCAGATGTTGTACAAATGATGATCGAACCGTCTTGCCCAACATCAACATCGCTTGCTGCCATGTACGATTTCTTAACGGACCATGCTCGAACAGGAGTGGCTAACGAATTCCGAATTTTTACAGGATTGGTTGTGGACGTTGAAGCCGAAGAGTTATCGGACTTGTTGGCTTGAACAGTGAACACATCACCTGAGCTGGATAATGCACATATAGTGTTGCCTCCACATACAATCTTGACGACACGATTTGCAGTCTTGTCGTATCGGGTTACCATGAAACTATCCCTGATAAATCTTGAGCTCACCTCCAGTGGGAATGAAAGCTTTGAATAACCATATGACGAGAATACCCAGACTTCGTGGTTCTGCAGAAGCACAGACGTAGCACGGTCGATGGCGGCCACCATCTTGATTGGACAATTGAAAAGGGATGCTCCAACGCGCCGTGGTGTCGTCTGTACCTCAAGCGAACGAGCATCGGAGTCAACCAAGCCAAGTTGACCTTCGTTCTTGCCAAACGTATAGAGGCCTGAGGTACTGAAGACCACCGAGTGGATAGACGAAGCTGCTGCGCCTATGATTGTTTCTTTCTTGAACGGGTTGAAGATCTGACGAGGAGTCGTCTGTATGGGTATATCGTTTTTGTTGCTAGTTCTCGGCAAGCCATAGCCAAGTTGTCCGAACTTGTTGCTTCCCCAGCTGAAAATCTCGCCCTGCTCTGTGATTGCCAGGCTATGATCTTGACCCAGAGCAGCCGATACGACTTTCTTGCCCTCTAGTCCACCCGTTTCAATACAAGCAAAGGTGAAACGCGTCGACTCATCTCCTGTTCCTAAGCGCCCTCCAGGTCCAAATCCACACATGAACAGATTAGCCTCAGGGTCATCAGTGATGATAGCGGTATGTAGCTTTGACATGATAATGTCTTGGAACCTCATTGGTTTGTTTGTGATCAGAGTAGGCAGCCCGGTGGATTGGCTCTTGGGAACGCTACCCTCAAGCCCTAGATGTTCCAATTTCTCTTGGTATTCACGGTAAAATCGATGCAAAAGATGCTCGGGCCGCTTCAACGTAATGCGCTCAGGAAATTGTCTGTCATCCTGGTCTCCTAGACCAAGGTTCAGATTTTTGTTGCTTCCTAATGTAAAGATTTCATCGGCGGAAATATTCACAGCCCCTTTCAGGGCAGTCCTAGGAGCGTATAACCCGTCTTCTCCGTCATCTCCAAAGTTCGAAGCAGCAGCATTGGAAGCAGCATCGCTTCCCAGGGCATCGTCATCAAGACCTGAGGTCGGCCAGTCTTCAGAGAGATGCTTGATGTCCCGGGCTCTAATGGTCGCCCCGAAGACGTCAAAGGGACTGCAACCCTCACGGTCTTTGATCTTGATCAGACCACCACTCGGATGGCTCGTATTTCCACCTTTACTGAAGTTCGTCATGTCCTGCACGTCACGCACCATGAGCGCCAGAGCAATTGTGGCGTTCCCGGCGTAAAGAGCCCGGTGCAAAGCGGTCCATCCACTCTCCCAATCCTGCGCATAGATATCGACGAGCGGAACATCCAATAAAGCGCGTGCGAATTTTGAGGCCGTAGGTTTCGTGGACGAAGCGACATGATGCAGCAGTGTGCGGCCGTAATGATCGCGGGCATTAACATCGGCGCGCGACAAAGTCGCGCTCCCGCGCGAGAAGGCCACCCGGTCAGGCACAGAGGCCCCAAGTGATGACTCAAGATTCTTCTTACTTCTCGGTGGATTCGGAGACGAGGCGATCATGGACCCGGGGCTTCCAGCCTTTGATGATGGGTTTGTCGCAGCTCCAGAGGGACCCCCGGAGCCTCCTGCAGCTCGCGGCCCCGCGAACGTCGCGTTCGCCAGAAACCGCTGGAACCGCTCGACATCATCTTGAATGAAACACTCCCAAAGTCTGTTACTCATGTGCCCGGAGTGGTCGACGCGCCGAATCTCTTATCAGACCCAATCTGAGCGTCGCCGTCACCACAGTGGGGTGAACCGCGACGGGGGAGGCTGGGTGTTAAGAGAGCTCCGGTTCAGGGGAAAGGATAAGAATTGCCGACGCTATATAGGTCGACGCGATCTCGATCTCGGTATCACAATTTTTATGGAGCGGATTTGACGCGAAATCGATTGTGGGCTCGGAGTATGCGCGTGTGGCGAAAGTGCTTTGGCGGGGCAACTCGAAAATTTGGAAGAGGAACGAAGGGTGAGCAGGTTGGGAGATGGGAGATGTATGCCTCGGGATGTCTAGATGGTTGGGAAAAGCAAGATCTCCTGGGGGTCGCACTTGTCAGAAATCCGGCCGGTTGACCCTCGATGTCATCCGTGGGTCCGCCCGCACAGTTGACGACAACGGCGTGCGGGTAAAAAGCACATACATGGTCATATCCAGTACGCAGCTGTAAATCTTCATCAATGACTCTGGGTCGTTTCGGACTCCTCTAATTGCTATAAATGAGTTATAATATGTCTCTGGGGTGAAGTATTTAGCAATTTAATCACAAGCAAGTATAGAAAATATGTATTAAAGCGTCGATTTATCAAGTCAAGAGTATGATTTCAATACTGTGGACATCTAAAGCTCATAGACTTACAATTCTTCCCAGGGATTATAATGAAAAATTAGCTTCCATGGTAGAAGTATTCGTTCAAGGAGAAGTAGTTTGGAGGAAAGCCAATAAAACCGTCCATACTATGCATGTCCATACTATACTATGTCTATATGGACGTTATCGTCCTCCAAGGAGCCCATTTGACCAATAACGACGCGCATGTCCCTCCATGCCCCCGGACGAGAGGCGAGGGTCAACCAGGGCAGACCCGTGGGGACCTGATAGGATGCGCTATTATGCATTTACGAGCTAGGCATGTATGATATTCCATTTCATTTCCGTTTTCTCATGTAGAAATTGCGTGGTGACTTGGACAGTCGGTACCGAATCAGATCTACATCGTGATCTTTCGACCAGTCTCCAGGTCCTGAATCCCTTTCTTCAGTTGCGTGCGTCTCCGGCTCAGTGCTGCATTTTCCCCCGCAATATCAGCTAGCTGGTCTTCCGTCAGGTCCGCAACAAATTGGGGCGAGGAAAGTCCAAGCGGTTTGCGTGGTCCGGTGAGCAGACAGCAGCCGGTGGCTTGCATACAGATATTATCAACGAACCGCCTGGATGCCACTGCATAGTAAGCCGCCAGAATATCATGAATGTAACGAATGGTCCGTTGGGTGTTGCTCATTGGGGCTTTGCTCATGCCCTTTATGATCTCATACTGCTCTCGGTGGCTGGTATGATAGTTTTAGCATAGTATTCTACCCATAGATTGAACGCGGGAGTCAAACACACCTTCTCTTTTGAGTCATCTCGAGGGTTTCTTGAAATTTATTGTCCAGCGTCATCAGGTTCATGCGCTCGACGTCGAGAACCATCCGGGTTTGGTCCATTGCTTCCCTGTATCTCTTGGAGAGTTCGTCAACGGGAACACTCACTAACTTGTCGCGGATTTGCTCCTCGGGACAGATAAATAGAAGGACTTCGAGAATGAATGTATGCATGATATCAATCACATCGCTGACATATCCGAGTGCGAGTTCGGTCCATTTTCCAGACTGCTTGTTCATTATGGTGCTCAGTAGCGACGTCTGGAATGTTCCCATTTCGAATCCACGTGAAGCGCGATATTGGTCCTCGATCTATACTAGGATGCTATCACCTGTTGGCTTTTTCATATGCTCCTGTTCGAAGAGAGTACCATCAATGGCGCCACAGTGATCTGAAGCATTCATGTTCTTACGAACAGGAACCTCATCGACCCTCCCATCGTCCTCGCCATCACCATTTCCGTTATTGTTGCCGTCACTGCAAGGTTCAGATTCAGTCTCAGGAACGGGCTCAGGCCCAACTTGCACTGAATTTGGCTGCTGGGCTCCTGTTACCCAATGAAGAAATTTGTACTCGAATCCATACTTTTCCATGTCGGACTTGAAAATATCCATGCGGTTTCTGACTATGGTTGCAAGTCGAGCATCTGGATATCTCTCAAACAGTTCATGTGTGCCATACGAAGTTGCCATGGCCTGCGAGACAATATCTTGAAACTTCGTTACAATGTCGAGTATAAAGCTTCTCTGCCGCTCTGGATTACCTCGCTCGGTACCAAGAGCATAGAGATCCTGCTCCATGGCCTTCAACTTTTGGCCCACCTCGGTGCGCATCTTCATATGTAGGTAGCCAGATCTGTTGAAAAACTAGTAAGATGACGTGACATGCCTTGGGGAACTGGCGACGAATTTGGGTGGTTTGCACATCTTGCAGGCGAATCTTGAGGCCAGCAATGCCAACTTTGTCTCTCGGAAGGTCCATTCCATGGGTAATCTTCGCGGAAGAATTGGACCTCGACTAAATCTCGGTCAGAGCTCTGGTCACGTAGCTGTTGCTGACCGGCATTCCGCACAACAATCCAGCCAAGCTTCAAGGAAGGGGTTTTGCCTTCCACCAAGTCGATGACATTTTCCTCGGCACCCTTATCCACCAAATCAGGTTTGGTAAATACACCCTGTGTGCGACTTCCCTCGAGATCGCACTCACGCTTCTTTTCGTGTCGGCTCTGGTGCGCCGAAAGATGATATGAGTAGCAAATCGTGTGCACAGCCCGCTGTCTCTGGGAAACGGCAATTTTGTAAGACCCTCAAGAACAGAGCTTTTCCCACTAAACTGGTCTCCCACCACAACAAGCTGAGGCAAGTTAACGTATTCAGAGAGGTTGCAAGCTAGGAGCCGATCAATCTTATTCAGCAACACTGGGTCACCGAGCCCTTGGCCTAGCAACTTTGGAGTAGAGACAACCGCCATATTTCTGGCGAGTGAGGATAGGTGAAAGCTAGAAGATTTGGTTTGGATTGTTCTGCTGAATGGGTGAGGAAGAGAGAAGAAAATAGGGATGAAGGAGGGGAGAAGAAGATGATATGAACAGAAAGAAGTGGGAGTTGAATCAGGTTTATGTTCTAGTAACCTCCCAGAATCCAACTCTCATCCTCTATATGTGCCTTTTTGAACTACCAAGTTTGGATGAAAGATATCTTCACTATGCATACCCTTCGATAAGGTTCCTCAGATCCCTTTGGGAATTCAAATATGGCGTCCTTGGGAAGTATTCTGAATTATTTTTCGCACGCTCGGTGTGTCGAATATCAATGTGTGAAATATGAGCTTCACGGCACTATTCGAATTACATCTTTTCACGTCTCAAATACATATACCACCGTGTGCTTGAAGCAGACTCAGTCATGTCTACCGTCGTATCTCAACGCACGCAATTATTTGCGATTAAGACATAATCGTACGTCGGAGGCTACGTATATATCTATCTCGTATTAGGGCATCTACATCATCACCGAGCGTGTGCTACCAGGAAGATGTTTGGTGACAAAATTCGTTAGAGGCGACACCGTGCCTACCTAGGTATCCAGTTACCCATCTACTAGTTTGAATGACCAAATTGTGTTCCTTTCAACCCTCTAACTAAGCTCGTCATTTGATATATTGATATATTGAGTTTATTGAATGTGATAGCAGATACAAAACTTGTTCACACTTCCCATCTTACTGGCCCACCTGGAGATACTGACAGAACAAGAATTTGCGGACCATTTCTCTAATTTGAATAGTCGGGTTTTTCCCACTCGAGAGGGATCACATCCAATATTCTTTTGGTTTCTTCTGTGGTACGGTCATCAATAAGCATCTTCTGGTTAATAGTTACCCTCTTTTGCTGAATTTGGACAAACCACCATGACGCCAGAGCTGCAGCTTGATCTCGAACCGCACGCATATTCTGCCTAGGTGTATTCCACTTGACTGGCAGCGAGATACAATGGTCCCCCAGCCCATGCAGTGGTTGATGGGTCATCGCCGTTCGACCAGCTTTGCACTTTTTGATTACAAAGAGCATAATCTCTTCATCGCTATAGGTACCATTTTTCACCTCCGGTGGGAGTATAACACTGACCCAGCAGTATCCCTTCCCATCGTCGCGAGGATCCGGAATATGGTGCTTTTCGGTTACGAAGGGACTCGCCTGCACACGCATCTCGCCGATTAGTATGGTAGATAAAGCTGAAATCTGACCTTTGGCAAGACAGGCCTGCGTTCTGTTAAATAGTCTCGTGTTCTTCAAAAGACAGTGCTCTATTTGTTGATAGCACCGAGTTATGACAGTACGAAAGGGCAGAAGAGGTTTATATGATAACATCTGACCTGTAATATATCGAGTCTTGCATGGAATAAAGAGAGAGAGAAAAGTAAAAGAACTTTTCCTGCCACAATGGCCTTTACTATTAACAAAGAGACCCGTTTCGTTGTGTCAAAAGTCCGACTTCACCTCGGAATGAGGATAAGCTCCAAAGACTACACCTGTATGTCAGCACCTTGCTTGTGAGGCAAGGCACCAATTGCTCAGCCTAGAGGCCCCCTTTGAAGGGAGAAAAAAAAGGATTTGGCAACTGCGCATTATCTACTTGATAAGTAGACAAAAAAATGAGGCTGACCCGATTTGAACGGATAACCTTGCGAACTGGAGTCGCACGCGCTACCGTTGCGCCACAGCCCCATGTTACAATATTCTGTGTTTTCAACTTATCTATGACCTAACACAACTTTTGTTTAATTGATCCCACAGATAAACTTGCCAATTGAGCAACGAATAAACCTCAGAGTGAATATCCGGGAAAAGCAAGCAGCGTAATAGATAATAAGTGATCTCGATAGTAACATCGTTAGCGGGTAGCTGTCTACGATAGGACTAGGTCAGATATCACGGCGTTCAAACTCAAAAGCTCTTCACACGAAGGTGGAGCCATGTCTCGGACTACCGCAGTTCGACAACTATCGATGACTAGCAAACTTTCTCGGCTTCACAGATCGAGCCGAGAATCCGGAACACCGCCGGATGTTCTGCAATGTAGGTCACAGTACGGAGGACGGAGTAGGGAGTAGGTGATTTACTCCATGCTAAACAAAGAATCAGCCCCAGCTTCTCCACTAAACGGTTCTTCACTGCAAAAATCAAGAGAAAAGCTCATGATTTCGACCACTGAACGGTGTTGAGGAAAATAGAAGAACAGGACGAAAGTCTTGGGGTCTGTCAAGATTACAAATTTGTCCAAGGCGCATAAAAAAGCTGACAAAGTACCTAGACAAGTGCCTGAACCTAAAGTTCTAGAAGAGCTGGGATGATCAACTGTGGGGTGAAACTAGCGCCTCCCCAGCCGTCATTCTGGGGTCTTACGGGTCAATAGGGAGAACTACTCCGTCTTAAGGGGAGAAACCATGAGAAAGGACCGGGGACTCAGACATCCGGGTATAACCTTATAGTATATTGTGAGTTGTGAAAATCCTTAGACCATGAGAAACGTATACTTTGTGCATCTATCTCTTCTACCCAATCGGTCTTATATCCCATTCTAACTTACACTTCTGACTAGGCACCGCCCTTACCAAAACGGGAACTGGTCATCTGCCTCTCAACGTCCTATATTAACACGAAGAATGCAACCCAAGCCCTTTTATGTGGAGCGCCAATGACAAAGTTAACGGCAGCACGTTATGCAAGTACCTGCTTCTTGCAAGATATCCTCCGCATAATGAGGGGTAACGCTAATAAAACGCCGAATTCAAGCGGTGCACCGTATAGGGATACGAAGACAGATGTGCTTATTCTGACCCAACGCGTATCCACGACGTATCCATTGCAGAAGGGGCTTTCTCCGCCATAATGTCTCATCTGCCTCGGGATATCCTCGGATCATTGCATTAGATGTGCCTGATCAGACAGGAAACAAGTTCGTGCGGGGCTGGTGTCGATCCTCCAGGTTGAAAGAATGTTGGACTTCAGCTTTCATCTCGATGTTGAACAAGAAGAAAGAGGTAAACAGATGAGTCTGTCTCTGAAAAGTTTCCTCATAGAACAATCTGCTAATTCTTGTGTTCATTCTGGGGGCTAATGATGTAGAAGTAACATATTAATATGGGGATCTGCAGAGCGTTAGACAGCTATGTCTCGGCCGGAGTAGGTAATTCCATCTTCGGGGACTAGGTGATGATCATCGCCATATTCACCAGCCTCGGTAATAGATATCAATCACATTCACAGGATGAGACCTGTCATGTATAGATCTAAGTATATAATGTGAAGATCATCCTCCCTTTTCTCGTGCAGCAGCAGCATCACAACCCTGACTCTCATAAATAGAGCAGTAAGATGGCATTGTCTATTGCGCGCATGGCGCGCCTTGCCCTGGTTGGCATGATGGCATTCACGTCGATTGCCTCCGCACTGCCTGCGTCTCCCGTCCCTCGCACCACGGTCCAGCCTCCCGATGCGGATCCGTTCTATCAGCCGGCTGCCGACTTCGCATCCAAGGCGCCTGGGACAATCCTGAGCCAACGCAAGATCAATGCCGCGTTCTTCGGCCTCGTCCCGATTGACGTGGAAGCCTATCAGCTGCTTTACCGCACAACTGCAATTGATGGCTCGGCCATCGCAACAGTCACTACGGTCTTCAAACCGAAGAACGCTAAGCTCGATCGTTTGGTCTCCTTCGCCACGGCCTATGATAGCTCTGCGACGAAATGCCAGCCTAGCTATGGCTACCAGCTCGGTGCGCCTCAGGACAGCTTGATCTCTTCGGTCGAGTTATTGATCATTCAGATCTACCTTGCTCTCGGTTATATCGTCGCTTCTCCCGACTATGAGGGCCCCGAGGCTGCCTTTGGACCTGGTCGCCTCGCAGGCATGGGTGTATTGGATGGTATCCGTGCCGTGGAGAACTTCAAAACCTTGGGTCTCGCCGCTAAACCCATGGTTGTCGGTGTCGGCTATTCGGGTGGTGCCATTGCTACCGGCTGGGCAGCCTCTCTGCAGCCCAAGTACGCGTCGGAGCTGAACATCAAGGGCTGGGTGCAGGGTGGAACTCCCTCAAACCTCACCGGCACAATGTATCAGCTTGACAATACAGCCTTCAGTGGCTTCCTCCCCGCAGCGATTGCTGGTCTCTCGAAGCCAAGTGCCTACGGTGCCGAGCTGATCCCGTTCATCAAAAAGATCATAACCCCAGAAGGTCAAAAGGCACTCGATACCGCCTCCTCAGAATGCGCCACTGGGGATCTCTTAGCATTCTTCGAGAAATCGATCCTTGACACTAGCTTCCAAAGTCTGGGCGATGCTTTCATCTTGGACCCGGTCATTCAGTCGGTGTTGGGGCACAATACTATGGGTGTCAACAAGGACGAGACTCCGACGGCACCAACCTTTGTGTACCACGCCAAAAAGGATGAAGTCATCCCCTACGACGACGCCAAAAAGATGGCTGACTCCTGGTGCAACTGGGATGCGAACGTCAAGCTTACTACTTACGCCAGCGGTGGTCACGCGACCACTGAAATCATCGCCATCCCGGATGCCATCAAGTTTGTCCAGAATGCCTTTGCTGGGACGACCAAGGCTGGCTGCCCCAAGAATACTGAGCTTGGCAGTGTTCTCAACCCGCTTGCTCTTGGTGCCAACCTTGAGCCTATTCTGGTGAAGCTCATTGATGCGCTGTTCCATCTGGGTGATCAAGACTCAAAGTTGAAGGCCGACCCCGTCAATGTGCTCAATACCAACCTTTAAGCTCATGCGGACATCAATAAATATTGGCCACAATGAGTGCTGAGGATTTATATAACGCACATTATAGGTTGCTTTCTGACAATCTTTTTGTTTTGGTCATTCAACTCTGAAGTATATAACTCTTTCAATACATAATGTTTATAATCGAATGAAGTTATGACGTTGGATCAGATATACACCATGCTCCAATGAAATATGGGGAAACGTAGGAAGATCCGAATATAAAATACGTAGATATTTATATCAGTATCAGCTGCCCTTGATACTTAATATGTACACACATCCATATGGATGTGAATATATCACGCCTTGTAAGTCGTGATCAGTGCTTATCTGTTCCAGGGTACCCTTGTCTAGGTATCCTTGCGACCGTGTTTTGTACAACAATTCTCTACCTAAATCTAAAGAGCAAGATATAAATGAACAAGAGCCTAGAATATATAGAATATAGGCAGCAAATCCCCGTGTTTACATCATCTGCGTGGCGTTCTAGGCTGACTAGGACACTCGAGACCTGTCGAGTCACCGGATGTGCGTCACAGATGAACTATCTTCATTATTACACCCCTTCTCTCTCTCCCTCTCTCTCTTTCCCTCCACATCCATCTTGTTTATCATTTCTGTTTCACTTTCTCATATATCTCTCGTTTCCCTACGCCTCACCCGGCCATTTCCTCTCAACTGCATTTGCCCGTGCGGAGAAGCTCTAGACTTGCTCCGAAGGTCCCAGGCCGGAGACAACCCTAGACCACATGCTGGGCATCCATTGTCTTATCGTGAATCATTTAGCGTCTCAGATTCAGGAACGTCCTTAGAAGATATCGTTCTCATCGCCTGTTAGCATGGCCCTCAGTACTGGAACCATCGCTGCCCGATTGCGTTCCTGATAACAGATTCCGGCGGTGATAACACTGAATCTACAGCACTTCCGCTCCAGGGTAAGACCATTCCTCTTCTTCACATGCGTGTTCATGGTCGCTAATCACGCGTCCACAACTAGGCGCCCATCATGCATCAACATCCCCGATCATCGGCGGTGCCCTCTCCGGCGCCAAACTTCCCCCTCAGACCGACAGCTCGGGATGACCGCAAAGAACAAGAAACCGCCCCGAGCTCCCCAACCGTCGAGATGGGATCTAATTCTACAAGGGGGCTGGGGATAGAGCCGGGGCCTCAGCCGTCTGAGCAGGGGAGGAGTGCGGCACTGGGAAAGGAGGCCCTGACCCGGTTAAATCAAATAATATCGGTATCGTCGCTCAGATCGCCCCTCCAATGGGCTTATCAGGATGGCTTGTTGATGGCTAATCTTTGGTTCAACAGAATTATCATACAAAAGCTGCTTTGATTATCCTGCACTCACGAGTTGTACTGCCTCCCTCCTATAACAAGGGCTCTGAGTCCCCAAGAGTCAACCGCTGGGTATGTTTCCATCTCATGGTCGGGTTTGGGATGCTTTTTGGAACGGTCAACCACGGTCAACCATATAAAAGTGACAGAAGCTAATTCTATTTCGGTCGCTTTAGTTCAATGTTGAATTAGACGATACAGATGCCCTTCGGGAACCCCTACGACCTTGGAGAACATGCGATGCAACGGACAATCGACCACCACCCCTCGTTATTGAAACATACCTAGACACAAAGGGTCTCACAAATAATCAAAGTTTGGTGATTCTTGATGAGAATGGGAAGCGTTGGGATGTGCGCGAATCGCTCGCGGCGCTTGCGGGCACCCGTGCAAAGCCCTACCAATCGAAAAATGACGAGATTATATTGGAGCGGTGGAGAATCGAGTTGGGAGAGTCCTCAAGTAGGCTTCCGGCGGATTTGGGCTCTATTTTGCCGACTGTGTATAAGAAAAGCATTGTGCTCTTCCGATCCTTATTTACCTACTCCAAATTCTTGCCTGCATGGAGATTCTCTAAACGCAACAAAAAGTTGCGGCAGAGTCCGGCTCTCCAAATCAAGTACCGTGTGGTAGATGGAAGCGCTGCTCCTGATGACCTCTCGCTGGATCATTTGACAGCCCCGTTGAGTGAGGGAAGCGAAAAAGTGGTTGACACCTACGGCTTTGGGGTCACAGAGTCGCCCGCAGGTCCCTTTTCAGTTCAAGTCACGTATCGGACGAACTGCGATTTCCGCGTTGACGACTCGGAAGCGCTCCTGAGCTCGCGATTCATGGGAGCCGACGACGAGATCTTTCGGCCATCGTTGCCTTCAGATGATACCAACCGCCCAAATCCTGAAGTTGGTTCTGTGCCAGTGGAGAGGAGGACCGTTGAAAATCCAGATTGCACACGTGCATACGGCAGCCTCTCGACCTTCCATCAGGTTGGCCCAACAACAGGTGCAAGTCCTATATCAGCACTTCGTGCAATGAGAGATTCGGGCGCGGGGTCTCCATCCCCGACCGACTCACCTAAGAGACTCCTTCCCCCTGCCAAAGTCGTTCCTTCAGGACGCGCTGCGCAGATTGCTGGCGAAGGTGGAGGCTCAAGCTTTCCACGCCGTCCTTCCATTTCATTCCAGCCCTTCAAAGCCCCCCTCTTTCTGCTTCCCCAGCTTTAGCAGACTCTCCCTTAGGTGTGTCTCCCCGTAACTTGTCTTCACGCATGCCCACAGGAACGTCTGCCGATTCGCGTGTTATGCCACCCCCTTCTTCTGCTGCTTCAGCGCGCAGACCTATAACCATTGCCTCCGAGCAAGCTATATCATTCTCTAATTCCGCATCCCCCAAACCTGCTCCGATATCCCGGTACAGCAGTTCCTTCAGTCACCGACGAGGTCGCCTTTCTGCGGGGGCAAACAGACTGGAAGACGACAACTCCAGTGGCCGAGCCAGTGCGACATCATCCAATGCACAACCCGGGTCCGGCCTACTCACAGAAGCTACAGGCACGAGTGCGGAATCCATTCATGCAGATGACGAGAATATATCAGATTTCTTAAAGATGCTTGATTCGAAGAAGGACCTAATGAATTCATCTACCTCCGCATCTATTCAGCCTGGCTCTAGGCAGCCGAACCCCACTGCAGCAGCCCTGGCCCGCTTCCGCGGTATGCGAGATTCCAATGCCGCGTTGTCCGACTCGATGTCACAGTCTATGCATATGCATCGGTCTTCCATTTCTTCGAGCAAGCAACTATCAGGAGTCCCGCCAATGGTTGCGGGCACCTCCATCTCCACAGCTTCTTCTCCTGGGAAACCCATATCTCCTCATACTCCCCACACTCCTGCTATCCGCTCTCGGCTGAGTTCGAACAGCGTTGCGGATGATATCGAAACCGACCACCGCTCAAGAATCCCTCGTATACAGCACGACTCGCCGCTGGAAGAACATCCTGGCATGGAAACTACGCGAGGACCTTCCTCTACCGCAGGTGCTATCGATATCCCAACATCGCCGCGGATTTTCGACCCTAACTACCGTCGCTCGAGCTCTGCAGCTCTGCGCCGGCCGATAGTTACAAGCGAAGATGATGAAATCTTCCCATTCGGCATGCGCAGCCTCAGTCTGGGGGCCGACGAGCCCTCAAACACCGCTCCGAGCGCTACTCAACGGCAGAACGAGTCCCAGAAAAACCAACAATCACCGGCTGAGGACCCAAGTGGCCCATCAGGCTCTGCCACGGGCCCGTATCGGGACAGTGCATCCCTCCGCGGGCAGATGTCTGGACCAACCAGCGCCTCAGTCTCCTCCAACCCCCATGTCTACCAGCCCCGATTCGCCAGCTCCCGTGGCCGCGGCTACTCAGGTGGGCATTCCCTCAGCTCGGCATCGAGCAGCCTCGCCCGGGGCGCTAATCTCGCCCCGCATCTGGCGGAACGTGACCAGGACCGCGATGGCAACGCCAGCGGAAGCAACAGCGGAAACTCCACGTTAGAGATCCGTCGAGGCTCTGCACAGCGACCAGGCACGGGTCGGACGCTGTCCGCACAAGCTCCAGATGACGACGAGCCGCTGCTTTTCGCCATGAGTGATTTCGGCGCCTCGCGGCGCAGCCTTGATGAAGGTAGACATGGGAATCACGGTGGGGCTGAATCAGCCGCTGGGTCCCGGCGTGGTAGTGGGAGACGGGGAGCAGGGCTCCCGGGCTTCCATGTTTGGTCGTGAAGTATAAGTATACATGGTCATTTTATTGATGCTTTTGGTTTTCTATTCTATCTCAACCTCCCTCGCCTACCTTCCAAACATCTATCTTATAACAGTGCGGTTCTCTTAGGCAATTGGTCCTTGTTTTGATTTTCAACCACTTACTACTTGCGCGGTTGGCTGCCAGTGATTTCATAGACTGAACACTCCAATCACAGATTGTTCGTGCGATGTGCATAGAGATTGGGTCTTATTGTTTCGTTCTGGGCGTCTTGTTTATCTCTTTCTTGTTCTTTTTTCTTCACTTTCACTTCACTTTCCATTTTCGAAGTTCTGGGATTTGCTTTGCTAATCTAGCATCTTCCCCTGCATGATTGATACGACCTGATGGTTTTTTTTGGCGACCGACGCTTTTTCTTACGACTATATGATTCTTGATCTATTTGATGATGTTGGCGGTTTTGACTTGGTAGAGCTAAACTATCTATTAAAAAAATTGAAACATTTGTGTCCGTTGCGATAATTGTACCAGGCTGTGACTAGTGAACAGAATACCAACTGAACGACCAGGGCCTCTAAACGCCGCAGATGAATTGTTTGATCGGTTAGGGAGGTTGAGATCATAATCATTTATCTGTAGACGCGCGTGACATGAAGACAATCTTGTTTGTTAGTATGGCTCTAGGTTGGAAAAATATATCGACAGTCTCATAACGGGTTAGACTTATATCTGTAAGACGATAAAGGTAGAACAGCTCTATATTGAGAAAATTATTCTCCTAGAAAGAATGCTGCCCGACTACTACTCTGGCTTCGGCTTCAAATAAATATTCAGCATCATGACGAAAATAGTGCTCTATATGCAGCGAAATTCTGCAATAACCCATAAGATCTATGCAGTTGATCAACATGGAAATATGCACGCCATTGCAAACAAAGCCGTCCAAGTACGGAGTGTAGTGGAACAAGATCGCGAAGCAGCGAGCAAAGATACTTTACATAGTATGGTTTCTCGGTGCTTCTCGCAAGGGGAATACTCAGGTTGGAAAATCTCTATGGACAATTTTCACAATTCCCATGACAGTTCCTCTTCTCGAGCTACAACCAGTGTCATTATTATCAGTTTGAATACGCGCCTTAGACCTCGTATTAGCCTGTGCTGGGCAGAGGCCACTTGAAATGTAGATGGAAAAGAAATATTGAAGAAAGAGACAAATGATTTCGTTACGGATCATGGGTATTCCATGGAGACATCTAAATACATTGAACATCCAATTTTTTTACCCTTCTAACAAACCTCGACTTAACACGCTTATGCGATGTAGGTAGAGGCCGACACGTCACCACCACGGCCGGTCCAGTTAACGTGGATATCCTTGCCCTCGGGGAAGGTCTCGCTGGCGTTCTCGGGCTTGATGCGGAAAGTGTGGGCACCGAAGTAATCACGCTGGGCCTGGAGCAGGTTGGCGGGCAGGTTCTTGGAGCGGTAACCGTCGTAGAAGCTGAGAGCAGTAGAGAAGGCCGGAGCGGGGATACCCCACAGAGCGGTCTTGCTAATCACGTTACGCCAGCCGTTCTGGGCGTTGTTAATGGCCTTGTTGAAGAAGTCGTCAAACAGCAGGTTCTCAAGGTCGGGGTTGTTGCGGTAGGCATTGGTGATATCCTTAAGGAAGACGGAGCGGATGATGCAGCCACCACGCCACATGAGAGCAATGGAAGGCTTGTTGAGCTTCCACTTGTACTCCTTGGCGGCCTATATCAAAGACGGGGGTTAGAAATTGACTATCAATGAGGCTGACAATAATGAACTTACGTTCTGGATGAGCATGAAGCCCTGAGCGTAGGAGATAATCTTGGAAGCGTAAAGAGCCTGCTCAAGGTCGTCGACGAAAGCCTGCTTGTCACCCTCGAACTTGGGGGTGGGACCGCTCAGGATGGTGCTGGCACGGCCACGCTCGTCCTTGAGGGCACTGAGGCAGCGGGAGAAGACAGCCTCACCGATCAGAGTGACGGGCATGCCGAGGTCGAGAGCGTTGATGGCGGTCCACTTGCCGGTACCCTTCTGGCCAGCCTTATCGAGGATCTTGTCAACAAGGGGAGTGCCATCGTTGTCGTTGTAGTAGAGAATATCACGGGTGATCTCAATCAGGAAGGAGTCAAGAACACCGGTGTTCCACTTGGCGAAAACATCACCAATCTCCTTGGAGGAGAGACCAAGACCGCGCTTGAGGATATCGTAGGCCTAAATCATGTCAATTGGTTGCTTGAGCGTATTTTGCTTGAAAGATTGTCTTACCTCACAGATCAGCTGCATATCACCGTACTCAATACCGTTGTGGACCATCTTAACGTAGTGACCAGCACCCTCGTCACCGACCCAGTCGCAGCAGGCCTCACCGTCGCTCTTGGCGGCGATGCTCTGGAAGATGTCCTTAATGTGGGGCCAGGCATCCTCGTTACCACCGGGCATGAGAGAGGGACCGTAACGGGCACCCTCCTCACCACCGGAGACACCGCTGCCGACGAAGCTGATGCCCTTGGAGGAAAGGTACTGAGTGCGGCGGTTGCTGTCGGGGTAGTGGGAGTTACCGCCGTCAATGATGATATCACCCTTCTCGAGGAAAGGCAGAAGGGACTCGATGAAGTCATCGACGGGCTTGCCGGCCATGACGAGGAGCATGATGCGACGGGGGCGCTTGAGCTTGGCACAGAACTCCTTGATGGAGTGGGCACCAACGATGGACTTGCCTGTATTATTATGAGTATTTTTGGAAAGCAAATAGGAGCTGTCATTCTCAGTGAAGCATACCCTTGGCCTCGTTCTCCAAGAAACGGTCAACCTTGGCAGTTGTGCGGTTGAAAGCGCAAACGGTGAATCCGTGATCAGCAACGTTCAGGATCAGGTTCTGGCCCATAACGGCCAGACCGATGAGGCCGAAATCAGCACTGGGAGCAAAATGCGCCGGAGCACCGACATTGATGCCGGCGAGACGGGCGCTATAGTCAGCGATCAATGTCTCTTGTCAATAGCTGGGCAAAAATCACAATGGAAATGAGAACGAAGGGACAGCCGTGGGCTTCCGACAAAGGGCTTTATCTCCATTGGTATCATCTTGCGTGAGCTTCTATCGGAAGACTTCCAAATAGAGCGGTTGCACGATGTCTGAGAAGCATTGAAGATCCATGCGCTCTCCCCAGGATGCAGGGAGGTGTAACCGGGAATTCTGGAATTGGTGGAGAGGGAAGGAAGATCACTTACACAGCTTGGTCAGCCATGACGATGAGATGTGAGATAAGAGGGTGAGTTGGGGAAAAAGATCTAGAGAAGAAAAGGAAGATGAAGAGGGGGAGGGGTGGGAGAGAAGAAGAAGTAGCAGTGGCCCGGCTGACGGAGCAACTCTTCCGTCATCTTTGGGTGGGACATACCGGAGTAACGTGTACCTCACTTGTTATTACTCTCTCCGGTGTAGCGCCAAGTATTAGATACAGGAGCAGAGTCGTCCGGTGTCCAACCCACTTTTACAAAAGCATTATCCGACCCGATTTCAATTACATACTCCGTACTTAGATAGCCTTGTAGACTTATATGTGATTGGAATAGCTTTTCTATGCAATAGCGGGGCATGGAGGGGTAGCTTGAGAACGTTGAGAATTGACATGTGTAGATGTACATGTGGGATATTAAGTATCCGATATAGATCATGATGGAACAGAAATTGGATCATATGTAATCCATGTAATCCATCGAAATCATCCGAATCAACTTGTCCACGCATCGGTGAACTGTTCTGGTAGAAACGGAGAAATCACTTGCCGATGAGTTCATAGCCCGCTACGTACGGGCTAGGCCGCTTTGGGACTAGAGTGGGGGTTACATTTGATCCATGAGTCAGCAGTCTGCTTATGTCACTACTGAGTCAGAAAAGCTTGATCGAGTCATGTGACACAGCGCCATGGCCTAGCCAGCGCATTCAGATACAAAAGTCATTTCTCATTAAACATCCTGATCGAGCGCAGTTCTTGAAGACGCGCATTGTACTAATCATCCAGCCTTATCATATTCATCATTTGCAAGCCGTGCAACGCTTCGCCCCTTGCAAGTGCACATCCTTCGGGTGCCTATCTTAAGCGTCACGTCTGGCGACTGACTGCGGCGTCAGTCAGGCCCTGAAGGTACGTTGCAGTTGCTACTTTGCATCTAGCATTCTCTCTATCTCTCTCTCTCTCTCTCTCTCGCGTGTCTCATTTCTCTCGTTTCCCTTTTCGAATATCCCATTCATCATGTCCCTTCCGCCTCCTCCAGGTCTCAAACAGACTCCCTCGTCGCTTCCGCCCCGCCCACCTCCATCCTCCAGCACTGCGCAGCCTCCCGCCAATGCTGCAGGCCATGGCAGATCTCGACCAACAGGCTACAGCGCCTTCACGGCGTTCCAGCCGCGCGCAGTAGCCTCTAGTCAACCACATCGCGCCAGTAGCCACTCGGTATCGCATCCTCCTGTCTCTGCTGCCGGATACGCAACACCCGCCAACAGCTACGTCAATCACTACCAGCAACCTCAGGCATACCAGAGCGCGCCTTCCTACTATGGACAACCTCAATACGCTGACAACGCATACGGCCCGACCGTCCCACACATTGCGAATCCCTTCGGATCTACGCCCAACCAGTCCAACACGGGGTTCCCACAAAACAGCAACGCCCCTGGCTTCGATGCGGAGACTGAAGCTCAAATTGCGCAGTGGCAGAGCGCCTACAACAAACCCATTGACGATTCCGCCAAGCACCAGCCCGGCTCAGGTGTAAACACCGGAGCTGGAACCCCCACTGTCGGCGCCGGCACTCCTATCCCCCAGGCCGAGTCACAAAAGACAGTCATTCGTTCGGGTGGAGGTGAAACATGGACCGACCCCACCCTCTTGGAGTGGGATCCGGCACACTTCCGTCTTTTTGTGGGTAACCTTGCAGGCGAAGTGACGGACGAGTCCCTGCTGAAGGCATTTTCTCGCTACACATCGGTCCAGAAAGCGCGTGTCGTCCGAGAGAAACGAACGCAGAAAAGTAAAGGCTATGGATTTATTAGCTTCAGCGGAAGCGAGGATTACTTCAAAGCGGGACGAGAAATGCAAGGGAAGTACATCGGTTCACACCCAATCTTACTACGCAAAGCCGAGACCGAGGTTCGCCCAGCTTCGAACCCCAAGCATGGAAAGAAGGGCAAAGGCAAGGGTCCCAGAGGAGACAACGCCGGAGCAGGTGGAGCCGGTGGAAAGGTGAAGCACGATGGAGTCAAAAAATCCGCCAAGACCAAGGGCGGCTTGAAGATTCTGGGTTAAGTCTATGGATGCGACCGGTAATTTCTGTCATGATACCACAACAGATTTTTACATCAGGTGTTTTCCCCCTATTATTAAATATGTATATTATTTGATTCTAGAGAATATAAGAACGATTTGCTCGATGACAGGTCCCATTGTCTTCAGGATAGATCACGTGACCACATCGTTGCCTTGGGCCTTCAAGTCTCATCTTGCATGGACTTCCACCTCTACTTCCGAGGTATCACAGTAAGACCTTCCAAGATTAAAACACCCGTCTTTGAATATTGTTTCATTGTGTGCATTTTTTGGTTCACTTTAGTGCTGTATCTAGGAGAATAAAAAGGATTAACAAGATTTCGATTCTAGTAAAACCAGCTTGACATGTGCACGGCTGTTCTATGTATTCAACACAACTGCTTTATAGTGTACATATGATAGCTGAAATAACTTGAGAATTGCTTTAGCAATTGACTTTTCCATCATACAGAGTACAGAGTACGGAGTACTCCGTAGATTATTTGAAGTATTCCATGTGGTGCCTAGCCACTGTTAGTACAACACATCCCCAGCCCCTCTAAAAACACATGGCTGGGAAAAAAAAGTCCTGTTTAAAACCCATTCACATTCCAGATCCTATTCTCTTTATCTCTCCCTTCTCACATTCTTACGATCTCTTATCTCACTTTTCTCGAAAAAGGAGAGTTGTGTGTTGCAAACAGAGCCTAAGGAGGCTGTATACTGTATACAAACCCGCATTGCTGCCCTGTACACGGCCTACCATCTTGATCTCCACGCCTTTATACCTATCCTATCAACTCAACAAGCAGCGATCAAAGCTCTCTACACACCTTGCAAATCATTTACTCTACTTTTCCATCACGATCTGTTGATCGTTCCCACCCAAGATGGTCCAGCGTAACATCACCATCGCGATCATCATCATCGTCCTCTTCCTCCTTCTTGCAATCGCGGGATTTGCCATTTGGGCGGTAAACAACCATGTCTCATTCTTCTCCAAGAAGAAGGAAGCCGATTCAGAGAGTGCGGACGGGTAATAAGCCAGAGTAGCAGCAAACACTGCACCCTTGACCTAAGCCTTGGGTCTCGCCTTACAGGCATTGATTGCCTCTCTTTCTCTTGGGAACACGCACACATACACGAGCACACACACAAACATTTACGACCACGACATTTTCTGCGACACGATACCCTTTCTTATGGCATTCATTATCTGCCACGATGACGAGCTGCGTTACGAGTCTCTTACGTTGACACACGCCTTTTTTGTACAATTGTTGGCGATTGGAAGCAATCAGTACATAGTACATACGCTGCTTTCGATGTTATCTTTTTTTGGGGTGTTTTCAGGTGGGAGTTAGGGGTCTTTTCTTTCTTGAATGTACTTTGGACGAGGACTTCATTTGGTGCATATTTCTATTGACAGCTTGAAAATATCCTTAGTTAACAAAGTCTCGAAAATAACTTCAATCCATCTCTTACATCTTTTCAAATTTGAATCAGAAGTGAAAACCAAGGACACATTGGTCAGACGTTAAGATGTATCCATTGCTATTGCGCAGAAGATTTTAGCCTTCTCGATATTTTGACAATCATGCACAATAAACAAAAGGAATTCAAATGCACTGCCTCCAAGGGTATACATATCTACCCAAACTAGGTAATAAAACATCCCACCACCGAAAAAGCCTTAACATACATGAGATCCCAAAATAAATAGACCATAACGCCCCAGTATTAAGATGCCTCGCTCAAAAAACATAACTCAAAAGCTCTTGTGCGCGAAGAGCCGTGGCGACATGCCAAGGCAGTGTATTATTTTGTACACTGCATATGCCCTTGGCCCGGGCAAGACAGCCCATGTCCCGATACATACTTAAGGTATCCTTGAGGACGTTATCATGAGATGGAGGAGGACGTGAGGAATAGATGAGATTGACGGAGATTGCAAACACGCCGTCGCCATCAGTAGCGCCTTTGCGGCGGAGGAGATACCCGCTGCATAAGGCGGGTCGGAATTCGGTGAGGTGTGGAGAGCTGTTGAGTCGGTGTGAGAGGATGGCTAGCCAGGAATCATCGCAGATATCAGTGAGCACGGTCTCTGAATCTGTTTCAAGTGACATGTCTGTTGGCGTGGGGGCATTGTAGGCAGCGGGACCGGCGCTGGTTGGAGTGGCTGCATTGCCTGATTGTTCGGGGGATGCAACGCTGGCACTTGGGTTAGGAGTCGAGACAGGGGTCGACAAGGACAGTATATTCAACATAGCCATCGAGATGGGCGGAACTGGTGGCTCAAGGATCAAGTCGGGAATAGTGTTGACAGCTAGGATGGTCAATTCCAAGGATCCGGGTTTTGACTTGTTGTGCTGATCTGCTAGACTAGCCCATGCTGTTTGGATGTGTTAGCGATTTGCCCTCGATATCAGAGAAGATTAAAATGCAGTACCTTCAACCTCATCGGTTTCCATAGGCTCGGTGGTTGCTAGTTGAACTTTCCATCGTGCTTGGAATTTGTCCATGATGTGTTTCGTCGTAGCCCAGATTTCATTCCTGACCTCGGAAATTGGTCTGGCGCCGCCCGACTGGCGATACCGCAGACAGTAGGACATGGTTCTTTGTATGGAACCTGGCAGATCAGACCATGCCACCGATATCCAGCGTTGATCAAGGCTTTTGGAATAGGCAATGTGAAGACTTCGCCCATCTTGAAGCGGCGAAGATCTTTCGGGGGCAAGCCGGAAACTGATGGCTCTCGGGAGAGCGTCAGCCAGAAGCATTGGTGGCGCGCAGAGCAGCGGGCTCATATCGCCATCACTTGGACGGCATCGACTGTAGACTTCCAGGGCTAGATTCAAATAATCTGTCTGCGGGGGTATAACCATCGTCTCGCTCGACATGACGAATTCCAGCGGAATTATCTGCAGAACAAGCTCGTTAGAAATACGAGTCTGTCTTCGCTCGGAACCGGCTATCAATTGCTGGAAAAGATGCCAGAAGGCGGTGCAAATATCTGCTAGTGCCGCAGCATGCGTAAATGGGTTGATGATGTAAACAACATGATTATCAGCACTCGCTGAGGATTGTGAGAGCTCCGAGCCTTGAGAATTGTTAGTATAATCCATGACCGTAGGTGAAAGCACATACCAAGCTGTTCGCATGTTTTCTTCAGTACCTGCATCATAGATTCATAACTAGATGTTTCAGATTGCCATGGCTTCAGCCCGTCTTCAAATGCCACGGACTCGTCTCCTCTCATATGGGTTCCAAGGTTGCAACTTTGGTAGAGAAGACCAAACCGTCTCAGGAACACATCGGCTGCCTCTGACGCAGCTTGTGGATGAATGCAATAAGCAGAAATGTTTTTTGGTCCATGGGCAGGCTCAAGACCAAACGTTTCCCAAAACGATACAGCCGGGGGAAGAGCCTCCAAGTATGCTTTGCCTCGACGCACACGTATGTGGGGCGCTGATAACTTAGAAATGAAGCTTTTCGGGGTATCTTTGGGCGCTGGTGGATGTTGGGGCGGTTGCTGTTGCGGGTGGTTCGTGATAAATTCGTCCTGCAATGATGTGTATCTTTTGAAGTCCAATTTACATGCCTCGCCCAAGAGGGTTGTGTCGTCGAGAATTTGCAGTGGAAGAGACTGGCCCTCGAGATCAAAAAGACCGATTTGCCCATCGAGTGGATGTTTGAGGGAGGACTGTGTGATTTGGTCGACTAGGAGTTGCGCAATTTCAAGCTGACCTTCACGGCGAAGAAGTGCAGGGAGTTGTTGGGGTGGAAATGCCGAGAAATAACCGGTTAAGGTCCAATCTGAAAAGTTGGCTAGAAAATTGCCGAGGAAGGTAGAGTTCTCGGCTGCGTATGCGGGACTTGGTTCTGTACCGGGCATTGTCTTCTCTTGGGATGCAATTGACATCATGTCAGATTCTGAAGGGGCTCGTTTCCGCTTCAGAGAAGGCACCAAGGGCATGGCCGCCGGCGTTGAAACGTGCTCAGACATGATTTCGATACTGTCATCGCTGCTGTCACTGCTCACCGATGCTGATCGTGGACCACCTTCTGAGTGAATGAGAGAGAGACTGGTCCTGTCCCGTTCTTTAAAAGAGCCAGATGCGTTGGCGCTGACTCGGTCACGGTGAGGAATGCCAATCGTGGGTATGGCAGAGTTCTGATCTAACGTGTCCACCAAGCTACCACCGGAGAACCAGAATTTGCCAGTTGCTCCGTACTTTTGATCCCAATCATCGAGTTTCTTTTCAAAGGCCACTGGGTGGTAGTGCCCTTGGCCCCGGTTATCTGTAGGCTGTTGATGACCCTCTCCTTCGGGTCCTGGAAATAATATCTTTTTCACCTCTACTGGACTCAAGGGGGACTGATCGTTTGACCTGCGCGATCCATAGGCGAATGAGCTGGTTCTTCGGGGGCCATGGGCCCCACAGATGACTCTAGGGCTTCGTGGTGTACCGGGGATGTGTGTGCCTCATTTGTTTCGACATGAGTTGAAATTTCCTGTGGCTGATTGGGGAAGGGTTCTTCATGAACCATGGGCTCGGCCTCCGATCCACTCTGAGGATGAGATGCTTCAAGAGCTTCATCTGGATTCTCTACTCGAGAGTCACCGTCCATGTCATCGAAACCAGGGTCATCAAAAAAGCTGAAGTCCGCATCGGTGATACCTTTCGACCCAAAATCTCTTTCGTTCATTTCTCCGAAGAGGTCTTCTTCGTCACTTGCATCATATCGGCCAGTGCCAACCCCGATGCCACTATTCTGGACGGGTGATATATCCGACCCCGATGCATTTCTTCTTGAACCTCGTTGCGTTGCATGAGGTAGTCCAAAGTCAGAGTCCTCAACAAAAGTATCAGATGGGTTTGCATTGTTCAATCCAACTGCTGCAGCTCCGTCCGGGGGAGTTGGGTAAACAAGATTCGTGCTTTGCAAATCGGGATACTGCGCGATTCGGGATAAACTCTCTATGCTTTCCAAGGTTTCGGCCTTGGGTGATGATGGCATTTCTTGGTCTTTTGGTCGTGAGTCTTGCGTGTTAGGAGTATTTTGGGCAGTTTGGGTAATATGATCTAGCTTGAGAGAGCCCACCATTGTTGACCATCGCTCTGCGAAATCTAAGGGTTCGTCACGAAGGGAAGTTTGAGACCCGGAAGAGAAATTTGATGAGCTAGCCCTTCTGAAGCAAAATCTCGCTGGCCATAGCATGCGTTTCAGCGGTAGTGCAGATTGACTATCATCACTCTGTCGCCATGCTTCCCCAGCAAGCCTTGCGAAAAATGGCTCCCAAACCTCCACTTCGACCCAGGGCTCTTCATCAATTGAGTTAACATGCAAGCCAAAATTCCGTAGCCACTGCAAAACATCCATTTTCCATTGAATTCTTTTTGCAGACAGATTCCCAGGGGCAGGGAAGCTCAGAGACGGGACGGTTGGCGAGTCAACATTAGCCGTGACAAGCCTAGCAATAGTCCCGTTTGGGGATAGCCAAAGATCAGTTCCAGGCTGTACGTCAATTATTTCGGCAATGTTCTCGCGTGGACTGCATAGCCGCATTATGCCCGTTTGGGATATAGTCTGAGCGGAAACGGTTATTGTTCCACTCATAGTTAGCTGGATGTTGAGTGTAGTCAAGCAAGAAGTAGAGAGAATGCTATCATTGTTGACATGCGGAGTTTCGTATCCCGACTGTTCGGCGGCAGTGAAAAGGGTGCGTGATCCGAGAGGCAGAGCACCATGGCGTCGAATCAACTGGAGGCCAATTGAACCAGTGACAGCAGATATAAAAGAGGCATAAATGGCCGCTGAACTGCTATAACCATCTTGACGCCGAGATGAGGGTTGGCTCTGGTTCGGTCGTGGCTGCCCAGCGGATTGGGTACCATGCTGACTCTGGTTGTCGGACGACAGACCTTTCACCAAGTCTAGTGACGAGACGCTTCCAAATGCAGAGACTATTGTAATAAGATTAACAATATGGCCTTGGATGAATATTAAGTTGATCATAGACATACCTTTCAAAGTTGTCGTGCCGACGAGGATTTTATTCGATTCCGCGTCACTTCCCCTCACATACAAAGGCTTTAAGCTTTCAAACTCGGGGGTAGGGGAGAATACCCAAAGCCCTAGACGTCTTGGGCATGACGCGAGGCAATTTAAAACTCTCAGTCGAGCCTCTAAATCTTTAAGACGACTCAAGTGCTTGAGAATAGTGTAGCCGTTGGCGGGGCCCTCCTGTGGATTATTTGTGATACCAGCTTCTTCTGTGTATATTCTCCAGTGAATATTGGAGAATCCATCCTGATGACGCGTTAGCACGCTAATGTATACTAGATATTACAACACTCACAATAAGATGTATGTTGGTGTTTGCGCCGCCAGGGAAGTCCATAATTCAACGGTCGCGGACAGCCCCGGAAGCCTTTAAAGATAGATGATATTTTGAGGCTGACTCTGGAAGTCATTTCCAATCGCAAATTGCATGGTCTGTGGCAAGGAGCGAAAGCGCATATCAGAGAGATCAACAAACAGCGAATACATTAGCTGATTGATACCATGTTGCGCGGGATGAAGCGGTCAACAAAGACTAAGATGTCTGGCACAACACTCTCGCTTGTCTGAACTTAGCACTCCAAATGAAACAGCAATGATTTAACCACAAGGCTCATCGCATGAAGTTAACAGAAAGTTGAAATGCGTAATTCCGGGGGACGTTCGCCAGGGACAACTTGAGCCAATCACCAGGCCGGGTTATCACGTGATCGCTATCAGCGGCTTTTTATCGTGGTTTTTTTTTTATCTTTTGCAGGTTTGCTTTCGCCGACACCGATAGGTTGCAAATAAGTTGCAAATCAGCTCAAAACAGCTGGCTCGGCATTCTTCACATCAGAATACACCAGCATGAAGCTGTCCAATCCATCCGAGGTCCCGGTATATACCATATCGGGATCAGACAGTGCTCGCCCGCTTCCCGAATGGCTTGCCAGACGGCGAAAGCGCAGCTTGAAAAATGACCCCGAGTATGCGAATCGTGTTGAATTACTGCAGGACTTTGAATTTGAGGAAGCAAGTCACTGTGTCCGAGTCAGTGAGGACGGAGAATGGGTTATGAGCACAGGTTCGTACTTGGTCACCATCTTTTCTTCAAGAGCGCATACCCTAACACTATTCCTCGCAGGAACTTACAAGCCCCAAATCCACACCCATTACCTTCCGCAATTGTCACTTTCATGGGCGCGCCATACCAGTTCGCTCAATACCACGTTCATCCTTCTCTCTTCCGACTACACCAAGTCCCTCCACCTCCAGTCTGATCGATCTCTCGAGTTCCACACTCCCTCAGGCTGTCATTACACTACCAGACTTCCCAGGTACGGACGTGACATTGTTTATGACCGCCAGTCGACTGAGGTGCTTGTTCCTGCAGTTGGTGTCAATCCAGATGGTATGGGAGAGGTCTACCGATTGAACTTGGAGTTGGGCCGATACATGCGGAGTTTTGAGATCGATGTTGGAGGTGACGATTTTACATCCACGGGTGGTGGAACTCTCCAAGGTGGAATCAACACAGGATCAGTCAACACTGGTGCTATTGCAGAGGAGAGTCACAATTTGTTGGCATTTGGAACTTCATTGGGAACAGTTGAGCTATGGGACCCTAGGGCTAAGGGACGTGCTGGAGTGCTGAGCCCACCCACATCAGTTGGAATACACGATGAGCGAACGGAGATCACGGCTCTAGAATTCAATCGCTCCGGTATGACCCTTGGAACTGGCTCGTCTAATGGCCTCATTCACCTCTACGACTTGCGTTCACCCGTTCCCTTCCATATCAAGGACCAAGGATATGGGTTCCCTATTCACACTCTCCAATTCCTCGAGCAGTCCTCTGCAACACAAGCTGCGACAATCGAACCCAAATTGCTCTCGGCTGATAAGCGCATCATCAAGCTCTGGGATATCGAAGATCAAAAACCTTGGACCTCTGTTGAACCGGCTGTGGACATCAATTCTGTTGCTTGGTGCAAGGATAGCGGCATGCTCCTCACTGCCAATGAAGGCCGACAGCAACACTCATTCTTTATCCCGCAGCTTGGCCCCGCGCCGAGATGGTGCTCATTCTTGGACAACCTGGTTGAAGAGATGGCCGAGGATCCAAATGACCCCAGCGCATTCAAGTCTGCCCAATCCGGTTCTGTTTGGCCCGGTTTCACACTTGTGCCCAGTGAAGAGGTCGCGAAATGGGACGCCAAGCTCATCAAGGCCGGCGGAGAACCCATTGATTTGGCAGCTTACATGCAGTCAGGAAAGATGGTACCTTACTCTAAGGGCTATCAGGTGTCGAACTTTGTTTATAACTCTATCACTGGGTTGTTCCCCGACACTGAGAACCCCAGAGCGAAGAAGGTGGCGGAAATTATGAACAAGGAGCGGGAGAGCCGTATCCGCGGCAAGAAGAAGGTTGCTGTCAAGGTGAACAGGAGATTGGCCGAGAGGATGCTGAACGCAGAAGAGAAGAGGGAGCGCAAGCATGCCAAACGCCTATTGGAAGGCTCGGGCGACCAGGAAATGACCGATGCTGCTGCCGAAGGCGAGGTCAAGAAGGTATTGGGTGGCGGCCGTTTCGCCCAGCTGTTCGAGGACCAGGATTTCGCTGTCGACGAGACCTCACGCGAATTCCAGCTGCTGAACCCCAGTACGGTTCCCCAGGCTGCTGCCTCATCAGCTCCGAGAAAGGAGCGTGGCTTGACGGCAGTCGAGCAAGAAACCATCGACGATGTGCCCGGTTCAAGTTCCGACTCCGACTCCGACAGCGAGGCGGAAAAGCCCGCGAAGACAACAGCTTCCAAAAAGATCTCTTCTGCAGACTACAAGCGGACGAAGCGGCCTCCGCCTCGTATGCAGGTATCTTCCTCGAACCAATCCCACTCCACCCGGGACCGCTCCTTTGGTTCCCGTGCGCAGAACATGAAATCAAAGCCAAAGCCTGCACGACGGGTTGGTGTAGTCGGCGAGCAAGAAATGAGCTTCAACCCGGCCGGGAAGCCGAAACGCGCTGCCCCCGAAGTGCGTTACGACAAGACCGACACATCATTCCGGTCCAAGGAACGCCGCAGTGCTTCCAACAACACTTTCCGCAACATGTAATATGTTTTGCCATTATTGGCCCTTTCTTGTGCCATTTTCTTGACATCATATGTAAAACCTTGTCTAGCCAAGAAGTTATCTTGCCCAAGGTCTACGAATCATGCTCTTGGACCTTTGATCCTCGTCACTGGGTCGAGTCTTCTTACAGGCACCCCTCTCCACTGCCGGGCATTAGGATCAATCACATTGGCAACCTTCATTGCTCTCATGTGCAATTAGGCGCTGTGTGAGGTGGTGCTGTGTTGATCCCAGGACCACACTTTTTGAACCTATGGCAACTTTTTCAATACCCTATTTGCACACTATCTCACCATCATAGACAGCTTTGGTGTGACGCCCGAGAATTCAAAGCTCTGGTGCACATATTTTTTTTGAATGACCACTCTGTATCTTAATGTCTCAAAAGCGATGCCAAAACTCTTGAATCTCATTCAGCTATTTTTTTTTTCCAATTGAATCTACCGACACTCTTCCGACACTATCCCTAGTCAGTTGTACAGTAGATGACTCACCATGCATACTTGGAAGTAGAGACTCACATCATGGGGCAAAATAACTTGGTCGTTTGTTTAGTATGCCCATTCGAGACACTCAGTATCCAAATATATTGCGACTTGTGGCAGACTCGGTCGTGTTGTTAGCTGCATGATTGATTTTAAGGTGTATAGGTCTGAATGTAAAAAGCTCATTTCCCAGCATAAGATTCATGAATTAGACTCCAATTCTGTCTATGGGCACATTCGCGATCGTTAGAACTAGGTGAGCTTGAAGGGGCAAATACTAGATGGTGAGTTTTGATGCATTGTATGCAACGGTGTTCCTCGATGTTCAGAGTATATCGGAATCTGAAACGGAGGGTCCAGAAGTCATTGCCGTTTAACCGACTTCGGTAGAAGGGGTAAAATGATGGGCTATAAACACATCAGATCTACCATATTGTATTGCATATATTACTGACCCTAAGATTATCATTTTAGACTAGTTTCCTAAACAGAATGGAGAACGAGAGGTTGAATTCTAGGCAACATACTCCGTATAGCGCACCATTTTCCTAATATGGAAACCGATAACATATTAAATATCCCCATTGCACTGGTGTACTACTCACTATGTATAGCCATGTAATTGGTTCGATTGAAGTCTCCGAGAACAAATGAAGTCCCCGCAATACCCACGTGGGCTGTCATATTAGATCTGCTACCATTTCCCTTTCATCTCAACGGTTGCCCAGGAGTACCGAGTACGGAATAGACATTTCGCAGTTCCAGACAGATCGAGAGCAGATCGATCGGATTCCGCGTTTTCTGGCCCCCACGTGAAACAAAACGGGACCGGGGGGCATTGAGCAACTCCGTAAAGACAGCAATCTTCTATCCACTCCAGTCCACCATATTTACTTCATTGAGATCGGCGGTGGCGGTTGTACTCTGAGCGGGTCGGGATGGTGCTCCATGCACTTTGTACTAGCGATGATCATGGGATACTTGAATTATTGGCAATATTTATCAAACCTGTAACCGAGAAATGAAGGCTTAGGCATAGGTTATCTATGCCTAAAGCGCTAGTTCGTAATCTCACGCAATCACCAAAAGAAAGATCATATCTGGATACTTCTCAATAGATGATTAGTTGGAAAGATGACTGTGACTCTATATGAAGTACTCCATACCATACCTAGACTTGTATAGAGAGAATTCGAGAGACGATAAAAGAAGATCTGCAGTTGATTTGGCCTTCAAAACATTCCAACCCCACCGGTTTCGGTAATAAAAACCGAGACGTCCTGATTTAGGCATGTACACGGGCATGATGCACGGGAACCCCTGAATAGAAGGTCCTTATCAGCCCCCAAACCACTCCGTACTCCCGTACTATATTAACCCTTGGCACTTGAGAGCCTTTAGCCAGAAACTACCGTGGCAACCCTGGTCTAATGCGCTGGATCAACAGACTCTAGTCCCTCTAGCTAGAAAAGGACTACGGTGACGGCCTTATTGATCCAAATAGTTCGGGACTATGTCCCGGTATTCTTCTAAATACCGAGAACATCTCCGCACGGAACACGGAGTACGGAAGTACAGAGTAGAGCCATTTTGGCAAGGGTTTCACTTCCAAAAGCCCAGACACGGGAAGACTGCCCCGTAAGACAATATTTGTAGTGTTGGCTGAGCTGAGATGGAATTTCTTTTTGTCCCTCTTTGTATGCAGATCGCTGGAGCGAATCCCAGTGGTCATGACAGCGTCTGCAATAGCACTCACGTGTCTCCAATTACCTACCCATTGGGGCAACTTATGACTTGGTGTCCAATTTTACCAATACTCCGTACTCCCGCATCTTGATGTGTACTGGCTTTGCCAAGAGGTCGAGGGGCCGGATAGTAATATATCATGTCTTTCCCGAGAGTAAGCCCTGATATGGGTGTTTTAACGCGACAACTTCCAAGCCCAATAGTGTCTCAGGTGCTTTTTGATAACATGTCTCAAGCTGAATTACCCATCTCGGATGCGGTGTGCGAGGTCCCGCAACCGCCATGTTTCTGTCCGAGAGTGCAACGGAACAAGGTGAGAGGCTAGAACACGAGAATGACAAGATACGTATGTGTTCCATAGGTATGTACAAAATAGCCTTGGACTTATGTGAGAGTTGAACCTACGATGTACATGCTCACAAAATCATATGATGTTTCGATATCTCTTTTGATATTGCTGTGGCCTGGATCATGTTGAGTTTCCTTTTCTAGACCCAAAGTCTCCACTGGCATACTGCCATTGTTGCCTCCACGCTCACATGGCTTGGGGGGCAAAGTAAACGGGGATATTATCACAGCCAAATCGTATGTATCCTTCTGGGGGTGATTCCACTGTACTTTTAATAGCTAATGTTCAGCTACTGTTTCTGCCAAAGCTTGAAACTCTAAACACTTGAGGATTGAGGAGCGCAAATTCAGAGTGGAAGGAAAATCCCCTAAAATTGCTTAATTTTTCGATATGTCACCCACCATCCAAATCGAGACCCTGCCTGGGGAGTAGAAAAAAGGAACAGCAGAATGTATCCCACATGATGCAAATCAAACCGAATTTCAAAGACAGAAACAAACGCCGGTTGTTCTCTGGGAAGAAAACAGAAAATCTAGAATCCACGTCCGCGACCACGACCGCGGGGGGGACCTCCACGGCCTCCACGGCCTCGTGGACCGCCACGGCCACCACCGCGACCACGGTCTGTCTCCTTGCGCGCCTTGTTCTTCGGCTTGGGTGCGTCGTCAACGAGAAGGGTATCAAGGGGAAGACTGTCAGGGAGGATATAATAGCGAATCGTGGAACCGCGGATGTTGATAGTGTCGAGAGAAACGGGGTCACGGCCCTTGGGGGTCATCTTGACAGCCCGGAGGGAAGTGTTCATTTGAGGAGAGACAGACACAATAGTGCCGTGAAGGATTGTACCTAGATGATGGGGTTCCAAGTTAGAGAACGCAGTTCTTCCAACCATTTCGAGTATTGGAATATTTGAGTGGGGGGTTAGGTTGGGGTTTGCGGAGATTGCGCGGGGGTTCTTACCATTCTTCAGCTCAACGGTCACCGTCTCGTTGGCGCATTTCATCAAAAAGCTATAAATATCATCAGACGTCAGCAGGAGTGGATTTGATGGTGCTTGGTGCGCCAGGCGGAGCTGGTGATTGCCGCGCATAGGAAATAATGATCACATACCGGACGAGTTTCATGGTGAATCAGTAAGCTGTAAGCTGAAGACGTTCTCAATTTGATATGAATTGTCAAAGCACTAGCAGATAGCTAGAGATTGTGGGGACAAAAGACGCGTTGGTTTTGGGATGCTGTTGGACCAAAGAGCCAGAGAAGATCTGATCAGGTAAGGCCAATCACGTGATTCCAATTTCACATCTGATTCGAGTTGCGAGGTTCAGATCCGACCTTCTCTATAACAAGGGAACCTTGTGCTGGATATGCCTACTGAATTATACTACATCAAATTTTACCAGCATTGTTCCATCTTCGACATACTTGTCTGAGGCAATGCTTAACCTAGACCAATCTTCCATCAGTCCAACTGTTGAGAAATGTCGAGTTTCTACGCTATCTAAACAAAATTGGACCTTCGGTCCTTGCCAGTAGGCAAAGTGATCAAAATTGGCGTGTGCTTCGACGAGTCTAGCCTTTGGAGAAGTTCCATGAGCTGTAACGGCGTCCATGCACTCATATTTGATATGCAGCTGAGCGGTGTGTCAACATTGCATCGTATCTCATAGGATCAACGGGAATACCATGCTCATATTTCTCCTCGAGCGCTTTGGTCATTGGTCTGAGGTTGGGCAGAGTGATATGATGGATATCGCGGCGCATATCTGCAAGTTCGGCGATTCTCGTCACTTTGTCACCGCACCTTTTAACCATTTCGTTTTCGAGAAACCCCAGAGACTCACAGAGTGAATGGATAGATATGCCAGATCCCGGTATATGAAGTCAGCAAGCCATACTTGAACAGTACAGCCTTGTAAAAGTAAACGAGGCCACATATACGTAGGAACGAGACCCCCAAGCCCGTCGGATGCAGAAAAGAAACCAAATCAATAGAAACCAGAGCGGCATTGAACAGGTTTGATAAGGCTGTTCCTCTCCAATTTTGTCATTATAGATAGTCCCAAGCCCCAAAAGTCCGGAAATCCACAAAACCCGGCTTTGAAAGAAATGTTGAGAACATAACCCTTATTTTCTACGAACTCTTTACTCGGCCACGAGGAACAGAACGATCAACCGTGCATGATATATTAATATGACCAGATGATATACACGGATACATGCATATTTGATCTATGATCTCCAATGCAGAAACCGCACATGTCTTTTGAGCAAACTGATATAACTGCGGACCCCCTGTGGAGTGAGCCGATCAGCGATTTTTTAGCAAGCGCCCTAGTCCAAAGAGCTTAGGGAAGTGACAAATTCTTAGGACGCTAAATTCGAGAACACCATATCATGAATTCCCTGGCAAATTACAACTTGTCTTGGCTGTGTTTTTCTGTAACAAGCTCCACCATTCCTTACAGCTTTGCCATCTTGATACACGACTGCCTACAATAGTCACCCAGCATTCCGGATATTGGTCCATTTTATCCAAGAGTAATTTCACTCCGTACTCCGTACAAAAGTATTTTGAAGCTAAAACGGACCGCCCGAGAGCCTGGTTCTACTAATCCTTACTAAGATGGGATTATCTGGGGCCGGAAGTCTTAGCATTTGCCTAGGGCGTCTAATGCTATCATTTATGTACCTAGATGGGGACTTCGGTACTTTTTAGGTTCTTTAAAAAAACATACATATACTATATAGTCTACATTAGGATATCTGTCATATCGCTCATAACATGTCATCTCCTTTTTCTTTTTTTTTTTTTTTTTTTCTCCAACGGCGCGTTTGTGGGGGCCAAGACTGATAGGGGGACAAGCATCGGGCCGGGGATGGCGGGCTCTTGACTTCATCTTACTGACTTTTTCGTATTTCAATTATGTTTCCCTTTCAAATTGTAGAAATTTGGGCGTATCAGCCACGCACTAGACTATCGAGAGCGTCATGGCCCCCAATCCGCCCCCATTTACTATAATGGGGCTAGAAACCAATGCCCAGGCCAAGATTGTCATCTCCCTTGTTTAAGAGGATCATTACTGTACACACTATGGCCCCAGTCGCAATCAGTTCCGAGACCTTTTCCCGCATATCCTCTTGTTTAACCCGCCATTTGTGGGGGTCAAATTCCCGACTCAGGCTCGTGATAGTTACCATCGGCCCACCTCATATGAAGATCCTGGGATTACTTTTTTTTTTCTTTTTTCTTGTCTTACTGATCTTCTTCTTACAGAACCAACAATTAATTATCTATCACAGATGCAATGAAGATGGTGAACAAGTGGGTAGTGGGAATAAGAGTAGTTGAGTAGACCCGGCACTGATGCATACCAAGTGGCGCACAGGAAATCTAGAAGTTGGTTTTTTTTTTCTGAACTTGTGGGCCAGCAAGGCTACCCAACGGGAACCTCTCAGATCAGAAAACGATTGCGGGGGTCGCTAGTAAACGCCCATGGCTGGATATGGGCTCTTAAATACTTCATCGCGCCCGCTCTGTGCCCCCCAATTGAAATCCTCACAAAGCTTTCGATTGACCATATTGACGACATATATAATTGGGATATCAAATTGTATGTTGGACTTCTCTTATGAGTGCCGTTCCCATTATACTTCCTCTCCCTTCCCTCCACCTCGATGCTTGCAATCTCACAGGTCTGGAACTTATATAGTTCCTAATGTTCCCCGGAGGCTCTGGCTCACAGGAACCCTTTTCTTCCAGCAGGTATCAATCAAATCCACCAAAACTCACGGACTCGCAATCCAACGTTCGGCCTTTGTGTCCACTGATCCAGTCGGTGGAGACTTCGGACTTTTCAGAAGGCATTCTTCCTGGACCTGACTCTCACTGGCCCATTCACCCCATTCAGAGTTCTATTTCTTCTGTGCAAGGCGGTGCACAATCAACACAAGAATTTGCACTGGCGCTTTCCTCACATCACTCCACGAAGCTGGACACCACGGATCAGCCTCACAATCTGACAGGATCGAACTATTCACCCACGGGGTCAATACCCCTGTCTTCTATCGAGGACACAACTGCCATTAAGGAAGAGATTGATTCGGAAGATTCACGGTGCGTCAAACCAAATCGTGAGAAACGACATAATTTCTGTGCTGACTAGGGCATCCCCTCAACAGCGGCCTTGGCATCTCATCATATCCCATGTCAGTAGCATCAGACACTTATTTTGCTGGCCCAATGCAGCAGAACACTCATCGTACGAAGTTTATCCAGACGCGGGTTAAGTGGTGTTGACTGACGCTTCCAGAATATGCGTGGACAAACCGGCCTTATCAGCCTTTGCAGCCGCCATCAGGACAAATGAGTCCGTCATTTCCACCTTCACATCCCTTATACTCTTCGTCGAGCTATCCAATGGGCTATCCCGGCCATACAAACGTGCCAATGCATGGATACCAACCGCAAGAATCTCAATTACCGGCTTCTTATCTCGCAGGACCTGGCAATCCTCCCCGTCACAGCCAGGCTCGAAGGTACTCCGATTGATTACCTGTCCTCGAAACATACTAACATCTCGACTTCAGTCCGCCTATCGCCCGTCCCTTCCACCCTCAATCTGCTTCGAGCACTCCTCAGCCCGGGCAGCCTCTCATGACATCGTATGTTGAATGAACCACCGCTCGAAGGATAAAAGTCCAATAACCCGCTTACTGACATCCAACGGTAGTCCTCCTTATATGATAAACCAACCTGCCTACTACTTTCCCGACACATCATCCATCCCGTGAGTCGAGAATCGATGAGCTTGAAGATTGTAGCCTTACTGACCAGAAACCAAACCATTAGATCACACCCTGCCTCCACCAGCTCTCACCCACCATCGACAGCTGCTCCCGAGCCAATTTATTCTTCACCAGAATCAGCTGCTGCTACAGACTCTGACCATCCAATCCGAGTGCTTAGCTTACGCCCGCGACCGCAGTGCTGGGACCATGGCTGCAATGGTCGTGAGTTCTCAACATTTAGCAATCTCCTCCGCCATCAACGAGAAAAGTCGGGAGTGGTAGCAAAGGCTGAATGCCCAATATGCGGCGCGGTATTTACACGTACAACCGCACGCAATATCCATGTTGCGCAGGGCAAGTGTAAAAGCTCAGGCAGGGAATCATCCGCTGAGTAGATGGGTATACGCACTATTATGATTTTCGGCGTTAAAGCGAAGGCGCTCGGCTCTAGTAGGACTGGATTCCTCCTTATGTATGTGTATTTGGGGAAGCAAAGTATTCTCTGAGAGAAACATGCCTGGTCTAATAGAACTTCTCGTACATACAATTTCTTGGCACCGGACAAACGGCCACGTGATGCTTCGGCCCGTGCCATTTGTGAGTCAGTTCAACGGCGTCACAGATCATTCAATTCTACAACAATGCCTTATTTTTCTCAAGTCTTTTTAGAAGTGCTCTATCTATCGTATCTGTGTCTATTACCAATACCTTTGCTACCAGTCTGAATTGTAACTGTGCCCATGGCATCTATCTTCACCTATGACCCTGACCCACCTCGGGTGTCGTCCCCGTGGTCAACTTCGGGATCATCGACTCCTCAAATCATTGCACCTGGTAGTCGGGGCTTACCCATCCGCACGCGCTCCAGTGCCACTCCACTACGCGCCGACCCTGACTTGTTATCTAACTATGGAATATCCAAACTGGAGCCCGAGCCCCAAGAGGGTCCCACTGAGTACAAAGTGCACCTTTTGCTTCGACCCAGGCGCCCTTATCTCTCAATGTCGACTGGGCATGTAGTAGCGGGTTCATACCACCAAAACCAACGCGTCATGCCAACCCCGTCTATCTCTGCCTCTCCAGGCTTAGAGCCAACCCCAAGACCCATGCAAGCCAAGTCTAGCCAGAGCCGCCATCAACGACTACAAGGGCTGACTACCCAGCTATTATGGCGTTTGCAACAATCCTCACCTTTTCACTCATCCACTACCTCTAACCTTGTGATCCCTGTTCTTCCCGAGGCAGCCCTGGAATTGGGTGTCCCCTCTAAACCCGCTCGCTTGCTTCCCGGTCTTGAAGAGAGCCAAGGTGCCTTGTATGAGATCGGTGTCGGAGATGATGGCACTTTTGTAGGCCTTACGCAAGATGAGTTGGATGAGAGCATGGCCAATCTTCAGGCTATGGCTGCTAGTCTTGGATGCAAGGTTGAGATCCTTCGCCGAGTTGTGGTTGGGAAATGTGAATGGACCGAGGACTTACCATCTGCGACTGCGAATCAACCCAGAAACAACACCGAAAGTCTCTGGGTCGCCGAGGCTCTGGTCAGTCCCGATCTTGACTTCTACAATATTTCTTCGACCAAGCCCAAGAACGACACAGAATCTGCTGCACACCCACAATCTGGCAACACCTCGGCCTTGGACCAGGATTACTCCCATACTGAGCAAATTCGCATTTCGCTCGCAGGTCCAAGCACCGCAGGAAAGTCTTCTCTGCTGGGTGCATTGACTTCTTCTGCGCTTGACAACGGTAGAGGCAAAAGCAGGTTGAGTCTGCTCAAGCATCGGCATGAAATCTCATCGGGCATCACTAGTTCGGTTGCCCAGGAACTGATTGGATACACGGATGGGGTGCCACCAACCGTGATCAACTACGCTTCCGGTAATGTTGCCGGCTGGGATGATATTCATGCCGCTTCGAAGGGAGGTCGTTTGGCTTTCGTGTCCGATCTACCCGGCTCTGTTCGATATTTGAAATCTACGCTGCGAGGACTTGTCAGCTGGGCTCCACATTATGTGATGCTTTGCATTCCAGCCAATTGTGGTTCTGGTTCTGAGACACCCGGAAGTGAACAGGCAGGAACCGAACAATCAGAAATTGATACGTGTTTGTCATATTTAGAACTTTGCCTAAAGTTACAGGTTCCTGTGTTGATTGTCATTACCAAATTGGATCTTGCTTCCCGCAGCGGACTGCGAGACAATCTTGGGAGAGTTTTATCTGCGCTTAAAACAGCTGGAAGACAACCTGCAATGCTACCTGCATCGCCTGCAGGAGATACACCACTTGACCTTCAGCAAGTCAGCACGTTGGATAGCACCCAAGTACAGAAAGTGTTGGCTACGGCTGATGGGAAGTGGGTACACACCGTACCTATCATGCTTACCAGTGCTGTGGATGGCTCTGGTATTGGAAAACTCCATGCCTTCCTTCGATCTCTTCCCATTCCCACGCAACCCTCTCAGAGAACTCTTCATGTCCCTAAAGGATTGTCAATTCCCTCTCATAGCTCCGCCAACATCTTTGATGTAGACGAAGTGTTTGCAATCCCTCCCTCCAAAGTTTATTCTCTAGACTCGGAGAAGGGCGGACAAGAAAACCGCGGCGTGGTTCTCTGCGGCCTAGTCCGTCGCGGGAATATTTCCATCGGCGACGAAATGGTCATCGGCCCCATCTTAGTGGATGTTCCAAACGACCAAGGCAATGAGCCCCAACCACCCGGAGGGTTATTGTCCCGCAGTGGGCCCGGCTCCTCGGGCGATCTCCCGGCATCCTTCCCGCAGAGCTCACTGTCCGGCAAAGATTCACAAGCAAGGTGGCAGCGTATCCGTGTCGTCAGTGTAAGAGATCTCCGGCTTCCTGTCCGGCGCCTAATCAAAGACCAAGTTGGAACCATCGGAATCGAACCCATCGGGCTTTCAGAGGATGGTCGCTTACCGCGATTCGGCCGGATCCGCAAAGGCATGGTTCTCTCAAATTTCAACGCCCCACTCTCGTGCTCAAAAGATACGTCGCCTGCTTCCTCTCTATTAACACTACCCTTCCACACGGGATTTACCGCCACCTTCCGGTCAACCGAGTTCTCGGCTCCAAATTCACCTCCACTTTTGCTTGGCGGTAACGCTATTGCCTACATTGCCAACATTCGAGCTACTGTCCGTGTCATCTGCATGGCGTTAACTGGGACTGGTGAGGAACTATCTTCCGAGCCGCCTTCTCCATCAGAGCCTGAATTCTTCAGTTTCGACGGCGATTCTCATACTCCTAGTGAGAAATCAAACAGCAATACTGGGACAAGCCATAGCGCGGACGGCACAGGTGATGCAGTTCGCCGCCATCCCTCAACAACGGATATCAGCAAAGTAATGTCTGGCGCTGCCTCTGCCTCCATCGTCGGAGTTGCTTCTTCCGCAGAAGCTTTGAAAGAGGACGTCAAGATTACCTTTGCGCTCGTATCTTCTGTTGAATGGGTGGAACTTGGGTCTCAGGTTCTGATCATGCCTGGCGTGTCTATGGCGTCTGTTCCAGCCCAATCTGGGGCCACAGTAGCATCTGCGCCTGGCTCTAGCTCTGCTTGTGGGACGGTGCCTATGTCAGGGTTAGAAGGGTTTGTGGGAACTGTCTGTGAGGTTGTTCCTGGGAGATTTCCAGTCGCGGAAAGCTAGATCGCAATCTTGCATCGCGGAAATTGCTGACACCTTTTTTTTTTTTTTTGTGAGCGTCCTTGTAGACTTTTTAGCCATCTAGATGTCTGTTTTTAGTGTTTATAGCGGGCTTGGTTTTTATTTGATTCCCATGTTTGTCAATAAATGGAGCGAGTCGTTACTGGCTTGTCAGATAGGACGCATCTACAGACTTTCCAGTGATTAAAGAGTGCAATATTATGTCCTAAGAAAAATGTTGTCGTAGCAATCGAGGTTACTATGGATTGTCTAGTATTCTCGGTTTGAGCGCACCGATCCGCCCAAAAACAAGAAACGAGGCAAATCAGTTGGAAGCAATGCGAATGGTCCAACTTGATTGCAGGCAGATATAATTTCTTAATAAGGCAAGTCATCCCCCAAACACCAGCGGTCAGAAACGCGCAGTGTCCCGTCGGATCCGCTTTCGAATCATCTCTATCCCATTGCGATATCGTTTTTTTTCTTCTTTTCGCTTGGGTATCTCCATCAACTTTGTTGATCAAACGCCACTAGGACACTTGAAACAATGCCAGGCCTATCCACGATTTGATCGGAGGACTGCATTTCTGGTATTCGCGTGGCTAGGCACACTATCCACCCTTGCGCTGGTCGTTAGGGACACTGGGGTGGCGAGAAAAGGTGCTAGTCGAGCCAATAGTTGCACTGGCATTGCGAAGCTCAATCTTCTTGCGCTCCATCTCGAGCTAGGTTCCAAGACGTTAGATCCTTTGTTTTACGATTGATGACTGAATTAATTAAAACAACTTACCACCTTGCGCACTCGAGCAAGAGCAGCCGTATCACCCTCCACAATCGACCGACAATCGTCAACGCGGTAAGGAGCAGCAATTGTCACGGCATCGGCGACAATAATATTGTGGCCATTCCATCGCGCGGGCATAGTGCGGCTGAAAGCATCGAACAGGTCTTGGGCCTGAGTAGTAACGCCCTTACCACGACGTGCCTCGCGGTCAAGTGCTTCGCTGATGGCCTTCGACTCGCGGGCCTTGAGCGCACGGGTATCGAGTGCCTGGATCGTGGGTTGTGCATCCGTGAACGAGGACGAGGTGGAGTTCGAGGGCGGGGCGAGTGCAAGGAGCTGGAAGTTCTGGATGCGCGAAATCGGGATCACATGATAGTCGCCATTCTGTGCCTGTTTGGCGTCACCGGGGTTGGGCGCGGGGGCCGTGTTGATGGCCACGAGGTTGGTGATCGGACATGCCGTGAACAATGTACCTTCGAGAATCGATTGAAGTGGCTGCGCGGTTGTAATACGCACGCTAAAACACAAGAACGGAAGATGTCAGCGCTGCGACTATGTATACACCAGCGTTGGCAGATAAGACTCACCGGGCACCGATCGCCCCGCTCAATGCTGCCTCCAAGGGCACTGTGGGCGTTGCCATCCCTGAGCCTACTGCGTTACCAGATTGTTTCTGCGCAGAGGCTTTTACTGAAACCTGGCGCTTGTTCTCCGCCATAGACCTATAGCTTTAATCTCCACGTATGAGCTGCTCGGCGGCCACGATAGACTGATCCCCCAGATGAGAGTCCCGTTGATCGATTGTGGCGCGGTACTCAAGTCCTATATGGGGTCAGGACATTGGAAGCAGATCAGCACAAGTAGAAATCGGCTTGCCCTGCGAGGAGCTATTGCACCCCCGACGGTTGGTGGAGGGTGGGCTGGACGGTGCTGCCAATAGTCTCCTCTGTTGAAAAACGAGCGTGGCTCAAGCGGAGCAGGCAAACTGGCACAACCCCAAAAGAAGAGAACAGAAAACAAGCACCACACCCAAACCAGGAATTTATGGAAGAACGATCGACTCGAGGATTAGATGGCAGGGTCGACGTTGCACGAATGCCCTTTTGGGTTTAGTGCTAACATTCGATTACTTCATCGTCGCCTCAGGCAACAACATAAAACAACATCGTTTCATGCTATTATAGGGCGTTGAAGCGAGTCATTACTATGGATTGTGAATTCCTACCAAGTGTATTACTGATTGAATCACCAATGTATATAGTCAATGTATTGCTATCTCTAAAATGGGGTGGGTACTGCTCCTCCAGTTACTCCAAGGATGTACAACATACAAACAAATTGGGAAATGTTTCTTGTGGAATTTCCAAGCTTAAGGGAATATCTCGAGTATGTTTCTTCATCATTTTATTACTCTCCTTCTCACCATTCTCTCCCCGAAAAGAAAAGAATCTCCAATGTTCTGAAAATGAAACGAACCCATTTTCAGTCTAAATTATGCAATATGTGCGGAGTAAATTGCAGGCCAACAGAAGGAGCGGCAAGCTTTCCAGCCATCGTCGCTCGCAAAGATGTCGACCTTGGGCTTTCTTCTCTTCCTAAACTTACAACAGATAGTTAGCTGCCAATACAGTCTTTTTAGTATCTTGAACAATCCTCTCAGATATTATACTTCTATTCGAATTTCTGGATACTCCCTTTCCCGTCTCAGTTTTCTAGGTGGACTACGCGCGACTGACTATGCTACTTGTTCATAACCCTCTCATTGAATAATTGCTTCGTCGCTGAGGGACCGTTGTGATCACCGCCTTTTTGAAGCCTACACGATTTCGGTTTCTCATAAGGTGCTTCTATACTAGTATCTTCGTCGCTATATCAGAAGTAATACCTAGAAAAGTCGCTTGCATAGACTATGCTTTCCCCGCCTTTTTCTGTAGTCTACCCATTAACACTGGAAAGGGGATCTTAGAGATATTTAAAGGGAATATCTAAAAAGAGCGCTGTAAAAAAAAAGACCCCTGAAAAGACCTGGAGGATATTATAAGCCTGCATCTGCATGAAGAACACCAAAAAAAAATAATGGGCCCGAGCCCGGGATTGAACCGGGGACCTCGCGCAATATTGCTTTGGGTTAACCCTAAGCGCGAATCATACCACTAGACCACCCGGGCGTTTGATGTCATATGCAACAAACTTTGCAATCAAGAGCACAGCGTCTTCTTAAATTATCTCTTCAATAGAGTAATCCCTACAGTGCCATTTAAGCTTCCTACTCTATACGTGCGCTCCGCTAAGGCTGCCGCAAAATCCCCAGTCGCAAAATGTATAAACTCAATATTAGTTGGAAGATAGCTCAAATATATATACGGACTCAATACTAAAAAGTACGACTAGAACACGCTATATCTAGTAGCCCTCATATGATATATCTAGGTCTCAACCTGATTTATACTTTAATATTACTCACAATTTGATAACTTATATCTTAAAAACTGTATTTTATTAGGTTCCCTTACAATATCCGTTTACCACTTCCTGTGTAGGTTCCTCGAATGCATCAATGACATATGTGGGTCTGCTGTCGAGGTTGTTCCGTGTCCAGATTGCTTTCTCGAAGTCCAGTTTAATTTGGGCATCGCTTGTGTATCTCAGGATAATTCCCCAGTAGGTTATTGCGTCGGACATTGTGCAGGCAAGGTCGGAGTATTCCATGTTGTCAAGCTTTTCTTTGAACCACGCTTTCGTGTGTTTCTTGGCCTTCTTGTGTGAGGGTTGTGGCATCGGGGATGCCTCTCTCTTTAGCTTTTGTTTTGCCATGATGGTTTTGGCCACGAGTAGATGGAAGTATGAAGTTGGAATGAAAGGATTGATGAAGTGATGGGTGATTAAGAAGTTGAAATGATAGGTTGAGAAGGCGGGGTCGTGAAGTGAAAGTGAGGTGAAAGTGTCGAAGGTTGAGTAGGCCCAATCACGGAATCAGACTACACATCCGCATACCGAGTACACCCAGACGCTGGGCGGTTATGGCAACCACAAAAGGCCATCAGACAATACCATCCACATTTTCTCGAGATGTAAGGTCAATGGACTTCGTAGCCGTCTCCGTAGACCTCTCGCAGAATTGAAGAATATCAAAGACTCTTGTCTATCTCCCCCTAGTGGGAGTTGTAGTTGCCATGGTGGTTAGTTAGATGAGAAAAAGAAAGTGCGGACTCGTAATTCCCTGCAAGCAGTGGTACTGGTGAAGCAAAGGTTCAGAGGCGAGGAACACTGTTCATTGTTTCATCATGTGCGATGTGCCTATATCACTCTACAGATTAAATGCATTTATGCAGATACAGATGTATAGATCAGATCCGTAGATGCCAACAAGATTCTATCTTCGGTAACTAGATACAATTGGAATACATATATATATATATATATACATGTCTGTACACAGATGTGTACCTCAACTTACAGTTATACTAACACGCGTGCATATGTACCTCCATATGTATATCCCGTGAACGTGGGTTTATTACTAGGACATAATACATGCACCAAGGGTTATATATGCTGTCTAACTATAAACCTACCGAGGTTTCATGAATCCAAACAGAATGTCTGCAAATTCCACCCAAAAATACAGTAAAATCAAAGATGTAAAGTCTCAAATTTCATCTGTGACTAAGGTTCTTTAAACACTGACTAGTTATCTCGTCTCACATTGTATAAGGCTGGACTTGGGCTGGAATTGTGCCAACTGCCAAAAAGCATCTTACAAGCAGACGTATCAAGCGCAAGAGCAAGTTCGAGCTGGTGATTGATCTTGTCATATGCACGAGGAAGACAAGCCCTGCTCATTGAGCGGTAGAAAATACCTTTATTCGAGAGGTCGCTACAGCCAACAGTTGCTCACTACTAGTTTCCAGGGCACTGTTTGCTGTGATGATATGTGCCTGGCGGTGACGAGGTTTTTCCTGCATTATTTAGGGCGGCCATCCAGCATCTCTAGGGGGATTGCTGAGGATTTTTCTGCTTTTTATTTTTATTCCTTCGCTTCGTTCATCGACCTTTCGACTATCTCCAGTTGTGGTTTCATCTTTCCTTAGCCTTGCTGGAATACTTCCATCATGCCAAGCTGCGACAAGCTCCTCCATCCCGCATTATGTGCGAATAACATAAACTCGCCATGTCCTAACAAGACCTCCAAGGTAAACAATGCCTGTAGCCGCTGTCTCTTGGTTGTGGTCAGTTTTTCAACCCTTGACCTTTCAAATGCCGCATCATGTTCTAACCAAGAAATCAAAACAGTACTGCAGCAAAGAATGTCAAAAAGAACATTGGCCCTCGCACAAGGAGGATTGTAATCACAGTCTGGCACAGGATTCATGGAAGCCAGATTGGCATACAGAAGGGCGAGAGCCAACTTTCTTCACAGAAGACCCATCTGAGCCGAACACGAATGAGGGCAAAATATCATGGTGGGGAACTATGCCAGCATTGGATTTGCTGAAACTGGATAGAAATGAAGGCCAGGATGTGCCCCCCAAGATCCGTATTCTTATTGCATGTAAGAGACTACCTGAGCTTCAACAGCCGGTTCCTTTTGATTAACATGCTCCCCAATAGCGTCACACGATATTCGAAACATGATCGAAACAATCGCTCGCCTGCCAGATACGTATTCGGGGCAATGTGAGATCCTGATGAATGGAATACACACCGGGATTTTCGCTCAGAATATCATCCTTCTGTTGACAGCTTTCCATTTTCGACCGGAGGAAGCTGCGCCTATGATGATCCACTTGTGGTATTCGGCTTTGATTCCCGCGTCTGTTCTCGCAGCACTTCAAGCAAAGCTCCAGCCGTCGATCCGGAAAGTCTGCTCCGAGGCTGCACAGAAACGTGCCCTTCAGTATTTCAAATGGATTTGGAAGAAGAACAAATCATCTTTACATGTGGAGCTTTCGAGAGATGATTGGGAACGTCTCCGAGAATCTCTTCAGGTTCCTGGTCGTCTTTCTGCTGCCACGGCTGCCCGTAATCGACAGAAGGTCACATTGCCGACAAACAGCGAGGACCTCCTCCATAGGTCTCTCCATGGACAGCCTCCATATTGGCGTGTCGCCACGTTGAAGTTCCGCCGTGATGGCATATTGTTGCCGTTTGGGTGCTCACGCAAAGATTTTGACACTCCTAACCCGTTAGTCTCTCCGACTCCTCTTTATAATTCTCAGTCCACTTACAAAATTAGGACAATTTTCTCTGCTAGCCATTCTTGGCCCATGCCAGACAATGCAGATCCGCGCACTAGTTGGAACCTTTTGGAGATATGCGATGGACCGCACGCTGCGGGTTATGCTGCGAAGAATGATCTGTACGGCATGATTTTCATCCATCTCCGAGAGACTATCTTGGAGTTCTGTCGCCAAATTTCGAAGCGAGATATTAGCATTCGGCTTCTTTCTATCGATTCACTTGAACTACCGAAATATTTCAACGAGTCGAGCGGACATCCAGGATTTGATCGAATTGAGGTAAATTACTCACTTTGAGTTCCCAACCTGTTTGATCTAGTTCACGATGTTATTGGAACGATGCTAATACGATACAGTCATACGTAACTGCAGAGAAAGATGTGCTTGGGATTGATCTCAACCTCGCCATATTTAGCCAGCTACTGAAGCCGAAGACTCAAAACCCAAAGGCCATGCTGCTTGTCCTCTTTATGCGCGACATTGAAAACATGTGGAATTTTGACTCACTTGGCAGGGACATGGCTCGTGCTGCAAAATACCTCCCCGAACCCGAGTCGTCGCACAGAGACGATGCAGACGAGATGAGACTCAGGCGATCGAGCTCTTTTTTCCGAGATGTCAGTAAATTGTTCGATCTTTACAAAAAGGCAACAGGGTTTAATGGACTCACCAGCAAGTACGGGCTGAAGATGAGGGGCAACAACACAATCGTGGCCCACTGGCCAATGCGACCCGGAAAACATGCTCTCCAGCGTGTGTTTGACATCCTTGAGGCATCCGGCGCCAGTGGTTGTGAGCGCTATGTCGAGTGGGAATGGGCATAATTCTTTTCTCTATTGTGAACTACTACCTAGGCAGCGAGCAATTAGTTGGTGGATGTGTATGTGTCTCCCGATTTCTTGCTCTTCGTCAATTCACTAATGGTATCATCGCTGTTCAATTTATCGAATCATCATGAGCTATCCTCTCTCCATATCCTCACAATGATCAATTTCTCCCACCCAGCCTGCATCCCACTCGAACCCGCCGTCTCAACCTGCCATCCGCCCCAGCCACGGATGCGCTCCATGACCTCATCAGGTCGATTTTGCTTGCAAAGTAAGACATAAGCCACACCACGCACAGATAGCACATCAGGAATAGCCTCAAGCAGCCTGTCCGTAGTTTCCATACCATCAGCTCCGCCGGCATAGGTCAACGATAAAAAGTACGAGTCATTATCAAACTTGGCAGAACGAGACATGGCCTCTGAAACAGCAGGATCATTTTCCGCCGCAGAAGGCAGACGCGGTAGATCCTCAGTCGGAACATAAGGTGGGTTGAAGAGGAGGACATCAACGCTGCCAGGGCGAAGAGGTGCACAAAGATCAGCTGTCAAGGAAGAGATGTGAACTGATTGAGGGGACGGCTGTTGTTCTGCCTGAATGGCTGTCGTTGCGGTTTTCCGCGTTGCGATGCAAGCATTGCGGTTCACATCAGTGCCTAGCGTGAGAATATCACGCCGGCCGAAGATATGTTGAGACTGTGCGGCTGTGAAGGCTAGCACAACACCAGAGCCTGTGCCTACTTCGACGACTAATGGTGATGCCTCTTGGTTCTTTGGGAATCGCTCAGAGAGCCATTTTGATTCGGATGCCGATGACAATGTGTCTAGAAAGAGGTAGGAGTCCTCAGATGGCTCATATATGGTGTCAAAGGACACATGTGAAGTGTCTGGTGTGGGAAGCATGGTGCGTGTGTTTAATACAGCCCGTCTTTTTTAAAAAGAGAATGTCGGTTCGGTCCTTGAAGATAGTGGGGTTATCTCGAGATTATATGCAAAATACGCAAGGCCCCAGGCGATCACAAGTTTCAGGGGAAAAAAATAACAAGGACCAATGTAGTCAATTGAAATTATACGCGGCAATATCAAATCCCAAAATATCAGCAAATGGCAGAGATCAAAAGGGCCAGATCGTCAAAGATCCCGAGACATCCCGACCCGTTGATTCGCGCGTTCGCCTCGCCGCCTTTGCCTCAAAAATCCCCGGAATTATGTCATATCCCCATCTTCCTTCAACATCCTAATTATTCAGAATGCGGATTGCTCAGCGTTTACTTATGGCCACGCCGGCCTCGATCGGCTCCAAATCCAGTCTCAGCGAGGCTCTCGCTCTCCTCCCGCCGCTGCAGCTTTACCGGCGCATTCTACGCGTCCATCGCAAACTCGATCCTGAGATGCGCGTCTTGGGCGATTCTTATGTGAAGAACGAGTTCCGTGCGCACCGCGGTGTGGAAAATCCATTGCATATTGTACGTTTTTTTTCTCTCTTAGTTGGTGTGGTTATACCGAGGTGAAGAGAAGGGGAGATATGGCGGAAGGGAAAGGGCTTGTTGATACAGCTACTAATGTCGGCAATGATAGATCGGGTTCTTGACTGAGTGGCAGCTATATGCGCAGAAGCTGGAGGGCGATCAGTGGGAAGGTGATAAGCTGGACAAGGCCAAGTTGGATAAGATGAGTGGTATGTTGTTCACAGTTGTTTGAACTCTGCCTCGGTCGATCATATTGCTGAACTTGTTTCTTATTGCAGATCAGCAACTTGGACAGTTACTTGAGCTTATGCAGGCTTTGAAGAATGAGGGTGAAGGAGAGAATCAATGAACTTTCTGAAGATTGCACTGGACCGAGGTTGGCACTGCTACACCGAGAATTGGCACTGCTACACCGAGAATTGGCGACATCAACTTCAAACAACGAGGTCTCGGCTGACCCATCAGTCCAAACCGATTCTCGAATGCAGTGCTTGATTTTATGGCAGTCAGACGTGCCTGGTAGGGTCATGCTGGGATATGCAGGCATCTCCCATGCCCCCGCCAGCCCATATGTACATACTATGTGTAGGAATAGAAGAGATGAAGCTTTTACTTGATCTTTCACAAGTTTGACCGGTCAGGTCCGCACCCAGGTTGTATTCCTCATAGAGTATAGTCTTTACAACTAAGAATCTTATGTTAGTTGGAGATTGCGGAACAACTCCGAGTGTTACCTGGGCATGTTCCACACCGTGACGTTTGGCGAGAGATTGACTTGCACCAAAGCAATTTCAGTCCTAGATCCATGTAGCATATTCTAGCAGAGGAACTATTCATGCACGCCAAACTATGTACTCCAACATCAGTGGAGAACGCCCTACCAATGACAAGCTGACTCATGCAAAATCGGCTCCGATACCGAAATGAAGATAGAGAAGACGATATATAAATCGTCAAATCCCTTTGACTACTATACAATTGTTCAATTGAGATTCTATCTTACCTCGAATCTATCCCCAAGCCTATTTATCTCACACATCACGAAAAAATAGTCCACTCACCATGCCCTCCATCCTGGAAGACCCCTCAACCCGCAATCCCCCACCAAAAGCACACACAGATGCAGCGCCGACCCTAACGGCGAGGAAGACCACCCTCCCCAAGTCCTCCTCCGCACCAATGACGCTCTACCCCATCACAGGAGGACCGCAAACAGTCCCAAAGGACCTGATCAAATTCCTGCACGAGGAGTTTAGCGCGGAGATCCTCCGAGGCGGTACATACCCCATGGAGCAGCCGATGGCGCTGGATCAGTTCGCAGACTATTGGTTCGGGACATTTGCAGCTTTGGCAATCTTAGACGATGAGGGGGAGGGCTTAAGGGAGGGAAGAAACTGGGAGAGTGTTTGTATGGGAACTTTTTATATCAAGCCTAACTATCCTGGTATGTGGATCTTACTGCCATATTCGGATAAAATCAATCTCTTTAGGAACAGTCACACTAACTTTAACAGGCCGCTGCTCTCATATCTGCAATGCAGGCTTTCTCACCACCACTGCCGCACGCGGCAAGGGCGTCGGACAGGCTATGGGCGAGGCCTACCTCGAATTTGCCCCGAGACTGGTACGACTTGACCCCCGGCTTTGCGATAGCAGCCTTTGCTCTGCTAAGCACACAACATGCGTGGCTAACTCTTTTCCTAGGGATACACATACTCAGTCTTCAATCTGGTCTTCGCCAATAACCCGGCCTCTATCCGTATCTGGGAGAAGCTAGGATTTAGCGTGATTGGACGGGTCCCCAAAGCTGCGCGGTTGGCGAATAGCGAGGACTTGGTGGATGCATTGATTTTCGGACGTGAGCTGGGAAATTAAATGGAAAGTTTCGGGTTTAGATTGGGCCGTGCATGTTTCAGAGATGAAGTTCATTTTTGAATTGCGGTTTCAAGTATATATATATATCGTGTGATTACGAATGATGAATAGATACTACAATGAGCCAACATCAACATATACAAAGAGTTGCCTGGTTGAAACGAGTCATGTCATTTCCAAGACCAAAAAAGCAAAACTAGATAAAACTACAAGGAATAATATTCACAGGGAAGAGAAGCGCAGTGGTAATCAATGAGAAAATAGAAAATAACCGGGAAACAGATGACCCCAACGCTCAGACCATACCATGCAAACAATGGGGATATCACGCAGAACTTGACTCTTCAAGATGATGGATCCCCTTCGCACGGACTTAACACCGATTCGGAAATCGAGATTGAACCGAGGGGAAGGGGTGTAATGCAGTTTAGAAACACATAGACAAAACAAGGGTCGGAGAGATGCAGATAGGAGGATAGTAGGAGGATAGAATGAGAAGAAGGGAGAGTAGATGGTGAGGGCTATAGGTGGCATAGGAGATGAGCTACGGAAAGATGGGAAATATACAACTCAGTTGTTATTAACGCCAGCGTGGACGCGTATCCACCTTGGGGGCTGCCGGCTCTTTCTCCATTCGCCTGGGAACTGGGAGTAGACTAGTTCGCCTGTTGCTGGAGTGGCCTAACGATGTACCTGGTCGTGCCGGTTTGCTTGGGCTCTCCATCCCAGCTGTAGTTCCTGACACACTTCGACTGAAAGATGTGGGCGGGCCCGCAAAGCTCTGGCGACTGCGAGGTGTGTTTGGCATCCCTGACGGTCGATAGAGCCGGCTGTACGGCGGTGGGTCGAGGAGCGAGGGCCGCGCCGGTGTCGGAGAGGACACATTCCGGCTGGGACTCCGGGAACCAAAGCGGCTCGAGACACGACTGGTTGATCGAAGACCACCGGGAATCGGGGAGGCAGACGTGTCTCGTCGGAAAGAGCCTGGGATTGCTGATGATGGCCGAGGTGTTCGAGCGAGTGGTGTGGATGACTTCCGTATTGTCGAGTTGTAACTAGAAGCCGAATTATTCAGATTCGTACTGGGATTCCAGCGTGGACGATTGGGAATTGAAGATGGAGGCGCTGGTGTACGCGAACGAGCACCTGGAGTCGGGGTGAAGTAGCTTGAGGATCTATACGATGGAGTGGGAGAAACAAGACCTGTCGGTTGAGGGATTGCGGACTTTCGAGTGGTATAACTTGCCGTGGGCTGCGGCAAGCTGGAATAACGACGGTTTGGGGGCATGGTAGAGCGGGCTGTGGCACTTCCAACTGAACTCTCGCGACGGCTTGAGCCGCCCATTGGTGTTGAGGCACGCTTGTACCCGTTGCTGTTAATGATGACTGACGACGCAGGCGAGCTCCCTGGGGTCTCGATTGCACTGCCTGTGGCTGGACTGTCCATGGTCATGATGCTGGAGATTGAGTCTCGTAGCTGGTGGCCTTTGGGAATGTGCACATCTTCAAGAGATGTATCCATCACCCGGATGCTAGCCTTGAGAGCGTCCATGCGGGATGCCATGTCGGAGAGCAGGCGCAGAATCTCACCATTGACAGTCAGGCGGTCGTTGACACCCTTTTGAATGATGGAAACAACACGTTCAATAGCAGGAACATAATGCATTTTCTTCTGCTCAAAGCTTTCAATGAGCTTGGCCAACGTTGATGGATTGTGCAGCTGCATGCCACTCTCCAGCCCGTCTTGTAGCTTTCCAATGCTACGTTCAACCGATTGAAACATCTTTTGTGCCTGGGACCCAGCATTGCGAAACACCAAGATCCACTTGTCTTCCGCCAACTCCTTCAATAGAGCCTCGGCATCGGTCTCAAGAACTTCATAGCTCTTCAGTAAACGCTTTCGTCGGTCCTCAATCTCCTCACATGCGCTCGGGAAAATGGCTTCGGCGCGTCCCTGGAACATTGATAGTCGCATAGGCAAAAACTCCAACGATGCGCGCAATGGCTGCATACGTGCAAAAATAGCCATGAGGTTAGAGTGACTCGTATCGTCCTGCGGTGTTTTGATAACGGGAGTGGCAGACGCCGAGGCCAAGAGCGGTCCAATACTCAGACGGTTCTGCGTATGCCCGCGGCCCTTCGAGGGGGACTCTTCCACAATCGTTTCCAGCTCATTGATGTCAAGACCGCCAGTGATATCACCCGTATCCATCAACGCCTGGTGCCGCTTCTCTTCCATCTCAAATATCAGCCCGCTCAAGTTGTCGACTTCCACACCGACATCGCCCAGTACGTTCGACCAAAGCTCTTCCCATTCCATTGCCAATTCAACTTGCTCTTTTACGCCTTTCAGCTTTTTCTTGATTTGAGTCCAGTTTTCCAGAATGCTCTCCATCTGGCTCACGATAGTGTTCAGGTTATCCGCGTCCACATTCGCAATGTCATCTCGATGTTGGACATTTTCAATAGCCCTAACGTAGACATTGACCAGGGACTCGAACCGCGTGATTGCTTTATCAACCTCATCTAGCCCCTCCCGGCCACCAGCCGCGGCCCATTCCACGTCATCTTCAGAGTCCAAGCCGCTCAGCACATCTGAGGCCTTCTTGATCCAAATTTGAATTTGCTCTGCGGCGCCATTCAAGGCCCGGACTGCAGACAAAGCCGTAGAAATGTTTTCAATGCTTGCCTCGAGCGAGGCTGGTTGTGGGAGAGGGATGGAGGTTAACTGCGAGAGCTGGTTACTGAAGGATGCACGGGAGAAAGAGTATATTGAGTCTGCGCGCTGCAAACCCATTGGGTTGAAATATGATTGAGAGTTGGAAGAAGAGCGTGAGTGCACGGCGTCGGCGGGAGGGGAGTCTTTGGGAGGGGGCTTCGGGGCGGACTCCTCGTCAGCGGACCGTTCCTCTCTTCGTGCGGTATCATCGACATATTTCTCGAAGTCGGTCCGGTCATCCTGGGAATCACTGGGAGGTCGTAGGTTTGGCATGGGGGCTGCGCTTAGCTGCGCGAGAACCGGCTCTGCGACAGACATGGGCGAGGGTGGGCTGATATTTTCCACGGGTTGGGCAGTCACCGGAACAACGATGGGCAGAGTGGGCAGTTCAGGACCGTCGACGACTGCTTCGGATGACTCCGGGCTCTCTCTTTGCGCGTCTGCAATCTCCCGCAGGATGTCCTGGTGGGGTAGCTCCAACTGGTTCGACGCGCTCCGTTTGAACTGGGTTTCTCCCGGTGATATGTTTGTACCATTCCACGCTTGGCCTTTCCTCTTCACTTTGATCGATAGGTCTTGGTGAAGACTATCAAGCTCCTTCAGGTGTTCTTCAGGAATCCGACCGACCGCATTGGCATGCCGGTTTTGCGTTGCGGACTTATTACTGCTGTCCAGCAGCTTGACCCGAGCCGCGAGGGCGGGAGAAAGTCGGCGGAGGATGGATGTTCGGCCGGCGTTTGTTAGCTCAGTAGAGACAGGTTCTTCTTCGTTATTGCTGCTCCCTAAGCTCCAGAGGGATGATTTGGACTTCAGGCGTCGGAGGGTGGAGGTACCGGAGTCATTTGGAGAGACGGGGAGCGCGGGGGTGAGTGACGGGGATGTAGATGTTGAGGTGTTGGGAGGATGCGTCGCGAGGTCGGTCGCAAAATTTGGAGTTTCAGCTGTGGCATGCATGGAGACCGGCCCTGGGGGAATTGAAAGAGCAAAAGGACCAAAGGATGTGGTTCAGACAGGGATACAAGGAATGTTTCGTCTTGTTCGGCGTTCGGTAACAGGGAGACCCCTTCTCACAGTTTAAGGCTGACTTTTTGGCTGTTCAGAGTGTCGGGAAGAAATTCTGCTACATGACAAGGATGCGTAGATGTTCTAGATGCAAAGTCTTGTGAATATGAGGGAGATATCGGGCAGCAACTGTTGAAACAAATCATAAGAGGGATAAAGTGGCCATGTACAGCCGTTTACTCTGCAGAATGGGTACCTCTAGCCCCGTACTACTAACTATGGGGCTGCATGTATCTCCTCGGTATGTAATTCAAGGGGATCAGCGAGATGAAATCATTTCACTTTTTTGGTTTTTGTGATTTATTTTCTTTTGAATTGTTTCAGCTAAATGGTATTGGATGTTTCTAGCACACTACAGATCGAAATCTAACAGTTTAACCCTAGATCATACATATACACTCTCTTTGCACGAGGTCGATCAAGTCACAGTACTCCATACCCCGTAGACGCGTTCATTTAAAAAAAATTAATACCCAAAGGAGTTAGTTCAACATTTCTATATACAGATCAACAACCATATATCCCAACGTAGACTGAGCCCAGAGGTAAGACAAGGGATGTTCAGAGCTTTAATCCGAGGCACGCGTGGAATGAAACAGTAATAAGATATACAATGATATACAATGGATAGAATTCCAAAAGAGACCAATCAAGGGGAAAAAAAAGCCAAAATATGAATGGGCAGAACAGTCGGCGACAATTCAGGGGTATCGTATCAAGTGCCCATAAAGATATCAAAGAAAAAAAAAATCGAGACGCAAACATGAACTTCGAACACTTAAAAGACTTCAAACACTGCGCTCAAATCAACCCAGCACTTGGGGGTCGCCCAGGGTTAGCCGCCTGCCAATCGCGCACTAGCTCTTCACGGACAGTTTTACACCAGGCCAGCAGTGCAGTATCGAACTGCTTCCAAGCAGTAGTCCCACTATTGTGTACAACCCCCATAACATCAACATCCAGCCGAAGCTCCCACCGGAGTTGTGCAGCTTTTACCCAGAACTGAAGATTCTCAGTCTGCCGGTACGGCTTGGCAATGTCTAAGTGGTAAGCCGTGATCTCGCCGAATTGGCGTTTCGACTTCTTGATCGCAAGGTTGTGTAGCTGGACCAGTGCACGGCCGTCCCGGAACCTATCAAGGAACGCGGTGGGAAGCGAGTCACTGGGAGCCTCCTCAACCGGTGTCCAGGTCGGCAAGGAGTCACCGCCAGGCAATAGGCTGCGTAGGAAGGACTCCTCGCGGGAGCGTTCACGACCTCGCCAATCTCCAGCAGCCCAATCCCAGTTCTCCCGTTCTTGGGCTTCAAGGTCTTCGAGCGCTTTTTCGCGGGCGAGCATGGTACGCACAGTCGCAATCCAACCCTGAATCCGCTCACGTTCCTCCTCGCGCAGACCGCTGGCAAAATGCCGCGCAGCCCACCGCTTCAAAACTTCAAGGACGTCAAAAAGCTCCTTGCGGATCTCCCGCTCACTCTTTATTGACGCTAAGCGCTCTGGCTTCTCGTGCGTGGTATAGTAAATTTTGGCTGCGCGGATTGCATTCGTAACATCGTCCAAAATGCACATACCCTGCCTCTCCTCCTTATTCATTGGGGTCGGCACCTGTCCGGATTGATCATCCTCCGGGACATCACCTGGAGAAAGACTCGACCGGAGGATTAGGCGGGGAGGAGGCTCCGCGCCGTTTTCAATTGCCTCAATATTAGTCTCTGCCTTATCCAGCGCGAGCGTAAGCTGCCGACGCAAGAAAATCAGATCTGGGGGCGGGGGGGATGTGGTGCGTTTTGATGCTGTATGTGCTGACTGTGGGGGGCAGCATCACCTCGGCGTCCTCATCGTCCCATTCACCCTCCGCCGGATCTGCCATATCTGTCGGGCTTGCGACCAAGTCATCATTCATATGTCGTTGATTGGGGGTAATCAGAACTCGTGGCACATTATCTCTGTTCTTCTTGCTCTTTTCCCACTCGCGGCCCCTCCCGCTTTTCCCGTCCAGCAATCCCGTCCGGGCAAAATAATATTGTAGGTGAGCGATACTGCCTAAACTCATGACGCTGTCGCGGTGGCGGGCGGATTCGGAGAACTCGGCACCCAATGCACGGGTATATCCATGGCGGCGAGAGGATGTGGATACGGACGATCTGGCATCTGCAGAGGTGGCGGAGGAGGCAGAGCGGGAAGACTCGGAAGAAAATGTGCGATCTGGAGAGGAATATGAAGATATAGCTGGCGTTGCCGGGATAGATGGCGACGGCGAAGAAGCGCGGTTGCGCGCCGCCTTGCAGTCCATGGAATATCGAGGCGCGTCCATCTTGCTTGAATGTTCAAAGCTATATGTCACCGGATCAAATTTAGTGGATCTGAGTCGCGTGAAGATCAATCACCGGAAGGTTCACAGTGACGGGGGAATATTCTGGGGAAAGTGTGACGTTAACAAGGCCTAGACAATTCTCAGACGAGCAACGGCTTTTATATAAATGAATTAATGAAAGGACGGAGGTTTAATGAGACCTGCAGGATCGACGGACGAGAAACTGCTTTTGGGCTAAAAGGGGGTTTCGACTAACGGGGGCTAAAAGGGGAAGCGGGTCAACTGCCCACATGGAGTTGAAAGAGAGTGTTTTGCACCAAAAATAAAAGCCCCCTTTTTGCGATTGCCCAAATGTTATGAAGTCCTCGAATGTGTACGAAGTATATGGAGTATAGTACTTCTCAGGGTGAACCTCTGTTTCTTACCCGGTTGGGCTTAGTGCCCCGCGTTCCATGGTTGGGCTTCTTGCCCGTTGGAACCTCCCAGGCTTGGAAGGCACTAAAGTACCGAGTCCAGGTATACCTTAGACATTGGAACATCTTTGGAGAGACGAGATTCTATTCTATCCTTTCTAACCTAATACCATTCTTGAAACGCCTTAAGAAAAAAAAAAGAAGAAAGAAAAAAAAAAAACTCATGTTGAATGCCTCAAGACTTGGCCTGTGTCGCTTCAATAGAATAGATTTCCTTGCGATCCCAGCCCTCTGGTCTCAAGTTATCAATACTCTTCGTCGGATGCTTTATGGTCGGATCGGTGTACTCAATCTGGTAGGGGTTGGGATCCACATTCTGCTTGAGGTTGGCGAGAGTGTGATTAACCTCGCGGTGCTTGGCTTCGTCCGCGCGGACATACAACAGCAGGTCCCTCATCTTGCGCTTATCCTCTGGCATCCGCCAATATTTGATCGCAATCTCGGGTGCATAAAGATCATTCCACTCCGGGAGCTTGCCCTTCTCGAGTTCCGCAATAGCGCGAGTGTATGTGATGACTGCCTCCTCCTCAAGGTATCCCACAAACCTGTGACAGATGCGTGGAGAGGCCAGATAGGCCAGAAAGAAGCCGTTGAAGAAGACACCCTGAGCGCCGAGAACCATCAAGCGCATGAACCAGCCCGGTTCAGCCAATTTCATGAAGGTAAGGAGATGCATGCGTTCGTTGTATGCTTCTTCGAGCAGAGTTTCAATCCTGGAAGATTTGGGGTTAGCATTGAGGTCATATGAGAGGATCTTGAATCCCGGTGTTCATAATTGACGTACCATCCATTGTCTCGCTTCATCTTGCGAAGACTGCGGAGATGTCGCAGCATGCCGCCCACCATCCCGGGGACACCGGCCACACTTTCCAAGAAGATAAACCGATTGAGCCACTTGCGCTCGGTCATTATGAACCTAGCCGGTAGTTCCTGGCCGGGCTTAGGATGTTTGTATCCTGTCACTGTGTCCATACCCCATCGGAAGAAACGTACAGTTCCCAGGGCAATCCAATCGGACCAGTTTGCGGCTTGTCTGTGGGCAATGCGAATATCTCGCATTTGCTGCTCGGTGTATCTGGCATAGAGTCAGCGTCTGGTGTATATAGAGTAGCTGTGAGTAAACATACACTGGATGCACCCAAGCTGTTTTTACCTCCTTGACATTTGGAGTCTTTGGTGCTGGGAAAAAGTCCTCAATCTGTTTCTGGGGTGTTGACGAGATAGGGCGTTTGGATGTGAGGCTGAGTGGTGATGTACGCTTGCTGGCCCCGCATGTGGGATTGAAGGTTGTAGCTGCAACGCCTGAGTAGGTTCGTACAGCAAGAGGCAGGTATTGCAGCCTTGCTGTAGCCCGCAAGGGAGCCCTCGCTGATAGAGTATTCATGATGTAGCCAAAGAGATCTAGTTTGGGGTCTGTCCCGATTGAAGAAGAAAGTATTGAAGTCAATGAAGGAGGAGATGTGAATGTGAGAAGATGATTCAGATATAAAGAGGTTCTAGGTGAAACCTATGTCGTAGAAGAGAGATGAAGATGGGCTCGCCCAATCTTTAAAGTTTTAAATACATCATCAAAGCAAACCCCTGGTGGGACACGAATAAGATCAGGGACATTGCCAAAAGAAAAATTCAAAGACAGACCCCGGAAATGTTAACGTTGGATGGTTCCTAGGTTGTCCAGATTGGAAATGATGACATTTCGTATACTTCATTGCCCAGGCACTTCATCTTTCCATCGGCCTTTCAGTATATCACCTATCTCTCAATCTTATATTATCATTGCTTTTCTTGAACAAGAAGCGAATAGATCAGCCTTCCCATTATCCCTGCACTATATGCACCATCATTCATTCCATACAGTATTTCCCGAAACGGTCAAGTCCTTGCAGGCAGGTGACATCGGAATGGGTCGGGAGCGGGAGATATGACTCAGCCCGTAACCGCCCTACCGCCGTTTGCAGTAGTAAGTCAATCCCGAGAGATGTTCGATATCAAAGCCCGGACTCTTGGTGTCATTTGACTTCGGGATATTGGAAAAATTCATTCCTTCCATCTCACCGGTGACTGTATTGACCTATTGACCCTGGTACCTGAAAAAAAAGGAGGGAAAATCTGCCCGTTTCCTGCCGATTCACATGCATCTCAATTGTTTTTCTACCTCGAGAGGTTTTTTCGGCATGAAAGATCTATACCTAGGTACGGAGTAGTATATTGATACATACCCAGTGAGCCTGTCAAATGTCATTGTCCGCAGGTCAAGGCCTGCTAACCAGTCTTTGCGGTTGTCGTTCTCCTTCGTTACTTTAATATCCGTCGCCCGCTCATACTATGCTAGTATTCACTTATTAATCACAAAAATGTCTGTTTCGCCATTTCTCTCTACGCGGCCAGGTGGCAACCATTCGGTTTGCTCAGTATGATGAATTAGAGGAATCTCTTTGCCTGTTCGCCACTTGTGTTCCGATCAACCGTATGCTGAAAAAAAGGCAACTCCTAGTTCCCCGATTTGAACATAGACTCTGCCGTTCGCATAACGGCAAAACCCTCCTCGTCATCACGCACATCCAGGTCCCGCTTCTCCAGCTTTACTACGTGAGCCATAGAAGGACCTTTATCAATACGCTGGAGGAATTTCTTCACTTTTTCGTCGCTGCCTTGGGCCTCGCCTTCGACCTGATATAAGATCTAGTTAGCGCTATATCGGAGCACGACAGGACATTGCTGACCCTTCCACAAGTAGTGTTTCTAACCCAGCCCTTGACCTCATCGAGCTTAGCACATTTCTGGGTGAAGTCTCTGTAGTGCACGACAAGTACTGGTTAATCGATGGACTGTGATGTCATCGGTCGAGCTAGGGATGTCTCCTACCTGAAGCCGACACCTAGGGGTTCAAGTCAGTAACAAAGTGAATGGTAATGTTTGAAAATTATGGACAAGCTATGTGGTCTACCCACCTTGAACCGTGCCGTGGACTTTAAAAGCAATCTGAAGTAGATAGAATATCAGTAGGGGTAACTTGTGGCCCTCGTGTTGCAGGCCAGCGATGGGTATAGTATGAGACGGAATAGGAGATACATATCAAGAGACATACTCGTGTGTTTGACATTTTGGCAGACAATATAGACTTAGTTGAAGAGTTGGAGGATGTCTAGGAGTAGAGTTGAAGTGTACGATGTCGATGCCAAGCCCCCGAGAAGATTGTGGCCCCAGCATAATAGTCGACATGTCCTTAAAGAGCCAGGTAGTATGACAGATGCAGCCTCAATTTGGACATGGTTTATTGTTCTATTTTATCAATTTATTCTTTCAAGTCCGCACCTTAATTGGACTCAATTTTCTATAACACACACAGTGCCCAGCTCTGGAGGATCTTGGCGCCCGCAAAGATATATTGCTTAACCCCAAAGGATATATTGCTTAACCCCAAAGGCCTCCGCCTATATCTTTGGTGCAAGATGTACGGAGTGCGTGTTATTCCGTACCAGAAGCTTTGTAGATCTCCCTCAAGCGGATACTTGGGCCTCGGCAATACTCGATGTGATACTGGCTAGCGCTGATTGGGTAAATGGGATCTACGTCTAAAGGGTACCTAGGTAGTCCCTCAATTTAAGTCACGTATGTTGATATGAAATGAAAATCCGTAGCGCCCGGTTCTTTATTCTTGTTTTAATTTACATTGGAATCCTTTGAGATCCGTGTCGAGTTAGTACATTGAGGCCACCTACCAAGTGGCGGTTCCTCGGCCCCTGAGTAAACACTGGAATCTCAAACATCTCCGACTTCAACTTCTCCAAACCCTGTGCCGGCCATGCCACTGTTATAAAATGCCCTCCATTTTCGCCTGGCTTCGGCGGATCTACTCGCTAAACACCCTTGACACCCGTTTCACTTCCACCGCACTCCCTGCCCAAGCCACACGAGGCTCCTCCGCCAAAGATGCCCGCGCCAATGCAATCGCCCAGGGCGCGTCACCTTCACTTTGGCGCACACCAGAATTCTTTGTCTATTACCTGTTCTTTATTGTTCTTGTCCCATTGATGTTCAAGACTGTCATTGATGTCTCGAAGGGTGAGTGCAGGCACTGGAGAAAACGCTGAGCCTCGAAATGCTGATTGGGGATCAATGTCACAGAAAGCCACCCAAGCTACTCTAAATACTCTCACCTTTTGTCAACCGGTTGGATCCCTGGCCGCCAGGTGGTAAGTGCGCCACACTTGGCGTTCAGCTACGTCTACGAGACCATTTCGGACTGACATTGTTGCTCCAACGCCCTTAGGACAACTCCGATTCGCAATATGAAGGCTTTCGCGACAATATCCCTATACTTCTACTACTCTTAATCGCCCATCCTTTGGCTCGCCGTGTTTATCAGTCGCTCACGAGCCGCCCTAAGGTGGAAACGAAACAATTGAGCCATGTAAATGGTGCGGCCGAGGCGCAACTTGAACAGCGAATGCGCTTCGACTTTTGGTTCGGACTGATCTTCATCACAGCGCTTCACGGGGTATCCGCTCTCAAAGTTTTGTCGATTTTATATATCAACTTCCGGATCGGCAAGGATCTTCCTCGTTCATACGTGCCTGCCGCCACATGGATCTTCAACATCTGCGTCTTGTTTGCCAACGAACTAAGCGGTGGTTACTCTTTTGAGCGGATAGCGAAGGTGTTTGCTCCCGGGTCTGGCAAGTTAGAAGATGATGCCACAGTGCTAGTCCAATGGGCTCAGACTCTAGATGATCTCGGGGGACTGATGCCGCGATGGGAGATCTTCTTCAAAGTCACGGTGTTGCGCCTCATTAGCTTCAACATGGATCACCACTGGAGTGCAGACTACCCTGCAGCAAGCCCAATTGAAGTAGGTATTCGCGTGGCCGATAAGCCATTAACCCTTATGTGACAATCAAACTGACCGAATTCTACAAGAAGAAGCAACTGGACCCTGCGGCCCTCTCTGACCGTGAACGGGTCAAGATCCCTGCAGAAGAAACCGCTTTTACATTCCGCAACTACATCGCCTATGTGCTCTACGCACCTTTGTACGTGGCTGGCCCGATCTTGACATTCAACGACTACGTATCTCAACAGCGATATACATCGGCGTCGCTCACTCGAGCTCGCATCATGATGTACGCCGTCCGCTTTGGCCTCACTCTGCTCTGCATGGAGCTTATCCTCCATTATATTTATGCAGTAGCAATCTCCAAAGCTAACCCAGACTGGTCCGTCTTCACCCCGGGCCAACTGAGTATGCTCGCGTTCTTCAACCTGCACATAATCTGGCTGAAACTCCTCATTCCCTGGCGATTCTTCCGTCTCTGGGCCCTTATAGATGGGATTGATCCACCGGAGAACATGGTCCGGTGCATGTCCAACAATTACTCCGCCCTCGCCTTTTGGCGCGGTTGGCACCGCTCCTACAACCGTTGGATCGTCCGCTACGTCTACATCCCTCTTGGCGGCGGCGGTGGCGGACGCCGGCCACCAGGAGCACCCAAACCAGCTTCATCTCCGCAGTCTAAGTTCATGGGAACGTTCCTCCAAGTCCGCAACTTCCTGCTGGTCTTTACCTTCGTCGCCTTATGGCACGATATCAACCTCCGCTTGCTCATGTGGGGCTGGCTCGTTACTCTCTTCGTTCTACCAGAAGTTCTGGGAGGTATGCTTTTCCCGGCCAATCGCTGGCGCTCTCATCCCACTCTATATCGTGTCATCTGTGGCATTGGCTCCGTTGGGAATGTCCTCATGATGATGATCGCAAATTTGGTTGGCTTTGCATTAGGTATGGATGGACTAAAGGATCTGCTTGCCGGCCTAACGGGCTCATACTCTGGCCTGGCATATATGGTTTCCTGCTGCGTAGTACTCTTTGTCGGCGTGCAGGTTATGTTTGAGGTTCGCGAAGACGAGCTCCGCGCGGGAATCAATCTGAAATGTTGAGCCTTTTCACGCAGCCTTTTTCTTTGGGCATGTTAGAAATTTGACTTTACCTATCGCATCGAGAGCCTATCTACATATTGAGATGATAAATAAACAAGTCTTATTTTGGATGTCACATTAATATTTGTCTATTGTACAGTTTTTGGTATCAATTCATCAAGTCATCAGCAGAACAGGGCCAGGTCAAGCTCCTTCTCAATAGTATACAGACACACGCACCAAAAACCTTCTAGAAGAAAGCACCACACCTCGAATCCTCATGAACCTTATAGCAATCCAAGCCACAAGTCCTCAAATGACAATTCTTGCACCGAATCTTCCCCCAATATCCACACATACAACAAAAGTGCCGCCCTGGCCGCCCCGACGTCTGCGGCTTCGCACGCGACGCATTATAAGAAAGCGGCGCCTCCGCCAGAAGCCGCTGCATCAGCCGGTCAGAAGGCACAGGGGGTGCATACGAGCGCAGCAAAGGATCATTATCATATTCAGACTTGATAAGTTTCGGTTTTCGCGACGTCTCATCGTCGACATCAGTTTCAGCATCTGTGGTTTCTCGCGCAGGCGTCGATGCACCTGTTCTCACACCCGCCATAGCCGCCGAGGGACGTTTGACGCCTGCTGTGCTAGCCGGTGTTGAGCTGCGCGCAGCAGCCTTGCCTCCCTTAGCCGCGATGATGTTCGCGCCTCCCGCACCCTGCATGCCAGCTACACCACCACTTCCCGAGGCTATTGCTGCTTCTTCGTCGTCTAGGTGGTTCCGGAAGGTCTTTTGGGATTGTAGGATGCGGCGGACGTTCGAGGTGGTTTTTGCTCGTGTGCCGCGTGCGCCGGCTTCTCGGGCCTGTTTCACCGGTGCTGGGATGGAGACGTCGCGCTGGTTCTCGCGATCTAGTTCGGCGATGTGACGTGCGATCGCGTTCGCTTGTCGGGAGGAAATGTCGCCGCCCTTGCCGGCGTCGCGGATGCCGCGTTTGCGGCCTAGGGTTGGGGCCATGGCTTGTGTGGGGTCGAAGCCCCGGGTTGGGGCGTAGGACCAGCCTGGTGTGGCCGTTGAGGTGTCTGATACAAGTTCGACACGAAACATCTTGGTTTTGCGGTGTTGGGATGGTCTGGTGGTGATGCGGAAGTGGACGATGGCCCGGGGATTTAGTGGCGATTGTGCATTGTTTGTCTTGTTTGCAGCGGAGTCTGGCAGTTGGAGATAGTACAATATAGCAGTAAAGCTTTACTTGATCAATTATTAGGAAAGGAAATGCTGGTATTTGAAATTTTGGGACTAATCTCATGTCAAAAAAGGAAGAAAAAAAAAAACAAGAAAACCAAAAGCTATGCCCCGACCCTTAAAAGAGTGATAGTAGACTGCATGTCTAGTGTTGACAAGCTTTATGCACAGAAATCAAACACACCCAACACCCCAAGCAATAATAGATACACATATCAGACATAATGGCATTTATTTCTTGTTCAATTGATTCACCTTAGACTCCAGCTCTGTAATGTATGACTGGAGCTTGATAGTAGCCTTTTGAAGCGCCTGTAGAGCAGACAATCAGTTATGCAAAGTTCAAAATCAGAAGGAAAATAGAGAGGCCCTCTGAGAGACCCAGATAGTCACTGAGACTCAGCAGTTGGCAAGCTATAGACGTACCGCAATGTCATCAGACAGCATCTCATTGGCCAGGCGGTACTCAGCTAGGATGTACCAGTACACCGACGCGCCAGCAGCGACAGATCCGGTCAGGAACCCAAAGACACTGTCAGGCATTAGCAATAGCACTTAGAAATGCTTGATTGTTGACATTGATCGTCAAGGAGAATTTTCCATACCCTCCTCGGAAAGCTCCTACGGGCTTGCTTGACGGTAGCGGCACGGCGGACTCCCAGCGGGCACGGGATGATGAGAAGGACCGAATACCGATGCGTCCGCGCAAAGGAAGAAAGATCTTGGTGCCAACAGGCATATTGACAATATAATTTCAAGTGTAGAGGGGAAATTTATGGATTGTTTGATGGAAGATGGTGGCAAGGTGAATTTGTTGGAAGTGACGTTGATAAATTGCGGAGGTCCGGGCGGCTCGGAACTTGGAGACCTGAGGCCTTTTTGTATACAAACAAGGGGGAGTCCATATCGAATATAAGACTTGTGAAATCGCCGCCAAATAAGCTCGACCCTATCAATCTTGATCACCACTATTCTATACCCACCAAGCCCTATTGGTCGTTATCCTAGTTAGATCCTTGTACTGGACCTTAATAGGTTCTCCTTTCCATTTACGACCACCGCGACGCCAAAAATAGCTCCCCTTGATAGTACTAGATCACCATTGCCTAGCCTAGCGTAGATCTATAACATACTTCTTCTCCTTCACCTCGGTACCCTCATACTATGAATATCTCTCTCCCTATCGTTTTTTAACCCCCTAGGTTAGCCATAGTAGAATTATTTCCTAGGTGAAAGCCTTTATATTCTCCCCCCCTTATTTTGACATCTAAATACGTCTATAGTACTCCGTAGCTATACCTATACCCCTAGTTTAGTCTAATAGGTATTATTATTGGATACTATTCTCCACAAGGAAACCTAAGCTAGACTAGAATACTTTTCAAATTACGGATAGCTCCCTCCAAATTTTAAAGCTAAAGATATTAGAAGGTCTCGCTATGATCAAGTGTTATTAGCGAAAGTAAGTACTATCTACTCTATAATAATGAGCACCCCTTCCGTGACCAACCTTTAATTCTAATTTATGTAGATCGCGGATATGGTGATCTATTTCCATGCAGATGATAAATGTTTTCGAATTGACGACGCATCCACACCTGCCAATTTGAATCACCTCTCTGCCGCCTACAGAGTGGCGAAAAGCCGCAACCAACGCACCTCCGCTACCAATGCATGCAACAACATTCGTACTCTCTCTTCATTCAGGGTATCCGCACTATAATCGAGTTTTCCACTTCACTGCTGTCCTCCTGACTCTCGCTCATGATGGCGGAGACAGTCCATAGATCCCATCCCCCAAAGAACCTCGCTTTCACGACGCCTTGCGCCGCAACTTCATTTTGCAATTGGATTGTGGGCAGCTGTTCCTCGACTCCATGGTGCGCCAATGCTGTGCTGATGCAATTAAAGCTAGCTTTGGCATCAGAATCTGCACCAAAGAGCCAATTTGTGCAATCGCATACAGTATCTGAAATCCCGTAGGCGTGATGTGGAAGGCCGGACAGGTGCTGGCTGTGGATAGAGTGAAGGAGGGCTTCAGCTGTAGGTGCATCTGGTGTTGCTGCAGGCACGATTACCCGCACAAGTGTTCAATCTACAATGCTGATTCAAGCGGGTCGTTCCTCGTTCCTGCCTGTGGAAACCGGAGGGACGTGTGATTTGGCCCAAAGCTCATCTCTTGGCTTCGAGCGCACGTACATTTCCCCTAGTAGACCTCAGCCGAAGGTGTAATTGTATACATAGAAAGGTCATATTTGGAGTCGCTCTGCGATATCTAGTAACAAAGCTAAAATGCATGAATTTTGGCTTTCGCTTAATTGGCCATTGTGCTCTCGTTGAAGAGATCCGCCAACAAATCATCCCGGCACACTATCAGATCTACGCTGCCCATGCCGTACGTGCTCTCAAACACATAGATACTCAATCGAGCGAAGAATGGCCGTAGGACCCGGTCGACAATCTCGTCCTTGGCTGTCTCTCGGATCCAGTCTGAGATGAGCCATGGCCGTTTAAGACCACTGTGAGCCTGGGGCTCGTTGGGCTCCGTGAGGACCGTGGGTGAGCCTGCACTGCGTGGGCCGAAAGTCTGAGAAACTTCGTCTGCAAGAGCAATGGGCTCCCAGCGGTCTGGCGGATAGACCGCATCAATTGTGTCGGTGACGAAAAGCCATTCAAGGAGCTGGAAGTCATCTGGGGCAAGGACAAGTAGTACGTCGAGAAGCTTGCACGCTTGGAGCAGTGAGTAGGGGTTGTAGAGCTCTGGCTGAGAGCCCTGAGGTACCGCAGAGATGGCTTCTTGTAGTTCCGTGTTGATCAAAGGCCAAAAGGGCGCCATGGTCGAGGCCGAGGTCTTGAGCGCGACTGCTCGAAGGACCATGAATACTTCCGCCCGAGTGGCAGAAGATGGTGACGAGGCGCTGGTCGCCGCAAGAAGGTCTTCCAATTTCTGGAGTAATGCCGGCAATTCACCAACAAAGTAATCGTCGCTAGCGGAAAGCACGAGCAGCGCGATTCGCCGGAGATTGAGCTGCGCTTTGCGATCAGCTTCCAACCGGGCCGCAGAGGCTCCTACGCCGAACATGATACCCGCTGAGCTTGGTGGTGGAAGGCGGACAAGAAGTTCAGATAGCCGTTCCTTGTCGGCAAGAACCCACTGGCGTAGCAGGTCCATCCAGCTGTTCTTTACCAAATCCAACTGCATTCCAAAGAATCGGGCATCATTGAACGCGTCAGATATGTCCTTCTTCCACATTTTCGCCGCAGCTGGTACTTTTGCCATTTGTTGTAGAAGAACCATGACATTACGGTTGAGATTGTTAGGGAAGAGACGTGACCGAATGAGAGGGCCAACTACATTAGTCGAGACACCAGTAATGGCAGTATTGATCCGATCTGAATCACCCAGGGTCGTGATGAACGACGGCATAGAGACCGCTAAAATACTCAACATGTCATCGGGTCCAGTGTGAGAGACCGAGGTACGATCGTGATCCACCGAAGATCTTGCCATAGACCCGGTATCTTGGTTGAGGCCTAGGGGCTTGCTGGTAAAGACTGCGGTAAGGAGTCGTAGGAGAACATCCTGCGATATGACTGTTAGTGGCGATAGTAGAACCAGCAGTGAATATACATACTCCAAGTTCCTTTCGCATCCGGCGATCTTCGCCAAAGGTTGTATTCTCCAACTTTACCCCCAAAATAGCTGCAAATTCAATCAGACGTGGAAGGATCTGTCGGTGCGGGAACGGATTGCTAAGAACATCGCGCAAGAAAGTTGTGCAGTCTGACCAAATCTCATCAAGGACATCATCGTCCAGTGACCGCGCATAAGTAACCAAAAAGCTAGCAAGCTCAGACTCAGAAAGATTGGACGTCAGCGAAGACTTCCGGCTAGGCTCCAACGCACTGGGATTAGTGCGAGTGTAGATTGCGTTGAAAATGGCAGGAATAGTAATTTTGGGGCTTGACCCATCGAGTGTATGGAGGAGATTGAAAATAAGTGACGCTGTCTCCGTGTCAGACTTGGTCCACATTTCCACCAAGGTTTCAAGACACTCGAGTGCCTCTGCGGTGAAGAAGTGCTCCAAGATTCGCCGTGAGCGATTTCTCATTCGCAACGAGGTGTATTGAAATGAGGCAAGAGATTCGCAATCAGGAGGGGATCCGCTATGATCTCCTGCACCCCATGCCCATATGGAGAAGCATAAGCGAACTGCGTCTTGGAAACAGAGAAGAACAGTGAGACGATCATTGGCGGTATTTGGACGATTTTGTCCGCCCTCCGAGTTGAATACTCCAGACACCATATTTCCGAAAAAGCCCTGTGCTTGATCAGGGCTCTTTACTGCTGGAACGTTGGACTCTTCCACGATGAGACGTTCGTGGGCATTTGCGATACAGGTCTCAAGACCACTCAAAAGAGCAATCGTGACATGCTCGGAACGATCCTGCGGCCAATCCTCTGTTTGCTGGAAGGACAACTGGAGTCTATCATATGATGCTCGGATTTCCCTGCAGAAACATTCCACAAGCATCAATAGGATCTGGAATATAGAACCTGAGTATAGAGGGAGCACCTCGCAGAGCAACACTATCCACTTGTCTACAATTTCTCGGGATTTTGGTGAGCTAATACCCTTCAGAAGGCAATTTAGAAGCCGGTCTGGCGGCTGCGGTAGCTGTGGTAGCGATTGTCTCCTGTCTCCCTTGTCACTGGTGAAAGACAAGATTGAAGGACTGGTCAGCCGATCTCGAGAGGCAGCTCGCAAATCTTTCGGCCGAGGAGGCGGTGGTGGTAGATATGCTTGCGCAAATCGCACCTTCAATGCAGCAAGGAGTGCGTCGATCAGTGCACCCTGCACCGTAATACTGCCCCCATCGGAAGATACAAGAAGGCGTTCCACTAAGAACTCATCAATGCCGGACTCCACTAATTCTTCTGCTCCAGGACCAAGAAGAAGTTGCCGCATGAGTTGGAGTGCGTCCTTATGCAGTCGTTCACCATCTAGATTGACTTCCATAGAAGCTGGGGGTAGTGTGCTGACAATTCGAAGACACGCCTCAAATATGGCGGAATGGAGGCTTTTGAAGTCTGCATTTTCTATCCAAGATTCCATATTAGCAACAATCATTCGTGAGAAGATGGACTACCCACCTTCAGAGTTGGGTGTCTCAAGACGCTTCTCATTGCCTAACACATGAGTAAGAAGTGCGACCCATCCATTTTGCGAAAGCGCAGAGATGATATTTGAGGCTGTCTGTAGCAGATAGTCACACTCCTTATAGTCGTCCGGGGAAATTGAGTAATTGCCTATCTTTTTACCGCTGGTTCCATCATGCTCGGACAGCTCATCAATATTTGAGATGACCACATGGAAAACCCTGGTAAAATATTAGATCTAAAAAGCGAGTTGGGACGAGGAGCCGACTTACTTGTGGATAGATGGCAAGTCTTGCAGCCATAGTTGAACGCTCTGCGAACTATCACTTGACTCTTGAGAGAGAAGATCAAGGACAATAAAAAGCGGACGCTCAAGCATAGAGCACTGGTAAGAGAACAGGGTCCCTCCAACATCAACCACTTGCTTTGGTGGCTGCTCATGTGTATTGTGATGACTGTGGTTCCACAAGACATAGAATCGCTCGGCTTGTTCCTCGGACGAGAGGTGGCGGGATGCTGCGGTCGACACATTGACCATTAAGGCTGTCAGGGACGCCTCAACGAGATGGTCAACCCAGGAAATTGAGTGCAGGAGCCATAAGCAGCGCACAGCTTCCACGTGGAATTTTGGACTAAGAGGTGATAAGTACCACCACAGCTGGTTGACAAGGGGGGGTGATCAGATCGCAAGCATCCTCATAGCTGACGTAGAAGCCGGGCGTCTGAATGAAAAACAAACTCGTCACCGTGGAAGTAATTGTCGATATGACTGAGAAGGAGGCGGTGGTTGGCTTGTCCTTCCCTGAACCCAGTCGCCGAGAGAGCGCTTCATACAGTTTTCGGTCTCGTAAAACACGGGACTTTGGAAGCTTCTTGAGCAAAGTCACAAGAACATCGAGTGGTTCATGGAGGGATAGATTGCCATCCCGACTTGCCAGCGCCGCGATAGCTAGTTCATGAGCCTCTCGAATGATCATTTCACCAAGATTCTTGGGAGCATAGGGAAGAGCTGGAAGCTCCAAGCTATTCTTGCTTTGCTCATAGAAATTATGGACAGTTCGCAAGATATCAGTACCGCGGCCCTTTGTATCGTTCCCAGCAGTCTTTTCAGGTCCCGCCTTTCTCGAAAACACACGCTCTGTGAGTAAGCCGGTCAACGATTTGAGAACATTGTTCAATGCAGCGGTCACGGCCTGTTTGTTGGCAGTGCTCTCCTTGGGTGAAATCTCTCTCATTTTCACAAGCACTGACAATGTAAGCAAAGGCACATGGATCTGAACCATGTCCTCCTCGCGCACATTGAAATTCTCAATGATAAACTGTGCAAGATCGAGGTCACGCAACACTTGCTCACTATCAATGTCTATACCAGAAGACCGGTAATCAACTAAACCCAGAAGCTCAGAGAATATCACACCACTTTCAACGCCATCAAAGAAGGCGCTTGCACTGCGGAAAACCTCTTCATAGTGGTTTTGGGGGGCTGTAGATTCAAACGCCTGAACACTGCGCACAGTGGGCAGGAAAACTGCAGGGACAATATATCCACCGATTTCCCAGCGATCCATTAGCGACAGAGCTATGCGGAAGGGTTTGGTTCTATCGGACGGAATGTTCGGTGCTTGTTTGATCATATCCAGTAGACCAGTGACTAATGGCTGTAAGCCTACCCGGCTAAAGTATTGTGATTGTGTGAGTTCGTTTCCATCAACGGAGGCAGAGCCGGCGGTATCCGTCGAGAATTTTCGATCATCCATTGAAGAGCTATCGTTTGGGGAATCCGGTCCTAAGAACCAAGCCCAGAGTCGGCGGTTCAAGCTCATGTCTCGCCGAGTGACCACACCAACTGCTGCGATTACTAAAGTTCGAAGATCGCTAGCCGCAATTTTGCTTTGCAGTATTGGAGAGCTGAGTGGAAGGTAGGTGACAAGAATATCGAGGAAGTTACGTTGGACAAGGAGCTGGTCATCAGATAAGCCCGATGCAACACACCGAATCAAGAGGCCAGGCTCGGGCAGAATGACAGAGTCGGCTGCAGCCAATATCTCCGGTGGGATGTTCTGTGGATCGCTCCCACCAGCCGTGCTTGGTCGACGGTCTGCGATACCTAACTTCGGGAGGTAGCGATTTAAATATGCAAGGACGCCAAGCCGTCGACTAGGGTTCGTGATAGATGCGAGAAAGAGGCATTGCCAGAAATACTGCCCAGATGCCCCGGCCTCAGACGTTCTTTGTGTTTCAAGTTGTCCAGCAGCGTCTCGTAGTTTATTAATTGTGCGCAGTGTTGGCTCAAAATCGTCACTTGTTTCCTCTTCAAGGCCTGGAAGTAGCGCTAGAATGATTGCTTTCAAGGCTGGCCGAATAGCCCATGGTTCCAGATCAACGATATATCCCTCTACCAAAGACAGAAACAGTGGACGGACAGTAAGCGAGGCGAAAGTCAATGTTGGCGCAAGGCCAGGGAGATATAAAGGCAGGTCGTGTGATAATCCCTCAAGCTGATTGTAAACAGATATCAGTAAACACACCATTCAGCCACTCAGGAGGCCATCCATACCTTGATCAAGCCAAATATGTACGTGTAGACTTCAAGTGTCTTTTGGTGCACACCTGATGGTAAGGATGGGTTCAAGCACTGAGCGAGTCGCTTCGACACTAACACTTTATGAGGGACGACGGGCTGATCAGGTGGATGGGTTTGGAGTGCCTAATAATTCATGCTTAGCGATGGTTCAGCTTTCAAGTCGAGCGAGCTCACCTTTAAAAGGCGACCGAGGAACGAGATATAGTCGGCCCATTCTTGGAGAGCGTTGTCGAAGAGCGAAAGCGCTCGTTCAACACTAGATGCATATCGGCGATAGTGCTTGTCTTTTTTGAGTGACCCTACAGACACCAGATATAATTAGACACAGTACTCTCGTGCGATTCTTCGAGGTGAGCACATACCTTCCTTGCCTTGTAAACGGGAACGTGTCAAGGAGCTCTCGGAGCTTGCGGGGGAGTCCGACCTCGGAAAGACACTGGGATCAAGGCTCATGGTGCCAATAACGGACGTGAAATTGTTGTAAAAGCTTTGAACTACCCTCCGTCATATTTAGGACATCGATGATGACCCTGTGGGAAAGGGAGTTGGCGGTTGAATGTTGACTAGAAGACACGCAGGCGGCCACGTTCAATTGTTTTGTTCCGCCTTGGGGTAGCTCCGAGTCGCCGACGTCAACGCCCAGCAACTATCAAAGCGCAAAACACAACTGATCAAAGACTCCGGAAATTTGGAAGAAACAATGAGTATTTAATGGCCTGAAGACCCGCGATGAGCGACCGCGTCAAAAAGCGCATGTCCACAGCGGGGATGAATACACAGCAAGACCCAAAGACCGACGGCCAGCAGCCTGTCGAGACATCAAAGCAATCATATCTTTCCAGCCCATCAATCCCAGATCACGATGGGCACAGCGACAGCTCGGAGGGGGAGCGACCACCTTTACCCCCGCGACCAAATACGTTGAGTCTACTGAACGATGAAACGGGTTCCCGAGCAGCTCTACAGGCAGAGGCAACGACAGCTATCTCACGGACCGATATTGAAACACAATTATCCGAAGCTGAGAGTGCTTACTCGACACTGGCTGTTCGCGGTCTGGGTCAAGGTCCAAAGGCCAGGGTGAGCCTCGGCCAGTTGGCGAGCTCCCGGGCTAGCGAAGCTGGGGACTCTGTTAGTATCAGAAGCTCAATCCCAAACGGCGATTCCGGTGATGTTGAATCGCTTTTCTTGGACTTTGCTGCTTCAGCGCCCGGTAACCAAAGTCGGGGAGCTACAGGTCTACTTGACTTCCCTGAATTTGCAGCGGACGACATAGATGACGATGGAATTATGAGCGAATTTGAAGCAGTTGGCGAGCTTAATGAGGAAGGTGATAATGAAGGTCTGGGTCAATGATCAATGGACTTTTTGTCTCAGAATACTAACCCGAATCAGATCTCCTGCTCCAACGGTGGAAATCAAAGCGCAAGCACTATGTGATCCTCTCCGCCGCTGGTAAGCCGATTTGGACAAGGCATGGCGACAGCGGCCTTATTTCCGGTTATGTCGGGGTCATCCAGACCATAATTTCATTTTATGAAGAAGCAAGTGATCATCTACGAGGCTTCTCCGCTGGTGACACTAGATTTGTTGTATTGACACGAGGATCCTTGCACCTTGTAGCAATCAGCCGTATGATGGAGAGCGATAACCAGCTCCGGCTTCAGCTGGAAGCATTATATATGCAGATTCTGTCTACATTAACACTGCCTTCTTTGACCCATCTCTTCTCGGTGCGGCCCTCTACCGATCTATCGCGGCCCTTACAGGGTTCGGAGTCACTTCTTTCATCTCTGGCAGACAGTTTCACGCGAGGATCTCCATCGACGTTGCTATCGGCATTGGAGTGTCTGAAGATCCGCAAGCAACACCGACAGACTATCAACAATGCACTTCTAAAAACTAAAGCTAACAGTCTTCTATACGGCTTGCTTGTGGCCGGCGGACGACTCGTCAGCGTTGTTCGACCGAAGAAGCACTCGCTACATCCAGGCGATCTACAGCTCTTATTCAACATGGTTTTCGAGGCCGACGGAGTTAAAGCTGGCGGTGGAGAAAGTTGGATTCCCGTCTGTTTGCCTGGCTTCAACAGCAGTGGCTACCTCTACATGTATGTGAGCTTTCTTGACATTCGAGAAGAGATCGAAAACAGCGCAGAGATCACCAAAGATGAGTCTGTTGCCATTGTCCTTATCAGTCCCGACAAAGAAGCTTTCTTTGAGATGCAAGCAATGCGCGATGCTCTTGTGGAGGTGAGATTGAACAATTCTACACAATCGAGTACGACATGTGGCACTGACGAAACAATAGCAAATGGAGAGAAACGGCACTCTGAAGGAGATCAAAACAGCAATTGACAATGGCCGACCCGCAACTACTGATATAGTTCCTGGAACTGTACTCCATCATTTCCTTTACAAATCGCGTGCCAACGTACAATTCACGATGTCATCTTATACCCCTGAATTTTCTTCTGTTACACGACGACGGAGGTGAGTACTGATCCCCCAATGTCCATGACTGTTTTGCAATACTAAATTATTGTGACTGTTTCTGTAGGTTGATGTCGATGTATAACAACTTGCACGCAAGTATCCACGCCAAGAATACCCACGTCAAAGTTCACCATTGCGTTTCGCGGTCAGCCACTTCGTTTGGATGGGTAACCCCTGTATTCGAATTCTATTGTATCGCTGAGCCGAACACTAATCGAAATGCACTTGCCCAAAGCGCTAGTAGGATTGCCCAGTGGGTACAGCGTGAGGAAGAGAGGTTATTCATCATCGGTGGTGCGGTACGTACTTTGCCTCTCTCTCTCTATGATTATTACCGCAAGGGTGAGGACACTGATCACATTGTACAGGTTTTTTGATATATCCTGATATTTTCACACTCAAACAATGAAGAACGTTGCCTGTATATATATACTATCTCATAATTTATTATACCCAGTAATGCGTTCGTGCCAGCTCAATATATATATTTGTTCCGCTGTAACGTATCTTGGTCCTACCTCTACATCTCGAATCATCTCGTAAAAGTTACTAAAAGATATTCTGAATTTATCGTGTAGCTAGAGAATCCATGATACGTACGCAATGAAAGACTGCATATGGACTAATCAATCGAGTCCTCTCTCAGGTTGAAAAGTTGACGCATGACCTCACCCGACTTGCTGCGCAGCGCATCGTGATACATAGTGTTGGTGATAAACTGCTTAGAGTTCTTGATCTTGGCAGCAGTGGCTGTGGCCAAATCAAAGTGAACGTACATGTCATCGATGTAGGTTGCAGCGTAGACTGGCACCTTATTCTTGGCCAGTTGAGCCTCATCGTACAAGGCCGGCCATTCGTCTGTCGTCGCGAGGATTTCAGCTGCTTCTTTGAGCTCGGAGAGTTCCGAGTAGGACTCAAACATATCCTTGAAGACCTAGAAAGTGAAAAATGGTGTCAAATCTTTTTTTTTTGGAAACAATTATGTTTATGGACTTTGCTGGGCTATTTACCATCTCGCCGGTGAAGTAGATCTCTGACAGGGAGTCATTGATTTGGAATTGCGGGTTGCTAGCGCGCAACCTGTCTGCAGCCCAGAGCGATGGCTTTCTATATTCATGGTTAGGCATGGATGGGTCACAGGAAATGGACAGCATGGGGAGCTTATCATTACCCTTGGCAATAGATTGATTCATGCAGAATGGCATAAATGATGTTTTTATCCATACCGCCATTGCTGTCAACTACAGAAAGAGTCGGCAGAGTAAGGAATCCGAACATCTCCAAATCGTTGGTGACTCTGACAATAATATCTAGACCCAAGTTAGTATTTTTTTTGTTGCACTTTTCACGAGAAAAACAAAGCTTACCGTGCAGACTATCGAGCCCACCTAGATCTTGTTAGCTTTAAGACATCGAATGTCTGAATACGGGTCTTACCGTGGAAACCGAGCAAAATGCCCAGCTGTTGGAAGCGAGATGGAGTGAGCAATCCGGATGGCAATGCAACCTTGTTTTGGTTCAAGTATTGCATGATATTCTTAACACGGTCCACGTCCTCAGGATATTTTTCGTAGTAAGCCTCATTTCTCTGCTTGACCTTATCTGTTTTTGTATCAGTGTTATGTATAAACCAGAAGGAAACAGGGGAGTGCACCATAGGTCTTCGCGTAGACAGCATCCGGGCCATTGATAAGAGGGGGAAGGCCACCAGCGAGGAAAGCTTCTCTCAGACCCTCTGGGCTGGAAGATGAAAAGCGTCAGCGGAATTTTCATGGACCAAACGTGGAGTGCGGTGACCTCCAAACATACAACTTTGATAGGTAAGTCACGGCACAGAAGCCACCGAAACTTTGCCCAAGGATACTCCACCGGCGCTGGTCAGCAGGATAATCCTGTGTCAAAACATCACGAATGGCTTCGCAGTCACGAACAATGCTGTCTGCACGGAAGTTCTTGAGGTATTCAGCCTGTTTGATTGCATCTCCTTGGCGGGCAAGGGTTCCCGCTGTGAGAGTCGAACTGAGGCCAGTGCCTCGCTGATCCAGAAAGAGCACCTATATAGAACAGCTGAGCATCAATCTATAATTGGTAGAATTTGCGAAAAGCACGACACACCTGATAACCCTTGCTGAGCACGAATTCAACCCAGGGGTAAGACTGCGGGGCACCACATCCAAAGCCAGGGCCACCTTGCAGGTAGACCAGCCAAGGAAGCTTACCCTCTTTGGTTTCTTTGCCTTCTTCTTTAGTAGGCTCAATAGGTTTGTTCAATCGGCTAATGCTTCGTGCAAAGAGCCTCAGCGTGTCCCCAGTAGGCTTGCTGTAGTCCACAGGGACGTCAAAGAACAACTCGGAAACCCGAAGTTTGCCTGGATAGGGACAGATTTATCAGTTTTGAAACCAGTGGATTAATAAGTGACAATTAACAAGGCAATACAGACCTGAAACATTATGGAACCGTCGATCGATCAGTTTTGCAGCCATATTTGATGTTGACGCGGACTGGAATGAGCGCGCGTTGGTGATGAGCCGTTTTTGCAGCCGCTTTGCGGAGAAATGCACCATTTTTTTTTAGTCTGGACTTTGCTGTTCACCTGCCATCACACAGCCTAGCAAAGGAACATATCTTTCCTTTTTTTTCTTCTTCGGTTTCATAGATTCATAAAGAGATGAATAAACCTAGTGTATATATGACTAGGTATATAGCTATGCCTAATGTCGAATGTATTTTTGTTGGACGCTACGCTCAATATCTTCTTCATCAAGTGATCCTCAAGAGATGCGCTGAATTGGACTATTTTTTGATAATGTTCGATACATTGTAGCAAATTGAAAATGGGCGTAATCGTGAGTGTTTAGTTATAACATCTGCATCCTGTCCGAAACCAAAGCAGTTCCAAGATTGAAAATAAAGAATTGTCCGTTCTCATCCTGGTACCGAACTCGATTGTTTGTTGGCCGCAAGCTGCCGGCCTCTCTTGAGCAGTAGTAGAGTCACTGGTAGCTGAGCAGCTGCAAATCCGATCATGACAACCAGCTGTGTATTGAAACTACTAGCGAAAACGTTCTTCACGTCCGCTTGTAGATGAGCAGGTAGAGTTTTGATCGTTTTCACGTTCTCAAGGAATAGGTGCAGTTCGTGCGATGTCATAACACCCTGTAAACGCTGCGCTAGACGGCCATTTAATATATTAGATGCAATGGCAAGGCCAATAGCACCGCCAAGGAAACGGAGCTGAACCACCGTGCCAGTGGCAATTGCTGCAACAAGGAGTGAAGGTCCAGTTAGTCAATGTATCGGTCACCTTGGAATTAGGGAATTTCTCGGGAGAACACATACCCAGGTCTCTATCCTCGACTATATATGGTGTCGACAGTACCAAGATACCCATTGTCAGACCCATTCCTGTCCCAGCAATGACTAGATAACCAATGTCTGTCGCGTGAAAGCCCCTAGAGGTGGCAATGGTCGAGAGAAGCCCTATACCGACAGTGTGGACTGCGGATCCCACGAGCAGAGTATAAATAAACGGGATGCGTCCCTTAGAGCTGGCGATATTAATAATGGCCGCTGCAATGGCCGCAACGGCAGAATAACCAATCAAAAATATACCGGCATCCAAAGGCGACTTGTCTAACAAAAGCTGTGCTTGCTGTGGAACATAGACCAGGACGACGTTGTATGGTGCGCCGATGATGAACGAAGAACTAAAATTGTGTCAGAAGAAACTGGACCATACTGGTAAGCTTTCAATTAACCCACACAAGAATTCCTATCCATGGGCGATCAAAAAGCCAACGCTTGGGAAATATGGGGTCTTTGCCTGGTATGCCCGAGATGTACCATTCCCAGGCAAAAAAAGCAACCCAGGAGAGTCCAGCTAGGACAAGAAGCGCAATTGCGTCTCTTGATGACCATGAGAATGCCAGGTTTGTTTCGTTCAAGACAGCGACTATCAAGAATGAGCCAGCCATCATCAAAGCCGATCCCATGATATCCAGATTCGCAAACGAGCGATATGAGGCTCGTGTTCGAAATGAAGGAGTGTGCTGATCAAGACCAAAGTTTTTGGGCATCGCAACCATGATAGCAACGATCGCAATAGCGCACAACGGCGCACTGGTGATTGAATTAGCATCTCTGTTAGCTCAGATGCCGAGCAGTTACATACTTCACGAGGAAAGTCCACCGCCAGGCCGAGTCTTGTGCAAGTGCACCCCCAATTATTGGGCCTATCAAAGATGCAAAGACAAGGCAGAATGACATGAGACTGCTGTAGGTCGGAAGCTTTGTTTTAGGAGCTATCTCGTAGACGCACAGGATTGTCAATGCGTATGCACCTGCACCTCCAATACCTTGGAGTGCTCGGAATATTATACTGCCTCAGTAGTTAGCCTCTAGACGGAAAGCAAGTGCAGAACTACGTTAGACCTACAGTTGGTTAACTGTATGAGCACAGCCACACCCAATGGAAAACGCGAGCAGAAGAACAAGAGAAGCGATTGTGGTTTGTTTCCTACCAACTATATCGCTGATTTTTGTCCATATTGCCATAGACCCTGGGAGTAATGTGACGTCAGTAATGAGAGCGCTAGAGACTGTAGGAAGGCGTTTCCGGATACGTATGCTTGGATTAAGACAAAAGAAATAATAATTGTAGGACTGCGTTTCGGATCATACCTGTGTAGGTGGCCAAATATCCAGTAATAATCCAGCTTCTCTTCTCGAAGCCTTCCAGATCATCTGTGATACTCGTGAGAGCCGAGCTTACAATTGTGACATCCAGGTTCGAGAGAAAAAATCCAATTAAGAGTCTGCAGATCATTAGTCGTCGTAATACAAAGCCATATGGCACCTGGCTGAGCACATACCCTGTGGTGGTAAGCATCAGTCTCCATCCTGTCGGGTAAACGATTTCACTTCCTGGAGAAGGTGCTCTCTGTGCCGGCCCCTTTTCTTGGTTGATCCCCCTAGCGCGGCCTTTATTAGCTTGAATTGAAGTTGGCTCTGCAAATTTGATATGGCTAGGCATGATTGTCGGCCTTTCAACGGTCGATGGTGGCTTCAACAGTAGGTGAAGACTGGAGTGGTAGCCATTGTTGCATGAGCGAAAGTTTTGAACGTGACCACTGTCGATGTAGGACCAAGCCCCGCGTTATCTTCACCCCAGGGGCTTCATGTGGAACGCAGGAGACGCGGGATGATAGAATGTGGAATATTTACCTGCAGAAGAAGAGTGATCTGCGCCGATCATTGAACCTAAATACACTGCATTGGATATGGCTTGGCATGGATTTGCTATTCTAGGGCATGCGCAACTTGGATTTGGAATTTTGACCAGTTTTTGAGAGCCTTTTTTGGGTCTTTTCCACTGCTACATGGTCTAGAAGAAGCGATAGCCTTGATCATAGGCATTGGTCCCACTGGTTTTATCTTTGTTATCCGAGACAGCTTCTCCTTGCTCAGGGCTAACTATGTACCCCTGGAATAGGCGTACATGAAGATAAGGTTGCTCAATGTCGTCAAGTAAGGACTTGTGCACTGCCATAAATTCGGAGAGTAACGGAAACTTGTAGTGACTTAGCAACTCATAGACGAAGTCAGGATCAAGCATCCGCTCCGTACCTTGTTACCGAACTTGACAGGTGGTTAGCATCCAATAAGGTGTCAGGGGTAACGTGGAAGAAGGTCTGATGAGGATGAGAAACCGGGGACAATCCTGGAGATAATCTGCATAGTAATCCGTACATACACCAAGTGAGGTCCTAGACAAACGCGGTCGGCACCTAAGGCCCTGCGCTATGAATATCTCTACGGAGTCTAGGGCTATAATAGGCCTCCATCTCCAGCTTATTAGTCAGCTTCTCCAGGAGTTCCAAGGCTATAATACAACTAGAACTTCGGGCGTCGGACTCCGGACTTCAAATTGCCCCATTTTTCCAACGTTCCTTATAGGCGTGTCTTTCAAAGATGTTGAGAACTACCCACTGCCCGCTAAATAACCTCGGGTTTGTCTCCCGCTGGCCATAGTCGAATAAACCAAGTAAATTATTTCAGCACGGAGTACGTAGTATTCCGTATCCTTATAGTAATTGAAACTCTTATCACATGACCCACAATTTTACCAGAACACTCTTGAAGTGGGGGATAAATAGCGTCTACATCTTTTTTAGGATCAATCTACTTAAAAAAGTGTTATGGTAAGATCGTGAGTCACATAATACTTTACACGGTTTAATGGAATATGGCTAGCGGGAGACAAACCCGAAGTAGTTTAGCGGGGGAAGGTGTCGCAATATAAAGAGCATGTCGGTAGCCGCTCCCTATTTGCTTAGAGGTGCTTTTATATATTGTAAGATCTGTCGCTGTTTTTGGGAGGTACAGCCGAACCTTATAGGGAGCCTCAACCTCCAAATCCCGAGACCCCGGTATATTGGTATAAATTGGCGAGGTTGATTGATTCCTCCCGCACACAGATCTCAGTCATGCAAACGGAATTTCAACAAGCTCTATGGAAGGCTGCCCAGGGACCCTGGGAGTCGGGCGTTCTCCCTAGTACCGAGAGCCTGGCGCGAGCTAGAGCTTCTCTGCCCGTGACACTTCCAGATACAGGATCCAGTCTCGAATCTGTCCAGCAACACATCATCAATGATATTGTCCCGGCATTCAACGGAGGAAGCTTAAGTGCCAACTACTATGGTTTCATCACTGGCGGAACTACCCCGGCAGCACTCTTCGCGGACAACGTTGTATCTGTTTACGACCAGAACGTCCAGGTGCATCTTCCAAATCACTCAATTGTCACCGATGTGGAGTACAACGCAATTGGTCTCCTCTTGGATCTCTTTCGACTAGAGCGTTCTATCTGGTACAATGGAACGTTCACTACTGGCGCTACGGCTAGCAACATTCTCGGCCTAGCATGTGGGCGTGAGTTTGTTTTGCAAAAGGCGGCGGAGAGACAAGGCTGTCAACTCCAGAGTGTTGGCGAAGAGGGTCTATTCCAGGTATTGAATGCACTGGGTCTTTCGGGAGTACAGGTGTTATCAACACTGCCACACTCGTCCCTCGTAAAAGCTGCTGGTGTATTGGGCATCGGTCGTGCCAACGTACACAATATCTGCCGAGCCGACGACCCACTCCGCTTTGACATTGATAAGCTTCAAAGAGAGCTTGCGAGAACAGACAAGGTCAGCATCGTCGCGATATCGTGCGGGGAGGTCAATACTGGTCGCTTTGCAACAAGCGGTGCGGACTTGAGAGAAATTCGCCAGCTGTGCGACAAGTACGGAGCTTGGATACATGCCGATGCAGCATTTGGACTATTTAGTCGTGTTCTTGACGAGAGCCCGGAGTTTGCAACAATCAAGAAGGGCAGTGAGGGAATAGAACTGGTGGACTCGATCACCGGTGACGGCCATAAGCTTCTCAATGTTCCCTATGACTGCGGCTTTTTCTTTACTCGACACCCCAATGTGGCATCGCAGGTATTCCAAAATGCAAATGCAGCCTACTTGGCTGCTGGAAGCTCTGATGGCCCTTCCATCCCCTCGCCTTTGAACATTGGAATCGAAAACTCTCGAAGATTCAGAGCGTTGCCGGTTTATGCATCGCTGTTATCGTATGGCAAATCTGGGTATCAAGAAATGCTAGAGCGTCAGATCAGACTTGCCCGGAAAATCTACGGGTGGGTCCTTGAGCATTCTGCGTACACAGCTCTACCACAAGTGTCGTCCAAATCCGAACTGCTTGATCAGACATTTATGACTGTTCTGTTGCGCGCAAACGATGAGAGCTTGAACCGCGAGTTAGGAAGCAGAATTAACGAAAGTTCGCAAATGTTCGTCTCGGGTACTAGCTGGGATGGATACCCTGCTTGCCGCATTGCGATCTCGAATTGGCGAGTTGATGTTGAACGAGATTTTGCGCTGGTGACAGACGTGTTGACAAAGGTTGCCCAGAACCAGGGAGGCATTAATACACAAGAGAAGCAGACTTAGAATCTCAACAATAGGGGCATCAATGCATAAATTCTTTTGACATATTTATAGAGGGTATCAGCGGCGACGACCAGCTCCTCCCATGTTTTCAGTTCGGTCAGACATGCTAACAACCTCTCCAATACCCGCGGCTTCCTGCTCATCTTCCAGAGCCATGATCTCCTCTCGGCTATCCCACCACTTTTCTTCGGACAGGGAGAAAGCTTCCTTGCGCAGTTCCTTGATTGTTTTCTCAGCAGACTGCTCCTTCTCCTTAACAATTTCCATCACGATATTCTGCCATTCTTCAGAAGTGCGGCTGAAGAACTCTCGCAAGCTCTCGAACGGCCGAGGCAAAGGTCGGCTGTCATTGACAATTTGCTCTTCCTCAACCTCGAGTTGTTCCATGTCCTTGGTAACAGATGGCACCGTCACATCTGTCGGGGCAGGTGAAGCAGCATCAATAGACATCGCTTCGGCATCGGCCTCATCCTCTTCGTCCATTTCATCATCGTCGTCTTCATCATCCATGTCTTCGTCACTATCTTCAGCCTCGTTCAAGAGGTTCCAGTTCTCAGGCTCCCTGTAGAATATTTCTTTGACGCCGTCCAGTTTGACTAGATCAATGGAATACATGTCGTCGAAAGTGAATTCTCGGTCGCCCTTTTCAAAAGTACCACCAAAGATGAAAAGAGTATCATCTTGCACTGCTAGCTGGGCATTGAATCGCTGGTGGGGCATTTCGAAGCGAACGACTGAGGGCTTTGTGGGCTCTACGGGCTCCTCTGGTTGGGGCGTGCTTGTTTCCATATCGTCGTCATTTTCATCACGAATTCCGACCTTAGCTTCCAGGGCTTTAAGATTTGCTAAGAGTTCCTCCTCGTCCGCCTTGCCCCTATTTTTAGACTTTGCATTTTGGTTTGCCAGCTGCTTTTTGCCAGGCGCGCGGGGACGTCGCAGGGTCAACGGGAAGAATCGGTTTCTGTCAGTGGTCCAAGCAAAGAGGGTATTGAAGAACTCGCTATCAATGCCCTCCTCAGTTAGTTCCACGTCGTGGACGCCACCAAACATAATTCCACGGCCCTTGTGGTATGCCATGGTAGTACCGACACGGGGCGGATTGGGTGTATTAGCGGGCTTCTTTCGTCGCTCCCATCGGACTGTAGGCACTGTTGATGATGGGGCCTCAGCTGGAGGGGGCGTGATTCTTAGGAACCAAGTATCCTGGTGAACCATGGGGCGGAGAGCCATCTTTTGAGGGCCACCACCCTTTCCTTGCTTACCACCACCCGCAGCTGCCTTCACTCGGGAGTAACCTCCGTAGATGACCGCTCCAGTCTCGTGAGGTAGCAGGGAGAATGATGACCGAGGGTCGGGCTTTTGGGAAGCCAAAGTCAACGTGGGGTTGGACCAGGTATACTGGTTGCAATCATAGATCCACAGGTCCTGCAAGTACTTAGTCTGCTGGGAGGTATCTTGGAATCCACCAAAGAGAATAATGTAGTTCTGTCTTCGTATTAGCTCTCATATTGAAGACTGATGCGGAAATCAAATAATATACCTTGAAATAAGTCATGCGGTGACCACTTCTAGCGGGAGGACTTTTGCCTTTGGACTCGAGACGGGTCCATTCTCTTGTGGCTGTGTCTAGGTGCCAGAAATCATTGTAGTGATAGAACGTGCCTTGCTTCGGCGACGAGAACTCTCCTGCTAATGGTTAGTTTCCGCACGAAAATTTTCAATATACCAAGCAAGACAGTGTTACCTCCAAACATATAGATGCCTCCGGAATTTCCTCCCCGACACCAGGCATGGCCACTTCGAGGCAGGGGACTGTTGGGGCTAGTCACTTCTCTCCATTCGCCGCGATCAATCAAATAGACGAAGAGATTATTGAAGAAAGTGGCATGCGTTCCGTCAAAGTACTCTCCACCGTAAAGGAACAGCTCATTGCGGTTTGATGGAGATGCTAGCAACGTTGCGGACGAACGTGGTATCGGCGGCTCGGAAGGAACTTCAGTGACCTTCAAGAATTTGGCCTGTTCTTCGGCGTACTGGGCCAGAATGGCATCCAAGTCTGCGTCTTCAGCATCGCTGTCTGCATCTTTGCCCTTGGCTTTGGATCTCTTTTCTTTCTGCGCGGTCTTCTTTGACTGCTTTGCTGCTACACGATCCTTGTGCTCGGCGGACTTTTTATTTTTTTTACCCATTTTGGCTCAATGTTGAACACTGGTGAATTTTCGCGATCTGCTTTTCGTGGGGCAAAAATTATGCCTTTCCCCACACCGAATTGCCCCCCCTTCTATAGCAGATCTACGTCCGTAGGTATGTTGCCTTGCACCACTAGATCTTATTTACATTATAACTTTTGCAGATATGAGAACATAGAATAAGAAAGATTGATCTTGTACAGTTTGTGTGTTTTGTTAGTCCAATTTGACCATGTATTTCTCGGTTGAACGTACTTGCTGCCATAGATCTCGATTTGTTTGACCGCTCACGTGCCGACGCGTCCATATCAGTTTCGCGATTGTACCCATTGCTCCAAAACATCAAGATCGACGGCCATGACAGCAATAGGCCCCCATGACGAAGAATAACTTAGCGATTCATCTCAAATGGTTGATAACCCAAGGGAAACCTCTCTGCAATCCTCTGGCTCAAACTAGCCTGCCTGAAGACAATCACGTATCGCAGCAAGCAATTTCCCCCGCCGACGAATCCGCGACTCTCGATGATATCCTTGAAGACGTGGAGGATGAGACGGATGTATCAATGGCTAGATTGCTACCCCAATCGGCAAGCAAGCCTCGAATGCTGAGCCGACACGACGCGGTCCCCACCAGCACTCCATCCACTACAAAGAAACGGGCTTCGCCGAAACAATCAAGCATAGTGCGAGGTATGCCCGAGTAGGACGAATCTTGTTGAAATCATTAGACTGACACTACTTGCACAATTATCAGAGTCTTTCCGAGACCCACCATTATCATCATACAAACCCGCCTGCCAAAAGTCACTTCCATTGCGACCAGATAGTTTCCACGCACCTGGACGTGATGATATTGAATCGATTGATCTGACAGGAGAGCTTGATCAATCCATATTATCATCCTCAGATACTATCCCAGCCAGTGAGCACCGCGTATCATGGGCAGAAGAAAGCACACCATCCGGAACTCGTGAGAAACGCGGCAAAAAGCGCAAAAGCGATGAGTACACATCCGATCTTCTTTCCCCATCGAAACATGCGACCAAGATTCGAACTCCCTCGAAATCGGCTCGGCCTCCCGCCGTTAGAGACGTTGTATCGGAAAAGCCCACCATCGCACGTCAACCAACTCAAGCAACTCACACGAAAACCCAAAGCGCGACAAAACGACCTGAACATACTTCACCTGTTCCCCCACAGAGCCATCGAAAACGAGTGATTGCGGATTCAGATGATGATGAGGATCTCTTTGACGGCTGGGTCGATAATGAAGATACAGCCGATAAGATGATTCTGGATGCCGAGGAGAGTCTGTACCCAATACTCCCCGCGATGAGTCCAGCGGCGGACGAGGAAAAGGTCGAGATCAAACATTCGCAATTGGAATCTACACCCAAAGCAGCTTTTCCAACTGCGCAACCGTCAACTCGGCCGAAGAAAAGGACAGCTGCTAAAGACCCCATACCGTCAACACCTTGGTCGAAGCCGTCCAACTCACCGGAAAGAGATCCGGACCTTGTGAAGTTTTTGGCCCTTGGGAACAATGCTTTCGCGCATGCAATCTCCAAATTGAGGTCTACTCTGCAGAAGAATTCTGAGATAGTTTATCAGCAGGCCATGGAGGGTCAACCAGTCCCAGAATTGATTGCTGAAAACAAGGCTCTTGTCGCTCAGATCGAGGTAATTGAATCGCTACAGAAGCATCAAAACTCGCACAAGGGCAGTGTTTCTCGTAAGCAAGACTTGAAGCAGAATCTGATACATGCGATTTCACAAGGTCTTGACCCAACAACTATGCCAGAAGAGCTTGCGCAGAGTCGAGCAGTCGAGGCAGAGTTGGAGCAAACCGAAAGAGAAATCTGCCAGCTTCTATCCCAAGCCGACATCCTCGAGTTGGCACATGATTGTCCATCCGACCCTTCTCCCCAGAAATTTACTCAGCCTACCTTCGAAGCTCACGCAATCACCCGGGGGGCCCCTCTTTTCTCTTCTTCGCGGGCCGACCTGAACACAGCCCAACAACGATCATCATCAACAAGTCCTAGAAAGACCAAAGAGACACATCGGCCGGATACCTATGAGAACTGTGTTTCTCGGAATATGGGCTCCCCGCCGTTGGGTTCGATGGATCTTGATGAATTCGACTGGAATGTCAGCGACGATGAGATATTGGAGGCGGCAGGGGGCTTCAATGGTGCTCATTCGATACCTGTTCTCGAGCAAGCCAGTCAAACGCGCAAAGTTTTCGCAGAGACCTCCGGCAACATCCTCAAGGCTCCCGTCCCGAAGAAGTCGCCCGGCCATAGCGCCTTCTGGTCAAACCATCCATGGTCTCAAGAAGTAAGGAAAGTGTTGAAAGATCGATTCCACCTCCGCGGATTCCGACCTAATCAACTTGAAGCCATCGATGCAACACTTGCCGGTAAAGATACCTTCATTCTCATGCCTACTGGAGGAGGAAAGTCGCTATGTTATCAATTACCTTCTGTGGTTACGGGCGGACGCACCACTGGAGTGACGATCGTGATATCTCCGTTGCTGAGTCTGATGGAGGATCAAGTATCACATCTCCGGAAGTTGAGCATTAAAGCCTTTATGGTTAATGGCGATACCAACCAGGAAGAAAAATCGTGGATCATGAGCCAGCTCTCAAATGGAGGTGGCGAGGGGATGGAGGTCCTGTACATCACTCCTGAGATGCTCAGTAAAAGCCAAGCCTTGATCAGAGCCCTAGAGAAGCTTCATCGAGCAAAGAGACTAGCACGTCTGGTCATCGACGAGGCCCACTGCGTTAGCCAATGGGGACATGATTTCCGACCTGACTATAAAGAGCTAGGAGAGGTTCGAGCCAGGTTTCCTGGTGTACCTGTTATGGCCCTCACAGCCACCGCCACTGAGAATGTCAAAGTTGACGTGATGCACAATCTCAAAATAACCGATTGTGAAGTGTTTTTGCAGAGTTTCAACCGTCCTAATCTAACCTACGAGGTTCGGTCGAAGGGAAAGAATGATGAAGTTTTGGCCAGCATGGCGGAAACCATTACAAGCTCATACCGGAATCAGTGCGGAATTATCTACTGCCTCTCGCGAAAGACGTGTGATAAAGTTGCAGAAGATCTACGAGAGAAATACCGCCTCAAGGCACTCTCTTATCATGCGGGTATGGCTTCGAAGGCAAAATCGGAAGCTCAGAGTAAGTGGCAGCTGGGCCGAGTGCATATCATTGTTGCCACTATTGCATTCGGAATGGGAATTGACAAGGCCGATGTGCGATTCGTCATGCACCACAGCATCCCAAAGAGTCTCGAGGGTTATTATCAAGAAACCGGTCGTGCTGGTCGAGACGGCAAGCGTTCTGGCTGCTATCTTTACTATGGCTACAAAGATACAGCAACTTTGAAGCGTATGATTGATGCAGGAGATGGCAATGGTCAGCAAAAAGGCCGTCAAAAGCAGATGCTGCGAAATGTGGTTCAATTTTGTGAGAACCGCAGCGATTGCAGACGAGTGCAAGTCCTCGCTTATTTTGCAGAATACTTCCGCCGAGAGGACTGCAACAACACTTGTGACAACTGCAAGTCTGATCTGGTGTTTGAGCTCCATGACTTTACCGAGCAGGCATCCTGGGCCATCAAAATTGTGAGACAATTTCAGAACACACAGGAGAAGGTGACTGTGCTCTACTGCTGTGACATACTTCGTGGAGACTGCAAACGGCCTAAAGCTCCAGAGCATCGCAAGATGCCGGGATATGGAAAGGGATCCGACCTCGACCGTGGAGCAGCCGAACGTCTGTTCTACCGGTTGTTGGGCGAAGATGCATTGGCCGAAGACAACGTGATCAATAAAAGTGACTTTGCTGTTCAGTATCTCATTCTCGGCCGTCGTGCAGCAGAGTATGAGAGTGGCCAGCGGCAAATGAAATTACAGGTTCGTGCCTCGCCAAATAGTAAGACCAAGGCCAGGAGCAAGCCCACGGGTGCCGTGCAGAAGAAAAAGTCAGGCAATTCAAGTGGCGACCCCCAGTCCACCATGGTCTCTTCTCCGGTGCAAGCTGCTCAAGACCGTCGTCTTGATCGTTATCAATACACCGGTGCTCCAGCCGCACATTTCTCAGCCGGTGAGGATAGTGATGGCTTTGAACCGATTCGAACGACTGGCAAATCTCGTCGCACAAATACACGTGAGATGGGTCCTCCAATCACCAGCGATGAGAAGTTGGATCGACTTGATCATATGCATCGTGTAGTCGTGGAGGACTTCCAGGAGCATGCTAAAATCATGCTTCAAGACGTGAGTGTTACCGCAGGTGTCTACTGGTACATCGTCAAGAAACTGACCATCGCTATAGCTTGTTGTTAAGAAGGGACTTCGGTGCCAACCGTTTTCTGATCAGGTGCTACGCGATATGGGAATATCCTTCCCCAAAAGTAAACACATCTTTCTCGATACATTGGAGGACCTAGTTAACAACGAAATAGATCTTACCGAGCTTTCTGCGATCCCGGGTATCGATCCAGACAAGGTACAACGCTACGGCCGGCAGATCCTGGGGTTGGTTGATAATGCAAAGCGGCGCTACCTGGAAATGACGCAGGAAGCAGAAACTAGCGGCGTCGTTCCGGATCCCAACCACCATAACGTCATCAATCTCAGCAGCAGCGATGAGTATAGTGACGACGACTTGTTTATGGATGAGGTTTCTGCCTTTAATCTGGACAATCCTGTCTCGACCGCACCCAATAATGCAACCGAAAACATCACAAGCCGCTACTTCCCTCCACCAGCATCTCCGGGGTATGACTCTGGTGACGACTGGGAATCTGGCACTGCGCCTTCTGGCTCCAAGAGTCGCAAGCGCCAGCCTGCCAGTGGCAAGCGACCTGCCCGACGGAAGCATGGCTCTACTGGCAGCTGGAAGGGCAAAGGCGCGCGAACAAAAGCAAAATCCGCGGATCGTTCTACAAGCCAGTCTTCTGCCCCGCGAAAGAACGCCAGGGCCAAAATCCCCAAGTCCACGATTGGAATGATGCCTATTTGATGTGTTTTTATTGTTCTTTCCCCGCCTTTTGTCGGGATGTTGATGATTGATTTGGCGTTCACGCAAGCATCTCTAGGTGTCCACGGTGGGGTTTTTTTTTCACGGTTTACAGGGAGTAATTCAAGGTACTTCATAGGTGCAGGTTGGTATTTGAAATGTTTACAAGACTAGGATATAACAAGATGCATGTACACATCCACGAATCAATAATACCATGTTCTCAGTCAATCGTGGAAACCTCCACATTCAATTCCCCAGTGAGCGACCAAAATCTATTAGTCGAAGCCGCCGTGCATCTCGAGGGTGAAACTGGGCGATCTTGGCTCTCACCAGGAACCTCGAAGACGCCGAATCGCGCTTCAATTCGATATAGGAGTTGGCCTCCAACATGGCATCGAGAAGAGCATGCATCTCCTTCGCAGCTGCCTCCCTCTTGTTTGTCGAAACCCCGTCCGCGTTACGTTTCATAAACTTATCAATCCGCTGCTGTGATCCGTCTTCTGTTTCTGCCAGTTCTTTTTGCTTCTTGGGTTTGCCGTGCGCCGTATAACCTGCCTTCAGCGTAGCATCTGATATCGTGAAATCATCGCCCACAGTCGGGCCGCCTAGATCCTCCGCAGCAAGCATTGGAGCAAGAGTCTCATCGATGAACTTATCCAACGAGACCTTGAGGCTTGCGGACGTGCGGTCCAGTTCTTTATTTTGCTTTTTCTGCTGGGCGAGCTGCTCGCGTGCCACCTGCGACGGAGTTTGCTCTTCCTTTCTCGTGTTCGCATTACGGATTCTCTGGATCCGCTCTCGGAGCCCGCTTGCGATTGACTGAGAGTCACGTAGATTGGCCTCTTCGACTCGCAGACGCCCGCGGTCCACAGACAGCTGTTCGGCGGTCATTGTGACCGAGACCTTGGTTTCTTGAACAAGTCGTGCCGTTTCTTCTATAGCTAGAAGTGATGGCAACACCGAGTCTGTTGCTGGGAGCTCATCGTTGGACTTGAGAAGCGAGTCGTATGCTTTCTTGGCCCGTCGGGCTTGAGAAACGCGGGCCCAGGTATCGGTGTCCGCTTCTGTTAGGTCAAGGGAATTGAGCTCCCGCAGCTATAACACGTCAATCGGGGCATTCGATCATAATGAGAATCAGCATACCTTGTTCAATTCATCCTGCTGGCGTTTGACTTGCTCTTGAAGTCCTTGCAAGGTTGCATCTAAGCGTCGCGTGTAGACATGCAATGCAGTTCCACTGAGAGGCTCTTTCGCCGCCTCATACTCTGCTTCTTGGCGTTTTTGTGCGAATTTCTGAATCTTCTGCACGGTCTGGTCTGATATGTCCATGCTTATTGAGTAACGCGAGATGTGAATATTTTCCTTCTAGAAGTAACAATATTTTTAAAAATTGTCATTTAGACTTGTAAAATGTTTGAAGCCTTTAGAGGCAATCAAAATATTTGAACACGAGACGAGATGCATCACGCCCATGCAACGCGTCATGTGACCAACCTTCGCGCCCTCGAGTTCCTTCCCCCATCGTCAACTTCACCTCTTCTCCTTACTCACCGTGATTTCGTTTCATCACCTTCATCAATTTGCTTGTTCTCGCCTTTCTTTGCCTTTTTTTCCACCTCATTTTCGTCAATCAAGCTATCAAATCGATCTCGAGTTTAGCCCACACCCTTGACCTCAGATTCAGACGTTATCGGAGGCTACAGTGTGGTACAGCAGGCAACGGTTTCTGGCGCTTGATATCTTACTTGCCTCATTTCCTTTTTCCCATCGCATTCACCCAAGGATCCCATCTTCACCCTTTCCGCTTCCTCATCCCTTTCGAGCATCTCGGCAAAACCCGTGAAGCTTCCCCGGTCGTGACAGCAAAGCCCTCTCACACTTGAATCTACACTTCCTCCCGTCTTCCATCGGCACTTCCTCAGTACCACATTTCCTTCACAGCCTCTCCAATCTTCTCCAAGCACCAATATCCCCTTCAGATCGCCAGCACCAGCACCTTCCGTGGGAAATTCTGGTGTACATAAAACGATCATAAAAGAAGATTTCATTCTTGACACCTTTCCGATTTCACTTGTAAGTGAAAACAAACAGCAGCACAGACTATTCAAAATGTCGGCTTCTCCATCCAACCTTCAATCGGCCAAGCGTCCTCTCGAGGACCCTTCGTCGCCCTCCGGTCCCAATGACCAGCCTGAGGCCAAGCGCCCAGCACTGGACAAAGTAGTCAAGAGCGATGCCGAGGCGGAAACAGATGTATCCAGTAGCCAGGTTCCTGCTGTGGACGGTGCCAAGGATACCCAGGGAGATACCGTGGTTCCCGATGCGCCCAATGGCAAGGGTCTCCCTGTCGACACCCAACCCATCCAATCAACAGCTTCCCAGGCCGACCGAGCAGGATCTGACCAAACCCCCCAGGACGAGTCGAGCTGGGTTCATATTCGTGCTGTGATCTCCAGCCCGGAGGCAGCCACCGTGATTGGAAAGGGAGGTGAGAACGTGTCCCAGATTCGTCGTCTGTCCGGTGCCAAGTGCACTGTCAGTGATTATTCTCGTGGTGCGGTGGAGCGTATCCTGACCGTCAGCGGTCCACAGGATGCTGCTGCCAAGGTGAGTTATCCATTTGATGGATTTTATAAACTACTGGATTGCTAATGACAAATATCAGGCGTTTGGTTTAATCATCCGTACCCTTAACAATGAACCTCTTGAGGCCCCTTCCACTGCCCAGTCCAAGACGTACCCTCTGCGTTTGCTAATTCCTCACATTCTAATCGGTTCCATCATCGGCAAGGGTGGCAGCCGCATTCGCGAGATCCAGGAGGCCTCCGGCGCTCGCCTGAACGCCTCGGATGCTTGTCTCCCTCTTTCCACCGAACGATCACTCGTTATCCTCGGTGTTGCGGACGCCGTTCACATTGCCACTTACTACGTCGCCGTCACCTTGGTCGAACAGCTATCTGAACGTTACGGAGGTCCCGCGGCTTCGGCATATGCCACTCGCAGCGGTGGTCCTGCCGGTGCTGTCCCTGGTGGTATGCAAGTTGTGCCGTATGTTCCTCAGCCCGCCGGCGGCCAATACGGCCATCCCGACACGTTCAAGCGTCACCCTCACTCCAACCGTGCCGGTGCTGGTGCATTCGGTGTTCCCTACCTGCCCGGTCAGCCAGCTCCTGCTCCTGTTCCTCAGACCCCAATGCACTTCCCCGCCGCTCCCCATGCCCCTTACGGCGGTGCAGGACCTCACCAGCCCGCTCCCTACGTTGGTGGTCCTCAACAGCCGACCCCTGGCCGTGGACCCCCAACCGCCCCTGCTCCCGTGGGCGGCGCCATGCCTGGTCAGCCACTGACCCAGCAGATCTATATCCCCAATGACATGGTTGGCGCCATCATCGGCAAAGGAGGTGCTAAAATTAACGAGATCCGCCATCTCAGCGGCAGCGTGATCAAGATCAACGAGCCCCAGGAGAGTAGCAACGAGCGTCTGGTTACTATCACTGGTACCGCGGAGTGCAACCAAATGGCCCTCTACATGCTCTATTCCCGACTTGGTTCGTATTCCCCTTCCCAGGATGAAGATTCTTATGCCCAGGTTCTAACGGATGGACCAGAGAGTGAGAAACACCGAGTCTAAGTCGAGCAGCGCAATACGCTTGCTATGAGAGTCTCATTGCGGGGTTCTGCCCAAAAGTATACGGTGGTTAATGAAGTCTCTTTTTCTTTGCCTTCGATTTCTCTCAGGGTGTTATTCCTTTCCTTTTACTTTCTCGTTGTATCTTATTCCAGGGCGTGTGATTTGATTTTTCTTTGCCTTTCTAATAACAATTCCCGCAATTATCCCTTTGAATCAAGTAGCCCTCTCCCATTACACTACCTGCTCTAATTACCACCGACGTCCTATGATCCACAGAACACAGCTCAAATTACATGCAAGCCCCCAACACTAATCCACGGCGCCTCGCTCTCCTTTCTCTCTTTTTGCCCCCTTCCACTCGTCGCTACCTTCTTGGAACACCTAACCCTCAATCTTTTGAAAACTAACATGTTTCATCTCCAAACCAGGAATAGGCGGCAACATCTTCTCTCTCAGAGGCGCAATACTCGTGATAAACTTCTCCGTCTCCTTAACCTTGAGATGTGTCTCTATATCATCCCAACCAACAGCAAGGAGGTGCGCAAAGACTTCCCCAGTTGGGCTCTTCTCGTGCGGCAGCTTACTTGGCCGGTCGACATGTCCCATCGACCACGACCGCGGCCCTGCTGACTGTGGCAGCTGTTCGACCAGCGTAGTGCGGAGATTAATCAAATCCGCGTTGATTTTTCTTACCGCTAGCACATCGAGATCACTCGGGAACGACAGCGTGCACAGCTCGGTCACGGGGTTTTTGGTCAGTGTTTCTGTGCAGGAGAGTGGTGGGCTAAACGTGACACGGAGTGACGACGGTGGCTGGGAATTATCTGGGGCTAGGAATGGGTCAAGCACTCGGGTGTTTATTGAGCTGCGGGCGTCGGTCCATTCTGTTGGTCTGGTTAGGCCGTAGTTTGTAGGTTGGTGGTTATATTGTAACTTGAGGGCTGTTTCTAGAGGGTGCTGAACTCACCTACAACCCAGACGATAGTGTCTTCGTCTTCGGAGGTACGTCCCCAGGATGAACATTCATGGCCGCTTTGCTGTTGAGCTGCGCGGAAGATATTCAGTAGAGCCTCGCCTTCTTCACTAGATGGATCTTCGGGCTTGACGGAAGATTTGACACGGAAGAAGATGACCTGACTAACGTTGTGAGACATGATGGGCTGGTGCTTTTCCTAATGATAATGTGCTTGGGGGAGATATCAAAATACACATGGCTGATGTCACGGGATGATGTCACTTATAGAATCCCAATTAGGAAACTACCCCTGCACCTTCCTTGTGTAGCCCCTCAAGTACCTTCCTCAAGAGAAGGCCAAGTGCTTGACTTTCCTCTCCCTTCTTCCCTTCTTCCCTTCTTTCCTTCTCTTCCCTCTCTTACCTTCTCTTACCTTCTCATCCCTTCTCGTTTCTCTCTTCCATACCATGCAATCATACATCATGCACATTGACCGGTTTGTCCCTCCCATTCAACCTCACAGTAACTCGACTGTACTTCTTGGCTCTCAGTTCAATCTACCTTACCTACCCTAGCTTCGCATTTGGTCTAGTGAGATGGATATTCTTCTGGGCCTTTGGGGCTTTACACGTGCTATTCCAATTCATCGCCTTCGGGCTTTGGATCGTGTGGCTTCTTGTCTGATCCCAAACTGAAACCATGGCTCATGTCATACACGTGTAGGCATGATCTAGGGTAAGAAGATGCAGAGTATACCTTTCATGGCCTCTAATCTCTGTGTTCTTTGGCACTCTAGGTCCTTTCACCTTCCGTCTCGGGCTAACTATATGCTACAGCTATCTTGTTGAGCTTGTGGCTCAGATGTCTTTCGGCCATTTGGTAATTTATGACCTTGGTGGTGGTTCAACTTCGTTGAGCCAGGATCGCAGACTATAAATTTCGATCAAATTGCGGATTTTACACGTTGGGACTTATTGTTTAGGTGCTATTTGCTAATTATGAAGCTCTGCGTCTTTTTAGGGAGTCCTGTTATTTGTTTCTTTTCAAGTTGGCTGCTTGTTATGTCTATCAGATACCCTCACAGAACCATATCAACTGCACACCTCAAAAATCTCGCCCTTAATCCGATAGAAGAATAGTCACTTGGGTGGTCCTTCTTGGGGGGGGTTTGGTAGTGCTTTGGGTGATCATCTCCATTATCACTGTTTTCTCGTCGAATTAAGGGAAAATCACATTCCGGTCAATATGAACCTTGTGCGCGTGGATCTCTCCAAGCCACCAAAGTGCCAGAGTCTCAGCCAGAGCCATGACTGTATCAATATGTTCCTCATCCCTAGGGTATCCAACAACTGGTAGTGAAAGACAGAAGTGTCGCCGGTAATGCTGCGCGGAAGTAGAAATACTGGTGTTGTGGTTTTGAACCTGCTGAACCACAAACTCCATCAGCTGTTCGTCGCTGTGGGTAAACTTCATTGCTTCAGGGAATTCTACAGTAACCCAGAGAGCGATGTCGTCCTCGGGGTCCACCAGACGCTCCGAGCCCACCATGAAAGGACATCTGTTTGTCTCACGTCCTGCCATTTGGCTTGTATATGTAGATATAATAGGTTGAAAGGAAGACTTGGTTGGAAATATGTTTAGAGGGTTGCTGGTTGATATGGGCTTGAGGACATTGGACTCTTATATGAACTCGAAGTCCTAGGTTAAAACAAAGAAGCTTTGCCATTCATTATAGTACGGCTTTTGATAGACATGTATCTATGTCTTTGATGAACAGCCCTTAGAGCTTGTTATGTTCTATCTTGAGCTCTAAGGACGTGCATTCTCTTTATATGTATTCATTTTGCTCTATGTCATTGATTGAAATATCTTTCTTTGTCAAGCGGTATAGAGGCGTCGAAATATGGAATTGATCGACTTCGACTTCCATGGTAAGAGCAGCAGGTTCCACCTGTGACTTGACAACTACCCAAGTAAACCTCAGGAGCTGGGCTTACATTGAGAAGTGTATGTAGATAGGGCTTGCATTTGATAGCTAATTTAAGCCACTCACCGTGGCGCTGAAAAGAACACCCCGCTACATACATATGTGCATGCCATGACTCCCTGGTCCAATTATGACCATTCACCGGATACCAATCCACGCTGAAAACAAGTTCCCCAAATTTCGGATAAGAATCTTTGAAGAAAACCAAATAAAAGCAGAAAAGACAAAGGGAGGAAAGAAAAACAAACTACCATTCATCGACACCGCGCACCTTGGCCTGTTTGTCCTCGAAGGCCTTCTTCAGGTTGGCATTCAAGTGCTGGCGACGTGACTTCTTGGCCTTGTATTGGATGACATCTTCTTGCAGGAGGGCAGGCTCACCAGCACCCTCCACGCTGCGGAGACGGCTCTGTCTCATCGAGCCATTGATGCTGGCCCGGAAGTTGAGACCGCGCGAGACGGAGTCGGGGGTGTGATAGGCGCTACCGTCGATTGAGCCTCGCGATCCCGGAGTCATGGGAATACGGCCAGCAATGTTCTTGCGAGGAGTAGAGAAGGGAGAACCCTCGCGACTTGGGGGCCCAGTGGGAGCAATGTCCACGCCGAGCTTGCGCATCTGTGCCTCGAGAACATCGATATCTGTGCTCTTTCCCTCCGCCATGCTCATCATTGTAGCAATGGTCTTAGTGACAGCCTCGACGGTTGGTCGGTTCCTGCCTGCGCCATTCGCCTGGGGAATGTCGGCAATTTTGGCACGCAGCAGAGAGACTGCTTGTTCAAGCGCGGCCATCTTGACCTGGACATCTGTGAATGTGGTGCGCAGATCATGCTGGAGCGCACCTTGCTCGGCGGAAAGTGGTGCTTCGAGAATAGCGCCGATGTCAGTGTGCGCATCAAGGGTCTTGCGGATACTTGCGAACTGGCCTCGCAGGGTGACAATCTGCTTTGTGAGCAGGTCACGGCATGCATCGAGTTTTTCATCCACTCCCTGCACCCGCTGCTTGTCCAATGATTCTCCAATCGAAATGATCATCTCTTCAAATCGCTCGATGTCCTTCAAGGCCATCTTCGTGTCGAGAATATCGGCGGGCTGGTCGCTGTTGAGGACCATTACCCACTCGTCAATATCTGAGGGCTTATTGGGCTGCTGATACATGAGGAATCCCGCCAATGACCTAGCATTTATGCCCAATGTATCTACCATAGAGTTGATGTCACGATAGAGTCGTTCGACCTGACCAGCAATCCCTGGCTTCGCGGTTTCGCCCATGTAATTTTGGTGGGGTAGGAATGGATCCAGGGTATCAACGGGCTCAACGGGCTGAGCCAGCTCATCGCGGAGTCTATCATCATCGTCGTCGTCTGACAAAGATAGAGCATCCTCTTCCCGAAGTTGAGCTGCTGCATGTGCGCGTGCTTGCTTCTCTTGCTCTTCGCGAGCAAGATCGCTGGCCTTCCTCATGAGGCCATCACGCTGGGCAATCTGGGTAAGAGATGCCTTACGTGAGTGCAGCGCACCTGTGGACCCCTTACGGGCATGGGGTTTCTCGGAGAATAGCACATTCTTTTTCCCTCCGACCCGAACCGGGCTTGGTGACCGGTAGGGCTCACGATTACCTGGGGCAATGGGACCGGGGGGAGGAAGCAGCGGCTGCTTAGGCATTTCCCCAAATAGCTGCCGGGGAAGGCGGCCTTTGTCATCTGTGTTTCGAGCAGGACTGCTGAAGAATCCTCCGGTGGAGCTTTGCTCAGAAACTGCACCGAACGAACTCTCAGCTGATGGCTTGCATTTGGCGAGTAATGCTTCGTCGTGTGTGATTTCTTCGCCGCTATCACTGAAGTCTGACTCGTGTGCGACCTCGGAGTCTTCGTCGGAGATACCTGATTCATCAGATTCATCTGGAATTGGGACTGCCTCTTCGGAAGATTTGGCTTTTGGTTTTGCGGTAAAGTCGGGCGGCAGAGGTGCGTCCTCGGGGACAACCGCAGCCTCGGGCTTTTTAAGGAAATCTGGGGGAAGGGGAGCGTCGTCTGTCTTGGTTGCAGATTTCTTCTGGGCGATGAAATCAGGAGGGAGAGGAGCGTCATCCGTCTTCGGAGCCAGCTTTTTCTTAGTGATGAAATCGGGGGGGAGAGGAGCATCGTCTGTCTTGGGTGCAATCTTCTTCTGGGTGAGGAAGTCGGGAGGCAGAGGGGCATCATCCGTCTTTAGGGCCGGCTTTTTCTTGGTGATGAAATCGGGAGGAAGAGGAGCGTCGTCTGTCTTGGATGCAGGCTTCTTCTGCGAAAGGAAATCAGGCGGGAGAGGAGCGTCATCTTCAGGTTTCGGTGAAGGCTTCTTCGCTTTAGTGAAATCGGGAGGAAGCGGGGCATCCTCGACAGAGAGATTCGACACGTTAGAGGAAGCAGAAGTATCTCCAGCTGCATAGCTAGCCCGGCTGGTAGAATCCGGTGGCAATGGTGCCTCCACATCGATACTTGATGTGTTAGACCAATTCTTCTTGGGTGTCTCTGTCTTATCAGACAGTACTGACAATGGACTGGTCACGCGGTTTTTGTCGGCATTGGGACCAAACATCGACATAGTGTTCCCAGCCGGGGTTGTTGTCTTTGAACTAAACATTGATGTTGGAGTCTGTGAAGCAGGTTTGCTTACTCCGCCGAAAATTGAGAATGTCTCCTTGTTCACTGGCTCAATATCTTCAGTGTCGTCCATTGATTCACTCGGCGACGAGCTTCCCTGGCGGGATTTTGACACCATATCACCAAAGGAGCCACCAAATGAGAATGCTCCGGAAGAAGATTTGTCTTCTTTTGGCTCATCATTGACAGGCGAGACTTGGCTCTTGAACGTAGACTTGAGCTCAAAGCCACCTTGCGCAGCGCCGCCAAAGGGATTCTTGACTTCATTTGCAGCTGGGGGTGGGAACGAGGTCTGAGGTTTGGCTCCAAAGGGTGAGGCAGAGCTCTTAGCGAAAGCACTTTCACCAGAAGAGGCGGCTGCGAAGGGTGAACCTTTTGACTGTGTTGCGGCGAACGGTGACTCGCCTGACTGCTTCGCCGCAAATGGTGACCCGGTCGGCTTTGCTGTTGCAAAGCCACTGGGGCCGCCTCCACTGGCGTAAGAACCGAATCCGCCACCGCTAGGTGCTGCTCCACTGGCCCCGAATGGGTTTGCTGGGGCATTAGGCTGTCCAAGTCCAGATCCTGTGGCCCCAAATCCAGACGTCCCGAATTTTGGCTGTCCAGGAGTACTAGGGGTGCCGAAGGATACGCCCGGCTGGGACGGGATCCCAAAGGCGGGAGCACCAGCCGGGGTTGATGGCTTTCCAAAGGGCGTGGCAGAGCTTCCACCAAGCTGGGATGGACTGCCAAACGCTGGAGTACTTTGTTTCCCAAAAGCAGTTGCGCCCATGGTCGAAGCACCCATGCGTGATGGGGTACCAAAGGCAGGAGCTCCCGCCGGCTTCCCGAAACCTGACTGGCCGAATGCTGGAGTTCCAAACGAGGACTGGCCAAACGCAGGTTGCTGTGAAGGGGCTGGGGCTGGGGCCGGGGTCGGCGTTGGAGCTATAGCCTGTGGCTGAGTGGGAGCTTGGGTTGTCTGACCAGACGAAATCAACCCAGAATAGGGGATGTTTTGACGAATGGAATCAGCGTAAACGAACCACCACGATGAAAGAATTCCATCATTGTTCAAAAGAAGAACCCCGGGAAGAGGCGTCGAACTCTCCAAGATATCAGAACCCGCAAGTGGTGCAATGACATTTTCTGTGGCTGACAGGTTTGGTGCCAGGCCAATGACTGACGTCTCATCTCCAGAGTCTTTTAACGGAACACTAGCACGTTTGGTATCGTCGCTTACTTCTGTGGTCATGAACTGACCAACATGAAGCTTGGTTCGCTCATCGTTCGCCAGAGGTTGGTCAGATCGCGTGATGAGGCCGAGATCAGTCGACGCAGTCGATGCGACGATCAAGACATCTTTCAAGTGAGGCTTGTAATCTCTGATTCGGGTGATAAATTGAAATGCGGGGCCACGTTTCAGCATGAATCCCATAGTCGAGCAGACTTCTGGCAATTTTTGGATGAGGAACGGTGCCTGCTTACGGCGGGTTATGATGTAGTATGAAGAAGGGGGGTTCATTCCCATATCATCCTCTGCAATGTTTGGTGTGTATGTCACGAAGAAAACATCGTTTTCAAGCCATGAGATTGATGAAACTGTAGAATCGTAAGTAAACACACATCTTTTGGTTCCGATAATGTTTGAAACTTACTGTGGCAATCTCCCTCCAAATCAGATGGCCGAGGAACTTCGGCCTTCTTCGTTCCATCCGGGGTCATCTGGTATCCAGTGCCATCGGCCAATCCAGCAACAAGCTGCTTTCCTTTGTTGCTCCATGAAGCACAACTGACGCCGTCCTTGAGAACCGGGCCATTGGGTCCAGGAACTAGGCTCCCAGCCTTGAGATCGGCGATAAGAAGCTCGCCGTTAACAGTGACCATGGCGACAAGTGTGGAGGAAGGGTCGGGGTTTGGCGCCAGTGCTCGGAGCGACACGCCATTCGTGGGGATTGAAATCGCTGGCTGCGCATTCCCTTGCATGAGGGTGTTTGTATCGAAAACTGAGATTCCGGGGCCATTCTCCGTGGCGAGAATCAAGCCATCGTCTCCCGGAGTGAATGCCACATGTGTGGGACGAGAAGGAAGGGGGATTGTGGCGATGGGTTGGAACGGCTTCGTTTTCTCCATATCTTCTCCAGCCGGCGCCTCGATTGACTTTCTCACGACATCAGCGGTGGTGATTACCAGCGTATCTGGACCAGCGCCAACGATGAGGCCTTTGGTGTGTGCGACAGCCAGAAGTGAGGAAGTAGGAGCAGGAAGCGCGTCGTCGGGCCATGCCGTTGGGAGGAAGCGGATATTTGCGTCCCCAGAGACGCCTTTGAATCCGACCTCCTATAGCTATATTAGAGGGAATGATCATGTTGAGGTAAAGTTGTGGGGGGACATACATCCGTAAAAACATCGGGAAGCTCTGGACCAAGCTCCGCAGCGGCGCTTCCCCCAGCGGGGTTGGATGCACCGAAGTTGAAAGCCATTCTAAGCTTTTCCGAGTTGAATGTCCCAGAGGGAGAACGTGTGCTTTCGCTTAAAGGAGAGATATGTCTGATAGCATTAGGTGAAGGTGAGGTGGGAGGTGTAGAGAACGAGCGTCTATGGAGTGAGTGAGGACTCCGGGAGAAGAGGTTGAGAGTATGCGCGAAAATCTTGGGTTTGCGCGGCTTCCCAGGAATGAGAAGACAGGGAGAGAATAAAAAGGGACACAACGGGTATCGCCGATGCGCAAAGGGTTAGAGAGAGAAGTCAAGAGAGACTACATAGAGAAGAGCATTGAATTGGAAAATAATGTCCGGGCAAAAACACCTTGTTTATGCCTGATAATTAAGGCTCCAATTTAGGCTGCGGGAGCTTCGTCACTCCAAACAGCTCACTTCCTCTTCACTTCCATCTCCAGCTTGCTATCCCATTCGTCCATCCATCCTTCTCGTTCTGCCCCCATACTCGAATTTTGCTCTTGTTTCTTCCTATACATACACTCTATCTTGATAATCAGTTCAGCTGGTCGCGAACACCAGCGTTGTCACGATGCCGGGCTTCGACTTCACAAACTACAACCGCAATGCGGCGCTTCATGCCAGGGGTGTTCCCCTTCCCAAGGCTACAAGTACCGGTACAACAATTGTGGGCTGTATCTACGATAAGGGTGTTGTGGTACGGTCCCAGGCGATGCGAGGAGATTCAAAAGAGCTGTAACCAAGGAGCTAACTCAAATCGCCATTACAGATTGCAGCAGATACCCGAGCTACCAGCGGTCCTATAGTAGCAGACAAGGTAAAATATACGGATCAAATTATGTGCATTTGCTTTTGACAAGCCATCTGACGTTCTTTGTCTTTAGAACTGCGAGAAACTACACTACATCGCGCCGAAGATCTGGTGTGCTGGAGCCGGTACCGCCGCCGATACCGAATTCACCACGGCGCTCATCAGCTCCAACGTCGAACTTCACTCGCTATCAACGGGCCGCGACCCCCGTGTGATCACCTGTATGACGATGCTCAAGCAGCACCTCTTCCGGTACCAGGGTCACATCGGAGCGTACTTGGTTGTTGCAGGCGTTGACCCGACCGGTACGGGATTGTACACTGTGCACGCACACGGATCCACAGACAAGCTGCCGTATGTGACGATGGGTTCTGGATCGCTGGCTGCGATGTCGGTGTTTGAGTCGACCTGGCAACCAAACCTGGACCGACAGGGTGCCATCGACATCTGCGCTGAGGCAATCAAGGCTGGTATCTTCAACGATCTGGGCTCTGGTAGCAATGTCGACGTGTGTGTGATTGAGAAGGACCAGCCCACTCAGCTGCTCCGCAACTACATCAAGCCCAACGAGCGCCCGCAGAAGGAGCGCAACTACCGCTTCCCGCGGGGTACCACTGCTTATCTGGACCAGAGGGTTATCAGCAAGGAAGATATGAAGAAATATGTCACGATCGAAACTCTGTCCGGTGATGATAAGCTTGCTACTGGGGACAGCATGGAAGTTGATACTTAGATATTCTTGGAAATGCACTGACCAGTGATTTTCTTGGGTTGATTTAATGCACGCATGGGTTTCTTCTACCTCATTAGATTTTCTGTACGATGTACTCAGCCAAGACTGCGAATGTTCGTGGAGCCTATGCTACAAGGTTTAGAGCAGGCAGGTATAGCCAGGACAGGAATTCGGAGTTCTCAAAAACTCGATGTGTCTTAATGTAGATTGTATGCTCAGCTCAGCACCCCTGGGCAAGGGAATATTGAAGCAGGGGTATATCGTATCGCTCTATTTTACAAAATTTTCTTGTGTATACATCCATTGACATACCGCATCTACTGCCAGTCAAGCCTCGATCCACCGATTTGAGGCAGAGCAGTGAGCTCTTCAACGACCTCAGGGCCTTCAAACTTTCCAACAATCCAAAGGATGTACTCATACTGAGTAGCCGAGATACGGCGACCGTCGCGGCGGTATCGCACAACACCGGCATGATACATGGCCCGCACGAACTCCGGATCCACGGGCCCGCCGTGTCTTCGAAGATACCGATAAAGCCAGTGAACCATATGGAAGGATTGACATGGCGTGAGGTGCTTGCAGCAGGAGAGAGAAACTGCCAGCTGGTTTATGAGGTCGACCGCAGCATGGGGATCGGGGCATCGGCTGTCCCGCGGGCCCGGATGATATCGCACGAGGACTTTCTCGTCGGGGTGTGGAATTGGCTGCCATGCTTTGTGGAGGCTGATCTTCAATGGGGTGTTGCTGTTGAGAAGTGTGAGGATGGGCCAGATGTTATTAGAGTCGCCTGATCGAACAACAGACAGGATCTCTTCAACTGTGGCTGGGTTGGTGAGGTCCATACGATGGAACATTTGGTCAAAGGTGGTGTGGAAAAGTCGTCGTATTCCCTTATATACGGATGGGTTTTTCCACACTTCTGCTAGGGAGAGCTGGGAGGTTTCGAGTTGTTCGAGGGTTCTGCGGGTCGTTTTTGTAATGGAAGTTTTGCCCTTTTTGTTCAGAGCTAGGAGCAGAAGGCTGTTGTATGGGAGATCGAGGTCATGGATTTCTCGCATGAAGTCCGGAAAGAATTCTCCGCTAGTATCTTGTATCACCGTTTGGTAAAGATTGAGTAATGAGCAGATTGGTTGATCCGTTTCTCTTGCACTCTGGTTGTACATGGGTCCAGTGGATCGGCCAAGTGTTCGTAGAAGCCAGAGTCGCAAAATGATCTGACGTTGAGTTGAGTGGCTCATGGGTGCATGCTTGATCTGTGTTTCAATACATGGGAGAGGGAAATCAAACCAGACCTGTGACTTGGCAACGGTCGAAATGACCTCGGCATTGGAGAGACAATCCCGCCATCTTTCAAGCAATTGATTTCTGGGGACTCTGTCCGCTGAGGACGATGCCAATGACTCTGTTACACGAATGACACAGTCTGCTGCACTGTTCGCATCAAGCTGGCTGAAGATCTTGTCGGGAAACGGCAAGCTTGTCTCCGAATCAACTTCCATGGTTTCCAACCAAGCCTGAACCAAAGCAGAAGGCCATTGGCTGCGACTGTTTGCATCATGGGTCTCGATGATGATTTCCTCGGCAAAACGAAAGCTGCGAGTACGCAAGAGCTCTTCAAGCCAAGCATCAAGAATGCCTCTATCCAGATCATGATACCCGAGAATGTTACAGCACCCGATAGCTTTCCACATTGCCCGGTAGTGCTTCAACAAAGCTTTATGGTCCCATGACCCCAGAGTCTTGTTTCGTTCGACAATAATATTTGGTAAAGCGGTAATGATCAGACAGATCTCATCAGTTGAAATCAACCCCAACTCCAACGCACGATTGATCGCATTCAAAACCGCGGTTCGTTTACCGCGTTTCGTTTTTGTTCGAACGAAGATTTCGATAGCTGCAGCGTAGTTTCCTGATCCCCGGGTATTCATGAATGGATCATCTAGGAACGCAATTGCTTCTGTAAGGTCTGGGTCTGGCCGGGCAAGTAAACGCTCGAATATCTGCCGGCTGTATCGCGGCTCCCGGTGGAGGTCAATTCTTAACCGACGAGTGAAATCCCTTGCATCTTCAATGCCCCAGTTCTTCCCATCCAAGAATTCCTCTAGAGCTTGCTCACGGGTAGATTGATTGGTAAGGTACGACGGAGGAGCATGTGTAGTTTGAAATTCACTGGGTTCGGGTTGGAGCTCTGAGTTCTGGTCGGAGAAGGAGAAAGGTACTGCAGGAGGACCCATAGAATGATCGGCGAGACCTTCAAATAGAGATTAGCAGATAATCAGAAGACTTTGTGTTTTCTTCACACATACTCTGGGTCTCGAATGGTGCTCTCTGCCATGGATGGTCGGTCCATTTCATGTGTTCCCTTCCATTGCGGCCAAACAAACACGCGATATCTTCAGCCGGGCTTCCCCCTATGCTTGCCAGAGCCGTATTTCTTCGCTTTGCTAAGCGTCGCCGTGCTTCCAACGGTCCAGGAACACAACTCCCATGGCGTCGTTGACCGTTGGCGAAGCGACGAAAGGTGGCTGCGAGTAGGTCATCGCTGATCCAGAGATGGTCAAGTGTTGGAGTAGCTGGTGGCTTAAGAGCATGCCGATAGGCATGTCTGCCGAAAGACATGGGATTGGCTATGGCATGTGCAGGCCAATTGCAGTCTTAGGCTTGTCGCAAGCACTCGGAATCAACTTTGGCATGGCTTTCCGGTTCTTGGCGTGATGACTAATCCCGCGTCGACCAGCTTCAGGGCTAGCGTGGACCTGTCAACAGGCCAATCTTGAGACTTCCATTTATCACCTCTGTACGGAATATATTTCGTACAAATGTGCATAATATATTGTCATCCGTAGTGTTTTATTTAGACACCAGTTGCTGGTTAACACATTCTACTTGGTTTCTACGTCTAATCTGGGCTTTATGTCATGTTATGCTATTGAACCGTTTCAAAGCCGAAGTTGTTTGGGCGCCTCGGATGTATACCAAGTTCACATCATTTCATAATGGATAGAAAGAGATTTGTAAAGAAGGCACAAGGAAAGATGTTGAAATTATAAGAACAACGCCAATGCAATGTATGCAAATTTTGGCCTTCCAAGGGTATCACATGCTAATCATCTGGGAGAGGACATAATAGAACGGTGTGATAAAAAAGTAAGACAGTCATGACGAGAAAGAGGGGATATAACAGGAATTCAGGGAGTAGTTTTTCCTTCGTCGGGCAGGGGCTTCCGTCCTGTCACCACATAAAAGTTCATATAGGCATGGACATTTCTATCCTGGATACTCCTCCTCACGTCAACGAGGAAGACCTCAATTTCAGGTTTCGACCAGCCAAGGGCAAGAAAAGGCTTGTATGACCATCCAGACAAGGCATCAAGCCAATTACTCTCACTCCAGGCCCCAAGAGTCCTTAGCTTCTCGTCCTGCGGCCAGGTGTTTGTAGGGATTTTGGTGAGCCGTTCTTCAACATCAACGAACCCTATATCTCTCATATACTGTGCAATCCGGTGGGCGATTCGAAATTGTCTTGGTGGATCTGACTCACGGCCGGAGCGCACATTAAGGTCTACCCAATCGTGCATGGCGTATGCACTGTATCCTCCGTCTAGGTTCTCGGGAGGCATGGTGTCATCGTCGCATTCCGGTTTGGGATCTAATTCTTGACATTCCATGTATCCCCCCGGTTTGAGATGTTTGAATGACTGGCGTATTATACGTTTGAATGATGGCACGGCTCCGGTCATGTGGCCGGTATGAATTAAATCGAAATAGCCGTTCTCCCATATCCAGTCTTCTTCAGTAGCATCATCGACCAGGAAATGGACGTTGGGTGGTACTTCTGTGGGCTGCACTGGTGATAGATCCGTGCCTGTGATTTTGGCGTTTGGAAACAAGGCCGCTGCAATAAGACAATTTTAGATGGTGAGACAGGAATCGTTGAGACCGGAATGGGTGATCGTACACATCTCTATTGGCCATATTCCTGAACCAGTACCAATATCAAGAATATGCTTCGGGTCTTGGAGTGGGACTTGGAATATCTTTCCGTCCATGGCCATTTTGAACATGTGATGTTGCATGTCCAGACGATCCATCTCTTGTTCATCATTGGGGTATACATAAGCTAGCACTGAGTTAGCCATGCTGTGCGAAATCTGACAGAGCCGGGAATGTAAACCAACCTCCCTCGTGGTACTTGTGATAGGTCCTTCCATTTTCGACAGGATAATCGATTACACTGTCAGTCAATGACTGGGTATCACTGTTATGATATGGTCAGTCATTTGGTGGGGCAAAACAGGTGAGACGGGCGAATGGAGATATGATTACCAGTCATCATTCAGTGCCTGCATAGGTTTACGTTAGCAAGAAATAAAACGATAGTCAATTGACCACCAGAATATCGATAGCTATAGAGGATTGATACCGCATCCGCCACGAGAACAAACTTACAGTTGGTATAGCCCCCATGGTCATCTCGTTCTCGTCCAGTAGAATCAATAGTGACCGGTATCAGTTCTAGATGGCAGACGAGCTATCTTCCAAGTGGAATCAGGACTCAAGATTTTCCATTCGAGGTTCCAATATAAGAAAGGAAAAGACGCAAACTGCAGCAGATATTAAAGGAGGGGAAAGAGCCCGACAGCTTGGGTTAAGTTATAATCTGGCAGAGGGCGGACAGTCCCGACAACTATAATTTGCAGGATCGACCTAAATGTTTTGTGAAATGTTCGGAAATCAGAAAACAGACCCCGGTAAGTGGAGTAGAATTCAATGTAAAGTCAGATTCCCAGGCGCTTCAGGCGTGAAATCATTAAAAGCGGAAATTATAACCCACGTATTAGTTTCTGTGGGAAAAAAATAAAATAAAAAAAAAGAGTATAGTGGAAATGATTGGATGGAATTGATATATAGGTATTTCACTGGGTTTGATTTATTTTCTTGTCTTCTCTTTTGTATTCTAAAAGACCTTAAAAGGGCACAACATAGTAAGCCCGTACCCCTTTGAGAACTGAAAAAAAAAATTCAAAAAAAATCTGATATATTCCAGTCGAATCCAAAGACTTTTCCCGATCCGTCTGGAACCCTAGGATGGTACACATGTTATGTGTCCTGGAACTGAACATATTTCGATCACGATCGAAGACTGCTGGGCTCGATCGACCAATAGAGGTGGGTTCCACCTGGCTGGGAATATGCCGCTCAGCCACGGGCCGCCTTCAACCTTGCTGCTGGGATTTACCCATTTCCATTTGGATCAGCAATTTCCATGCATATTCTGTAGTCAGAACGCCGTTAATCCCCGAGGTCCCCTTTTTGTATAAAGTCGACCATGATTTTTAAATTATTGGGGCCTTGATGGATCTCTAAACGGAATTCTTGGCTCCGTAGAAGCGTGGTGTTGGGGTTCCGACTCTCAACGTAAGGTCATACAATCCGTATCGTACAGTTCTTACGCCAAGACCAGCTAGTCACTGCCTATGTCCAGGTTGCTCGGTTCGGGTTGCAATTTCAAAAGACCGGGACAATTCCGGAAGATTTAGAGTATGTATAGGGCTCACAGTTTCCTCGGTTATTCTTATTTGGTATGCGCGTCCCGACCCTAATTGCCAGACTCTTTCTGTATTGAGATCTAGCGGTGGGAAAAGAGGAGGTGATCCATCAGAAATAGCGTCGGGGGCTGGAAGCCTGGGTTTCATCCCAAATTGCTCCAAAAAGGAGGGGCACTAGGTAGATGTGGATGTGCGTCAACATGTACGGAGTACAATAGTTTCCGGTTCTCCGGGTCTGCATATTAATTTCGAGTCTTTTTTTTTCATTTATTTCGGTTATCTGAACTTCCATGTACAGGGTATCACCTATCGTGTACTCCGTATATACGGAATACTACAGCTGCCATCTCGAATCGCTAGACTCAATGACTTTCTATTAATTTGGTGCAGTCAGAAAGGCGTGATCTTATATATGGTGTAGCACTGTATATGGAAATGAACCTATACCACCAAAACATACAAATTGTATGGAATCTATTGTCCTCGGAGTACTCCGATTTAAAAAGTTATCTAAAATATTATGCAAAATGGAAAAATAAAACACGTCAACAATAAGCAGATAAAAATCCCAAGCACAGCATCCCTGCAGCCCGAAAAAAAAGACATGGTCTCGATGCCATGGAGCCGGGATTCCATCCAAAGGGGACAGACACCCCGGAAATTAATTGGGTTAAGTCAAAACAACCTTGAAATTCACCCGGACCCGGTGACTAGGAAAGTTGCTCGGGTTCCAACGTGTCGGTAACGGCCCCAATTTTCGAACTACACACTCTAAGGGCTTTTCAGTCGAATTTCTTTCCCACTTGTCATATGTCGATCTAACCATCTTTTGTTGAACTCCTCGTCTCTGGTGCTACATAAGTACGACGGTAAAATTGTCGATATTCACCGAATCACAAATGAACCGCTCAATCGTCACTCCGCAGTGGAGCAACTCAGTAGTGGAGACAGCTCTTGGCGGTTTATCTCTTTTGAGATCCTTGCCTTAGTCGCTGACATCGAAAAGTACCCACCATAGGTGGAACTTGTACAGAGGGGGACTCTGTTCATGTGGAGAGATAGGATATTGGAATTTACAGGGTCTGTTGGATGTTCACGACCGAGCAACTCCGAACATATATATCTATATATGTACGCCCAAGCCAAGATGCATGTTACACAGATTGCCCAAACTCTGGTAATCAGATAATGGCCTATTAGGTCCGTCTCCAGGAGAAGACCACGTATTCGCTTTTCAATGCTCACGGGGTGAGTCCGTGCATATATCTAGTACCTACTAGGTATGGTTGTGCATCGGAAACTTCAACCAGTGAGTCTGTATTGGACTCTTGGAGGAGCAACTGACAGGCGTGCTTAATCAAATGTATGCAACGTGAATCACTCTAAGCTGCACATTGCTTCCGCCCTCGGTAGGATGCTAACTACATGCACCTGGACGTATGTGCCTGGCTCCATTCTTGACAACTCATCGACTGCTAAAATAGTAAAGGTCTATTGGAAGTACTTTGAACTCCCGTAAGGCATACGGCTTGTTATTCTTGACAGCATGCATATTCAGCCCATCCGCCTTGGGCTACGGGGTACGCTTGATAATACGTGTCTTGCATATTATAACAGTTGCCTGCTGCCCAAAGGGTAGACCGCTCTAGTATTCTCACAGATAATCATTCTCCACAGACGATATCACTGGATTTTATTTTTATTGGCTGCGGGTGAGAAAGGCCTGTTGATCCGAAAGAATTATTATTACTTCGTAGGCCAACCCTCAGCGGCTGATTGCACTAAAGACGCACGGCAATCCAGATACGAAAAATTAACCATAGAAAAAGAATAGAAAAGAAACATCCTCGTTTCCTTTCAGAAATCACCAACGCCTAATAATCAATCCACTCTGAACCCTCTTGTAGGTGCGGGGTGACTTATTCACAGGAATGATCGGCTAGAGAGATCCACACAGTTCAATTCACAGTCTCGGCGAAAAACCCACCACGTTCTCGACTTTGTATATTGGAGGAACGAAATTTTCACAGGGACCCATCGCCTAAGAAAAGCTAAAACTTATTTGGAATTGGAACTGCAAATCATTCGCTACAATCTCAATTTAACTGGCCCTGGGGTGAAGGCCAGACGCCTAGTCGGCACGGTTTAGGATTACGCCAAGGGGACGTGCACCACACAACTGTCAAATGCAAGCGAAAACGTAGATCATGCACGTCTACACTTGGTATAGAGAGGAAAAACTTCCCATCAACGCCGCAAACATCAAATGAGTTGGTGTCAAAATGTTGAAGCTATTGTCAGTGCTGTCTTATTACAGCCTGGTCTCATTTGAAACATTCCCTCCATTGTAGGTTGCCTTCTAGAAGGACCTGTGTCAAATTTCCAGTACACTCTGAATGATCAATTGGCATGCAGGTTATATCCACTGGTGTGACCTCTATTGGTGGGAAGCTGTCCATCCAATGAAATCCACGCGAATCTGCCAGGGAGAACAAAGATTGGCTGAGATACTCATCGGAAGGCAAGTAGGTAGAATAAAATGATACTTCAAACATATGAACATTATTTGTATATGCATGTCGCTTTGCTTGGTATCCCTAATTTCCATATATTTTTGGAAGACAACGTATGATCAGACAACTTGTACAATCATATTGTCAGCTCGTCATGTCTTCTATGATGCTTAGCCGAACAAAGACTCACTGTCAACTACGTGTCTTCAACCCATGTCCCTAGAATTCAATATCTTATCTGGTCACGGAATATTTGGCGTACCAAATTTCAGCGCTTGATTTTATTTCGCCCGTGAAAGTCGTGGTTTGTCATATTCGTGGTCAAAGAGAAGATAAATCAACACTCAAGTAGAGTGATATATATATTAGCGTTCTCGCCCAATTTGGTGGTTTAGACATAAGTTGAAGGGCTTGATAATGCCAGAAAGATCCTTGACTACAGAGATTGTGGACTTTTTAGTTTAATGAAAGACTCATGATAGCATGACCTTTGGTATTCCACGTTAAAGGTCACAATTTCGAAATTAGCGTGGCTGATTATTCGTCATGACAGGCGTGCCAAACCCCTAGGGCAAAGACCCTGATCAGGACATGCACCATTGCATTACCAATCCCGTAGGTGAGAGCATCGATTAGAGCTTGAGCCCCCGAGCAAAGAGCCCTGTCTCTTTCAAGCAAGGGGTGTGTTGTTGAATATGCTACAAAGATCCCCAACCACTGCAATTGCAGGCTTTCCATCAAATTGAAAATTCCAACAGAATGAGGCTTCTTTCAGCTATAAACATGCACTTCATTCAGAGACTGGAAAAATCAAGATATCAACGAATAGATATTTAAATTGGCTAATATATTGATGTATAGGACAAGACGCAAACACTTCACTTCCTAATCGGGTTATATTGATGTCGGCACGGATCAATAAGAATCCGCCATGACGCAACTCGTTATTTGGAAGGATTCGAAGTGCAGTGCATCAGCAAAGCTTCGGCGAGGATATATATCTATTCTGCAAATACTATTTCGAAGCACAAGTGAACATTTCATTCTTCCGGATGTTTTATCCCATTAAATCACCGGGGAGAGCGGGGTACTAAACCGCCAATTCGAGTGCTGACGCGCGACGCGTAGAGCTTCATCTGCCAAAAAGCCTGAAATTTCGCATGATTCTGCATTTCAACGATCTGGCTTGCAATGGTACGCCGAACGCCAGCTCGTTCCACAAGGAGCCGAGCCAATCCCGTCGGTCAACTTAAACGCCAGAGACAGACAGATGATTTTGCTCCGGATGCCTATCGAGAACTGCTGGAGGAGGCCGAAGCCAGAGATCCTGCACAATTTGCTTCAGACAGACCGATAAAGAGGCGGAAGGCTGGGGATATGAAAGCTATCCCTGTGAGATTAGGTACCTCGGAACAAACACATTGGGATGCCGAAGCAAACGACCATAACACACAACCAGTGCAAACTGTTTATGACTCGTCCACATCAGAAGAATCAGACGTTGACTGGGAAGATGTTGAATTACAACAACCATCTGAGTCTTTGGTAAATAGGCATCTTACCTCTCAAGGCGACGATGAGGTACTCCAGATCACACTAGAGCAAAAACCCGAGAAGCAGAAAAAAGCAGCCCAAAGAAGGAAGCCATTGAATGGAGCAGAGAGAAAAGTCAGACTGGACGTGCACAAATGTCACGTTCTCTGCCTTCTTGGCCATGTACAGTTGCGCAACATGTGGTGCAATGACGAGGAATTACAGGTGAGCGTTTGCCGGTTCCAGCATATCAATCAATTGTCTAACAGAAGCATAGGAGTTCTTGAAGAAGACACTGTCTAGAAATGTAGTTGCTCTTCTTCACCCAGATGAGGGTAAACCAAATTACAGCAGATCAACCACGTTCATGGACGGTCTCAACCAGGCTGGAGATGCCTTCGCACGCAGATTTCGGGTCACCAAACCAGGAATGAAACGGGCTCACTGGGTGGAAACTGAAACGCAATTGAAGCAGAAATTGGTATTCTCTACGAGATGTTCCATCAGCAATTATTCACTGACACAAATATATAGAAGTCAATCATGTCGAATGCCGAAGTCTTTCTATCCAAAGAGGATTTCCGAATCCAAGCAAAGATGATGGAAGGATCCCGGGACTTCGGAGCTCAGCTATTCTGTGCCCTATTGCGGTCTGTAGCCGTAGAGGCGAGACTTGTATGCTCGTTGCAACCGTTGCCATTTTCTGGTACCGTGAAAGACATTACGCCATCTAAACCGAAGCCTGAATATATCGTGATATCCTCAGACGATCCTGGATCCTCAACAGATGAACGCAGCAAGGGCGAAAAGTCACCTGCGGCTCAAAGGCCTCGACGGATTGGACAGCCTAAATTCACTCCGTCCCGTGCTCCTCAACCAAAACTCCACTCGGGCATGTGACTTTCAGCGATTGCTTTTACTAGTCTACGCCATACTAACATCCACAGGTTTGATTCCGACACCACGGGAGTCATCATTTCCAGTATTTTGGGTGGAAGCTTTCAATGAAGCTGCACAGAAATGGGTTCCAATTGACCCTGTCGTCACGAAATCCCTTGCCAAACCTTCAAAATTTGAACCGCCCGCGAGCGATTCCTTGAACTTGATGAGCTATGTGGTTGCTTTTGAGGATGACGCATCCGCGAGAGATGTAACTCGCCGATATGTTAAGGCATTTAATGCAAAGACGCGAAAACTCCGCGTGGAAGTCACAAAGAATGGCGAGGAGTGGTGGGATAAGGCGCTAAAGGCCTATGAAAAACCGTTCTTCGAGGACCGGGACGAGGCAGAGATTAGTGAATTAACATCCAAATCAGCAGCTGAGCCCATGCCACGAAATATCCAGGACTTCAAGGACCATCCTGTCTACGCGCTTGAGCGAAACATCCGTCGCAATGAAGTGATCCATCCGAAACGAGTCATTGGGCACGTGGGGCTGGGAAAAAGCACAGCACGGAGTGAGATATCAGAACCCGTCTATCGACGATCTGACGTGCATATTGTACGAAGCTCCGATAGATGGTATCGCCTCGGACGGGATGTTAGAGTTGGCGAGCAGCCTCTTAAGCGTGTTGCTGCCAGTCGAAACAAGGGCGGGGGCTTCAGTGACGAAGAAGATGAAAACGAGCCCCAAGAGACTACACTCTATGCCGAGTTTCAGACAGACATCTATGTCCCACCACCGGTGGTTGATGGAAGGATTCCGAAGAACGCATATGGAAACCTCGACGTCTATGTGCCCAGTATGGTTCCGCCTGGCGGGGTCCACATCAAGCGGCCGGAAGCAGTTCGAGCTGCTCGAATCCTTGGGATTGACTACGCTGACGCAGTCACTGGATTTGAATTTAAAGGCCGCCGTGGTACGGCTGTACTCGGGGAATTGTCATTGCCGCCGAGTACCAGGAAGCGCATGAGGAAGTTTTGAGGGGTCTCGAAGATGAGAGGCGGCACGCTGCGCTGGAGGCAAGAACTGCGGAAGCTCTGCGGGTCTGGCGACTCTTTTTGATGAAGCTTAGGATCGCAGAAAGAGTCAAGGAGTATGCCAGCGATGATGAAGAAAAACAGCCCGAAGACATCGAAGACGAAGCGGATGTTGAAGGTGGTGGTGGTGGTGGTTTCTTTCCCGAACCAGATCAACTAGCCAATAGTCCACCTCAGAAAGCCCCGGGAAACAGCAAAATAGTGCATGATCAGCATTTACCCGAAGACTACACAGAAAGAGAAATTGAACCGTCACTGGAAGAGGAGGAGTATACCCTTGGAGGGGGCTTTCTTCCCGATGACCATGATCCAGCTCCAAACCCGGTGGAACCTCCAAAGCATGCGGGGTTGGCTACAAAACCGACATCGATTCCTGAGAGTATTGCCAGGAATAGAGCATTGAAAGCGCCTCGCTATTCACTGGTGGTGGTCCCAACCCACAGCTCAAAACCGACATCCGCACCTCAGGCCCTCACAGGATCATCTGACAAAGTTCCTATCAGCGTAGAATCTTCCGCAAATGGGGGCTCCAAATCTGCAAGTGTGGTCACTATCTCTCGACCACCGTCACCAGTGCTCAATTATGATTCTGACAGCGAGATCGAGAAGGGGTCTTTGCTTTCTGAGGACCCTGAAGATGAGGATGCAATTCCCGAATGGCTAATGTCTGATGAGGACTAGTCCTTGATGATGAGAACTGTTATATGCTATCTAACTCGCTGAACATGAACTTTTTTTTTTTTCCAAAAGGTCAACTTCCTACCTAAGACTGATTTATTCGCCATCACTCGTATTCGTGATTGTACTCCCAATGTTTGGATTTTGGATTATGTAGCATTATGTTCCTGCTCACTTCAACAGCCCGGCCGGGCTAGCTCAATCGGTAGAGCGTAAGACTCTTAATCTTAAGGCTGCGGGTTCGACCCCCGCGTTCGGCTATTCCTAAAATCAAACCTGAGATTTTCTTTTTTGCTCTTGAAATGAACTTTACTACGTTACGGCGTAGTTGAAATATAATAGTCCGAATTGAAATATTTTGTACATAATGGCATTGTGATTTTTGTTTGTGGTCATTGTTGTGCATGGGCCTGGAAGCCTTGAGATCAAAATGCACGTACCGATATTAGCGACGCGTCGGCGCGAACCGCCTCAGGCACCTGTCCCCTAACGTCATATCTTTTACCTCTAGGCCCCAGTCTCATGTTTCAGCCTTGAACCATTGCTGTTGCGATGAAAGAACCGCATGAATCTAGAAACCTGCCAGAGACTCCTCGAAATCAGTACCGTACCCCGAGAACGCCTAATACACAAGGTCTTCCAACAACTACCACGAAAATCACCGCGCGAAACCGATCACCACAGTCATCGACATCGGCGAGTACTCGTAAACGAACATCACTGTCACGAGTGCAATCTACTCTCACACAGATTGACTTTGTGACACAATCCACACCTACGAATGATGACCAGCTTGGCTACATCGACGAGCATCAACGTCGTAGCGATACTCAAGATACCAATGAGCGGCCAACTGTAGATGATGCGTCCGACAAGGATTCAGACTGCCTCCCTGCTCCACCAGCTCGGTCAGCTCGTATCTCGAAATTCAAGATGAGCGAACGAGATCGCAATACGGACGAACGCCCACAGAAGCGGAGAAGCTCTGCAATCGTCAATCGAGAGACACACCGAGGCCAAGGACCACGAAAAAGCGAGACACCAAGGGCGAGTGTTCGTCCTAGGGGTGGTCGAAAATCCCTGGAAAAGTCAGTGGGAAAACGGGACAAGACATTGACCCAGATGGACTTTGTACGACGTTATATTACCATCGATGATGATGACGACGAGGTGAACATGGGGTATATCCAGCCGACACCGCAAAAGACGGACACAAAAGGTAAACAGACAGATCATACGCCCAAATTGAATCAAGCAAAGCCTACGAAGCGTCATACCCCCGCCAAACGAAAGCACAGAGTCTTTGAAGAAGAGCTGGATCTCTCAACCGGGGAACCTATATCTCAGCAAGACGAAACACAAGACTCAAGTATCGGAAGCGCAGCTGAGGGCAAACAGGCATCTGCAGCTCCTGTTACACCACGGAAGCTTCGGACGCGCGAGATACCTTCTTCACAGACACCGGAAAGCCCTGGTCTAGCTATTATAACCTCATCTCAATTTCGCAGCGCTACTCGCTCTCCTTCAAAACGGAACCCGTCAAATACCAACATTTATCACATGCAATCCATCAAAGAAGAACCGCTGGAAGCTCGGCAAGTGATTGAGGATTCACAAGACCCAGGAGGCGAATCTTTACCACGGCCAACAACATTGGATTCTCCAAGCATCAATCACACTCTGATCCACCCCGATCCAACTCTTACTGAGCAATTTCTTTCATCTGCACCTCCGACGGAGTCGACTGACCAGGAATTGCCCACCCAAGTAAACGGAAACCCGAGAAATGAATACACTAAGACGGAGAGGACAGTTGTCTATGAAACTGATGCGGATTCAGAATACGGAGACTTTGAGGATAGCCTCGATAGGCGTTCCGTGACACCATCCCCAAAGAAACCACACCGAGCAATTGGCCCACCGGACGGCTCACAGGGGATCCAACACAGCCCAGAATCGCCCAAGGATGATTCCCAAGACCTTCCCCTACCAGCTGTGCAATCAAGCCCTGGATTAGATGACGCCCCTCTATCCGAAGGTCCAATGTCTGATGCTTCAATTTACTATCAAAGAATGCACGCAGCTACACAATTCCCGCACGAGCCAATTCCAACGCTAAATACGCAGAAGATGTCTGAGCTATTCCCCCATGGAGGCAGTACCCAGTACACCAATCTGGAGCCATGGAGGCCTTCTCTTCAAAAACAGGCACCGGGGCTGTCCTCACAGACACACACGCAGAGCCAGGAAGGCGAAAAAGAGTCTACTGAAATGGTTCCGGAGTCGTCGCCCATCCGGGAACGAGAACGTAGGATCGAAATAAGCAATGGTTCGTTCCAACGGCCTCGTGTTCCTGGCTCAGTGGTTCAAGTTGAATCCTCGCAGGCGGTGGACCGAGATCCCCAATGGCAGGGCCGAGTCCTCTCTCGCAGTCAGCTTCTTACATCGAGCGTCATGGAGAGCATTCCGCTCCCAAACTTTTGGATGGGAAGTCAGGATAGTGTGGGAGAGCCTTATAGCTTACCTGAAGGATGATGCCTTCGAGGTCATTGTTTAATAATTTATGAATTATGAATAACCACAACATTGTAAAATACGATTACTATATAGATCATCTTTTGTTAACCAATGTGTTTGTATGTTGTAGGTAGTTTTGAAGATCGTCGCAAGCGGGGCGGTCGGGCCATGAACGCGGAGATACTGCAACCTTGTGCTTCCAATCATTTGATCCTCTTCCTTCTTTTCTTACAACTTCCCAATCATGGATATCGCCTACGATCATATTTTAGAGGAGTCATACTCTAACAAAGAGGGAGCCTCCGACTCTAAGCCCCAGGAACCTAACCCCAACCTCAACGATGAGCTACAAGAGACTTTCCGCGCCTTCTCCAACAGTCCGTGGGGCTCCCGAATTGGAGGACTATGGGACAATGTACGCAAACAAGGAGAAACATACTACGAGGGTGCTCGCCAGGAGTATGCAGCTGCTAGCGAAGAAGCTGTGAAAGGATTTTCAGATCTTAGGGAAACACTCGCCGACCGGACAAAGGGGCTGTCTCTCAGCACAGCTTCTGTGACGGGCAGTGGCGAGGGACAAAGTGATGAAACCGCCACACCCAAGGCTGTTGTAGAAGGAGAATCCAGCGACAAGGGAGAAGGCGCTGGCGTTAGTGGAGAAAGCTTTATTGCTCGGTTGAAGGCGGAAGCCGCTCGGCGGCTGAAGGAGATTGAGAAGGCCGAGGAAGCAGCCGATGAAGCGATCTTACGATTCGGGTTGAACATCGGCCAGAAGCTGCGCGAGGCCGTCAGTATTTTACCTCCCGATGCCGATCAGTCCGGCAAGCTTCTTTTCGAGAGCAAGGATGCTGAGGGAAAGCGGGTTATTCATGCTACACGGTTCGAGGCACAGTTGCACGTCATTCATTCAAACCTGGAAAGCTTTAGCAAGGACCCGGTCAGCGACGAGTGGCCTGCGTTCAAAAAGGAGTTCAATGTTGAAAAGAAGACGGACGAGATTGCGGCTGATCTGGAGAAATACCCCGAGCTCCGTTCGGCCATGGAGAAACTCGTGCCGGAGCAGGTGGAATACGTGGAATTTTGGACTCGTTACTACTTCTTGCGTCTCGTTGTGGAGACCGAGGAGAAGAAGCGCAAGGAACTTTTGAAGGGTATATTAAGTCCATCGCTCCGGTAATCTTTGATTTAAGTTCTAACCACTTCTACTCCATAGGTGCCAATGCCGAAGAAGAAGAAGAAGTCGGCTGGGACGACGATTCCGACTCTGAGTCCCAGTCTCCTTCTACTCCGCAGGTCCCCTCTGGAGCCCAGAGTCTCGCTCCCACCAAAGAGACCCAGAAAACCGAGCCTCGCAGGTCACACGACCTGCAATCCCAAGCCGACAGCGAATCCAGCTACGATGTTGTGAGTGGCGCTGCTAGCCGCACACCTGGCAGCCCCAAGGAGAAGAGCCCCACCGCTGCGAAGGCGGACGAGAGCGACGAAGATTGGGAGTAACCCACCTATCTCTTTTCAAGGCCGCATCAGCAAGTGGATCTAAGTTACTTTCGCGGGCACCTGTCTATACCATATATCCTTCAGAGAGCGTGGTCTTGCTGCTGCGCTTGCTAGACACGGCCAATTCCCTGCCGAAGAAATCTGCTTTGGTTGGAGTTCAGGAATATTGGGTCTTTTTTCTTTGGCGTTCCGGGCTTTTCTCTCTCATTTTATTCCCAGTCCTGTTTTCCGCAACATGCTTTCAGCGAGCGATGTTACCTGTCTATGCGGTTGATATCTGAATACGCACGTTATTCTTTCTATCTACATAGTATCTTAACCTGGGGACCTGACTACCTTAGCTCCCAGATGAACCATTAGTCGACCTTTGATGGCCGCTTGAATTATGGCATTCGCCACAACAATTCTACATTGTAGAAAATCAGTCCGAAGGATAGGAAACTAATAAATTTTGTAATGCACTCGCTATCTCATAATCATGATCATAATACATGTACAAGGCATGATAGTTCATGGATTTCCAATTCCTTCCCATTCAATCTGTCGTGCCAGACTTGAGATCCCCCTCATTCGGAGACCTACCCATCTTTTTCGAGAGCGGCGACTCAGCATACGCAGGCCTCATACCACGCAAACCACTTGGACGGACGTTCGGCGAGCCCTTGCGCACTGGGGTCTCCGGTGTACTCTCCCTGGAACGAATATGAAATCCCTGCGCCCGCCCGCCAGGCGAGTAAGAATCGCTGCCATATTGGCGGGGACTACTACCTGGCTCCCAGCCGTACTGATAATCCTCGCCGCGGTGTTTGACAGGGCTTTCATTGTAGGGGTCCCAGCCCACGCGACGGCGGGCCTCAGAGCGGAGCCGCTGACGATGCTGTTCGTCACCGCCAGCGCCGGTGGTGGATGATTCTTCCAGGAAGAAGTTGAGAAGTTCATCGCTGATGGAGAGGTGTGATTGTTGCTGGAATTGCTGGAGGGATGTTAGACGGAGAAGGGTTTCGAGGAGAGAGAGAGATGTGCGGATGTTCTCGAAGTGAGGGTTGGAGACTGTTGTTGTGGCAGCGGCGGATGTGAATGACTGATTTAGCGGAGACAGGGAGTGGGATGAATGCCCCTTTTCATTAAGCGACAGCTTGGCCATCATATTTGGGTCGATTGAGGGTTCATCTGGTTCGGGGTTTTCAGCTTCGGACTCGGTATCAGAGGCTTCATCTTCGTTGTAGACTTCAAATGCGATCCATTCTGGGTCTAGCCCGGGAGGCAGACGCCATTCTTCGGGAATGGAATCTTCATGCAGATAATTCAAGCTGCTAGGATCTGGGTTTCCGCCTCCGTTCAGCTGTGCATCGAGTTGGGCTTGCTCCTCGTCTTCTGGTTCCTCTTCAGATTCTGCGTGAGGGAACTCGTCCTCCACCTCGTCACGTTCCATCATGCGCCGTGGCGGGAGAGCGTTTAGATCCCGTTTCAATAGTAGCACTGGATTGTTTGTTTCGCCCTCTGTGCTGATGTTGAGGATCTTTCCGGTGTCTGCGTAGAAGATCTTTGAAATTTGATGGATAGGAAGAATCTCCCTTATTCCTGCCGAGGTAACACCTTCATATTTCTGGGGCTGTGGATCATTCTCGTCGAATGTGTGGACTCGACCATCATCTAGGTCTTCGATGATCAGGACTTGATAGAAGTATTCATCGGACCCGGCCGGTCCTGGAAGCTTGCTTCTCGGATGTTGATCTGGGGACTGCAGTGAATCTATTGGAACACGACGCAGCTTCAAACGTGCCTTATGCATGACTTCCTTCCACGTGGCCTCGCGGACAGATTCTTCGTCATGAGGTCGCAAGTGGCTGGCAAATAGCATGTACATTGACAAGGTAAAAGTCGGCCCTACCTGAACTGCCTGAGATGGCGTCATTGAATATTGTGTATCTCCTGCCGTGAGAAATGTGCTTGCTTGGAGGAGTCGGGATGGCGACACCGTTGCGGGCAAGTTGGTGGATAATTTGGCCCCAGAGGTGGTTATGGCCAGATTCATCAAGGGCACTGTGTCCTCAATGCGAGCCAACAGCTTCTTGATATCTTTGATAATAAGCTTAATTTCTTTCTCGCTGTTCGTCTGATCTTTGGCTGAGCTGGCTCCTTTGCGTCTCAATTCTTCAGATGCCGCGGCTCTTGCCAACCGCTGCCCTAGCGCTTGGATGTCCCATCTCAAAGATTTTGTGAGGGCGACAGCTGATTCCAATGACGTATTTCCTCGAGCAGCACTAGGCCAATTATGAGCTTTCTAACAATACAACCCAGTGTCGGGTGACTCACATTAATTCAATCATGTCAATAGATGGGGCGATAACTTGGATCTTGCTTTCCAGGCGTTGTTGCAAGGAAAGTAGCTCATCTCTGTCCTCACTTTTGACATTCTGGTCAAGAAAATGAACTGATCAGCGTTGGCTTGTTCCCCAACTGGAAGAAGGTCACTTACTTTGAGCAAGCGCGATGACTGGCGCATTGCATAGCTGGCAGTTATCGCGATTCCTGACCTGCATGACACAGTTTTAGCATTGAGACTATTATTGTTCAGTCATCATCATCCATACCGAATGGCATAATTCATGGCCTGCCGGGTAAGCTGTACGGAATGAATTAGCTGGCTAGCCCCTAACAAGTAATATAGGCGACTAACCCCCGTTAGAAAAGCATCCATCTTGATTAAAGCTAAATGCCAATGGCCTTTAAAATTGTAGCGTAGATTGTATTGGCAAGCGATATAAAAGGCACCTTAACACTGGACCTGCAGACACGGAGGGGTGCTTATCGATAAGAGAAAGGTCAAAGACGACGAGCCCAACTCTCCGAGTACAGGGCTATGCCTCTGAAAAAAGACTATGTAGTGAGATCGGCTCCTTGAAAACCTATGAAACATAAAACAGAGATGAATACCTAATAAGCATTCACTCACCATCTCTCAGAGAAAAAAAAAGACTTAAGGCTGTATCACGTGAAAAGAAAATATCGCGGGGTCTTAGTCATTCACCTGTGCAAAATCAAAAGGCACTGGGGCCCCTCTTATTGACCCAACCTGTTTTTGTCCAAATCCGTTTTGGTTAGTATTTTCGTGTTCTTGATTCAACCTTGGATCTTCTTTCACGATGTCGAACCAAACCCCTGAATCCTGGGAGGATGAGCTTTCCCGACAAGCTGAGGGCGTCAACCTGAACGCACAATCTCGCCCTCAGCCCCAGGCACCCTCTTTCCAACCCGGCGCCGCCTCTTTCACGCCTGGAGCCTCTTCCTTCGTTCCCGGACAGCCGTACCAGCAGTATGCTGGCTACCCCCAGCAGGGATACCCCCAGTACGGCCAGCAACAAGCCTACGGTGGTTACCAGCAACAGCAAGCCTACGGCCAGTACAATGCCTATGCCCAGCAGCCTGGTGGGTTTAATCAGTACAACAATGGACAGCAACAGCAGCAATATGGTGGCTATCAACAGCAGCCTCGCCAGAATGTGCCAGTACAGGCGCAGCAACCCCAGGCTGCAGCACCGGCTCAGTCTGCTCCCAAGTCCGCATCGAATACCGCTCTGCCCAAGACCAAGGTTCTGTCTATCGGCGCAACCTCCTCCAGCGCTGCTCCCAAGACCAAAGTTCTTTCGATTGGCACTCCTACCCCTGCAGCAAAGCCTGCCGACGCCGCCCCCAAGGAAGCCAATGGTGATACTAAGGGCGCTGCGGCTGCTGAGGCAGGCTCAAAGGTGGCGGCCACCAAATCCCTTGATAAGTCTGACAAGGCCGCTGCCACTGGTAAGGCTTCTCCCACGCCAGCTTCTGGTCGCTCTAGCCCTGGACGTTCAAGCCCAGCCCGCGGCGAAACAGCCAAGCAAGCCCGTGAAGCCAATGCTGTCGCAAAGTCGCAGCAAGCTGATGTGGATGAGGCAACTCTGAAGGAAATTTACGGTGAGCGGAGAGAGCATGTCAATGTTGTCTTCATCGGTCACGTCGATGCTGGCAAGTCCACTCTGGGAGGTTCCCTCCTGCACGCCACCGGCATGGTCGATGAGCGTACACTGGATAAATACAAGAAGGAAGCCAAGGAAGCCGGTCGAGAGACCTGGTATCTCTCGTGGGCTCTTGATCTGACCCAGGAGGAACGCTCAAAGGGAAAGACAGTCGAGGTTGGCCGCGCCTTCTTCAAGGTCACCATCCCGCACCCAGAGGGCGATATTGAGCGTCAATTCTCCATTTTGGATGCCCCTGGTCACAAGTCCTATGTTCCCCACATGATTGGTGGTGCTTCTCAAGCCGATCTCGGTTGTTTGGTTATCTCTGCCCGTAAGGGTGAGTACGAGACTGGATTCGAGAAAGGTGGCCAGACCCGTGAGCACGCACTCCTTGCGCGCAACACTGGAGTTAGCAAGTTGATTCTTGCTGTCAACAAAATGGACGACCCTACCGTCGAATGGAGCAAGGCCCGATTCGATGAATGCACCATCAAGGTCATCAAGTTCCTGGAAGCTCTGGGCTACAAGAAATCGGACATCTTCTGCATGCCTATCTCTGCCCAGCGAACTATCGGTATCAAGGACCGAGTTCCCAAAGACGTGTGTGATTGGTATGACGGGCCGTCGCTGCTCGAGTTCTTGACTGCGTTCGAACTTCCCGAGCGTAAGGTCAACGCACCATTCATGATGCCAATCAGCGCGAAGTACCGTGACATGGGTACCATGGCAGAAGGTCGCATTGAGTCCGGTATCATTAAGAAGAGCGGCACTTATCTCATGATGCCTAACCGTGAGGAGGTTCAAATTTCTGCTATGTACGGTGAAACAGAAGAAGAGATCCCTACCGCCAAGGTTGGTGACCAGGTCCGCCTGCGTCTCCGTGGCATTGAAGAAGAAGATTTCTTCCCTGGTTTCGTGCTGTGCTCACCTAAGCGTCCCGTTCACTGCGTTTCTGCTTTCGAAGCCAAGATCCGTATTTTGGATTTGAAGAGCATTTTGACCGCTGGTTTCAACTGTGTGCTGCACGTTCACTCCGCTGTTGAGGAGGTTACTTTCGCAGCTCTTCTCCACAAGCTTGAGCCCGGCACCGGGCGCAAGAGCAAGCGCCCTCCCCAGTTTGCCAGCAAGGGCCAGACCATTATTGCTCGTCTCGAGGTTACCAGCACCGCTGGTGCTGTTTGTGTCGAGACATACGACGAGTACAACCAATTGGGTCGTTTCACCCTTCGTGATCAGGTATGTCTTTTCACATTCTTCTTAATATTATTTCTTCGCTAACATATCGATACCAGGGTCAAACCATTGCTATTGGTATGATTACCAAACTCATCACTGCTGAGACCGAGGCCCAGTAAAGTGCTTTTGCCACCGAGAATACCTGAATGTCCATATTCTCAAAAGCACAATGAATCACCAAAAAAAGCGATGTCAGCGATGTGCTTGCGAGGAGCTCTGAACAGGGAGGTACGGGTGGGCAGAGGTCGCGTAATGATACCACAAACAGCCCACAACTGACGATGATGAACATTTCTTTTTCCACAACATTGCCTCCATAGACTTTTTGCTCCATCTATGAATCCAAGCGGTTGAACCGTATACGGATTCTTGGGTCATCTCCAGCCACATAGGGTAGCACACGCAAGCCATATTTGATGAATGATCAATCATTGGTGATAAATGCATCTATGTAATTTGAAAAGGATATCTATCCGAGGGGTTTCCTCTTGGCACCAAGGTATGAAGATATAAAATGATCAACAAAAGCCCACATCTACCTCTTCTTTCCAACAACCTTCGTAAACCCATCATCATCGATCTCGGGCTCAGCCCGCTCCCTTGGAGCCCGCACCAAGTTAGGCGCATCACCCATCTCAACATCACCTTCCTCACTCTCATCATCCGTCTCCTGATCCTCGTCCCCGGCCTCAACCCTCTGGAACTGACCCGCAGCAGATCGATTTTGGCTCTTCTTCTGGAAATTCTCCAACATTTGCTGAACAGTGCCAAACTCGCCACGATCGATCTGCGTCTTCAGCTCCATGATCATGTCCGCAACGTCCGCGGCGCTCTCGTCATCCACCGCCACGTCAAACTCGTCGTTCATAACCTGGACAAGTACTTCCTCCAGGTCTTCGGCGTCAGTCTCGGGTCGATCAGATAGCATATCGGAGATTGCGCCACACAGCCAGTCCCGCTTCTCGCCTGAGTTGGGGCCACCCCAGTTTGATTGCACGGCTAGTGAGAGCGCCGGCCAACTGTTGATTGTGAGGGTAATGGCTAGGTCTAGGTGATAGGCGGCATCCGCGGACGGCTGGGCTGTGGAAGTTGTCGCCATTTTGGAGGCTGTGTTTTATATGATTGTTGATTCTGAGGTGGGTTGGCGATTATTTTTTTTGGGACGAGTGTTACCCCGCGGTCTCGGTGGAGAAAAGGCGCTTACTGATGGAGTGGGAAACTTTGGGTTGAGTAGTATTGATGGAAGCTTTCAATTTGTTTGCTTTGAGGCTCTCCGCGATGGGTGTATGGTAGTGCAATTGAGCTCTTTTAATATTATCTTGTGTACCTTGGAATTTTTTTTTTTAAAAAAATCCGATTAGATATGATAAGGTCATGTGATCAATTTTCTTGGCACGTTTCAAGGTGGCGCAGGCCAACCTTAAAAAAAAATACTGCATAACATTACCTCGCCGGGTTGGCTTTCCAACTTATATAGACTTGTCCAAAAATTTTACCATCGATAACGAAGGAACTTAGAGGACCAAAAATGAATCTCCGATAGGGGGAATCGAACCCCCGGCTGCCGTGTGAGAGACGGCGATGTTAGCCACTACACCATATCGGAGGAGGACTGCGAACTTCTTTCTTAGGTTTAATCCTAACTTCTTGAGCTTAGCGCACTTGGTCCTTGTGCAGATCCTAGCATTAGCACCTTAGCGATTAGCTTGCATAGCAACCAGGACCTATCTCGCCCCTTCACTCTTATTCAAGGTATTCTTGTTCGAAGCATGGGTGGGTGTCTCAGGCATCTAAACCTGGGGTCACATGACTGCCTCTCTGCTTCTTCCCCCGCTCTCAGTCCTCTTCTCTTCTTTCTTCTCTCTTGTCCGCGCCAGTGTTGTTAGTGATCCGGCTAGGTAGACGCGGTTTAAGTCTCTGATTCTCCGATCCTTCCTTCTCTCAGGTTCTGAGCCCGAGTCTTCTCTCAATTCTGCTCGGACCTGCTAGATAGCAGTCCTCTCAATGAATGTATATGTATAATGCGTCCGAGGTAAAGGATGGACTGACAACGCCCTCAAAAGGACAATTGCTATTGTTGTCAGTTGATAGGTCAAATTCACGTTTTCACTGATTTACAAGCGAGCCTACCTAAATAGTCTTGGAGGTATGCTGAGGTCTATGGATTTAATCTAGGTTATACTAGTCATTCAGAATCAACCGAGAAACTCGCTTAGGCGCGAGCGAATGATCCAATCCTTTTTAGAAACAGGAAATTTTCCAAGCAATCTTAACAATCTATAGAGCTCTGCATTGGGATGAGCTTTCATTGATACCCAGTTTATGATTAGGACACCATTAAGTTCACGTAGACTGCGTCATCGAGCTCCTGGAAACTGGCGCCTGGCAACCACACGCCTCTCCCTCACTAGATAGATCAGACGAAAGCTTCGGGAGATCAATTGCCTGGTTGGAATAGTCATTGGAGGATCTCACAAACAACGCTGTGGATTTGCCTTTGGATACACTTTTACACCTTCTGAAACGATGTTCATTCTGTCAGCTTATGGGTGTATCGACGAATACAGTCTCTTTCGGGGATAAGTGAGCTTCAGTGCTATTTGTTTTCGAGTTGAAGTGCGTAGACTTAGGCAGGGGGTCGCAGGAAACGAGTGGATTTATGGCCTCAACATCGGTTAGGTGAACGAATTGGTTGTCCCTGTTTTCGGTGCTGAGTATACTTATGCAGTGTGGAGAGGAATTGTCTTTATCAAACAAGTTGACTCACTGGTTGGTTCGTCGGAGAGATTGAAAGCCTAGAATCCGAAAATACGAGGACTGAGGCACGAGGAGAGCCCTCCTGCCTTCCTAATTTTCTCGCCTCCATCTCATTTTTCCCATACTTTCATCTCACTCTTCGCACTTCCGAAATTACTATCAACGGCATTCACCTACATCATGGGTAAGCAGATCCACGTGCGTGAGACCGTCAACGAGGCTCTGCCTCCTCTACTGAAGACAGATTTCCATATAGATGCCAATGCCGTACACCGGCTTATTTACAACGGAGGATTGAGTTATTAGCCGAATTGTCAAGATATACGAGCAACAACGGATAACCAACATTGGAGCAGCGGGTTATCGGATACACCCTGAATACCCGCGATCTTGATGATACTAAGGTCTTTGTCGGAGATGAGACAGGTGTACCGGGGAGGTTCCAACAGGCGATTGGTCAAACACTTGGAAAGGTGTTTGAAGCTCAAAGGCTTGATATCCAATTTGCCGATTTCAAATGTCTTCCTAATCTAGGGAAAAAAGTCCCTGATTGTGTTATGAAGACATCAAGGAATGAGTTGAAGCTTGTGGGTGAGTTGAAGGTGCCGTGGACCACTGAAGTGGCACCTGGGTGTTCTCCCTGTCACCAATAGAAACCTGTATCACCACTCCCATTCATAAAGGTTCTCACAAACGCCGGACGCGGGTGGCTTGACCAAGCGGTAATAAGCCAGAATGCAATCCTCCCACTTTTCGTCAGTTGGATACGAACTGCGAAACCCCGAGATCCATAGATCGGCGGATTCTTTGTCCCATATAATCTTTGTGATGTTCTCCCCTCCTGGACCCCAGCCAAAGGACGACATTTCCCTGATTTTGCGTGAGCATGATCTCAAGGACTTAACTCCGCACTTACTCATATGCAGCCCGGAACTTTCGGCGAACGAGATCACGTTTTGGTCGCTCGAATGACCAGAATATCTCCGGAGTGAGGACCTGTCCGCGGACCTTTTCCCAAACAAGATAGGTTATGTATCCTCCGGGTACAGGTCCGTGTTCCCCTTGCACGGATTGGCCATATCCAAGTAGTGAAGGTACACTTTTGCATCCACCTTGTCTGAACTTCTTCCGAGCTTTAGCTTCCTGCTTTTCAAAATGAGGATTTGCCTGTTGGGCTCGAACTTCCGGCAGAAGGAATTTTGTTCCCTCATCAGGACCTTGACAGTAGACTCTCATAAAGGCTTGATTATATGGGAAATGGTGATTGTGACATAGATACTTAGCCTCCCAACCGGATGGTTGTTCGTCAGGATCAGAAGTAGGCTCACGCACTCCATCGATTCTATTCTCATAAAGCTCCTCGTCGATTACCCATGTAGTCGCGTTCAGCCGGAGAGCTACGGAGCCAGGAAGGGCGATCTGAGTGCCTTTGAAAATCTGAGAGATATCAGTCATCTTGAAGGTTACGAGGATAAAAAGGGAAGAGAGTCCTGAGAGAACAGAAGAGGAAAAGAAGGGAAAGTTTTGAAAGAAATGAAGGGAGATAGACTTTGTGGGCCAAATGATCATTTGGTGTCAAAGTCCGAGGTTGAATACATGGATTTACATGGTATTATACCTTGGAGATCATATGACGCTAAGTACCAGGCATACCACATATTAAGTTTAGTCATCATTACCGCTCAGATTGTTGGAATAGCGGGTTTTCTCATTTTAGAAAGAGTTCTTAATAGCTATTGGTTTTTGTACCCTACATTAGAATACGGTCAGATTTCTGTCATTTAGTGGTCATTGTCACGATCTACATGTTGATCACATACCACACTAGATCGTTTAATAGTTAGTTTGTTTCTTTATTTCCTTTGTTTATCTTCTTTGTTCTCCAGATTGCTACTATACCTAATCGGGAAGGGAGATTGGTTGCTTGCAGAGATCCTCTTACTATAAGAACCTCCAGGATCTCTCTCTCTCCCTCTCTCTCCCTCTCTTCCCCATCTTTGCCTTTTTAGTTAGAATGCACTCTTTCTTCTTGATTGACCTGGCATGTAACAGTCATTGGTTTACACCGTGATACACTATGGTACCTAAGGCAACACCTCACTGTGAAATACAACCCCGCAGGCGACCCTCTATGACCTGTAGCGACCATCGGAGGCATAAATTTCTAGCGCTTAGCCTAATATTATATTCCGTCAATTTTACAGCTATTTTTCTTAGCCATCTACAGGAGAAACGTGGAAAGGTGAAACTTGAACGTCCCACAATATTACCTAGGTATATAAAGTGCTTAACCTACACTAATAAGAGAGTTCAAGTCCAGATAATCTATTTTTAAGGCAGAAATCTGGGATATATCTTGACACACTCTCTAGGAATCAAGATATCATGTAAAATGTCCCATATTAATCAAAATGAGTAAGATTATGATTCGACAATTTCCCCGGAACCATATCGAAGACATAGCCTTCATATGATTAACTTCGCCAGAAGCCCGGTTGCATCGTCTCGTCATAGAAATAGTCAATCATCTGAGGTGGCCGAAGATATTCATCATGCCATAAAGCCATGTGAGTCCACGCAAACCGGTCATACATTGAAACGTAGTCCGCGACAGACATGTACATCCAGCCAACATCCTCTTGCTCCTCATCCGTCGTCCCATCATGCCACTCGGAAGCAATTTCGTAGTTTCTTTCCTCGGGGCTCAAATTCCCCCATTGCTTATACATAATCTTCACAACAGGATAGTCCATATGGTCCAAAGACTCCAAGCAGATATCATCAACAAAGAGAGCCAAGTTGAACCGTGCCCCAAAACCGTATTCAGGCCCGGGGAGCTCCCTTTTCTTCTCGAAATGCGATTCAAGAATCCGCTTTAATGTTGCAGGCGTGTCAACCACTTTTGGTAATTGTTCTGCCACCCAGCCATGGAAATGATCGCGCACCTCATGTGAAGTTGCGCCGTCGAACTCCGGCTCGTCATGGATGACGAGGTCATGGGACTCTAAGAGCTCGGTTCTCCCCTTTCCAGGTGGCAAGGAGCGTTCAATGGATTTTTGCACGCGTTGCTGAATGAGCTGGAGCATTTTGTGCCACGCATTGTTGTCTGTGAACGAGCATCGATAAATGCAAAAGCCCCATGGAAGATTTGGTTTTCTCTGAAAATCCGATCGTGTCATTTTGATTCCCTCCAATGGGATCTCTCCCCTGATATTGGGCCTGTAGTTGACATTTTGCAGATGATTTGATGAAAAGGCCGGCGGAACGAGTTGATAACTCGCATTCTGAAGAGCAGCATTGATATGTCAATGGGGAGTCATGCCAGGAAGGATATCTCTAACTGGAAGATTTGGACGAATTTGATATTCTTGACAGACAAGAGAATGAGGCGAGAAGCAGAAGAGTAATATAGGCCACATCACATGACGAGAAATTCCCCCTATGATCTGAATGAATTGAATGTATTTGTCTTCCAATACCTGAGATTGGGGCTCAAAACTTGCATTAAAGAGAACCCATCGTATCATTCAACAATAGTAAACTCGACAAAATTAGACGAAGGGATCATTATGAAAGGCCTTCCATCATTATCATCGGGGTCGACGACATAATCTTGCAGCCAACATGGCAATTTCACTACTGTATTTGCATGCTCTTTGAAATCACCCCAAACCCACCAGTCGACGCAGCCACCACAGTACTGGTAACGATATGTGTCGCCGACCACTGTATCGGGATGCAAGTGGAAATCTTCAAGTTGAAGAGTTTTGACAAAAGATTCTCCGGGTTTAAGGCCGCGGAAATACTCGGAATCCGTGACGTTGATCTCAACATCCGGTTCATCTACAATCCTCCAGCCCGGATTTCTTTCGTTGTCATAATAGGTCTTCCACTGTGTAGAATCCCCGCTTGAATCTTTTGACGGATCGTAATCGGGGCAACGGCGTTGCAGTCGACAGTGACTATGACGAAAAGGATAATTGTGGATGATGATCGGCTTTGTGTCATCATTGATCGCCCCGTGGTCCTCATTCGTAAGACCATCATAGGTAATCTTCATTGTGATAGAGATTCCTTCTGTTCTGGACATTTCTGATGGACTTTCCAGAAACACACATATGCAAGGGGCTCCAGGACTGTGAAAGGTTTATCAGCCAGTATAAAGACGGGTATTGGGTTAGATAATTACGTACATTCGATCCGATTTCTCTATCAGAGAAGGCTCGTACGGTTCTGGCTCTGCAAGTTCTTCCACATCTACGCCGTAAAAAGAGCGAGAGGCCCCACCCGGGATGACAACAAGGGGTAGCCTGGAGTTATCCCCAATTTCTTGCTCCCAATGGTCGCGCAAGGTGCCCCAAGCCCACAAGGCATATTCAGCCCCAAGCCAAACTAGCTCATATCTCTCACCGACCACCATATGATCCAAAAAGGGGCTCATAGAGTTTATATTTCGACTGATAGTTTGTCCAGGAAGAAGTTCTTCTGTTTCAAATTCATATCCTGTGATCTTGACAGTCCGAGGAGGTGGCCGTCCAGGCGTTCCTTCGACCCTTTTTAGACCATCTGGTGTGTGTTGAAAGACTACGAAGCCGGAGGGACCCCATGCATCATATATGCTGCTCCAGCGAAAGATACAGGGCTTATCACAGTCATCCTCTGCCCGACGAATAGTGACAATAATTGCTAGTCTCGGGTTCGAGAGACACACAACTGGGGGCATCGACTCAATCTCCATTGAAAGTCTGGGCGTGTTTGGACTGGGATATTTGTTAGGTTGGAACAATGGCCAGGGGGAAAGGTGGTTGAATCTCACGGTCTATCATGTTCAAAAAATCTCATGTGAGATTTGAGTTCAGGATCCATGGCAGCTGTAAGACAAAGTATCGGCGAGAATAGAATAGGTAGATATAAGCAGGGAAAGAAAAGGATAGCATAAAAAAGAAAGAGAGAGAGAGAGAGAGAGGCCTTTGAACTAGCGGTTGAGGTGGCGTACCCAGGAGCATAGCAATTTAGGTCTTCGGAGCTTTGAAGCTTCCGGTAGTCGGACGTACTAGTATTCACTCCGTACTGAAAGATTCACGATACACTGTATCATAGGACTTGAAAACGGTCAGCTTAAGGCCAATATCAGGCCAAATTGAGGCCCCGAGGCCTCAATGCATTACATTAGGGCCGAAAGTAACCCTGGCCGCTATGCCTTTGCGTGCATAAAATGTCAAATTATAAATTGTTTATGAATATCCTTGGATTTAAAATAGCAGATCGTATTTACTGATGGAAAATGGCACAAGAAAAGGAGTTAATGACATCCCAATAGAGCATATCACTGTAAAGGATCTATGTGACCTGAAAGTCAAAGCCCTAACTATGGTGAGATACATACACATAACGTATCACCCCAGAAGCGGCTGTCTTTCCTCGTCCTCTGCACGCCGTATCTGCTGCAAAGACAACCACAGCAAGAAGCCTTGCCCCAGAGCAAAGAATGCATCGTCGACAGCGACAAACCCAACCATGTGGTACCATGAATTGACAACCATCATGATTGGGTGTTCACCATCTAGATATAGATCCCATGGAACAGAGACTCTTGGGACCCAGGAAATGGCTGAGAGCATGAAAGCAACTGCCTGAAACTTTAGTCCAGTCAGACTCTGAGTTTGTAACGGCATGCAGGCTTGTTGGAATATTCCTATGCCAAGTGGTATGGTCGTAAGATATGGCAGAAGTATGACGGCATGAAGGCCCTGGAAGAGCGCAAGTGGATCCCGCTCAATCTTGGGGCAGTTCGGATAGTGTGGAGGACAGAATATATCAGAAACTGCATCTGCCATAACAGGGACTATGGATACAATGAGAAAGCAGAAATAAAACACTACTGTCAAAGCCTTCCTAAGGCGACTAGTGGGTCTGTAGTAGAGGTTGAGCCCCAACCTAGACATTTTGGTCAGTCTCTGGTCGCTATATGATCACTAGGAAGTGCGATGTATCGAACTCACAGGATATTCCACAATGCCCACACGCCTAGAACTTGAAAAAAATTAACCCAGTCAAGTGCATTACGTGGATGGTGCGTCCAGTAACCTGTCTCAACAGGGAAATTGATAGTGTAATAGAAAACAAAGAGTAAATGCTCCGTGGAACAAACGACATTGAAAAGTAGGTAGAACAATGAAATGTCTCCAGTGCCCTTGTCTAGCCAAGCCTGACGTATACACGGAGCGAAGGAGGCAAATACCAAAATAAGGATAATGCTATTTGCTTGTTAGGGTCTCTGGAAAAATCCGTGGTTCTAGTTCCACATGCGCAGAGAGGAATACTCACAAGCTGACAATAGCTAGCATCATACTGTGCGACTAAATATTAGGACTCGGGGGGATAAGGTGAATGAATGGAATATATTGAAAGAAAGGGGACATGAAAAGTGAAGGGAAGCGCAGAACGAGGTGCCAAAAGGAAGTCAACCAACTAGGAATTCGGACAAAGAGCTGATTATTCCGTACGGAGCATTCTCTAACGAGATAAAGATTCTCATTTCTTTTTCCAACGGCCTCATCTCGAACGGCAGTGTTGTACTCCGGCCTCCGTATGGACTACCGATTATGGTATGTAACCCGTTGCCAAGACATACTAGCAAGATTCAAAGGCGCCTAAACGTTGCATTCGCCTCATCGGTAATAGAGCTAAGCAAGTGGCTCAGAGATTTATCATGAGCTTGGCCTAACTAATATTTAGTCTAATCCAATTCTCTATTAGGGCCACTCCATCGAGCGGGGCCTACAATACACAACACGGCAAAAAAAAGTTCGGTTAGAAAATCACCGTCTCCATTTGCCAAGATCTGCTAGTTCAGTAGCTCAGTAAAGGGACTAGGGACTAATTTATCCCACTATCGCCGGGCACGATATACATAATTAATAAACATCCGATATGGAGTATAGAGATAATAATGAGTTATCAAGCCCCCCCAAGATCTATTAGATGCTAATAGAAAAATTGAAAATTCTGAACCTTTAATTGTGATAACATGAGCTTGATTCACCGCAGAGAGGCATAAGCAGGGAACATTATTAGCAGGAGTCCTGTGGACCTTGTATCAGCACTAGTCGGAAAACTGTCGCGAGTGCTCAAAAGGACAATAATGTCGAGCCTCCGCCAAGCGAGAATCTTATAGACATCCACTTAGCGTACAAATTGTTCTCTTCTCTTTCTTCGCCCAGGCACCTAAAACGGTCAAGTCTATGGTGTCCCAATCTAAGACAAGACTACGGAGTACATATTGAAGAGGGGAACGCTCAAGGCAGTACACTCTGTAGTATACGGGTCGATTCAGCAGTCGTAACTAAGCTTCATACCTTCCAGAGCGCACAAGGCAACCCGGGATAGCAAACCAAAATCAAGCAAGAAAGGCGTAGGAGTGTGTTTCTGCCAATACGCAAACTATCTACTACTCGTAACCTTTGAAACACCAAGGGCTTACATGGCTTATTCACTTGTATAAGCGATCGTAAAGGCGGAGGCGCAAAGTAGCGGAAGAATCCCTCCCCTACCTATTACAATATGTACAACATATGGATATGGACACTCGTTCTTAGCGACTAAGCAATCAGGGCTAGGCGGCGCAAGGACTGCGCCGGCATCAACCGAAGTGGGCCGCTAAACTGTCTCGAGCGAGTTCCTCCTAAACTTATGGCCCCTGCCCAAGAACACCCATGGTCCGCTGATTACTGTCAGGGGCCCCGAATGGTGGCAACTCATGAGAATATCTCTCATGATTTGCCCCGTCGGTACTCACATAGCTGTTGAGATATCACGATTTCACAGAATAATTCGACAGAGATGTATTCAGTATGCCGTTACACCTACGCGAAGACAGGCAATGCCACTAGCTGTATCGAATCTTGCAATAAACAGTAAATTTTAGATGTAGATGTCATTTCGCGAGTGTACTAGGTTGCTCGCCTTCATCGTCTGGTACCTGTGTATTAATCGTATCCAAAGAATTAGGGCTCCCCGAAACTACTTGACGCTAGAATGAATGTTACAACCTAGTCCAATTTCGAAACTACTAGAGATAATAACTGATATACTATAATTTCCACTTCATATCTCGGGTACCGGAATGTGAGCGAGGCTATAGCTCTTTACGGAAAAGTAGACTTCTGTGGTGGAAATTTTCACCTGTTAAATGTCCTGCCCCGGTGGTGTGAGGCGATAGGGGCTTGATTGAAAGATTATAAAAGGACTGTAGGTGTCTAGCAGCGGAGTTTCTCATCAATTTTCCCTCCGCCCACCATTGCGAGAATGAATTGGTTTGCATGGCTTGCCATGGTGGTGACCTTTCAGGTCATCCGCCAGGCGGATGCAAAAGCTGTGTTTGCCCATTTTATGGTATGTACCTCCACTCTAGATGGTATTATCTCAATGTCAAAGAACGATATTAAAAATATTCAAGGTCACAAACTCCGAGAACTATACTGCTTCTGACTGGCAGTCGGACTTCAAGTTGGCCCAGGATGCCCATATCGATGCATTCGCCCTCAACATGGCATGGGAAGACAAGACCAATGACGCTTCCGTGGCCATGGCCTTCACTGCTGCCGAAGCGAAAGGATTCAGGCTATTTTTCTCATTCGACTATGCTGGCAATGGGCCATGGGACCAAGATGTTGTCACCAGCATGATCCAAAAATACAGTTCCAGCTCTTCATACTTCCAGTATGACGGGAAGCCTTTTGTGTCTACTTTTGAAGGACCTGGCAATGCAGATGACTGGGTGACAATCAAAGCAAAAACAAATTGCTTCTTCGTGCCAGACTGGTCTTCTGTCGGTGCCAAGCCGGCCGTGGCATTGGCAAATGGAGTTGCCGACGGATTATTCAGCTGGTCTGCATGGCCATGGGGAAATCAAACCATGGATACCTATACCGATGCCTCCTATATCCAATATCTGGAGGGGAAGCCATACATGATGGCCATTTCTCCTTGGTTTTACACCAATTTGCCAGGATACAACAAGAACTGGCTTTGGAACAGTGGTAGCCTCTGGCATGACCGCTGGCAAGAGCTTTACGCTCTTGATCCAATGCCGGAGTTTGTTGAAATCATCTCTTGGAATGATTACGGGGAATCTCATTACATTGGCCCGATTCGCAAGAACGCTCTGGCTGCCCTTGATATCGGTGAAGCTCCATTCGACTTCGTGACAGGCTACCCCCACGATGGATGGCGTGATATGCTTCCTTTCTTGATTGATTTGTACAAGACTGGAAAGGCCTCGATGGGCAACGATCTAGCTACTTTTTGGTATGCTCCTAATCCGCTAGACTACTGCAACGGTGGGGGAACAACACTCAATACCGCTTCTCAGCTACAGATTGAATACAACCCAAAGGAAACATTGGAAGCTCGAATTTGGGTTATGTCATTATTCAGCAGCGGCAATGCAGCAGTGCTCGTCAACGGTGAATCTGTGAAGTGGGACTACATACCCGATAGCTCGGCGGGAGCTGCTATCCGGTTTGGGAGCGTAGCTGCACCAATCGGAGCGGTTCAAATCATTTTAGTTGTTGGTGACACAATGGGAAAAAGTCCCAAGACCATTGACATTACCACATCATGTGATGGGGGCTTCAACAACTTCAATGCCTGGGTGGGAAGCGTTGGGGGAGGGAGTCCCTATGGTGACCTCTACTCTACTTCATTCGACATAAAAGACCAGAAGTGCGTCCAAGGGAAGGGCGCCTACGATTTCAATGGCCTGTGCAACTTTACCTGCTCTTACGGGTATTGCCCTGTCGGTGCATGCACCTGCGAGCAGATGGATGTTCCCCTCACCAAGCCCAATGCGACGGGTACAATAGGGTTTCCAGCAGAAGGGAAAGATGCCAATTATGTCGGGCTCTGCAGCTTTGCCTGCAACTACGGCTACTGTCCTTCCGCGATGTGTGACAAAACTGAACATGCTATGCCGATTCCTACAGTTTCGGACTTCCTCCCTCCGGCCTGTGTTGCTGGCACTGGTGAGGGTAGTGTCGCCGGGCTATGTTCGTACGCGTGCAACTTTGGGTACTGTCCTATCAACCTTTGTTCATGCACAAAGACAGGGCCTCTCATCCAGCCGCCCGCGCAGACAGAGGGTGCTGGTCAGGCAGGTCCCGGCAATTCGAAAATTTATGACAATTTGTGTGATTTTACCTGTAGCCGGGGTTATTGTCCATCTGGAATCTGCATATCGAAAGACGGCATATCAATTGCAAACATGAACTATCGCTACATTAATTCAGATGCTTCAAAATGTACAGACGCGAATAAGAAGGTGATTGAACTCGAACTCCAGTACGCAGTGGAGATGGCACAGGTGTCTGCCTCCAATCTCGAGACCGGTGTTTATCTTGACACTTTCTTCAATGGCCAAGGTGATACCAAATTTATATCCGACACCAAGAAGACGTTCCAACGAATTGCAAGCCTTCTCGCTGGCAATGATCCAGATTTCCCCCTGTCTCTGGCCTGTGACCCAAAATTGGCAACAGATATGTGCATTGAAGGTTATGTTGCTTATATGAACAACAAAAACAAGCTCTTGACCTTCTGCGCACCCTTTTTCAAAGATCCCATACTTAATTCCAAGAAGCCCCAAATTTGGCCCACCGAAGACGTGCTGGAAGACAAGTCGGTGGATCTTCGCAAGGCTTCCAGAGCAAGGTCTGCCGTTCTTGTACATGAAGCCACACACACAAAGTACGGGATGCTTGATAAACCATTGTAAGTCACTTCAATGATCTTTTCATTGTTCAAACTAATTCTCCGGAAGTACCCGTGACATCGCATACGGCTTCATCAGTTGCTGGAAGCTCGCCCGTGGCACCTTCGATCGTGGATGTTGGCTAGAGGAAGTAAGAAAAGCCAAGGAAGAAGCCGAGAAAGGGAAGCCACCTAAGCCACCCAAGCCAGGCAAGCCAAAGAAAACACCCACTGTTGAATGCCCTGATTCTGGACCAGATGGGAAAGCTATTGAAGGTAAATGCGATCCGGCGTTTGCCAGGAAAAACGCAGAGAATTATCAATTATTGGCAGCAGGTGTCTATTTCACACAGAAAACTCGCCGCGCAATTCCTCTGCCGGCACTCCCCGCTTCCACAAGTGCAACTGAGTGTGTTCTAGCCGACGACTTTATCCAGTGGGATAATGTTAACGAAGATATTCCCGATGTCACCGGCCAGGCACATTTCGGAGACTCTTTCGCCGCAGGAATGGGCACCGGAAAAACACCTACGGCGCAAAAATGCCGAGTTGGATCAAATAATTTCGGCCAACTGCTACACGATTCGTTCGTTGACGGCTTTGATTACCAAAATCTAGCTTGTTCTGGAGACACTGTCGCCGGGCTTTACGACAAGCTTCACGGGTGGCAGAACCCGGCAGTGGACAGCTTGGCCACTATGACGATCGGCGGGAACGACTTGGAATTCTCGAATATTGTCAAGCATTGCCTCCTGAGATATTACAACTCCCCACTTGGTTGGGATGCTGCGTGGTGTTCTCGCTACAAAAGCGCCGCCAAGAAGCTCCTGGCCGATACTGGCGCAGACGGGCTGCAGTATAAATTCACCTCTATTTACCTTCGGATTATTGGCTGGACCCAACAAAATCCTGTAGGTAAATTTTTGTCCTGATTCACGTGGCTGTGCTGACCTGTTGTAGGATTTCAATCTTTACATCGCTGGATATCCACAATTTTTCAATGCGGATACAACACAATGCAATGATATCTCGTTTCGCTACTGGGGATGGGATAAAATAGATCGTACGGACGTTTGGCTGACAACCTCCCTGAGGACTGAGATGAATGACCTGGTGAAATCCCTCAACAAAGTCATCGAAGCCGCGGTCCTTGACGCAAACAAACTGGTCGGCAGAAATGTCACTCACTTTGTCGACGTGGATCCCCGTTTTGAGGGTCACCGCTGGTGTGAGCCGGGTGTGATAGAACCAGATCCGAGTCACATGAGCACTGCCTTTTTCCTCAGCGGGTGGCCGGATATTGAAGAGGGGGCCACGGTTGCGGCAGCGGTTGACGATAGCGCGGAGTTGAGCGTCCTGCAAACAAGTGGCAGTCTCCCACTCCCCGATGGAAACACATGCAACGCAACCCTCGGTGTCGATCCCGATCCTGTCGACGTCTACTGGTGTGATCTCGCGTCAGCAGTTGTGTCCGACCCGGGTGGAGATATCGCGAAGCAAGTTGCACTCGCAAATACAGCGCTTGCCAGCGGCGACTTTACCGCTCAAGATGTGTCGTGGTTTTTGCCAACTCGGCAAATCAAAGCCTTCCATCCGCGAAGTATCGGTATGGCTTTCTACCGCGATGCCATTCTCGCTGTAAGGCAGCAGGTGGAGTACGGCTATTGATGGGTGTTTGAGCTGTTTTTTTCCTTCTAGCATGTCCATATAGATCTCTATTCTCCTACGATCCCCTCCTTCTCCGGAACTGTGGCATGTGGCCGTTGAAGATATTAGTAATGTATCAAAAAAGTCCAATTGTTTTAACTTTCTTCTGTTCCCTGATTATTTTCATAATGGTTGTACTACTGGCTTAATGATGCTCAAGCCCGCTGAGTGCGAAAGGGGAAAAGCAACAATGCCAGCTCTTGCGCCAGAGTGCCCAGGTGATTCCTATGTATCCAAGAATCCACCAATTTTTGCATGACATAAGATATAGGTGAAGCGTGAGTCTTTCTAAGCTGAGAAATTGACGTGCAAAGAATTAGAGATAAGCAAAAGTGACTAGAAAGGCACCAGAAAAAGCGCTCGATCTGCAGACGTCCAGCAGCCTCTGGAAGGATCTAACAGAGTTTTGCCATCTTGCTTGCCAACCTGAATCTAATCTGAGTTTCCTAACACATCCCGCTGTCCATCAACACCTACTCCAGTATTGTCTGACTTTGGAATTGACTCCCCCGATTTAGCTTTCGTGCGAGAGCAGGGAATTTTGATTTTCCTAGTCTCCATCTCAGCATCCGTAGCAGTTTGCTTAATTTCCACAGCGTCGGTTGGCCTTAGAGCCTTGCCACCCCTGTCCTCAAGAGGTAAAACATTAATGAAGTAACGGAGATCGGATAGCTTGGGTAGAGTTTGAGGCAAGTCTGAGTTCTCTCTTTCTTTGATAAATCCAAGGCAGAGGTCTTCAAGAAAAGGCCGTGGAACTTCTTGTCTTTTTCCAAAGCCCTTTGTGGTCGACCTTTGCACCCATATATCCACCGCCAAGAGACGCATTGGGGATTGAGGTAGGGTGTGAGAGTAGATGTAATCGATTGTGTCCACACCAAGAATGCCTAGCGATTCGTCGACCCTTTTTTTACAGACTAGCATCACCTGATTCTGCAGGTCTATCATTTCGAAATTACCTGCAAGAATCCAAAGTCGCACGAGAAAGTCTAGTTTCTCACCCGCAATCAAATCAATGGAATCGTTACCACGATACATCCACAGAATGATTTGAGCGAAAATTTGGGGATCGTCATCCGGAAAGGAAATCACCTGCTCCGTAAGAGGTTGGTCGAAGCGGCGTTGAAACAGGTTATCGAAATAGGGCGAGCAATTACATAATAGCTCTATATGGACGTCAAAGGGGGTTTCTGTTTCTCCCACATCGATCTTCACAATACCGCCACTGAGGTCGCTGTTCAATTTGGTCAGTACGGGAGGGCGAGGTTGTTATGAAGAGCCCACATACGCTTTAAGTAGATGGCTTTTCATCGCAATCGTTTCTCAATGATCCTCTATGTCCGTTGTTATTCCGACACAAGTAACCCCCAAAAGATGTACACAAAGTCAAATCGTATATCGAGGGACGCTTTTGCAACAGTAGCGCCGAGACACAGATGCTCCCAGTCAATACATTTCTAAGCGACTATTTGGCGCTAAGTTATCCACGAGTACCCCCCACTTTGGAGAAAACATCCCGAGATATCTACGGAGTACTCTGTACAACATCAGTCCTTGATTCATCCGAGTAGATCCTCACCATCTGAGCTAAAACATCCCAATAACCCGTGTCCTACCATCGTGAAACAATGTGTAACGAAGGTAGCAAAGCTTCATAGTCTCTAGCAAATCACGGTACTTTGTCGTCGGGTACTCTTGAACGCTTAGCGACTTTGGCCCCCACGTGTGATTGTACGATGCTCCCGTAAGAGCGCTAATGCTTGCTGTTCAATTGGTTTTTTGACTTTGTGATGAAATAAAAATTAAAATCCACTTTCGGAGCGATCATTTCCAGGATCGTACTAGCTCTCAGAGAGATCCTCGATACTGCACCGTCTGGACAGAGAGCCGGAGCCATGCGGTGCCTAGAATTGCTGGACAGGGGTGACCGATTTACATTTATGTCTGTCCCCCCTCGGCTTGCGTTGCTATGATTTCAATTCACCTCCTTCATTGACTAAATCCAATTGCTTCCCACTGGAACATCTTGTGACTATGGGCGAAGCATTCCCGCAGTATCAGAATGGATATGGAAATCCTCAGGGATTGGGGTATATCAGCTCGGTTCTGGATTCATGTACCCAGCTGGACGAAATTGTTGGTCGTGGGCGGAGCATCGTACTTGATGGACAGTCGCTAGACTTGGGTTCAGTCGTCGCGGTCAGCTTGTATGTGCATGTATTCCACCGTCTTCTTCCCGTGAGACAGGTAACCGAATCGAGCACTAACGATATGACGAAGGCGCAAGATTGTGGCCGACATCACTGATAGCGAAAATGTGCTATCTCGAATGGAACGCAGTGTAGATCTACTCGCAGAAAAGCTTGGGAACGGGGAAGTGATATATGGAGTGACTACTGGATTTGGAGGGAGTGCCGACACTCGTACCAACAACTATGCCGCCCTCCAGCAGGCATTGATCCAGCATCACCATTCTGCCGTGGTTCTGCCTGGTGACCGAGGGTCCGCAGCAGGCTCAACGCGCCTGCAAAGTTTGAAAAGCCATGCAATGCCTATTCCCATCGTGAGGGCAGCTATGTTAATTCGATGCAATTCCTTGCTGCGAGCACATTCGGCCGTTCGCATTCAGGTTGTTCAAAATATTCTTGCCCTTCTCGCTCACGATATGACACCAGTCGTACCGCTGAGAGGAAGCATTTCCGCTTGCGGGGATCTCACACCTTTGGCCTACATCTGCGGGGCGATAGAAGGGAATCCTGACATAGCAATGAATTGCGGGGAGGGCCAGAACCATCGAATCATTCCCGCCAGCCAGGCGCTCCAAGAAGCAGGGCTGACCCCGATTGAATTTGGGCCAAAGGAAGGCCTGGGTCTTCTGAATGGAACTGCATTCAGTTGCGGTGCAGCTACTCTAGTTTTGTATGAGGCAAATCAGCTGGTCATTTTGTCGCAATTGCTCACCGCAATGGGGACAGAGGCTTTGCTGGGATCGCGATACAACTATCATCCGTTCATTGCCGAGGCTCGACCTCACCCAGGCCAACTAGAGTCAGCCGCGTTTATCTTCGAGTGTCTAGCTAATTCTAAGTTGGTGCGTGGTGCGGATCCCGACGGGGAAGGCTTAGCGCAAGACCGGTATGCATTGCGCACATCGACGCAGTGGATTGGTCCACAGCTAGAGAACCTCGCACTTGCACTTGAACAAGTCCAGACGGAACTGAACTCTACCACGGACAACCCACTCCTGGATCTTGCTGATGAGCGGGTTCACCACGGAGGAAACTTCCAAGCAGCATCGATAACATCGGCAATGGAGAAGACTATGGGCGCGATGCAGATGTTAGGTAAAATGATTTTCTCGCAGTGCTCCGAGATCCTCAACCCGATGCTTAATAAAGGACTCCCACCAAATCTCAGCGCTGATGATCCGAGTCTTTCGTTTGCATTCAAAGGTGTTGATATCAATATGGCTTCATATATGTCGGAACTAGGATATCTCAACCACCCGGTCAGCAACCATGTGCAGTCCGCAGAGATGCACAATCAAAGTCTGAACTCTCTCGCTTTGATTACAGCTCGTTATGCAGGCGACACTGTCGAGATCCTGGCGTTGATGTCCGCGACATACCTATACGTTCTGTGCCAGGCTCTAGACCTTCGTGCTATGCATCTTGAGTTTGTATCTCAAGCCCGCAAGGAGGTAGATCATGCAAACGCGGAGCTGTTTCAGCCGAGCGGCGCGGGTGCCCAGATCTCACAGAGCCAAGAAATCATCTGGAAAGAACTCATGGGCCACTGGGAAAAAAACAGCACCAGCGATCTGCACAAACGGAGCCAAGTCACTGCCACTGATTCTTTGGGTGTCGTCCTAGATCTTCTGGGCGACCAGGTCGTTGGAAAGGAACTTCGACAATGGAAGAGTAACGTTGCCAATGTGTTGAAAACGAAGTACGAAGAGAACCGGAAACTTTTCTTCGTCAGCAAGTCGGCTGCACCGTATCTCTGTAATTCATCAAAGAAGCTGTATGGATTCGTGCGTCAGACCCTTGGAGTGGCCATGCATCGCGGTCTGGTGGATCATCCGACCTATGACTCCGGCGAAAAAATCGTCAAAGAATCGATCGGATCGAATATCGGCAAGATATATGCGGCTTTACGAGCGGGCGAGTTTCGTGAGGTTATTCTGAGCTGCTGTGACATTGCTCGGTAAGGGGAGGAGTTTCAGGGGACTGTCACATGTCATTTGTTGGTTGACTATGTGGGATCATCACGAAGAGAAATGAAATTCTTATTTTCATCTCAAGAGGGTTACAATACATCTGATTTTGATAAAATTCTTCTTGCTTAGTTGATATCTTGAATTTATTTGATAGATTTCCCGATGACACTGTCTTGGATTCTTCGCACATTAGCCTTCCCAGGTCACCTCCATAATGGCGAGGTACGATTTAGGTGGCTGAAATATTCTGGTAACATTAAATCGTGAGTCTGTATCTCTGAAAAGAGTTTTCCAATCATCTGGTGTACGCTCTTGGGCATTCTGCAAACCGAGCATGTACAAATCATAGTCCCTGGTTTATTTCATCAGTAAATAGTCCTATAACCCCAATGAATATAAAGCTCTTACCGTGCCTCACGCTCTTTCAAGTAATGCGCCTCTCCATAGCCCGGAATGATACGATCGTTGAGAACCACCTTGGCCCCAGGCTTCAAAGCCGGGATCAAAGCCTGCAGAATTTTCCGCGCATACTTATTGGACCAATCATGCAGTACATGACGCAACAAATAAACGTCAGCGCCATGTACCGGTTGGGGTTGGAAGAAGTCATGGGCCTGGAAGCGGATACGATCCTGGAGGTCAGCCGGCAAGGTTTCTTCTGCCTGAGAAATCACCTCGGGCCGATCTTGTACAATGCACTGAATTGTGGGACAGTGATCTGCGAGTGCCCGGGCGATATGGCCAATGCCGCCGCCTACATCGACAACGGTGATATCTGCAGATCCGAACGGGAAGTGATCTACCAGATACCGCGGGGAATAGCCTGGTAGCTGAGCGAGCCAACTCATGGCTGTAGCAAAGACCTTCGCACGTTCAGGCATGTTGGCGAGGGCTTGGAAGACCGGGAGATCAGTGCCATTTTGTATATTCCATCCCTGCTGCTATTAGCCAACTTGCATTGTGAATAGTCACTGGAATGATTACGCTATGTTGTGGCTCTTCAGAGTCGTTGTGTTGCGATACGGCTTCGGCAATCTAGGGAGATCAGCGTTTGAACAGGAGCTTGGTAGAGTTGTCGCATACTTTAAGGGCACCAGGCATGGTCTCGCCGAGTCCGACCAGCATCCAAGCACGCATACCCTCATTCTCCACCAGAACACGGGAGCCAGCTGTGTGGATGAAGAAATCAGGCTTTTCTTGGAAAAAGACATGATAGGTAGCGGCATGAGACATCAATCGGCGAACAATATTCTCATTGCAAGTCACCCGCTCAGCTAGATCTTTGATGGTGGTTCCCTCACTTGGAAAATTCTCAAAGATCTTTAGACGAACCAATGCCAATATACTCAAAGAAGGGTTACGCTAAAGAGGTTAGTCATTTCGAAGATGTCTGATTCCTGATTTCCTTCTACTCACCAATTCAGGGCTACCCAATAGTGAGGGATCGGTTAAGAGATCACGTAGCTCATCTAATAAGCCCAGTAGCTTCATGCGTGCGGCTAGGGCGTTTGAGTCCGGCGCATCGTTCTGCAGGACAGCGGGTAATCCATGCTCGAAAGAAGGCTCGGGGATACCCTGGGAAGACAAATCGCCCACCAGGCTGTGAACAACCTCCGAAATTTCGGTGGCGCGACTGGTCAGATTTGCGCGGTCCATTGAGAGCAATAGTGAGATGTGTTGGAGATTAGTTTGCGAATAGCGCTTTCGAACGGAAGCCACCACGTCTTAAGTGATAACACCTGCAGGTAGTATGTACGTCGGAAACCTAGAATCACATTTGCCCCCTGCTCACTTATACATATGTGGCATGATTTATTCGCAAACCTTGAGAGTGCTGGTCTCACTTGGCTTTCGGGGCCGGTTCCAGCCAAGCCCAGAACCCCTCTGTTCAAAACACGCCATTGCACGCCAGTTGCAACAAGGTAAAACAACGCTAAGGCCATTTTCTATGTTTGCCACGGATGATCTTCCAGAGCAGGGATTATACTAGAATGGTGGGGGCCGAAGGATTTTCACTGCATGGTCGCACCTGGTAGTTCCACGTTAGCCTTTCAAAAGAAAAAAACAAGAACTAGTGCTTACTATGACAAAGTATTGAAAAATCATTGTATTGAATACAGTACAGCATATTTACATTGCATTTAGCGTGACTATGAACCGAAATAAGAGAAGAAAAGGAGAGAAAGTCGAGTCTTAGGAGAAACTTGCAGGCTTAGCTAGCTTGCCTCCGTGATTCCTGTCAAAACTGAGAGAAGATGAGGCTTCTTCTTTGAGCTGACGTCCGAGCGAGCTCATTTCAACATCAAGTTGGTCATCGGGGTCCTTGCGCTGCTTATGAGAATTGATTGAGTAATACTGATCGCTCTTGAAGCGTGAGCCGCTTGAGGAAGAGTGCGCCTTGAGATTCGTGCATGCCTTAAAGAAGGAACGCACAAAGGGCAAAAGGCCGACCATCAAAACAAAATCGTTTTCGATACGATTCCAAATGCCGAGTTGGGCACAGAGGTCTGCTAAGCTTTAGCTTCAAGACTGCTGAGTATCAGTTGGAGAAGACACTCACAGATGAGCTCCACGGGAGGGGGATCGGCAAGCAAGAATGTCATATAGTAGAGCTTGACTACAGAAAAAGCGAAAGCTCTGCGTGGATTAGTTTTGAATTGAGTAGAGGAGATCATCTTACTTACACCAGCCCCAGGCCCATAAGTCCAATCGTACCGACTTTCTTCCAGCGGGCCATTTGCAGCTTCCAAACAACAATAGCTGGATATACGGAGAAGGCAATGTTGATGAACGAGGAGATGCCGCATGAGACGCAGGCGTAGGTGATCTGGGTCGAGCGAGGCCAGCACTTGGCTGTGGGATATTTCCAGGGATTCCATTGTGCGGCCACTGGGTTACACATCACCCAGGTTATTATAAAGCCGCCGACTGCCACTACATTAATTATCACACAAAGGCCCCAGATGGCAATCCGGAGCCAGAGTGCCGGTCGAAACAGGCGAACAAGTAGAATCGCGACGCAGACTTTCGGAAGTTCTATGCTCAAAAACGACCAATTGTTCATCATAATCGCCCAAAACGCAGCCTTGGGGACGGTGCCCGGTTGGTTATTGATGTCGAGATCTTTTGCGGCGTTCAGCGCTATCTGAAGAATGACAGCCTGCACGATAGCGAAGCTCCAGGAAAGGGCTAACATGAGATCTTCCCAATACGACCTTTGAGTTGTATGCCGTAACTGCGCAAATATGCGCATGAAGAATAGCACAGTACTGATGCCCGCGAACGGCCATGTTACCGCAGAGGCAACAATGGCAATGTGATCGATTTGCTCACCAGTAACCATCGTTGAGTTGGTCGGGGAGATGGCCTATCATGATAGGAATAAGTGAACTCTTTGTATTCTCTGTATTCTCAGATAGTCGAAGCGGAGGGGTTTTTCCTGCACTTTTGTGATTGATTTTCTTAGTCGACATGGGTACGGCTAAATGGCGTGCCTAGGCTGATGTCTTATGTGGCCCCCTGCAGGTGTCATCATGCAAGTAGGCAAGCGATGTAACCAACTTTGCTTCAGTGTACATCTTGGCCCCCTGAAGGCGTATTTATAAAAATCGAACCAATTGAACATCGACATACACAGATATCCGGCCTTACATATATGGGCCAATTCCCCCTTAGGGAATTGGGCCAGTGGGTCGAGTATGGACTAAATTTGAGTCTGTGATATTGAACGAATCCCAACTTAGTGTCAAATCCGGCGCTAATTGACTCCAACAATAGGTAGATGATAGTATAAGGCCAAAGAAGCCGATGCCGATGCCGCTGTATAAATCCCCGTTTCCCAAGATGGATGAATGGGCGCATAATCCTTCCATCAATTACCCCTTTCACATCTCATTACGTTTCTCATTTAAAGTCCCAACACCAAATATGGGTTCTGTCTCAAAGGCCAACATCAGATCTCTTCTAGATCAAGTAGGCGCTTTGTCCACCGGAATTGTTGCCTACCCCGAAGGCGACCGGACTCATCCGGTAACGATCAGCTATGCCGAACTGCGCAATCGAGCATTGCAGAGAGCGTCCTGGCTGAAGAGCCGTGCAGAATTCTGTCCCAGAAGTGTCATCCTTGTTCATTTCCAGCGTCATTTGGATAATATCACATGGTTCTGGGCCACTATCCTGGCTGGCAGTGTGCCAGCCCTATCTCCTCCTTTGGTTAGCACGAGCGAGGGTCGTAAAGCCCATTTCAAACATCTGCACAATATGTTGCAAGATCCTTTGCTGCTCAGTCGTCGGGATTTACTTGCAGACTCGTTCGGGGAGAACGAGGTCTTACGTACGGTAGCAGTGGAGGAATTTGAAGATGCTAACCTCAAAGAAACAGCGTTGGACAGTCCTACCTGCAGCCATGTCAATGGAAATGGCGATGTTCATGTCGGCGATAGTGATTTGGCTGTCCTCATGCTGACTTCTGGGAGCTCTGGCAATTGCAAGGCCGTTTGTTTGACACACGAGCAAATGTTTGCCTCGATTCGTGGAAAATTGGCGGTGATGCCAGTCAGCGATGGCAGTTCCGTGCTTAACTGGATTGGTTTAGATCACGTTGCCAGTCTGATGGAAACGCATCTTCTTGCTATGTATGCGGGAGTCGACCAGATCCATATACAGGCACCCGAGGTGCTCAGCAATCCACTGCTCTTCCTGCGGTTACTATCTAAGCACAAAGTCTCCATGACCTTCGCCCCGGACTTTTTCCTGCGCAAGCTTCTGGCAATGTTGGATACGATCTCCGAAGAGGCTAAGCAAGAATTTGACCTCAGCAAGCTACTCTATTTGGTTTCGGGCGGAGAGCCTAACAATGTCGATACTGGCTCACGAGTTACAAGCCACTTGCAAAGCCTAGGAGTTTCACCATCAAACCTCATCACCCCTGGTTTTGGTATGACCGAAATCTGTGCAGGAGCCATTTACAATCGCAACTTCCCTGATATCGATATCAAGGCGCAACGCGAAGCTGGTGCTCTTGGCTCCACAATTCCAGGGATCGAAATACGGATATCGCCCATTGACGCAAACGAGCCAAAAACTGAAACCCAGTCTAATGGCGTGAGCGGTGGCGCGGCCAATAACGCGGGTGTACTGGAAGTACGTGGACCTGTCGTATTCTCAAGCTACTTCAATAATGAAGAGGCTACCAAGGCCGCCTTCACGGAGGATGGATGGTTCCGGACGGGAGATCTTGGTACAATCGATGCCGAGGGCCAGCTAAAACTGGAAGGCCGACTCAAAGAGTTGATCAACATTAATTCTGTCAAATTCCTACCATATGAAATTGAAGGTGCTATTGAACAAGCACGTATTCCAGGAGTGACTCCCTCGTTTGTTGCATGTTTCTCCCATAAGGAAACCAGCACTAGCCCCGAGGAAATTTTTGTCGTATATCAACACGATTTTGCAAGTGATGATATTGAGGCCCGCATGTCGACGCTGCACACGCTGATGCGCACTGTCATTCTGTTTACATCCGCACGGCCACGAGTTCTACCCTTGCCACCTGGCATCCTGGAGAAGACGACTCTAGGAAAGCTCTCACGGCCGAAAATTCAAAATGCGTTGGCAGAAGGAAAATACAAGGATCAGGTACTCTTCAACGACCGGGTACTGCAAGAATACCAGGAGTCGCACTTCTCCGGGCCCAGTAATGATGATGAGCATAAAATTGTGGCGGTTTTCAAGGAAACACTCGGACTTGACAAGGAAGTTAATATTGATATGCCAATTTTAGACACTGGAATCACATCGGTGGATTTGATTCGACTGAAAAGAGCTGTTGAAGTTGATTTTGGGATTGAAGATATTCCCATGATCACCATCATGACCAACACAACCATTCGATCCTTAGCAGAGGCTGTCCAGAAGCTTAAGGCATCAGATCTCAGCAGTGTGTATCAGCCAGTTGTGACACTACAACCACATGGATCCAAGACGCCTTTGTGGCTATTCCATCCGGGAGTCGGCGAAATTCTAGTCTTCCTCGCCTTGGCTCAGCATTTCCCGGACCGACCCATCTACGCAATGCGACCCCGCGGTTTCAACCCAGGCGAGGAAACCTTCCAGGATCTCGCTGACCTCCATGCGACATACTACAATGCCCTAAAGCAAAAACAGCCTACTGGGCCTTATGCCTTAGCGGGATATTCCTATGGCGGAATGGTCGCATTTGAGCTCGCCAAGAAGCTTGAAGCAACTGGTGACGAAGTCAAGTTCATAGGTAGCTTTGACCTACCGCCATACATCAAGCATGTCATGAGCCGACTAGACTGGACAGGGTGTCTGTTACACGTTGCATTCTTCTGTGACCTCTTTTCAGAAGACCGTGCGGATGAATTGTCACCTGAAATACGCTCCTTGTCAAAGTCAGAGCAGCTGGCACGGGTGATGGCTGAAGCGAACCCAGTCCGTAGGGCCGAGTTGGGAATAACACTTTCATCACTGGATACCTGGACCGAAGTGACCTTCTCCCTTGCAAATATCGGTCGTAACTACGATCCATCCGGTACAGTTTCTTGTATGGACGTTTTCTTCTGTGATCCGTTGCGAGGCGTGGCAGCATCGAGGGAAGAGTATCGCTATACACAACTGAACCGTTGGGAGGAGTTTGTCAGTAATGATCTCAAGTTCCATGAGGTGGATGGCCAGCATTATACGATGATCTCCCCAGAACGTGTACCGAAGTTTCAACAGAAGTTGAAAAACGTGCTCTCTGCGAGGGGTCTGTAGCCACATAGTGACTACTTTGATTATATCTCATAACATATTGTCTCCTATCGAGCAAATTGAAGAGCTGTGCCGATCCCTTCGGTGTGAAATATAAACGCCAGTAATTTCATTTCGAGAAATGAGAAATCTTTCAACGAGACTCCGCGTATCATATTTAGATGCATCCCAAGGTTCTTGCAGGTGTTTTCATCCCGAGGTCGTGGCCCAGGTGTTCCATTTTGCTTACAAATAATGCTTACGTGCTACGTGCATTATCCGCCGTGGCCCGCAGAAGTGCTGCACCTCGGGACGTTCAATGGATAGAACTTGATTCTCTAACGTCACGTAATACGCTGTTCTGACACTCTGACCCCCGGAGGCAAAGTAGATCATCCAGTAAAGCTTGACTTGATTCATATGCCACGCCGTGTAGAATCAGACAGAGACTACGGAATACACTTTAAAGGAGAAAGCAGCGGAGCCATCTACAGGAGCGTGCTATAATGTGGAGTCTGGGACACGTTTCGGTACAGTCCCGAACAAAAATTGGGAAAATGGGCTCAAGCGCCAACCTGGGGACTCTGAGCTGTCTGATGTATCCCGACATTGCTTTCATGGCTCTAGACTGAGCAGTACTAGCCGACCGACTGAACGCAAAGCCTTACAACATATGCCTCGATTGAAAAGGGAAAAATACTACTAGATGAGTGAACTATGGGCCGCAGGACAAGTGATTTAATGATCGTCAACCTTGAGGTGCTTCGGTACTCAAAAGGAGTTTGCCGCAGAAATAAAGGTGAAGAAAATCCAGAGTGTGAGAGTTAGCAGAATTTGTGGAGTGAAGTTGGGGTTTTGAGTGATTTTAATTGGCAGGCACGGTAACGCAAAAGCGAGATCAATGCACAACGCTCGATACATCCTAAATTCTAATATCGAAGCTGATTTTTAAGAAACAGGGTAGAAACAGGCTTGTTAATTCTTGTTTCTTGCAAAATTTTCCTATCACATTTCTTTCAGGGTTCCATCATGGTTTCCACTCCCCACGAAGCGCCCTCACCTGAATCTCCATTGGTACCCACAGCCAGTGAGATTCCTGTTGATGGGCGCAGTCCAATTGCGATCGATAATTTTAGCGATGTAAGTAGACGCAACTGGCTTAACGTCATCCGGAATTCAACTCCGTTTTGTAGGACACCAACAGTCAATTCGATGATGATCTCTCCGATCTCACCTCCCTATCGGAGAGCGTATTTGAATTTGAGTATGAGAATGGTCGGCGATATTGCAGTAACCGCACAGTAAGTAGTCTTGCCCAGCCTGTGATTTTGGCACTAAATTGCCAAACCACTCACTGACCTATGGATGACTAGGGAAATTATATGTACTACTTCTACACTTTTCTCTGGAGGCTCTTGGCTAGAAAAACTAACCAAGTTAGGATGCCAAATGACGAGGAAGAGCAGGACCGAATGGATATAGTAAGGCGCCATCCCTAGGGCTGTCTATGTTTCCATGCTGAACTCTTCCTTCAGACACACCATATGTCGGTGAAGCAACACACTCCCGGTGAACGAGCGCTACTGACCAGAGCGATGCAGATGGCTAATGCTATTGGGAGGGGAACTCTACAATGCCCCGATAACTTCATCACCACAGAACATTCTGGACTTGGGAACCGGAACAGGGATCTGGGCTATGGATATTGCCGAGTGAGTTGAATACCTCGTCCTCCATTTTTGTATGCCAGCATGACTTACCCCAAATCCAAGGAAATTTCCTCACGCCCACGTCATTGGAAACGATATCAGCCCTATCCAGCCCAGTTGGGTGGCCCCAAATATCGAGTTCATCGTCGAGGACTTTGAAAGCGAATGGGATTATGAACGAAACCATTTTGATTTTATTCATGCACGATGTCTGGCAGGGTAGGGTCTCTCAATCCCATGTTTTACTGAAAGGAACACTCACGCACACCGAGCAGATGTGTGGCCGACTGGCCCGGGTTTATCGGCCGGATCTACGACCACGTCAAACCCGGCGGTTATTTTGAATCGCACGAGAGTGCCGTGTGGGCCCGGAGCGACGATGGCTCCCTGAAGAATAATTCAGCGCTCATGGAATGGCAACAGGCCCTCAACTTTGCCGGAGAGAAGATCGGCCGGGAGCTGAACATCTATCATAAGCTGAAGAACTGGATGATTGCGGCCGGTTTCAAGGATGTCAGCTTGAGGGTTTACACGCTGCCATTCTCGCCCTGGCCACGCGATCCCCATTTGAAAGCCCTCGGAAAGTACCAGGCAGTACAATTGCAGCAAGCCATCGATTCCTATTCGCTGCGCTTGTACACGCAGGTGCTGGGCTGGGGTTCGGATGCAGCCAAGATTCATAATGCTGTGGTCAAGCAGGAGCTGCGAGATAAGAGGCTACATGCGTATGTCCAAACGTACGACAAAGTCCACTCTCTATAATGGTCCAAGTACTCGTACTAACTATAAGCAGAGTCGCCGTCTATGGAAGAAAGCCTCTTGATCTCTAATATTGTGTGAGAAAGCTAGTCGACGGCCATTCAATCATGAAGAACAAGTTCTCGCGAAGCATCTGATGAATTTGGTTTCTATAGGTCTATTATGCAATAAAATAAATGCGGATTATGCGATTGGCATGGTGTAGTTTATCACATACTCCCGAAGTTGGTCCTGGGTGGACCCGTGGTAATGGAAACGGGACCTCGGGAGGATCCGAAGATGACTCAGCACGATAAAAATCCTCGAAAGCCCTAGAGAGCTCCATAATTAACAACTTCCCGCGAAGAATCCTCTATGAGGGTCTGGTGAGGCAATATTCACTAATTCACATGGCTTTCAATCGCCCACTACCCATCTCCAGGGCGTGGGAGCACCCTGATGCCTACGTTGAAGCTCTCCTCGGCTTCTCGACCACGTCGGTGCTCTTTATGAATTTGTGCGGTGGCGTGCATATGGTCGACTTCCTGACCCGTGAGCCCGACCTCTATACACAAACATTGCCAAAGGAATGGATATCTTTCTTTGAACAGCATGATGTTCAAGATATCATCCGTTTACTACTACGGGAAGACATTGAACACTTAGGAGGCGCCGCCGAGCCTTCCTTAGATCAACGCCGCGGTACTTGGAATGGAGGAGCCTTTCCTCCACAGACCCTCTTGGAATATATATCCAACGTCCGTTTACTGACACTTCAACGCGAAATGTGTCCCTCATCCCCAGAGAGAGTCGAATTGCCAAAGCAAGTTGCTATGCATATGAACCGAAAGAAAGTACACGAAGTTCAATGCTTTTCTCAACATGTTGCATCTTTATCAGAAACTGTCAATAAACACCGAGGTGAACCAGTCACTCATATTGTGGATTTTGGGTCTGGACAGAACTATCTTGGACGGACACTGGCCAGCTCGCCTTACTACAAGCATATCATCGCAATTGAGCGTAAGCATCAGTACATCAACGGTGCCAAGAGCATGGATGTCCGAGCCAAGTTGGCAAAGAATCCGAAGGCTCAAATTTCTCGCAAGACAAAATTTTCATGCGATGGATCCGATGGAACCTCGGAAGTGACTGTTTCTGAAACGACGGAGACCTCCCAACCACCGACAGAGGACTCGCAGGTCTCGGATGTCCCTCTCTTCGAGATGGGCAAGATCAGCCTTCAATCTGACGAACTAGCTGGATGTCCCGTCAAAATTCCACAAGAACAGCTGCCGGAGCCAGAGATCCAGACATGTGGTACTCTCAGCTACATTGAGCATGAAATCCAAGACGGCCACCTAGAGCCCATTATCGAGCATATTATCCAGCCATCTCCCACTGGAGCTTCAGATGATAAACGAAAACAAGATAACGATGCTAGGGTGATGGTAGTTTCCCTTCACTCTTGTGGAAACCTTGTTCACCATGGTCTACGATCCCTGACTCTAAATCCTTCGATTGTGGCCGTTGCTATGATTGGCTGTTGCTACAATTTGTTGACAGAACGCCTCGGTCCAACCACACATAACCTCCCTATTCTTCAATCCCTCCACCCTCGGCTAAAAGAGACTGGAACATCATACGATCCGCATGGGTTCCCTATGTCCAAATATTACGAGAATTACCGAAGCCCCGGGGCAACTACCGGCATGAAGCTTAACATCACAGCTCGTGCGCTGGCCGTGCAGGCTCCATACAATTGGGGCGTCAATGACAGTGAAGTATCCTTCACCCGTCATTTCTTTCGCGCTCTTCTCCAGCGGATCCTCGTTGATCGAGGTATTATTCCTAAACCCTCTGTGCCGGAGGACGGCCCATCGGACAGAATCTTTCCAGAAGCTAGATCTATTATATTAGGAGCATTGCCTAAAGCTGCCTTTAAGTCCTTTACTGCATATGTTCGTGCCGCGACGACCAAGATGAGCCGGGACTCGATATACGGCCCCCAGGTGCAGGAGAAGATCGCTACTCTGACCGATGAGGAGATTCAATGCTACGAGACTCAGTATCTCCATGCGAGGAAAAATATGAGTGTTGTGTGGAGCTTAATGGCGTTTAGTGCTCAGCTTGTCGAGGCTATCATTGTTGTGGATCGGTGGCAATTTCTTCGTGAACAAGACTTGGTCAAAGAATGCTGGGTTGAGCCGGTGTTTGACTACAGTGAGAGTCCACGAAACTTAGCGGTCATTGGACTCAAAAAGTGATGACTGGGAAGAAAGGCTTTTAAGGTGCGGAGAGTTTGAATGAATTGTACGCATATGGAAACTTGTTAGATACCATAGGCTTCCATGCATATAGATCAAACATGCATGATATGGCATCATATTTGGCAGTATAAATAGGATCTCAGTATCCTAAATCATACTTGCTTTCTCGTCCTTCTCTCTCTCAGTCTTACTTCTAGATAGAGAATATCATCATCTTCTCTGTCATAAAAACTCTGGGAAGGAGACATAGATTCATCATCAAGACCCCTGCCCGCAGCTCAACGTAGACAGCTAACTCTCCTGTAGAAGAAACAACCCAGGTTTCTGCCGCAATAGTGCTAGTCCTTTTCCACAACGTTCTGATTCCCAAAAATGACTTAACTTTGTAAACACCCCGTTTCAAGGTCTGAACGCGAGTCAGTTACTCTGCCTGCCCTTCTGAAGTAAGGAAAACTGCAGCTCCTTCCATTCGTCTCTCTCACTCGACAGGATGTCGAGTGAACAGCTCGTAAGTATTGATCCCCACTACCTATTTTTCCCCATCCAGATTCCCAATTCAGCAAGGCTTCAACCATGATTACCATCCTACCAATCACTAGGACATATTATTCGGATATTCGCTTATGGATAGAATAGCCCTCATTCTGCGATTTTTGTTGAAAGACCGGCCATTTAATGGCTGTGTGTAGTGTGGCCGCTGGTGTGGCCATGATGAGCATGACGGTGGCCTTGGCCCGGGTATGACCTATGCGCTGATTTCTCAAATAGAAGGGAAATACTCATTTGGATTTATTGATGCAAACCAGCATTCCCGATTCCCGAAAGTTTCATAGCCGCCCCCGCTCCGACAAGGCCAAGATTATTCGATCGAACTCTTCAGTCTATGATGACCTGAGTCTTCCCTTTCCCACTTCTATAGCCTGACTTTCACTCGGCTCTCACTTCACTTGACTCTCACTTACCCTTCACTATGTTGTGTCACTATATTGCAATACACAAATGTTAGCCAACACTTATAAGCAGAGAAAGCCGTTTCTCTGCTGTATAACGCCCTCAGACGCGATATGCTGGCATGTTTTGCTGCCTCCCCATTCCTGCTCGTGCCCTGTATATAACCCGACCGAACTGGTGAACTGGGTGAAGGAGTGATGTTGCGAGGGCCGGATTTGGAAGAGATGGCGTGCGCACATATAATTATAATCATGATACTCCTTGTAAATAAATGTCCAGGCCAATCGTATATATACCACGACCAAAAATATCATCATCCTTGTCATTGACTCCCACATCCATACATATCATTTCATGTTTTTTGGGCCCTAGTGGGCTTTATAGTAGGCCTAGAGCTCCACAAAGCCCATGGCTCAACAAATAGCCCACTGTGGGTAGGGCCGTGGGCCCCCATCGAACCCATTATTAGGTAGGCGCTGATAAAGCGAACTCTGTAATCGTTGTATTACGACCTTCCGCTGATCGTATAGATTTCAAATTCGAATTTTTAAGTATAGCAAATACCATAAATATATATTTTAATTTTAAACAGAATCTGATAGTTAGACTTCAAGATATAACCGAAAGTTGAATATTGATACTTTGACACTAAATATTTATTTAGATCTTATAGGGAGCATCACCACTTTCTAGTGAACCTCTATAATTTTAAAATCTTTTGATTGACATGTTTTCTGATGTTATTTTACGTGATATGAAGAGAATACTAGTTGTCAATTCTGAAACATTGAATTCGATTCAACATTACCTTAGGGAGTAGGGTAAGAAACAGACGTAAAACAGAGGTAATTTAATTTATCCTAAAAGGGGGGTTCAACTTTTAGATTTGTATTGTTTAGGTCCTAACGGGCCCCATTGAAGCCCAATGAGCCTTCACCCCGGGCCCAAAGCCCAGCCCATTTGCGGGTTGGGGTGGGCTGGGCTTTGGCTTTATGGGCTTTGCGGAGTTCTGACTAGGCCCATAGCCCACCGGAAGGCCTTCCTACCTATGCAGGCAAAGCAACATTGCCAGCGCACTTTTCAACAATCCTTCTTGGGCTCCCAAATACCGCGCAGATTTTCCATCTATCCAGCCCCTCAGCAGTTTGCTTATCCCAACGTGCATAACTAATCATTTCAACAATCCGACCTCACCACCTTCATCATGTCGCGCATTTCGCCGTATCTTTAGAACATTTCCGACTCACTTTTGGCCTCACAACTCTCGACAAGACACCGGTTGTAGACGAATCACACACTCAACTACATTTCGTGAGCTCAAGGATCCCGACATAAGCTTAAGCGGGAGCCACAGCGGGCCGCGGAGAGGGGCCGGGTATCCCGAACGGGAGCTAGAACGGGGCGCTAGAGTTAACCCTCTATCATCTTCATCATCCTGGCAGCTTCATAATTTCGAAATCAGAAGACTTTCAGCGAATTTCGATTTTTTCTTCTTAAAACGGACCATCCCTCCATCAATATAGAATGACACAAATTTTAGTGAACTATAGGCCCCTGCGGGGCTGGCTTCTTTACGAGTAGGAACCGAGTACGAAGGGCGGGATATTGATGAAGCAATATGACCTTTGCTGCTCACTCAGATTGGTGCCCCTTCCTATGGTTCCTTTTTCTATCCCAGTCAGCATATAATCCCAATCCATACCTTCTTTTTCCGGACTTGCTTTTTATACAAGTATTTCGGTCACATTCCGATACAATAGAAAGGTCATTACCAACAGTGCCGTGGAATCTTCGGGTCAAGTTCTAGCATCCTCTGGTGCCACAGATCTCAAATCCTTTTTTACTTCACTATCATTCCTGCTTACGCGCCAGAACTGGAAAATTGGTCAGAAAGTCCAGCCTGGGTCCACCACAACCCCATATTCCATCTAATATAGACCTCCGCAAAGCCCACAGCTCAACCCAGTAATAGGCTGGGCTAAAGGCGCAGAGTGAAAGCTCACTAGGCTTTGAATAGGAGTCTGTTAGGGCCCAAAAAGCACCAAAAAATACAAATATTGCGAAAAACGTGACATTTTTAATTACCATGTGTATAGATCGCGTTTCTCGCCTTTATCTAGGGGTAACACGTTATTATGATAAATGATATTTAGTAAATGAAGGGCTAAATATATTAATCACAATTAAAAACGCAAAAGAACGCGCTGTTCAAAACACCCATAATTGCAGAGGTTCACTACAAAAGAAAGTGGTGGGACAACAATACCCCATAGATCTGAAATATATATCTCTGCATCTATACCAATGATTTCGTCACATCTCGACATTCATTGCTCAGATTTCATTTAAAATCAAACAAAATACATTGATGGTCATTAAAAATAACTAAAAATACAAAAACCAAATTGAAACTCTATACAGTTGGTCGAAGGGCCAGAATACAGCGATTATAAGACGCTAGTTGAACCCCATAATTGGGCTTTGCAGAGGTCTAATCTGATATTGCTGGAAATTTCTATTTGGGACATGGATGGGAGCAGTATAATAGCTACTGGAGAGCCTTAATTTTCGCTGAAGTAAGGAAGGGGGGCTAAAATTGTGATATATTCTGTATGTAGAATACTCTCACTGCATAGCCTCATATAGGGAAAGCCACAACAAAGACCACAATAGACAAAAGAGAAATCTAACAAACTACTTGAGAAAGCAACCGATCATCGAGAAATACCCTAGTGCAACATGACCACTCATCTACTTCTTGATTAATCTTTCCTATACCTCAAGAGTTCTTGATCATGAAAGTCGTAATGCTCTCAGGCCGTCAAGGTGTCAACCCACCCTTCCAAATCCATGTTGAAAATGGAGACATCGCCCCGTGGAACGCCCATCATCGTGGTCAAGCGATGTTTGATCAACCACTTTGTAGTGCTTCCCTCAGTCACTTTCACGAGGCGATCAAAGTATTTGGCTTCGGCGAAAAATGACTTCGCGCCAACGTAATGACTCGCGGAGCAATACGTCGTCGCCTCGGCCGTATCGTTGCTAGTGAGCCGTATAGTTTGTGTGCTCAATGCGTGAAAGGTAGTAACATGCCCGATGGTCTTCTGCAGCTGCTCAATGACAGTGTCGATGCCATGCATGAGGCCAAGCGACCCCGTATAGTCCGCCACACAATCTTCTGTAAATGAACTTTGAAGATCCGTATAGGTGTTTGTGTCAAATGCAATTGCTATGTTTGCAATTGTATTTCTGATGAGCTCGTGATTGGATGTATTTCCCTTCATTGTTTTGATGATTGCTTGGGTTGGACTTTCGATCCAGCGTAACTTGGCTGTTATGAGATGATTGTATCACTCGGAGCGTGCAGATATAAGGTAATACAGAAAAAAAAAACATTGAATGTGATAGGAAGTATATTTCGATTTAAGACGGCATGAGAACGACATGTACCTTTTATAACTCATTGCGAATAAGGAGTGCATTTAATTTGCCAGACCCAGTATACAGCAATTGATTGTAAATGCGGGCAATACGATCTCAAGAAATGCTCCCTTGACCACCCAATATCATGCTCAATTGTTGTTGTCAAGAACCCCAGCAAGGAGAATAGACTACTACATACTCCGTAACGGAACCGGAGTTCCGAGCTAAACCGCTTGGATCCGTGAGCCGCGTCTTGGGGACCGTGCAGATCATCGTCTATTCATTTCTTCGTCTTTCCAGCCTGACAGACACGCGGCGGGGCTTGGCAATTCGATTAATAAGCCATGGATTTGAAATCAAGCGGAGAAGTGGTGAGAATGAGAACTTCATCTGTTGGTACAGAATACATAAGGCTGACATTTCTATTTAGAAAAGATTATTGCTCATCCAAAAAGCTCAAGTACGGAATTCAAAAATCTCAAATCAATATGGCTTCCCCATTCTGCAGTTATACTATCCCCACTTTCACCAGGGGCATCAAGACCCTCTCTGCCCTCCTAAAAAAGGCGGAAGAACATGCGAAAGAAAACAACATCCCGCTTGATGAAGTCCTCAACGCTCGCCTTGTTGAGGATATGAAGCCTCTTTCTTTCCAAATTGTGAGCGTAACAAACACCATCCATAAGACCCTCGCCCGCGCGTCTTTCGTTGAGCCTCCGCCACATGAAGAGCCCGATAAGACCTATGAAGACCTTTACAAGCGCCTCGATCGGACACTTGCGGAGCTGGAAACGGTCGATCTGGCCAATATCGCCTCGAAAGAAGGACAAAAATTCAAGGTTCCACTCGGAAATCATGAATTTGATTGGACATCGGAGGAGTTTTCGGTGCGATTGGCGATCCCCAATTTCTACTTTCATGTCGTGACGGCGTATGGTATTTTGAGGGCGAGAGGTGTGCAGATTGGGAAGATGGATTATCTATCGGAATTTACGGCGTAGCCAAACCCGGTTTCAACCGCTTTAGCCTCACTTGCCGATGCAAATTAAAGTACCTGAGATATGCTGGGCATCTTGGGACCATGTCACCTTGCATACAGGACGGGACGCAACCCATCCTTGTATTTGCTTTGAATTGAATTTGGTACCTTATTCCTGTGGAACTCTATTCCTAGCCCTAAGAATAGCAGTATGCAGCCAATTTCTTGTCATCTACAATGGCCACAACCACGCGATATTCAGAAATATTCAGGATCGGAATAACTATGTTATTCATTATATCTGTTACAATAGCCTTGAAATTTCTCCTGGGTTTGGTGAAAAGTACCTCCATACGGAGTACTCCGTAATGAAGGCGACTTCGTCGTATTCGCCACGTTGGCCCCATTGAGATCATCAGCCTAAGTGTTGATACCTCAGAGCCATCGATGAGATTAAGACTTTCTCACCCCCTCCCACCCCCACAGGCCTGTAAGATTTCCATTAAGCAGTTGCTGAAACGGTCGCTGGTGGGGGGCAATGGCGTTCATGGAATTCATGAATGGAATATCGATTGGAAAAGTCAGAGTTACATCGATCTGCACGGCCCCCGCCAAGTCTCTTGGCAAAAGGTTAGGTTACTTGGCACGAAACGTCCACGAGTATAATCAATTGTATAGATTGCAGATGCGGGAAGGCTGGAAGGGTGGATTGTTTCCCCTTAGTGAGTAGTGGGGTACGACGGTTACATACAAATTGCAGATCACATACATGATACCATTAGGAGTAAATCTTATTATAAGAACCTCACAAAGAGTAGATCATTTCAGTACATTGACCGAATACGGTAAATGGCCAAATTCATCGTCATTTGTATGGGAAAACGCGAAAATTCGCCGTCGTCCGGCCGTTGAGTCCATGTATATGCAATATAAATATACGTAGCGCTCAAAGTCTTAGCTGATCATCCCCAGTAGTTACTCTAAAACTATACACGGCCCGAATCTCGTGGATGCGTACGGAGTCCGACAGGAGATTCCCGTGTTTGACCCATGTGATATGCAGGGCTGGCTTGGCTCTGAATTGCCGATCAGAGATCCTGCGATCTGCATAGATCCATTTTATACCTGGTTTGAACTACTCCATGCAATATTAGTTAGAACCTGATCATCTGGGGCGACTCGAACGTATTGTGTGCACCATGTGTCGAGGCGTAAGATAGACACTTACCCTTAGAATATGTCAGGTATAACGCTAGGTCGTTCAAAATGGGAAGACTCTGCAGCTGGGCTTATCTTTCCTCATTATCATACCGGTGATCTTACTAGATTCGTGAGAAGAACCCCGAGCAGATTAAACACGAAGTTTAATAACAGAAAGCACTTGAAACAGGGGTCTAACTGTAAGGTTCGGCCTCCGGGGAAACTCCAATATCTATCAAGACCCTAGGACCTTAGCACATCACGGCCCGTGGATGGTATACGTGACGATAGCTCTATCTCTAGCCAATACCATCCCGTTGCCCTGCACGATGTTGCGTACTATGCGTGGAGCCGATCTCTCAATCATGAACGGAATTCCGAAGGATGTCGAGATTTGAGATTCAGATGCCGTGCGGATCTTTCTGAATAAGACCCTGGCCCCGTTTGCCGCCGTATTTTCTACGAAGAATCCATGATAAGAATTGAGTATATGATGTGATTTGCAAGCCATTGGTGGATCGAGTGGGTATGACCGGGGTATGAGTTGTGAAGGAGTTGTCCTTTTGGGTAGTATATCGGGATATCACTGGGATGCGGTGGCGGCATGTGCTATGAAGGAGTTCTCCTTGTGATCTGTAAGCCGTGTTGATATTAATAGCGTGCTCTGGCAGCATATAAGTTGTCGAGGGCTTCTCCTTTTGGGTTGTATATCAAGTCAAGTTGAAAAGTTATTTGCACTGGATATACTATATACAAAATGGCGGATCTACCAGGATCTTCGTACGTTTTACCACATCTTCTTATTCTTCTTCTTCCTCTTGTCCTCCCCGTTCCTTGGCTTTTGAATTGAAGTTTCATCCAATTCTGACTGTCAGACAGACTTATAGATCAGCTTCTACGCCTCCGTCGTGAGGCCTCTCACCCAGACTCTGCCCACCACCTCTCCACTCTACTATCCTCGTACACCGGGTCGTGGCCCATTAGGCACCTCATCACAACCTTTCAAGACATTAATAAGTCCGTCCCTGAACATATCAAGGCCAATAACAATGAATCAATTGCACGCCTACGTGCACAAGTCAAAGCAGCCACACCCAACGTTGCAAAATTAATAGGGACAGACTCCCGTCCCGGTCTCATCGATGCCAATACGGGGAGGCACCTGACACATAATGCCATTCGGCAGTTCTTGGAGGGTTTCCAGATTCGCGTTGGCCCTTCCCATCATGGAAAGCCACGCATTGCTGTCATCCTACCTAACGGCCCTCTTATGGCATTGGCTGTTCTTGCTTTCGTCAACAGGTATACCATTGTGCCTATGACATCAAACACGGTGCCAGAGCAACTGCAGGTCGATATAGAAAACTCACAAGCTGATGCTGTTGTCGCGCTGGACGCTGACATTGGCAAGTTGCAGCTAAACAATGGTACACGGCCAGTGTTTGGCATTGAACAGCTTGAAAACATGACTTTCCGTGTGGTCTCCGCACAGAATGCTTCTAGTGGATGCGAGGTTCCTCCCAATTCTGGGGATGATATTGCCATTATCCTGTTCACCAGTGGTACCAGTGGTACCAAGAAGCTGGTTCCCATTACAACTTACAATCTCATTGCGGGTACGATGGCTACCATAGAGTCGGTGGAATTGTCGGAGAAAGATACGTGTCTTAATATGATGCCCCTGAGCCATGTGTATGTCCCCTATACCAAAATATATGATAGGAAAGTACTGACAGCATCAGTGGTGGCATTATGCGCAGTATTTTCTCCCCCATTCTCGCTGGTGGTGCAACGATATGTTGCCCATCGTTTGACCCCAGCATGTTCTGGGACACGGTGGAAACTCCTCATATGTCACCGACTTGGTACTACGCCACACCCACAATGCACCAAATGATCCTCGCGGAGGCTGAACACCGCCCCGATGCTGTCAAACAAAGTGCCATTCAGTTTATCTGCAACGCTGGTGGTGGTCTTCCCCCAACCCTCGCTGTGCAGCTCCATGATCTTTTTCACTGCACTGTCCTCCCCAGCTACGGCATGACTGAATGTATGCCTATTGCTGCGCCACCAAGGGACTACAAGCTTGATCGCCATGGAACCTCCGGACGAATTGTTGGTCCCGAGGTTGCAATTTTGACCGAGAGTGGCGAGCCTGTCTCGCAACCTGGGATGCTCGGACACATCTGCATTCGTGGGTCACCCGCCTTCGAGGGATATCTGACACCCGCAGGCAAAATTGATACCAGCGCATTTAACAAGTCCGGCTGGTTTGATACTGGTGATCTTGGACATCTTGATGCCGACAACTACCTGTATATCACTGGTCGCAGCAAGGAGGTCATTAACCGTGGTGGCGAGATTATATCTCCCGTCGAAGTGGAAAACGCTGTGCTGACTACGGCTAAGGATCCTGAATCCCCGCTGTATGGTCGCGTCACTGAGACACTAGCCTTCTCCGCCCCGGACGAGGTGTTGCAGGAAGTCGTGGGTGTGGTTATCGTCACACCTCCGGGCTTGGCTAGGCCCGATCTTCGTCAGATACACGAAGCACTGCAGCCTATCCTCCACCAGCCTAAGTGGCCGGCTTTGGTAGTATATATGGATGGTGTTCCGAAGGCCAACAACAAGATCCAGCGCATCAAACTCGCTGAGCGATTGTCATTGGAGACATTGACCACGGCCACACCCCTAGCGAACAGGCACTATGAAGCCGTTTGCCCACCCACTGGCGCTCCGCTCACTGCATTAATCCCTAAAAAGGCGTGTGTCATCGATGATAAAATCATTCGCTCGGTTCTTACCAAGAAAGCCAATACCCCTGAGGTGCACGTGCAAATCAACCCGCGCGACGGGCTTGCGCAGGTTGTTTTGTTTGTCCAAAACCCAGATGATAACCATGTGACACCTAGTGAGCTTAGCGATCACCTCGATGGCTACCTCATACCGACTCGTATCATCCTCCTCAAGGGACCCATGCCAGTCGATTTCTACGGAAATCCCGATCAGGCGGCTATCAATGAGGCCATCCACGCTCGAAACTCGGATGGTGATCTGTCGCCAGTTCAGCGCCGCGTGCGGGAGATATTTGCTACGGCTCTATCTTGTGCACCGGATGAAGTATCCGCTGCTACAGACTTTTTTGCTGCTGGAGGTGATAGTCTGAGTGCTGGTCGTCTGGTTTCGCAACTTCGCCGCGAGTTCAGTATCTTCCTGGCTGGTGACGTCCTCTTCCATCACAGCAGCATTGGCGAAATAGAGTACAAGATCACTGAGGCCGTTGCGGTTAAGGCTGCCAAGGGCGACGATGGGGAAGTTGAATTGCCTGGCTGCGAAAAAACATACAGTAGTACGAACCCAATTATCCTGATTCTGCATTTATTCCCGACTGTGATATTCTTCCCCATGAAGCGCGCCTTCCAGTGGATGATGTTCGCCTACGTCGTCGCCGAGTGCTCAAATCGATTTCCCATTCGCGGTAATCTCATCGGTCGCTTGATTCTGGTTGTTTTCGCCGTGATGTCTGCTCGCTTATGCTCACAAATTGTGTCTCCCATCTGCGCCATTGTCTTCAAGTGGCTTGTCATCGGTCGCTATAAGGAGGGAATGTCACCCATGTGGGGCCCGTACCATACGCGCTGGTGGTTGACCCAGAAGGCATCACAGGTATGCGGAAAGGGCCTCTTCAACAACTACAACTGGTCCCGTATCCTCTTCTACCGTCTAATGGGCGCAAAGATTGGAAAGAACGTCACCATGTCCGCATCCGCTAAGCTTGGTGAGTATGATCTGATTGAGATCGGCGACAATGTCGTTTTGGATACCTGCCTTTGTCGCCCGTTCGCCGTGGAACGCAACACCTCTATGCTTTTGAAGCGCATTCGCATTGGCAAGGACTCTTCTATCGGTATCAAGTCCGTTGTCGCTCCTGGTGCCGATATCCCCGAGAGGACCTGCATTGGTCCCAATTCGTCAAGCTGGGAGCTCCAGGACGCCGATGAGTCTAATCGACAATTGCTCACCTCTCAGATCCCTAAGCCTCACTGGGTTTGGATCCTCCTCATTGTTGAGCCAATCAAGCTGTTCACATGGATGGCTGCACGTATTACCTGGATGGGTGGTCTTATTCCTATGGTACTGCAGTTCCCTACCCCTGCGGCCGACATGTTCCGGTCTACCCTAGATTGGTACACCAGTGATGAACGGGTTGCATTCCATATCACCGCCAGAATATGCCGTTCTATTGGTGGTCCAATCGTGCTCTTTATTGCGGTCTTGGTCGTAAAGTCCTTGCTCGATCTCATTTGTGGCAAGCCTAGACCTGGTCCTGCCTCAAGACAGACTACTCGCCAAAAGGTGCGGAGTGCTGTGCTTGCGCAGATTTTGCCTGCAGGTGACATCCATGAGCTCACCCGCCTTACTGGTCGTCACTACGAGTTCGTGTCGATGGCTGTTCGTGCCCTTGGTGGCAAGGTCGGCAAGCATGTCTACTGGCCCAGTGTTGGTCCCGTCACTGTCGACTTTGATCTCATTGAGGTTGGCAACGATGTGGTTTTCGGTTCTCGCTCAACACTGGTGACATCTGATGGCTACGGTCGTGACCGGATTGTGATCGGTGACGGTACTATGGTCGGTGATCGTGTTGTCGCTTTACCAGGTGCTACTATTGGCCGTGAAGCCATGATTGGCTCCGGTGCTTTGCTTCGCCGTAATGGGGAATATCCTGCCAATACTGTCTGGACGGGTAGCAAGGGTGGTGAAGCTATTCAGTTCCCAAGTTCTACTACCACCTCGCCCTCCAGTTCGACTGCCCCGACCATCGTCGGAGACAGTAGCAGCAGCCCCAGTAGCCCCAGCAGTGACAATGAAGATGCAAACACCCTCAACGAGAAGCAGGCCGACCTTGGTAGTAAGAATAAGACCTCTGCAGTTACCGAAATCGTGGAACAGGATACAGATACCTGCAAGCCTTTCGGTCGTGCCTTCTACCGCCGCGAGGCCAACTACTATGTCCTGCGCATGTGGCAAATTGTCATCTATTCTTCCATTTCGGTCATGGCCACTACTGTCTATTGGCTTCTGACTGTTCTGTTCTCTCTTTTTGTTCTCCGTGCTGTCCTAGACCACAGTAATGTTGCTGCATTTAAGCAAGGCGCCTGGCGCCCATTCGCCCTGTACGGCCTTCTGGCCTCAATCCTATCGGTCATCACCGCTGCTCAAGTTTTCCTTGCCTTCGGCATCATTCTTTGCATTAAGTGGACGGTTGTGGGCCGCCGCAAAGAAGGCGCCTATCACTGGGACAAGAGCAGCTACAACCAGCGCTGGCAATTCCTCCTTTCGTGCGAGACGCTGATTAAAGATTGCTATGACGGGGTTGGTCTTCTGCCCATGATATCTGGCTCTGCTTATATTTCCTGGTACTACCGTCTCTTGGGCGCGAAGATTGGAAAGGACTGTGCCATCCACGCCAACGGTAGCCCCAGTATCTTCTTCACCGAGCCCGACCTTCTAACCCTTGGTGACCGTGTCGCTGTCGACGATGCTAGTCTCGTCTGTCACTTGAACTCACGTGGTGGATTCGAGTTACACACCTTGAACGTTGGCGACCGGAGTATTCTACGCGCTGGATCGCGCTTGATGTCCGGCGCTTCGATGGGCCAGGATGCTTGTCTTTTGGAGCACACCTTGGTCCTGTCGGGTGACCATGTTGAGAACGGGGATACGCTTCAGGGATGGCCCGCCGAGGGCTTTGAAGGCAAACGTGCTTAGAATCTTCACATTGCTCTTCTCTCTTTTGGCATTTTTTTTTGTTTTAGATTTGTGTTGGAAAATAAATATATATATACTAGAATCTATCTTCAAGTTGGTAGACATGACTTTAAGAATATTTAATTGTTGCTATGCTGTTAAGAAAACATCAAGGGCTATTTGCGCTAGCATTCTATGTACCCTTTCCTCACATATCACTGACGGCCAATCTCGACAACAATAGTTTTCGTAACGAATCCGGCGTCCAATTTACTAACTCTAAGCGCCCGCTGCCGACACTCTCTTGTCATTTCATTGACATCTTCCATGGTCCTTGGGACTTTAGGCACTTTGTACCCCTCAAGGTAAGGGATACGGTCTTCTTCTATCAGATAGTAAGCATCTATGTATCACAATAGTGTTAATATTGACAGAGATAGCTAGGAAACATACCAAATAGAGCCCGAACCCAAGACTTTGGCGCGGCACCTACTTTCTCATCCCACAACGTCACCAAATAAAGAGCTGTCGTCCCAGGGTTGCCCATAACCTGCATGGAGGAAGCATTGAAGCTGGGATTAGCTCTCTTGGCATCGGCCGCGCGTGCTGCACAGGCTTTACCCGCGCTCTCCACGGTAACATATTGATTCATTTCGGAGCCCAGAGTGTCATAGAGGTTCAGGTTCTTAGCAACCGTCGCCCAAATGTTGTGGTCAAAGTGCACATTGTCACCGAAGTAGATATCATTGCGCGACAGTGAGCCATCGAACTCGATTTCATCGTGTCTTGCTAGATCAAAGAGGTTGAAGGTCGATTGGTTCCCGGTGGTGGAGAGGTTGAAGTTCAATGCTAGATTAAAAAAGCCGTCCATAGACGTGGGCTCATAGTTATAGGCACCAGCTATAGCGGATCGGAAGGTGGGTAGGTCGATGTTTTTCCCTGAACGAGGGAGCCAGCCGTGGTTGGACAAGGCGTTGAGACCAGGGCATGGAGATCGACCTGAGACATATGTTAAATTGCTATTTGGGGACGTCAAGAGAACTTATAATTAGTCACTTACTGTCACCTGGTAGTGGTGGGCGGAACTCATGGCTTTTATGCTCCCAGCCATACGAGCTGGCTGCAAGGCTGAACAGAAGTGTTTTGATCAAGCTTAACTTCATGGCTGTTCGGGTTGATATTGATAAAGTAGATTTGTGATTCAGGTTCTGAAAGCTAGTGCTGGTCTCTCTAGTTCGGCATATATGGGCCTTTATATATCTGTTGTTACTGTAGACCAGCCCATGATCAACGAGCGTATTCAATACGCCCTGCGCGCAAAATATGGAGTCTCAATATTCACATTAGGCTTTCTCAATCCTTGAGCACCGGTCTTTTCTTCGGGATAGGCTTTAAATCATTCATCGCTCCGCGAAGAGTATCTACCCCCTGGCTGCCAAGCCTAAGCGAATACGCACTTGCATGAAGCCGTCACGCTGATTCTCTTGGCGCTTATTCTCGTGGCATTGAACGCGGGAAATTGAATCTTCGACGAATGTCTATTACTTGAATTGCGATAGAAAATGCTTGGAATGTTCTACGGAAATATTTAAGTGTGGCATTTGCCATATAGTAACCATTACACCCACTTAATGCCAAGTATTGACACTGGGGGGCGCAGCGCGGGCTTCAATAATTTTGAGGCTCACAGCCTCCATCCCCGTACTTCGTACTTTCAGCCATTTATATCCTTGATGTTTGATGCGGCTAAGTACCATGCGAGACAGCCCTACTTGAGTCTAGTGGGCCATGAATTTCAACTCTACCGAACTGCCATATAGTCGATCGCCCAATTCCTCAGCCCCTGGGACTAATCCAGCTGAGTCAGACAGCAAATGTGAAGTCGGCATTGGGCAAAGTATTTGGAATTATCAATCTCCAAGGCACTAAGAAGCCACTTAGGCAATGGGATTTGCAATTCTGCAACAGAGCCTCACTTTACTAATTCTTATAACTTCCGATGTTCATCACTCTGGTCTTTCTCACTTACCTTTGGGCTGTCACACATGGATAGATTAGACCAGGACGGTACTTGGATGAAGATCAAGACGCGCAGGCCACATAGAAAGTCGCGATATGGTTGCCAGAAATGCAAAGCACGCAGAATCAAAGTATGTACAACAGATCATCAACAAAAATGAGGATCATTTGCTAATATATACAGTGCGACGAGCTCGAGCCAAAATGTTCAAGATGCAGTAAGATGAATTTGATCTGCCAATATCCCAGAAAATCCAACAAACTAGCCCCGAAAGCTAAATTTGATGAAACGGAACCTTTTCTGGAAGATGAAAGCTCACACATAAACTACGGAGTGAACAGTTCCGAAAGTTCGCGTTGCTCGTCTGCGGCTGTCGGAAGTTCAAGGTCATCACCAGAGGTTCCTGTTGTGCAATCACCACTCGATCTATCGAGACATGAGAGACACCCCAGCTCGCCCTTGCAGTCACAAGGATCGTGGGTCCTTACACCTACGGAGTCTGCACTATTCAATCACTATCTCGAACACACTAGCAAAGACAAGTGCGTTGACGACGAGGACCAATACACTTTGCAGATCGGAATTCCGAATCTAGCTTCCCAGAACAAGGTTCTTATGAAATCCGTGCTGGCATTCTCGGCAGTGTGTAAATGCTGTGATATTATCAACCGCTCGTCAATATCCTGCGCAGACCGTGAACAAGTCCTAATACTTCTGTCTTTCGCCGATGAATATCACATGGAATCACTGCGGGAAATTCAAGCCACTCTATTTGAGACTGATCAATACGATCATATTCTTGCAAATGCGGCTATGATGGGGATGTATGGATCGGGCAGCCACTGTATCCGAATCTGGCTAGCAGAAACATCATCTTCCGACGACCCTGAACGGACCCGGTTTATGCCAAAAAGTTTTCAATGGATCAGTCTCTTCCGCGCTGTTCGCGTAGCCTACACCGGTCTACTCAATGACAGGCTTAAGGCGGAGGATGTAGTTCAACTTGCCCGGGCCGCTTCGCCCATTGATCCTGTCGCAAGTCATGGTTTTCAGATGCATTCGGAATGCAAGGCGTCCACTCCCGTTGGGCAGAAAAATGATCCTCAAGATCATGTTCTGTATCCTATTCTGGCCAATACCGTGGAATCCGCACTACAAAGGCTGGGGAAGAAGGCCAGAGAAATTGTCAGACGCGAGACGGGTGAGTGTGGAAACGAGGAGACACCGGCTACACATACCAACTCCGATGTTCAAGCATGTTTCGTTGCGTTGAAACTATTGAAGAAAATTGTATCTAGGACATTCCTTGATGAAAGTCCCATATCAAATACGCCAGGAAACTCCCATTTCGCTTCCGAGGTCGATGTCAATCCAGTGGGACAAGTCTCCAAAGTTTCGCCCTGGATGCGGAGGTACACCGCCAGAATAACTTCGATGATACCGTCGAGGCTTCCGCGAAGATTTATTATGGCATTTGTACACGAAGCTCCTACAAAGTACTTGAACTTGGTTGAAGACACGATTGGTCTCGTGCAGAACGGTGCACCAGGCCCAGACGACCACGGAATAACATCCCCCTTAAAGGCCATGAATCAGGAGCCGAGTCTAGCACAGCAGTTGGCTGTGGATATATTTTCCCATTGGCTTGTTCTGGTCATGTTGCTAGATAAGGTGTGGTGGATTGGTGGCATTGGAGCTTGGGAACTTGGACGACTTATCTCCTTTCGGCAAAATACACGATTACATATGTCCCTGTGGAAGATTGGTGAAGATTGGTGGCCGGAAAGCATGTTCGAAATTAGTCGACAGTTCAACAAACATCGAGCGAAGGGTTGAGTATGAATTATGAGACGAGATGAACCTCGCGAAGAGAAGACATGAAAGAACGATGTACTTTTCGTCAATATTAAGAATAATCAGAAGTATGACGCGTCCCAGAAGCCGGCATTTCAAGTCCATTGTGCCCGTTAAATTGACATCGTAGACTTGTGTTGAAAAACTTGAGATAGGTGTCAATCCAGCTATTTCGCTTTTCTAGGTCCTCCATCAGATGATTCAGATCTATGTTAGATCCACATTGTGAGAATCCTGGTATGCCTAGCTAATTATGTGAGCATCCATCCTGACGATGGTACTTTTGGCTTCTCATTCGAGAGCCCGACTGCCACTGTTATTATAAGTTTCAACGCCGCTCTCGCAGCGCTGTCATCCAACTGGTCAATATAACCATCGCCAAGCTCCACCCGGGCAGGTTGATGCCACCGTCAACCTCCTTTCCGGTGATGTCTCGGTCTTGTTCAATACACACTGAAAGGATCAGGAAATGAGTCGCGGATGATATCCTCATCCCTAGGGTGGTGCCGCTTCAATTCCGCTTGGATTGCTGCCGCACAACCTTTCTTCCATGCAAAGACATACGGTCCAATTTTGGAGGACTATTCCCGTGATATTCTCAGCCATTGGTTTCTAGGTATTAGTCAAAGAGGATCACTATTTAATTTGTCAACTTGACGAAACCACAAAACCTGATGGGTGGTGGCTAAGTAACAGGAATCTGACACGTCATATCCATGTCATTATGGTCAACTTCTGTATTTGAGGTATATAGAAGACCGGGGAGATCGTAAGAATTTATTTCAATATTTGTGAAAAGTCCAATTCTGATACATCCTGAAACCTGTCATAATGCCCTCTAAGAAAGTCCTCATTATCCTAAGTGACGCGCACTCCTTCCCGCTGAAAAGAACTAGCGGACACGATGCTGGCAAGATAGTCGATCAGCCTTCAGGAGTTTTCCTCCAAGAGCTGGCAAAGCCATTAAACAAAATCCTCAGTGCAGGCCACGAGGTGACATTCGCCTCGCCAAAAGGTCACGAACCTGCCCTAGACCCGAGCAGCCAATCACTCATCGCAAATGCCGGCAATTTCTACGAACGTCAACGCGAATATGATCTTATCGATCGCATGAAGCGCGAGAATGGATTCACTAGCCCCAGGCCATTCGGCACCATCAGCAACGATGAGCTGACTACCTTCGCGGCAGTCTTCATCCCGGGCGGACACGCACCGCTTCAAGATCTAGGCGGAGATGCGGAACTGGGACGGATTCTCCGTTATTTCCACGAGGAGAACAAACCCACGGCTGTGATCTGTCATGGGCCGTACGCTCTGTTGAGTACGAAGAAAGCGGGAGATGGGTCGTTTGTCTATCATGGGTACAAAATTACGTCGTGGAGCGATGCGGAAGAGAAGTTGATGGAGACATTGTGGGGTGGGGAGGTCGAAAAAGTTGAATCGGCGTTGAGAGACGAAGGTGCAATAATGGTTGAAGGTGTACGTGAAAAGACTGGTGGCACCACATTGCATCGGGAACTGGTCTCTGCTGGTAATCCTTTGGCTGCGAACGCTCTTGGTGATCGGTTTGTGAGAATGATCAGTGTATAAGTCTTTCTCTCATGTTGAAGAATATTGTGGGAAACTGTACAATGCCCTTTTTTGCCTCAAAGGAGTCAATGAGTGTGTGATCTGAAAGGTGGATTACCTGCATGTATATATCACTACAACCATGTCAATTCCATGGATTGACTTTGTTATGACCTTCAGTCTAGTGGGTAAATGCTTTGAGCAGTGGCCAGCGTATCTCAAATATAGACTATTGGAGTTGTAATTTCATGATAGACATCTTGTAGAAATCATTGATTTCCATAAACAGATGTCATACTGACGAGCTAGTGGTGCATACCGCAAACACATCTCTATAATTTCACCCAATCCCTTGCACTGTGCTTTTTCGAGTTCCTTCTAGAAGGCAGTAAATCCAAATCGCAAAGAGTATGCCATCTGAAATTTACTTTCATGGCTTACTTGCTATAATAGAAAACCCTCCATAGACCCTCACGGTATGAACTTACTATCAGCAAAGCAATATAGAGACTAATCATGTTAACTCGCAGAGAAGATCAAATGATGCACTTATTGAGGAGCTCTTATGAATTAAACAACATGGATCTGAATAGGTGGCTAGCTATAACGCTTTAGATCCGTTGTTTCTCCGGAGACGTCATGAAGGTCTGGCGTATGATCGGGTTTCAATGGTTAGTTTAAGCATCGTAGTAAGCTTGGTTCACTTCCAAGATTTTTTTGGGAACAACTCCGAGAAGTGAAATGATGTAACAATGATAGCACTCCAAAGCTTTGAACTTGATATGCTCCTCTAGTCCACTTAATCCAAAATCTCTCCCGTCTTAATCCCAATCTGGTTTTATAGCCTTATTGACTATCTTCTAGTTTCATCAACCCATAAGCATGAGCTTTATCCGCCATTACTCTCCACATACAGCAGTAAGACAGCATTTTTACCCATCTGTTGGACTGCGGTCATCTCGACCGACTCCTAGCCAAAGGTTCTTCGCCACCGAAAGACCGAGTGGCCAGGCAAAAAGCTCCCGGTGGTTAGTCTCCTTGATATATATTGCACTGGTCGCCTCTGACTGACACTTAATTCTGTTCGATAGGTTACTTGTATCAATTGGTCTAGGGCTACCAATAACATTTTACCTGTGGCAGAAAGGCGACATAAAGAAGCCTAGCACCATGACCCCTGCTAGAGAGCCACGCGGAGCAAATCAAGAGTACATTCAAGGAGCAGAGGGCAATGAAACGATCGGACAAAATGGTAACTCAGAAACTTTCGATCGCGATGAGGTTTGTTCTTCCCTGTATCCTCCCTTCGCAGCCTGGCTCGCATTATCGCCATTGAACCAGGGAGTCAAGAAAATATAAATCTAACTTTTACATAGCCTCGAGGTATGGGCCCACCTGATGGACCTGGGAGCATCTCACTCAAGCAGGAAGGCCTCGACAATGGGGATACTATGAACCCATTTGTGAACGATCCTGGCAAGAGCAAAAAGGGCGAGGGTGAGACGGACAGTGTCAAAGTAAAGGGAACTGTTAGGTTAGATCGACCTCAGGTTTGAGCTGTGAGATCATTATATCTTTGAATACAAGTAAATCAACAAGCATATTGGATTTAGACCTTTCTGTCAGAGATCATGTGACCTCTGGTTGCTCCCAGCATATCATAGTCTTCATACGTAGATAGCTTTCTCCCTTCTCCACGCATTTCAATACAGTTTTCCAGAGCATATACTGCTTCTTGTAAAACCAGTATTCTCAGGTTATGAGCACCTTGCTCGCCGTGGAATCCTTGCAAATCAAGCATATTCCACGACCTCGAGTCCTCCACTGGGTGCTTACGTCGCACCCCTTGTTGATTTAGACGAATCAAGTCTCATCAACCCCTCGGGGACCCACAAAACCAAGTGGTAAACCCCATTTTTCTTACTGTCACTGGCCAGTCAAAAAGCCGGATTTCAATTCATCCTCCCATTCGTCGAACCTCCCATTCGTCGAACCTCCCATTCGTCGAACCTCCCATTCGTCGAACCTCCCATTCGTCGAACCTCCTATTCGTCGAACCTCCCATTCGTCGAACCTCCCATTCGTCGCACCCCGCCGGTGCTCTACCCACAACCATATCTCATCCCGGCCCTAAGAGGTATAAGGACCTCGATATACAATACTATAAACAAGGTATTAAGGATACCGACCTCGCTAGCAGCTATCCAAAGCTCAAAGGACCATCCAACTAGCGAGATTAGGAGTCTGCTTTCATGACTGCCATCGGTAGTAACAACCGGTACTACGTCGGTATAGCTCTTTATAGGGTTCCTTACCCTATACCTCCACTATACAAAGATACCGGAAACGATTATATTCATAAACTTCTTATCGAAGAAGGCGTTATAGATATTGACACTACTACGATTCGTGCTCGTGGAAGGGAGGTCGTCGAAGACAACAAGCGTCTTATAGAGATCTATCAAGATAGTATCTCGAAGTAGGATCTATACAATAATAAAGTCCTAACTCAGCTTCGCAAGACCCTCGACATCGGGCCTACCTCGTTGATTACTGATATCTTTAACGCTTATACTACCTTTATTAAATTGAGAAACAACTACTATACGACTTTGTACCAAGAATATTATACTCGATACACCAAATTCTATGATTTACGATACAAAGGGGGTTCCGCCTACGATTTTGTTCGTCGATTCTAGGATACACTTCGTGATTTTAACCAGATAGCTGGTTCTTCTTAGAAGATCCTAGCACTGATTAAACTTTGTTAATTTAAACAAGCCCTTATAGAGAATCCACGCTATGCCTCTTTTATTTAGAACCTTATTATCAACGAGAAAGATAAGAACTTTATAGAACGGGTTTATATCCAATTCACTGAGTTAGAAACCACTAATAAATCAATCTCTAGCACTATAGCTTCGGCTAATACGACTATATTATATACGCCTACTTCTTCTTCGACTAATAACACAAAAAAGGATAAGAAAAAGGATAATAAGGAGGCCGAAAACTTAGCCAAAAAAGCTAAGGATAAGACCTCAAAAGGTAAATCCACAGCTTATATAGATATTTTTTGTTATATTCATAGTATATAGGGTAATTATTATACGAATAAGTGTCCCCTTAAAGCCACTGTCTAAGTAAATACTACTAAGCTTTAGGTTCAACCTTAGTAGCCCTAGTAAGTTTCTGTTCCTATACCTAGTTAAATCATAGGCTATATAGATACTACCGGTAATATTGTCACTAATTAGTAGTAGTAGTAATAGCCTCGAGCTAATACTATCTATAATCCTTTCTCTAACCCAGTACCTTAATAAGGACCGCCTACCGGAGATCCATTGCTTAAGTACAATAGCCTCTTCACAAATACTTTATATTTAGGTCATTATATTAAGAAAGATCAAAGTTTATTTAATAAGAGAAAGGACTACTATTATATTTTAAAAGAAGGATATCTTACGGACGATAGCAATAATACTTCACGATAGATAATCGATTTAGGAATAAGTACTTATATAACTCCCTATAGATCTATATTTATTAACTTTAGAGAATATATTCTACTAGTTTCTACGGCTACTAGGGATATTTTTTATATAGAAGGATATAGTGACGTTATTCTTTAATTATAGAATCATAATTATTCCGAATATCTCGCTTTACTTACCTTATAAAAAGTATGGCTAGTACCTCGATTAAGATCTAGTCTTATCTCTATATTAGCTCTCGATAAAGCTAATATAGGCACCTAGGTAAAGAATAGGATAATAACTTTCCTTTATCAAAATAAATCTCTTGGTTTAGCAATAACAATAGTCGGTTATACCACCTACGAAGGTAAACACTACTGGCTAAATTACCTAGGAATTAATAAGCTTAATTATATGATCTCGGTTAATTTACTCTCCGGATCCTTAAATTCAGTGTTCGCCCTAGATAAAATAGCCCCTATTTCTATTAATCTAGTATATCGCTATACCTACTATACCAGTGAAGATTAAGTACGAAAGATAGAGATTTATACTAACGGTATTAAACTTAAGAAAGGTATCGGCGTTATATACCCTTACGCTCCCTATATTAAAGGAAAAGGATATACCTTACCCTTTAGGAAGTAGAAATAGATTAGATCTAAACCTAGAGAGCTGATTTATCTTGATATTTAGGGCCCTATCTTAATTACTTTATACGGTGGTGAACGATATTTTATTACCTTTATAGATAACGCTATATAGTTTATATAGGTATTTCTCCTTAAATTAAGAGTAGAAGTTATAGAGAGATTTATTTAGCTCGAAGCCTATCTAAATATATAGTTTAGATATTTAGTTAAGCGAGTACACAGAGACAATACTATAGAGTATAAGGTACTAGTATCTTACCTTTCTATAAAGGGTATTATTTAGGATCCTATACCTCTATACACTAAGTAATTAAATAGGGTTACTAAGATCAAAAATCGACTTCTTATCGAACCCCTTATTGCTGTTATAACTAAGTATTAACTACCTAAATATCTCTAGGGATATCTTCTTAGAGGCGTTAATTATATAATAAATTGTCTCTATTCCTTACGGATTAGAATATCTCTGTATAAAGCACTCTTTAGGAAGAAACCTAACCTTTTAAACCTTTATGCCCTTGGCTACTAATACTGGTTCTTGATCCCTAAAGAAAAGCGGTCTATAAAGCTAGATTCTCATATAGAAGAAGCTAAATTAATCGCTTATAATAAGGGTGATAATTATATTCTCTATAATATACGCACGAAGAAGATTAAGCGGTCTCGTAATATGATTTTTAACGAGACTCCCGCTAAATAATTACCTGACCCTACCTATGATTTGAATATCGATAGTATAAATCCTGATTAAGAGTATAAACCCCCTAACTATAAACGATATATTCTAGTTGATTTCTTAGATTAGAACACTTTTAGTGATTATTTCGGAACCGAATCGAATCGTCCTTCCTCTCCTCCCTTACCTATAGTCGAAGACTTAGCTAATAAAGATAATACTCCACGAAATAATCTCCTACCGATAAACCCCGTGTTATTCGAGGATAATCCTGAATAGGATCGATACGAAGAAATAGAGGGTAGCTTTAGTAGGAATATAGAGGTATAACGGGAGGATAAAGGTATCCACTTTAACGTAGGTGGATTAGGGGTTCTTGTGGAACCATAGTCTCCTTCCTAGGGGACTATTAGTATAGATCACTCTATGGATTCCTCGCCTTAATTAAATTATTAAGATATAGATATAGTTCCTAATACCTATTAAGATAAAGACTTCACGCCTACTTCTAAACTAGAAGCTCTATAAGCACTAAGGCGTTTAACTTAGATTCGAAAACCTAGTTAAGTATTCCTTAATATAGTGGCTTTAAAATCATTCTTTGATACTAATTTAATAAAGCTATTTACTGATCATCCTAATATATTACTCACTCTCTTTACGGCTACTATATCTAAAGAATTATTTACTACTTTAGATCTTAAGCTAATAGACCCTAGTTTCGAACCTAATAGCTAGAAACAAGCTATATCCTATCTTAAAAAAGATAAATGGCTTCTCGTAGTATATAAGGAATTAAATCGCTACCTAATAAATAGTACCTAGAGACGAATTCCTCGCCTAAATAATAGGGGTAAAAGGGCCCCTCTTACCCTTCGCTAGGTATTCAAGATTAAGTATAACAGCACCTACAAAGCTCGGCTTGTTACCTAAGGCTTTCGCCAAGTCAAAGACCTGGATTTTCACGAGGTATATACTATTATTACTAAGCCTATATCTTTTAAGATCTTTACCGCTATTGTAGCGTCTAAAGGCTAGTACCTTTATTATATTAATATTATTACTACCTTTCTTTATACAGAACTAAAGGAACCAATTTATATTAAGCTTCCTAAGATTCAATATAAGTAGTATCCGGACTATATAGGTCTCCTTAAGAAGACAATTTATAGTCTAAAGTAGAGTCCTAGGGAATAGTATAAGCTTCTTTATAATATCCTCTTATTAATTAGATTCTCGAAGATATAGTTAGATCACTCGATCTTTAAGAAAGAGATTAATTAAATCCCTATCTATATATTGATCTATATCGACGATTTACTTCTATTATCTCCCTTAGAGATAGTAATTGGTTATTTTAAAACCGCTATCTCTAAGCATTTCGATATTTCTGATAAGGGTCCACTTCAAAGATATCTTACTATTGATATCTATAAGGATTAAGATGGTTCAATTTATCTCTCTTAGAAGGATTATATCGACAAAATCCTTACGCACTTCGGCCTCGAAAATTGTAAAGCTATTGTAACTCCTATAGATGAAAAGGACGTGCTTACTCCACGATTAGAATCTAATAGCCTAGCTACAAAGCTAGAAATCAAGGAATATTAGACAAAAATCGGTATATTAGTATAGCTAATGGTGTTAACAAGACCCGATATCTCTTTTACCACTATTAAGCTTACTAAACACGCCAAGAATCCTAGTGAGTAGTATTTTCGCGCTTTAAAAAGGGTATTTCGATACCTTACTAGATCAAGAGATCTAGTTATCTCTTTTCCCTTAATAGCAAATTCATCGGTAGAATCGATTGATTCGACTAAGTCTACCTCTCTAATCGGCTTCTGTGATACCGACTAGGCTGGTCTATATAGTGAAAAAGGTATATTAACCTCCGGATTCCTATTTAAACTAGGGGGTAGTGTTATTTCCTAGACCTCTAAAAAGCAACCCTACGTTACTTTGTCAACTACAGAAAGCGAATATATTACTGAAGCTCTTGCTATATAAGAAGCTTTATAGTTAACATAGTTACTTATCGAATTAGGGATCCCTAGGTTTCTCTATAAACCTATCCCTATCTTTGTAGACAATAATAGAGCAATTGCCCTAGTATCTAACCCGGAATTTCATGCTAATACTAAGTATATCGCGGTTCGATTTTATCGACTTCGTTAAGAAGTGGCTACTGGATCTATTAAATTTATTAAGATTCCCACGGTAAGTATAGCTACTAATAGCCTCACAAAGCTATTACCACGTCTCCTGTTTAAAAGGTGGATTTCATAAATAGGACTATATACCTATCGGAAGCAGCCTACAATTTACATGGATTAATAGAAAGGATCATGATTTGTCCAGGCTTCGGACAATTTGGATCATCTCCTATACTTACTCTGTCCATGAGTGGATCATCTTGAAGACAAATACTCGAAAAATATCTGGTTTTTTACACTGAGGAAAGGGATCTTTTAGGCTAGTATGGGGGGTGCAGACTAGGATTCGCTAGTCGTGGGGGGTGTCAGAGATCATGTGACCTCTGGTTGCTCCCAGTATATCATAGTCTTCATACGTAGATAGCTTTCTCCCTTCTCCACGCATTTCAATACAGTTTTCCAGAGCATATACTGCTTCTTGTAAAACCAGTATTCTCACTTTCCTTTCTCGCACCCTGATAGTGGAAGTGGCAATTCGAGATTTGAATGGGCTCAAGGCTTGTTGAGGTATGTATTAGATGCCCTCTACATGTTCCAGGTCTTGTTGCATTAGTTCAAACATGGTTTCTGATTCGGTCTAGCTTTCATACAACTCATTCAGACCTGAAAAAAAATTGACGGATATGACCAGGTGCAAAAAGATGTCAGGAGCAAAGATAAAAAGATGGCTGGGTGATTCGAGTTCGCCTCCGAAGAGAATTTATTTCCAGTCCAGGACCGCTCAGTTGAATATTACGTCAAAAACGGCGATAGATTCGGACAATAGTGCTAATGCTATGTTTATAATGAACCTCGTACACTTAAGAGGTAGTGGACCTTGGATGACAGTGGCAGTTGAACTCCTAAATCTTATTGACAGCGAAAGACACTGGTGAGGACTAGAAAGAAGGCCTCTCCGAATTCAGAACAAGGAGCTCTACAATCTCTAATATTAGCATCAAGCTTTCTGAGCACTTGTGAAAACGCAGAAACCATTTCTCATCATATCTCGTACAGGCACGGGTAAATTTTGTTATTATCATGGATCTTTGCTTTGTAAAACTTCGCGATTGTTCAATCTGATGAATATAATTATTACCTAGATAAAAGAATAGCCTGATATTTGATCCATACCATACATATTGTACTCAAACCTCAATACGAGTCATAGTGAAAGAGGGCACAGACGAATCCAGAAAGTTCTCTACCACGCATTTGGAAATGCCTTGTGGTAAACATATTCCCCCTTTTGTCGCTGATAGAAACCCATTGCCTCGTCACAGATTTCCGCATTCACAACATTCATTCGGATATCGTATTGTCTGATGCGCTTCTCCATCGGCTCCGCAATTGCCATATACTCAGTTCTGACAACAGCAGTTTGAGCCAGGTCTGCAGTCTGGTGCAGTGCAAGCTGACCACTTCGCAAGATGGAATAGAGCAACCTCATGTTTTCGATTTCATTTTCATAAGCTTCCAAAATATGAATCACAGATAAGAGGGTCGAAAGAGACAGCCCCTGGAAAAGCTTCAGTGAAGCAACACCATTGTTGGTCTCGCTTCGAAGAAAATGACGCCGGAGAACTTGAAGTTCACCTACTCGATAGGTGCGAGCCAGGCCGGCTCCAAGCGAAAGGGCCTCGAGCCGCTCGACATGATATCGATCCTCGTTGTCATCAATCTGATAAAGGCCCAACCAGACTTTCTTCCAGAGTTTCACGATGCGACTCTCCAGTTGGCTGCGCGTTGAGACCGGCTTTTCAAGAGCCGCACCCCCAAAGGTTGTATACTGAGGAGGATCATCAACTTGATCATTTACTTCAGCCTGATTGCATCCTCTGACAGCGCAAATGCCGTGGAGAGGAGATGTGGTCGTAGCAGCACACCACAGCTTAGCACTGAAGTACATGTCAATTTTCCATGATGAAGACAACAGAAAGTTGGAGACCTACTTGCTGCGAGATTTGACTGCACGTTTGGGGGAGGGGGAAGATAAATGGAAGAATTCCAATACCTTCCGGAGGAATCTGTGAGCGCGATGGGGCTTCATTGCTATCAGGGCCGCAAGAAGTGTACTGCACAGTGAGTTTAAGGGTTCTGTAGGCCAAGAAGTACATCTGCTAAAATCTTAGACTGGAGTCTCGAGCTTTATCACTGCTGAGTCTGAGAGTAGTATGTTGTAATCATGGCGTGCTATCCCATTGCTGATCAGGGAATGATAATCCGTTCATACTTTCTTACTGTTCAGTGAATCTCCATAAGCTCTCCAGATAAGTAGCAAGAGCCGACCAGATATTTTGCTATCCCAAGCCTGTAAGATAACTACCGAAACATTCCACGAGTAATTCACGAACAAATAGTTACTCTAGCCTTGGACTAAGAATCGTGGTCAAAATCTGTTTGATACAGTATTAACTACCATTTCGCGGAATGACGAGATCATGATAATAAAATTACTCTCCCCGTCTCTTTTTGGTAAACTGAAATAACTAGACTTTTGTCGTGCCGTAGTAAATAAGTTCGTGAATGTCAACGGGAATCAGTTCCGTGGATGTTTATATTTTCCTATACAGGTAGCCCAGGGGGTAATGCTGACAGCACGGCCCAATCGAACATCATGCCCTGAATCAGGAACCCGAAATAGGCGTCATAGTATTTACAGTCCTTATAGATTATGCGAAAATCACGCAGTGGATTTGATGACTTCCTAATCCGGGATTGAGAAGTTCAAATGCGGAATTATCTATATGCATCGCGTGTATTGAATGACTGGGATTTTCTCAGATACAAAAGACATCCCTACATTAGTTTACGTTTTGGTATAACATGAAGCGTCATTGCTTCGAATAGGTCCACAATGATAAAGATCGCACGGCATAACAGAGATGGTGTAGACAGGGGTACACCTCCTTGCCTGCAGCTGCAACTAACAAAACAAGAAAAAATGAGGTCAAAATAATCTTCTCGGCTCATTTCCGGGCCTTGAGATCTTGTTTCTGCATTGATGCCTGACGTAATCGCTACATTCTTGAGTTCTGCTTTCATTTCCATTCCCTACTGATTCATATCCACATGTAATTTTGGTTGTATTCCCTGTCGGTAACCGTGTCGCGCTCAGCTGCATATGCATCCATGGTCATCCCGTATCACCTTGTCTCATAATCGCGTGTCACAGTCCTGGAGATATTTAGGTTGAGCGTCTGCATTCTGAAAGCTTCCAACTCAACCCAAGAATCAGGACGATGGCAAACGGTGATTCTGCGGAAAGCGAGTCGACGTCAGCTGCAAATCAAGAACATCTTCCTCGCCCTTCCATTTCTTCCTCTAAGAGCTCAACTTCGTCAGTCGATTCGTCTCCACCCGAAGAGTTCGCGCCAATCCGTACCACACCATCAGACTCGCAGGCAGATTCTACAGGGTCAAACCTAGACGAGGATAGTGTCGCGCATACTATATCGCGTCGTCGCAGCTATGCCTCCGGTCATGATACCAAAGGAGAGGAATGGGCCCAGATAGAAAAGCTGGTCTCACGGATGTTCGGTGCTGAGCGTAAGGCAAATTCCGAAGAAGAAAAAACACGACATGTGGGAGTTGTGTGGAAGCATCTCACCGTAAAGGGCGTTGGCATTGGCGCCGCTATCCAACCTACAAATGGGGATTTCTTTCTCGGGTTGCCACGGCTCATTAAGCAACTCTTCACTCGGGGCAAGAAAGGTGCTGGGAGTGGAAAACCACCAATACGGACCATCTTGGATGATTTTACAGTAAGTAAATTCCCCACCGCAAAACCTCGTCTTGACTAACTTTTCATCAAGGGATGTGTGCGCCCAGGGGAGATGCTTCTTGTTCTGGGACGCCCTGGGTCTGGGTGTTCCACTTTCTTGAAAGTACTCGGCAATCAACGAGCGGGCTACGAAAGCATCGAAGGCGATGTACGGTATGATGGCACTGACTCAGAAACTATGAAAAAGCACTTCAGGTCTGAAGGTGTGTACTTGTTCATGCGGTGGTAATTTCAAGCTAAAAGTATCAGTCTTGTACAACCCCGAGGATGATCTCCACTATGCAACTTTGTCTGTGCGTGATACACTCCTCTTTGCCCTGAAGACCCGAACTCCCAACAAAGCCTCACGCATCCCAGGAGAAAGCAGGAAAGAATATCAGCAGACCTTTTTGACGGCCATAGCAAAGTTGTTCTGGATTGAACATGCTTTGGGAACCAAAGTTGGGAACGAACTCATTCGAGGAGTTTCCGGGGGCGAGAAGAAACGAACCTCGATTGCTGAAGCCATGGTCACGAAGGCTAGCACACAGTGCTGGGACAACTCCACCAGGGGCTTGGACGCTAGTACGGCACTGGAGTATGTTCAAAGTTTGCGAAGTTTAACAAACACTGCCAACGTTTCAACAGTGGTAGCTCTCTATCAGGCCTCAGAGAATCTTTTTGATCTTTTTGATAAGGTGATTTTGATTGATGATGGAAAATGCTGTTTTTTTGGACCTAGTCAGGATGCAAAGGTGTATTTCGAGCGGCTGGGCTTTCAATGTCCCCCACGATGGACAACTCCCGACTTTTTGACTTCTGTCGGTGACCCTCATGCAAGACGTGTCAAGGACGGCTGGGATCACCGAATCCCTCGGAATGCAACTGAATTTCAAGCTGCATATCGAAAAAGTGATACCTACAAACGCAACTTAGCAGACATTGAAAGCCTGGAGGGCGATATCGCAGCCGAAAGGCAGGAGAGGGAGGCTGCAAGAAGTAGCACCAAGCGGAAAAACTTCACAGTCTCGTTCTACAAACAGGTTATGATTCTCACGCACCGTCAACTTTTGGTTATGGTTGGTGACAGAAAGTCATTGATTGGAAAGTGGAGTGTAATAACTTTCCAAGCCCTCATTGTAGGTAGCTTGTTTTACAATCTCCCAGATACAAGGTAAGCAATCTACTCTCCCAAAATGACGAGACCCGTATAGCTCACCTTCTCAAGCAATGGTGTATTCACGAGGGGAGGTGTGATGTTCTTCATACTGCTTTTCAATGCATTACTTGCTATGGCAGAGCTGACCGCAGCATTTGAGAGTCGACCAATCTTGCTGAAACATAAAAGCTTGTGAGGACCGCAAATAAAAAGAGAGAAAAAAAGTCAGGATTAACATTCTCTAGCTCTTTCTATCGCCCTTCGGCATATGCACTTGCCCAGGTTGTTGTTGATGTGCCTCTTGTGTTCATACAAGTCGTTATATTTGATATCGTAGTATACTTGTGAGTCCTGTCGGGTGCTTTGAATGAATCAAACTGATGAGTTACGTAGCATGGCAAATCTTGCACGAACAGCTTCACAGTTCTTCATCAATCTACTTATCATTTTCGTTCTCACAATGACCATGTACTCGTTCTTTCGAGCCCTTGGGGCTCTATGTGCCTCGTTGGATGTTGGTAAGTGAAACGCTTCCCGCTATCGAGAAGTCAATAACACTATATAGCCACACGTCTCACTGGTGTCGCTATCCAGGCATTGGTTGTGTATACAGGTGAGCTCAGTTTAATGAATCCTAAACTCGAACAGAATGGCCAACATAATACAGGCTACCTAATTCCTCCATGGAAAATGCACCCGTGGTTAAAGTGGCTCATTTGGATCAATCCTGTACAATACGCATTTGAGGCGCTGATGGCCAATGAGTTCTACAATCTACAGATAAAATGCGAACCACCCTGGATTGTGCCCGATGGGCCAAATGCAGTTCCTGGCCACCAAACCTGTGCAATTCAAGGCAGTGAGCCTGACCAGTTGGTGGTTGATGGTTCTAAGTATATCAAAACAGCATACACCTACACGAGAGCTCACCTTTGGCGAAATATCGGTATTATCATCGGATGGCTGATATTTTTTGTCTGTTTGACAATGATAGGAATGGAATTGCAGAGACCTAATAAGGGGGGCAGCTCGGTGACCGTGTTCAAAAGAAGTGAAGCTCCCAAAGGAGTTCAGGATGCCATCAAAAGATCCGCACCCCCACAAGATGAGGAATCTGCGGAGAAAGATGGCACGGCTTCCAACAAAAGCGACAGCCACTCGACTGAATCCACCGACAAAACTCAGAATGTTGCTAAAAACACAGCAATTTTTACATGGCAAGATGTCAACTACACCATTCCGTACAAGGGTGGACAGAGACAACTATTGCAAAATGTTCAAGGATATGTTAAACCTGGTCGGCTCACTGCATTGATGGGTGCTTCTGGCGCAGGGTAAGATAAAAAGACAATGTTGAGACTGTTCTCGATGCTAATGTCTGGACAGGAAAACCACTTTGCTCAACGCGCTAGCACAGCGAATCAACTTCGGCGTGGTGACGGGCAACTTCTTAGTTGATGGCAGGTAGGGGTCCCTTGACGTATGTGGTCAATTATGCAGTCTAACATTTTCAGTCCTCTCCCAAAGAGTTTCCAGAGAGCGACTGGATTTGCTGAACAGATGGACATCCATGAACCCACTGCTACTGTACGCGAGTCTCTTCGGTTCTCTGCTCTGTTACGGCAACCAAAAGAAATCCCATTACAAGAAAAGTATGATTATTGTGAGACGATCATTGACTTGTTAGAAATGCGGTCCATCGCTGGCGCGACTGTTGGATCCGCGGGCTCAGGTCTCAACCAGGAACAGCGCAAATTGCTTACCATTGCAGTTGAATTGGCAAGTAAGCCGGAACTGTTACTTTTTCTTGACGAGCCGACATCTGGTCTCGATTCTCTGGCAGCATTCAACATTGTACGCTTCCTTCGCCGACTTGCAGATGCCGGTCAGGCTGTACTATGTACAATCCATCAACCTTCTGCAGTGTTGTTCGAGAATTTTGATGAGCTTTTGTTGTTGAAAAGCGGCGGGAGCGTTGTTTATAATGGGCCGCTTGGGAACGACTCCAAGACGCTTATTGAATACTTTGAGCAAAATGGCGGGAGGAAGTGCTCACCAAATGAAAATCCGGCTGAGGTGCGTGTCTCAAAGCATGAGCTCATGTTCCCTGCTCATATTTTTTTCTAGTATATGTTGGAGGTCATTGGAGCCGGAAACCCGGATTACAAGGGGCAAGACTGGGGTGACGTGTGGGCCAACTCGCCAGAATCCAAGCAGCTTTCTGCCGATCTAGAGGATCTCATAGCCTCTCGTCGCAATGCTCAAACCGACGACAATGTCAAAGACGACCGTGAATATGCAATGCCTCTTTCTGCACAAATAGTGGCAGTCACCAAGCGCGCATTTGTGGCCTACTGGAGGGTGCCAGACTACATTATTGTAAGGCGCTCCCTTGCAAATACTGAGCTTGAATGACTGGACTGACCATGATTTAGGGTAAATTCATGCTTCATATATTCACCGGCCTTTTCAACACTTTCACATTCTGGCATCTTGGACATGGCAACATCGACATGCAGTCACGACTCTTCTCTGTTTTTATGACATTGACGATAGCTCCACCACTGATTCAGCAACTCCAACCGCGGTATCTTCATTTCCGGGGCCTCTATGAATCTCGCGAAGCTAACTCCAAGATTTACTCTTGGGCTGCCTTTGTGACGAGCACAATTATCCCAGAACTACCCTACTCAATCGTTGCGGGGTCAATCTACTTTAACTGCTGGTAAGCTTCTCTTGAGTTTAAATGTATTCTTTGCCTCTGACGAAGTTACAAAAGGTACTGGGGAACTTGGTTTCCGCGCAGCTCGTTCATCTCCGGCTACGTTTGGATGTGCCTGATGCTATTTGAAGTATACTATGTTGGACTTGGTCAATTCATCGCTGCCCTTGCACCCAATGAGCTATTTGCCAGCTTGCTTGTGCCGACTTTCTTCACCTTTATTGCTTCATTCTGCGGTGTTGTCGTCCCTTACGCCGCGATGCCGCATTTTTGGCAGTCGTGGATGTACTGGCTTACGCCTTTCCAGTATCTGCTTGAGGCACTGGTTGGAACCATCACCCACGACGTTCCTGTACGCTGCATTGAGCGTGAAGAATCGCACTTTAGTCCTCCGCCTGGCATGACCTGCCAACAATATGCTGGGTCTTATGTCGCGAAAGCCGGTGGATATGTTCGAGACGCTGCGAATGGAATGTGCGCATACTGTCAATACTCGGACGGTGGTCAATATGTAAGTTTTGTACTATCATGAGTGGCTTTTCTTGAATACCTCGATTAGTAGACTTGAAGTATGGCTGACTTTAGGACTTCGCTACACTCTCTAGTCTAAGAGCATCAATGTTTTCTACTCGCACAAGTGGAGAGATTATGTGAGTATCGTGTCTTGTGCCCCTTTGGCCCGCCTTGGAGCTCAGGTAAATCTGACAACTGTTAGGGAATCCTCTGGGGATATATCATCTTCAACTTTGCTCTTGTTTTCGCCTTCTCGTGGTTATATTTGCACGGCGTTCGCAACATGAAACGCTGGCTCAGTGCACGTAAGACGAGAACGGGCAAGGACCGTTCTTGAGCGTGGTTACACTGTGTTTGCCATGCAGTGCAAGTGTGCAGGTCTCTCCAGCCTTCCTGTGTATACTCCCTCTCCGTGTATGTGATTGACTCCACGTAATCTCCGAGTCTTGATCAGGTAGAGGATGTTGCGGCTCTATACTCATAATACATACAAAATCATTCCTGTCTTCTCCGGACAAATAGACCTTTTCCTTGCTTTTGATTTGCCGAAGTACATAGTCTATGTACGCAGTCACATCGATTCTGCTTAGTCCATTGGTTGGAGGCCTTAGTTACATTGCGCAGAGACTACCTCCTACTAGCATAGGTAGCATTCCAATAGTTACACGTATGAAATTCATTAGAGATCAATAAGTCCGACATATGATTGCTGAAATCAATCTCCATGTGCCTTGGCCAACAAAATTGCTCATCGCGCAGCTCCGCGCCCAAAAGCTTGGCATTTTTCTGTCCTCCTTCTCACCTGGCGCGTTGAATTTTGCCTATACCAACTTGTTGCTTCCGGCCTATGCCATGACTTTTTAATTGTACTTGATTATTTCGATCCAAATCCTTCTTCTAATTCACCAATTATGAAGGAAGAGACAGAACCCAGAGAAACCCCCGAAGGCTCGACTGCCGGTGACGAGTCGAAGGCCAGCCTTGCTGCAAAGGATCGCAAATGCCAGTACTGCCAACAGGCGTTTACCTCCTCCTCACTAGGTCGACACCTCGACCAATTCCTCTTCAAGAAGAAACCCGACGGAATCCACGATGTTGAAGAGATCAGACGAATTCGCAGTGGAATCACCCGGCGCCAAGCCCGAACATCCACAGGGAAGAACGAGGGCAGTCCTGAACGAGGCCAGAAAAAGGGTGCATCAGAGCCGTTCACAGCTGCAGACCCGGGGTCGAAGTCGCGCGAGGCTCCGGTGCGCATGATGTTTAACACACCCACCTGGCACGCGACTGGAGTGATCAATGATATCCCCAATCCCAGTCGCGTACCGGATGGGCCACGCATTGCGCCATCGCAGTCTCGGACAGGGTCATTGCAACTGCCGGACTATGCGAGTCGAGGTGCTACTTCCAGCAATCCGGATACGATGCGGGCGCTAGAGCTAGCACTACGCGAGGTGCTTGATAATATCAAAGCTGCGAGGTATGTTAGCTCATTCATCGTTATATCTAACCACGATGCTCACAAAGCATTAGCTCTCGTACCCGACCTCGGCTGTCTCCTTTCGACTTCGACATGCAAGCTCAGACTTTCCCCTCCATGTGTCTGCAGCTGCTCCCTCCTCCACCAAGCCTGTTTGCGACACATCCGTTTCCCTCCTCTACCTCGTTTCCCCTCCAGCCTCCCGGCGTCGAACACCTTGATATAATCCGCCAAGCCCTTCGCTCCAAAGTCGCACAATGGCAGACCGACCAACTCGCAGCAGACTCTACTGGCGCGGCTCACACGAGGCATGGAAATAGCGGGGTGGATCCGAACATGATATATCGGAGCGCACAGCAACACGAAGATATCAGTTTCCGACATTTAGAACTGGCGTTCAATCATTGGAATTCTCTGCCTCACGAGACCCGTCGCGAGGCATGGCAATTGGAGATCACACGCGCATTTGCGCGGGAGGTAGAGAGGCGGAAGTCTTCGGACGAGCAACTCGTTCGAGTGCAACAGGAAGCAAATCAGCTACGCGCACAGGTTGAGCGCCTGGGATCCTGCCAGTGGCCCCGTGAGTTCGCACTGTTTCCCCCGATACCCTCCCCCTACCACGGGAGGTAACGCGGGAACTGGACGCACAAGACAGTCACATCAGCGCGGACTCTACACGATGGGACTATGACAGCGTGGTCGCCAAATGGAAACGTGTTGTTATGCACGATAAAGGCATGGGCCGGATTGGAGTTGGCTACGGAAACCCCCCTCAGCTGGGGGATCCAGAACAAAGTCAGTCCCAGCAAAGCCCTGATGTCCGGCCTCCACGCCCAGGCGAAGACACCACCTCTCATCCGAACCGCCTGCGTCCCTTGCAGTCTGCTACGGCTTTGAGTCCAGAAGCCGCAGCTGTTTCCACCCCTGCTTCATCTAACCACTACGCTTCACCCCATTCCTATGCAGATTCTCGCAGCCCGCCCAGCTCCTTTCCCAGTGGTCTGGCCCAGGCGGGTGCGCTGCCTCCAGCCAAGCGGCAGCGCCTCATGAATGGCTCAGAAGACCCGTCTGGTCCCTCGTCCGAGTCTTCTCATGCTCCTGCTGCAGCTGGTAAACCCTGGGGATCTTCCACACCCCATTTATCCAATCTTGCTGCACCATCGGGACAGACGCCTCCGTCTTCCAGGAATTGATATTTGGAATATATATTTTGTAAAAAAGCATTGAACAAGGCGCTTGGGGGCTATTATTAATATTTTGCATTGATTTTAGGCAATAGGTGGTTTGATCCACTCCGTCTTCTTCGTCTTTCCCTGGATCTATTCGTACTAGAGAATTTCAGGATCAGACGAAATTCCAATGTTTTATCCTAATCGTAGTTCATGCCCATGTGCTCTGTTACAGTGACCTCATACTGACCAGAGGAAAAAAATACGTACTAGATACAGTTTGGTGTACTTGGAACTAGTCTCTCTCCTTCGCATCTAGAGCAATCTCTTCGCCCAGATACTCAGCTAGAGTCAACATTTTCTCTTCCTGCAGCCTCCTGCCTACAAATTGCACCCCCACCGGAGCTCCATCGTAGGTATCGGCATCATCTACACGGCGATCAGTATGGAGTTGTGAGAGGAAGGCACAGGGAAACTCACAGTCCCACTGAATGTTCTCAGAGTCATCGATAGACCCATCAGCCGATTTCGTATCGACCTCCTTGTTTGCAAATGTCACTGGAACCGCAAGACTAGTGTAGTCAAGCAGATTCACAAATCCAGTATATCCTACATAATTGTATTCGCTGGGAATGACGGCAGCATGAGGCGCCAATGGACAAAAGAGCCCATCAACAGGACGCCCTGTGCCTGTCACCTCCGCTGTGCTATGCCAGTAGTCCATGTATTGTTTCTGATACTGACGCTTTGCAACATTGAGCGCGGCAATCTCAGATGCTGTCATTTCAGTACCATGGTCGGCACTGATTACTTGCGGAGCTGGAGATTCTCCAGATAGACTGAAATGATACTTCATGTCTGCGCCGCCGTCCATGTCGAACACTTTACCCTGCTACAAGTTAGTATTGTGCATAATCCCACGTAGGCGCAAAGACAAGGTAACATACAACCAGTTCAACGGCAATAGCGTGGGCAGGAGGTTTCCATTCGATGACTCGATGACCCAACCGCCGGAGCGTTTTCTCGACAATCCTGAGCCCCCGCGCAATAGGCGGATGAACAGGTGCCACGCCATCGTATTTCATAATCCCGAATGCAAGCGTTGATGCCCCACCCCGAGCCTGCTCAATCAATGCCCTGGTCTCCTGAACAATCTCATCTCGCCACGGCAGCTCTAACGCAAGAGGATCGTACAGCCAGGGCTTTTGACTAAGAACAGCCTTGAATAAGAGCGTCAAAGATCTCGCAGTTGGCGCAATCGGCCCGATGACAGATAAGATGGAGCCCTGGCCATCTATCGAGTTCGCAGCACCCTGATAAGGAATCCTGCCCGCCGAAGGACGAAGCCCATAGAGGAAATTAAACCCAGCAGGGACGCGCACACTGCCTCCGATATCAGTGCCAAAACCAGCGGGCGATCCGCGGAGCGCCATCAAGGCGCCCTCGCCGCCGGAACTGCCACCGCAGGATAGCAGCCGGTTCTTGGGGTTCCAGGTGTAGCCGATGATGTTGTTGATGGTTTCCCCGGACATTAAAGTGGCTGGTACGCTGGTCTTGCAGTAGAGGACTGCCCCGAGATTGCGTAGTTCGCGGACGAGTTCGCTTTCTTCTGTGCCGCTGCGCGGGTCGTTTGGTTGGCCTTGGAAGGTATTTATCCAGCCTACATAGCCCATTGTGGTTTCGACGCCTTTCACGTGAAACTGATCTTTGAGACTCACTGGTAGGCCGTGCAGGGGTCCAATTGGGGTTTTGTGTTTTGCGAAGTATTCGTCCTGGTTTTTGGCATCTTCAATTGCTGCTTCGAAAAATACTTCATGGAGACAGCCGACCTAGAGTTTGAGTCATGATAAGCTTTTATCTAGGATTTCATGTTGTATTTTTGTTCATTGTTATATAAACGTACGAGTTGGTGAGCCAGTGCGGCTCGGTGACAGAAGGCTTCTGTCACTTCTACGGCTGACCAGCGTCCTGTGGATGTCTGATTCACAATGTCCACAGCATCTGTCTCCGTGATTTCAATTTCACGCTTGGTGAGATACTGTTGTATATAATGCCCGGTGACATCACGCACTTCTGTAGCTGGGGGTACAGGAGATTTCAGCCGCCATTTCTCGGGGATGGCATTTAGAATTGCCAGGCGTTTGACTTCGCCTTTCAGTTCCCAGGATGTGCCAGCCATTGTGGATTGTAGTTGGATCAATTCCCGAGATCGCCTGAGTTTTCGCAAACAAAATACTTATCCACCAGTGCGGGGTTATCGGTGAGACACTCGGCATGTTGACGCGTCTTCGGCACTTCATCCGGAGGACTTCAGACACATCGCCATATTATTCGTTCTATAGAAGATTGATTCGTCTAAGGGATGATAGATCTCTCCACCGGGATGGACTTCGCGGAAATGGAATCCGCATTGTTATCCAATGAAAAGACAGAGCGACTTGTCAATAGTAGCAACGCTTTTGGATATTGATTGCAAGATGTGGCCGAACTCATTAGAAAAGCACCACTGTCTCTGTGGTTAAGTAGGCCATGATAGCATGTTGTCCATGTCCGGACCAAAGAATCTGAGGATGTTGCTGACGTCTAGATATCCCATTTTCAAATGTGATCTACTCTCTTCAGACGCCTAAGTCGTCATTTGTCGAACGTTCAGGTTGACCCGTTTGCTGGACATCCAACCCTTCCACATCTCGTATGGACCAGGGGGCATCCCTGGAACAGACTCTTCAGAGGATGGCCAGTTGGCCAGCCATTTTGGGCAGGTAGAGGGCAAGATCTTCGGGACTCCGTGCCAGGCGAAGCGCGATTTACCGTTCATGTAGACAGTATCGCCCGAGCGAAGCCGAATGATTTCGCAACCATTCCCATCATCATGACTGGCCAAGAACAATCCATCACATCCAAAACTTACGCTGATCAAACCTACGTCGCACTCCTCACTCACATCCCGATGCACGCTCAGTGTATCCCCGGGGGAATAGAGGTTCAAAATGGCAGCCTGAGCTGAAGTTGCTGGAAAGGCCGCACGTAGCACCTTTGCAATATCTGGCGGGAACTCTGGCGGGGTTCCAGAGGGGTATACTTTGGCGGTCCAGTCGTATTGTCCACCCAATGTCACCCAGCGCAGCTTTTTCTCCAAGAGATTTTGAACTGTCAAAGGCTTGTGCATTTGAGGATCTTTCGGCTGGAAGACACGAGCGGGATCATCTGCAAAGAAAGATTTGGGCATGTGGGTGTCTTCTGATTCTTCGGGGTACGTCACATCATAGTGCAGGTGTAGGTTTGTCTGATGCTCGGGGTTCGGTAAGTCTCGGTGGAATAGTCGAGAGAGCAATTCGATCTGGATAGTAGGAGGAAATAAGGCGGGAATCATCAGGAGACCTGTCAGGAGGTCAGGCATGGCTCTTAGTCCTGCTCGGTCAGTTCCTAATTGAGGCGATACAATGCTAACCGGAGATCGATTTGTGAGCGAATACTGGAATATCCTCGGTCAAGGGAGCATCTTCTGCTGCTGCTGCATGACCTCCGCGGTAGAAATCATCAAATGCCAATCGCAAGTTTTGACTGGACATATACTGCTCGATCGTCACTCCGTCGGGCAGTTGGTCGGGGTCGATCCGTTGTAGGTCAAGGATTGCCGGATCAGTATCAATTTCGGACAAGGCAATCTTGGAATATTTCTTATAGCAAAGTCTCACTGGATCAGGAGGGCGATCGTAAGCACTCAGACCCTTGATCTGCGCCATTGCGAAGAGATGAAGTCAGAGAGAAAGTTGAACAGGGAAGGAAGAGGTACGCGCTTCACCGCCCTACGATAGGCGCGGGGGGTTGTTTGTTTTGTGTCTTCGTCTCCCCACCATTGAAACACTGTCTTGTCAATTATCTCTTCAACGAATTACTTTCTTTCAATCTCCCGGTGAAACTAAGAGAGCGTGCTGTTTCAGCTGTTCTCAGAGATCAACATCCCCAAAGTAAGTAGTGACCAGCCCCTCTCCTTGCTTCTACAAATTCTTCTTGGTAACCTCGCTCCAATCTTTGCCAAATACCCACTCCGGCCCTCCTAGTTTGCAATTGTTAATCTCATCAATAGCAGCAAAGGATTGGATGTCGGCCACCATGGAAAACTACCAGAAAATTGAGAAAATTGGCGAAGGTATGTACCATTGACGCGATTGTTGTCACCCACAGCTTAACTCACGCGTCGATCCCCCATAGGCACCTACGGTGTGGTCTACAAGGCCCGTGAACTCAGTCACCCCAATCGGATCGTTGCACTGAAGAAGATCCGACTCGAAGCCGAAGATGAGGGCGTCCCCAGCACTGCAATCCGCGAAATTTCCCTCCTCAAGGAGATGAAGGACCCCAACATTGTCCAGCTGTTTAACATTGTCCATGCCGATGGCCACAAGCTCTACCTTGTCTTTGAATTCCTCGACTGCGATCTTAAAAAATACATGGAGGCTCTGCCTGTTAGTGACGGCGGGCGAGGGAAGCCCTTGCCTGATGGATTGGGTGGTGTGACCCTGGGCCTCGGAGACGCAATGGTCAAGAAGTTTATGGCCCAGCTGGTCGAGGGCATCCGATACTGCCATAGCCACCGAATTTTGCACCGTGACTTGAAGCCCCAGAATTTGTTGATTAACCGGGAAGGCAACCTGAAGTTGGCCGATTTCGGTCTTGCCAGAGCGTTCGGTGTCCCCCTTCGCACCTACACTCACGAGGTACGCAGTGCATTTTTGACTACACCAGTGAGATTGTCTATTTACTGACTCGAACTAAAGGTTGTCACATTGTGGTACCGTTCTCCAGAAATTCTGCTGGGTGGACGTCAGTACTCCACAGGTGTGGATATGTGGTCGGTGGGCGCCATTTTCGCAGAGATGTGTACACGCAAACCACTTTTCCCCGGTGACTCTGAAATTGACGAGATCTTCAAGATTTTCCGGTAAGAGTGGTGTCTCTCTATGCTATATTCAACCGTATTAACAAATCACAGTGTCCTTGGTACCCCTGGCGAGGACATCTGGCCCGGTGTGACCTCGTTCCCCGATTATAAACCCACTTTCCCCAAGTGGAAGCGCCCTGATGTTGAGATCGTTCCCGGGCTGGAAGAGGCTGGATGCCAGCTCTTGGAGTCTCTGCTCGAGTTTGACCCTGCGCACCGACTGTCGGCCAAGCAGGCCTGCCTCCACCCATACTTCCGGCACGGCACTGCACACTACTCCGGACGTGGTCAAAGTAACGGCTACTAATAGTGTAAAAATTCCTCACATTTTCTGTGTAATATTATTCACAGTGGGGAATGACAGGGCATGTTTTCTTTCTCCTCTTTCGGCGTTCAATGGGGAGTGATATGGAGGGCGGACTTACAGGATACGAAGTGCTTTAGTGAATAACAGGCGTACATACCATTTCTACCCAGATATGACAAAAATGATGTTACCATTGTATTCTCTTTTCAGCCTCAGGACAATATCGGTCAAGAGTTGGCAGCTGAACTTCGCCCCGGGGCCCCACATAACGTTGGGAACTAAGCATCTCCCAGTTTAGTTCCTTTTCCTTGTTTTCCCATTGCTGTCTCACATCTCTACCAATCCTAATCCAATCTAGGCATGACTTGGAATTCATGCTTATTCGTGTGGTCCTTCATAGCAGGGGGCTGAGAAGCGAGGTGGGGGCCGAAAGCACGATGTGTTGTCAGATTCGCTCGTTCGTACACTAGTCCAATGCACATGCAGCCTTACGAACCTTTCTAAGGGATCCCAGCGAATCAATACGAGCGAATTGAGGCTGAGGCTATGCTGTTGGCTCGGACTGGCCGTGTGAGGGGAAAATTGGGGAATGTTCCAATCCTCGATCTTCTTATTTAGAAGAGCAATCCCATTTCCATCCGTGATCGCCATTTTGGAATAGCCAGTGTGACAGGAATAGCCGCCCAAGGATTCCTATAGCGCGTGTCCCTCCGAAAGAAAAAAAAACATTCCCAAAGACAGCAGAACCTAAGACCTCAAGCAAGCAAAACCAACCCAGAGACACCCAAAGCCATGGAGTTTGACGACGAGATGGGCTATGCCGTCGCAGGACCAGGCTCCTCGCGCTCAAACAGCCGACCGCCCCGTCCACGCTGTCAAGCACCCCAGGAATCTGTCAAGCAGTTCTGGGAACAGTTCAATACCAAGTATCCTGGCAAAGTATACACGGTGCTACCGGACAATCCGTACGCACGGACTCGGGCCAAGCGTGTACCAAGCGGTCGTATCCAAGGCCACGAAGCCGTCAAATCGTACGAGCAGGCGCGCCAAGAATGTCGAAAATCCGTCGACCGGATCGTCAAGGAATGTGAGCGTGTGAATCAGAAATATACGGACCCCCACTTCGATATCGAGCTCGACCTAAAGACTGGCCGGAGACACTATCTCGATGGATTGGATAAGCCGAATACGTATATGAGACCCCGAGGCGTGAAGAGAGTGACCGTAAGTTCGAGAGCGATCTGTCATGGAGTGATTGGAGGGTTGCTAATGACGTTCATGTAGGAAATCTTTGAGAATCCGCAGTTCTTCGTTAATGGGCCTACCGCATCAGATGTGCGACAGGGATATGATGGGGATTGCTGGCTTATGGCTGCGCTTTGTACTATGGGCAATAAGGAGGAGCTCATCCGGAAGATTTGTGTTCACCGCAATGAGGATGTCGGGGTTTACGGGTTTGTTTTCCATCGAGGTAAGCATGTGCGCGAAGTCCGATACTTAGAGTCGTGCTGATTTTTCGGTCATCAGACGGCGAGTGGCAGCAATGCATTGTAGATGACAAACTATATCTCCGCGCTGCTGACTATGATGAGTCTGTCGACGAGCGACCCCTCTGGGACGACATAACTCGCACTGATACGGAGGAAGAGTACCGTCGAGTCTGGCAGACGGGCTCGCGGGCACTGTACTTCGCCCAATGTGTCGATGACAATGAGATATGGCTACCCCTTCTAGAGAAAGCCTTTGCAAAGGCCCACGGAGATTATTCCGCTATCGAGGGTGGATTTGTTGGTGAAGCTATCGAGGATCTCACTGGAGGCGTGACGTCTGAGGTCTTATCTAGCAACATCCTGAACAAGGACCGCTTTTGGACCGAGGAACTTATGAAGGTCAACAAGGAATTTCTGTTTGGTTGCGGGACGGGCATGTACTCGAACTGGTTAGATCCCAAGTACCAGGGTCCACCGAGGGATCGCAAGGGTATCGCAGAGGGCCACTCCTATTCCATCATGGAAGCCCGGGAGATCAACGGACATCGGCTGCTGCGATTGAGGTACGTACATGAATTGGCTTGTCAAAGGCAGATGGACGAAAAACTCACAACTACTAGGAACCCATGGGGTCGCAAAGAATGGCACGGTGCCTGGGGTGATGGATCCAAAGAATGGACACCCGAGTGGATGGAAATTCTTGGCCATAAATTTGGCAACGATGGTGTACGTATCAATTGATTGCCCTATCGCTGAATACGCTGACCTGGCCCAGTTCTTCTGGATCTCTTATAAAGACCTCCTTAGGAAGTACCAGCACTTCGACCGGACTCGTCTTTTTGCACTTGAATGGACCATTACCCAGCAATGGACTACCTTGAATGTTCCATGGTCTGCGGATTATCACAGTACCAAATTCATGATGGATGTGACCAAGAGTGGTCCGGTGGTCATCGTCCTATCCCAGGTTCGTGATGCGCTGCTAACTCCTGATCTCTCATGGTGACTGACAGACACAGCTTGATACGCGTTATTTCAAAGGGCTAGCCGGCGAGTATAGCTTCGTGCTCAAATTCCGCCTACAAAAGCAGGGAGAAGAAGATTATCTCGTGCGCAGCCATAGCAGCCACTTCATGGGCCGATCTGTCAACGCCGAGATTGACCTTGACCCGGGTCACTATCACGTCCTGATGAAGATCACTGCTTTCCGTCACGAAGACGTAGCTTCGACTGAGGAAATTGTTCGCCAGGTTGCCTCGACTAGAAGAGAGAAACTGGTGCAAGTCGGCCTTTCATACGACCTCGCGCATGCCAAGGGAATGATAGGCGAGACAGAGCAAGAAAAGTGGGAGCAGGAACGCTTCAAGGAAATTGAGCGAAAAAAGCTTCGCGATGAGATCAAGAAAAAGAAGCAGAAGGATTGGATCCGCAACCAGAAGATGAATGCCCGACAAGAGCGCATGGAAGCACGGCGCGTTACCCGCACCCCCAGTGGTAGCTCCTACGGTCATAACCCCGAACACGATCCTATTCCGAGTCAGATCTTAGCAGAAAAGCCAGTAGAGGATTCTCCCATTGACACTGCAAGCATTTCAAGTGAAACCAGTGACCACCGTGTTAATGGTTCCGTGCCGGTCATCCATGTCAACGGCGGCCAGGGCCTACACGCAAGACACGCAAGCAGTGGCTGGCGACGCGGAGCCGACTCTCCACATCCCAGTCTAGACACTCGCATTGCTACAGAGGCTTTGGATCCGAGTGACCTTGAGATATTAGAAGGATTCGAATTTGATAGCGATCTCGATATGCCTCCTGACGAGGCGAATGTGAAGAACCATCCCCCATCAATGGACCACAATGAGCCTCCTGTCGACCCATGGAATGCTGTCTGCGTTGTGGGACTGCGCGTTTACTCCAAGGATCCGATGTTGGGTTTGCAGGTTGTGCGTCCTGTGCCACCGAATGATGTTGAGGCTCCTCTGGACCGGGACGACCCTGCGGCGTCAGCGACTACCTCTCGGCGAGATGCTTCTTCGTGAAGGGACTCTTCAATTAATTAGTTATCCATTTAGTCCACGGCTCATAACCCATATTTTCGGTTTCATTCAAATTGAACAGCGATACAAAATTGAAATTCGTGCATGATTATTAGCTTACATATGCAGCACTTTGTTTTCGGGTTGCAGAATGATGTGGAGACTACATGCTATTACAATCCAGGTTTTTATAGAATTTATTAAGATGAATATTCTCTTCAAACACACATCATTGCCATTCAAGTGTTTTGATGTTGAGATCTTTCTGTGTAGCCAGATTATTCAGGCATCCTCAGGCATCAATTGCCTTCGGATAGCAAAGCCAACAACCCAAGATCCTTGACAAGTTTTATCAAACATTAAGTGCTTGTTCAATAGTGCTATGCGAGATATTCTCTGCGCGCCCCGCAGGGTAGCCCTTTTTCTGCGTAGCAGCAGAGGAGCCACCCGCATTTCCGTCGCGTATTTCCAGAGCTCGCGGTATTCAACCGTTTCATCTGATTGCACAGATGAGACAATTTCTCTTCCTATTGGAAATAACGGGGCTATATCTCTCCAGTATTTTATACCCTTTTCTATCAGCTATAGCCAAACATGCTAACTTCGTCCCCAGAATTACGCGACCGAGCGCGTGGAGCCGGTCTCAGCAGGGGCAGTCATCCGAAGGCCCAAATGTAATCCTCTACCTCCCGCCTGGACCTTTGTTACAGGGGAATGAGATGAGCGGATCTCAAAAACATGAAACCTCTAAGATCGATTACCAAAAGATCGGCGCTACCAACACCTTGGCCTCTGCAGAAGGTTCACACCAGCATGTCCTGGCATCTACTGCATCTGCATTGGTGGTCACAGTCAACTACCGCCTCGGGGAGATACAAACACAAGTTTCCCCCTCTTCAGATAGAAGCTCTATCTCCCAAGAGCCAGTTGAAGCACCAGACCAAATCCTGGGACCAAGCAACCCTCAAGTCACCTCTTACAAATACCCAACCCCCGTCCACGATACCCTAGCTGGATTTGACTGGATCCAAACCAACCTCCGACCATCTCAACTAGCCATCTTCGGCACACACTTTGGAGGCTCCCTGGCTCTAATGCTAGCTCTAACAGAAGCGCGATCCATCCAAGCCGTCGCCGCCGTAGAACCCATTTGCGACTGGCCGGGTTTAGATGAGTACTGCACACGCGAAAGCACTACCACAACACCCAAGACTGTTTCAAAGGACAATACTGCCTCAATTCCAACACTATCAAAAAACAAGCGCCAACCAAGAAAAAAGACCCCAGCACTACCAGACCTACTCCCCCTCCTTGAAGCCCGCTCAAAATTCTTCTCGACACCAGAACGCTGCTTCGACTCCTTCGCCTCGCCAATCCTCTTCCTCCGCTCTGCAGGCCGGGACGTGCCGCGCACATTCCCGCAGTACCTCACGGGACCGGAATATCCTGTCCCCGTACTGAAGGAGACGCGAAGCACAACAGCTGAGCAATACGGTGCCGCGGACGGGTCGATCTGGGATCGAGATGTGTATCCCGATATGGATGCTGACGAGGTTGATATCAGCACTACTGTTACGCGGCGCCGGAAGGCACTTTCGCGCTGGCCGCCGTTCGGGCTGGATTATGGGCTTAGTGGTGACACGTGGTCTGGGCCTGGAGATGGGATTGGGCGATTGGAGATGGCTTTGCCTTGGGTTCGGGTATTGTTGAGAGAGGATGGTGCTGCTTTGGCCTCTGGTTCTCTGTCCTCGTCTGCGGTTGAGACGAAGAAGAAGAGTAGAGAGGGTGCCGCTGGGGATACGGTTCTTGCTAGACAGGCTGATGAGATGGTCTCTGTTATGCGTCGGGCTTGCTTTTGGGGACGGGAAAAGGGGGTTGGGGAGCGGAGGGTTACTTTATCGAGGGTGGGGACTGATAATAATGGGAGAGAGGAAGTGGGTGATTGGTTCAAAGGTGTGTTTCAGGGCAAAATGGATGATAGAAATTGAAACTTATTGCAATAAATACAAATTCGGATATAAATATCGAATTGTATGTGCGAGGGATTCATAAGGGTCCAGATTTGAAGTATGGAATCGTGGGAATAATGATACATCTATGTAGGCGCCGCTGGTGGAGTGATATATATCAACGGGTTATGCATGTTCATCCGGGTAACAGGGAGAGGGGGAGGACAAATTCGACAACTCGGTAGATTAGATACTCTTGGCAATACCGTAAGTATCCAGACAGGGAAAGCAAAGAACAGAATGATAAAGTGGTCACCCAATAACGATTTATGGCGGCATAGAGCTCCTATAATTTTCCGAGGCCCACCATCCGTCAATGGCCACAACATCTGAGAGCATGTTAGGGTCCTCTGGAAAAGGAGGAGAAGGAATTTGGCCCATGCCATTTAGTGCGTTGCCATTTTGAGTCTCTGACAAAAGACGCATATCCGAGTTGGGGATCCAGTCTAGATCGCCTAGCTGAGACTCCGGAACTGAGACAGGGAAGGGGACTTGGTGTTGATAAGAGTTTTGCTGGTGATATTGGTTATGAGTGGGCATGGTTTGCTGTGAAAGGTGGGAGTATTGGTTGGCCATTACAGATGCTGTTGGCTGATCATGAGAACGGGTCTCAGAAACAGATAAACGGGACTTCTTCCGCATGCCATCCATTCCGTGAACATTGTTAGCACGACTATGCTGTATAGACGGCTTCTGCGAGCCAAGCGAGCCCAAGTTAGCATTGTTATTTTGGCGTTTCGTCGCTGAGCCGGATCGGCGCATGTTTGCTTGCCAGCGTCGCTGGAGGGTAACAAGGTAGTCGCGGGTGCGCTTGGCATTGTCGAATGATTGGCCGAGTTCATCGAGAGCGCGGAAACATAGATTGAGATATGCTACCATTTCTGCGTTGCGGGGGAATGTCGGACTGTCACCCTGTTTGGCTGGACTCATTGGGGAACTGGATACTGTTACGAAGAGAAGCATGAGTGCTGCGCTGAAGATTATCGCTACAACTTGGTTGTTCATGCGGCGGAATGTGTAGTGTTTCTCGAAGAGTTGGAGTATTCGTGCAATGGCGGTTGCTGACTCCACGCACATGCGCCGCGCATGGTGATACCCGGGGCCTTGACGAGGACTGCGGGGCTGGATATAGCTTTTAGAGAGCCATGGGCGGTGGAAGAAGATGATGATCTGATGGTATTGCATGCTACCAGAGACTATTAGTATGACTTCAGGCGCCTATGATATTGATATAAACTTACTGGAGCATCATCAAATGAGGCAATATTGGGGATGTATCATCATCCATATTAATCTTGAGGCTGGAGGGAAGATTTGCCTTCCAGGCGAACAAATCTTCCGTCACTTGGTAGCAGATTCTTTGCAAGTCGTGCCGAGAGATGTCAGAACATCCATACCTAGACATGTTAGCATTGTACTAAATAACACACAAACATCACATACAAAATATGACCAACCGGGGAGATCATCTCCCATAGAACGACAAATTGCCTGCATATTAGCTCCATGGGATTTCTCAGACCGTTCTCGGATAGCGCGTGGGCAGCTTGGTCGCCGTATGGATGCCAGTTTTCTTCCTTTTCGGGATAAAGAGCAGAGCCAGGTTTCGGAACGCCTATGTCCCCAGCATTCATACGGAACGGGCGGCCCAGGTAAAAGCCCCAGAAGCTATATACTGTTAGAGATATAGATGGTGTAAAAAAATAAGAAAACTCACTGGTCTGCGACATAGCTCCCCCAAAAGGTTGCGCGGCGCACATCGGCCTCGAACTGGGTGATATCGCCCTTGTTGACGTAGGATGTCATATCTAGATGCAAACCAAGATCGAAAGCAAGCCGCATAGACATTCCTGTAAAGCCATTGTTCATTCGCGTTGATTCTTTCTCATCTTCAAGATACATCGAAACTTACCACTATACAGCCATCCTCGAGCATCTCGATTTGATGCGCCTTCATGGCAGCTCATAATGACAAGCGCCTGGACAGTAGCAACACAAGGAGAGTCTAGTTCAATTTCCAGAAGGGCCTTGGCGCGATCTGCGAAGAATTCTGAGAGAGACTTAGGAAAAGTGATGAATGTGGGGTGATAGCGAGCCTCGAAGGCGCTCCCAATCGCGCACCTGCAACAAGTCAGGATATCCCTTAAGGACTGGTGATTGAAGGTAACTCACATTGCATTAGTCAGAACCTCTGAGTAGAATGGAGTATCATCCAATTCGTTACGCCATTTAGTTCGTGCCATTAAAAACATCTCTTTGTCGACAATGTATGTACTGGGGTTTTGCCAGGTGAAATAAAGCTCCACAAGATGATCTTCCAGGGCTTGATCAACAGGTTGACCAACCCGGAGATGATTCAGAATATCCTGACCATCATGGCGCACAGTCCGTGCGTCTGGTCGCTGTCGCTGCTGTGTCGCAGAGACGTCCACCAGATTGAGATTGGAGGTAGCACCGTAGAATCGCAGATGGCCGTCGCCCGCAATTTTCAAAGTGCCAATTCGGTGCGACAATTGCTCTATAACGTCATTTTCTGCCTCGTCCTCTTCGTCGGTGTCCGAATCATTTTCTCCGTCATTGGGTAGCTGGCCGAGCAAGACCCCCGGCTGCTGGGCCATGTCCATACCAAGCTGGTAGCTATCCGGGCTCGTCTGGGTGTTGACTGGAATTCTAGGCATTGCAGGGGTGCCCGATCCACCGTTGAGATTGGCATAAATAGTGTCCAGGCTTTCAGCTGTTGGCAAAGTGAAGCCCCAATGGACGAAGTTTTGATTGTCGGAAGCGCCTTGTACCATTCCGAATGGATTCCAGCCCTCGGGCGATGGGACCTTTTCAGTGGGTGGAGTATTTCGCGCTGGGGATGCACCAGAAACTGCCAAATTAGTGACCGGGGTTTGTCCCTTGGGAATTACGGCGGGCGAATCTTGGATCGGGGATTTGCTTGGAATCCCGGCCCTTGGCTCATCGGGTGGCCGTTTGTCATCGGCCGCCGCTGAAGCTTGAGGGAATCCGCGCGGGATCTGGAGGGTATCCAGTACCCTGTTCATCCCAGCCTCATCTTCTGGGTTCATTGGCGGTGGCTCTAGCCCCCGCTCCTGGATAAAATGACAAAGCTGATCAATTCGGGCCGAGAACAGCTCCGTTGATGCTCGAAGAGACACTCTGGTTTAGATTAGTCTTTGAACATTGAGTGTTGTATGCCTGTAAGGGCTGGTTTGTCATTTGGATATGAACAGTGAAGAAGTCCTACTTACTTGCGCTTGTCATCTCCATGTTGGTATTTGCATTCTTTTCCCTTACGCTGACAATTTTGGCAGTTCGGAGTAGCTCCATCACACTGATATCAAGCACATCAGATTATTTCGATCCCACCAAGGCTTTTTGCAAGCTCGGAGCACGTACCCTGATTTTGCTCTCCCGACATGGCACACAGGCGGTTGTAACATGTTTACGGGGTGCCTTTTTTGTTCTCTCTGGATCAGGCGACATGACTTATATATGTTCGAGGCCTCCCCGATTCTTCCCAGTGTTGAAACTTGGGGTTGTGGAGTATGTGGCGATGACTCCCCGCAAATAGGAGATGGACCTGATCACCGTTTAATTCATCCCGCGCAGAGGGTTCAAATTCTCACAGTTTTGATCAAGCCATTGAAAAAAGGAGGTTTATAAATCACAAAAAAAAAAACTTGTCCCCCAAAGAACAAAATATTCTGGGCGGGGGGGAAGAGGATCCACCGCAGCCTATGAAATGGTGGGGGATAAGCAGGGCTGTTGGTCAAGTGACATCCAATTTACACGGAGCACAATATATACATCAACAACAAAAGACGGAGTTAAATAGTACATGTATTGGCTAGAGTATTTGTACTACCAGTCCCCAGTACGCTTGATGCCCTCGTTTTGCACCACCTCAATCCAATATCCATCGGGATCCAAGATAAATGCAATGTTGTGCATCCGTCCATCAGTCAGGCGCTTCTTAAAGCTCACATTCAGAGACTCGAAGCGCTCGCACGCAGCCGGGAGGTCGTCAACAGAGATACCTGGTTCAAATTAGAAACCTTGGCAAACTAATCAGAAGTCGTGTGATCCACTTACAGATATGACCGAAACCTTGGGGCTCAGTGTTACCGTTGTGGTAGACAGGGCCCTCCTGCTTTTCGGTGCCGTAGTTCCAGGTTAACTCGAGCAGACCTTCCCACTCCGCCACTCCATTCTTGCTGCCCTCCTTAATCTCTGGGTTGGACGCAGGGTAACCCAAGAAATATAGGTTGAACTTGTTCTCTGGGTTCTCAATGGTGCGGACCAAAGTCATGCCCATGGATTCCTGATAGAATTTCAAGCTAGCTTCGGCATCCTTCACACGCAGCATGGTGTGGTTCAATCGGTAGCTACCCGGGTCGGTGGTGGTGCTGAGGTTCTCATCGGCGCGACTGATGATCTCAACCCAGTATCCATCGGGATCCTTGGCAAAGGCAATGTGTCGCATACGGCCTTCAGTCAACTTCTTCTGGAAGGGGTAGCCGGCATCTTCGATCCGCTTGCAGGCGGCTTCAATGTTATCAACTGAGATGGCAATGTGGCCGAAACCACGGTGGGGCTCTGTGTTTCCGTTTACCACGCTGTAATTGGGATCGTTCTCAGTGCCGTAGTTGTGAGTCAATTCCAAAACGGCATTACGGTCGGTCCAGTGACGGGTACCCTGGAGAGAGGCGGGACCGTCATATGCCAGGAAGTAATTGCAGAACTTCCACTCAGGCATGTCAATCTTGTTGACCAAGTTCAAACCAAGGAACTTGTAGAATTCCACCGATCGCTGCGGGTCTTTGACCCGCATCATCGTGTCTATCATTCTGCCATGTCAGTGATTGTGTCGAAAGATATTGATCGGTCCACGAACGGTTGAGTTTATAGGTGGAGGTATCGGTAGCCATGGTTGCTAGGGATCCTAGTAACTTGATCAGTAATTGAGCTCTCAGCTGATAAATTGAACATACTGATCGGTACAAATCTTTGCTGGATGGCGGAAAGACGAGCGAACATTTTAGGGGATGGAGGGGCGAAAAGCGAGCTTTTTGTCAGCCGTGAGGAGATTGTGGGGCACATGACGCTATAGCTGGTACAGCTCTTGTAGCTCTTGTAGCCCTTTATAGCTTATAGATGTATATTGTATATAGAGCTGGGATTAGATTCTATATAGTCTAATCACTTGCGATATGTCTAAGCTATGTCAGACTGGTTAACCTATAGGAATGACCTGAACCCTGAAAGGAAATATATAATATATAATAAACATTTTATAACATAGCTAACATAGCTAATATAGCTAAGAATCATATAGCGATGTATATTGTCTATTTTTGAGCTGAATATGAAATGTTATAAGTAGGATACCAGGTACTCTATATATACACCGTAGGCAGCTATATCTCAACGTGTTCAACGTCATGCGGGAACTCCCCACAGGTCCTTCTTATCTCCAATTCCTCTTCTCTTCCTAACACCTCAACATTGAAACTTCACCCTCGAACCCCCCGATTCATCCAATCCAACCCCAGCTTCACATAGACCAGGTTCGTGGAATTCCTCTTGCATGCTCCTCCACACTCGCTCCCCCGCTCCCGGTTGATCCCTTTCCTACCATTGGCCTCATTCTCCCCCGGGCTTCGTGTCGCATCCCGATCGGTCTCTCAATTTTCGACTTTCTCATACTGCCGCGCTTAGCTCTCGGCTTCCACGTATACTCCCCCTCTTCTTCTCCCAATCATGTTTCTGCTCATGTACACACGTCGCTCAGATTTGCCCGATCGCTGAGCTGCTCCAGCGTGGAGCTGCCTCTACGGTCGTACCGGGCCTCATAAGGCTCGCTTTCCCTGTTTTTCCCCCTGTGCCACCGGACACGATTGCAATTACCGTGACTTTTTATTTGAACCAGAGACCCCGTATGCGCATTGAGTCAACGGTTCCGAAGCGCTGCCTGTTCCCCTCATTCCCTGTCATTTAGCTGGCCAAATCCCGGCTATGAGAACATTACCTGCTTCCCTCGTACCCTCTATTCATTAATTTTACCTTTCTTGTGGGGAATAAACAATCGCGTTATAATCTCTGTGGATGCAGTATCTATGGGTGTGAAGATGGCTGAATGCGAATCTCCTCCAGTTCCCGGCTTCTCTGATTCGATCTCCGATTGCTCCTCGACAACTACACCCACATCCCCCTCCCAGCCTCTCTTCGAACCAGAATTTCTGCCTTACTGGGCCCGTTACGAGAGAAAGTGTGCTCAGAACCTACTGGACTACTCTGACGAGCCGATCGAATACGACCACGACGACGAGGACTATCACGACAACTGTTTCTTTTTCCCAGAAGACTGCTCCTGGACACCACCAAAAGATCACATTGCGGAAGATTGCATATCGCAGCAGGAGGAACCAGAGATACAAGAGCAGTACACGCCGCCGGTAGGCCAGGACACCGACACCGACACTGACACCATGATCCCCGGTCTCCCCGATATCAAGATGCTGGACGCAGAGGCGTTAAGCGACCTATTGGAAGATAACCTGTCTCCGCCAGAGATCACAACAATCATGTATGCCCGCCTCGCTTCCATCACAAGATCCACCTAGTAACCCCATCTCTAGTGTCTTCGCAACAAACGGCGCCGTCTTCGCCCACGGCTCCTCCCTCTCCTCACGCCAACTACGCAACCTTAGCGCAACCTACGGCGCCGCCTACACATGCTACGCCAAAACAGCCTCAACCGGCAACCTAACAGGCGTCAATCCAGCCAGCCATCCCTCATCCTACGTGACCGCCAAGTCAATGTCGCTAGGCGACGTAGGCTCGATCGTCTTTGAACTAGACGACTCCGTCGCCGTGGTAACCCGGATCGCGGATAAAGTTCTCGTCGCCGCCGTCGGCCCATCCAGACTAGACACAACCGAGCCAAACGGCGGCACCAACGCCGAATCCATTACCGACAACGGCGTCCTTGACGCTGGAAATGGAACTCTGACCCCCGACGGCTCGCAGGGTGATGTCTCGCGCACACTTGCATCTGTACCTGCGTCCCCGAACCCACCTCACAACGGCCACCGAGACCCGCAGTTTGAAATCGATCGTAGTGCCGATCTTGCACGCCTGGCCAGCTTGAATCTCACTGCTTCGCCGGCTGTATTACTTGCTCTAGAGTCTAAATGCGCTGCGCTAGGACGTTTCCTTGGGGAGAAGTTGGATGACCTTGAAAGTCCGGAGGATTTCTAATTGGAAATGAAAATGTCTACAGCGACGTATGCTGGGACTATTGAGTTAAACCATGCCCGTGTGTATTTCATAGGCTATGTTATGATTTGACGACACATTTCTATCCGCTTTGTGTATTTGATAGTTGAAGGATCATTGATCCGATTAGCGTTGATATTTGATTGCATCTATTTTGAGAAGGAATTTATTAAGAGGTATATATATATCAAGTTGACTGGGGGTGTTTCGCTCGGATGTAATGAACGCTACACCCCAATAAACGGACGTATGCACACGCGTTATATCAATATGTGTGGAGATAATCCAAGTTCAAAACCAAAAGAGCATTTCAAATGCTTGAACAAGCACTAGGAATAACTATCAATCTCATGATTTATCCACAGCAGAGCCGCCGGGCGAGGTGTGGTAGTGGCTAGCTGTGCTGCCCGTGCGGCTAAGAACGGCAGTCGGGCTAGCAGCACCAGTGGCAACAGGAGCAGTGGAAGCAGCAGCTGGAGCAGCAGCCGGAGCAGGCTGGGTATCTTTCTCGGCGTAGGTAGGCGGCAATGGCTGACCGGATACGTTATTGGCGGGGCTGGCAGAGGCAGCAGGCGACGTTGCTGTGGGAGAAGCCTGCGTCGGGGCAGCAGTAGCGATTGCCGGGGCAGCGGTAGCCAGCGTCGGGCCACGGGTAGCGTCCTTAATGACGGTCCACCATTTCTCAGCGTCATTGGGGGTGTGAGCCTTGAAGCTGAGCTCGGTGTTTGTGTGGAAAGCATTTCCAATTTTACCGCTAGAGACATCCTTGCCCTTGACGCTGAACTTGATACCGTCGATAGCGCCGACGACACAGTCTGGCAGGTACAGCGAGAGCTCGGGGGAGGGGTCGCGACGGAAGTCGTCGTTGTCCTTGAACTCGTGCAGATAGCGTGCCGGCGTGACAACGTAGTAGCCGGTGCTGTAGCCCTTGATAACGGCGCGCGAGCGACGCTCGAGGGTGCCCTCAATGAGAGGCTGTGTGGAGCGGTGCTCCATGTTTGGGAAGGTGATACTGGCGAAGGAGCGTGGGGGTGAGTCTGGGTTGACTAAGGCTGCGTCGTTGCGCACGCAGAAGTTGACCCATTCGAAGTCTGGTGGGATGCGCTGCGCTGTGCCGAGGATGTCGGCGTACATGGCGCGCTGGCGCTCGAGTTGGCCGCCCATGTGCTGGTTGAATTGATCCAGGGTGCCTTGCACGGTCTGTAGGACGTGTGCTTCGAACTGCTGGAAGGAGTTCTGCACGGCGAGGATATCCTGGCGGTGGCTGTTTTCCTCGTTTACTTGATTGTGAAGACGGTAGTTGATGCCGCGCTTGAGGAGGTAGGGGTCGTGGTGCGCCTCAATCTTGCTGGAGGCGGCGGCGTCGAAGGTAGCGGCGTTCTGACCTAAGAGCTCGATGTGCTTCTGGGTTAAACCACGCGCCTTTTCGACGGCCTTGGCTCCCTTGGAGGCACCGGTGTTGAGCTCCTTGGACTTGGCCTTGATCTCTTTGTGGAGGCGTTCGAGGGTGGGGAGGACGCCGCTCTTGAGATTCTTTTCGCCGTCCAGGTACATGTTCACCATGCCCTGGGTGTTGTTACGGATGTTTTCAAACAGACCAGCTACGCCGCCCGCGCTGGCACTGAAGTGATGGCCCTCCTTGAGAGGTTCATTCACGGTCTATTCCCATTCTTTGTTAGTCCCGGTTGCTTCGGCTCATTAGGATAGGTACCGACCTTCAAGATCTTCTCGTAATCCTTGGACTGCGACTTTTGAACTTTGGCGGTAGCAGAAACATAATCCTCGAGATATCCGCACATATGCTTCCAGGCTCGAAGACGCTCAAGTAGGAGAGTGGTAGTCTGTAAACACGCGCACTGTCAGTCCAAGGTATTCCTTGTTTTCTTGGACATCGCAAATACAGACCTCACTACTATCAGTCTCAGGAATAGCTTCATCGTCACTCATGGACGTACGACGAGTGAAGGCGCTGCTCACGGTACCAGACCGCTGCGGCAGCTTCACGTCCGCGGGGCTCGTGGACATGGCGGAGAAACAGCGGGATGAGGTCGATGCGTGAATCCAATTCTGTAGCGACAATTCAAGATGCCGAAGCTATCTTGTCCCAAACCTGTGGCTGAAGAGTGATGTGGCTTAAATGAATAATCGGGGGGTTAAAGTTGTGAAAGACTAAGGCGGGGATGCGCTAGTCTATGGCTGGACTAGTTCACCTGGTTAGCAAAGAGATCCATAGTGGAAGAGCAGACTTACAAGTTGACAGAGGTGACAATTCTGCGGAATATTGTCAGATAAAAAGAAAGGGTGAGGGAAATTCATTCTTAACCGATCGACGTTCATGAGGTCATGCCCCTCATCGAGCCCAAAGCCACTAGAACCCTATTAGTCTATCAGGCCTGGCTCGTCCAATATTCAGGTTATTCAGGTTATTCACAGGCTGACTTGGTATATACCATGGACATCTTCAAATGTACCGATGCAAATGCAATACTTCCATCTACACTATACTCGAGGCAAGTTATGTTGACTAGGACCGGATAGCTGGCAACTCTAACCAAACCTAGAACGCAAAATGAACATACACAGGTCCTCATCAAAATTGCCACAAGCCATATACCATGGCAGTCCCCAACGTAACATTTAAAAAGGACACAATGCCATTGAGACTGGAAGAATAAGGAAGAAACTGAGTCCTCAAAGTGCCAGGGGCCCGAGATCCATTACATAATAAGATCGACAGCTAATTTCCTAATCGGGCAATGATATCATCAGTGCAGATGTGAACTCTGCTAAGCATTGAATTGATCTAATCAACAACAAAAAAAATCAAGTACATGAGTTCAAGGCTTCGAATGCGTGGCTCGTGCTAATGGCCATGTGTTTTTGGTTTTTCAATGTCGTGCAGCTCGTTCATATCGGATTCCATTCGTGAGATAGTAAAAAAAGGCAATGAAAAAAAAATGAAAACACCGCGCGTGACCATCTATGGAAATTATTCCTGCCCGTCTATGACCGAACGCCTGAGAAAGAAGATGATAGAAAAGAGATGAAAAGGGGTAGAAAGCTACCATGGGGATAAAGTAGAACGGTTCAGAACAACGTTGCGCTCGAGGATGACCGAGACGAGGGCTCGAAAAGGGTAATTTATGCTAGGGTTGGGCCGTAATCGGTCGTGGGAAAAGAAATGCGAAAAAGTAGAGAGAAAAAGGCGGAAGAAGTGTAAAAGCGCGAGGGGTTCGCGGCAGTCTCAGTGTCCAGCACTGGTACAGCAAGAAGACTTTTGGTGAAAATCGAAGGCGGATCATGGGCGCATCGAAGGATCATGATCACACCTTATGCTCTGGCGCGAGCTTGCACAATTCTAAGTCTGCGGTCCTCATCATCAGCATTGGCGCCGTGAGAGTTGAAAAGGCTGGGGCGATTCTGCACCTCTAGGGGAGTTGCAGTTCCACTTGCACGACCGCTGCGGATATAAGCCTGCTGGGGAGACTGTGGGACTGATAGCGTAGGAAGGCTGCTAGCGATCACAGCGTTGTAATCGGGGAGACCGGAGTCACGGGGACGCACGGCGCAGCGCACTGCAGTCGAATAGCTGGGAACTCGGCTGAGAGTTTCCACCTCGTCGTACTGGGGGTGAAAGGGGGTTGCCATACCCGAGGGAAGGCCTTCGGGTTCCACTTCATCGGATGGTCGACGGGAGAGTTCCGGACTGCCATGGCTGTGTGAGTTTGACCCGGAGGACGGTCCGAAGTAGTCGTTAGGAACACCCAATTGGCGATGAATGTGGTGACTGTCTATTGGGGATTGAGATCCATGCAGCGCTTCGCCAGGAGTGACTGTACCAGGAGTGACGGAGTGGTGGAAGGGACTTGCGTTCAGGTTTGTGAGGCGATGATGCAGTGCCGAAGCTGAGATATTGGTATTGGTTAGGGCGTTCATGGAGGCGAGGTTCTCGGACGAGATGTTGCGACTGAGAGGAGTGAATGGTGTGCCCGGGCCACTGCCGGGACCTGGTGTGCGATAGCCGCTAGGATCCAGCTCGCTATAGAGCTGATCGAAGGTGTGTTCGCCATAGAGGGGAGGGGCCTGGTGTGCAAGCTCGTCGGCGGTAATTCGGGTAGATTGGGGGGTTTGCGCAAGAAGGTTGTTGTTGTCATCGATGGCAAGGTGTGGTGAGATGTAGATCGAAACTGGAAGAGTAGCACGGAGCTGAATTCATGTTAGCCAGGCAGAAGAAAGGTCAATCGTGATATAAGTACTCACCTCACTGACGTGACCGTCAGGATTGTGCAACTGAATACGGAACTTCAACTTGTGGCGGACTTTGATCCCCTTGGTATCAGTATCCTGAAGGCAGCGCGTCAATGTCTGCGGCATATCTAGGATACGCGTGCATTGGTATCCCTCCGCCGTCTCATCAATGACTTCAATGTTATCCTCATCCAGCTCATGCTCGTCGGTCAAGATCGTCCTTGTGACCTTGTATGTATTGCGAATGGAATCGGGGTCTTCTGGATTGAGGGTCAGGTCGTGACTTTCGATCAACTGTGACGTAATTTGACCGATTCGAAGGCCTTTGAGAAGGGGAATCAGTTTGAAATCGACGTGGATGGCGGTTCCGAAGACAATGGCTTTTGTTGGGGTGCTGATAGAATATTCAATCTTGTTGGGCCAGATGTTGTCCACGGACTAGTGGATTCGTCAGTAACAGTATATCGCTTAGGCTGATGGATACTTACCATTGCGTGTGATAGCTCGAGAGCGCTGGGATCTAGAGTTCGGATGATCCTGAGCGGTTTGCGCGCAACGATGTCCTTGACGTATTTGCGACCAATCTCGGCCTTGAAGCGGTACAGCACCCATGTCTCGGTAAGACCTTCCACACTTTCGGGCATAGAGCCTTCAAGTACCACATCGAAAGGGTACTCATAGTTGCCTGCAGGGAGGACCTCAGTTTTTCCTTTACCTGGATCTCGGAAGCTCCAAGTTTTTTCGTAGAAGACTCGCTCGCGCCATGACTTGCGGCCACCAGCGGCTGCACTAGATGGAAGTTGCCAGCTGTGGAAATATTATGTTAATGGTGCTCATTGAAAAGTGATTGCGACACATACCAAACGCGGGACATGCCCGTAAGCTGGAGTCGGAGGTGTTTAATGGTGAGTGGTTCGGACAAACAGAGGATCAGAGTGCCCCGCAGATGCGCGCTCGCAGCTTCATGTTCACCACCACGAAACACGATGTACTCATCATTCAACCTGGATAATGTCAGATATGCAGTTCACATGTGCTGTCGGTAACCCCCACTCACCTAATGTCAAAGTACTTGGCGCTGCTGGCGCTCCCGCCACCACTGAAGAAGCTGAGAGCCATCTTGAATTTGCCCGCAGCAATGGGCCCGTCAAGAAAGTCAGGAGTAAGAAGGATGAGGAAGAGAGAAGAGAAGTAAAAGGATCCAGTCTTGTAAGTATCTGTGTCGGTATTTTTCCGTTTTTTTCGCTATCGCAGATCTACCGGAACATGGCCAGATACGCAAGGCTGGTCCGACTCGCGGGTCCTCAAGTGGAGTGTTCCGGAAGCGGCGATTTATTCTTTTCGTGTTTTTTTCTATTTCTGTTCTCTTTTTCAGTGGCAAGTGAAACTGACTAAGCTTAGAAAATCAAAAGCTAGGCTCCGATAACCTTGGCATATGTTGTATGAATAGATCAAGAGAATACAAGTGAGAACCAGAGGGATTATAAAGAATTTTGAGAGATTCTGAGGAGAACCTTGGGAAGCGTTCTCACCGGTTAATCACATCAAGATGAAGGCCTGGTCTTTTACGTCAGCGCTATCATATGAATGTCAGGCCTTTGGTACATACTGCCTAGGTACATACACATGTGTATCTCCCCTATTGACCACGAATCACTTGGATCATTTACCCTCTTCGGTATCAAATACAAATCACACGGTACTTGAAATTAATTTTGAATCCTATCACATACGTTGTACATGAATGAAATCATTCCTCAATGTACCCCGGTCTTCCGGGTCTTTATTTACCCATTTTATGCATCGTGCCATGCAATGCTGTACATACCGCGGGATCACCCGCATGCTTGCAAGATCTCTTACCTAGGTATGCACAATGTCAACGAACATATCCCTTTTTGAAGTGACACGACATGAAGTGATATAGGTAGGGTTCCAAGGTTCATACTTCAGAACTTAATCGCCAACTTGGACCCCCACTTTGATAATAAACAGGTATCTACAAAATATATCCGAGCTAGTCCTATATGTGCATTCAATCAGTCGCGGCACATGTACTACACGACACCTACCCGGTTCTAGATGGCGCCATTCTTGGATCGTTAGGCGTTTTCAGCCCTCTAACTGCCCGTTCACGCCAAGAGTCAGCACTCTACACCCCGATAAAAGTGATTTCAAAGCAGGCGGTATCTCCCTGCAGGTGGCGTGCCTGAAAATCCCAGGCAAATTCCTGCATGAAATCCTCGCTTTGACTTTGATCTGGCAAGCTTGGCCTATCTTAATCTCGGAGCATTCGGGAAATCACCCAACACTTACATCACCAAAGTCCCTGATGAGCATCGCGGTAAGAGCGGGAACCTGGTATGATAAAGCCCCACCTGGCTGTCAATGCCCGTGGCGTTGTGATAGGTTTTAAAGCGGGTCGGAGAGATTATGAGGCATTTCAACCTTGGGCGGGTAAAAATCAAACAAAGATAAGGTCTCGGGCAACACAAACAGCTAATTACGGTGTGGCCCACTTTGGCGTTGTTTCGGCCACTTTGGAAATAATTTAGGGGGTATCTCAACATCATCACGCTAGAAATCGGCCTGCTCCCGATTGTGCAAAGCCGACCGCGGGCCTAGTCGGGATGCCTTCACGTATCGGGCATTTTCGCTTCACCGGATCGGAATCCCGATGCCGATTTAATCTACCCGAATGCACCTCACCGTGTCTTTTTATACTAGGCTTCCCGGTGTGATATTTAGGCTAAAACCTGTTTTTCTTGAATTATTTTTTTTTTAGAGTGCCACGTCTAGAGCTGGGCAACAATATTCATTCCCATGGTGTGCGACCCGCACTAAGTTCATCTTTCAACCCTGGAACCTTACCTGGGTTGATTGATAGGTCTAGGATTTTCCAAAGACTTGGACAATCGTGATCTCTCACAATCCCTCAAAGTTTCGAAACTAGCCCAGGGTCAAAGCTACAATCTACAAAATTTCAACGGCCCCACCCAGCAGATCATTCAACTTTGGCAGATCCACTATGAAATTCTCGATGGGTTCCAGAACTTCCAAGGTTCTTTCATGTCCCAAGGCTCGGATTGCATCATCCCGAAAGAAAAGTCAATAAACTGGGTACTCTTTGTTTACGCGTTCTGATAACACCGTAATTACCTTGATCGTCGTCATTCTCATTGACTCATTCCCGCTATTTTTATATCTATCCTATATATGTATAGGTTTATATCTACATAGTCATATTTTCACCCACAACATACAGAGTATGTGTGTATCATACTAACGATATATGAAATATGCACAAGCCACGCTACACTGAGCGGAAACCATTGAAAGCTAGAGCTAAACCATATCAACAGATAACAGATGTCAAAGAGCAGATACCTAGGTAGGTATAAACTTGAAATCACAAACAGTAAACACCAGCTGGGCAGGCCTGGAGGTACGGGTAGCTTATCAGCTCGGTTAATATTTTCCGAACTGGCCAGATAAGAGGCACTTTAGGGAAGTGGAACCTTGGAACACCCTGGACCTTCCTACAACTAATAATAATTGTGAATCGCATGTGAAAGATCTAATCCCTACGTAAGATTAATGCCAGAAACTCCTGGTTATTCAAGAATCCGAACAGTTCGTTAGCAAAGACGATTATTGCGTGCATCCAAGCACAGTGCACTACTTATCTTCAGCTGTTCTCATGTCAAATACCTATAGCGTAATACAGTCATCTTCCGGTGATCGCCAGGGGCAAGGTTGAAATGACTAGAGCGGGAACTAAAAAAGATCGCGTGGATCACTAAAAGAATTTTCACGCTTGCAAGGGCCTCGGTTGGACCAATTGTAGACCGCAATCAGTCCACATGAGCAGTCAGGGTATTTGTTTCGGGCTATTTTGTTTCGGGTTTTCCGTTGGTCTAGATTGGGCGTGAGATGTACATACGTAAATACAGCTCGGACTTCTTGTCGACACAGAGCTAGCGCGCCTTCAATGCTTATAATCTAGACATCGATTTCTATGGACCGAACATCTGAAATTGCAAGTCAATTATAGGGAGTCTGATTAAAGAACACCCGGAAACGCCCGACAATTTTCATATACTCGGTTATATCACAGCGGGTTGATCGAAGCCAGGGAGACCATTGACTATGCCCAGCTGCTTAACTTACAAGAGACGGTTGTCCGATCTGGCTCAGCAAGCCTTGAATACCGTCATAGGTATATAGGTAGGTAGCCTCGGCTGTCGGAACTCAATAGCATCCAGCACAACCGGCTTCAATTCCAGAATCATACTGACACCTCGGTAATGAGGATGAATGTCTGCATTTGCCGGGCACGTGGAAGTGCTGCTCGCTTTATGCATCAGTCCATGTCGTCCGCCATAGAACCGGCTCCTCCGATATCACTAGAGGTCGTGCCACTCAAATGTCGTTCTACAACGTTCCATCCGAATTTGAGCCAAATCATCAGGCCGTGTGTGCAGTGTATCCTTGTCTAGGGCTGTGTCTAGGGTCGAACCCTGCGCTGCATACGCATAGTAATGTCAGTGTTGGATCTTGATGCTCTGCACTGGGGACGTTTGATCAGAGACATTCACAATGTTCCAACCGAGATTTACCGAGGCACCAGTGACAGCTTCTACCAAAAATAGCTCTTCCATGATCCCTGTGCCGACCACGACGGAGTTTGAGAATTGTGCGATGAGAATCCATTTCCGAGGGTGCCGTTTGTTGCTGTCGTGATGGCATGGTAACGATGTTTCTAACATGTGGCGGCCACAGAGCCAATGAGATTCAACGATGCATACCTTCACGAATCGCGATTAAACCGAAAACTTGGTACTTTTCCATGAGACTGGTTGCCCCGAGCAAAGGTTAGCTGTCCAAGGCACTTGTGCCGAAAACAGCGTTGTGACGTCAAGGCATGGAATGTGGCACACGACAAAATCTCACCTTGGAAGTGTTCAGCATAACAAATAAACTTTCCCGGTCGGGTCTTCCATTCAATCGAGCGATGAGAAGAAACGGGGTAAACAAGGATCCGAAATGGGCTTCAATGTTTCATTGCCTCCATGGCACCAGGGTTCCATTTCTGATTAGTGTTTCTGACTGCGATCTTGGTAAGGTTAAACTCGCGATCGGTGATTAGAGTTTTTTGGGGTAGACTGAAATATATCTGGGGTGATGGACCACTTGGTGATGTCAATAGAGCCTTCCGAAGAACGGACGGATGTTCAATGACATTGATGAAATTGGCCACCAGGCACATATATCCACCCGATCCGTTGTGTACTTTGATTACGCAAGGAGTAGACACTGGAGCATGACTGAATAGATCTAGTGAGCCTGGAGTGAAGTATGTATTATGTTCACGAGTAATCACAAGTATGAATGACATGGAAAAAAGGGAGGATACAAATGCCAAATTGGGGCAAAATTCAGAGCAAGCTGCTCCAACTCAAAGATCAGAACCACTTGGGCCGGTTTGCAAATCATAAAGACGTCAATCAAGAGAATCCAGAGGTCAAGGAATGACCAAAAAGGGTCGAAGGAGGTAGTGGGAGTCTTGTCATTATTTCTATGGCAGGCACAGCCCGAAATCAGGATGAGTATATCGAGGACGATGGGAAAATCCTGGAGCATAGTAGAGACTGCAAACTGGCATGCCATGACATGTTAAGATTGAGCGAAGCACAGATGCGGTCTGTGAGACGACCACAACCAAGCACCATCAGATAACACGACAAGGTCGGATCATGAATGTTCAATACGAGTCTCGGTCCAGCAAGCGCATCGAATATTGAGGGCGTGGGTGAAAGGGAGCCGAGGAAGCGGCAGGTTGGAAAGACGCAAGAGGTTCTTCAGAAGATCCACCCGAGAATGATATAGAGAACGACACCAGCGGCAACACACATGGCCGCAATTTTCATGACGGCCACAGAATCGCCTTGTTTCGCCATCCGTGTAAGTCGAGTGGCGCTGCCTTTTAGGTTTGTTGAGAAGGAGGAGAACACATCGCTCTAAGGCAAGATTGTCAGTCGCAACTTAACTAGATCAAGTCACCAGTCACAAGTGTCTTAAGGTGACAAGCAAATGTCCTGAATGATTATCGGACCAGAGAAAGGTTGATAAGCATACCGTATGGTCGAGTGTGTCCTGATCCCGCGCATTGTCATGGATATCGATCGTCACGGATCGGAGTGCTGAGACTTTCGAGGATAGGGAATTAAGGAGCGCATTGTTCTGCCTGTTTCATAGTGTCAGCACTCGAATCAAAACATGACTCGTTGCACAGGGGCGTCCGACGGGACAGGGTGGAGAAAGGGGGACATACTGCTCGCGTTCGTAGGCGTCACTCATTTTGGATATCTTCAAAATTTCCCTCAATCTCTTGCGGAGTGTTTGTCAGGAGCAACGCAAAGCCTGAAGAGATTGAAAGACTGTAACAGAAATGAGTGAGGCGGAGTTGAGTGGCCAAAAGCTGCGAAGGCTGGGGAATCGGAGCCGACGTCAGTCTATGGTAGTGACGGATCACATGATCGTCGATCTTCACTATATGGCACATTTCAACTCTTCATCTTTCATCACAACTTGCCAGAAAAATCAAAAAGCGCCAAGTTGAATGGTTTGAAATTGTTCGAGTTGCCAAAATACCCCTTTTAAGTATAGAACACCGGGTCCAAGGTCGCACATAACATACAACGAGTAAATTTGATCACCCCTGCCTCGGATATCATTGTGATAGCATGGGCTGAGCCTGAAGATGTCTTAAGTAACCTTTAGCTCTCCTATTAAAGACTAAATGAGCCCTCGGCTGTTATTTCTGTCATTTTTTCTACTGTTAGAGCCCCTTAGAGCTAAGTGTAATCAACCCTGACTTGGAGTATACTGTAAATGCATTCCAGGCTTAAATAGAGTTATACCGATCAAATTTTCAGTTGGTCACGCTTCTTGGTATACTATCAAAGGGAGATGGCAGAGTAAAAATGTATCAGAACACATTGTAGCGCGGTGATATATATTATAGACATTGAAGAGGAGCTGGGGGAGCTTTGTATGCAGTTCTCTTCAGACCCACATGCGTTCCCCGCCCTGGATCGACATTTTACCCGCGAACAACTTATATCACCACATTTTATGGTGACAAACGCAAAATGGCATCGACTGAAGATGAAAGACCATCGAAACGAGCACGTCAGGCTTGTGAACCATGTCGGTGAGCTTAGATCTTCCAAAGATAAGAGCTCATTTGGACTGACCTTTTTTTTCAGCCGGAAAAAGTCGCGTTGCCCGGGAGAGAAACCGAGCTGCTCATATTGCGAGCGATTGGGTCAGCAGTGCGTGTATGCAGGCCCTGAAACTGGAGAGGAAGGCCCGGGGCACTCCGTGAAGATGATGGCAAGTATCATTGATGCCTATACATGTAGAACAACAACGTATTCTAATGTAGTATAGGAACGACGCATTTCTGGCATTGAGGGAAAGCTGGAACAGTTGATGGAATATATTATGTGTGTTGTCATCTTCTCTATACTCTGCTACATTCGGCTGATTGAAGATGAAGGCGGCCTGCATCATATAACCTCTCTTCGCCAGTTGCCCCAACGAATCACGCTCCGATACCAGAATTTTCCTCCCCTGAGAGCTCTTCTATGTGAGTTGAGCTTCGCATTCTCTTGTCGGATGTGTTTATTGATGAATGAGATAGAAGCGGTTCATCTGGGACCCCCAACGCTCAACTCTATCTGACCTTTTGCAATGCTCAGCCACTTCTGTTATTCCCCCACAGATCCTCTTTAGACTCTCTGGGGAAGCGAGACTCTGAGCTTCTGCTCGCGATTGAAGCTCTTGGGGTCCGCTTCAAAAGACCAGGGGTTAGTGACCAGGATGTACAAATGGAGATTAAGAAAAAGACAGAAAGAGCCTGTCAGGTGGTCATGATGCGTTTAGCATCCGGTACTGTGGAACTATCTACGATCCAGACCCTTTGTCTTTTAAGCATGCTGGAATTCACAGGTACAACAGCACCAGTCTGCATCGTTTTGTTCATTGCTAACTTTTTCATCTGTCCAGCGGGACATATCATTCGTGCAGGGTCTTATACTAGACTCGCCACATATTTGATGAAAAATCTCAGAATATGTGGTCTAGAGTCTCTAAACAACTTGGAAACCGAGCGTGATGAGCGCAAGCTCTGCTACATAACCCTCGTCATGCTTAAGAATATTCAGGGGTCCCTACACCCACCCGGAAATAGCTTGGACTTACTTGCAGAGCCTGGTGAAACCGTCTCTCCGTTGGGAGCCATGATCTTCAACAAAGACACTGCCCGTGGTAACGGCAGTGACTCCAAGCCAGACATTGGCATCGTTGGTAGCAGTGTTTACACCAGCGAGCTGTGGGCGATGGCATGTAATTATGCTGCCAGTCACGTCGGCGTTGATGCTCATCCCCCCTGGTCTCCGAACTCTGATTACACTATGATAAATTTTCGACACTGCGAGCACGAGAGCCTCATGCCACTGAGGTTTCGACTTCATGCAAGTCGCTTCCAAGATTACCCCCCCGCCGAACTTCAGGCTCATCGTGACTACTGGAGCCCATGGCTATTTTTCCAGTTGGTTTGGCATGCGGTACCTTGTTTAGTAAACCATCCGTTTTTGCTATCTATGCGACTTCGCAACTTCCGCAGGACAATGCCTCAGTCATTCCTTCGCAATTCTTTCGAGCAGCTGACCTTCCACTCGGGATGGGTTGTTCATTTTCTCGAGTTGATCGAGACGAAAAGTTTTGAGGTGTCAGACCCGACTATAGGGCAATGCGTGGCAATTGTCGCTACAATCTACCTTCAACATAGTTTTGTCGAGGATCAAGCTTTTAACAGGAAGGCGCAAACGGGATTTGAGAAATGCCTCAGATTTCTACGCAACATGGGGCGTCGGTGGCCACACATCGATCGCCAGGTCAGTTTTCACTCCGCCCCTTTTTTCGGTGCGTTGGTTCTGATATCACCGCTAGGTCCAGCAACTGCAACAACTCAAGGATAGCGTTTCTCCCGGAGGCCTTATGACAGACAACACCGCCCCAGGAGGAATCCATTCTCGTCAGAAGTGGTCCGTTAATCTGCAGCTGTTATGGAAGATCTTAGTATATGCCCATGCAAGCAATACATCAGATCCTGCCGGCGACATCTTCGGCCCGGAGCTTGCCAAAGACAGTATCGGATGCTCAGGGGACCCTTCCGCTGGGGCTATCACCGAGCGTGACTTTGCTTTGATTGGATCCGCTGGAATCTCAGGCCACAAGACAGTGGCTTCCGAGTGTGTCACCTATCCACCGGAGCAGACTGAGGATCCCATACAAGCGCCGACTCAAGCCTCACCGAGAATGGACCTTTCAGGGCTTTCGGGAGATCCCAATATTGAGTTTAGTGGTGGTGACACGTTGTTCCTCCAGCTTCAAGATTACGGGAAGGCATTTGAGGATTGGTTGAGTGTTAATCCAACGTCTGCAGGTGAAGTTGGAATCTAGACGCGTCTTCATCCATCTTCTCACCCGGGGAACACGGACCGGGTGCCGACTTTTCCGGACGCCAAGACCCGGTACTGAGCCCGCCTCGGCATTTTATAACGAACCTCCTCCGACCGATATAGTTTAAAAACACCTCTCTGGCTATTAATCTGTCTTCCAAAATGGCCACAGCTAAGACAGACTCAATCCTGATTGTGGGCGCTGGCGTCTTCGGTCTTTCAACTGCTCTTGAACTCAACAAGCGCGGATACACCGATATCACCGTTGTCGATCGATTTGTCCCACCATCAGCAGATGGAAGTAGCGTTGACATTTCGCGCATCATTCGCGCCGACTATGCAGACCCAGTCTACTCTCAGATGGCCCGTGAGGCATACAATGGATGGACCACCGAGTACAAAGATGAATTCTTCGAATCCGGATTCGCCTTGTTCTCGGAAACGCCCAAGAACGAATACATGGAGAAATCCAAAGCCATCATTCGGGCCGCAGGTGGGAAATTAGATGATCTGACCGATGCCATGGATATCCGCAAAATCTACCCTAGTGTTCAAGCCGACTTTTCCGGCATGAACGGTTACCACAACCCGAAAGGTGGCTGGGCCAATGCTGCAGGCAGTATACAGAAGCTGGCTTCCAAGTGTACTGTTGCGGGTGTTTCAATCATTTCCGGGCCTCGTGGTACTGTTAGTTCTCTGCGTCGGGCGGGCTCGCGTGTCGTTGGTGTCAACCTTGTCGGAGGGCAGGTGTTGCTTGCTTCACAAGTGATCTTGAGCACCGGCGCGTGGACTAACCGTCTTTTGAACATGGGTCATGCGGCATCTTCATCTGGTCAGCCTGTTGGTTTCATTCAGTTGACCGAGGAGGAGGCTCTTGAGATGAGAAAGATCCCAGTCATGATCAACATGAGCTCCGGCGTGTTCTCCTTCCCGCCTACACCAGACACAAATGTTCTCAAGCTTGCGCGCCACGGTTATGGGTATGCAACTGATATTACTGTCAATGTGGATGGTGTTCAGAAATCGCTCTCATCACCGAAGTTCGAGACCAGCAATGCGGCCACTGGATATCTGCCTGATGACGCAGACGAATCTTTGAGGAAGGGTTTGCGTCAGTTCTTCCCCAAGCTGGGTGATCGCCCTTGGATGAACCGTCGACTTTGCTGGTACACAGACACCCCAAATGGTGACTTTATCATAGACCATCATCCAACCATCCAGGGACTGTTCATGGCTACTGGTGGTGCAGGACAGTAAGTGTTGATTGAAATCATCGTTCTGCATGCAAAAGCTTTGTACTAACGTACCTCATCCTAGTGGATTCAAGTTCCTCCCCATTTTGGGCCAATATATCGCGGACTGCTTTGAGAACAAAGCACCCGAAGCTTTGCGCCAAAAGTGGAGGATGAACCCGCCCCAAGATGACTCAGAAGGGCCGATGGCAGGCGATGGAAGCAGAGCAGGTCCTCCGCTCAGGAGACTGACTCCACTTGAACAAGCCAAGCTGTAAATACAGGGTGCGATGATGCAACGATAGTTGAAGCGCTGTTTGTAAGCTCACCGGGCTCTTATAGAGATACACGCTCAATGAAAAATACATATCATGAAGGATTTACAAGATCACAGGACTAGAAACCGTCGTAGTTGGCTGGATTGCGAAGTAGTCCCCGGCGCCGAAATATTGTGATAACGATCCACGACATTGGAGACAGCATGTATAGTACTAGGACACCAAATTGCTATGCTCACCGGATCTTTCTTTGTCCCACAATATAAATAAAACAAGACGGACGGACATTAACAAGCCTACATCTATAGAGGTTCACCGAGCAAATGCACGGTCAGGTCATATAAACTTGGAAGGCAACCAGTCTCTTCGGACTCGACATGATAATTATACTAGACCTTTGATGAGTTCAAACTAATAGTTATGATAGACCAATTCGTAGATCATATAATAAAGACGAATGCATCATATAATTCAGGGCTTAGTTTTAAAAATCTATATGAACATATTGGGAATTATTCGCGTCTCACAGGGAAGAAAAGAGCTGCAAAAAAAGAAAGCACGTTTTGGAAATGGAATATAGACGTCAAATCAGATCACACCCATTATTCAAACAGAAGGACTAAGCGGAGCAAGGTCCCTTTCGTCCTCAAATGCAATCCTCTTGTTGGTAGCAGTCCCCATAGCAAAGCTACCCTCCTTGCACACAGGCCATTCATCCGGTCGTAGCCAATACTTCTCGTGAGAAGGTGTGCCTTTGAGCATCCCCTTCAAATCCAAGGGATCAGCAAAGGTCTCCCACTGAGACCGACGGTCAATCCAGCCGGGGCCCATCCGCTCTGTTCGACCATCAGGGCACAGATAGCGTTCTTTTTCACGAGGTAGATGCCGACCAGGATGCATTAGGTTAAGCCACCAAGTATATAAAAGCATAGGGCCCAGCTCAAATGCATACAGATACCATTCGTTGCTGAGAATAGTTCCACAGTTCTCCCGGCAGCCGAGATCGCTAAACTTCTTGAATGACTCGACCGCACGGAAGATACAGCGCAGCAAGACAAGAGTCGATGTGCCGTAGAGTGTGATGCAGAGTATACGGACGTTTGGCGAGAGCATTCGTGCCCGAGAGCAGCGGACGTGGACAGTCGCAACGACAGCGATCACGCAGCATTCAACAACTGCTTGGAGGACAAGCCCCGCAGCGACGAGCGTCCCGCCGGTTTTGTACTTGTCCAAATCAGAGCCGGCTGATGCATTCTTGGCTGCTCCTGCAACCGTAGTTGCTTCTACAGCAGCGCCCACATAGACAAAGAAGATGAGGACACGGTTTGGGTTGAGGACCGCGTGCATAGGTAAGTAGTTCATGAGGCGTCCAATCAGATTATATGCGGCGGCTGAGTACACCGGTGGGCCGACATAGATGAAGACCGTTGATGCGATATACAAGTTCAGGTTTGTTGGATGGTAACTCGATATGCAGCGGAGAATCCAGCCCGCGGTGAAAAGGGCTCCACCCCAGGAGATGAAGAAGGTGACGCGCCAAAATCGATAGCGACTGTAGGTGTTAGAAGAACCTTGGTCTTTTTCAGCCTGAGTTCTCACTACTTACTAGTTTTGGTAGACATGGAGGAGGAAAGACAATCCAACTAGGGCGGCGAAGACAGCTGGTAATATATGACTTGGATTGTACAAGTAGAGGGTTGTCTCTCTATCTGTGTTATTTGAGGTCATGGTGAAGTCTAATGAATTGCAAATGGAAGCACTGCTGGGGAAGTGCATGTTCTTATATATTCTCTCTCGCCGTGTTGATTTACACATATGAAGCGCTGCATATGTCCCTATCGGGTTAGACAGAGCTCGATGAGATCCAATTCAGCCCCAGCATATACTTCATGACCTGACCAATCAGCGCTGTCCAACTCAGCCTTGCGGAGCGGTACATTTAACCCGAAGCGGTTAGACCTCTCAGCCCGAATAACCTCGAATTGGGCGTTTGAGGCGTTTTCTCCTTCTCCTTGTTAGAGCAATACATCCCAATTTCATAGTCTCCTAGAGTGCTTCCGTACTAGATCAACCCGTACCTGAAGCCCTGCGGTGTCTGTTTTGAGATCTACGCTCCGTTCCCCACACTTGGGCTTTCGCCACCATGCCGGGTGTCCCAACAGGCCGGGCCTGTGACGCGTGTCGAAAACAGAAGAAAAAGGTACGTGCGACAGAATCGAGGCATAGGATACTTTTCCTAATAATATGTCAAGTGCGACGAAAAACAACCTGCATGTGGACGATGTATTCGTTTGAAAGTGACCTGCGTGGGGTCCGGTCAGCAAAGATTCAAGTTCAAACAGGAACAATTTTCCACCAAGTCAAAACAGAGTGGTCAAATGAGTGTCATATCGAGACCACAATCAACAGAAAAGAAAAATCATTCTTTTGGGACCCCCGGGCATGCCCTAGCAATGGAATCACATCGTTGACTAGTTCGTTTGTCGGCGCAATAAAACGATCCACTGACCTCAGATACAATATGTGGTGGTCTTTCGGCATTTACCTGGAAGAGATACCCCGACGACTTGGTAGCAACCAAGCACTTGACAGTGCAGTTGACGCTGTGACTACTATCCACGCAGGGTTCTGCACCCGCCAACCAGCTTCATTTGAAGCACTCGCCAAGTATTCCTCTGCGCTCAAAACCCTAAGAGATCATCTAGATAACCCGCTCCAGGCGAGTGCTTCCAGCACACTGTGTGCCGTGATGCTGCTTCTGGTCTGTCAAACATTCATAGGAAATAACGGGCAAATGGTATCAGGACATGCACAAGGGGCCGCTAGCATTCTAAAAGCGCGGAAGAACTTTGGCCCACGCGATGACTTTGAGCGTAAATTGTTCCTCTCTTTACGCGGAAGTGTGGTAAATCATCTCAGACTCCCACGACCGAGAGCCAAGCTGATCATACCTCCAAGTTATTCGAAGGATTATACAACGATTCCATTGACCTAAGTCCCGAGGAGTGGGATGCCTTAGTCACGAATGACTTTGATCAAAACCAACCCGAAGGCCAGATTTTACGATGTCTAGCAGAAGCCCCGGTCCTGATCAAACGCGGTAAACGAGCTATACGCAACGGCGAAGATTTAACACCCTTGAAAAACGAAGTCCGACCAATATACGAAAAATGCAAATTGATACTAGCAGAATTGAAAGAACGAACAGTCGAAGATAAAACACTGGAGCTCATTCCTAGGACAGAAACATTCATGACTAGGATCCTGCGAGCGCATTATCTCCGCACCTACGGAATTGGCATTGCAATCACAACATTTTTCAATTGCATCCTTCAAGCCCTGGACCCCAGTGACAACGCCTACATATTAGAATCGAGATCTCTGGTTATGGAGACCCTCGTACATGCGCAGAAATCCAATATACATAGACCTGTTGGGGCAGGATATGTAATAATGTGTCTGTCGGCAGCATGGGTCGTCAATTCAGACCCTCACCTGCGCTCAATGGTGGAAGCCGCCTTGATTGACTATTTTGGTGACTTTGTGCCTCATCATGGTTTGAATATATCCCGAGAGCTGGGACAGATGAACGAGAACTTATGTCTCGGGTCAAATGCACAGGTCAATGCACTCTTCAGCCCTTGAGAATATATCATGGCTTGAAATACCAAAGTATAATTCATTGCCTCTATTCTGCGGGGATTAGTGAGAGTAGTTATCAAGAGCCCAGAATGAACACCAGAGCATCAATCTTAGCTCGACGAAGCAGCACTACACCCGGCTATCGAACAATGTGAGAAAATTGGTCGAGCCCCCTCCGCGCGAGCCATTTGGTTGTGTGCTTGTTGTTTTGTGGCACATCTATGTACGGCAGCATGGATATACGTAGTAGAATAGACCTATTGCAATCTCTCGAGGTCTGAAAAATAGTAGTTCATTCATCTTGCTTCCCTCATTCAACAATAGATCATGTACACCGAGCATATGGTCGTCTAGACTCATGGAGACAACCTATCCAGCTAGGTTTAAAATCAGTTCATGAAGAACTTCAAGTGATACGTTTGTTTCCAATACAAATTGTCCCCAAGCTTGACGCAATTCTTTCCCACAATAAGATGCCCTGAGTCTATCCCCCTGGTTCAAGACTTCGAATCCATTGTTCTGCCTTTATATGCAGACGCCACAGGTAAGAATGGGAAAGCAAAACCAGCTTGGAGATTTAAGCACAGTCCTCCTTGTTTACTTCACACATTGATCTACATGGTAGAAAAAGGAATTGGCTTGTGTGCACGATTATTCAGTCTGGGTTATGGCCCTAGGGAAGTCGAAACTCCTGTGGCAAGGTATCATTCACATCTAATTCTTGGTATTTTTCATTCTCGAATGGGTTGGATCAACTGGTTGGTGATATCACCTCTCACGCGACCCAATATATATTGAACGGTCTCTCCATACACACACACATGGAACCATGTTCTGATATTCTGGGAGAATTTGTTATATAGCGAGTTTCACTTTTCAAGAATGCACCTTAAAGGGGTAAGAGCATTTTTGTTGACATGGACCGGGGCTAGGCCTTGGATAACCAATATTTGCCCCAAAATCAGACCTGAAAAAATATTCACTCTCCGAGCTTGCTGAGTTGAAGAAGTAATTGTGGTGGCAGATTGACCTCTCAGGCAAGACATTATATCGCCAATCCACACATTAGAAAGAAGGCCAGGATCTTACTGAGTTGAATAGTAACAAACGGTGTTCTGTCAAAACAGCCTTTCAAGGCTATGAAGCTCATTTATATACCATATATTACTACCGTGGCTACCATGCATCTCTCAGATTCAATCCAGTTTCAATGAGCCCAATAATGCCTAAAGTGAATAGTACAGGAGAGAGGCCTGACAAGGAAAGGCAATCTGTTTGTTGGAAAAACCCTCTAACCATGATGTCTCCATCTGATTAGAATCACATTAGTATCATTCGAAGATCGTGTCAGTACTTCACTTCTCACTTCTTCCCTCGTCTCCCTCTCCTATCTTCTGTCTTCCCAGTTCGGCAGTTTCGAGTCTCTCACCCTTATCCCTCATGCGTTCAAATTTCTTCCTCTGTTCTTGACCCTTACTCGTTCTTCGTCCAAGCAGTTGGCATCTCCATCTTTGTGATTTCTTCCTCCCGGTCGCCTCTCTCACATCCTCAGTACTCGGTACTTTAACCTTGCATATGGTGCCAGCAACCATGTCATTTGTCCACCTACCTACAGAAATCATTCTCATGATTGAGAGCTACCTGGACTCCAAGAAAGACCTCAATGCCTTGATTCGCACGAGCCCACGTTTCACGACCATGTTTGGCGAAAAGCTCTACAAGGCCAATACGGCACACGAACACAATTATGTTATCCTGTGGGCAGCTAAGCGAGGCCTCGATGGCACCATCCGCAAGTGTATCAAGGCCGGCGCCAAGATTACGCTGCGAGATCGATTCCGATCTCATTTGAGAAATACCAATGCTCCCGAGATTATGAACGTCATCCCACGACACCCGAAATCACACCCATTGACTGTAGCAGCCGAAATTGGTTCGATGTCTTGCGTCCGTCTTCTCCTTAACCAGGGTGTGAATCCCAACATCCTCGACGAACACTACGAAACCCCGATGAGACAGGCCGCAGGAAATGGCCATGTGCACATTGTTCAGTATCTACTTGGGAGGTATGAAGGTGCGTTCGTGGGTGCCTTCAAGCTGCGACGGCCCCTTCACCTTGCCGCAGCTCGAGGCCATATGGACGTACTCAAGGCTCTGTTTTCTTTCCTTCAACGTCCTCGTCAATTCCTCGCCGTCAAAGAAGCTGCACAGATTATCCTGTACGAGGGGCTCTGGCACTGCAAAGAAGATGTGGTCAAATATGCACTCCAAAATGGTGCCGATGTGAATGACGAAAGTCTCACCCCGACCTTGCGGTTCGCTCCAGATGTATGTGCGAATGAATTGCCTCATAGACCACGACCCAGACTCCTTCAAGCGCATAAAACTAGGGAACGAATTCAAGGCATCGAAACCCCTGGTTGGTCAGCCGAGATATCGAATACACTCTACGCTGCGCTCATCGGCGGTGATGAAAACCTGCTTCGATTGATCTTTGACCATGGCTGTGACCTTGCTCGGCTGGGGCCCGAGGCCCTACGCTACGCAATTCTCCGTAGAGAGCATAGACTCATCTCTCAATTGATGGGTATGGGAATTACCTTCACCCCTAAGGTCCTTGGTAAGGGTCTCGAAAATGAATCACTGGTTTGGGAACACATGATGAGGAATATCCTGAACGAACTAGGGTTTGAGCATTGACCGGACTGGTCCATTCTTTCCGCGCCATATCACCATCTGATCAAAATGCATATTCTGCTCTCAAAAGAAGCCATTTGATCAATCCCTATTTTTCCGGGCTCGTTCTCCCCGTCTTCTATCCAGGAGTGGAGGAACACAAGGACAGGGGACAACCAATTTCAGAACCAAAAAACCCCAAAACAAAAAAAAGCATTTGAACACTGCAATGTAAGGTCTGCACCGTCACTATTTGATTTCCAGAATTTCCCAAGTAGGCCGCTAAACCAGCTTTCAGTCAGATGAGTCCGTTTACGTAGTAAAATCGTCTACCTAGGTAACTCCACGTAGCGTTTTTTCTATGCCGGGTGGGGCTTTTCTATCTTGGCTGCCGCCGCTTTTATGAGGGCGCTCAGTGTCAGGCTCACTGAGTAAATCTCAGTCCGGGCTCATACACAGTGTAAGTCCTCAATCCGCGGACTGTCCTGCAATGCCCACCCTGGGAGCTCGTTTGCTGATTTTGTAGGTTTGGGATTGGTATTCGTAACACGAAGAGACCGCACTTCGCATCTGGCTATATCCTTCTGGCCCTTGCGCTTGAACATGGCGCACTTTTCCAGGTGCATACTATGAATGATCTGGCACAATTCGATATTTCGAATGGGCCGATTGAGTTACGCTGGAATAATGAATACCTGGAAAAGCCTGTCCTCCGAAATGTTATAGCTGAAGGACCGCAAGACATCCCTCTCGCTAAGGACTTGTTTGGCGAAGGCTTACAGGCAATATTTACTGCTGCTGGTTATAGCAAGACGCCAAAGATTCACGAGATTCGAAAAATTCTTGGGAAAAAGATGGAAGGTAAAGAAGAAACCCGACAATTCTCACATATCGAGAACTGATTCGATATATTCTGATACAGGGAAACATGGGTCTGCGTTGGTCTCACAAATTTATGGCCATAAAGGTTCAGGAACATATCCGAACGACTATTTACGATATTGTTCTTTGGTTGATACAGTTTCAGCTATTTTTGATGAAAAAGATCAATCGGATCACATTGAGTACTTTCAGGAGTTTGAAAGATTCTACGAACCGGGATTGCTGGGTGAGCTCCCAGCGGATATTGAGGAGTACATTCTGGAGAGCCCAGAAATATTGGAGATTGAAAGTCGGATTGATCTGCTTGAAACCCAAACCACCGACAAGAAGTCCATAAGCGCAGAGAAAGTCAACTACAAACAACCCTTACTTCAGCACCGCATTCTTGAATTGGAGAAATACCGGGCTCGCTGGGTGCGTGAGAAACGAGACCAAAGAATCCTCAACAGGGGCAAAGGAGGGCCAATGAATTCATTGGAATTGCCGGTTCTTCGTTCTTTCAAAGAATTGGCGGTTTTCCTAAGTCGGTGCAGGAGCTCCTCGAAGATCAACAAGCAAACTTGCACTTTGGTCGTGAAGACCATCTAGTTGCTTCCTGGCCTTCAAAAGGCAAAAAGGAATTGTTACTGCTCCCCACTGGTCAAGCGGCAAGTAGAATTCCTAGAACCCGCCCTAGAGCATATCTACAACCATAATATAAAGTGAGCGGCAACAAAACTGCATTATTCGTCGAAAAAGCCCTCAAGACAAAATTAGATAATGTACTCCGTATTGTTTCCTTGATTCCAGTATTCCTCAATTACATAAATAGGTACAAGAATGTGACTTCCTTGAGGATGCATCGAGAGGCATTCTTTGGCGATTGCTTCATATTTATCGCAACTACAGTTGTTGGGCACTTACTAAGAGAACGACTAAAAGGGCTCAATTTGACAGTTACATTAGCGCGAGCCTCTTTCGGGCAGCCACCCAGAACCTTCATATCACTAAACTCATATCGTACTGAGTAGGAGAGAGCAGAAGATATTCATATGTCTACCACTATAATCTTACCGGGAAAGAATTTCATCATGTAGCGTGGTATTACTATTGCCAATTGCAATCTTTTTTTCTGTCATTGCAAACTTCAAGCCAGTTACATATCAGGCCCAAAGAAAGTCGGCCAAAGAATGCTACATGGATGGGTGTAATATAGTTACATTCAATCTCGTGGTTGGAATGGGCTTGGATGCAGTGACCAAATGATCATAAATAAAAGGATCCCTAGTTCTTGCCAACCGCCCCGCAGCATCTAAATCAATTCAATCCCCTCAGACCTGCCATTGCTTCTTTTCTTTCATCCTCAAAATCGGCAAGGAAAATGACTAGGAAACGTGCTATAAATCTTACAGGGGCAGACGGGCTGGACAATGAGAAGCGAGTAAGGCTCTTAGGGATTATTGACCGACTTCGAGAACTAGGCATCAGTGAGAATGTCTCTCTTCCCCAGGCAAGTGAATATATCGGATCCGCCCATGGACTCTTACTGATCAATTGTAGCTCGTTGTAGTTGGTGATCAATCGAGCGGCAAGTCATCCCTTCTAGAAGGTTTGACGGGCCTTTCATTTCCTGTGGCCAGTGACCTCTGTACAAGATTTGCCACTCAAATCGTTCTTCGTCGAGCTCCAGAAGGGGAGGGTCAAGCCAGGATCACGATCATTCCAGGACCAACTTCGCGACTTGATGAAACCTTGAATCAAAATCTTCTCGCCTTCGAAAAGACTCTGGCCGCTGCAGACTTCGGATGCCAAGAGTTCGAAGAAATATTCGATCAGGTCCGGATCTCATTTTCCTGGCATTTTAAGACCCGTGTTGATATCATAATAGGCTGCGAGCTGCATGGGCATACCGGGACCAAATGCGAAGAATTTGGAAGATGTCGAAAAAAGATTCTCAGACGATATACTCAAGATTGAGCTCTCAGGTCCAGATCATCGACATCTCAGTGTTGTGGATGTTCCGGGTCTCTTCCACAGTGAGAAGACCCTATACTATTTTAATGATTTTGCTAACCTCGATACAAGATCCGACAAAGTTTCAAACCGAAGAGGACCGTGCCATTATCCGGAAATTAATCGAGGATTATATGACTGACAAGCGTACCATCATCCTGTAAGTGAATAGCTGTCAGAGGATCATAGAAGAATTGTTAGGCTTACATATCGTTAGCGCAGTTATGGATGCACGTAACAATCTTGCCAACCAGGAAGTGTAAGGAAGGTGCTCCCGGTTCGGTGTTGAAAGTGCTCACTTATACTAGGTTTTCAATGGCACGTGCCGCTGACCCAGCAGGTAAACGTACTGTTGGAATCGTCACCAAATGCGATGCGCTGCAGGCAGGAGATGAAGCTGGTGTAAGTGTCTGATTATTTTGAGATGAACGCCATACTGAAAACGCATCAGGTTTTGCGTATCGCTAAAAATGAAGTTGAACGGCTCACTCACGGGTGGTTCGCTGTAAGAAACCGCTCCACAAAGGAAATTCAAGAAGGTGTAACTATCGAGGGCCGACATCGAAAGGAGAAAGAGTTTTTCTCAACGGTGCATCCCTGGACGGAACTCAAGAAAGATCGAGTCGGTATCAATGCCTTGAAAACCTTTTTGGGCCACCTTTTATACGACCACATTCGCTCTGAATTTCCTGCGGTTGTGGCAGATATCGAAAAGCTTTCTCTGGACACGCAAAAAGAGCTGGAGATTCTCGGACCTTGTCGACAAACCCCTGCCGAACAGAGAAGGTTCTTGACACGTCTAGCATCTACTTATCAAAATGAGGTTGATAGAGCATTGACCGGGAACTATAGTGCCGACTTGGAAACACAAAGCCCGCTCAAGCTTCGTATGCACCTGCGGCAGCATGCAGATGATTTCGCTACGTCAATGGCTACAGAGGGTCATGCCAAAGTTTTTTGCACAATTCATGATGAAGACGATCCGGAATTCAGCAGACCAGCAGATGACTTGGAAAACATTTACGACTGGATACGACGTTACTATCTTGAGTCGCGCGGCTCTGAACTACCTGGCACTGTCAACCCTGTTGTGCTCCAGAATATGTTTCGACAACAATCCAGTCCGTGGGAGAAAATTGCGATAGTTTATCTCGAAGAAACTGCCTCTGCAGTGCACTCCTTTAACCAACAAATTTTTGCAAAAATCATCCCCGAAAACGATGTGAGGGAGAAAATAGAAGGAATTCTGTCTCAACCCGGAGAGGAGATATACCGCCAGGCCCACGACCAGCTGCTGATGATAGTGAATGATGAACGAGGAGGAATCCTTCAGACCGTGAACCACTATTTCGCTGACACTTTGTCCTCGATCCGCCAGGAAAGAGTCATAGCCAGACTTGAAGGTCTCGGGTGCCAAGACGGCTTTGATTTCGACATGAAAAGAGTATTGAAAGGTGTTCACTTGAGCAACGAACAACAAGCCGTTTTTGACATACACGATATCTTGAAAGCATACTACAAAGTGGCTATAAAGCGCTTCATGGACAACGTCGTCGTTCAGGTTTCTGAAAGATACATAGTAGGGGAGGAAGGCCCAGTGAAAATGTTTTCACCAGATCTCGTCGGCGGCTTTGATGATGATATGCTGACGGATCTTGCGGGAGAGAACTTCTCCACAGCAAGCCGGCGAAACGACTTGGTATCCATGGCTGCACGGTTGAAAGAGGCATTGGACATTGCGAAACGCGCTGCGCTATAATTTCAGGTATACTGAGTGGTATTTAGTGGTTGGGGAGCCTCCGGATTTCCCCAATAGCGAGGCTGATTTAACATCTCCGCATCGGGTATTTTGTGTGTAGTTCTTCTGGGCATAGGTTTTTCCCACTGGGTTTTCCTATCCCCCAGCGCGAATGCGGGAAGAATTTTTTTTTGTTCTTGTTGCACCTGCGCTTGCCTTTTCACGCGGTTTACATTCTTTTTCTGTTTATTTCTGTTTATTCGAGGTTTTCTGTTATCATCTCCATAAAGTGGAATTTCACAGTACAGACTAGTGCGCTACGCCTGGAAAATGACCTGTGGCTTAAAAAACCCTCAAATCAATTCAGCCGCCGATAATTAGCCAAAGTATTTCCGATGTCCATTTGTTTCAAGTGTAGACCATTATGAGAATCAAAAGTTACGTGACACGCCGGTTCTTCGACTGCCTCAAAAGAGAAGCCCCCAGCTTTGAGAGGAGTCGCCGTACCAGATATCTGTCGGATTACAAAAGAAATGTTCGAGAAACAACCCGGACTATTCAACGTTAATACAGAAGCTATTTTTATTTTGTCATTTATGCAAATGTAATGAATTACTGTCAAGACAGGGATCCAGGGGAAGAGTAACTGTAATAAGTACAGTGTGTTTCAAGAGAGGATTGGAGATAGATTTTCCGTGTGCAAGTGGTGAAACTAATTTTAATCCATCCTGTATATACTTCGCCACAAGAGCAGCCTAACAACGGGAGCGGCAATGGGCCAGGGTAGGCCGTGACGAGGCTCTAAGTTCATGTCGGAGTAAGATACAGCTATGTTACCACTAGACCATAACAAAAACTAAGGTTCCCATTTTTAGCCTAGTGGGCTCATACTGCTGCTTTGTCAGTTCGTGTCAGAAAGTGGATCATTCTAAAAGTGCATACTCGGATATATAGTTGTTGTATCCTGCATCTCGTTCGCGAGAGGGGACAGGGTAAATGAACTCTACTACTACTACTACTACTACTACTACTACTACTACTACTACTACTACTACTACTTTTGCTGCTTCCTGTATATACTTGATAGCGGCCCCAACCCTACTTATACCGGCGTATACTTGAAAGAGTTGGCTCGTGAGCCACAACACGACAACAAACAAAAGATCATAACCTCCCCCTCAGGTTTGTGGGTTAAATCTTACCAAATTATCCTCTGAAAGAGCCGCTTCGATTTCGGTACATTGCCGGTCCAGTCAATAACTTTACGAATACCAAAAGCGGATGGTTAACAAACGATTAGATTTTGAGAATATGCCGCAGCTTCAATTTCATTTAATTAAATATCATGTGCAGTATTCCGCCGGCCCTTTGTACTCGGCTAGGACTGCAGGCCTGGCTGAATAGCCGAAAATAGCGGTGACCAGGGAGTCGCCATCGGGTACCACACCGGTCTGTGTATTGGGGTTTGCGAATGTCGGAGGGTCACGTCTACGTATCTTTGACAAGCGGGAACGCGAAGATGCTATGGCTTAAGCGAATATACCGTATACCAGTGTAAGGCTATCCTGGTCAAGAGTAGAATTTCATTATGACTGGATGGCGGAAAACTAAGATTTGCAGACAGAAAATGCTGGGTGGCCGGAAATTAAATAGGTATATTAACCAGGCTGCATTGGGGGAGGAATGATTCGACGGGTTAGGCAACCTGGTCAATATTTATGCAAACAATTATCTTTAGAGTTATTCAACCGGACTACCTCACAACCTGGTTCATTTGGTCATATCAAGAGAGTTCTTCGAAAATCGTGAGGTTGTGCAAAACGAGTAAATACAACCAACTGTTTACTTCAAACCTCGATTTAGCAGATTGTTCATTTCGTCCAAACATAGGCAATATGATAAGACAAGTAGTGGGTATCTTCACAACCCTAGAGACTTTGATCCAGGTCTTCAGTATGAATATAGAACGCTGAGGGGCAGCAGGTAGAATACGACCTTTTGGTTATCTCGCCAAGTCTCAATAGGTTAGCAAACCATAATGCCGCGTCTTCGCTCCAATATATGAGCTTTTCCTGTTTTCTCGAATATCATGAGTCGATTGAAGGCTTCCAAGTCCTACGACAGGAAGAAGCATGGTCAGACAAGCTCTAGGGCCCGGGGGCAAAATGATGCCTATAAGTTGTGGTGGAATGATACAACCGAAGGACAGGTAAGCGAGACTCTCGATTAACGTGGCATGACCGATAATATATAGTCATTATTGGACACGCGCTCATTAGTGATGGAAGGGGTGAGGGCTCATTTCCAAGCCTATTCGTGTCATCTTCAAAACGTCTCGCCTAATACTCCACCAAGGCCTTCTGAGTTTCTGAAGGAATACTATTGTACCATATAAATCTCTTGTAAATAAGTAATATTTACACCAACCTCGTGAAATGCTTGGATATCTCATAGCGAATGACCTATATCGGTGTCTGGCAATTGATGGAGAAGAACAGGCGCCGCAGAGCAAGCTCACTTACGTAGAGGGGCAATCGTTGGTCTAGCTCAATCAGGTGAAGCACACTATTCGCGTCTAGGTAAATGAAAAAAAGAGCCTTTATAAATAAATTTGGTTTTAGTAAGTGTAATCAGACCGAGATATCAAGCTAGGATATATTCTCTCTTAGATCCTAGTTAATTTAATGCTACTAATTTCCAGGAGAGACTCAAAACATGCGAAAAAAAGCAAAAAACATACAACAGTGAGGATTCGCTGGTGGTCACCCACCCAACTACTAACTCACCGGCGTGTGGCTTAAGTACGGCTGAGCGGACGGGAAGCCCTGTTTTCCACACCCTATGGTCGTATGTACTCAGCAAATAAGTAGAAAAAATTATAGCTATAGTAAAAATTATACGTTAATAGTGGTAAGTGCACTATAGACTGGGTGAGAATCAAAGTGTGGCGGACTTTCGATTCAGTCTCAATACAATGACATCGGCCAGATCGATCTATCTCACTCAGGTCTTGATGAACTCCAACATTGTGAACTCCAACATTGTGTTGTCTTTTGCCACAATGACCTCGAACCTCGCAACATCTTGGTCAGCGAATCATTCTCCGGCAAATTATCTATTACCGCAGACAGAGTGCCACCACCAAGTTTATCAAAGCCGGGAGAATTATCGAGAAATCGAAGAAGAAAGCCATGTCAGGAAATGTTGGCGTTCGAGTGCAGGAAAAGCGGATACAAAGGGAAAAGGTCGAGGAATCTTCCTACATCCGTGAAGGTTGGATCCGCAAAGCAGGGGAGAAAAGTCAAGTGTTCACTAAAGAGGATATGCAAGAACTTGAGAGTGAGATCCTAGAGGAACTAGGATATATCTAGGTGGCATAGCTTAGACCTAATCTCTGGTCAAATGCACTTGCATTATGTTTCTATATCCCGATTTGTCCGTTTTGCGTGTACTCGTCGCCTGGGGGGCATGTTGATTAGCTATCGACCACCCCCTTCCCAAATCCAAGAGTTCTGGCTACATGCACATACGAAGATTGCCTGTATACCCAGCGGTTTAGGCGCCAATCGCCAAAACCCTATGTTGCTGCCTTGATGCATAGCTTTGGCCTGGCTGCCTGAATTAAAGAAGAGTTGAAGTATTCAAATAACTGTCTGAATTAACATAACTAACACTTCCCTGAATAATTAAAGTGGTCTTATTTTTCTGGCATTAACAAGTTTCAAAAATGAAGCTTTTGATCAGCATATAAACCGAGAGATCTCGACTTTCTTGCATGGGTTGTAAGTGTCGGAAATGAAGCTTTTCATCTCCATACAAATGGTAGTATAGCCAGCTAATAAACTACGTAAATCGTGATATACTTATTGACAATGGGGTGTAGAACTAATTAACCCGTACTATTGGATAAAACTAGTATAAATGAAGTTCGTTAAAATTTGGAAGAGGAAAACATATGCGCAGTCATCTTCCCCACATACATATCTCATTGCATTAACCCATCTGATTCCCTAAAAACACCAAATCTTCCTTTGAAGACTGCCTCATCATCCACTCATCTTGAATGAGCTCGTACGGGTTAGCCCTCACTTCTGGATCCCAAACTAGTATCCTACTTATGAAAAGAAGAGCCTACTCTTTTTCCTCACCGATTGGGATTGTGGCGACGAAGTCATCGAGAGAGGTTTCAGGGATTGGCGGTTCGGACGCCCAGTTGCCTCAAAAAGAGAATTGGGTAAACTGAACTTTCGTAAAGTCCAAAGATGTAGGCAGACTTACCCTATTCATCGACATAGGTTGCAACGAGCGGGCTTTCGCGAATCATCTCAAGCGGCAGAGGACCCAGATATCCGATGTATTGGGTTAGTGTTAAGGGGAGTACATACTGATCATTCGCCCGATCAAAGGGGTTGAATAGATTCTTCCCTTCCATAAGCTCAGGTGTCTGGTTGTTTTAGACTTGTGTTGGAGATAATCTTGCAAAGTTTACGCGTGTTGGTACTTACCACCACACCGATAGACCACGCATCCACAGGATACTCCTAAGATAGACCTAATGGGGCCTCCGGGGCTCTGTATAGATCAGACATTGCCAATTTCTAGTTAATTTGCCCTTCTGCTGATCGCATTTGCCCGAAAGCAGCAAGGACCGGGGCGCCTGACAGCTCCAACTTGGTTTGTCGAGACTTTCAAACAGGGGCCGCTCCATCCATCGTGATCATAGGGCTTCTGGGATCCTGCACTTGCTGGTCCTCCACTTTCTTGAGGCTACCATCGTCCTCGAGTTTCATCAGAACATTCTGAGGTGAAATATCTGCTCAAAGTGCGATGAGCGAGTATAAAAGCCGCGACCATCTCACTTGAACCTACTGATGTGTATGAAACCGCAAATTGCATGAAGCCAGTTGACAGAAAGCCACAATCGGTGTATGATTGATTTCAGAAGAAGCTTGGGCAGGATGCTATTTGGAAATGTCTCCTGTAAGACACGCATATTCTAACCCTGATGTTTTGAGGACTATGCAGTAGTGCCGACCATAGTGGAAGCTCCTATCGATTTCAAAGATATCGACTGCAAAATGGGTGAATTGATCCGTATCCGCGACTCGCTTTATGTGCCGCAGAATATCAATTTCGTTAAGAACCGGGGAAGATTCGGTATTATGGCTAACACACACTTTGAGGGAAGTGTACCGCTTTGCACTGTAGACCGGGTAAGTCCTATTACCCCCAAGCAATCTTCCCCAGAGACGCATAGGATTTGCCAACCTCTTATCCCAGAAAAGCCAGATAGTGATCCAGGCTTTGCAATAACCCGGTACTGGCCTTTAAACTCCTCCCCGATTTTAAAGGGATAGTAATGTCTTTCATGATACCACGACAAGCACTGTTCTTCAATAGCTTCTCCAAAAGCTATCGTGTGTTTTGGTCGACTTAATATCAGAGGCACCTGTGGGAGATTCGATCGTGTAGGACACCATATTGATTCAGCGAGAAGACACATTCTGATTGTTGATTGTGTCTCTTGAACATAAGACTACCCCTTGTTGTTTGACATGCCCTCTGTCACATCACATGATCCCCCCCTCGTAGTAGACTTCTACGAGTCCTCCTCTCTTCCCTTCTAGACAGTACACACTGTCTACAATACGACTCTTTTACTTCATATTTGCGATCTCAACTCCGTGGAATTCGGCTCAAACATGCTTTGGGGGGGGTTAACTTAGCTGCTAGCTACTAAGCATATGTGGCATGCCGTCAATATATAGGCCCGCGCGAGATACCGAGTCCACTAGCTAGTGAAAATGTATCAATAAATTGTGCATTTTGACATCTTATTGGAGCTTGTCTAACAATAATACTAGGATTCTGAAGATAGATCATTCCATCAAGGGCTCTATAAGGAAGAATGGAAAGTATCTTGAGTCTCAAAGCGGGTGGAATTAAGTAGAGCCTCTGGAATTCATGACACAATCCTGGAGATAGATACATCCCGAAATCGAAATTCGCCAATAAGGAGACAAAGCAGCAAGCTTACAGCAATAGAAAGGCAATACGGATGCTTGGTGGATTTCTGATTGCCTAGATGCCTGATCAGGATGCGCTTTATGTTTGAGGCTTTGTCCATATCCGGCTATAAAGCTTGCTGTTTTTCTAATCTCGCTTAGCCCTCATCATCGTTCATTTCCCACAAGCCCCTCAGCAACAATATCTCACGATCATCAAGAAGCCCCAGCAAGAGCTTTCTTGTGTGACCACCTGACACTATGGCATCTCCTTATCTTTGCAGGGACACGTTGGAGACAGGGGGGCACATGAAGCTGGTCAAAGCTGACACCGATTCTTCGAGATACGAGAACACCCGCCTGGAAGAGGAGCTCATAACAGCACCCCTATTCTCACTCTCAGCCTGTGAGACTTTGGATAACGACCGTATGAATAGCGAGCAAACTACCAATAGAGAGCGGACATACCCACAGTATGGACTTCTCGGTTTGCGCAATCGATCTGTTGGCAACGCACCGGCACAGGATGATCTGGTGTATGCCAATGTCTCGGCACCGTGGTCTGCCTTCATCTGCGGTAGCCAAGGAAGTGGCAAGAGTCACACCCTGGCATGCCTGCTGGAAAACTCGTTGATCGCATCCTCCCCTGCCGGGAAGCTATCGTCACCTCTTGCTGGGCTGGTTATTCACTATGACAATTTCAGAGCCTTTTCCAGCACGCAGCTTTGCGAGGCGGCGTATCTGCACTCATCAGATATTCCTGTCCGAGTTTTGGTGTCCCCTACCAATTACCTTGCGATGAAAAAGGCATATGAAACACTGGCAGGTGGTTCGAGAATGCTCAAGGTTGAGCCATTGTATCTGCCGCAGAAGGATTTGAATATTGGCATGATGAAAACCCTGATGGGTATCAACAACGGAACCGAGCAGCCTCTCTACATTGAGGTATACCAAAACACCTGTGATTCATGATAACAATGTACTAAAAAACTTTTAACGTAGGTCGTTATGAAGATTCTTCGGGATATGGCCATAGCCAACCAGGGCAAATCCGGATTCAACTACAGCGCATTCAAACGTCGTCTTCAGGGCGAGAATTTCTCGAAAGGCCAGCTTATGCCTCTGAAAATGCGCTTGGAGGTTCTCGAATCGTTTTTTGAGCCTGGATCTGTGCCTGGTGCAGCTCCCCATAAGTCAGAGAAGCATACTGCTGACGATCTCTGGAATTTTCTTCCAGGCACTCTGACAATCATCGATTTGAGCTGCCCCTTTGTTGGCCAGGAAGATGCATGCGCACTTTTCAATATCGCAGTCTCCTTGTTTCTGAATAAGCGTCGCGACGCAGGTCGCATCATTGCCCTGGATGAAGCACACAAGGCTCGTAGATCTGTTCCGATTTCTTGAATCATTCATGCTCTTCCATACTGACACCTGGTTCACTTTTAGTTTATGACTTCGACTTCTCCAGAAGCCGCAGATCTGACAGAGACGCTGCTATCTGTTGTCCGCCAGCAGCGACATCTGGCCGCACGTGTGATAATAGCAACCCAGGAACCAACTCTTGCACCGTCACTGCTTGAGCTTTGCAATGTGACCATTATCCATCGCTTTTCATCACCAGCTTGGTTCAAGGCGATCAAGTCGCATATCGCGGGAGCTGAGATTGGGGAGCTTACTCTGAATACCACGGCGTCGCCGACCATCTTCCACAAAATTGTTCGTCTACGGACTGGGGAGGCTTTGGTATTTTGTCCATCAGCTCTGCTAGACATTGCAAAGCACGATGACCAGCAAAGTCGGGATTTTTCAACTGACTCCTCTTCCATTGGGCCAGATATTCCAGATAGCCCGTCCTCTGAAGAGAGCACTCAGATTCCGACACCCTACTCAGACTCTCAAGATGAGCCAACTTTCCATCGAGTCATCCAGCTTGGGACAGCCTATGCCCACATTCGAATTCGGAATAGGATCACTGTTGACGGTGGTCGCAGTGTGCTTGAGCGTTAAGGTGGCCCCTATGTTGGAGTGCAAATGCAAGGTGCATTACCGTGCATGGAGGATTCCTCGCTATGGGTTGAATTATCTAGAAGGTGTGTTTCTTTGTACTACCTAAAATTTACAAATGATCAATCAAATTCCTGAAATTATCTCTTGACCTCTGTTGCATGTAGGCTTGTTTCCGCATCGGGTCACTGCTTATAGTAGAGATCCGGATAACTGACAGCCCGCTCACAAGACGAATCACCTACAGTGACTAGACCCAATCTTCATTTGAGATTTTCTCAGACATTCCGCGTCATATTTGAGGCTTCGTTAAATGCTTACGACGACAAATGGTCTAGCCCAACAGTGGTGGAATTGCCGGAGAGCACAAGCACACATGCTTGAGACTGAACGGGGGCCTTTTGTTACGACAGCAAGACAAGGATTTCTCCCAACAAGTAACCTAGATACTATATGGGTTATTTCAATATCTCCCAAGAGCTGCCCAATAATTGCTGTTCCGATCTTGTGTTTATGCTTTGTACAACTCTCTATGTACTCCAAAAGCGGCGTCCAAGGTGGCCAATTTGAAATATTAGAGCCTCTCTAATAGCGCAATTTCCTTTGGACTAGTAAACCTGGAAAATCAGCAATTTTCTGTTCATCTCCAAGTCATTTTCGTTTGTGAACCGGGAGGTGGTTGGGAATGTGAAACACCTGTTCCTTGGCTTTGTGCTACTTATATTCATAGCAACCAACAGTACTCAGACTATAATACTTCCGGTGTGCTCAGGCCTTTCGGGGTTATTGTCTTACATTGATCAAGGTATCGAGTGCAATGATAGTCAACAATCATAGAGTAGTAGCTTCAAGTGTCCAAGATGAATTCAAAGGCATGGAAATTTAAAGCTCCGTCCAAGCTTAACTATGGTACTATACTTTATATAAATGTAAGCTCCAGGGGTTTCTTGTGGCTATTTCTCACTGCATTAGCACCAATTGGAAGGTTTCGTAAAGCTCATCACCCCAAAAATCCCTGGCAATCGCCATCGCATACAAATGGGCCGCAGCAGTTACCCTAGGGGTCCCGTGCCCTAAGCAATGACTATCAGTCCACTCAGTATATGAAGAGGCAACATATCATAAAATATTCTCATTGCAATACCAACAGGAACTGTGACGCGCGGCCAGTCAGAATCGAAGATGTTGTACATCATGGATTGAGCTAACTAAAAATTCCCATCTGGGCTGAAAATGAAGTTGCAAGCTACAGAACTAACAGTCCCTCCACTAAATCTCTTAAACTGCAACACAGTAGTGAATTCACATCACGGGGACTAGTAAATGTGGTCCTCGCCTAGCTATCTTGTAGCCCAACAGACATCCGGGAGCACGAGGCGTGATGGATCAAGGCACCACGGGAAATCAGCCCAAAAATAAAGCTTGCCATTGAAATTTCACAAGACTCTGTGAGAGACACAACCTCCTGCAACTGACATTGGGACTATAAAGTATCATATTTCCGTCTTATATCGCCCCTGACTTTGATATCCTCCAACCTAGCGAATATATATTGTGGCCTAATCCTCCAAGCTGGGCACATACTTTCTCGATATAATTCATCTGATATTGATGATCACAGAGACCAATCAACATGCGTGTCAACTTTATCTCTTTCGTGGCTCTAGCCACTACAGCTACAGGTATGGCATTTTGTCCGGGGGAATCCAAACACATCTAATTTGGAATTAGCTCTCCTTGTCACTTCGCCACGAATTGGTGAAAAGATTGACCCCGATATGCCCCTTACTATCAAGTGGCAGACTGTCGCGTAAGCTACCAGAGCTTTGCATGAGCATCGGTAATATACTCATCAAGAATCTTATAGAACGGACCCAGATACCTTCACCATCGAGCTGGTCAACCAAAATGTCTATCCTCCGACAACAGAGGTGGTGGTAGAAGATATAGACTCTTCCAAGGGCTCCTACACCGTCAAAGCAAAGTCATTTACAGGTGTGGACGACGGGTAGGTCCAGTTCGATTGAATTGCATTGGAGCTACTGACCTGATTTTCAATATAGAAAGGGATATCAAATCAACTTCGTCTCTCCAACCAGTGGCATTCTGGCTCAGTCTCAGCAATTCCGAGTCACCGAGCCCGGTGCACTTGCTAGTAGCTCTGGTAAGGAAACCAGCACTGCGCTTGAAACTTCGTCTGCTTCGTCTTTGATGTCTTCCACCGCGTCGACCAGTGATCTTACTTCGACTCCTTCCTCGAATGCTTCCTCTTATCTGTCTTCGACCGCTCACTCCTCCACCAGTGCGTCTACCCCTACCTCGTCCCATTATTCTTCTGCTTCTTCTATCTCCACCCCTACAACATCTTCTCTTATAACCAGCTCTGCAAGTGCGTCTACTTCCATTTTATCTTCTGTCCCTTCCAATCCTGAGGCACCTTCTCATTCCTACTCAACATACGTTCCCATCACTCCTTCCTTCACTCCAGGTGAATCTTCTACTTGGACATATACAACTTCTTATACCAAGACCTTGCTTTCTACCTTGACGCTTACCACTCCCACTTCTTCTTCAGTCTCTTCTATCTCTACACTGGCAACCTCTTCCTCACTCTATTCTACATCTACACCTTCAACCTCTTCTTTCATTACAACGTCATCCTCCATTATATCCACCTCTGCTACCCAGACTACTTCTACTTCCATTATCACTTCGTCTATGTCACCTACCAGATCCACACATTCCATCTCGACTCTCATATCAAGCACTATCTCTCCTACATCCCATTCTACCCATATTTCCACTACCCCTGGTTAGTAAAGACGGAAAACATAACTTCCGAGACAGCATCTTTGCTTTTAACTCAATTACATCAAAAAAAAATCACTAACTCAATCCATAGGATCGACCTCTGCTTCAACCATGACCTCCACTTCGACTAGCATGTCCACCGCTACCCATTCGAGCACCACAACTTCGACAACTACTCGCCGCACGTCTTCGACTACAACCTCCACTGCTACGGAGTCGGCAACTACTACCACTAACGCTGCTGCCATCTTAATTCCCCCTGCTGGAAGTCTGCTTTTGGGTCTGCTCGCTCTGGTCCTTTAAATGCCAAGATTGGTCCTGTGCGGTCCGGCTCTAGGCAACCGGGCAGCTGGGTACTCAGGACCTTAGATATATTCGTTGGAAATAATAGTGGTTCGTGTGGTTCGGATTGGGCAAAGGCTACTACCCTTTGAAGACATTTTGGAACCGAGGGGTTAGTCTATTAGTGATGATTTATTTTGCTTGATGATGCTGATGCTGATGTTGATGATTTGGTCTATGGACCCGTGATATGCCCCTTACATTAATGAGAAATGCGATAACTCTATGCCTGTTTTATAATTTTGGAACTACGCTGCCAATCACATCTTTAAGTTGACCGTTACTCTATTTGCTCCCTATAATCTGACCAGATAGCGAAAAAACAAAGAAACAAAAAAGCGGAAAGGAGCTCGACTTGATTAGTAGAGGAAGCTGAAAACCTCGATTGTGGCCTTTGGGCTAGATTTGATGCCAAGGTCAGCCTCATAGGTCCATATATAGAACGATCCTTAGATGAGTAATCAATATGCATAGATTGGAAAAGGGAATATAGACATGGAAAGATATCATAGATGTGAAAAAAAAAAAAAGAAGAGCAACGCTAAAAAAGTGAACCACCCATTGGTAACCTCCAGGGCCTCCAAGATTGTTGAATCGAGTTCGATCACATGGTACATTTGTGATGGAGCCTTGAGCCATCCTGTACCTGAAAAGCGGACCAAAAGCCGCAACTGGAGCATCATGACTTGACGCTATCGCTGGGTCGATTCCAAGTACGAATATGGCCTGTGTCAGAAGGTTAGTATCATTGGCCACGAGCAATCTCATGATACACACCTTCAAGAGAAGAAGTCATTATGCAATCTTTCTGGAAGCCAAGCCAGCAAGTGGGATCTTCACCAACGATTTTAGACTACGGCTCGGTTAGTATTTTGTAGCTCGTAATCTGGAAGCCAATCGATGCTTACCATGATCGGGGGCAAAAGAGCTGTTCGAGACCGGGGTTCCACGGGGTGACTCGGCGTCTGATCGATATTTTCACTGTACTTTTCGGTTTCATTGGAGTCCGAGCGCACACGGTTGTCACCACTGTCTGCACGGTGGCGGTTGGAAGTTTGTGAATTTGGCAATACGATGCTGGATCGGCTTCGAGTTGAAGCTTGGTGTGCACGAGGACGATGCAGCATTCCAACGCTGAAATCCCACAACAGAAGGCGGCAGTCGTCGCCGACGCTGCCGAACCGATATGTCTTCTGGTCACAGCGCCAAGGGTCAAATGCTACTGATGAAACCCAGGAGTTGTGCCCTTGACATCTGGCAACAACCTTGCGCTCGGGGAAAGACCAAATCGTCAGCAGATCATCCTGGCCTCCGGTTACGATGTATTTGCCATCCGGCGACCAGCAGACGCAGATCAGCCCGCCATAGTAGCTGCGGAAAATATCCAGTACCCTAGAAGGTGTTAGTTGGACCTCATTTGATTATCTTGGTATAAGGCAAACATACTCCTCTTTCAAGTAATCCATAAGCCGCAACGACCCATCCTCGAGAACCACGGCCAAATGCCTCTGATCCGGCGAAAAGGAAAAGCTTGAGATCTTCTGATTTGCCATCTTCCAAAATGAGACCGGATTAGTTTTCTGGTTTTTGGAGTTCACAGATTTAAGGACATCCAATGGTAATCGTTCGACCTCTTCGGAATGGCCATTCGCCTCGGGGGTGAAAAGGGCATCCTCCTTCTCCTTGTCGTACACGACCAGCACACCATTGGCGTGTGATGCCATGAACAAGTTCTCAGACCCAGGAAGCCATTTTATGTGGGTAACGGGGGAGTTGTTGATCACGCCGTTCTTGTTGATCCGAGCGTACTTTTGCGACATGGGCTCATACCAAATAATGTCGCCTGCAGAAGATCCCATCACAATATCCAAATGTGATGATGTCTTGGTGTGTTCGTTGACGTCGTGACAGAGCATGTGTGCTTTGGTGAAAAGAACTTTGGTAAGATGCTCCTCTTTTATGGGCGAACTCAGATCAAGCCATTGGAATGCTCGGTTGATATTCGCAAAAGCAAAAATACCACTCGAATCACGATCGCCCAATCGCTTGGCAGATGTCTCGTGGGTGATGACTCGAGAGACGAAGGAAGAACTGCTCTTGATGATGTTATTCTTGGGCTTCCTTCGCTTCGCTGCGTCCTTGGCTGCCACCGGTGGCGCCGCAAGGGCGGGGTTTCCATCTCCAAACTGGGGAGCTGTAGCAGCCGATTTCAAGAATGTCGGAGGTTTCTTTCGAGGGTCGAGAGTAACAAGAGATAGCTTCACGCCAGAGGTAGGGGGTGTGGGTAGCGTCGCAAGAGGGTTCGGGTTGATGATAGGAGCTTCAGATGGGTGGGGAGGGGGTGTCGCGAGGAGTAGATCATCCTGGAGGATATAGGTTCCTGTCGCAATATAAAATGTGAGCCATCTCTGAGATTCTGAAGGGATTAAGATATTGAGGTGAGATCGACGATCGAGTACACATACCCTCGCCAACTTGCAATGGACACCCACGCTCCGGGTGTGTAATAGTATTATTCGTTTCCACAACAGGGACCGCCATACCGTTTGCCGCCCCCGCCGCATATGCGACAGGGATGGTATAGCGCGGAGGGGGAGGGGGAAGGACACTGCTGTTGTCAGAAAATGAAGTGATATCTGGTAATTGAGACTGGTCCCAAATTATGTCCGTAGTGACAAGAGCCTCAAGTTGCAAATCGAGACCGAGAAGTGAGAGAGGAATGCTTACAACATGACTAGACGTCACTCGTACAGGGTCAATTTGGACGAGAGTGTGACCGTTCAACCTTGGAACCAAATAAGGCAAATGCGCAAACTTTGCCAGGTCCGCGATGGCACTTTTTCCAAACTTTCCTGTCTCGGGTTTTATATATCGATAGCTGCCTCTTATGTATTGTGCCTGGCGTTGAGGCTTGGACTGACGGATGAGGCGCAGGTAAGGCTGCAGGGAAAGCGAGTGAGGATGCGCAATAAGTCGAGGCGTATATATGTACTCGATAACAAGACGTGTATAACAAGATGTGTATATTGATATGAGGATTCGAGGTTCAGAGGTTGGGGGTTTGGAGATACAAGGGAGGGGAGGATCAGCAAGGGAAACGATGTCCGGGGTAACGTTCGAGCGGAGAAGAAACGTCCCTGGCACCGGCTTAACTCCGGCTAAGCCGGATACTAAGTCGATGTGCCTAAGTATCAAAATATCTCATATAACATTTATTTGCATATTAAACTAGTATGGCTAGTATGTCATTGTACATGACCTTAATTTCCGCTTCCAACTCGTCGCCATATCATGACTGCGGCGGCGCCCGCACAAACCACCGCTCCGAGGGCAATTCCCCACGACATCCATTTACCCTCTACATCCTCTTCACTACGCGGGAAAGCGGTGCTGGGCTCCATGGCAGCCTCAGCAATATGGACAAATACCTCCTGGATAGAACTCCATGTAACACTCACATGAAGTGGCGGACTGGGCATGTTCAGCATGGCGGTGTATTCATGGGGTTGGTGCTCGGCTCGCTGGGTCGTCCGGTCCAAGTCGGCCTTGAGGGCAACGAACACACTCGGAAGCTCCTCCAAATAAGGATATTTTGCCAACAATGCAGGAATGTATGAAAATGAGTCCGGGTCCGAGGAATCATATGTGTATGCAATCACGTCGCACTGATCCAGTACTTTCGACTGGTTCTCCAACAAAGCAGGCTCCAGCTCACCTAGTTCGTCTAGAATCAGGTAGCACTGTTTTCCGCCCGGAAGCTCCACTGTATTCACTGCGGTACGTGGTTGGATGGTTGGATGGTAGGTCGTACTGAATCCACGGGAAAGAAGTGCATCGAGCAGGGCCGATTTTCCGGATCCAGGGGCTCCCAGGACATGACATTGGACAACGTTCCGTCCCACACGGCCTGGGCGGCGACGCTTTCTTCGTGGACGTGTGACTTTCAACGCCGCCGTAATAGATTGATCGCTTTGGTCAGAAGGCTCAAAGCCTAGGTATGCCAAGTATTCAAGTGTAGTTTTCGGGGACAGGAAGGTAGTCATACTCCACTGAGCAAGCCAGCCTTGCAGTGTTACATGTCCTGCCTCGTTGCGGACTGTGGAGGACGGGAATGACCCGTCGGCCCATGACGCGGGCAAGCCTGGGGTGGGAGCAAACAAGGACGCAAGTTCAGCTTCATTCAACCCCCCGTCATTATCCTTGTCGGATAGAAGAAAGAGGTTCACAAAGAACCGATAGCCTTCAGGTGACAGTTCGGCAGAGGCGAACGGCGGTACTTCGAATTTCGGGTGTAAGAATTTCTCCTGCAGGGAGAGATTATCCGTGTACTGGAACGCTCGCAAGATGATCCAAACGGTTTCATGTCGCCCTTTCTCCGAGTACAATTTGTTCAGATGAATAAACCCTTGGCAGTCAATTCCCGACTCCGTAACCGAGTCCGGGCACGCTTTTTGTATAGTGTCCTTGATGTGATTAAGATCCGCTTCGTTCAATGGTTTTGAAAAGCACCGGACCTGAAAATCTTCAAGCTCCTTGTCTGATAGATATCCATCACGATCTTTGTCGCAGAGATAGAATATCCTTTGTAAGGCTGCTACCGCAGCAGGCTTCAAAGCCGCCTCCTTGGAATCGAACAGCGGCGCGATCGGGTGAGTGACTGCTTTCTGGCAAACAAAGAAGGCTTCGTTGACATTACGATGCTCCCGAGCACTTGTACGTATACACGAGTCAATTTCCTTAAACTCTGCCATCAAAGGAAGCATCTCCTCCTCAACCACTCGTGTCTCACTGTGACCAGTCGCAAGGTCGGACTTGTTGGCACATAGGACTACCGGGACATTGACACCCAACGAGCGGAAGTATGGCAGCCAGAACAGAGCTACCCGTTCATAGC